ATTCACGGCAACAAGAACCCCGGCCGGAGTAGGTATGTACATATATACCTACATAGGTATTTGGCAGATAACGGCACCTCCGAGACAACGGCAGCCCCGAGACACCAGCAACATTGAACAACTCACTTTGAACCCGACCCGGTCGAATCCAATCAACTGTCACGGTCGTCACTGGTTGCGAATTTGAACCACAGTCGCAGTCGTATCGTATGTATGCTTCGACTCGACACATCGCATTTCTCTACAAGCATACATCCAACCCAAGTTCTGGATCACGCTTCGACAGCCTACAGGACCGACTGGCCGCCGACCGACCGACTAGGTACCTATTTTCACGTTCTGCCTTGTAAATTGCAATCGCTTGGCCTCAACTCCTCGAGCAAGGCTTGTGGTTTGCACCGACTCGGAGGGCGGGCGGGTGTATAGCGAATGAGAACTGCGAACTGCGAACTGCTAACTGCAGAGTGATAATAGTATGGTATGGTATGGTATGGTATAGTGCTGCACTGCCCATCTCCACATTCCTCCCTTCCTTCCTTCCTCTTACTCATCCTCTTCCGCTCACGGCTGCGTCGTTTAGTACTTGCGAACGGCCTACCATGGCCCGGATAGCTTTCTGCCTTTTTGGCCCGGCCGACACATACCGATCGATAATACCATAAATACGATACGGTATATGGTATGATACGTGGACTGCTGCGACGGCCCTTAGTTACAACCGTCCCTCTACCCCCTCCACCCCGAGAAAACCAGTGATTCCAAATGTGTGCGTACGAGCCGGGCTCGAGTTGCTCCGCCATTCCTCCTCTCTCTCTCCCTCACTCCTTCACTCGCACCCACAGCCGGGCTTTGGTGGAGGAGGTTCCTGGGACCCGTTGGGTTTCTATTCTCTCTCTCTCTCTCTCTCTCTCTCTCTCTCTCTCTTAAAGTTGAAACGTATTGTATGCCTTACTGCTATACTGATAGCTTCGCCGTTGCCCGGTGCCGCAGCCGGACACACCGTCGAGCAGGGGCAAAACCATCACATATGCCTAGAACCCTCGCCGCTCAACTTCTAGACTGAATCCTACATTTAACTTGAGTTTGCACAGTCTAGGTACTCGAGCATATTCACGCTGGGCTCTAACTATTGCTCACATGGTTTGAGAGAGGATTCGCAAATCGAGTGAGTATCTATGAATCACTGGTTCCGTGTTTTAATGGCATGGGCATGGAGGAGTAGTAATTATCAGTTTCGACCTATGGCTAACCCCTCCTCCGTCTAGGATACAGAAGTGCGAACGTGTGTAGCCTTCATCCCACAGTCCCACCATCTCTGCATCTTTCGTGAAGATGAACCAACCCGGGAATGGCTGGAGCGTATCGTTATCATTATCCTTGCCGACGACCTTATACCCCGCCATGCCAGCAATCATGGTACTCTCCATCTCATCACCGTTGTCGACACGTTTCACGTCTAACACGCCACAGCCTCCGGGAACTTGGAACTCGGAAGAACGACCACTCATGCGTCACGTATCACATATCATCACTCGCTCGTCCGAGAAGAAAACAAAAACAAAAAACCCCCAACGGAAAAGGTGTGTTGGAATTTGGAAGTGGTCTTCCAATACCTACTGACCTACAGCTGTGGTGGGAGTGAAAGTGAAGAGCAAGGCTGGAAGTGGAAGTGGAAGTGTGGCAATGTAGATCAGATCCGTCATTTTCCGCATAAATATATGTGTGCGTGGGCCAGTGTCAACCGTGGCACCACCGTCAGGAGCCATCGGATTCGGGGGTTGGAATTACCTTGCCTTGCCTTTCGTGGAGCAACATTCCAGATGGGCGAATAGGCAGCGTACGCCGAGTCCCTGCCTTGCCCTACGGTACTGCTCGGAAGTCCTCACCCGCCACGCAGAACCCGCCGCGTGCGGGCTTCGGTTCGATTGACTCAAAATGTACCCGAGTCAATCGCGGTAATTGATCAGACATATTCCCAAGTCAAACGGGGTCAATCACAATTACTGACTCGGGACGGCACTGAGTCAAAATACCGGTTATTGAGATTATGTAGAGTACGGCGGATGGCGTGCGGGCGTGCGGGCGTGCGGGAATACGGTACGATGCCGCGCTGGGGCCTGGAGACGGCTATCTTCACGTTACTCTATAGTAGAGCGGCCCGGCACGCTCGTCACTCGCAGCACTCGCAGACGTTCGGTGTGCATGCACGTATATCACTCGTTTTATTGTCTCGTTTTGTCATCTTGCACGGCGAGACGGGTCAGACGGGGTGGGGAACAGACACAATGCCCACCATCCGCAATTTGCACAGGCTGTCTGCACAGGCAGTCCGCACAGGCAGTCTGCACGGGCTACGGTAATGATTCTTCCCAACTCCGCTGGGACTCGACAGCTCTACTGCAGCTCTACTGTAGTCAGCCCAACCCATATCGTTTCCTCTACGGTGTTTATTCCGTATGCCTACGGCACTTCCAACTTCCTGTACTACACGAATGTCGAAATTTGTTTGCGTACAGCACGTACAGCACGGCTTACTCACAGTACGCATTCTTGAGTGACCGGTGCATACTGCTCAGTAGTCAGCAGTCAGCACGGCATTTCGTCTGTAGGACGATTTTTGTGATGGTTTTACTACATACAGTCGTGGAACTGCATACCTGACAACGTTTCCTCCGCATTACATAGATACGTTGTTGTGCGGATACGGTAAGTCTCTAGTATTCTTCACACCGCGTAATATCTCGCATTCAGAAGAACTGCAGTACCTAGTTCTTCTGGCTTTCTATTCAGTAGTAAGCGTATCTTTACACCACTGCGTACCTATGTAGAAATGTTTCGATAACGTAGAATTGAGACTGTAGGAAAACACAAATACCAGAGTAAATCTGTATTCTCCGAAACTGCTGGATTTATATCCGAGCGGTAGACCTGAGGCATCAATTACTGCCCATTTTTTGCTACTATAGGATGTAAGCTGGCTGCGAGTCCGAGTGCAAGTGCGATGAAAACGAAAAAAAGGAAAAAGAAAAAGTGCCATCACTCGTCCCCCTGCTGTCGAGTGCGAGACTGCGAGTGCGATGGCGGCTTACTATATACTACTGTATAGTGAGGGGGGGTAAAAAATACGCTTTTTTCCGTATCGGTACGGTCAAAATACGTGGTTTGACCGTATTAATACGCTTTTTGACCGTACTGATACGGAAAAAAGCGTATCGGTACGGTCAAAAAGGGTATTTTTTACCCACCCCTTCACTATACAGTAGGTACCTTAAGTACACCAACTATAGGTAGGTCACACTTACCTACCGTACAATGTTACCTCCATACCTGCCGCCGTAAAACAACTACATGCCAGTCCTCCCTCCACTCCACTCCCGAACTCAATGTATCACTGTGAACCTCCCGATACAAGTACCGATACAAGCATCGGCTCCCTTGAACCGCCCAGGGGCCAGCACAAGTATAATACGATATAGTATGTGCTTGCCCTTGTGTTGTCCAAAGATGTCCGAAGATGCAGGCAGTGGGCCTGGATGGGAGATGATGGATACCTATCAAGGCTAAGAGAGAGAGAGAGAGAGAATATCCATCTATTATCACATACGGCCTGCCTGGACTATGGCGACCGGATATCAAAGTAGTTTGTGAAGCAACTGGCCAGGGTTTGTAGCTACTGAGTGAGTGTCCATGAATACTAGTCCGAAGTACCTAGTCCAGTGCTTTCGATACCATGCCGAGTTGAATGGCCATGTACTCTACATACTCGAGCGGATATTCAAAGTCACCAGAAGCAAAGGGCAATATTGATAGCAAACTAATTCATTGTAGTAAGGTTTTTATCTGTATCAAAGAAATATAGTAGGCAAAGACCCAACAAATCACCCAACCAGCCAACCGACCAACCGACCGACGACCATTCATAAGAGACAGGCGAGAACGAACAAAAACACCGAACCAACCAACCAAACGCATTACCCAGAAACCCCCACCAAAGCAAAGAGAAAAAATTCAAAAATCAAAAGGCAACAAAAAACACCACCAAAAAGTCTAAAGCAAACATGCTATTAGAATAGAAAAAAACCCATCTAACGTCTGGGCTTGTTCTCCTCGGCGTCCCAGTCGTAGTGTGTGCGGACTGCCGGCGCCTCGGCGCCGTCCCACTCCTGGACGTGGTCGCCCTTCGAGTCGATGGTGTGCGAGGTGTTGGGCTTAGCCGCCTTCTCCGAGGAGCGGCGGCGTTCGGAGCGGGACGAGCCCTGGGTTTCGCTGCGGCGAGGGCCCGAGGGGCGCTGCAGCTGCTCCTCGTCCTCAAAGAGGCCGGGCTGGACGTGGCAGTGGACGCGGGGCGCCTCGTCCTCGTTCCACTCCTTCACCTCGTCGCCGTTCTGGTCGCGGCGCGAGGCGCCCTGCTTGTCGCGGTAGGACAGGTCGCGACAGTCGACGCAGTCGCAGTTCTCGTGGCCGGGCTTCTTGGATTCGCGGCGCGAGGAGCTGGGGCGGCTGCTGGAGGCGTTCTTAGTGGAGCCGGAGGTGCTGCTGCGCTTGGGAGGCGCGGGCTTGCTGTCCATTGAGGCCTGGGAGTTGGCGCGGGCAAGCGCTTGGCGGATGGTCTCGTTGCTGAGAACGTTGCGGGGAGCCTCGCCGCTGAAGGAGGAATGTTAGTATGTGATGGATGGATGGAAGGGATGGAAGGGAGGAAGGGGGACATACTTCCAAACAGAATCCATTTCGATTGAAGGGTGGGGGGGTGGTGGTTGAGGGTTGAAGGTTGGAAGGGAGAGGTTGCTTTGAAGGTTGTTTGCGAGTGAAGGCTGGTGAATGCTTTGGATGCTGTGCAGGCTGATGAGAAGAAGTTGAGAGGAGGTGGGATATGTCGGGGGGTTTATATTCCGTTTCTGTTTGCAGGCGCGGCGGGATGCTCAGCGATGTTCTGCTTGAAGCCGTCTGGGCTGGGGCTGGTGGGTAGGTGCGGGGTGTGTGGCCGCTTGACAGAAAGGCCGGCTACCTACCTACGTGTCGAAGCTAGTAGCCCGCTGCACGCTGTGCTCTAGCACGGTTGCTCTGCTCGGGCTGCTGTAGCTAGAGCAGAGTGCGTATGTAGCCAGGCCAGGCAATTGACCGTGGTGGATGATTTTCCGTCATCGAATCGGCAGCAAAGCAAAGCGCAGCATGCGTTGTTCCCATTCCCGGCCCCCCGGTCAGGAAAATCATAACGACGAAATCCGGTTACGGGCTGCTAGTTGTTAGTAAACATACACGGGGTTCGATTGGATTGGGGGGGTCGGACTACGAAGCTGGTTGGGTATTCACCTCAAAGCGGAGATAGTCGGAGTGATAGGTGACGATGGAGAACAGGTGTTCGAGGGAGGGGTGGTGGGAGGGTAAGGATCATTCTCCGCAGACGCTTGACAATTGGCAGCTGTTGGCCCCACTCGCCCGCAGCAGAAGAGCGCCGCTAATCGAGGCGCCGTTGGGGGTGGTGGGTAGTGGTGGTGGAGGGGGGCGGTGGTTGCTGAGGCGAAGCGGGCGGCACGAGTTTCCAGAGCAGCCCTAGTTTCCCCTCTGTTGCCCCGCTGGCTGCGAGCGTGTGCTGTGAGGTGTGATGTGAGACAGAATGGACAGCCAACCAGCCAATCAACCAACAAGCCAGCCAACCAGCCAGCACACTCCGTCATTCATGCGAATTCATGCGAAAAGAAAGAAAGAAAGAAAGAAAAGAAGAAGAAAAAATAAGATACCAACCCGCCGCGCTGGTCCAGATTCTTCCTAATTCCTGCTGCAATGCAAGATTCGAACGGAACGATTCGCTTTCACCGTGTCCACATCTGCGATTGTTTCAGTCGAGCTTGTGCAGATATGTATGATCTATCTATCTATCGTCCCAGTGCAACCAAACTTCTCGCTTGCCACAACGGACGGAGGGGAAGGGGAAGGTCATCGTCGCTCGCTCCTTCTCGCAAGAAGTGTCGTCAGTCCTGGGAATCAATCGGCGCGGATAACTAAGGGGAGTTCCTACTATAGACGGCCACCATCGCTCGATGCAGAATCGTCGAAACTCAAGTCTCAAGGTCTCCGCCCCGCCACCCCCGCTGTGTTGGCAGAAAGAAAAAACATCAACGACGACGACGCCATCGGCGAAAACGTCACCACTCGTGGAAATCCGCGCGCGCGCGTCTGCGTGATCCCCATCGCTCCCAATATGGGGCGGCGAGGAGGGGCCAACGATAATTCGGATTCGTGCGGAATTCCACAGCTCCAATGACCGAGCGGCGATGCTTTCTTCGAGGTAGATCCGGACACTCGTCCGATGCGCAATATTCGAGCGAAACGAAATCGCGCTCTCTCTCTCTCTCTCTCTCTCTCTCTCTCTCAGTCTCAGCGAGCGAGCGCAACGGAGCGCCATTTGTGTGATGGCGGTGGCGGCCCAGAGAGAGAGTTGTTTTCGTACATATTTGCCCTCCCTCATCTGACCGCTGCCGCCGTGATTGGAGCGGGCTTCCATGTTTTTCCCTCATAGGTACCTACTTACCCAGCAAGCCCGCCTCCGCCACGAAGTGCGCGGAAAAAAAACATACATATGAGTATGTATGTACATCCCGCCACCACCAGTGACCGACCGACTAACCAGCCAGCTGCTTACTGGCTTGGGGCCTGGAGATCTTCGCGAATAGCACACCACAGCGCAGCGCAGCACCGGATCCTTCGTTCCCTTTCCACGCACAAACTCTTCTAGAACGAATTGAAAAGCTCATTAGCATGGCGCACGTGCAACTGGTGGTGGTGGTGGTAGTGGTAGTGGTGGGGGGGGTGCCGTGCAGCCAACCAATCCCGCATATGTAGCCCGTCACTCGACTGAACCCGCGAATTGCGGAGGATCTACCGGGCTCACGCGGGCAAGGCACCCCGACCGAACCTAATCGTCCAGCCAGACGTGGTTACCGGAGAGTCCAAGTCCCAACAACCCTTGGCGAAAGATCGGGCGAGCGAGGAGAGGGGCGAGCAAGGCCGTTGCTTTCCTCCAGAGCGACTACCTATCGCAGGTAGCGAGGCCAGCACCAAGCAAAGCTAGCCCTCCTGCTGGCTTGCCAGCTATTGTTTATGTATGCAGTGAGAAATGTTTCTGTTGTTGGCCCAACCAGGCCCGGTCCGTTGATGAAGATTCCTCCAGATCAACCACGTCGTCTCGTGGCACAAGCCTAGTACCTAGCCCAAGCCTGAGCGGTTCTGTGGCTTCGAGTTTGTTCATACGTGGGTCCTGCAGATGTGTGCGTGCTCGTTTCAAATTCACACGTGCGGAGAAGGTAGGTAAGCCTGCAGGTGTGTATGGGTAGTGGTTGGAGAAATAGAGCATTGGGGCTGGCAGCCTGGTTGGTCCCGAGGAGATACCGGGAGTTATCGATAGCAAAGCGGAAATAGAAATACCCACTCTGTATTCCCCAAGCTTCTAAAAGCAGGTCAGCACGTTGCATTAAGCAGGGACCAATGGGCGCATGAAAATCGTAGGCGCGGGGTACTCTATCTCACAGTGGGCAGGCAATCTTCTGTTTCCGGCCCTTGGTGCCTCGAAACGACAATAACTCGAGCCAATCGATATGATTTCGATTGGAACGAACAGCCAATCGACATCCACACCAGGCTCGATGGGAATTTTTTTTGCCAATATGTATATCGGAACGTCCACTGGCTGGATAACTACCACGGCACTATGGAGCAGTCCACACCCATATCGACACCCACACCCACCGACCGGCCGAGGAGCTGAGAGACCATCCCGTATCCCCAAATTGGAGCAGCTCAGCGCAGCGCAAGACCGTGGGCACTGACGTTTCCCGACGATCGGCATCGTCCTCGAGCCCATCGCAAATCCGCACTGGGCGAGAGGTTTGCCTCCGCCCCCCCCCCCCCCCCCCCCCCGAGTCGAACACTTAAAGCAAATCGCCCACCATCTCCGTCCGCATACAGAAAACTCGTCATGAGTTCGAAATCCGACAAATTGCGGCACCGGAAACACCGGAAACACCGGCGTCGTTCGTTCGGTGCACAAGTAGGTAGTTGGAATGGAGCGGGGTGGAACACGCGTCGGACAGTTGTGGCGATAGAGTATCATGTATCTATGTAGAGTACTCGTAGAGCGGGGCCCGAGCTATGGTATGGTATCAGATAGTCATCCACCCGCTCGGAGAAAGACAATCCCCGACGGTGCCTATCGCGGCCATGGACCAACAGGAATCGAACGCGGATAGCACCAACGAATTTCTGCCTCCCGGTCAGAGATACCGGTAGCTAATTCTGCTTTCCTGCAGACAGAGTCGAGTTCCTGCTCTTCTGGAGACTAGAGTTGAGCTCCTGCTCTCGTCCAAGGCACCAAGCGAGCCGATGGGGGCCAAATGCAGATCCGCCGCGCCCTGCATACCGGTGAGCTTGTATGTAGATATCTCTAGCATGTAGAGTACACAGGTACTACCTAGTATCTGCTCTTCGTCACTGCATAGCCGCCGAGCATGTAGGTACTGGTCACCGCCACGGTTCTAGGCCAGCATTCGCGCGCAAATAGCAACCCCGTGGAGCTCTTACATATATCTGCGCCGTCGTCCGGTTTACTTCGTCCGAATCCACATCTGCCGCTACCGTCGACGTTTCAACTTGAGACCGCCCGCTCTAGAGGTCGAGTCGGTCTTCCCGTATATTGGAATCATGACGGTGCGCGGTTGGCCTTGCATGCTCGAGATCAGGTCGAGTCGGTCTTCGTGTGCGTGTGTTGGTTCGTGGCGGTTCGCGGTTGATCTCGCAAGCTTCGACGTCGACGTTGAGCTTCGGCAGTTGCAAGCTCCAAGCTCCGGAACGATGATACCATCTTAGGAATGCCGGGCTTCCGGGAGTCCGGTCGTTCGCCTGTGCAAGGGACCTCTTTCTGCCTTCCTTCCTTCTTCTTCTCCTCCTCAGCTTGATGCCGCAGAGATCATCTCCGCCACCCGCCACCCGCCTCGAGCAAGGAGTATCTACCGTAGTTCCTGGTATGTGCATAGATGGGTAGGTACCTGTGATAATCCTCGCGGATTCTCCCGAGCTTCGTCTGAAAGTCGTCTGAAAGTTAGCTTTCGCTCAGCTGCTTCACTTCGTCTCCTGCATCCTGCGCCCTGCATCGACGTTCTGCAACATACCAAGTACTTGCCTAGACATATATCCAATAGATACCGCAAGCGGTGCAGCTCCGCTATTTTCGCCATCCTCAGACATCCCGAGCCCCTGGCGAATGCTCCCACTTGGCCGCAGCCGCCGCTGCTAGGTATGCTAGGTCCGCTAACTACCGCCGAAGCTGGACGCCAGGGGCCAACAGCTCCAACAGCTCGAGAATCCGCTCTTCTCCCCTCCCCCTCTCGAACTCCGTTTCACCACTGTTCAATGCAGTACCTCTCCGCTCTGAGTTCCTTTCTGGACATTCAGCACGGTGCTGTATCGATATCCTTACACCGTTGTCGCTGTCGTTGTCGTTGCCAGCTCACGGACAGGCCTCCCTCAATGTCGTCCCTTGTATGATATGTAGAGTAGATACTAGTAAAGCAGTGCGAAGCGAGGCGATATAGCTACCCCGCCCACCCCACCACAGGGGAGGTATGTAAGCTGCGCTGGACGTCGAAGCTCTGGGAAAGCCCACCCGCCCCGCCCCACCCCGCCCCGCCCCGCCTGGCGCAGGGGCGGTCATACACAGGGACCTGAAGAAGAAGAAGGAGGGGAAAGAAGAGGAAGGAGTGAAAAATATTTTGTCGTGCAAAAGCCAAATGGGATGAACCTGCTAAACGTAGACTGCTACCATAGCGGCCCTCTGCAGTTCTGTGCGGCGTGATATCGATGCGGTACCTGTGTGCATGTACGTACAACGGTACATAGAACCGTCGTTTCCTCCCATTGTCGTATGAGCCCGAGACTCCACCTGCCAGTGCCCATGTTGGAGGGGCTTCGTGAGGATCACGGAAGAATCTCTCACAATCCAGCACCGAATAAACTCCCCGCGATTCGAGCCGACTTCCTGGGCACTAGGTAAGAGGCATGTACTGAGAGACCCACGATGGGTACGGACAACTGATTAACTGATTCAATGGGGTAGAAAAGCAACAAGAAAGAAAATCCGGCCTGTGAACTTCAAGAGAAAATAAATGTCTAATGTGTTGAACAAGAGACCGACCGACCGACTAGGTACATAGACGAACATAAATGCAGCAACAGAGAACATTTCAACGTTGCGCGACCGCCGCCGACCGCATCGGGTCAGCCCACCATCACATCACACCTTGGTCCCACCATACCGCCGCTCGCCGCTCCCCGCAGCACAGAGACGCCTCTGCCCCCGAATCCCACAGTAGTTACGGACCTAAAAAGGCCAAATCTACCATACTCACATCATGGCAAAGCTTACTTATTGGTGAGAGCAACGAACTTCCTGTGTATACGTCATTCTTGTAAGACCTCTAAGAGCCGGCGGTTGGATAGTGAACCAATGCCAAAAAATGACGATGTACCTATGGTGCGCGTGGATTCGTGAAAGAAAGCGATGAATCATGACGGTCCAGTAGATTCTAATAATACTATTATTACCACTACTCTATTCTATACAGCAGTTCAGATCTCACATCGCAAACGCAGACAACAGTGTGCGTCGTTTGCATCGAGATGGACTGGTAACTCGAGATCGAAAGGGTGATACTCGTCATCGTTTGATTTCAGATAGATTACAAGCAGTGATCCTGTTGATGAAGAATGCGCATTCATGTGACTGGTCCTTTGTACCTACTACCCAACCCTCAAGTGCGATCACCAGAACGATCACCAGAACGATCACTAGTTGATGTTGTGTGTCAAGATAGGAGAAATCTTGACTTGAAATGTATTATACTGTACTCAAATGATTAAAGCTGTGGGATATATATCAGGTTGATTGGTGTAGTGGTTATCACACTCGTCTCACATCCCAGTGACCACGAGAGGTCCCAGGTTCGATCCCTGGATTAATCATCTTTTGCTTCCTCTGTTCCCTCAGTTGTAGAGTACTTTGTTACTGTGTCGGGCGAAGTGGCAGTATTTTTTTTTAAGTTGGCCCGGTGAAGTTTATCAGATATCGTGCCTCAGATTTTTGTGTGGGAATGGGCAATTTACACATCCCCGGGCCGGAAAGAACGGCTTCCCGGTGAGTTTCAGAGCAGAAGCGGGTGATATCCAGTGCACACCTGACGTCGGGTAGCGACAGCCACGTGAGTGGCTTACCAGGATGCGCGCATAGCTGAGCGCGAGAGGGAGCCAGTAGAGTAGTGGAGAGTGGACAAGCTTCAGCTGGGCTGGTCGGGTCCTTCCTCTTCCCCTTTGTCGATCGATCGACCTTCCATCTGTTCCTTCACACACTCCTTTTGTTTCCCGCCCCCTCAAAAACTCTGCGACGATGCCGTTCAACACCCTTACCGTAGCGCTGTCGACAACGCCGACGATAATCTCCACGCTCTTCTCGTACCCTCTTTCTCGGCAGCGAACGGACAACTATGGACTCTCGTATGCGGAGGGCATCGCCCTGATAAGGAAGTTCCTCATCCATGCGAGCCACCACACTGTCGAGGAGCTGCAGGCGTTTACCGCGATGTATGTGCCGCGCCCCGTGTGGGTGTGCTGTGAGCCGGTCGAGATTGCGAACGAGTACTGCGATCGCGCGGCGGCGGCGTTGGTGGCTCAGCTGGGTGAGGAGGGCGTGAAACGGGTTGGTGGAGAGCGGTGGTGGCGGTGGAGGGAGGGGAAGTTGATGGGGGAGTGGGTGTGGGTTAGAGAGAAGTGGTGGCCTGGGGCGGAGGAGGTGAAGGAGAAAGAGCCGCAGGCGAAGACTATGCTGTATGTCCATGGCGGTGCATATTACTTCGGGAGTGTTGATGAGCACCGCTATCAACTACAGAGACACGCGAGGAAAATCGGTGCGCGTGTTTTCGCGCGTGAGTTCCCAGATGTCTCGAACCGTTGCCAAGTGCAGTAGCTAACACCGCCCAGCTCGCTACCGATTAGCACCGCAGTTTCCGTTCCCATGTGCACTGTACGATGTCTTAGCATGTTACCTCCACCTACTCTCGGAGCAGCCGGCGGAATCCATCATCTTCGCAGGCGACTCGGCCGGCGGCGGCCTCCTCCTCTCGATCCTCTGCATCCTCCGTGACCAGGGCCTTCCCCAGCCCGCCGGCGCAGTCCTGATCTCGCCCTGGGTAGACCTCTGCCACAGTTTCGCCTCGGTGGTCGCCGACAGCAGCGCCGACTACATCCCGGCGCACGGCTTCCACCACCGTCCGTCGGCGGCATGGCCGCCCCGCAGACCGAGGAAGAACTCTACCACGGGAGCCTATTCCGATCTCGACAATGAGCGCGTGCTGAAGGTCGAAATCGACGGCGCACTGCTCGATATTCCGGACCAGATCCAGCTGTACACTACTAACGATATGTTGCGGGACCCGCTCGTGTCCCCCGTCAACCAACCTACCCTCGCCGGCCTCTGCCCGCTGCTGATCCTTGTTGGCGGCGGCGAGATCCTGAGAGACGAGCAGGTGTACATCGCCCACAGGGCCGCCTTCCCGGAGCTATTCTGCCCCGCGGGAGCCAAAGCTGCTGCCACCGGTGATACTGCTGGGGACACTGCTGGGGACACTGCTGGGGACACTGCTGGGGACACTGCTGGGGACACCGTTGGGGATATTGCCACAGATATTGCCACGGAAACTCCCACGGAAACTCCCACGGATCCTGCCACGGACACTCCCACGGACACTCCCACGGATACTGCCACGGATACTGCCACGGATACTGCCACCACAACTCGCGACCTCCCGCGTACCAAAGTCCACCTACAAGTATTCCCCAACGCCTGCCACGTCCTGCCGACGCTCGCCTGGACCCGTCCCGCAAAGCGAATGTGCGCCTCTGTGGCCACCTTCGCAGCCGCCGTATTCGCCGACCCATCGGCGCTCCCAGACTTTACGCACGAGACGGTGCACACGACGACGAGCACGGCGCTGCCGGCCATGAAGCCCGAGGACTTTCCGACGCCCGAGTGTATCGGCGTCATTACCGCCGAGCCTGTGAAGCGGTGGCTAGCAGCGAGGAGGAAATGGGAGACTAAGTATCCCTCTACGCCGCCGGAAGGGGAGGAGGAGGAGGAGACGCCAGAGACCTGGGAGGGTGAGAGACCCCCGCCCAGTGCGGCGGTACTCAAGAGGGGTACAGAAGTCAAGGGGAAGAAGACGGAGGAGAAAATTAGCGAGGGCGAGATGAAGAATGAGAAGGGCTGGGGCATGAGTCTGTGGGCTGGATGGGGCGCGAAGAGTGATAGCCGCAGGATCCTGGAGAAGGATACTGAGGAACAGCTGCAGGAGGATGAAGAGAGGGTCGAGGAAGAGAAGGAGAGGGCGAGGAGTGTGTAGGTGCTTGGGGTTTATTTCGTGGATATATTGGTCATTGGTTTCGATACCACGATTCGTGCTTGGGGACTTTTTGGATGCTGCATTGTTGGCGTATGCTCGGTATAGATCTCTGCTTGTTTACTTCGTTTAAGCGCATTATAGACTTGATTCTTCTCTTTCTTTTTACTACTCTTTAATGAAACGGATCCAGTTAATGAAATCGGTACCACCAACTCCAGCTTGGCCCAATAACGGTTTTTGTTTGTTTAATGATTATTGCATGCGACCTGTCCACCGTATATCAAGGCAATGTCTACCCGTACACCCACCCGTTTCCACACCACTGTCCAACTCGACTTTCTCCGAGCGGCCCGATGTGGCTTTCCCCGCCCCCTGGGCGTCCGCCCTGGCCTTTCCCGACAATATACGAACGCACCAAAGACATAACACAATAACACTAGGAAAAGACAACGTCTGCTCCGTCGGATCGTAGCCCGTTCCCTCAACTCGTCTGCTCCATCGACTCGCCGTCCGCTCCCACAACTCGCCCGCTCCCTCAACTCGTCCGTTCCATCGACTCTTCCATGCCCTCGACTCGTCCCTACTCCTCCTCTACTCCGCCGTTCGCCCCTACTCCGCATCTCCGCCTCCTGCCACCCGCCTCTTCAGAAGGGGATGCTACAAAGGGGTTGACCCTGGCTCCTCAACTTCAACACCCTCCTCAACTTCAGCACCCTCCTTAACCTCAGCACCCTCCTCAACCTCCTCAACCTCCTCAACCTCCTCAACCTCCTCAACCTCCAAACCCTCCTCAACACCATCCTCCTCCGCCTCGAATCGCCCCAGCTCCCCAGCTCCTCCATCCTCCCGGTCCCTCAGCTCCCACTCTCCCACTATGACACATCACCTGCTTCATCTTTCGAACCAACAACATGGATCGGTCTGCGGTCGGTCGGAGAAATTACTCGTACTTGTGGACTTGGCTGGGGCTACTTGGTGCTCGTGATTGTGAGAACGACTTACATGCTGCCTACCTCATACTCCCAACAACCATTGTCTCGTAGAGAACTTCACTGAGCCTTCAACAAGACCTTGAATAGATTATAGATAGTAATAGACTCTGGTGCCGCGTTCACTCTGCAGACACTCTACTCCTCAAGCAAGCAAGCTTCCGAGTTCCTAGCCACCCTCAACGCCGACGAGTGATGTCCATGAGTCACCCAACAGAACACACCACCCCATGGAGATCTCTCTCATACCACCCCACGGCAAATAAAATCTTCAGCGAAGAGTGAAGCGTAATGTAAAACGTAAAGGAGGATTTTATACAGAAGTGGTATCGGTATCTAGTGCCGCATTTTTTGAAGTAAAAAAACAGAGCACCGCATGCATCATCCATCCGTTAACAAATCATTCTCCATCAATCAGAAAAGCCTTCCCAATCCACCGGAAAAGACTTCCCCGTGAAGCTTTCCTCCCATAAACGGGTATTGAAGTTAGAAGAAAAAAAAGGCGCTGGAAAATAATGGTACATAAAACATAATACAATCCTATCTCCATCTCTCGTCTCATCATCGGTCAGTAAAAATTGACAAACAAACCCTCCGTCTCATCATCGGCCAGTAAACATTGATACAAACAACCCCCCTCGGCCAGTAAAATTGACAAACAAACCCCCCGGTAAAGCCAAAAGACAAAATGCAACGCCATAGCAAGCCATCGATTGATAAAGATAGGAAAATCAATGTTGTACATCCCTCTCAGATCTCAAGCAGTCTTCCGACTACTTCTTCCCCATAAACCTCTTGTAACGGCCCAGAAACAGCCAAATAAACGCAAAGACGCAAATGAAATTGAAGACGATGTATCCCCCAACAATTGCAATGTCCCTCCACCTGTTGTCGTATTGTAGATTAAAGCTGCGAGCGAACTCGCTGCCATCTTGAAACTGACAGAATTCGCACTGTCCTCTCACCATCTCTCGGACGTACCCGCCGGCCTGTTGAATGAAAGGCATGACGTACTCCTGACAGGACATTCCTTGCGGCGGAGCGAAACGGCCGTACTCGGTATCGTCGCAGCGGATGGGAACGTCGTGTGTAAGGACGCCAAGGAAGCCTTCGAGCATATAGGTGAACGGTGAGGCCCAATACATCCAACTTCTCCAGAAGTAGGGGATGCTTGCGTAGGGAACGACGATTCCGCAGAAGGAGACCACGAAGAGGAAGAAGATGGGTAACAACAGCGAGGCGAGTAACTCGTTCGGACAGAATGCCGCGATCAGCTGGCCGAGTCCAAGGTAGTAGAATTCGAAGAGCATCATCATGAGCCACACATATCCGACACGGGATGCATCGCGCGAGAATCCGATCGGGAAATACCAGGCGACGAAGTAGACGGTACCAGCGACGAGTCGATAGGGTATTTCGACTACGATTGCGGAAATGACGAAGGCGCTCCAGTGGTAAATCTTGGAACTATTTTCGCGGGCGATGAATAGGTCTCTGAGCCCGAGAAATTTCGGCTGTAATTGTTGCATCAAGGGCGGACTGATGGTCAGCAGCATGAACACAGTAAATAACCGGCTCTGCATATCGATACCCGAATTACCGAGCTGGTAGAAAGTGAAGGCATTAAAAAGCCCAGTGAAGGCGTGTACTGCAAAGATGCCCGTAATGTACTGGGGAGACCTCCAATGCGAAATAAAAGTTCGCTTCACGACGGTGGTTACCTGAGTGTTCCAGGGCATGGCGAATTGACGGTCGTCCGCCAGCTGTGAAGAATTCATCTGCGAGCGGTCTTGAATGAACATTTCGATCTCCTTTATTCTCTGTCGGCATTCGTCGCTGTTTGTCCAAATTTGTCCCCAGTCCTTTTCACGGCGGTTCGGATCGCCAGCGCCGATTGCTTCCAGCATGTATTCTGCTGGGTTCTTGTGCTGTGGACATTTAGGTGCACCGTTTGCTTCGAAGTATTCGATCATAGCTTGTGAATCCTGTCCGAGAGGTCCACAATAAACAGGTGCCCCTCCGCTCTTGAGCAGGATAAGTTCATCGAAATGCTCGAAGAGAACTGCGCTGGGCTGATGAACCGTGCATAGACTGGAAATATTATTAGTACAATTTAATAACAAGTATGGAAAGGGACCCACATTGCTTGTCCAGCATCGGCCAACTTCCTCAGGAATCGAACCACATTGAACGCGGCACCGGAGTCCAGTCCACTCGTCGGTTCATCCAAGAACATGAGCAACTCGGGCTTGCCAGCCAGTTCTACAGCAATCGTCAATCTCTTGCGCTGCTCCTCATTCAAACCGTTTCCGGGAGAGCCAACAGTGGCCCCGGCAATGTCCTCCATTTCTAGTAGTTGAAGGATGTTTTCAACATATGCAAACTTCTCGAACTGAGGTACCTCCTTTGGCTGGCGGAGCAATGCTGAGAACCTTAGGGCCTCTCGAACGGTAGTAGTAGGTTCGTGAACATCCATCTGCTCTGCGAATCCGGTAGCCCGTTGGAACGAAAGAGGCAGCGGTCGGCCGTTGACGAGGAAGGTACCAGTCACCTTTCCAAAGCTGATACGTTGAGCAAGGGTATTCAGGAGCGTCGTCTTACCGGCTCCAGACTCGCCCATTAGTGCCGTCAGTTTTCCGGGGCGGACGTATCCAGAAACATTGTTAAGCAATATTTTTTCACCGGTTTTCGTCGGGATTTTGTACGTGACGTTCTGCCACGTGAAGACAGTATCGTTCTTTGCAACCTGGTCGATGGCACGATCTTCTTTCGAGGCCTCAGCAGCCGTGGTGGTGGTCAAGTCCTTTTCAGCCATCTCTTCGTCCGCAGGTGGGGGTGCACCAGCATCCAGAGCCTTCTTAACCTGCTCCGGGGTTTCGCCGCGCACAAAGACCGTTACCGCCGCACCGTCCCTATAGGGCCGTTGGATCTCTAGACCGACAGCCGTTAGTACGGCAAAGAATATCCAAAATCCGATAACGATGCCGATGTTTCTCCACAGATGAGCGCGGGTATAGGTGTATTGTTGGAAAATATAGTCTGCTCCTTGGACGATAGTCGAACCGGGCTGATTGCCCCGAAGGAGGCAGCCTTGATTCTCTGGCGTTACGCCGGGACCTCCGGCCGGGACCAGGAAAGGCGGTACACATTCGATGTTGAGGCCGTCGAACTCGTTGGCCATCAACACTTCAAAGGAGTATTGGACCGGATTGATCCAACGGAGCCACGCAAACCAGGGATGCATAGAAACGGGTGGAATCAAGTAACCGGTGTACACGATTAACGCTTGAATCGCAACTCCAGTCACTTGGGTAGCGGAATCCAGACTGTTGGACCAGGCGGCGATCATGCGGAAAAACGAATACATGGACAAACTCATGATAAAAGTGATGAGAATAAATATAAAAAAATGTGAAGCCGTGCGTCGTAGGTCTTTCCAATATTAGTCGACAATCAATCAATCTGTGGAAAGGTGTAACTCACTTGACATAAAGTAGGTGATCACACCCCATATCAATACCTGCATCAAACACAGTGGTATATCCGCCATAACCTGTGCAATAGCATACGCCGAGGGTCTGTAGAATGAAAAAGCTTTATGTTTCATAAGGATTGGACGGGACTGGAATCCGATTCCCAGTTCAGCCATTGCGAGCAGTGCGTTCATCAAGAGAGTAAAGAACAAGATACCGCCGCGGGGAAAGACTCCACGAGCATTGGCGGGGAGCTCATAGAAAAGACTCCCTATTATGACGCTCTGAAGGGCGACACCAATCCACCTAGCACACAAACTGAACCTGTCGCCGAGCATGACCTTGAACTGTCTTGATGTGCATGCCATCACCTGCTTCTGAAAGGAGATCGTATAGTTCTTTCTCTTGGTGGCATTTGATGTTTCGAGAGCTCGTGCTTCACGTTGCTGATCGATGGAATCCTCGAAATCGGTGATGTCTGTCAGATTCTTCTGGTTGGCGGTGCTGCATAGATATGCAGCCTCGAATTCTTCGGCCGTCCTTGGTATGCGAGCCTCCCAGCCAGGCTGAACATGGCGTTCGTGCGGGTTGGTGACGGAAGTTAAGAAGTCTGCCGTTGTCCAGCGTGGTGGACACACGAAACCGAGGTCCTCGAAGTATTGCTTTGCGTCCCTATATTATCTTATTAGCAAAAGGCCCGCTGAAGCAATGAGAAATGTTACTTACTCAGTGGGTCCGAAGTATGCACAGCGCCCTTGGTCAATGACAAGAACCTTGTCAAATAGTCCATAAAGGCTTTCGCCTGCTTGGTATAACGCCACAAGAGTCGATATGCGGGCCATATTGGTTAAGCTCCGCAGTGAAGAAACATACTCCATGGCGGTGCTAGAGTCAAGTCCTTTTGTTGAGTTATCCCAACATTGACAACTCGCCTTTGTCACCATGGCCTCCGCGATGGATACTCTCTTTTTCTCGCCTCCAGAAACACCACGAATGATAGCATTGCCGATGCGGGTGTCCAAAGTATGTTCAATCCAGAACAATTTAGATACAACCCGCAAGAACTCCTCAACATAGGCACCCCGCGTTTCCCCATCAGCACGAGATTCCTTTCCGGGAGTTCTGGTCTGAAGTGCGAAGCGGATAGTGTCCTTTACGGTTAAGGTTGCATAGTGAAGGTCCTCTTCGGGATTGTACAGAACCTCACCGCGGAAGTTCTTGGCCATGTCGGTCCAGTCGGTACCGCCATATGTGACCTCTCCCGTAATGGATTCGAATCCGCTCCTCTGATTTCCAATAACCTTTAAAAAGGTGGAACACCCGGATCCTGGCCTTCCCAGGACGAGTAGCATTTCACTGGGCTTGATGCACCCCGTAAACGAATTGATAATCGTCCTGATGGGAGCCTTCCTGAATAATTTTCCAGTGAAGAGAGCCTTAATTCCTCTCAAAGGGCCCATGACAAAATCGGAATTGGTGGGCTGGAGGGATGCTCCGAGACCCCCGCCCTTCACGGTTAGATCTTTGAAGATAACCCCGACATGACGGGTTTTCTCCTCCTCGGAGACTGCTTGTCTATTCTGTCCAAAGATCTTGGATAAAAGTCTCTCAATCTCAACCGACTCTTCGCCTCCACTATGCAGTTTCTGATCTTGGGTGGGCGAAATAGATGTCTGAGATTTTCTGCGGATGGAAATGCTTCTGAATAGATGGTCCTCGGAGGGACGGACGGGGGAGGAGCTAGAATCGTTGAGAGGGGCTGAAGCTGTAGGTTCAGGCTTGATTGGACGAATCTCCGTGATAGATGCCGAAGAAGAGGGTGTCTGAGAATTAGAGGCCGGGTGAGGCTTGTTAAGCATAATGCTGGACGAGGCCGAGGTTGTGGACATCGTGGTAGGAGCTGGAAGAGGCCAACTACCTATCCTGACGAAGATTTAAATGAGAGGAAAACCAGTTGAAGAAGAGGATCAACCAAAAGGATGAGGATGATACGAGTGGTAAGAGAGAGGAATGAGAGGAGAAGAGGAGAAGAAGAGAGGGGAAGAGAGGGGAAGAGAGGGGAAAGTATAGGACGGGAGGGAGAGGAAGAGAGAAATGTAAACAACCAGAAAGGTCGAGCCTTGCATACAAGAGCAGCACAATCAAGCTCCCTTTCTCCCTTCCGATCGGATGCAAGTTGAGCAAGGCAGAGCAGATCAGTACAATGAAGCACCTTCAGTGCCGTCTAGTGTAGCATTGTACTGGTCCATGTCCTCTCGCTGCGTGCAGCGCTGCACGAGCCTAGAAGCCCGAGCAGAGATGTAAACGTCACAACAAACCGTGCCCGCCCAGCGTGACGACATGTTTTGATCGACGACCCATCAACCTACACTGCGATAAGCACGCACATCAACGACACCACTACCATCAGCCATCGCGCCTAACCCGCCTGCACACTAGCCTACGGTCCCCCGATCTTTCATGCATCCCGGAAAGACTCCGATCTGCCAACCCTACACCAATCAACCAGGGAATCAGTTCCCCCCATCCCGGTCCCACCAGAGATCATACACACACCTCTCTTAAAGGCGGGTAGGATGGGTGTACACTGGTCAGGGCAACATCGATCGTGCCTGTCTTCGGCTCTCCACCAGACTATGTGCGACGATCGCGACTAGTTTTCCGTTTATTTATCACACTCTAAAAAATACCAAAAAAAAGAGTTGTTCGGAGAGGGCCCTCCGTTACGAGCGAGGTAGATGCATCGGCCAGTTCAACGCAAGAAAAGAAATGCAATGTTTAATGGCTTTTTCTAAGAGCGTGGCCTTTTTATTTTCTTATTTTTTACATGCATGATACCGTATTAGGCCCTAGACTTCTCATGGGTGTGTTGTGTTTGCATCATACGGTTGTCCGTCTTTGCACAGTCCGTGGCCAGCGTATGCGTTTCCCTATTTTTCCACATATACACACGCTCAAAGATGACTGTAGAGGCATACCAAAAGTGCTACGATTCTATTCGAGGAACTAGATACATGTCCATAACCTTTCCGTTGTTTCTATGGAGTTCATGCTTGCAATACAAATCAAGGAGACCAATCCAAAACCCCCAGCCCCAGATCACCTACGACTATAAACGCTCGCCTGTTCTCTCGCGCGTCTTGCTTCTCGCTCGGCCTGTTCGGCGGGAGAAAGATAGCGGCCTTCCCTCTCCGGGGCAGGTGCAGAGGCAGACTCGAACTTCGCCGCGCGTCTCTCCTTGAGGATCCGGGTCTTCGCATTCAGGTCGGGCCCGTTGTCTTGGTATTTTCCTTCGGCGTCACGCTTGAACAAGAACATGATGTCCTTCATGCTCATCTTCGCAGCCTTCGCCTTGCCTGCCATGTCGCCATCTCCGATGGCGGCTTTGGCAAGTTCCCGCTTCTTGTCTTGGAGCTGGAGGATCCGCTCTTCGACCGAATTCTCGATGGTGAACTTGTACACAATCACATCCTTCTGTTGGCCGATACGGTGAACCCTGTCGATCGCCTGTTCTTCTATGAACTATCACATTGGTTAGTTACTGTACAGACTGTACTAATAGGCAGGGAGGTGCATACTGGATTCCAGAAGGGTTCGAGAATGACGACTCTGCTAGCACAGGTCAAGTTAAGCCCCAAGGCACCGCACTTGAGTGAGCAAAGTAGTACTCCACACCAGTCTCTGTCTTCTCTTCCCCTACGGGGAGCGAACTCTCCTTCACCGCGAAGACGGCGAAGCGACGCTTCACGGTCATCGTTCTTCATTGATCCGTCATACCGAGTGAAAGCAATCCCCTCTTTCCGAAGGAAGGGCTCAATGAGATCTAGCATCGAAGTGAATTGACTGAAAACAATAGTCTTGTTCTTCCGTTTCATCTCATGCGAGACGATTTTGATCAGACTAGTAATCTTAGTAGAAGGGAGTAAGTGGGAGTAAGTGCCGTCGTCGTCGTCGGAGCCATCGTCGTCCGTCTCTTCAGCTTGACTGTCAATAAGGCCATCGTTGTACCTCTCATCGCCGGAAGCCGCATCGTCGTTTTCCTCTTCGTCGTTCCCTTCCTCAGCTTGACTATCCTCGTCCTCCTCATCATCGCTATCCAAAATAACCCGACGACCCCTTGGTGCCTGCATCTTCTTCTTCTTCTTGACCTTCTTCTCCTTCTTGTTCTTTGACCGTTTAAAGTCCGCATCATCGAGATCCTCTGTGCACGCAGCACAGCGAACCTCACCCGCATCAGTTGCGTCCCGGGATAATCCGGTGAGGCAGATTTCGCATTTCTTTTGGGCGACACTGAGCCCACCCATCAGTCCCGCCAGCTCATCGTCCTCAACCGCGTCGTCGACCATCGGTGCCTTCTTCTTCTTGAGCCCAGAGAGCCCCATTCCGGAGTCCTTGTCTTTGTGGATTTTGCCAGCTAGTAGATGAGGATGGTTGCAAGCCTGCCGAAGACGCAGCAGAAGCACGAGAGCACTGGTCATATTCTGACCACCGAGCGACGCTCCAAACTCCCCAAAACCGGCCATCATTTTCTCGAGGCTCTCCTCTGTTCGCTCCTCGAGCTTGTCGTAGAAAGCTTGCTCCTTGGGACTGAAAGACTCGACGATTTTCTCCATGTTTCGCTCGGGGAGTCTGATCTGGTGACCGGTTTTCCCCTCTGCGTCCTTCTTCAAAACGTCTTTTGTTCGACGCAACATGACCGCTCCCAAAACAATCCTGAGCCTGTCGATCGCGATTTTTCCCCTATTCTGTTGCATGGGGCGCGAGATCTGTTCCTTCCATACAGCGAGGTCATCGAAGGGGGCAATCCGGAGGAACTTGAGCAAAGATTGTAGCTCATCGAGATTGTTCTGGAGGGGAGTTCCTGTGAGACACCACCTATAACGTGCCTTGAGAGCGCAAGCCGCCAAGGAGCCTTTCGCGAGGCGGTTCTTGATTGTATGGGCCTCATCACAAATGATTCGCCACCAACGGTTGCCGAAGCAACCCACAGCGTCGACGTGACCGTCACTGCCCTCTTTGAAAGAGGACTGAGTGTGCTCCGACCGGATAACGTCGTACGTCGTGATCACGACATCGTATCTGCGCAAAGCCAGCGGATCCTTCGTGCGGTTAGGTCCATGATGCACCTTGACACGAAGCTTGTGGCTGTCCTCGGTGAACTTGGCAATCTCAGACTCCCACTGCTTCATCAGAGCGAGAGGACAGATGACCAGGGTTCCTCGACAGACGTCGTCTGGAACCGCAGCAGCCGCCAACTTCGAATTTGGTGACAAGCTCGAGTATGTGACTCCGTCCACGATGGGATACCGCGGGTGAGGATGACTGAGAATCAAAGCGATCGATTGTACGGTTTTGCCCAGCCCCATCTATAGTAAATATTAGCCTCTTCGCAAAGCAAAATATCGACGGAGATACTTACATCGTCTGCGAGGATTCCACCCTTTGCTCTCTTCTCCTCGCGAGACAGGAGGAAAGATAAACCCCTAACCTGATGTGGCAGAAGGGGAACATTAAGACCATCGACCCTGCTAAGGTCCTCTTCTTCCCCTTCCTCCTCCTCTTCCTCCTCCTCCTCTGCAGGCTCCTCTTTGACTTCTGGCTTGATCCCATCAAAGTCGGCGGCGGCCTTCTCCTTCTCAACAAGTTCAGCACTAGCCATCATCGACGCGAGCTCGTCCTCCTCCTTCTTCGCAAGCTTGCTCTTCTTCTTCTTCTTCCGCGTCCTCTTAGGGACCGGCTCATCATTGATTCCCTCCAATAGCTCCTTCAAACTCTCTGTAGTTTTCGCAGTATCGAGATACTCGCCGCCGTAGTGCGTCATTCCCGGAACTGCACCACCAGCAGGCAACGAGTAAACCGCCGGCTTGTTATCGAAGAGCATCTTCGGACCACTATTGACCGACGTAAACCCCTTTGTGGGACGGGGGGTAGCAAACGTCGGATAGTCCGTCGGCGGCTGGATCAAGTCGTCCTGCGTCAGGTCGATCACCGGCGGCCCCGTTCGCCAGGCCTCGCGGGGCGCACCAGCGCGGATCGGCTCCATGTACTGTTGTGCGCGCGCATTGACTTCCGAAACGAAGGGTCGTCTAGGGGGAGGGGCTATGATTCATGTGAGTAATTGCTGCGGAATTGAGGCGAGGGCACTTACCAGCATTCCGACCTGAGGCGTCCGCTGGCATCCATGACCGCGAGGGCAGGTTCGACTTGAGCGGGGTGGTGGATCCGAACACGGGCTGCGCGGGTGGTCGGGATGTACTTGCCGTCGGCTTTGTGGAGTAAAGGGTGTCCCGGGGTTCATGAGGGCCGGACGCAGACCCAGACGCCGGCCGTTGTGAAGGTGGATGGCGAGGCGTGTCGCCGGAACTCATCTTGGTGGAGAGTTCTTGTGGAGGAAGTAGTGAGGGCCGAAGCGATCAGTCAAACAGCGAGAGAGGTGATCGTTCGTTAAGTGTGGATATCGCAGCTGTTGATACTCGTGGTGGAACTGTGATTGTTTTGGAGATTATTGCTTGGTGGAGGGGAGAAATGGTAGTGCGTGTACAGTACACACTAGTGGAACGGGGGGCGACGCTGATACAGATAGAGTGGAGAGGTAGGGGTGTTGTTTTGGGACTCGGGAGCGGGTTAACTGAAGCCAAGAAATCGCCCTGCACGTTGTGAGGAGCAACAAGCACGCCAAGACGAACATGTGACTTGTCCAATATTCTTTTGCGCTGGCAGGTAAGTGTCGTACTGTGAGGGGGGGGTAAAAAAAATGGTAGTGCTACCGAATCTTTAAGAAAATGGTAGTGATGTGGTATTAGTACGGTCAAAAGACGTGTTTTTATGCCCTGACACGATATCAATATGCATCCAGCGGGAAACACCTCCTAGTCCTCATGTCTGTAGTCCTGATAACGGGCTCGGTGCAGAAACATCGTCTCCCTCGGCCTTCACTTAGCTACGCAGTGACTTTCCCCTCAAAGCTCCATGTTCCAAGCTGGGCGCCGGCGAGACCAGACAGCTGACAGTGTTCCAAGAGCTCACGAGTGAGATATGATGATCAACGCCCACATTCAGAAGCATGGGTTAACCTCCGATCTACCCAACTCACAAGACGCGGTGGACGTTGGGACAAGCTCTTTGCTTTGACTTTATCGCCACTAATTGTAACGACTGCCGCTGTTTTCCTCGATAGGTAACAGCATACCATAATACAGCCACAGCGTTGGTCGTGGCACATGATGGCTACACTAAGTACTCTTTCACGGTGGGCTCCTCAATCCTACACTCCCGGTTTGGGAGATACCGTCTTCCGGCCCTAGAGTCACAATGATAACTGTAAATTGCACCTGTCTGCGGCTGTCCCCTCCAAGTACGCTCCAAACATTGCCAACATAAAACACCCAAGCATCTTCAAAAAACATCACACGCAACCAACTCCGCGCATCATAAAGTCAAACGCCAGGCGGAAAGAGCAAAGCAAAACACAGACGCCCCCGAGAACAACAAAACCACACACAACTCAAAAGTTCTCCCACTTGGAACCTAGCCGAATCCCTAGTTCATCTCTCACTACTCTCCTGATTTCAATCGCCTTCTCCAGACAATCGGCGGGCGTCCGCCGCCTCAGGACCTGCGGATGCTCCAGCTTGATCTGGTTCCACCTATCCTCGCCCGCCCGGAACTTATCCATCCCCATGACCACAGCGGTAGTCTCCTCCTCGCTCCACGGGCGATCCTTCAGGACCCCATAGTCGTCCACATCCTCCTCCTCCAACTCCACCTCCGCTTTATTCCGCCTCTCACCAAAGCCCTCGACATGAACGACCTCGACCTCCGCGCTAGAGCTGCGCGTGGTGGAGTCGAGTGTGTGGCGCCTCTCGGCGCTCGCTCTCCGCGCCGCGGACTCCCTCGTCTGGCGCTTGGGGTTCTCGAATCTTTGGCTTTTCCGGCGCTCGAGCCCCTTCAGTTGCTGCAGTCGCAGCTCGACCTGCGCAAATACCCACTTGTTCCGTTGCCGCGCCCGCTCCGCCTGCTTCGCCTGCTGCAGCTCCCGCTCAAGGCGGCTCAGCGGGCGTTCTTTGGGCTCTTTCCCCTCCTCCTCGTCCTCCTCGTCCTCCCCATCTTTCCCTTCCCCCTCCTCCTCCCCCTCCTCCCCGTCCTCAACAGGACTCACCACAACCTCCGGCGCCGACTGCCTTGCCCTTTTCGCCTTGCGCCCGGCGGCGGCGGCGGCGCCCTCCTCCTCTCCCTCCTCCTCTCCCCCCCCCGGCCCCGGAGTCGGCACCAGCTCGGGCGCCGAATGTCGCACATTCCTTGGGTTCTGCCCCCTTTTTGCGGGCCGCGGCACTTGTAGCCTAGAATCATCATGCGAGAGGGTTGCTAATACATGGACTCCCTCCTCGGCGGCCCCCCGAGCGTCGTCGTCGGCGTCGGCGTAGACCTCCGGGTGCAAAGTGCGCTTCCGCTTGCCGCCGTGTGTAAGGGGGGGTGGGGGTGCAACTAAGATGGGCGACGAGGCGCCGAGGAAGTCGTCGCCCGGGCTGGATGTCGAGGTGCGCTGAGTTCCTAAAGGCGCTACGGGGTGTGGGATGGACGAGATCCGCGATGGAACCATTATGGGATAAGTGGGCGGGCGGGCGTTCGTATATGGTGGTGATGGTGATGGTGGTGGTGCTGGAGTGGAGGTGGTGGTGGTCGACTGAGTGATCGGATAGTTAGGCGTGGGCGCGGGTGTTGTGTTGAGTGTTGATGTGTGGGGATTGGGTGTGCCCGGTGTGGTGAGGGTGTTGTTAGACTCCCAGGGTGAATGGTGTCGACGAGCAGTTGCCTGGGCGACGGACTGGCTGCCAGGGACTACTTGTACTACCTATTCTAGCTCAGTCATGCATTCACTTAGGATTCGTCACTCACACTTCCGAGATTTTCGGCGCCGGACGCAACGTGAAATCTTACATACTGCCAGTGACGCGTACGGTACATACCAGAAGAGACGAGAGCATCATGTATTGTAACCATCTGTCGAAATCCTGAATAGCCATCTGTAGGGGATAGATATAAAGGTTCCCACGCTCCGAAACCAAACCGTGGGCTACACCGAAATCGCAGCGACAAGCTGGTTCATTCAGGTTGCAATGCACATTCCTGTGGCCGTCGACTTGGAATTTCAAAACGCCCAGTTGTTATGTTTGCCGCAGCCACAATTCAAGTTGACACTTGCACTTGGCCCCGATTCTTACTCGCGAGTCGTGACCGTTAGACATGTCGCTTAATCTGGCGGGGCTCTTGGCACTCGTCACTTCCCGCACCCGCAATACCTCCCGCAACCCCACCAGCACCCGCACCAGCTCCCCTCTACCGCACATTACCACTCCCAAGCAAGCAGCAAGCAACCATGGCGCCCCCCCTCCCGCCAGCTCTATTACCCATCCCCGTCTCAACCACGACCTTCACAACCCCCCAAAAACGCATCCACACGCACTCCGACCTGTCGCTATTCCACAGCTCACCAGCGTACACCCTCCTGACCTCCTTCATCGTACACCTAAACTCCTGCATCTCTCCCCTGGACGGCGCCAGCGGCACCGTATCCCCCCCAGCCGAGTTCACGACCGACAGCGCGTCCACGCACGTATCCCCGGCAGTCGCGGGCGTAACCCAGCTCGTCGCCGACCTCACAGCGCTGATCTCCTCCGCGCCGCCGGAGACGGGCCCGCGCCGCTTCGGCAACGTCGCGATCCGGAGATGGCTGCAGCTCGCACAGGAGCATGTCAGCCGCGAGGGGGGCGTGGACAAGTACCTCCCCGCGTGTGTCCTGCCCGCCAAGGAGGAGCTGCTGTTCTACCTCGTCAACTCGTTTGGGTCCGGCGAGCGCCTGGATTACGGCACCGGGCATGAGCTGGCGTTCGCGGCGTTTCTGTGCGGGATCTGGGTTTGCGGCGGGTTTGAACCGGTGAGGGATGAGAGGGCGCTCGTGTTCAGGACGTTCGATGCGTACTTTAAGCTTGTCCGGAAGCTGGTGGTTACGTATAACCTTGAGCCGGCTGGGAGTCATGGCGTCTGGGGACTGGATGATCATGCGTTTCTGCCGTATATCTTTGGCAGTGCGCAGTTGACGACGTTCCGTCCCACGAATGATGCCCAGGGCGTCGAGAGGAGTGCCAGGCCTGAGGAGATGCAGCTGCCGAAGCCGGCGGATGTGGTCAAGTTGGAGGTTGTCAAGAGGGAGAGGAGCCGGAATCTCTATTTTGACGCCGTCGGGTTTATCTACGATGTGAAGACGGGTCCGTTTTGGGAACACTCGCCGACTCTGTACGATATCTCGGGGGTGCAGAAGGGGTGGGGGAAGATTAACGAGGTGAGCCACTCCACTGATCACCACTGCTGATCCGCACGCTAAAACTGGTGGACTTCAAGGGGATGTTGAAGATGTACGACGTCGAAGTCCTCGGGAAGCTCCCCGTCGTCCAGCACTTTAAGTTTGGGAGCATATTCCGCTGGCTGGGAGCTCCCGACCCCGCGAAGCCGGAAGAAGCACCGAAAGCCGATGTTACACTACCAGCCGGAATGGAAACAACTCGAGCACCGTGGGCTACGACATCAGCATCTCACCCTCCTCCACTAGGCGGTATGGAAACCACTCGAGCACCATGGGCCACCGGCACGCCCAGCACCATCACCGCACCACTCCCCATCACCACCCACGCTCCATGGGCCGCGCCGCAGCCCCCACCATATCCCACCTCCGCAGGAATAGGCTCATCGCACCCGCCTCCACCCGGGCAGCTCGACGGCGCCGACACAAAAGCGCCGTGGGCCGCCACGGCCACGTCACCACAAACCTCGTCCCCCATCTCCCCACGGCGAGCCTCGCTAGTCGCAGCACCATTCGATGCGCGCCCGCCCTGGGAAGCCTCGAAGGAAAAGCAGCAGGAGGTGCAGGAGACCAGCGGGGTAAATGTACGCACCGAGGCACGGCTGGGTCCAAAGAGAACCAGCTCCCCGGATGTTGCGTTGGCCAGGGCGGCGGCGGCGGATGGCGAGAGGAGGGGGAGTGCAGGTGTTGGCGGGGTTAGGGTTGCGGAGACGGGTGATCTGAGCGGACGTAGGCCGTCGAGGACGGGTTGATTCTTGTCCGTAGATACCGTACTTGCTTCCAATGTCACGGGATTTTCTACCATACCGAAGTGCATACATATGACGGCGGGAAGCAAGTACTCTATGTACGTACATAGAGTACTTACACGTGAGATAGAGTGGATGACGATGAAGAATTTTCTCGCTCGCTCGCCTCTCGCATTTTTGTTCCTTACATTAGTACATGCAGGGTGCATGGAGCTAGGTAGCCAGTCGAGTAGTTTACTGAGGTCCCTCGCGAGACGTGAGGATATGTAGCAGTTATGCACAGGATAGGGGAGAAAAGATGGGTAGCGGGCGGCGAGGAGCGGGTAAGCGGCGGCGGTGATATGTATCTTATGTATTCACACCCCCTAAGTAGCCACCTCCGGCTGACCTGCCCTACCCCATGCCCAACCCGCCCTTCCATATATCTACGCCCGGCAAGAAGTGAAATTCGGACGAGCTTGTGGTTGCTCTACGGCGAGCTGACCGGGGCGTGGTCTTCCCCTTGCGGAGTGTTTCCGCGCTGCTGCCCGGAGTACCTGCTGATGCAGGAGAAGCTCTTGACCGAGTTGGAGTAGATATGTGCAGTAGCTACCATCATCGCCGCGTGCCTGGAGCTCATAGATCCAGTAAACAGAGATGAAGAGATGAGCTTCAGCATCATCTCCATGACCCCCGATCTACCTACTCTACAGCAAATATCGCCTCCGCCGTCAGCCATGCAGAAAAGACGGGAGGTGAAGTGTCCCTCACCCGCCCCTTCCTTCCCTCCCTCCCTCCCGGTCCGTGCACCACTCCCAGCGTTGCGTCGTAACACAGCCGATTTTACCGATGCCGATGTCACCCTCGCCAGCCAACCACTGGGCGGACAGGGGTGAAGCCACCTTTCGCTTCGTCCGGTCAGGTCAACTTGAAGGGGCTCGAAAAAAATATCTCCTGCTCTCCCTCCTGAGTCCCCGAGCTATCTATCACAGTAGACTAGTAACTGCCTACTGGACTTTCCCTCCTCCTCCTCCTTCTCCATCCCCCCTTTCCTGTCTGTCTGTCTGTCTGTCTCTCGCAACACAATCAACGCTCACGCTCCTTTTCTCCTGTCTATCTATCTTCATACACCGTCGGTACTTTCTGCGATCGACGGCTACTCCTGAAAATCACCGCCGCCCCGCTGTTTGCCTTGCTCGCTCGCTCTGCGTCTGCTTGTTTGTTTGTTTGTAGATACGCAGTTTGTTCCTCGGTGTGAGTTGTCACTTTCCGCATCGCATCACGCCGACACACTCCCACACACCCTCCCAGCAAGCAAGCAACCACCACCCACCCCTCCCGCCTGCTGCTGCTGCTGCTGCCTCATCTCCATCCCTCCCTCCTATCCATCCATATCATATCTCCCTGCAGCATCCAGCACTCTATCCGTCCATCGGTGCAAGGCAAAAAAAACGCGTTTCAATATCCGACTGACATAACGCCCACTATTAATTAGCCCACCCACCACCACCACCAGCAGCAGCAGCAGTACCACCCTCATCTCATCACTAGAGCAAACGAAAATACCTAGCTGCGGATTTCCCCTCGTTCTCCTCACCTCACAACACCACCCCCCTCAGATACGAAGTAAACCCCAACACCAGCAGTATAATGTCGGAAGAAGCAGCAGCAACAGGTCGCCCGCCCAGCGCGGCCGCCGTGACCTCGCCCACACCCGCCCGCTCCTTCCGCGACGGCCTCAAAAAGACCACACCGAGCATCAGCGGCCCCGCGCGGCGCCCGGTGTCTAGCATTTCGTCCGGAACAGCCAAGGTCGCCGGGCCGGGGCCGGGCTCGCTAACGCGTAGCAACACGACGGGCACGGGGCTGCAGAAGCCGCCGCTGCGGCCCACGAGCGGTGGGCTTTCCGCGCCTGCACTAAGGAAGGTCCCCTCTGCCACGGGTGTCAAGGATACTGCAGCGACTGCTGCGGCTGGGAAGACCACGTCCACGCCTACTCCCCCGCCAGGCATGAGGAGGACCCCGACGGCCATGGGTAACAGGGCTGCGCCTGGCACCCCGGAGAAGCGACCGCCGAGTGCCGCGGCGAGCAGGAGGGCGTCGTCGATTGCGCCCGGGACCACGGCGGCCACGCAGGGGAAGGGGCCCACCGCGGCGGTTAGTAGTATTGCGGCGCACCGGTCACGGCCGTCGATCTCGAGTACGACCAGCTCGAGTAGCAGGATGTCCGGGGGCGCGGGCGGGAATACGTCCTCGAGCTCGCGGCCGGACGATGCCAGTCCTGTCAAGCCCCGGCTGGCGGGCGCGAATTCCGTCGCCGGCGTCGTCAAGAAGCCGGGCATGGCGCCGCCGCCAGGGAGTGCCAGGTCCGGCTCTGCGTCGTTTGGGCCCGCCGCCGTCAAGGAACTCGAAACCCTCAGGACGAAGTATGCAAACGCCCAGGAGAAGATCGCCGGTATGCAGGGCGAGATCGAGAAGTTGAAGGGTGGTTCCCGTGCCGGTGGAGAGGGTGCGGACGATTTTGTTGTGGTCTCGCCCTCCTCCGAAAATGGTAATGGTAATGGTGATTTGAAGGCGGGTCTCGACGCTGAGGAACTGGAGAAGCTCCACGCTGAGAAGGAGAGTGCGCGCGCGGAGCTCGAGGCGGCAATGCTCGAGTTGGAGGCGAAGGCGAAGCTCGTGAACGACCTGCAGGAGGCCATTGCTACGCTCAAGTCTGAGAAGGAGGAGCAGCCACAGAACGAGACTGGGGACGACGATGCCGAGGAGCTGGCGAAAAAACATGCCGACGAGATGGAGTCGCTCACGGCGCAGTCTGCGAGCAGGGAGAAGGAGCTGCTGGCGAAGATTGCGGACTTCGAGGAGAAGTTGGATAGGCTTACGGCTGCTCATGCTGAGCAGATTGCGAAGCTCATCAGCGAATCTGAAGAGGTAATGAATTACTCCTGTGGTGCGAAGCGGTGTGGGTCTGGGTCTGACGAAAGTGCAATAGGCTGTTAAGGCGGCCGAGTCAAGGGTTTCTACCGATGGAGCTGGTCATGAGGAGGCTATCGCGAAGCTGAACGCTGAGATCGCCGCCGAGAAGGCCGCCGCTGAGGATGCTAATGCCGCGCTTGCGGCGGAGAAGGCCGCTGCCGAGGAGGCCAAGGCTGCACTCGCTGCGGAGAAGGCCACTGCCGACGAACTCAAGAAGGCTCTGGAGGAGGAAGGCGAGAAGCACACCACGCTCCTCGAGAGCCGGCAGCAGGAAATCGAGGGCCTCAGCAGCGTCATCAAGAGTCTCCAGGGCGAACTTCAAAAGGCCTCTGACGACCAGCAGCGGGAATTCGACGAGAAGGTTGCTGAGCTCAAGGCGGAGCATGATGCGCAGATCCTCGATGCTACGGAGAAACTCGGACGTCTTCAGGAATCGCAGCAGGCCGAACTCGAGAAGGGCTCGGAGATCCTTGCGAAGCAGCTGGAGGAAGTTAGGGAGACTATGCAGCGTAAGGAGGCTGAGTACCAGGCGGCCGTCGGGAAGGCGAGGCAGGAGGCTGCGGATCAGATCGAGGAAATCACCAAGGCCCATGAAGCCGAGATTATGATCATCAAACACGAGCACGCCGAAACGCAAAAGTCGCTTGAAGATTCCATCAGCGCCCTCAAGACCGAGATCGCGTCCAGTGCGGGTGAGAAGGAAGAGGTCTGGAGGCAGAAGCTGGCCGATATTGAGGCTGCTAGCGAGGCGGAGACGGCGGCGTTGAAGGCCCAGCTGGAGAGCTTGGAGTCGGAGAGCAAGAAGAGCGGCGAGGAGGTCGAGGCTCTGAAGGCCACCCTTACCGCGTTGAACAGCGACATCACCACCAAGGATAACGATCTGGCGGAGTTGAACGAGCAGCTGAAGAAAACTGCTGAGGATTTGGCTGCAAAGTCACAAGTACGTTCACCCAACTATACGATTGCCGTCATGGATTCGCACTGACTATTTTCTGCAGGAGATCGCCTCTTTGAGTGATGAGCACATCGAGGCGCTCAACGCTCAAGCCGCCGCCCACAAGCAGGAGATCGACACTCTCACCGCCAACATTTCCGAGCAGAGTGACGAGAGGTACGCGGCCCTCAGCACTGAGCACGAGGAGATCCTTGCGAAACTTAATCTTGCGGAAAAGGAGCAGGCCGAACTGCAGGCTGAAATTGTCGCGTACAAGGAGGCTAAAGAGGCGCTCAAGGCTACGCTCGAGGGCGCTCCTACTAAGGAGGAGGTCGAGGCGCTGAAACAGGCTTTGGAAGAGGCGAAGGCCGGAAGCGCCCACGAGATTGAGTCCCTGAAAAAAGCTCTGGTCGAGGCAAGGAGCGAGAGTGCTGCCGAGATCGATGCTCTACACAATTCGCTCGAGGAGGCGAAGAGTGGTAGCGCCGACGAGATAAACGCTCTCCAGAAGGCCCTGACGAATGCGAAGAGCGACAGTGCCGAAGAAATCGAATCATTGCGCAAGGCTTTGGAGGAGGCTACGAGCGGTAGTGCCGAGGAGATGACCAGACTCACCCAAGAGCGCGATGAGGCTGCGAAGGAGGTTACCGAGCTGAAGCAGTCCGTAGCGACTTTGGAGACTCGCATCGCCGCCATCACTGCCGAGAAGGAGCGTCTCGAGGTCGAGAACAAGCAGATCTCGGAGGAGGTGCAGGCGTCGGTCAAGTCTCTCGAGTCGGTTTACACGGCACAGATCGAGGACCTGGACCGCACCGTTGCGTCTCAACGCGAGAAGATCACCGACCTCGAGAAGCGGTTTCTGGAGGGCGATGCCACGAGCGCCGGTCTCGCGGACGAACTCGATCGCGAGCGGTTATCAAAAGGGAGTATCTCCAAGGAACTCGAAGCCGCTGCCCGAGAGGCCGCTACCGCCGAAGCTGCAAAAGCGGACTTGGCTCACCAATTGGAGGCCTTGAGGGAGCAGCTTGCTGCCATCAGCGCGGCCAAGGAGCAGGCGATCGCCGAGGAGAAGGCTGCCAAGAAGGCTGTCGAGTCGCAGCTGGTGGCCTTGTCCGAGGAGTTCTCGGCTACCAAGTCGGCCAGCGAAGGTGCGGTTACAAAGCTTCAGTCGGTCGAGCAGGAGCTTGCCGCTTCCAAGGCTGCCAAGGAGAATACCGCTAGGGAGGTCGAGGAGCTGATGGACCAGCTTTCCGACGTCAAGGCTTCCAAGGACGCCGCCGCCGGAGGATTGTCCGCTCTTGCTGTGGAGCTCGAGCAGGTCAAGAAGGATAAGGAGGCAGCTCTTCAGGCTGTCCAGGCCGATCTGGAGGATGTCCGTGCTCAGCTGAAGGCCGCCGTCGACAATCACGAGTCCACTCAGGCCAAGTTGGTGGAATTGTCCAAGGAGAACGAGAAGGCTGTCTCTGCTGCTCTGGAGACCGTTCAGGCCGAGAGGTTGGCGGCCGACAAGACCCGGAAGGCGCTCGAGGAAAAGCTCGAGGACTTGGAGACCACGCTCAAGGAGAAGGTCAACGTACTTACTAAGCTCGCCGGTGAGCGGGACGAGTATGAACACGAGATCCCCACCCTGAAGCAGAAGCTTGCGCTCGCGGAGTCCATGGTCAACGAGAAGCAGGCGGCCATCCAGAACGTGAGAAACGAGTATGAGTCCAAAGTGAAGGTGCTGGAAGCGGAGTTGTCGGAGGCGAGGATTGCTGCCACAGGATCTGGAGCCGGACCAACCAATGGAGCTGGTGATGCCGAGGTGAGCACACGAACCGGCGATGCTGGAGGTCCCCGTTCGAATCATGATGGTGTGGAAGAGGAAAACGATGCCCTTGCAATTGTCAGATACCCGCTTTTCTGTTTCATGTGGATCATTCTTTTGTGTTGCTTACTGTTTCCCAACACTGCCGCCACCACCACTGCCACATTTGTTGATTGGAAGCGGAAGCTAACGGCTGTGCAGATCTCGAGGATAAGCAACGACATCCGGGTGCTCGATAATATGAACCAGGACATGCAGGAGGACGCGAAGAGGTTAACACTCTTTTCTTGGTTGCTCTTTTAGTCTCTCACTGATGTCTTGCTGTATAGGGCAATAGAGGCGCTGCAAAAGATACCCGGAACCGAGAAGCTGGTGGATGCGGTTGAATAGCTCGCGTTGTTCTGGCTATGAAGACGGTCCCCATGACTTTATTTTTCCTTCCTTCCTTCGTTTCTTTGATCCCTGTGGATATAGGAGTCCTTTTTTCTTTTTGTGCTTCTTCGCGTCTTCGGGGTTTCCGAGTTCGTTGGGGAAAATGGACTTGGGTTAACGTTTTCTTTCGGTTCTTCTTCTTTTCGATTCTTTGATTTTTTTATTTAATGAACGGTTTTCCCTTTTCCCTTTTCCCTTTTCCCCTGTGTTCTTGTTGTAATTTGTCGCCTGTTTGTCATGACATGAACTCGTCACGTAATATCTCCATTTCTGTGTATTTACTATTTTTCTTTTCTTTTCTTTTCTTCTTCTTCTGTGTTCTTTAGGGGTTTTGTTATGCTCGAGATGATACACTACATGCATATGTTACTGCGCTGTCTGTTTGGGATGTTTTGAACTTGATGCATCGGCGGGACGGGCTTGTGTTGTTATGGCCTATAGTATGGATAATGGCCCTATGATGGCCCTATGAGGAAGTGAAGATAGACTTTGATATCATGGATTCATGGGATTCATGGGCGGTTTCAACTTTCAATGGAAGATCGATATCCAAATTAGTTTCCCGCTCCACAATGATGTCCTGCACGCCAAGCCTCGCCTGTCAACCACATTCCCAAGCTCGAGCTCCATCATCCCGGTCGTCTTCCCGCAACTCTACTTCCACCGCACCTGAGCACCTCCCCGCGCCTCGACAATGACCGACACAGTGCGCATAGTCGTCTGCGGCGACGAAGGTCTCTCCCCTGGCCGTCCCTTTACTTTACTTAGCTGACACCTTCAGGCACGGGCAAAAGCTCCCTCATAACCTGCCTGGTGAAAGACCACTTCCGACCAACCAAGATCCAGCCAACGCTTCCGGCGTTAACAATCAGCGCACCGTCCGGCGTGTCCACAACCATAATCGACACCTCCTCGCTCCCACAGGAGCGGAACACGCTCCGCAAGGAGATCCGGCGCAGCAACGTGATCTGCCTTGTGTACAGTGACCACTACAGCTACGAGCGGGTATCGCTATTCTGGCTGCCGTACTTCCGCGGCCTCGGCGTCAACCTTCCCGTGGTACTGTGCGCAAATAAGAGCGATCTGTATCCCGGCGTTGGCGCGGATGTCGAGGCAGAAACGAGGAAGGAAATGATGCCCATTATGGTCGAGTTCAAGGAGATTGACTCGTGCATTAGGGCCAGTGCCAAGGAGTTGAGGAATGTTAATGAGGTATGGGACTTCTGGAGGGGGAGGAGGGGGAGGGGGGGAGGGAGGGCGCGGCTGATGTGTGTGGCGGGGGGCAGTTGTTTTATCTTTGTCAGCGCGCAGTCACACATCCCATTGCGCCGCTCTATGACTCCAAAGAACAGAATTTGAAGCCGGCGGCGACGGCGGCGCTGCAGAGGATTTTTTGTGGGTAGTTCTACTGCTGGAGGGAATGGTTGTTGTTTGTTGGGCTAATGGGTGTTGCTGTGCTGGTAGTTCTCTGCGATCGAGACCAGGACGGTCTGCTCAACGACAAGGAGATACAGGACTTCCAGACCAAGTGTTTTGGCAAGCCACTGGCACCCGACGACCTCGAGGAGATCAAGACGCTTATCCGGAAGACGTCGCCGGAGTCTGCCACCGAGGAGGGGATAGACGGGCGGGGGTTCATCCTGCTGAACAAGATCTTTGCCGAGAAGGGGCGACACGAGACTATATGGAGCATCCTGCGGACGTTCCACTACACCGACTCGCTGAGCCTGAAGGACAGCTTCCTGCACCCGAAATTCGAGGTGCCACCGGGAGCATCCGCGGAGCTGTCGCCGATCGGATACCGGTTCTTTGTAGATCTGTTCCTGCTATTCGACAAAGACAACGACGGCGGCCTCAACGAGTCCGAGCTCAGCGCGCTCTTTGCGCCCACCCCCGGTCTTCCCGCCTCCTGGATAGAACGCGGCTTCCCGTCCTCCACCGTCCGCTCCGAGGCCGGCCATATCACCCTCCAGGGCTGGCTGGCACAGTGGTCAATGACCACCTTCCAGTCCCCCGCCACAACGCTCGAATACCTCGCCTACCTCGGCTTCGACAGTCACTCGAAGTCCGGTACCGCGGCGGCGTTAAAACTGACGAAGCCACGACGGCGCAAGCGGCGGCAAGGAAAGGTCGAGCGCAACGTAGTCCTCTGCTACGTCCTCGGCTCGTCAGGCTGCGGCAAGAGCACATTGCTGGACGCATTTCTGAACCGGCCGTTCTCGCCGACCTACAACCCGACGATCAAGCCACGCACCGCCGTCAACAGCGTCGAGCTGCAGGGCGGAAAACAGTGCTACCTGATACTAGAGGAGCTCGGCGAGCTCGAACCAGCAATCCTCGAGAATAAGGCAAAGCTGAGCGAGTGCGATGTCGTCTGCTACGCTTACGACTCGAGTAATCCAGACTCGTTCGCGCACGTGGCTGAGCTACGGGTACTCCCCCCCCTCTCCCCCGCCCCCACAAGAGCGCACCACTAACCGCAGCAGAGTAAACACCCGCACCTCGACGACCTCCCTGCGGTGTACGCCGCGCTAAAGGCGGACTTGGACAAGACGACGCAGCGGTTTACGCAGCAGCCGGAGGAGTACACGCGGGACCTAGGTATGTCGGCGCCGCTGCACGTGTCGACGACGTGGACGAGCGTGAGCGAGCTGTGGGCGAACGTGGCGGAGGCCGCGCTGTCCCCCGGCATGGCCAGTCCACGCACCGAGCCCGAGAGGGCTGATAGGACCAATCTGTGGATTGCTGGCGGCGTGGCGGCTGCGGCTGCGGTCGTGGCGGGCGTCGCGTGGAAGAGGACTGCGTAGACTGCGTAAGGCTTGGGAAGGGGGCTAATGTACTATTGGTAATGAATGGCCCTCAGATGAGGTATTGACACTCCTGGGGGTCAGGGCAAAAAGGGCAAAAATGATCACTACAGGGGTCGAACCTGTGACCTTGGCGTTGCACACTGGATGTATTAGCACCACGCTCTAACCAACTGAGCTAAGCGACCTTGATTGAGTGCTCACACCGTCTGCCAATTATAACACCATTTTTACGCTCCACGACTTGAATAGATATTCCAAAATCCTTCTATATTCCCCGTTCCCCCACCCAACAACACAACAACACTAGCACTTACTCACTCACTCAGGAAAACATGCACTTTCCCTCACCCTCACCCTCACCCCCCATAAACCGGAGTCCGTCCGTCCCAGTCCAAGTCCAAGTCCATCGCACAGATTACGGCGTAAAATGCAACAAGAAAATTACAAAGGAAAAGAAAAAATAAGAAAAAAGAGAACAGTATGGTATATTAGGTGTCAAGGAAAACAAAAAAAGTATAGAAAAAGTAGAACACCAGCCGACAAAAAAAACACGAAGGAAAAGGAAAATTCAAGAGAAGGACTGTGAGCTCGAAGCAGAATAATAACGAAAAAAAGGGTAGAAAATTAAAGCTGAACACGCGCAAACGATCGATCGATTATCCCATCCTTTACGGGGCGACAGGAGTAGGAGCGGGAGCAGCAGGAGCCTGGACGGGAGCAGCGGCGGCTGCGGCGGCGGCGGCGGGAGCAGCAGCAGCAACAGCAGCAGCAGGAGCCTCCTCCTCCTTCTTCTCCTCCTCTTTGGGCTCCTGAGCAGGCGCGGCAAGGACTATTGGCGAAACCTCTACTGGCGGGGCGGCGGCGGCAGCAGCAGCAGGAGCAGTCGCGGGGAGTTCCGCACTCTGCGCATCGATGGGAGCAGCGGCTGGGGCGGCGGGAGCTGTCGTGTCACACCAACCGTCAGCACCAACATCCATCTTCGATCTGGCCAATCACGCGCGCACTGGAGCCTGGGGGAGCTGGGGGAGGGGGGTTGCGTACTCTCTTCTGTAACAGCCTCAGCAGCGGCCGCGGCGGGTGCTGCCTCAGCAGCTGCGGCGGCCTCCACAGCGGGCTCCTCGGTCTTCTTGGACTTCTTCTTCCTGCCCAAAAGGCTACGCCCGAGGCGCTTCAGGAGGTTCATGGCATTCGGGGGCTGCGGATCGGTCAGTGACGCGTTCGCAGTGCGTAAGAACGGGTGAGAGAACTCACAACTCCAGGCATCTTGACTGTGGTGTGTTGTAAAAGGGGTGTTGTGTTGAGGTACGGTATTAAGAGTCGCAAGTGGTGGTGGTGTTGCCGGTGAAGAAGACGAAGTGAAGAAGTGTGAAGAGGAGGAAGGTGAAGGCAAGGAATGTGAAGAAACAAGAATAAGAACAAGAACTGGAGACAAGAAGACAGGAAGAAGTAGGGAAGGGGTGGGTGTGTGTGTGGTTTATTTGAGGGGGGTGTGAGAGCGAACGCTGGGAGATTTGGAGAACGAGATGGGATTGGCTTTTGCAGGGATGATTGCACTAACAGCTACCTGGGAGGCGAAGCACCAATCGGGGGAGGGTCCTGGAGCATGGTGATGTTAGCTGTTGCAGTGAGCACCTCGCCTCCAGCAGCAGGGACTGATGTCAGTAACGTTATTTCTGACGTTAACTCTACTGCGACGACGGTGGTGACGACGGTGACAAGGAGGACGGGGACTCTGTTTCTCTCCATTCTTCAGCTTCGCGACGGACCCTGAGACTGAGATTGGCCGTGTACGGGACAGGACCCTGATCCCGATCCCGCCGGTGCTCAAGTACAGGGATACAGTCAAACGGTACGGATGTGTCAGAGAAAGATGAAGGGAAACAAAACATCAACATTCTTCATGGATTTCAGTGGCACGGCACGGTATCTGGTACATACACAGTGGATCCATGGATTTATCCAACATTACGAAGTCAAAGTCAAAGTACTCGGACACGCACAGCTTCTTGCAGTGGATCATAACTACTCTGGGCCAAATCCACCACAATTGCCAATTTGCATCAGAATCGACGCTGAACGCGTACGACGAATAACGAATAACGAACACCGCCGAAACGGTTCACTTGACACCGGAATGTGGACAGCGAACGACGATCTGACAGAATCTAGTAATGTACCACCCTCCCCCCCCCCCCCGGCCCACCGCGATAACTTAGCATCATTCAAAGAAAACGAGCGGAGGAAAAAGATGTCGGTAAGTCACTCTCGCTTTCCGTATACCTATCGTCACCATTATCATCCATCGCGCTCCCGCCCCATCGATTGTGCATCACCATGCTGCAGGAATTCTCTTCTCGCACATAGTCTGCCTTAGCCCCGATCCGAAATAAGATGAAGAAAATCGAAAAAGCAAAGAAAATAGACACCGTGTTTGGAAGAATTAAAGAAAAACATAATGTGAAGGAATCAACGGAATTATACAAACTCCTGTTTTGGTGTGGTAGACTCCGGCCCATAAAGTAGGAGCTATCGTACAGACATCGTGTACCCGGATAAATGTTGAACTCGTTTACTCTTCGTCCTCGGCTTGCTGGTAAATATGCTTTCCTCTGGTAACGTCTTTCCTCATGGGCTGACCAGAGCCTGTGAATCCAACTGTATACCCCCCCCCCACCGTATGTCAGCGCAGCACTTTCATCGAACGCAAGAAAACGAGGTCAACCGAAACGTAGACGTACCCCGCCCGTGCACACTATCCGGTGTCCTGAACATGCTCGCCTCGCCGATCCTCTTTGTCTTCCCCATCTTCCCCTTAACACCCTTCGCCGCAAAGTCCTGCCACTTCTTTTGCCCGGCCTCCAGCACCTTCTTCTGCTCGAGCTTCCTCCCCTTCTTCGCGGGCTTCTGCGACGCATCGGCGCCGAGTTGATCCCTCCTCGCCTCGGCTAACTCCGCATTTATCGCCGCGGGTTGCGAGATCACCGCACCACCGTTCGGAGTCGCATTGCCACCCGTAGGCGTAGCCGGGGAATCCAGCTTCCTCTTCTTACTCGCGTTGCCGGCCGGCTTGATATCCTTCGGGTACAGCTGCTCGGTGACATTGTACTGGGTGAATTTGACGAGGTACACGGGATTCTTGAGGGAGCCCGTCACTGAGGTAATCCGCGCTGGGTATAGCTGGTTATCACCGCTCGTCCATCGCGCCAGAACGTTGTCACCAACTGCATATGTACTACCACCACTACCACTTCCCGACTCGTTCGTCGCATTCGCATCGTATTTGCCGCTGCTATGGTGGACCGGTGTGCTGCTGTGGTTGTTGTTGTTGTGGTTGTTGTGGTCGTTGGGCGTGCTGTTGTACGCGCCGGCGCCGCTCTGCTCCGCAAGAACGGACTCCGTCAGCGAGATGGCTTCCTTCAGCTCTGCGATGAGAGATTGGAGTTCGGCGTTGTCTGGATCGGTCTTCAGGGCAGCTTCGACTGACTCGAGCTAGCACACACACAACACACACACACATCGTCAGTTCCCATCCATCCCACGTGTGGCGCGCAAAGGGGGAGGGGGAGGGGGAGGAAACTTACCTGCAGCTGGTATTCTTTGAGTTCTTCTGCAGACATGGTTGCGCGAGTATGTGGGGAGGGAGGGGTAGGTGGGGGAGAGGGGAATGTACGTGATGTGATGTACGTGATGTGTGTGAGTGAGGGCGTGTGAGTTTGGTGAAGGTGGATGGTTTTGCGTCGGTGAATACCTTCCTCGCCTCTGGGCTTGGACGACCCAGTCAAGCTCTGCGCCAAGCCACGTTATACGTGCGGAGCCGCAAAGTTTGAGCTAGCCAGACGTAACTAACCAGACGGAGTCGGACTCGGACATCGATATCATGATTTCCATCTCGGCTGGTCACCGATCGGCTTCCGGACTTGGAAAACTCTACCCTACGGTACGGTGAAGGGAAGACGATAGCTCTGTCAGCGCACATATAAACTAATTCGCTGGTTTGAATAACTCTTACGAGGGCCCACTCTACTGGTAACATATCTTTTCAATGTGCTCTCGTCCATCTCTTTCCTCCTCATGCTCCTCCTCCTCCTCCTCCTTCTGAACTCCCATCCCCTTCTCCCTCCAAGCTCATCCTCATCTCATCCTCCACCTTTCCTCCTCATTCTCTGCTCTTCACCTCTTCCTTCCCTTCCCATTCTTTCCTCTTTTATGGCTAGTGACGCCGCGGTAAGTACCGCCTAGCGTAGCTCCGCTCCGCGTAATTACTCGAACATACGGCGCTTATGAGCATGAGCACCAGCGGCGTCAGACTCCAGATTCTTCTGGAAATTGGGAAGAATCCGACACATATCCACGGTGCCTTCCCATACACTTTCCAGTGTCAGAAGCGACATCGCCGACCTCCAGTGAGGCGTTCAGACTAAAACGCGCCAACTGAGCGTCTAGTCAGGATGGTCGTGTTTATGATAGATACACATCGTTGTATGAGGTGGGGTGGCGTTTCAAACACGTAGGAGTACTCGAGTAGTTGCTCGCACGATGCAACAGGTTGCTTAGTCACGGCAGCCTGGGGAGGGTGGGCATTGGGAGCCTGGAGGGAGTGTGGGAGTGAGGGAATCTGTGCCAAGAGCATGAAGAAATAAATCCCAAATTCTGACCGTTATTCTGGCGGTGAAACATCCATACAAGTTAACGGTACTCTCCATAGCTATTGAACGAATGGAGCATCCCCGGGCCTCCATGTGCATTGTGAATTCTAGACCCTGAATGCGTCCAGCATCGGTACTCCATGTATTCATCCGCCGCCTTCCCTCACATCATCCCTCCCATCCATCCCTCCATCCACATCCACATCCACATCCACATCCACATCCACATCCACAGCACACATCCCAGCAAGATGAGGACTCACGCAAAAGAGAGATGCGACCCGACAAAAAAGGACGGTTCCGTCGGCGTTAAAAAAAAACAATACATAGCATGCCACTTTACTGCCGATGAGAACCTGCGGTGCAAGATACAAGTCGTAGAGTGCTTCACGGTACTTATACATACAAATCACGAATGTCTCCCCCACAGCCGGTAATGCACCCTGTCATCCAGGTAGGTAGCGGATGCAGATCCGCTGCCACCGCAAAGACGGCAGTGGAGCAAATATCCGTAGGCCCCCTCCCCCCCCGAATGCAGTTCTATCCGGGGTTCGGCTTGCGCAGCCACTCACGCCGCATCACTCGCACCTATATTTCGTGCTCGAGATGTCAAGTTTGCAGAGTGATCTGACTCACTCACCTGAGCCTACACTGCATGCATTCAAATTCTGTGCAGTAGATATATTAGTATACGCCTAGATAAAGATAGGCAGTATGCCCGGCGGTGTACACTGTATGTATGCGTGTCAGATTCCTGAGCAGAATGTTGCTTCTGGAATCGAAGCGCTACGGCCTACGGCCTACGGCTGGGTGACAGCTTCGCTAGTTACCAACTGCTCTACCTACTCTGTGGAGATGTGTAAATGTTCGAAGCCTTGCTGGCGCCGGAGCCAGGTGTGTCGCGGAACTGCAGTGAGCCGACCGACCATCCTCCAGGTTCCAACACGAGTCTACGGTTTGTGAGCTCGAGTGAGTGGATTGCGGAATCCCACCACGCCAAGACAGGGGCGAATGGACGGTCGAACGCCCTATCCGATGCCATTAACTCTTGCACGGGTTGCGGCTTTTGAGCTGGTCAGGAGCTGCTTCGGATCCGTGTCGACGAACCAACGACAAAAGACGCCGGGAAAGAGAAGAAAAGAAAAGAAAGAAAAAAGCTACACTGGGTTATCACCCAAAATAGGGACCTGCCTTGCTGCATTGGATTTGGCTGTGGGAAACACTCTACGCTAGAATAGGCAAAGTGGTGCTCTATTCTGCAGTCCATCGACAACATGCTCACTGAATTAGTTATCAACAGCAGCTGCCATGAGAGCACACTCAAATGACTCGACCGTCGTTTGTTGCAAAAAGCAGGTACAGGAGTAGGCAGAGCAGAGCAGAGTTTAGATGATTGCTCGACATGGACGCCGATTCCTACTTGCTCTGGCCATCGTCTCTCCGATGATCTGCGGTTGACTGGCCCGGGACTCTGTTCGTTCTAGTACTCTGCAGACTCGCCCGCGATTTCTGCAGTTTTTTGATTTGTAAACACACCGTTGCCAGAAGAACGTGACAGAAGCAGCTGGCCGGGAGGGCACACGCAAAGGCGACCCCCCCCTTCCTTCCTTCCTCGAGTACGAACTGTGTCCGGCCGAAGTGCTTTTGATTCTCGGAAACTGGGTGTCTCTTTCTCTCCTCCTCGAGCTCATCCGATCCTCCCGTTGCAGTGTTGCAGCCAGTAGCCGCTGCCAACCCTCTCTCCGTCAGCAACCGTCGAGCCGAGAGACGACAGAGAACAGCATCATCATTATCATCATTATCATCGTCATCGTCATCATCAGCATCAGTATCATCACCATCTCGCCTCCCCCCCCCACACCAGCCCATCTCGATAGCTTTGGCTTCCAGACCGACGGCCATTACTTACCTCCCAACACGAGCGGACTTCGAGCCCCAGCGCCAGCCCCACGCAGCATCCATCCATCCATCCATCCAACGTGAATTTGACTCTGCGATCCCGCACAGCTAGCACCAAAACGCGTACCCTAGCTACCCTACCTACTGGCCGCTGCTAGGCTACATTTGAGACGATCGAACGAGGGGCTCTGTCTCACTCCCGCTGCCCGGCTGCTCTGCTCTGCTAACTACTGCCGCCTGCCCCAACTTTGCGTTGCCTCGACTCTGCTCTACCTACTCCATCCCAACCTACTGCCCTGCCCGTCCGTCATCGATTTCCCCTCTACCCACCGCCATCACCATCACCATCCACCCACTATCGACTGCACCACCACACACCACTCTCAATACACCACTCACCGCATACCGCACAACGTGGTCTGGCAGTTGCAAAGCAAAACAAAAAAAAACAAAAAAGCATACAACTCGGATCAGATTAGATCCCCGTTGGCTTCTTCGATTCGTTTCCGCCTGCTCAACACAGTAAATTCAAAAAAGTGGAGTTTAGCTTCCTAAATCCGCTCGCCCCAACACCAAATTCCCTTTCGAGTGGACTGGAGTTCGAATTAAAAAAAAAAAAAAAGAGAACGACTTCTGGAAACGTCATCTCCATCTACACCTTTGGAAGAAGCTTGAACAATCCATTCCGACCATCGTGAGCCCGTACCAACAGAAAAAACATCGCCATCAATAAGGCTATTGCGTTGACTTCGCCTACGAGCAACGTTAATCGGGCGGAACGACTACCAACTACCGCTACCCACCCACCACCACCACCCACCACCACCACCCACCACCACTACTACTACCACCACTAGAACTCGTTCGATCGAAAAGAGAAAAGAAAGGAAGCAACACCGTTCGGGAGATGACAGCGACTGCACCAGATAACCTCTACCTCTCGCCAGACCAGCAAGATCTCCTGCTTGCGGCATTGACTTCGAATTCCTCATCTTCTCCAATGTTCACGCCCGGATTATCGCACCACATCGCGGGAGCGCCTCCGCAGCAGCAACAGCAGCAACAACAAAGAGACAACAACAGCAACCCACGATCGTACGCGCACGGCTCTCCACCGGCCCTGCCCACCACAGAGTTCCCGCACGGTACACCGTTGCTGGATGGAAACATGGACTACGGGGATTGGGATGCGGAGTTTGATCAGGATGGAACGTGGGACTACGATCTGGGCACGGATCTGATGCATGACACGCCGCCGTCGACGTCGAATGATGGAAACGAAACCACGAACGGGGACACGCCGCATCCGTCGTCGTATAATGGCGACAAGAGGAAGGATCCGCCGCAGAGCGATGGCACAGATGATCCTCATGAGTCGGAACCGAAGAGGAGGGGTGCGTAAACTCTCTACATAGTCCCTTCTCTCCGCCCGTTCTTCGCTTTGCCTCTTGTTTCTATATTTAACGAAATCTATATCCTTCTTTTCTTTTTCTCACGATTCCCAAACTGCCTAAGCTGCTGCCTAAGCTGCTGCTGTGTTTCTCCTTGCTTGCCTATATCCTTCATACTGCCACCTTCTTGTCTTCCTCTTGACTTGGAAGTTGATGGTCTGACGCATAAAACAGATGACAAGGACAACAAGACGGCCAAGAAGCCTGGCCGCAAGCCACTCACATCAGAACCCACTTCCAAGCGAAAAGCTCAGAACCGTGCAGCGCAGCGGGCATTCCGTGAGCGCAAGGAAAAGCACCTGAAGGATCTTGAGCAGAAGGTTGAAGACCTTCAGAAGGCGTCCGAGTCGGCCAACCACGAGAATAGCATGTTGCGAGCTCAGGTGGACCGGCTACAGACCGAACTCCGCGAATACAAGAGACGCTTGCATACCACCGAGCTCACGCGGTCGTCCTCGTTAGCCAATATGGGTGGATTCCAGTTCGATTTCCCGCCGTTTGGCAGTGGCATCTTCGGTAGCCAGAAGGATAGTAGTAAGGATGGCCTTAAGCTCGGAACCGGGTTCATTGAAAGGATCAGCTCTCTCGACCCGACGCAGCAGCAGAAGAGGCCGTCGGCTACCCCTACAACTGGAAACCATGGCAATGGTTCGAGTAAGTCACTACCAAGTCCTCCGAGCACAGTAAACTCTAGCCTGTCGGATCTGTTCAGCCCGTCTATTATCGAATCGATTAATAAGTCTTCGTCACCAGATTACATGACCGGTGTCGAGAATTCGAGTCTACAAAACACTCCCAAGCTCAATGGTGGACGCGACCCTACATCGTCCCCCTCTGCATCGTCAGTCTCACAGCATGGCCCAGGATCCTCGTGCGGCACGACTCCGGAACCATGCAACGGCTCGCCGACGTCCTTCAAACCTACAGATCCCCTCGGCCCCATCAGCGAGGAAGGTATGACTACTCATACTTCCCCCGGTGGTGATACCTATGTGTGCAAGTCCGGTGTCCTGGATGGAGAGACCGAAACCACATTCTGCGAGAAGCTTGGCATGGCTTGTGGCAATCCGCACAACCCCATCCCGAAGGTGCCGCAGTTCAGCACCACATCCGATGCCACGACGAGCTCACTCGACTGGCTGTCGCAGCAGAGCAGCGGGAATAACTTTGATCCTGTGCTCTTCAACGACTACCGAGACCCTGTCAACGATATCAACACCACGATAGGAATGAGCTTCTTTGACGATGCGTTCCCGGCCGTCAGCTTCGACACCACCGCGCCAGCACCCACCGCCAATCCCACCACTGCCGAGTCGAAGAAGGATCTTATCGCTGCGATAGATGCCCTGAACGACGAGGACGACGACGAAGTCGTGCCAGCTGACGATCCTAAGCAAATGTTGAGCTGTAACAAGATTTGGTTTGTCCACCCCCTTATCGCCAATGGCACTACTACTGTGAGATTGCTGATGGTTAATCGGTTCAGGGATCGGATTAGCTCCCATCCGCGGTTCGTCAGCGGTGAGTTGGATATGGATGGGCTGTGCTCGGAGCTGAGGAGCAAGGCCAAGTGTTCCGAGGTCGGCGTCGTGGTTGCAGAGAACGATGTGCAGGAGGTCCTGGGAAAGGTGGGGATGTCGCATAAGGATATCATGTGATCCGCGTGATGCTTTCATTTTTTGGACTTTTGTTTTTGGGTTCTTGGCTTGTGTTAACTTATGTGGGATGATCTATCTGCTTGGGAGTTTGAGGTTTTGGAATTTTTTGTCGCTTTCCCCTGTCGATGCTGTAAGAGTAATTCCAGTGTTGCTATTTTTTTCCTTCTTCTTCTTCTTCTCTCTATTCTGTCGTTTCTTGTCTTTCATTACTCAGGTTAAGTGTGCAATTACAGCCCGATCGTTCTTTGATGTCTCTGCGATTCTATATATCTCCCTCTTTATGGGATGTTAGCCAAGTTGGATTGGGTGGTTGGATTGCTCGGTGGGTGATGACGTGACGATACTGGTGATTGTGGGTTTGATATTGGCTGTTGGTAGATCGTGGATATGTTCTTACATGAAGATGTCACAGCACGGATGCAGTACAGCACACAAACCACTCGATTTTGCCTACAACAAAAGAGCAAGCTACATCCCGCAAGCCACACCCCTCGCCGCGCTCACTTCTTCTCCTCTTTCTTCTCCTCTGGTTCAGGCGTGGGGAGCTTGAAAGTCGGCGGGCTAGCATCGACACCGCTGCCGACCTGCTCCCACGCCGAGCTTCCGCCCTGGAAGTTTCTGAAGGCCTGCGTCATCTCGAGCGGCTCGACGACGACGCGCTTCTTCTCCTCGTCGTAGCGCACCTCGGTGTACCCGGTCAGCGGGAAGTCTTTCCGCAATGGGTGGCCGTCGAAGCCGTAGTCCGTCATGATCCGCCGCAGGTCGGGGTGGTTGGTGAAGAACACGCCGAACAGGTCGTAGACTTCGCGCTCGTACCAGTTTGCGCCCTCGAAGAGAGGGGTGACGGAGGGCACGGGGGTGGCCTCGTCGGCATACGTCTTGATCCGGATACGAGAGTTGTGCCGGATCGAGAGCAGGTTGTAGACGACTTCGAAGCGCTGCGAGCGCGACGGGTAGTCCACCGCTGTGATGTCGGTCACCTGCGTGAACTGCGCCGCCGTGTGCAGCTTCAAGAAGGTCATCACCGGGATCACGGATTGCGGCGCGATGTAGATCGTCAGCTCGTCTTTCCACACCGCGAACTGCTGGATGTGCTTCGGCAGCGACGAGATCAGGTATTTGCCGTACGAGTGCAGGGCGTCCGACGCGGTGGTGTATTTGTCCGAGTTGGCGACGATCGGGGCCCGGAGCGGGCCGGCGGCTGCGTGCGTGTTAGATAGATGCGTGGATAGATAGCTGGTGCGCTCCAGGGGAGCATGGGAGGAGGAGGGCGGGTATACGAGGGCGCGCCGCTGTTCGCGGATTCGGGAGCTCGCTGCCATCCGGGCGCTGGTGCCCGGTGAAATGGCTGCGGGAGGCGATCAGCGCTCCCACTCCGAGGCGGGCTGTTGCGGGCTGGCTCTGGACAATTGCCCGGGTCAGGGCACGAGCCGTGGTGGTGAGCTGGGGAGGCATTGTGGTGATGCGGTCGGGTGGGGTGGGGTGGCGGTGGTGGGGGTGGACGAGATGGTGAGGGTGAATGCGGGTTGGCCGGGTGTTGCGGTTCAGATGATGGTCGTGAAGTCACCACACCTCCAATTGGACGCGGGGTGGTGGCACTCGAAAGAGGAGAATCGTAATTGGCTGTTAGTAATCTCGCCCACCGTCTTGGCGGAAAGCAAGACAGACTTCACTTCACCGCTTTTGCAGCTTACCCTCCGAACCGCAACTACAACCCGCCCCCGGAAGACCAGAACGGCCCGCCAACGAACAAACAACTTTATCCTCCCGCCTTCCCTCCCTCCTTCTGCATACATCAATCCCATCCTCCGTCCCCACTACTACCACCGCTACTACTCCCCACGTACCTACACTTACCACCACCCTCCCACCCACCTCCCATCCCCCCTCCTCCCCCACACACTTACTAAGAAGGTTTTTGTCCTACTACCTACACCACACCGGTCGACATCACCTCTAATACTACCGACCTTACCTCCCTCAACCATACCTACCACCACCGCCCGCACCACCTCCCCACTTCCTACGCAAGCACCACAAGCAATGTCGCGACTACAGCAAGACACCTTCATTGACGAAGAGGAAGAATACTGGTTTGCCTTTGCCCTCCCTCCCCGCCATGCTATCCTTTTCCCCGCCAAACTCTCTAATCGCGCCCCGCTCGGTATAGTCCTCTTTGCGTGGAGGAGTTTGACGTCCAAGATCGTAACTTCAAACCGTGCCCCTGCGGCTATCAGGTATAGCTCCCTGCTGTTGAATCTGGAGGACGACATGGGAGAATGTGTGTTGATGTGTAGCTGCCTGCGAACATAGATTTGCCAGTTTTGCTTCAACAATATCAGGACCAACCTCAACGGCCTCTGTCCGGCGTGCCGGAGGGAGTACCGCGAGGAGACGATTGAGTACAAGGCGATCACTGCGGAGGAGTATGATGTCCTTGTCGATTGAAGGGGCGAAGTGGGGTGGGTGATTTATGGGCTAATGCTGGCGTAGATTGAAAGCTGAAGACAGCAAGAAGAAACGCCTCGCTAGCGAGAAACGAAAGCACGAAGCACAGAAACGCGAGATCGAAGCGCTCAACCGCAAACATCTCTCTGGCCTCCGAGTGATCCAGCGGAATCTGGTATATGTTACTGGACTCAACCCCCGGATCCGCGAGGAAGAGCTGCTTGCGACGCTGCGCGGCGATCAGTACTTCGGACAGTACGGGAAGATCCTCAAGATCGTCGTCAACAAGCGGACTGCTCAGGGGAGTCCTGGGCAGGTGCACCACAGCTCGCATCAGGACTCTCAGGGATTGGGTGTCTACGTCACGTTCTCGAATAAAAATGAGGCGGAGAAGTGCATTGCTGCTGTCGACGGTAGTGAGAATGGTGACCGCACCCTGAGGGCTACCTACGGCACTACGAAGTACTGCTCGGCCTACCTTCGGAATGAAACTTGTCCAAATAAGAATTGCATGTTTCTACACGAACCGGGCGAGGAAGCAGAGTCATTTAGCAGGATGGAGCTGTCTACGGCCAACTCGAGGCAGAACAATCAGGGGAAGGAGCAGCTGCAGCAGCTGCAGCAGCACAGTGCGTATGGTCACCAGCCGCAGCCTTCGAGACCGCCCCAGAGAGAACATCATCCGACAGCGCCGCATCACGAAATGGCAAGGACGAACTCCCACGTAGGGTCCGCTGCTGGGGATGCCGATGGAGCATCGGCGTTGCCCTCGACGGCGAATTGGGCTAAGAACCCCCCTACCCCGGCGTCTCGTCCAGCTTCTCTGGTGCACTCGATTGCAAGCAACCAGATGCCTTCGAAGGTTTCCACGCCTAGTCCGAAGGATATACCGGCTTCGCCGCTGGCTCTGGCACAGCACGTCCTGAGTGCCCGAGATCGGGAAAATGGAAAGAAGGCGCCGGATCGCACGAAACCATCGGTACCGTCTCCTACGATGTCTACTTCCTCGGGTGTATCAAACGCGAACGGGAAATCGGTGGGAGTCATAGGACAGCCCGTACCGGCCCCCGTTACGAAACCACCAACCCCAGCACCAGCTCCACCCCCGGTCGTGGTGGCTAAGCCGAAAGCACCAGCAGTGCAGGCGATTCCTACTGCCTTGGTGGAGCAGATGCAACGAATGCAACGGATGCAGCGGGCTATCACCAATCCGAATTTCAGGTTTGTGCTGTCGCCGACGGCCTTTTCGGCCGAGGAATTCGAGCAGTTGTGCAAGTTCCCGCCCATGTTCGACAAACACGGTGGTAGGCGAAGACGGGAAGTCATGGAGAAGATGAAGAAGCAGGCGGTAGAGTCCGGAGGCGAGAAAGTGGCTCAGCAGTCTCCTGCCGGGACGGCCGCCGCCCCTCCACCCATGGGATTGCCGTTGCGGGGGCTCACTCCGCTGCAGCAACAGCAGCATCGTGATGTCAGTGGACAGCAGTTGCAGAACCTCCAGGGCCTCGGTGCTCTTCAGCAGGAGTCTTTACTGCAACAACAGCAACACCAGCAGCAACACCAGCAGCAGCAGCAATCCGCGCTTCGAACCCAAACTCCTCAGAGCCTCCTGCAGCAAGCTAGTGGTCAACAAGGCTTCAGTGGTGCTTTCCAGGGTCAAGGTCAAGGACCTATGGGTCCGCCGCACCAGGGTGGTGGTCACACTCGGCAGTCATCCAGGTATACTTTCGCAAACGACAACCCTCTGACGGCCGGAACGAGTGTCAATGCTCGCAGTAACGCCGCACATATGGCCGAGCAGATCCGCATGATGCCTCCCCAGCAACAGCAGCAGATGCCCCACCAACAGCAACTCGCACAGATGTACGGTAGTGCGCCTAGTCTCGGCGGTTCTCTGTTGGGGTCTGTCCAGCAGCCGCCTCCAGGGCTCAAGAACGCGCCAACTCCACCTGCACCCGGCCTCGGTGGTATTCCCATGGGCAACATCCCTGGCCTCGGACAGTTCTCTGGCATGGGATTGGGTGGCCATCACGGAAAGAGCGAGGGCGAGAACCTGCTGCTTCGGGAGCTGCTGGCTGGAAACGGTGCTCCGCGCCTGGGTGGTGCGTCGAGTACGTCCCTGACGAGGGGTGGTGACGGGAAGCGTAATGTCCCGTTATCCACAGGAGGAAGACCTGGATTTACTGACCGGCGCGGCATAGTTGATCTTGGAGACCCCAGCATCCTTCAGGCGCGAGTTGCCCAACCCCATCACCAGATGCAACAGCAACAGCAGCAACACCAGGGGCTTCAAGCCGCAGGACAGGGCCAACAAGGTGGGTACAATCCCATGAACTATTACGCTAGCGCGCAGGCCGCTGGTAGATGGTAGTTCGGACAGGCAGGCAGACAGGCAGGCACAGGACACACGCAGAGATGATACGATCAATTGGACCATGCAATGCTTTCCTTTTTCCACACGCGCGGACTAATCATGATTCTTCTTCCTTTCCTTCCTTTATTCGGCGTCTTCTACTCTATATGGGGAGTGTGGTTTTTGTTCATTACTTCTTTTGCTTTCGACTTTATGGGTTGTAAGTTCGTCTGCTTCTGCTTCTGCTTTGTTTTGTTATTGATTCAAAGGTTTCCTTCTCCTTTTCCCATTCCTTGTCTTTTGCTGTGCTTGTGTTTGGAGGGGGTAAATACCTGACAGACATGTTTTACCGGGAGGGTTTGACTTTCTAGTGATTGTTTTTCGTTTTCTTTTTGGGTCTACGTTTGTCCGACTACTCTTGTTTTCCTTTTTCGTCTATCCTCATGGGATGTTTCTTTTTTGGCATTCGGGGTCGGTATGTATATGGGAGGTCAAGGAGTACGACCCGGCGGCAGTCATCACCAAGAAATGGGTTACGGGGGCGTTACATACCATACTAACTTTCATGTACGTTGTCTATACCTCTTTTTCTCCTTTTTTTTTTTTTTTTTTTTTTGCAGAGAGCGTCGTCATTACTTCTATTATACTTTGTGGGACGGTGGAGCGGGGGAATGCAACACAATATTTTTTCTCTGCAACAAAGCAATAACTGATGGTGCTTCGCGCTGCGTGATTACTTTTTGTAGGGTTGCTGTCCTTCCTTCCTTCCTTCCTTTCACCTTCGTCTGCGTTCATTCTGTCTGCTGCGTACTATCTCTACTAACCACCAAGACGTGTTCATCTGCTGCTGCTTGTCCGACTACTACTAACTAACCTCCACGACCTGCCTGCCTGTCTGCCTCCCGGACTACTAACTACCGTTTGCGTGATTTTGAGTTGATGTGGAAGGGATGGAAATGCTAAGGGGTATTTGTAGCAGATTTCGGACCTCTCATTCCTACGGGACCGAGGATTCGTGTGCCCGCTCCTGCGCCCGCCACTACTACTACTACGCCTGCAGCTGCGACTCCGGTGCCCGTTACGCCGATCGTGAGTGACGAGGATTTCCCGGCTCTTGCGCCGCCGCAGGCTGCTGTGGGCACCGGAGTGTTGATCGGGAAGAAGGAGAAGAAGGAGCGGAAGAGAAGGGAGAAGAAGGAGGGGAGAGATGGTAAGGAGGAGGAGACTGAGGAGGTGAAGGATGGAGTGGAGAAGACGGCGGAGGTGGAGAAATTGGTGGAAGTCGTGGAGAAGAAGGAGATCAAGACGGCGAAGGTCGAGGAGACGCTCCCTATGGTCGTCGAGATCTCGGCCACTCCCGGTCCTTCCAAAGGCACAGAGAAGGAGGAGAGAAAGCCTCCAGCTTCAGCCTTCGAGCCCTCGGAGCCCTCCACCAAGCGCCAGGGCCCCCTGATGATGCGCATCCTCTCCAAAGATTCCCTACGTTCGGTCCCCTCGACTGTCTCCGACATGACCGAGAGTCGTCCTTCCACGCCCCTCATCAACAAGCCGATCACTGGCCCTGCGCTGGCGGATATGCCTCTGGTAGTGACCAAGACCAAGAGCGCCTTGAAGAAGGAGCGGCTTGCTGCTCTGAAAGAGAAGGAGCGCTTCGAGGCCGAGGCTCTCGCCGCCGCGCGGGCAAATGATGTTCAAGCTCCCCTCGTGGGCCGGATGAAGAAGAAAAAAGAGGCGAAGCTTTCCGCCAGGAAAACTTCCGACAAGTCTACTGTCGGCGACACGGAGGACACAGCCTCGGAGCGCCCGACCTCCGACACCGTCTCGGTAGCCGACACCACCGACCTCCCGCTCCCCCTCCCGCGCCCCGCGGAGCCAGAGCACAAAACCCCCATCCAGCTAATCTCGGAGATCCTCTATTCCCACTCCTCGCTGCTCCGCTATGAAATGTTCAAGCCCCATCTGCCAGGCCTGAAGTGGGAATCGATGATTTCGCCCGAAGACCTGCTGCTGCTCCGCAGCACCGCGGCGAACTCGCTCACCACCGCCGCCATGCCGCTCTCGCTCTTCGAGTCCCGCATCTTTGTGTCCCCCGCGGGCAGCACGCTCCACGGCTTGAGCGCGGAACAGGAGGAGCGCTACGTGCAGCTCGAGAAGGAGCAGAAGTTCAAGGACGGCCGCATCAACCGCGAGGGCATAGACGCGCTGTGGAAGCCGAGCGTACCCGAGATGGAAGCGCGAGGCGAGAAGTCCGCCAAGGAACTTGAGGCCGCCGTCAAGGAGAGCAGGAAGATCGCTGAGGGATACGAGAAGAAGTGCGAGAAACTCGCCAAGAGGAATCGTAAAATCATGGGCTTGGTTTGACTTATTACCTGCCTGTGTGGCCTCTGGTGCTGGTTTTTTTTTCTGGGCCTGGCTTTGGCGCTGGCCTGCTGCTTTGAGCGATTCGATGGGCATGGATGGGCGCTTGTTGTACTTTTACTTTTACTTTTGCTGCGCGCGCGGTTGACTGATGACTGATGCATGACTGATGGATGGCTAGACGTGTGTGTCGCCTGTTAATTGTTGGGAAGGGGAGAGGGATACCCATTACCTACATACCTCGGTGCTTTGCTTTGCTTTGCTTGGTGATAGCGATCGAGAAAATGAATATGCGATTAGATGCGATTAGATGTGTGCATGATAATGATACTAGTACTGTGATGCGCTGTGCTGTCAACAAGCGATCGATGTGAAGCCGTTGAGTGTTCCGGGGAGGGAGATGGTATGGTATAGGTACTCATCCCAATCATCCCAATCATGTAGCGCGGTGTTTGTGCTTTTTTTTTTATGGGAATTGGCGAAGGAGCGCTTGAAGATTCAATGGATAGATATTTTACACTGGGTACTACTGTGTTGATACTGCGGTGGATAGGTACCTGATACGATCACGCAGCTGTGCCAGTACCAGTACCAGTGACAGCAGTGCGTAGAGTAGTTGGTCCGGACTCGTATGATACCGGAATCCGGCGTCGGCATCGGCCTCATTTTATATACCAGTTCTTGGAGTGGAATGAGCCCCTCACTCTCAGGTCTGCTCGAACCATCCATCAGTCTTGCGTGCCTACCTTTTTTTTTTTTGGTTTCTTCGTACCTATTCACTCTTCAGTAAGATCTTCGCACTGTATGAGCAACCACCTACGAGTACATTACCCACCATCAACTTCAGCATTCCCCCTCCCCTTCCCACACCACATCACAAGACATCACTCGACTTTACCGCAGGTACGGCACTCAAGAAGTAGAAACAATGGCCATTCCATTCCGCACCCTCCCCACAAACCGTGCGGCATATCAATTGATCAAGCAACACAACACGACACAACACGACACAACGAAAGCAAAGAAGAACGCAGGGGAAAAACGCTATTCCGAATTATCAAAAAGAGAAGGAAAAAAAAAGAAAGAAAAAAGAAAAAAAAACAACACACTAAATGCCATACAATTCCCATCATCATTCCCTTATCATCCCTTATTCCATTCAAAGTGTAGAAAGTAACTATCAAGGCAAGAGTAAGGTAAGGTAACACGCCGAAGAAAAAGAACGAAGAAAAAAAACGCAAGGAAAAAAGTATTCAATCATTTTCCAATGTAGATGGATAGGATAGGATCACCTTCATCCATCCACCAATACAATAAATCTGATCGAGTACTACTGCTGCTGCTGTAGCACAGCCATCTTCATCCTCTCACTGCGAGTAGCGTCCGTGCTTGACCAAGTGCTATTCGGTCTGTGCAGGTGCACCACCGCCCTCTCCGCCCTCTCCGAACCGTCCCCCACGCTTGCCACCGCCACCGCCACGACCACCACGACCAACACCTCTCTCGAAGCCTTGGCCTCGCGGCTTCCCTCCCCTGCCGCCGCCGAAGCCGCCACGCCTGTAGCCGGGACCTGAGTTGTCGCTCTCGCTAGTGTTACCTCCTATGGCTTGGCCTCTGCTCCACTTGCTCGAGTCGATGCCTCCGCCGCGGCTGACGCGGTGCTCCGGGTGTCCCCGTCGATTGGGGCCCATGTCCAGGGGCTTGAAGTGAACCCTGGTGTCATCTCGGTCGAAGTTGCGGGTGGTAAGTTCTTTGGGAAGCTTGTTGAGGATCTCACGTGCCTGCTCATCCGTCTCGGTGTATAACAAGTGGTACAACCCCCCGGTCTTGCTGGTCTTCTCCTGAATATCGACAATGTACTTGCGGACGTCTTCCGAGATCAGTTCCTTGACGGCAGTGACTGTCGCAGCGTTCTGAACGTGGAGGCCGTACTTGCTCCTGTAATTCGGTCCCTCGGCAACCGGGGTAGCTGGGTTCGAAGAATGGCCAGTCGAGGGGACCAACGGCTCGCGTGTGTCTTCCTCCTGAGCTCCGTTGCTGTTCCCGGGTTTCTGCTCCTCCGGCGATGATGGCTCCGGGGCGGCGGCGGGAGTGGGGGCCCTATTGGCCACAGCAGGGGCCGGACGGGGGGTCGCAGGCTTCACTGCCGGAACAGCGGGCTCGATTCTTGGAGATGGGCCTGTGGGCGGCGGGGGCGAGGTCCTGGCGGGATTCGACACGTTCTTCCTCGGGCCCAACGGAACAGCCGGGGCGATTGGCGTCTGTGCGGTTGGAGCAGGTGGGGGTGCAACCGGCTGCGATGGCGGAAGAGCCTGCTGGTAACCGGGGTGCGGGATCTTGCCTCCTCTGTGAGAGAAGTTGAATCCTTGAGCCTTCATCTCCGTACCGATCCTACCACCCTCGATTTCCAAAATGAGCCAGCCAAAGGCGGCATCAGCCAAGTTAAAGTTCCACATGTTCTTGAAAGCCGATTCGTCCACCTGGCCAGCTCCGGGGGCATTGCTAGCGGATGGACCACCGAAGGGGTTGCCACCGTTAGCGCTAGTCGGCATCTTTTCGATAAACGCTAACGCATTCTCAAGAAGTCGTTGCTGCCGCGCGCTCTGCTCGACGGCTGGTTGAACCTCTCCCTTAACGGTTTCCCAGACATCATTGAACGAGGCTTTCGACGACGCAAGCTTGCCGCGGTAGTAGTCGAGACTGGGGTTGACGCTGAACTCGTTGTAGGAGCTTCCGTAACGGAAATGGAGACCTGCAGAGATCGAGAAATCCGCTTTCAGGGTTACGGAGAGCTGGTTGAGCAAGCCTTCCCTCGCCGGGGAATTGTGGGTGATGAAGATTCTGGTTTCCGCGGGATCGTAGACGCGAGTCGCAGTGTCGATGAGATCTCCCATCTGCAGGAGGGTGGTCCACATAGTTCCTTGGCCACCGGCGATTGTAGTCTTTCCCTCACCATTGTCAAATAGTTTGTGCATGACAACAGCACCACCGAGACCCAGTAACCGAAGCTTGACTCCACCGACATCTAGAAGGCGCGAAGAAGCCTCGTCGATGATGTGAAGGTTTGGAACCTTGTATTCGCCGGAACGGAATCTCTCCAGAACACGGACATCCTCGCACGCACCCCACACGGTGTAGACAGGGACATCGAGGGAGTAAGTTCCGTTCAGGAACAGAGGTAGCTCGGACAGCGCATGTGGTACCTGCTGGACGAGTGACTTGATATTCTGGGGTCCGGGAGCCTGGACCTGTTTCTTGAGCGAATCCTCGAGGAGGGGTGAGTACTGAACCACATGGCGCAGGGTCCTGTTTTACGAAAACGGCAGGTGTCAGCTAGCTGTTCTGTTCCGGTGTGGTTTTTTTTTCTTTTTCCGACAAGCGCGAAAAATAGCTGGCAAGCACGGGCGGGGAGAAAACAAACTTGTCAGCGATCCTCTCGAGAGAGCTGTCGTCGTAGAATCCGAAATCACCGGTGTGGATGATGTAGTCGGCATTCGCCTTCTTGGCCAGCTCGTTCAGAGTTCGGAGATGACCTGGAGAAGAATTCCGGGTCAGTACGATCGCCACCATTTCCACAGGCTACCGGCCGAACACACGACACGACATGGGGTGCCGTGTGTGTGGGATGGAGGAAGCGAACAAACCTCTAACATCAGCGACACATAGGACTCTAGCACCGCTCTTCTCGATTATCTTCGTGTTTGGAGGGAGGCCAGCAACACCGAGGGGCTGTGGCATTCCGGTGACGGATCCATTTGGCAGATATTGCTGATGAACACTGCCGAACTGGGGCGGGGTGCGATGCTGCGGTGGTAACTGTGAGGTGGCAGAAAGGTCAGTTCGAACGACTCCATCGGTCGGCCGCGATGGACGGAGCTAGAGGGGGAGCAGAGGAAGGGCAGGAAGTGGAGGAGGAGGAGAAGAAGGCATAATATTGAATGACAGGTGTGAGGTGATGATGGAAGACTGCCTGACTGGGTGGGGGGAGGGGGGTTGCAGCGGAAGGTACAGGAACTTACAGTAGTCATCTGGCTGTGGTGGGATGTGTATTAAAGTGTTACGGGGAACAACAGAGTAAGAAGGAGAAGTCGCGCGTGGATCAGGCTGCTTCGGGTGACCCAAGGCGGTGTGTAGATTCGTGCTTTGGTGGAGGAGTTGTGGAAAGTAGAGGTGGTGGTGGAGGTGGTAGGGCGTAAGGTGGGAGGATGAGGTGGAGGGTTTCGGTGGTTGTTGTTGTTGGTGTTGGGGTGGTGAAAGCGGTGGACTCTGGAGGGGGCTTGAAAACTGGCGATTGACGACGAGGCGCGCTGAACGATGGGAAGGACGGGGAAGCGAAGCACTTACTGTAAAGTAGGATGCGGCTACTAACTACTGCTAACTACTCTACATATCGCACAACGCATTCGGGAGTGTACGACCACCACTCTCCACGTAGGTAGGGCAAAGAATGACCAGCTAAGAAAATCTCAAGGCTTAAGAAGAACCTAAAACAAGAGGAACTTCTTGCAGACGAGAGTCTATAGCTTTTGCGGACTCGTTCACTCGAGAACACTCGGCTCGGAGACCCGGTCCAACAGGAGAAAGCAAGTGAGTCGAGCTGTCTGAATCTCCTCTTTGCTTTTCACCGTGTCCACGGCATTCCAGCCCTTCAGGAATGTCTTCGCACAGTGAGCTCTCGTATCACGAGTGCGGACTTACCACGGGACCAACCCGAGCACAATAAAGCAAACAAATTTTCCGTTTTTAATATCGCTTAATCCGACCCTGCGTCACCTCATAGTATAAGGGTTCTATGGTCTGTATATCACTCGATGCTCCTTGCTTTGGCGGGAGTGATCTGCGATGTGCAAATTCGTAGACTTGATCGATGATAGATATAGGAAACCGCTATGGTAAACAGGCTTCTTGGCTCGTGAGGTATGTACATCGTACCAGCAATACTCATACAAGTAATACTCATACAAGTAATACCCGTGGGGGGATTTGGAGTGGAAGTCTGACGTGAGATTCCACGTTGCACGGCACGGCACCATTTCTACTTCTTCTCCAGCCCCAACTCCACAATCTCCGCCTGACCCATAACCCAGACCTTCCCGCCATTCTTCCCCTCCTTCGTTTGTCTCCCGGTCCAGACATCCTCCTCCAGGGCGGCCCTCACCGCCGCACGGGCAATGGTGCCCGCATCCTGCGCCCAACAGTTCTTCATAGCGGGACTCAACCAACCCATAAAGTTGGCAACCGAATGCAGCGGCTGCTCAAGGGTCCTCTTGCTCTCCCTCTCGCCGACGATCAATCCCGGGCGGAGGAGCACACATTTTTCGAATCCCAGCGCCGACACCTCGTCCTCGAGCTCCCCCTTCATCGCGGCGTAGCCGACCATGCTCTGCGCATGCGCCCCACCGCTTGAGATCAGCACGTACGTTGTCACGCCGGCGGCCTTGGCCGCCTTCGCCACCGCAAGGTTCAGGTCGAAGTCGACCTTTCTGCGGGCTTCGGCGGAGCCGGCGGCCGCGAGCGTGGTGCCGAGGCCCGAGAAGAGGATGTGGCTGGAGGTCGAGGAGAGGATCCCAGGTAGCTCGGAGGCCCACGTTTCGTTGGAGGGGGAGACGGTGGTGCGGAGTTTGTTGGAGGGATCGGCGATGGGTTGCGGAGGCGAGCGCCGGAGGAGTGTGGCGACGGTGCTGATTTGAGGGTGCGCGAGGAGCTGCGAGAGGATGTGCGAGCCCTGTGATCGTCAGTTCAACTGCTCTGTGCGCCGAAGCTGGAGCTCCATACCACCAGCCCGGTGCTCCCGACTACGGCGGCGGAGGTTGCGGTCATTGCTTTGTGGTTGTTGGGTAAGTTGGAGACGGAATAGCTCCGAAGTTGGAAGGCTATGTGACGAAGTCTTGCTTCTTATCGCTGTGGGTTTCCCGGGGCGGGGCTATCCCTTTGGTCGTTTCCACGGCCCCGAGCTACGGCACCAGCGGTGGGGGGATGGGTGGGTGGAGGCGACTAGTGTGTAAGTTATTATGTCAGGCGATGTCAAGTGGTATGGTGAGGCGACTGTGCGGCTGACTAAGGGATCCTTCGCCGCCGCCGCACCACCTATGCCAGCACCACAAGCCAGCCTTCTTCAGCCGGCTGATGGGCTGTTACTTGCTAGTAATCAAATTCGGACTACCTCCAGTGTCCCCCACTTGCCCCCCGTTGCCGTGAAATATTTTTGACGAGGGAAGGGATATACGCAATATCCGTTCTAGAGTCCAGCGTGGGACTCCGAGGTCAGGGTACGGTATTGACTACTGACGAGACGTCGACTTATTGGTTTGATTGCCGTTGTCACAACGTAGGATATAGTAGTCGCGGTTCCGCTCAAACGCCTGGCAAATATTTCTAGAGACATGAGACATCGGTTTAAATCTTACCTCGGATTGATGGCTTCCACGGACTTTAACTAGTCATTCGGGTCGTTGATTATTCGTATCATACAGTGCAGGACAAGCGGGGATATTCAATTAAGCAGCAAACGTACTGAAGTGCCGTTACGATATCAGTAAGATCTAGGCATATAAATCGCCCAAGTCACGGCCATCAGTACACTTACATACACGTAAGAAGTGTGCAAGTGCTGGGGTGATGAAGGGCATGGGATAGACACATCACACGCCATCACTCAGCCAAACAAATAGGAAGTCCTTGAATAGAAACACAAAGATCACCTAGGGGTCAACAATACAAGGATGGGCTCGTATCTGGCCTCTTGATATACTGGCCTACCTTGGCACGATGAGCGCGCGCATCGGTGGATGCACGAAATTGAAGTACGGTATCAGCACGTTGGACGGATCCGTGGTTCGCGATACTCCCACACTCAGCCATGATCATAACTCCTCTAGGGCAATCGACCGTTCGTCCCTCATCATTCCTCGCCCCATTCTTTCCCGTAGATATGAATCAAAACTTCTCCGGATCCTACGCAATAAACGGCCGTTGATAAGCTACGCCACCCGTCTGCCTATCTAGTCTCACTTCTTGCACCTGTTTGTGCACTTTCCTGCGACCCTGCGGCCCTGCGGCATTTTCGACGCCACATCAAACACTCGAACATTCGAGAAAACCACAGAAGCAAACAAACTAGTGAGAACGGAGATTAGCCACCGAGAGTAACCTCCTCTTTCAAAATCCAAGCTTTTGATTTCCAGACATGCGTTTCTAGGGTGGGGGGGCACACGCGGGCAATAGGGCTGGGAAGGTTGATGTTATCCGCATGAATCTGGGACAAGGCTGGGTAACCTCGTAACATGGTTGAACTGCTGCAGCCCTTGGATATGTGCTCGATGGATGGATGAACGGGTATGTAGCCATGATGGTTGGACATGGCCGGTCGGCCGTTAATAGCGACATTGATCGGGCATGTACTTCAGCTCCGGAATCGGTTCTTTCGCCGTAGAGAAAAGAATTGATATCATTCCGCATTCCCGCATCGCACATCGAGCACCCCCCTCGCTCAATCTCACTGGCCTAGAGGTCCGCGACCAAAGTCTTCCGTCCATCCTCGATCGCCTTGCGTGCCTTCCCCTTGTTGGCCTCGGGCTCCACGTCGGCCGCGGCGTCCTATATACATTAGGATCTTCAACTCCACACACACACACACACCGCAACAGATTCACTTACAAGTTGTCCTTCTAGCACCTCCACGGCAGCAAGCAACTTCTCCCTAAGCGCAGGGACAACGCCCTTTGTCTCCTCGACGACTTTGGTCTATTCGTCGTGAATGTCAGCCCTCCGTCACCCCTTCCACCACGTATCCGTCGATCCATCCATCTGTATGCATACCTGCTGTTTGATGGCGTACTCATCGCTCTCTCCGTCGGCCTCCATCTTTGCCAACCGGTTCTTCTCGAGGACGAGCTCTTTGTGGTACATAGACTCTTCCTTTATTAACCGCATGACCGCGGAGGTTTTGATCGCGAGGGCGGTAGGGGGTGCCATTTTTTCTGCTGTGTAGTGAAATGCGTGGTGGTGGTGGTGGTGGTGGGGATGAGCTTGTGGTGGTGGTGGAGTTGGATAGAGGGGTGGCGACGAGCTGGGGTAAGTTGGTTTGCTACTGGGTAGGAGCTAGTTAGCAGTCGGGCAGTCGGGCAGTCTATCTATGCTAGCACGTGTTGGGTCGTCACGCGTTTTTTGGCTTTTTGCCCTGCGCTAATGGGAGCTGTGGGGAAACGCGAATATAAACGCGAAAGTATCGCTGTTAACCTTCACCACTTCTAATTGCTCTACCTGTGTGCGAATCACGATAAAGTTTCGTGGTTGGTTTAAATACAACTCACCAGAAGGAGCCCATCAGAGCTCCTTCCCGTCGAGCTAAGCTCCAACCCCCACGAAGCCGGTTCTCCGTCTCGTGACTCGTCGGCCGGATATGCACAGTCTCCCGGGACTCATTTCTCCCGAGTCTCCGGGTGGGGGTAGAGCACGGTGTCAGCCTTCAGGACGATACAATTTCGGGCCTCAGTGGGCGAGAGCGGTCATTGCGTCTCGTTTAGAAGCTGTTAGAGCTGCTTCTAGGGCTGAAATTGTTTCTGGAAGCAGTGGAGCTGCTGTTGTGGAGGAGACTGGGGAGCTCAGGGGGCGCTTGGTCGAATAACGGTGCTGTCGGCCGGTCAGCCAGACGGCCGTTGAGGATACGGTCTAACAGTCCGGTCCGATGAGCTACACTCCTGATCAGTACCTCCAGGCAAAGAATCAGGAATCGAATACCTATGGAACAAACTAGGTGGGTAAATCAGCCTGCTCGTGAACCAGTGCTAAGCATTGTCGGAGAATTGTGGATCGGGAACTTCGCTCGCTTCTCACGAGATATGGACGTTAAGGGTCTCGTGTTGGTGGGTGCATAACTGTGCACGTGGAGAGGTCCATCGCTGTGTCATTCAAAGGTCGTCTGGTGATGGTAGCTGCGAATCCGTGATCGAGATGAGGAGGAAAGGCGACGGCGCTTTCTAGTGTTTGTGGGGAGGTTGAAAGAGAGTGAGTTGCAGCTTTTAATAGAAACATGCAGCCAGCAGTTAGCTGCGATGCCACAGTCAGTAGCTATTCTACATCAGACAAAGATCATCGTGAATCGTGAATATTGGGGAATGTCATCGAGAAGAAGTGGGATGTGAATTTGGTCATATTTTGAGAGTACGAACGCAGAGTCTGGACAGGAAAATGAGTTTTAAAGGACATCGTCAGGTCTCACAGCTATTTGGCTATACCAGCCGTTGTTTACTCTACCTGGGGCTCCGGAGTCCGGATAATAGAGGTATCGTCATGCTTCAGTAACAGTACCGTAGCTGAGTACCTACCCAATTCTCCAAGATACCCTACCAATACCATCATCATCATCAACATCCCTCCTCCCTGCTTCTCCGCTCCTCCTTTACTTTCCCATATCCCTCGTTACCCCTGTGCCTGAATGACCCTTCCGTCTTCTTCTTCACCCATCTGTCCTTACTATCGCATCCCCCACAAATCTTGCATACCGCTGCCGCTATTCCACCGGCGCATCGAATAGCTTCCCCAAGAGCTGTCACCGGTGGCATCAACTCATCTTCCTGCCGTGTCCATCGTTCTGCACTCCCTTGTCCTGTCCTGTCAGTCTCGCCGACATCGACGCTGCTAGCCCATCGTTGGCTCGCATAGGTATATATTCATCTGCATCTACGCGCCACACTCCCACGCACTGCTGCCCCTTGTTATCAGCTCCCCCGCCTTGCCACTTTTCGCTGTTGCGGCGGCAGTACGTCCGTAGCGGTGGTTCACACCTATCCGTCCCTCCCTCGTCCCACCACCAACCACCGAGGACACACAACACCTCAACAAACAACCCCCTCAGTCTACGTACCCATCAATAGAATAGAGTGACAACTACTCCGAACTCTCATTCTCCTTCACTGCCTGGTCTTTGTGGTCTACCACATAAAAATACCTTCCTGGACCCCTCACGAACAACTCAAAAATAGAGCCAACCTCCCTTCGAGTTCAGTTCCACCCTACATACAACAAACCCCTCTAAAAACGTCATCAGATGATCCGAACCCGGAGAAATTTGGCCTGATTCCACCGACCTCCCTCGACCCCCCGAGCGGCCGTATCCAGCCAGACAAGAGAGACGCACCTCGCCCTGCCCTGCTTGGAGACTGACCTTGCCGCAAGAAGATTTACATACCACTTACCTACTTGCTGTGCCTTACTTTGTCAAGAACACAAACTCCACTTGCATCTGCATCTGTCCCGGCATAACATCCCCATCCACCAGTCTCTCTTTCCCACCACATACCACCACATACCACCGCTATTGCTGTCTACTACCATCCGCCGTTCGCCTTTCGATATTCCGCGATCAATCTACCGCGCATCTTCCGTACCTCCTCCGGATCTCAATGAAGGTGTGTGTGATACCCCCACCCCCGCCATCCCCGCCCTCGTCTTGAAAGGAACTGCAAAGGGTCGAAGCAAAGATGAAGGCGGTTTCATCTGCTTGCATAGATCCTAGTTCCGTGGTACGACGCTGGGTCGCATCACCGCGGTAACTGACATTCGAAACGACGATTCCACAAACAAACAAACAACGGACGCTGACGTAGTGAACAATCTAATCGTAGGCAGCACCGCGGCCACGCGACACTAGAGGCTTCTCACACAGCCCCGGCTCACGGTTATCGATCGACCCAAATCACCATGTTACCGAGGCGATCGGGGATATGTACGGCGACTACGAAACAGAGGATAGGGGCAGTCGATACAGCTTCGTTTCGTCGGCTCCCGGTGGCGGTGGCAACAGCGAGCCATCTCGAGCGGTGAAGCGGCAATCCACACTCTCGGTTCCGGGGTTGCACGGTAGAGGTCTTGGTGGGGGTAGTGGCGGTCTTGGTGGGGGCTTCGGAGGTGCGGGTGGAGGGGTACCAAGTAACAGCCAAGGCTCGTCAACAACTCCACCATCCTCGGTCAGATCCGCGAGTCCTTCGCCAGGCGAGGCTGTTTACCCCCTCAATGACATCGATTACGAATCCGATCCCGTCGCGGTAGCTCAGGAGATTAGTAACCTTCAGGCGCTACGGAGAATGTCGATGGACGTTTCGTCTGCGGCGGATCCGGACCTGCCGTCGTTCAACAGTTTCGTGCCTTCGACGCCCCCCGACGATGGGGATCCCGGGAGCATCTTCTGGGTTCCCGCACGGCTACACCCCGAACTCGCGCCGCAGGAGTTCAGTGCTTTCTTGGAAGCGAAGAAGAACGAGATACGAAGGCCACAAAGCGCAGGAGGAGGTGGAGGCTCGTTGTCTCCGGACGGGGCGCATTCCGGGGGTCCAAGCTTGAGGCGAAAGAAGTCTATGCTTTCGCGTCAGATCGATGCGGACTCGGCAAGAAACTACCGCGACGGCGCTGATCGGCTAGAAAAGCGAAAGTCACTCCTCACCGACGGAAATGCGGCGCCGGCGATTCAATTGGACGACCTCATGAAGGACCCAGAAGCTCTGATGCACCGGCTCAGCGCGGATTCGAGACGGAGAACCGAAGAAGGTAGGGGAATGAGACATCTCTCGGATGCCCTCCTCCCACTATGTAGCTTTACTAAGAAGTTCCAGGTGACCAAGCCGACGATCCGATAATATTCGCTCCCAAAGTGGGGCTTAAACGGTCGACGGCCACACACTACCGTCGGGGCAGTACGAGAAGAGACCGGGTGGGATCGAAGCGCGGGGGCAAGATTGCGGAAACAGACACTGAGGATTACGGACCCGACGCACCCCGCGGATTTAAGCTGGACCGAGCGTCGACAGAACCTGTCATCCGAGGGCCCTCATCTAGGGAGATTGACGAACCAAAGCAACGACAAGGCCGCAGGTCACCGCCAGATTCGACAAGTCCATCCACGTCGTTCGATGATTTGATGTCCAAGACAGTGCCAGTAGGAACAGCTTCGTCCACCCCCGGTGCAACACAGGAGAAGCACAAATCTGCCCCTGCTAAGGCCAGGCGCTCAAGCTCTCCGAGAGGGACAGCGCGGGGTACAAGATCTAGCGAACCGGTACCACCTGTTCCAAAAATCGTCGAGACTCCGCCCCCGCCCTCTACTCTGCCGATAATCGAGCTTCCCGAACGACACTCTTCGTTCGAGCCGCCCAACTCCTCCGGATCTCAGAAGAAGCCACGTCCGCCCGTTACCAACCGTCTGTCGGATTCGGCGATCGATACTAGCCCCTCAGCGGGTAAAGCAGCAGACCATATGACAGTTCCGGATGCAAAGGGAGACAAGCGGGATAGGAAACGGCCGGAATCGTCGGGCAGCACCACGGGCAAGGACCGGAAAACAAGCTGGGGGTGGCTTCTCGGCGATTCGGACAAAGCCAAAGAGAGGGAAGAAGCGAAGGAGCGGGAACGAGAGGAGAGGCTCAAGGCTAAGAAGGAAAAGCGACCAAAATCCGCCGACAAGTCCTCGGAAAAGTACGACAATACCCGTCTGGACGTCTTGCAGAAATCCATCGAGCTCGGGAATACCGGGAAAGTGGTCGCTGCCGATCCCGTCGTACCTGCGGCCATCCTCGTCGTTGAACCTCCCAGCAGAACAGACTCGAGAGAATCGAGGAAATCACGTGGCGAGGATAAGAAGGAGAAAGAGAAAGACTCGGGATTCTTGTCCTTCTTCGGAGGCTCAAAGAAGAAATCTGGCAGTGAGCACCAGACTGACGATAAGAAGAGCGGAAGCGGCGGTCGCTCGCGTGGCACATCTCCCGACCCCGCCACCGAATCACGGCCCAAATTTTACTACACCCGCTTCCCCATCCATATTGAACGCGCAATCTACCGTCTCTCGCACCTAAAACTTGCCAACCCACGCCGTCCACTCCACCAACAGGTGCTCCTGAGTAATTTTATGTACTCGTACCTGGCACTCGTACAGCAGACGCAGCCGCATTTGATCCAGCAGCAGCAGGCAAGCTCTTCGCAGCAGCAGAAGCAGCAAGCTGCCGAACAGCAGAGGCTACAGGAGCAGCAACGGTGGCAGCAACGGCAGGAAGAGGAGGCCAGGTTGCAGCAACAACAACAGCGGCAACATCATGATGATGTAGGCACTCGTCTTGTATAATAATAACGACGTAACTAACCGATTAGGGCGCGAGAGATTCGGATGGGTATGTTGATGACTCCCAGGGTTACGATGAGTACTCCGACGACGAAACTCAAGTTAGCGGTAATCACGACGACTACTACGAAAACGATCGAGATGGTGGTGGTGGTGGCAATACATATTACGATCAACAGCAGCATCAGCAGCAACAGCACCAGCAGCAGCAGCAACAGCACCAGCAGCAGCAGCAACAGCACCAGCAGCAGCAGCAACAGCACCAGCAGCAGCAGCAACAGCACCAGCACCAGCAGCAACAGCACCAGCAGCAGCAACAACAGCAACAGGATGAACGAGACGACATGTGGTAGGCCGCGGGGCGGAGGAGTGTACACATTAGCATAGCGAATAGGCCTTTTTCAGTTTCTTTTTTCTTTTTTTTCAGTCTCTTTTTACCGGGTAGTTTGGGATCTTAGGTTTTCTTGTTCTGTTGACGGGCGGGCAGGCGGAGTTTAGTTTGATATTTCTTTGATGCGGTCCACAGTGGAATTAGGGGAAAATAGGGAATCACAAATGCTGAGAATCTTCATCATACAAGGTCGCTTAGCTCAGTTGGTTAGAGCGTGGTGCTAATATCGAAAGATGTATACGCCAAGGTCACAGGTTCGACCCCTGTAGTGATCATTTTGTCTCTGTCCGCGGCCTCTGTCGTGCTCGCGGGCCTTGTTTTTGTTTGATCATCAATTGCATTCGACTTGGCTCGTGGCCGTGTGAAGCTAGATGAGAAAAGGTAGAATGAAGCGAGTGAGCGGTGGTGATGCATTATTGCCCACCCCGAGTGCCGTGCCATGGTTAACGAATGAACCGCCGTGATACCTATTCCCAACCAGCCTCCAAGATCCCATGCAACCAGAACTCCTTACCAGGCCCATCCCACATCCTACCATACATCCTCTTACCTTCTACTCCCCTCCTCCCATCCAGCCTAATTTCCCCCAGCACCCAACTACTTCCCCACCTCGACCGCTCTCTTATACGGTAGATGCGGCGGTGCGGTGGACGGCTGCACAGGATCGATACTCCCCTCCCCCGTCCCTCCCGGCAGTCCCTACGTCGCATCAGAATCCAGCTCATCCAAATCTCCACAAGCCGCAAACTCCACCACCGCCCTATTTTCTCCGCAGCCCTCGCCGGTGAGGCTCCCGCGCCCAGCGTCAGGAGCCTCTCCAAGCTCCCCACCATCCTGTGCGGCGGAGCGAATCATCATAGGAGTCGCGTTTGTCTTTGAAGGTGTCGGGTGGGTGCGTGGAGACGTCGTGGTATGTAAGAATTGAGGTGGTGCGGAAGGGTGGTGATGGTTGAAGGGGTCAAAATGAATGGTCGGTGTAAGGCTGAAGCCACCCCGCCAACTGCAAAAACACGGCTGCGCTGCAGCCCTGCGGCGGTCTGCCAGCGCCTATTTACGGCCTTGCGGCTCGCTGCCGCTGGTGAATGGTGACTGGTCCCAGGGCAAAATGATCACTACAGGGGTCGAACCTGTGACCTTGGCGTTGCATAGAAGATCTATTAGCACCACGCTCTAACCAACTGAGCTAAGCGACCGCTGATTAGTAGATGGAGCCATGTGTGCTTATGGAGTTAGGAAATGTTGGTGTTGAGGTCAAGATGGTAGATTTGTATCTACCGGCTGCAAAAGTGGTGTGTTGTTGTGTGAATGGGATAAGTGGGTGGTATGGAGGGGTGAAAGCATGGAAGCTTGGAGTTCCGGAGAGAGCTCGAAAGCTTGGAACCTATCAGTCGTCCCCACAACTGACATCTCCAATCACCTCACAACACCCACCTCGTCCTTTACCCTTCCTCCCGATTTAGCCTCCTCTTCGACCTCAAATTCAGAACGAGCTATGGAGGGTACGGGATCCACACAAAGTTCCTTCTCTTCTCCGCTTTTACTTTTTTGCACATCGTGTGTCCTATGTCAGAGTGCACCGATCGACTTGTGCGGGGAGTCTGGCCTATCCTCAATCAGCATGTTGTAGGAGGCCCAGTCCTGAATCGCAGTTCATCGAAAGGAGGTTGGAGCTGGTGACACTGCCACTGTGTCTACGGTGGATGAGACAGGCAAGGCGAATAGCACCATCCAGACGTCCTCGTCGGAATGGGCCGAGTGATTACTGGTGCACACGGCACTGGAAAATGCTATAAATAACAATTCAAACGAAGAATCCGGCACTGGGAGAGGATGTTGCAGGACTTAAAGAGGAGAACATAGCACTGAAGTCCGAAGTCGAGGTGCTCAATCGGAAAATCCAACAACTGACGAATCAAACCAATCATTATCGATCTACGAGGATGTTCTTTCTTTTAACATACAAGCGAGAAAAATGCGTGTGGATACAGTGGAAGGCATGATTATGCTCCTGAATTATGAACCTATAGGTGACGCACTCGCAGACGCTGAGCTTTATGCCAACAATGAAAGGAAGGATGATCATGTATACGAGGAGTTTTATGGTCTCCGTTGGGCAAGAGTTCTACGGCTACATGAGTCGGTATCTGCTTGGCACACTTATCACTCGTCATCTAACATCAGATCATGCCAAGACAGAGGTCATACTAAGTGCACACTTGCAACATCTAGTACTCATGGTCACCCCCGTTCCCCACCCAGGCTAACCGAGTCGTTTATGTTTAGCCTTAACATAGCTCTCTACATAGCGCCGTATTCTACCCAGTATATACATCTTGGATTTAAACCGTCTGGACCCAAACTGTGCTTTCTGAGCTCTCGTGCAAGTACCAAAGTTAGCGGGTTTTGTGGTCAAAAATTTCCCTTTATGTAGAGAGGTGGCTTGCCTGTGGAATTGGCCTACCTGTCGAACCTGCGCAGACGCTAACCAATCATCCATAAACTCCTCTCCTAAAGTCTGAGCGGGTTCGACAGGCAGGCCAATTCCACAGGCAAGCCACCTCTCTAAGTGTACGATACGACTCCCCACACACGTATCGTATATTCACAGATTATCACTCGACTATAATTTATAATTCTAGATTTATCTGTATGTATACTTCGCTCCACCACGGCCACAGTTTAGCCAACGGGAGTTACTCGGGTTCCATGTTTTGAACCTATGCAAGCCCGGTTTCACAAATAAACTTGGACAGAAAGGAAGATGTTGGGGCGGGTATGTGTGCCACACAAAGACAGCTTGAATGGCCTTGAAGCCGTGAACTCGTATGCCACGGCAAGTTAGTAGCGGACGTGTGTGTAAACTTGGCTGCCAACACAACACGCAACGGGTGCCGTCTTCTGCCTGATCCCGTGCCTGCTCTAATGGTGTGCGCTGGTGTGGCGTCCTCCATCAGAACCAAGAAGGTGCCTGTCCAGGATATCCCCTCTAACATGCTTCGCATCGATCTTTAGTGAACAGGCCAGGAAACTAGTTCGCTAATTGGGCGGTTTGATGAATGTGCCAGAAAATCAGAGAATACGGTCACAGAGAAAATGGAGAAGAATGACTGCGCAGCTCAACTTCGTGGTGCAAGCAACGCCCCAAGCGTTGACCTCCCCCACGCCTCGCTCCTTCATTCTGTCCGTCATTCACCCGTCAAGCCTCCACCGAACCCACCATTTGCACCGCCCTCTCTACTCGATCCGACTCAATTCACTGAGATTTCAGATCAGCTAAGTCTACTCAACCCTCAATCAGAGGTCGCTTAGCTCAGTTGGTTAGAGCGTGGTGCTAATAGATCTTCTATGCAACGCCAAGGTCACAGGTTCGACCCCTGTAGTGATCATTTTGCCCGGGGACCAGCGGCGGTGGGGCAGACCGCCGCAGGCATTCTTTTGCTCCTGTCACGGAGGACTAGAATGAAGCTTGGAAAGGTTGGCGAACGAAGGGGTGGGCTGGCTGTTGGTCTATCGGCGTATCCAGATTGTGTTGGTTTGATGATGGTTTCTATAAATCGGTGAAAACCCTGGTTAGTGCTTCATAGTCAAGAATTCACACTTGCACGCTCTCTCAGAAACATGGCTTCCGATTGCCATTCTATACGGTAGCGCACCCACAGTCATTAGGAATTCCCTTCTTAGTTCTGTCATTCTGTACCGGGACTTATCCCTTTGATTGTTTCCAGTGCCCCGAGCTACGGCACGGGGGGGTGGAGAGACAGGTGGGTGGAGGCAACCAGTGTGTAGGTTATGATGTCGGGCTGATGTCAAGTGGTATGGTGAGGCGACTGTGTGGCCGACTAAGAGCTCCCTCGCCGCCGCCGCACCACCTATGCCCGCACCACAAGCCAGCCTTCTTCAGCTGGCTGATGGGAGGTTACTTGCTAGTAACCAGATTCGGACTACCCCCTGTGTTCCCCACTCGCACCCCGTTGCCTTGAAATATTTTTGACGAGGGAAAGGATGGCAGTGAGTCTTCGGTAGCTTCGACGACGGACTGAACTGCCGCTGGGAATCCTGCCTGAAAAACTCTTTTGATTGGCGTCCAAGGTACTACCTATGATAGATGTGTGAAGTGGAACTTGACTATCGGTACCACCGTTGCAGAGCAGATCACCACTGTGGGCAGACCTTCGGTCGTTCTCTGGAGATCTACTGGCCTTCACCGTACCAAAGTTTGGCCTTCGACCATGGTGATGTGATGTGGCGATTGAAGGGTTGTCCAGTCACGTGGAACATGAGCCACACAATACCTATGTTGACTACGTCTGTCCCGCTATCACTCGCTCACGTGCTGTGGGGATCCACGCTACTGTATTCCACGCTACTGTATTGTACGCTACTGTAATATACGCTACTGTATGCTAAGCCCTATCTCCGCTAGCGTGCGAGGTCAACCTTTCCTGTTAGATAGAGTTGTACTTCACCGTTTGGGCATTCCTCTTCCTCTTCCTCTTCCTCTTCCTCTTCCTCTTCCTCTTCCTCTTCATCTACCAATCAACCCAATCTTCAACATTCACTCCCTTGTGGGGTCTGCCTTCTCTTTTAAAGAAAGTTGTGCTTCGATGTCTGGGACTTTCTCTTCCACCACCAATAACACCAACCTTCGACGTACACTCCTTTTTGGAGAAAAACCACCTCACCTTCGATGAGGCCACCACGGCCGGACTAGAGGGATGCGACGCGGGGAGAAAGAAGGGGAGGCGAGGAGTCGGAGAAGAGATGATCCGACTGGGGTTGGTGCGACATACCAGCGATACCAATACCGAAACCGGATTCGACTACGAGATGGTGAGATGGGACATCACCGCCGACCGAGCTCACTCACGCCGACTACTGGAGAGCTGTTCCGACCAGAATATCCCCGGGGATACATCCCCCTACGCGAAATGCGCTCGGGGCCGTTGATCTGGAGGATCTACTTGAAGCTGGCTTCGGGGGAGTGTCGCGAAGCGGTTGGCGTCCACGATGGACGTTGGCCGCATCGAGGGAGGGGCGAACTGGTTCGCTGCCTCCCTCTTTGTTCGGTGACGGGAGTGGAGGGAGGAGATGACGACTATTTCGCCGTGCTGGATACCGACCAGACAGAGTTGCTGGTCCAGCCGTCTCCGAACTAGGTACTACAATCCACGACACTCCTACATTTTCGTGCTGGAGTAGTTCATGACGGCTAATATGGAGACAAGCAGAGACGCGCTCGTCGACTGAGTACATCATCCCGGAATTTGTATCATACAAATATCTGATGACGAATCTTACCGGTCTAAGATCCGAACTTCCGCAGTGGTAAGCCTCATATATCCTTTCGGTTGCATTAGTGATCACTAAATTCTAACTTTTCACGATAGCTCTCCATCGGCCTCAAGACAATCTTGATTCATCGAACGAAGAGACAGAGGGTAGGTGGGAAGAGTGAGCGAGTCAGCCCATAGGAGAGAGAGGAGAGAGGGGTGGAAACGGGGGGGAGGGGAGGGTGAACGGGTGATATTGCCATGATCTAGATAGGTTGCATGCAATTACTGATTAAACCAAATTTTTTTTCTTGATACATCGAAAAGATGATGAGCTGCTGGCAAGCTGCCGATTTTTTTTTTCGGGCGTGCTATGCGCCGCCATCCCCAGACTTCCACCGTCAACGGTTCTGCTGTTCGGATCCTGCCAGACTTTAACGGCGGCGGAGTCGACTTGTCCCCAAATACTTCTGGAATACTCTAGCCTTGGGGTTCAATCAACCGTTTGACCTAGCTTAGATGGGAACCACAGTGAAGTATTCACAATCGATACGGTTGAGCAACTGCTTGTTTTTGTCACCTTATCCAAGCGTTCCTCTGGACGAACTGGTCCGTCCCGTTCTGATACTGGAACGACGAGTGTTCTGTGGAAGCGTCTTTTGTGGAAGTAAACTTATAAATGGATGTCCATGATGGTTTCGTTGAAAGCAGCGATCATGCTTCCGGTCATGGGTGCGGAGGGTAGGACCTAGGGAACTCTCATGATCATGGATATATCGGAAAACTGTAGCCTAACACGTCCATAGCTCGTCTAATAAGGCCGTATGCGACAATAAATTGATGTTCTCTCTCCCATCCGTCCATAGGTCTTCATCGCTCATCCGTATTTGTCTGGGAATGATTGACGGAAATATCCGCTGCATGCAGACCACAGGTCAAAGTTCGCGGAATCCTCGTGGCAGCGGGAAGCCAAGCGGCGTGTGTGCTGGCTCGCTTTCCACAAAAGGGTCCGTACGGTTTACTCACCATTATTGATCTACCTGAGTCCCATTTCTGAACCATACGTACGGGTCCATCCTCATGTCAACGATAGATACATGATTGGTGAGTACCATACCCACTTTTTGTGGCATCCAATCCGAACCGCATGGTTATGCGGCTATATAGGCGGGTGTGATCTTCGTGTAACGTCACTAAAATAACTTATGCTCGAACCGTCGAACGTTCCACGAGCTCCAACTCCATTCCATTCGTTGCGCGTTAAGCTGGCGGACCTCCTAGGTTCATAAACCATTCATTCTCCCACACGCCGTCTCCCGACACTCCGCCACGCGATGTCGCACTCTAACAACTGGCAGAACGACGACAACTCCGACGCAGCCGGTAGCCCGGAGCACAACTACGATACGCCCGCCGACAGCAGCGACTCCGACAGCGACGATGGCGCAATAGTCCTGAAGGCGCGGATCACGGCGCTGCGTATCGAACTCAACATTCTGGAGCAGCAGCTAGACAAAAGGAAGAGGAAGAAGGCTCGTGGGATTGCTTCTGGGATTGCGAAGAAGGCGTGTACACTCACGCGCGCAGGTCTCGACGCTTGGCTGACGGAAGGAACAGACTCCGAGTCATCGCGTTCCCTTACCCGTGAAGGCAAAATCCCCAGAACCAGAGCCCGAGCAAGAGCCCGAACCAGAACCCGAGCCTGAGCTGGAGCTTGAGTCAGAGTCCCACATGCCCAGCTTCCTCGCCGGGCTGGTCGCAGCTTCGTCTTCGACACCCACACCCCCAGCTCACATCACTCCCGCACCGCCGGCCCCACAATTTACCCCCACCAACATTCGCGCCCCCAAGACCCGGGGCCGCGGGCGCCGCACCACCCTCGCCGTCTCTCCAAACCGTCCGGCGACAACCCCCGCTCCACCATCCATAAACCGGCTGCTTGAAACCGTCCAAGCTCCCCAGTCGCTGATCAAAGAACGCGGGGTGGGGAAGGGCACGCTTCTACGGCGGCGACTGGGGATCTCGGAGATGAACAAAGCCGACCAGACCTCTGCCACGATATACTTCTACCGTGAAGCGAGACGGCATTGCGGACAGGATCTTTCGCATCCGTGGACTTGGTATGTGGAACAGAGATTGGCGGGGGAGATGGTTGCCAGTAAGTTCTCCCTCTTGACGAGGGGGAATAATCGCTCACAGATTTTAGATGTGGTGGAGGGCATGAAGAAATTCGGATGGGATGAGGGGCTGGCAAAAGATATACTTATGAGTTCGGCGCAGAGGAGGGTGCAAAATAGCAGGCGCCAGATAAATAAGGATATCAAGGCTAGAGGCGGCCATATACCGCGCGGGAGGCCACCGAAATCGCGGGCGCAGGAGTAGCCATGTGGAGAGTTGAGGCGTTTAGCAGGATTTTTTGCATGTTTAATTCAACAAGTGTTTGTAAGTCAATGGATTTGTTTTTCGGGAATACATGCTGTATCATACAGTTGGAGGGAGGGGAAAAGATTGTGGTAGTGCTACCGCATCTATAAAATGGTAGTGATATGGTATCAGTATGGTCAAAATACCTGCTGCAATTATCCCGCTTAGAGACCAGCATACATCAAATCATGCCCCAATGTGCCCGGAGGGAGAGAATTTTCGTGATTCCACAGCACAATCGAGCTCTTCCCACAGAATCCATTACAATATGTAAAAAAATCTAACTAAAACTACCTATTGTAAGTGCCAAATAAAATCGTATTCAATACCATCACCTTCATCATCGTCACTGCTGCCGATTGCATCCTCATCATCATCCTCGATCTCACTATCCTCATCCTCATCCTCATCCTCATCCGCAATGCCACCTTTAGTGTCGGTAATTTGCGGGGGAGGAATGACAGGGCTGGGAGGGCTAGGTTGAGGTTGAGCTTTCCCTCCCGGCCTAGCACTTCGCCGAGTTCCTGCTGCTGGAGGGGCAACCGGGGCTCGACAGGCAACCGGAGCTTTAGGGACAACCGGAGCTTTAGGGACAACCGGAGCTGGAGGGACAACCGGTGCTGCTAGGTCTTGAGCTGAGAGCGAATCGTCACCCATGACCGGAGCGTTGGGAGGTGCTACACCCTTGCCACGGCCGCGGCCAGCGGTTGCCTCAGCCGCTGCCGCTGGAAGTTGTTTCTCGCCATCTTTCCGCCAAGGGTTGCTGCGCCGTATGCGGTGTATCTGTTTATTTGCTTGAAGCAATTTCTCTTCGTCCTAACGGGTAAGCTCGATTAGTAACTTTACAAATTATAGGTCTATAGTGGTGGTGTGGTCTTGGAGCATACCTTCTTCCACTTGTTGACTTGGTTCTTCTGCTTGAGCCCGAACCGTACGCGTACCTCCTCCCTGGTGGGCTTCCGCTTCCCACCTCGTCCATCATCCACCTGCCCGTGCTCTGCCCAGTGTAATACTTCGAGCTTGAACTTGACTGTTCTACTTACCTTAGCTTTGGAAGCGGTGGCCGCTGGCGGAGAAGCTGAGCTTGAGGCCACAGCAATGGGCGGCTCAGCGTGGAGCTCTAGCTGGTGTTCAGTAGTCTTAATCGCCGGTGCACGCGTGCAAGCTGACTGAGGCGGATCAGTAGATAGCTGTAAGGAAGCTTGCGAGAATTTCGTTGCGAGGGTTTCTACTGGCTGTGCAGAGTCCGATACTTGATCGTTCATGGTGATCGATAGCTGTATTGTATGGTTCTTCTAAGTTGTGGGGATACTATGTAGTAGGTAGTTGACGATAGTTACTGCCAGCTGTGTCGTGGGTTCAGCTGTGTGGACATTTGTACCTCCTGAACTGATCCCCTTACGTTGGAAGTTGCTCGGCACGCTAACCATAGACAGTGCGTACCTATATCAGGAGTGTTTATAGGGTACCTCTCACGAGAAATAATACGATGTGTGTGAAGTGAATTGAAAATTTGGATAACTTAAGTACAGCAGTGAATGAAAAGGCACAAGAATCTCGTCTATATCCCTCTGGATAAGCTTATCGTCACGCTTCGTGCCCTACTCGCGTAACATACTTTCCACCATAGGTACATAGAAGGGACATGGTGCCTGGTCCACCGCACGAACCACCTTGACCCATCCCATTACACACCCACTGTTGACAGCGAGTTTCCGCCAAGTCTCCACTTCCTTCACAGGCTTGTAGGACGAGAGTATTCCCACGAGAAAGCGACACGGCACACGTAGGGACCTGGCCTGACGCCCTTTTCGATGCTCCATCGAGGGACGGGCCTTGCAAACCCAGAAGCCCGACTCGACATGCCTCCGAGGGCTGAGAGGGTGATGTGTTTCGTCCATGCGAGTGCTGTTTGATATATGATCAGTTGGTGTCGGGCTAGAAGATACCATCCAACTGATGTCGTAGGGAGTTCTCGACCCCAGTGACACGACAGAAATGAGAGACCTACACAGACAGCCTGTTCACACCAGAGGGCTGTCCATCTCTTTCCCGAGACCATGTAGCGATCTGAGAGGCAAATGATTCATAGGATCTCACTCATTTGAGGTCTCGATATGCACCACCATGTCACTGTCAAGTACCATGTACTCTTATCCACTGCATTCCCGTCGATCTAGACAGCCAGCATGTACTCTACATATCAACGATTAAACAAAGCACATTCGCGTTGATGTAGCGCATGTCACACACTCTCGCCAGTCCGGCCAATCACCGTACGGTACCGAATTAGCAGATACGAGATGCCTGTCTTCAGCCGCACCATCAGGCACAACATGCACAGTTCGAAAGCGGAGACTCGGAGAGCCGCTGCAAGCCTCAAAGAGGGGAGGGGAACCTATTTATCCACGCCATGGCTGGAGCTTGACCTCAAACCTGAAGAAAATCTACAATCTTTCCTGTGTCTGTTATTGCTCTTGCTTCACTAAAATGTCACACTGGCCCCCAGCGCAGCCTCAATATCCGAACAATCAGTTCGGGGAGCAGCAACAGCAACAGCAGCAGCAGCAGCAGCAGCAACCGCCACAGCAACAGCAACAGCCTGCTTACATGAACCTGCAGTACATACCACCACCTCCCGAAGCTCCAAAGCCGACAGGCGGTAGCTTGATGAAGACTCTGAACTTCTTCTCCTCAAAGCCGTCCTACGCGCCTTCCTCGCCGCAGCCCCAACCTCCTACCTCACCGTCCTACGTGACCAGTCCTCCATCGTACGGTCCACCACAGAACCAATGGAACCAGTCGCCAACACAATATCAATCCCCATACCAGTCCTATGATACGTACCAAAATCCACCTCCGCCGCAGGTTCCATCGGCATATCCTCAGCCGCTGCCAACCCCAATACCTCAATATGTCCCATCGCAACCGCCACCGCCCACACCGGCTCCATACATCCCTCCAGTCTCCGCCGCAACCCCAATACCTCATTATGTCCCATCACAACCGCCGCCGCCGCCATCACCGGCTCCATATATCCCTCCGATCTCTACACCGGCTCCACACATCCCTCCGGTTTCCACACCGGCTCCATACATCCCTCCGGTTTCCACACCGGCTCCATACATCCCTCCGGTCTCCACCCCAGCCCCTCACGTCTCCCAAGCCTTTACCCCCGCATCACCACATGCCGACAACAGCCCAGAGATCGAGCGTCTCCGCCGGTCAATGACCGAGCTAGAAGTGAACTACACGCAGAAAACCAACGAGTGCCACAGCGTACGTACTGACATCAGCAAATTCATGCGGATCATCGATGAGAAAGACACCGAAGTTGCACGCTTGAATCGAGAGCTTGCCACTCTACCAGCTGAGGTTGAGAATCTCCGGAAGCGGATGGTCGAGAAAGACCAGGAAGTGGTGCGGGCAATGGATGAGGCAACGCAGTTGAAGGAGCAGATCGATGCCGTTCGGAGACAGTCGCAGCAGCAGATCCAATTGGCACAGCAGGATGCACAACAGCTCAGGGCCAATGCGGAATTGAATCATAAATTGGCGGTTGAGACGGGTGAAGAGCTAGCGAAGGTCCGTAGGGAGGTGGCGGATATGCAGGCGGCAGCACGGTTACAGACGGAGGAGATCGAAAATGCGAGGCAATCGGCCGGAGAACTGAGGCAGCAATTGCAGCAGCAGGGAACCTCTGAGGAGGCGTATCAGAAGATGTGGCAAGAGCTTTATGAGCTGAAGCAGACGCTAGCGAAGAAGGACGCTGAGATTGCGGGGCTTAAAACGAACCAGCCCATCCAGCCAATGCCGCCTGGCCAGACACCGACTGTATGGACGCAACCTACGGGAGTCCCGTCCCAGAACAGCTATTATACTGCTGGTAATACGAGTATGCCCGAGGAACCATCGTTTACTCCATACATTCTTCCTCAGCAGTCCCCAGTGCCCGGACTCTCATCGTACCCACCTTACGTACCTCCGACACCCGAACAGCCATCTTACAATCCCCATGGGCCTCCCACACAGCCCTTACAACCTCACGGGAAGCCTCGGGAAGACGTTGTCTTCACTACGCCAGACTACGGAAAGCCTAGCGAATATCAACCGCCAGTAGATCCGGAAGCACTGCCTGAGGCAACCCCTTCCGAGAAGGAATGGGAGCGACAGAAGCAACAGGAGGGAGCCCAAAACAACCTCCTGGATGTACTCATGACCGAAGTGACTGGTCTGGATCTTGTCAAGGCCCACTTCTTGCGGGTCAAGGGAAAGATTGATACTGCACAGCGGCAAGGAGTCCCGCTCCAGGGAGAGAGATTTGATGTTGCGATTCTGGGCAATCCAGGCACTGGTATAAAACCATTCTCCTCCTCGTATAGGTAGGTGTCAATTTCCTCGCTGACCGGTTACCCAGGAAAAACCACCGTTGCAAGGATCTACGGTTACTTCTTATCCACCATTGGAGGAGTTGTGGCAACCGACAATATAGTCGACCTCACCGGTACCCAGCTGCTAGCCGCCGACGGTGCCGCAACCGCAACGGATCTAATCGACAACCTCGCGGAGGCCGGCGGCGGCATCTTCTTCCTCGACGATGTCCAAGTGCTCACCGACTGCCAGAGCGTCCCCGGACAAGCCTTTGGAGCCCACGTTCTCAACACCATACTCGGACTGATCGAGAAGTACATCGGCACGATCATCTTCATCTTCTCTGGTCATAAATCAGCGATAGAGGAACATGCTGGTCTGGCCAATAAGGTGGCCTGCAAGTTGGTGCTGGATGATTTCACGGACGCCGAGCTCCTATTAATGCTGCGCCGGTCGATCACGACGAGGTACAGTGGGAAAATGGCGGTTGAGGGCGGCATGGGTGGCCTTTATATGCGGGTTGCTATTCGCCGTATCGGGAGAAGTCGCGGCAGCCCTAGCTTCGGAAACGCAAGGGACCTCGATAAGTTATTCACGCGGATGATAGAGCGGCAAGAGGACCGCATGACGCGCATGCGCCAGGAAGGTCTCAGCCCGAATGATTTCTGGTTCTCTGCGGAAGACATTATCGGCCCGAACCCGTCCGAGGCCATCCAAAAGAGCGTGGCATGGAAGAAGTTGCAGGAATTTGTTGGACTGACTGCCGTTAAGCAGTCTGTGAGATCTATGATCGACATGATCGAGACGAATTACCACAGGGAGTTGCAGGAGAAACCGCCGATGGCTATATCGCTCAATCGTGTATTCTTAGGTTCGCCGGGAACGGGAAAGAGCTCTGTGGCGAAGCTGTATGGTAAAATATTGGCAGACCTGGGGCTGCTTAGTAGTGGCGAAGGTCTGTCACTCGTAAAGAACTCACCCTTCGGACAACTGACAATTATCCAACAGTTCTCGTGAAGAACCCAGCAGACTTTGTCGGGGCAGTACTAGGAGAGACCGAGCAAAAGACGAAAGCAATTCTGGCTGCGGCGGTCGGAAAAGTCCTCATCATCGATGAAGCTTACATGCTCTATCCAGGTGGCAAAGGTGGCACCATCGGCGGTGGGGACAGCGACATCTACAAGATGGCGGTGGTGGATACTCTGGTCGCGGAAGTGCAATCCACACCCGGCGAGGACAGATGTGTCCTGCTCTTGGGATACGAAGACAAGTACGTCCTGCCATCCCCTCATGTCCCTTACAGCTACTGACAGACCTAGAATGCGCAACATGTTCCAAAATGTCAACCCAGGCCTCGCACGCCGCTTCGCAATTGAAGACGCATTCCGCTTCGAAGAGTTCACCGAAGCCGAGCTGCGCAAGATCCTCGAGCTGAAGTTGCACGAGCAAGGTCTCCATGCCACCGACGCCGCAAAAGACGTCGCCAGCGAGGTTCTGAACCGTGCTCGTATGCGACCTAATTTTGGAAACGCCGGCGAAGTCGAGAATATGCTGTCTCAAGCCAAAGTCCGCTACCAAAGCCGGATCAGCATGGTCCCACCGCACCTGCGGCCAATGACGGGTGATGTAGTCTTCGAACCCGTCGATATCGATCTTGAGTTCGCCCGCGGCACCACCGCAGCTCTCAACTGCCGCACCCTCTTCTCCGACACCGTCGGTTGCGAAGGCATCATCTCCAAGCTAGAAGGCTACCTCCGCATCGCAGCCAACGCCAAAACCGCGGGCATCCCCCTCCACGAGCTGATCCCCACCAATTTTCTCTTCAAAGGCCCTCCTGGCACCGGTAAAACCATGACCGCCCGCAAAATGGGACAGGTATACTACAACATGGGCTTTCTTTCCTCACCAAACGTGATCGAATGCTCAGCCACCGACTTGATCGGCCAATACCTCGGGCAAACCGGGCCCAAAACCCAAAAACTCGTCGAATCCGCGCGCGGCTCGGTGCTATTCATCGATGAAGCCTACCGTCTAGCCGAAGGCGAGTACGCAGCCGAAGCTTTGAATGAGCTAGTCGACATCCTGACGAAGCCCTTGTTCCTCGGCAAGATCGTCGTGATCCTCGCAGGCTACGACGACGACATCAACCGGCTCCTGTCGCGAAACTCGGGGCTGTCGTCCCGCTTCCCGGAGGAAATCGCGTTCGCAAACATGTCCCCCGCCGAGTGCGTCGAGGTCCTGGCCCGCGACGTCGAGACGAAAAAGATTGCCGCCCCGTGGCTCCGCGATACCGCCGCTCGAACGTATAGGGACCTCGCGGAACAGATCGTATTGGTTAGTAGGCTGCCTGGCTGGGGGAACGCGAGGGATATGAAAACCCTCGCGAAGAACCTCGTCGGTACCGTGTATAGAGATAGTCCGGACCTGGTGCTGCGCCCGGAGACGGCGGTGCAGGCGGTAAGGACCATGCTGGGCGAGCGCCAGGCGAGGGCGGATAGTGTTGCTGCGGGCGGCGTGAAGGGTATGGGCGCGGATGGAAGGCGGGAAAAGATGGGAGGAGGAGGAGGAGGAGGGGCGTCGGGAATTATGGCGTGGAGGCCGCAGGGGCTGTAGACGTAGGGGGATATAAGATCGCAAGACCGCTCTTTTTTTTCTGTCATCATATTGCATTCGATCTCCGATCATGGTACATTGAGGTGGTAGGTTGAAGCTTTGTGCACGGATAGGAATATGAATGGCCACTTCAAGGCTGGATTCGAGGCTGGATTCGAGGCTGGATTCGAGTCATGAACGGTGAAGGAGTGATTCCTCACGACCAAACATCATACTTCAAGTTAAGCCCCGTTGGTCCAAGCACTTTTGTGTCTGGTGTCTGGTGGGATTAGGAAACGGAATGTATACTTGAACTGTCATTCAGACTCGGCCAGATACTGAATGATGGAACAAAAAACCAACACAACGAAAATCACGACCAACATCAGAGCTTCACGAGTCACGCCTCATTACCCCCCACCCCACCCCCACCATTAACCCTTAACCCACCCTCCCCACGTAAGTCTGTGATCAATCTGAAAACTTCCATTCGTCCACCCTATCCTACTTACTTCCGTAAGGTATCATACTAATCTACCAGGTAGGTATACCACGGCCCCACAGTCCCCCAGTACCCGCCAACCGTTCCAACCACCACCCATCCCAGACATCTTTTAACAAGTTGAAACAAAAACAGAACCATAAAACCATAAAACTTTTGATATAACAACGAAATAAGCCTCAAACACAATCATCACAATCATCAAAAGCACGAACAAACACCCCAAGCAAGCATCCCACGCCCATCCCATACCCACACCCATCCGATCCGTCTAAAACAAAAGAAAAACATCACCCCTCTGAACTCCCTACTCCATTTAATTTACCCCCCCGTACCAAGCTCAGCACCTAGCTACCCGAGGTCTACTGCTGCTGAACCAACTGCAACAGCGCCGGGAAATTCTGCACCAGCGCGGGCTCCTTACTATGGAGGAACTTGACGAGCTCGACCAGTTCGGCGCGGGTCTCGTCGTTGAGCTGGTCCTCTGGCGGAGTCAGGACCTGCGAGAAGATGGGCACGAACTGCTGGGTCATGCCGAAGACGGTTGCGTTCGAGGCTTGGTCTGGGAGGGAGAGCATTAGTCACTGCGGTGGTGGAAAGTGTTTGCGAGGGGGGGCTTACAAAGCTTGACGAGCATCTTGTAGACGGGCTCGTTCTCCTCGTAGTCCTCGGTGAGCGGGAGGACGCTGGCGAGGGCGGGGAGGACCTCGGCGAGCGGGACGTTCATGGGCGAGGCCATGATCATGCGCGCGATGCAGCCAGCAGCGTTGTCGAGGAGCCTGGGGTTGTCGCTGGCGTTGCGGGCCAGGAAGCGCTCGAGCTTCTGGAGGATCTTGGGGTACTCCTTCTCGATGAAGGTCTTATCCTCAGTGAAGTAGCACAGCAGACCCATGGCGTAGGCAGCGTTGGCCTTGGTGTCCTGGTCCTCGTCGGTGATGCGGTGCGACAACAGCTGGAACAATTTCTGCAATCGGTCAGTATCCACTATTCGACCAAATCAACGAGTCTTCCTTACCGGAGTGTAAGTGGTGACGGCACTCTCCATGAACTTGATGCTGTCGGCGATGGCACCGACACTAACGGCCCTCTCGCGGGGATCGCTCGAGCCCGCGTACTTGTAGAGATGAGTAGAGACTATCTCCCAGATCTTTCCGTACTGCGGTCCCAAAGCGACGGCGAGACCAACGAGGACATCCATAGCGGACTCAACAAGCAGCCAGTCGTACTCGGAGGACTCCTGGAGCTCAGGAAGGTCCAGCTCATCCTCGACGTCCTCAAGCTGGGAGGGGTGCTGCTTCATGAGCACGAGAACCAGCTGGGTGGTGAGCTCAAGGATGGTGGTACCATCGCTATCGGCGAGAATAGCGGGACCACAGATCTTGAGCGTTTCGCAGACGTTCTGGAAGATAGTGGTGACAGTGGACCTAACGTGGCACGAGTTAGCATGCACGCCTTCCCATCATCCCAAACCACAACCATCCAGCAAGAGATCAAAAAGAATAGTCAGAAGTAGATTCGTGTTCACAGCATTCGCCAAATAGGCGTCAAAGTGAGCTGGGTAACGAAGTGTACTCATCATTCCGTGCAAACACAAAAACACCAGGAGAAAATGCTCGGGGGTACAAACCTATCCGTCTCGGTCTTCAAGTTCTCGAGGGTGACCTGAGCCACTACCTGTCCCAGCTTCATGAGCTCATCGGTGGGCACGACATGGAGCGGGATTCCCGGCTGCCACTTTGCCATACCCTGGCCCTCGCAGACCTGCCAGAGCGTGGCGTAGGCGCGCCAGAGCGTGGAGATGGCGGCCTTGCGGATGCCCTCGTAGTGGTGATCGGCCATTGCGCGCAGGATCTCGACCGTCCTCTCGAGGTACGGCAGGAACGCGTGCTTGCAGTGGCTGAGGATCTCTCCGAGCGTCTCGGCGGCAACCTCCTTCTCGAAGGCGACGGCGCCGACCGCGGTCAGGTCGTCCCAGTTGTCTTCGTTGTCCTCGTCATCGTCATCGCCGTTCGCTGTGACGATGGTACCAGAGACGGCAGAGCCGCCAACATTAACGACGTTCAGCTCCAGCTCGCCCTCCTCGCCATCCTCCGTCTCGCCCTGGGTCAAACTGTCGAACAGAGCCTTGGTGGTTCCGTCAAGGAAGGGCTTGAACTCCTCTCCGTAGATCTTGGCAATGGTAGAAAAGAACATGAAGGCGGTCTCCTTCATCCTGGGGTGGCCGAGGTGAAGGGACTCGTCGGCGGCGTGCATGAGCGGCTCGACGTACGGGGTGAAGGCCTGGAGACCAACAGCCTCGGCGATGGAGCCCATGCAGTCGATGACGATACCGCGAAGATCGAGTTCCTCCTCCGAGTGCTTGAGCGAAACGTAGGGAGAAAGTCCCTGCATCATGTCCTGGAAGTAAGGGGTGAAGCTGGTGCTAGCAGCGATCGCAGTAGAGCCAATGGCGCCGACGGAGGCAGCCTTGAGCTTGAAGTCGCCCTGCTCGAAAATGGCGAAGAGCTTGGGGACAAGCGTGGGAAGGTAATCCTCGACATCCGCCTGGTCAACTCCGACAAGGACGGCATCGATGGCGTTACAAGCGCGTCTCCAGATCTCAGGGCCGTCGTTCGAGTTCATCATGTTGATAAGGATGGGAATCAACTGAGCATGCTCCTTTCCGAGCTGCTCGTGCAGATCATCGGCAAGCTGCATGAGCGCCTCGAGGGCAGCCTGACGGACACGGGCCTCGGGGTCACCGAGGAGACGCAGGACAATGGGGAAGATGGAGTCGAGCTGCGTGACAATGAAGTCGGGAGCACCCTCAACACAGTGTCCCAGCGCTAAGATACCAGCCTTCCTGTACTCGGGGTCAGGGCTGCTGGTGTATCCGGGCAAGGCGTTGAGCATGGGCACAACCACCATACTCGGGGGGAGAGCGGCGGCCATGAAATCCAGCATCTGCAGAGCCGATCTCGAGGGGGTCATCTCGTCGTCATCGGCGATGTCCTGGAACTCGGTAACAATCTGCATGGCCCTCTCCGTCAGGGTCTGCCCGACCTTCAGCGCCTGAATCTTCAGCTTCTTGTAGCGGATGCAAGACAGGAGGAACGACAAGGCTTTCGTGCGGACGTCGTCATCGAGCTCCTTGTTGATCGACATGTCGGAGAAGAACTGGACCAAGTCACGGAAATGGCTCGAGGTGAATGCCGGATCGACGATCAACAGCATCTGGAAGACCTCAAACGCCGAGTTCGACTTCTCCTCATCACCATCCTCAGCAACCTGCTTGAGCACCGAGACCATAGCGGGGATGAGCTGGCGCACAGCCTCCACGGCCGCCGAATGCTCGTCTGAGTTCAGAACCTCAGTCAACTTTCCCAGCGCCAGCAGGGTGTTCAACCGCACGGACATGCTCTCGGGGTCATTGATAGTCTGAGCAAACAGCTGGACAAACTCCTGCCAGCTGCTGGCCATCTCGTCCTCGAGGGTATCCAGCAGGGTAAAGAGGACATACGTGGCGACCTCGCGATCGTCCTTCTTCTGGGAGCGGGCGGCCTGGATCAGGGTGGCGGGCAGATCCAGCCAGAGTCCGTTCGGGATCTCGATTCTAGCGATAGCCGACACGACGCGGGCGGCGGAGTGCCGGACGATTGGCACCTCGTCCTGGGTCGCCGACAGCAGCAGCGACTCCTTGATCTGCTGTTTCACGTCGTCAGGCACCTTGGCCGACGAGTTGTTCTTAATTCCCCAGAACTTGGGCACCAGCGTGCGCGCCTCCACCGCCGCCAGCTGCCGCAGCGCCTTGTCGGGGTGCCCCCGCACAATCTGGATCAGTATTGGCAGCGACTCTGGCATCTTGTAGTACTCCTTCTGCAGCTTCGTCGTCGCCTTGAGCAAAGTATTGTTGTCCGCTATTTCCACACAAGACCGTCAGCTCCGCAATAACACAATAACATTTTACCCAGAAGGCAGTAAGAAACAGAATCACTCACGCGCCAATACAGACATCAGAGTCTGAACGAAGGCCTGTTCATCCATCGCAGCAGGAGGTATTAGGTATACGGTATAGAGAAGGTGTGTGTGTGTATCTAGACAGAACGTATGTCCCGGATCAAAAGAAAACGAGCTTTTAAAGAGGGAGGAGGAAATTCGTAAATTGGTTCGTATATGTAGACGGTAGGTGGGGCGTGGAGCGTGGGGCGTTCTTCTTCGGGGAAGAAATAGAAGGTGGGGCCGTTGGAGTCGTTTAAGGATTTTTTTTTGGAGGGGCAACAGACGGACAGCCAGACAGGTCGCAGTTAGTCCCGTGAAACCCAAAATTTCTTGTCACGCCAAGCACCGAGCGCCGCTTGCAGGGTGGGTCAGGGTACCGCAGCCTTGTGGGAGCAGGGTGCTCCCCCGTGTGGCCCGGCCCCGTGCGGCGTCGGTTAGTTATGGTTTTATGGTTGCTCACTGCTCACTCGACGTCTACGGTCTAGCACCTCGAGAGTCGAGACCGAGACCATCGTGGAAGGAAGAAATAGAATTTCGAGTGCTACATAGAGTATGATACGCAATAAAGCGATGACATCAACAGGACGAAAAGAAAAGAAAAGAAAAGAAAAGAAAAAGACTTCCGAGAAAGAAAAAAAGAAAAAAGAACCTCAAGTCCAGTCCACTCCCGAGTCCCATCTCGAGTCCCATCTCGAGCTCACCTCACAGTTCATCACCCGCAGGCCTTATCGAACCGCCCAACGAGTGCCGCCTCCGAATCAACGCCAATATCTATATGGTATATAACTCTCTCCATTCTCTTCCATTCCATTCACCACAATCGATGGATGAAAAAATATCTCCAGCAAAAAAAAAAAAACGAATACAAGTATCATAAATCGATCACCAGCATCACCAGCATCACCAGCACCAGCACCAGCATCACCATTTGAGCAAAAAAAAAATCAGACTAAGTAAGTAGAGTATACCACCGAGCACAATACCATAATCATCACCCAAAGACAGACATCAACACCATCAATCAACACGCACGATACGAGTAAAGTAAAGGAAGCAAAAAAAAGCAGCAGCAGCACAGCGGGTAAGGTAACGGGATGATCAAAAAAAAATAAGCCCCGATATAAAAAAAACCCCTCGACGAAGATAAATAAAACGCAACGCAGAAAATAAACCACACGCAGAAAAAGAAAAGAATAAGCAAAACGCAAACACTTATCATACATCCATAAGAGAGTAAATAAATAGAAAAAAAAGCGCCGAATGGAATCGCCCTGCAGCTCGGTCCACCGCTGATATCCCCTCCTCCTCCTCCTGCTCTACCAGCCACCTCTCCCGTTCCCACCGCGGCTCCTACGTCTACCCGAGCCAGCACTCGCAGGCGAATCGGGCTTGTCCCCCTCCAGACTCCTCCTCGAGTGCTGCTGCTGTGCAAAGATCTCATCGCTCATGGCAAACAACAGCTCGTCCTCGTCCTGGCCGCGGGAGCAGCTCGAGGTTCTACCTCCGGGCATGCCAGGCCTAGTAGCACTGCTCATGTTCCTGTCCAAGCCCGTAGTCGAACCCATCGGTGGTGTGTTTCCGCGGCCGCGCATGGAAGGACGACTGCTACCGCGGTAGGATGACCCTGACGATGACAGTCCGTTCCCTCGGTGGAACTGGTACTGAAATCTCGGTGCCTCCTCGCCGACGCTGTCCATCGATGGTGGCGGGATCGCGGGCCCAAATGCAAGAGTATCATCTTCCTCGTCGTCATGGCGACGCGATGCAGCTTCGGCCTCTTCTCTTCCTGGAAGCGCAGACTCCGAGGCGTTGTGAAGATCTTGTAGTCGGCTGTTGCTCAAGGGTGCGTTGTCAACACTTGAGAGACTGACGCTTTGTCGGACATTCTCGTATGGTACGATGGGGCCAAAGTCAATCGTATGGTTTCCGGCGGCCGGTTCATGATGCTGCTGCGACATGGAGTTCGCTCGGCGGGGTCCCATGAACCTGGGGGATACAGGTATGTCCAAGGGCGAAGTTGTTGCCGCACTTCCATTCCCTCCTCCGCTCGCCTCCCGTCGATGGCTACTCTCATTGTCGTTTCCCACCACTGGCGAGGGCCTACCCGGGCGCCGATGCTGTTCGTACTGCGCAGTGAGATTTTCACTCAGCCTCGAAGGCACAGCCGGTGTATGCGGAGTATGTGGCGACAGCGGCTTCCCTGGCGACGACGAAGAAGAAAAAGTCGTTGAAGGAACCATCCCGGGCACACTGGAGAGGTTGCGGCTGGATGTTGACGGTGATCCCGGTGTCGGTAATAACAGCGACGAAGACAGGGAATCGGCCAGAGCACTGTGCGAATCCTTCATCTTCTGAAACTTGGACAGCGGAGCGATCCTACTAGATTCTGCAGCCGGTGCGCCGAAACTCTTGAGACTCGTCTTCTGACCGTCAGCCAGCATCGACATGAAATCCCGGATCTGAAGATCCTCTTCGTACGAGCTAGTTCCAGCAGCCGTGTACAGTCCCGACCCGGGAGCCGCCATAGAAGACGTGTAACTAGCCTGCCCACTGCTATTATCGTCGTCGGCCCTGGTCACACTAGCCGCGGACGAGATCCGTGGTCGGCGCGAACCAAAACTACTCGCTATCCGGGTCATGGGTTGCGGCATCGGCGAGTTATTTATTATTGGTATCGGGGCTTGGCTCGAAGAAGTCTCTCCAGGTGCTGTAGCAGGCGTGGATTGAGCTGATTTGTACGATGAGGGTGATATCGCCCCAATGCTAGGCCGGGTCCTGTGAACGTAAGCACCACCAGGTGTGCTGATCCGACCCAACGATGACGGCTGGTATGTCGGCTCGGAGGTAGCAGGGGACGCCGAAAGAGACGGTGATTTGAACGGCTGGAATGATATTGAACCCCTGCGGCTCACTGACGGAATATCGGTTCCTCTCAAAGATGCTCTAGATCCTTGAATGGACCGTAAGCCTGTCGAGGGGCGATCGGCCGGCGAGCTGCCCGAAGCCACCCTATCCATAGGAGTTCCACGCAATGCCGATATCGGGCTCGCACCATGCGGGCTCATAGCCTGATGGTACGACGATAAGCTGCCGTTTGCGGGAACATATTCGGGCCGTTGCGGCAAGGTCGACACCGTGGTCGGTATGGATCCCTGTTCCACTCCCCGGGCAGCAGCGAGGTTGTACGGCTGAGAAGTTGTCCGCTGATGTGACGACGGCCGAAAGTAGTGTTCATCCAGGTTGATGAAATGCGAACTCAACAACGACTCGGAATCGTCGACCCTGAAATCACAGTTTTTCCGGAAAGAGACGGTAATGTTGAAGCAGCCCGCGGGACTCTCCACTTTTCCAAAAGAAAACTCGTCCGTGACTCGCTCGTCACCCGGATACAACGGTATCTGCAACCCATCCCACCGCCGCGCCAATCTCGCGAAGTCGTCGCCACTTTGAACCCTGCATCCAATCTTCAACGCACTGCTCTGCAACTTCAGTTTTGCCAACCGTCGCCTAAACTTCCAAGTTGGCATCAACGAAAGGTACGAGTACAGGGCTCGAAATAGTATGATGCCCTTCTTGTAAACAACCGGAAGCTCCTGTCCTTGAGGAATGTCGAATGGGTGACTGCACACAAGGATGAGTCGTTAGCCATGAATCCTAGCAGCCTCACTCCCCCGGGTTCATACGTCAGTTCGATCTTCCACCTCTCCAGCACGATCTGTTGCGCCTTCGCAGGGCCTCTCTCGCCTCTTCTGATACCCGCATTGAGACCGGCCCTATTCGCAGCGTTCTCCAGCGCTTCGGTAACATTCCACCTCTTCTCGTTGCTATCCAGGACCACCAGCGCCTGCGTGGGCGTGAGATCGGCGGTGTCGAGATACGTCTCGATGATGAGCGGTGGTGGTCGGGGATCAAATGAGTCTCCGATCCTCCAGGGTCTTATTTCTTCTCGAAAAGTCTCCATCTCGTCAAGTTCTATGTTAAACTATTGCTATCGTCAGCCTTCGCCCCTCGGATTTCCCACTATCGCCGCACGCCTGGAATTCCATACCCATTTGTTCGTCTTCTTCTCCCCGGTTTTCATCGCCACAATAGGTACAGTTGGAATTCTGGACTGCACGATGACCATAGCCGCCTTCCAAAAGAAGGCCTGAACGATCTGATTAACCTTTTCCCTCTGTGATTTCTCGGCAGGCGTATCGCCGGTATTCGCCGATCTCGAGTGTCCCCCACCGCCACCGCCGCCGCCTGCTCTGGGGACTTGTGTGAACCCGCCAGACGACGACTCCGATCCTTCCAAGCCGTAGTAGTTCACACCGGATGTGAAGCGTTGCGTGGAGTTCGTCGGCGCGTCAGGCTCCTCGGCGGTCGAGCGGCGACGGCTCGGGGAGGCGCCCCATGCGAGGTTGGTCTTATCGGTGCCGTACATAGTGTGTGTATGTGTGTATGTGTGTGTGTATGTGTGTATGTGTGTGTGTATGTGTGTATGTGTGTGTGTATGTGTGTATGTGTGTGTATGTGTGTGTGTGGGTGTCGAGTTGTAACTAGCGATGTGTATAGAAGGTGGGTTGACGGGTGTCGCTCGTTCGCTCGCCGGAGTGTATTTGGCGACCGATCCGTCGGTGGGAGCGGATTGTTCGCTCTCGTTCGTGTTCGTGTGATTCGGTTCGTTGCTTGTTGTTAGGCGGTGATGATGGCGATAGTAACAGTGACGGTGGCGTAGTTGGTTGAGAAGTGCTCGTACTCGGCAGCCATTACATTTGTCTATCTATACGATTTTCGGGGTGTTGAAGTATAAAGTAGAGCAGTTGGTCTAGTTGTCTGCCAGCTCTCGCTCTCTGTCGGAGTGTGTCGGTCGTCGTGGTGAGCTCGATTGGATGTGACGGGTACTGCAGGCAGGGTAGAGTAGCAGTAGCAGCAGGTAGAGTGGGTAGCTCTCTATGACTGGAAGACGCAGCAGACGAGACGCAGAGGTCGACGATTATCTAACCACAAGAACTTCTAGAGTGGTTCAGGGATGTTGACTGATGTGCAGCTGAGAGATGAGAGCGACACGGAGTGGGAGTGGGAGTGATGGTGGTGGTGGTGGTGGTGGTGGTGGTATCGCGAATCCCAGTGTATGCGTGTCGCAGAACGAGAGAGTAGGAAGCTTCGACGAGCACTAGTATCGAGTAGTGGGTGTCGAGGATGGGAGCGAACGAGCCAGTCGCTTGCGGTTTCAAGCTCGACGGAAGCGTTGATTTGAGTTCACTCACTGCACTGCAGGCACCGTTCGGTTTTAGTCAAGGCACGGCCAGATCCTCGCAACGATAGAGTTCCGCAACGCAAGCAAGGCTTCAACGGACAGACAGGAAAAAAGGGCAGCGCACGCCAGGTACGAGACGAAGCGGGCAGGCGGGCGGGGCAGGCGGACGGGCGGACAGGCGGATAAAAGGGATTATGAGAAGCGAACGGGATCAGGTCGGATGGGATGGGATGGGATGTGACCAGCAGACGAGGCGGAATAAGCAAACAAAAGGGGAGATGATGATTGATGATGATGGTGGTGATGGTGGTGGTGGTGACGATGATGACATACACACACAGACAGACGGCGCGCGACGATTCCTCTATCGGTTCCGTAGAGAACGATAAGGCAGCAGCAGCAGCAGCAGCAGCAGCAGCAGAAGCAATAGAAGCAGGTTGTTGTCACTGGAATCCTCCTTCACCGCCGCCAGGTCCTCGTGTCGATGCGTGATGTACGGACGACGACCAGGCCTTCCTTACAGATCGGCCGACGCGACGACTGGGTGGATGGGGGGAGGGAGAGGACGTGCGATGACACCAGCGGACGCCCACCTGACTGACTCAACCCGAATGAAAACGAAGAAACAACTGCGGATTCACCACCGGCAACGACAGGGACAACAACACTCGCACGCACACACGCAGGCAAACCCCGGATATTCTCGCAGCGGTTGGATGGGTGGGTGGGTGGATGCAGGACACGAACGGAGGAGGAGGGGGGGGTTACCAGAGAACAGCCGTTTCGAGGCGAGGGAGATATTAAAGATAACCGTACCGTGAGTGAGCGAAGGCAGGAGTGGAGGTGAGTCGCACAGGAAGGAGCGCACAGTGTCGAGTACTCCACTCCAGTGACTCCGCCAGCTGTGGAATGGCTGTAGATACCTTCCTGCGGCCTGCGGCCTGCGCTCCCCCCCTAGCAAACGCGCAACGCAACAGTTGTAGGCTATATGGGCAGCAGCAGCCTACTTACGTCTCGTCTCGTCTCTCGCTCGCGTGGATAGCTAACGAGTAGAGTTGAGTCCGGGGGTGAGCAAGGCAGTGACGGGCGGTGATGAAGCGGTCGAGCAGCAGTGAGTCAGGTCGGTGCAGTACGGTGCGGAGCGATGGAACGGGTTGCTATTCGTTCGCCAGTTTTTATTTCAAATGCGGCGATTGCGGTGGGGGAGAGAGGAGGGGGATGAGGAGCGAACGAGTGTCGAGTGGGGCGAGGATCCTTTCGTTTCGACTCGGGTCCGCAGGAGGGCGGGTGCCGTGCTTTGTTCGTTCTTTCGTTCTTTCGTTCTGTCGAGGAGGTGTGGGAGTGTTCGGAATCGGAGGGGGCGGGGTGGGGGGAGGGGGGTGGGTTGCGGTGAAGTGTTCTTGCGTGCTGCCCCGATCTGTCAGTGTTCCGGTGGTGTGGGTGAGGGAACGAGAGCTGGGCGTTCTGGGCGTTCTGGGCGTGAGCTATCTGGAGTACCTCTTCCATACATACGACGACACCGTCTGGAGTGCGCGGTTTCCCAGGTAACGGATGCATGTGATGATCCTCCAAGGAGGCTCAGAGTTGGAGCACCGACAGCCAGTCAACTTTGATCCACATCGAAGAAGTGGCAAGTACTCTTGAATAGTACCTGTCATCGCCAGCCCACGATATAGCAGGTACCGTGAGGTGGTCACGGCTCAAACTATGTGGTTACTGCGCACCTTCCATCGGCATGTGACCGAACACACAGTACTATGGTACCCCCGTCGAACTCTACCTACCTCTGATAATCTAGAGTATATACCTGAGCAACAGCAAGCCTTTGTCCGGGATGGAGTCAGATATGTGCGTACCGAAAAGCGGGAGGCAATCTGCCGTATGCGCATAGCAATTCTTCCGAGATAACGCGATATCATATCACCAGCGTAGGTAGTACAGCTACATACATGAGCACTCTGCACTCCGCAAGCCCCGTTTCGTCCCATGGGATGGTATGGTATGGCATGGGAACGAATGGACAGATAAACATCTTTTATGCTGCACAAAGCGTCTTGAACCTTGATCGGAAGTGGGCCGGCCCATGGGGAACTTTACACGTACTACATAAATTCGGGATCGGCCTCAAAGCGCAGCCCTTCCGATCATCACATGATCACCGTATAATTCCAGATATACGCCCTGGCGCTTGACCGCCTGCAATTATGATGCATGATAAATATACCTATCCTTCAATGAAGCTTCATCCTCACGGTGACGACGACAGCAATTACCCATCGAATTTGCAGGCTCTCAAGTTCCGGAACTTCTGGATGGATACGCCAGTGGGATCACCCGGGCCATCATCGTCGTCTTGCTCGAGTTCCTCAACATTACGGTACTGGAGCCGGCCGGCGGGTAGACGCAATATTGCAGCGGTTGGCTGGTTGTAAATACATGGCTCGGGGGTCCGAGTCCGAGTCCAAGTAACACTTCCCGATTTACCATCTGGTAATCCGTTGGGGAATCCCCTGGAATCCTCGTGAAATCACCGTAGCTGAACTGTACAACAAAGATCTCCGGACGGTGCTGTTTTTAGTCGGGACTCGGGCTGGTGGAGCTGGAGGGAGGATTTGAGGGTGGGTTTGAGGGTGTAGCGGAGGATGGAGGGAGCACCTGGATGAGGCGTGGTGGATAACGCTGATAGCCTGAGGGAGGAGGTTGGTGGAGAGGAGCAGGGAATAGACTGAGGCGGGTGTAGGTAGTAGTGAGTGGGTTTTTGGGGGGGTTTTTTGGGGTTTTTGGAGGATATGGAGCAGGAGGTTGTTGATGCTGCACATGCTATTATATATGCCAGACTATATGCCTAAGATACCTCCTATGTAATTATGTCAGACCATTGTGTACATTGTACGTACTGTATATACTTGATTGAGGTAGATTCCTGGAACCACACTGTTCACACAATTATATATCTATGATACGTCCAAGTGTTCACAAAGCGTAGCGTTTTTCATGTTAAGCTTAAGCTTAAGCTGCATCCAGAGTTGTGCGTAATATCACCACGCTTTGGCAGACGTTATGGGCACCTGTGCTGAAGATGAAGGAACCAGTGTCTTGTCTTTCCCCCCACTGTGTGGAACGATTCACCCGTTGCGAGTCCTAGGGGACATGAGTATTCTCCATTGCTCGCATGTATGTAAAACTGCATATGCAGGTTATGACAAGCCTCTAATTGCCTACAGCCTGCAGGATTGAAAACGGCCCGGCGGGCGGGTGTTTTGACTGCGAGTGGTGAACGATGAAGCAAGTGGTTGCCGTAGTGGCCGTTACGATGAAACCTCTACTCTAGAATAGATATCGCCACAACCGTGCCTTACCTACGAATGGGAAGTCTGGAAATGCAAGTCCCATTCCAGCTGCTCGGACTGCCTACCCAGTCGACTGTCCGGTCGCCTCGATGCGTTGAAGCGAGTCCAGATATGATACCCACAACGTTACCCACGTCCACGTACATTGACAGTGGTATTGATAGCTTTTTCCATTACATTCCCAGGATGAGGCGCACATACCACACACGACCAAGGCCCAACTTCTAAGGCCCCAGGGTCGTTGAGTTTTACCGGTCAGGACTCGGACTCAGACTCGGTCGTGATGGATGATGGATGATGGATCCTTGTCAACGCTGAACGCTGTGGTCTGCTTTACACCCCCCAATAGACGCACGTGGCAGTTCGAGCAGCGATCCTTCCGGTATATACAGTATGTACTATACTCTACTCGAGTAGGCAGCAACAATCAAGCAATCAATCAATCAAGCAATAACGGCAGCCTTGTCAGCGACTCAGCGCAATCGAGCGTCCCCCTCCTCCACCTCCACGTCGTCCGCGGATTATTATTAGAAAGATCGTCTCCTGAGTCCTGGCCCTCATTGAGCCCTCCCCTCCAGAGTCCACCCCCCTCCACCCCGTGCCGCGCATGCAGCCGCCCACGTGGAGCCTGCAGGCCCGCAGCGCAGCTGTGACTTGGACTGCGCAACTTTTCATTTACATATAACTCCCTACATACCCGCCGCGCATCACCACCATCATCATCAGCATCGCCAACGCCAACGCTACTAGTATGTAACACGTGTAGCGAACTCGCGGCGGGCGTTGTTTCGTGAGTCAGGCCTCAAGATCCTCGGATTCTGGTTCTGGTTCTGGTTCTGGTTCTGGTTGTGGTTCAAGGCAACCGCAGGAGCTGGAGCTGGAGCTGCATGGTCCATGGCCCATGGGCGACCCCTCACAAAAGCACAAAAGCAACGCTGGAAATAAAAAAGAAAAAAAGAAAAAAACGATGAGAAAAAAGAAGGAAGGGAAGGGAAAATAGGAAGGAAGAAGACGTCAATAATGCGGGGTAGAAATGCTAATAGGATTCGATGATGGCCTGGACTAGAGAGGGGGAAAAACAAAAGGAAAAAGGAAAAAGACTCATCACTGCTGCTGATAAGCTGGGATTGTATCTAGGTGTGCACCCCTCCCCAGCAGAGTGCTGGTGTCAGAGGAGTAATCGAATAGACTCCAGCCCGGAGATATTAGAAGCGTTGGAATCGAATCGAATCGAATCGTAAAACATATCATATCATACAAGTTACAACCAACGGGCTCCAGTCCCACAAGCCAGCTGTCCGGTATACCTAGTGCTCTATGTAGGGTTGGAGTGAAATTCCCAGAATTCTTCCCCCCGCCGTCACCTTCACTTCAGGGCCCCAAACCGGCAAAGAAAGTGACTCGAACCCGAGGAGCCAGCACCAACCAACAATCTGAGTACTTACTCCAATCCCATATAACTTTGTATCCAAACATTTCTTGGTCCTGCACCGGTGTATTAGGAAGCCTTGCCCCCACTACGAATAACAGTGCACTGAACTTTGATTCGAGATCACTACGCCAAGACACTCTGAGTGAGCGCTGGTGACTGTTTTATGGTGGAGAACGTTTTGTCCATATTTGTCACGCCTTCACGCTGCTCTCCCAGTACATCTGGCCTGCCTACCTACATAACGTACCGATAGACATGTCTTGCGGCGGTGACGGTCCATAAAGGTGGGTTCGAGCAGTTGCCTACCTAATAGCTAAAACCTGTCACCAAGTGGTAAATATGATACTATTAACTGAGCTCTACATACCACTTGTGTTGCACACGATACGACGTTAACTAATCCTCACCATCTCAGCCCCTCAGCGGCATGTTCCTTCCTCCAGCGGTCACTTCCCACGCATACAGCTCAGGCTAGTCGTTTTGCCGTGAATTTCTCTGCCGGATAAGGGTGGTGGTGGTGGTGGTCGTTCAATCCACCGTTTTGGTAGAGCATGTAGTTGCTTCTTCGCCTTCATTGCACAGACATAGGCCGTTAACGTCTATGTAATAGCAACAAACCCACCACCCAACCTAATTATTCCTTCTAGAGTCCATCTAGAAGTCGGCCGTGAATGCATAGCTCCTGCATTATCGCAATGCCTAGCCTTTCCAACCTTGGGAATCAGATTCATCCACTTTGATCGTCGACCATCCTGCGCTTTGGATTCAATTTTCGAGGCAGAAGTCTAGATCGATTGATGTGACGAACTGTTGGGCCGATTGCAGTACGGTGTGTATTGTATCCAGCCCACGCTGAAAGGAGAAAAGCTTCGTCTCTGTTCCGATCGGCTATTTAGAGAGTTCGTGCGCGGTTACTACCGGAAGCTTATCGGGCTTGCGGTCCAGCGTTATATGATGTACCTCCATTGCGTTTGTACACCACTCTAGTGAAAAAGCTCGAAAGTCTGAAGGTCCGAAAGCAATACTGTGAAAAATCAGAGAAATGGTCGGCCACAAGCGGGTGAATTGAAAGAAAGCAAACATTTGAAGAAGAAGAAGGATGATGCTGATTATTCTTATATTCCTTTGTTTCAAGTTCTGGCCAGAAGCCAGGAGCATACATGCGTTTGCTGGAATCATCGTCTCGCAGTCCGACACGCCCAACCTTATATGCTAGAAACGAGCCTGAATGCTCCGACTCAGCACGCCCGATGCACTGGTGGAGGAAGGCTTAATTTATCCTCAAAATCCGAGTTATGGATCGCGAAGCGATAAGTTGAGTGAACCCCGCTGAAGTGGGGGCCAGTCCAGTCCCGTCTTCCTGTGGCCGTGACTAACCACCGGTACTTAGCATCGTCGAGCGTGAAATCAAAAAATGGAGGATCTCCGTACGAATCAAAGTGCAAATAATCAGCCCGAATCGTCAGTTCGACCTTCAGCTTGTCCTCTTCCGTTCTCCCTTCCCTCGTGATTGTGTTCGATGATGAAGTTACCACTCCACTTCCAAAGCTCGAAGCGAGCCGGCGAGCACAGCGGTACCGTAGTTAGACGAGAATAGGAACCTCCCTCTTACTAAACAATCTTCACCGCGGGGCAAGCGAGAAGAAAGGCATGTACTCACAAGTTACAACCCCTCCAAAACATCACCCGACACATGACGAACGGTGGCGAGTGACTTGAGTATCACGCCAGTTGCCAGGGCTGCATCATGTGGCGGCGCCAAGTCACTCGCGCGGGGTGTTCTCGAGGAACCCCATAAGACGTCATTAAAACACCCTTCGCAACCCTTTACCTACCACCCATCACCCCAGCCCGACTCGCAGTAAATAAACACAACATCCACACCACCCACTGCCCCACCGACCGCCATGTCAAAAGACCTCGCGAGCTTCCACGAGGCTCTCCTGCAGTCCAAGCGTGTCCTTGCGGTCTGCGGCGCCGGTCTCTCCGCTAGCTCGGGTATCCCCACCTTCCGCGGCGCAGGCGGTGTTTGTCCCCATCTCCCCCTCCAAGCCTTCCCCGCCTTGTCCCCGCCCCCTCCCCCCACCTCCCCGCCCGTCACCCAACGTCCACTGACCCAGCTATGGCCGCCGTCCACAGATGTGGCGTAAACATAACGCGCTCGAACTCGCGACTCCCGAAGCATTTCGCAAAGACCCAGGATTAGTGTGGCAGGCATCACCTCCCTTCCACCCCGCACAACCGTGTGCTTGTTGCCCGCTTTCCCCCGCCACTAGGACTATCAAAATAACACCGTTTTCTTCAGTTTTACTCATTGCGCCGCCACAACGCCCTCAAGGCGGCACCGAACGCGGCCCATTACGCACTCGCAGAGTTTGCGCGACAACGACCTTTCCCAGAGTTCTTGACGTTGACCCAGAACGTCGATGGACTCTCTGAAGGTGCCGGGCACAAAGGGAAGAGCGTCGAATTCTTGCATGGAAGTCTGTTCCGTGTCCGGTGCGCCCGTTCCTGGTGTAGGTATGAACGCTTCGATATCAGCGACCCGATAACCCCCGCGCTAGCCGTGCCGGAGGGGGAGGAGGACGGCGCGTGGAGAGATGTTCCGATCGAGGGTTTACCGAAGTGTCCTGAGTGTAGTTACCCCTAGACTTCCGAGGTGGTGATGGGGGTGATGGCCGCGGTGATGGTGGTGGTGGTGGTTGTGGCGAGTGCTGACCGGGCGGGGTAATCAGGTAGGACCGGATTATTGCGGCCGGCGGTCGTATGGTTCGGCGAGGAACTCGACTCCCAGATGTTGAAGCGTATACAGCAGCACATCGCACGCGACCCAGTGGATCTCTGTATCGTCATTGGAACAAGCGGGACCGTGTATCCGGCTGCTGGGTATGTCGTGACCTTCCATAATGTTTTCATTCATATGCTGATGTCGAATTAGCTATGCTAGCCAGGTCAAGGCGCAGGGCGGCAAGGTAGCCATCGTGGATATCGATTGCAGTGTGAGGGGCGACGACGCGGACTGGCTGTTTGAGGGCGATGCGGCGAGGGTACTCTATTTATCCACCTTCCCTCTTTCTGACACGTGCTGACCGCGACGGATAGCTGGTCCCCGAGATGCTCCGGCCGATAATCGGAGAAGTGTGCGTGCCGCCGGAACACCCAACGGTGCGGCAATGCCTGGAGGAACAGATAAGGATAGCACAGAGCAGCCCGCCGAGCCCACAAAGCCCGCAGAGTCCGGTCATGACCCCGAGCTGGACCTCAACCCTTGTATAGGGAGGGCATCGGGCGAAAACCGCATATCAAATTTTCATGATACTCATGGCTTTTTTTTTTCGTCCTCCACTTTTTTTGTTCTCTTCTGTGGGTGGTGAGTGATGGGGTGGGTTATACTGGTTCCTATTTGTCTCGCAACTGGGTTCTGGTTTGACTTGGTTTTGGTTTTTGGTTTTGGTTTTGGTTTTTTGGGGGCATATTGAAGGCGCCTGCGTCTGTCTACACTACTATCGAAATATCTATCATATGGGGTTTCCACGCTATTCCTTATAGGGGTAAAATTACTGGGTTATTTGTTTCGGATTTAGTTTTCTACTCTACTGTCCGCTGAGTGAGGCCGCCGCCTTGGCCGTAGGTGGTGTAAGATTGCTCAGATAAAGGATCTAAAGTCGAATCGGAAGCTGAAGTCTGGCCGTTCTACCAACTCTGGGGATTTCGTTTTTCGGCGGCGATGAGGCTCAAGCCCGGAGTCTGTCTGTTCCTGGGCTACATACTATGATTGAATCGAGTACCCGTCGTTGTGACTGATGGCGTATTTTTTCGAGAGCGAATGCGGGTCGCAAAAGCTTATGAATGGCAATCATAGGGCGAGGTCGAGGGGCTAGTAATGCTAACTATCACTCGGCGTCATTCACGAGTCGCGACGATTGCGGCAACTCGTTTCCTTCCCCCTCGTGTCTCTCTTGGAAGTTTGGGGTTTAAGTCGTCCAGGAACGATTAGCAACCAAGTGTACTGGTGGACCGAGTCTCCACCTCCTTTCGGCTGTGGCAGTGTGGAGACGAGTTCTCACGGACTCGAGAGTCGAAACTGGAAACGCCGTTTGGGTGCGGAAAGCGAAGGCCAGTCGGCACTTTCACAGGTGATAAATATCTTAACCACTGGTACAGGCCATGATGGCCATGACGGCCACACAGTCTTCCTTCCGATGATGTTGATACACACTACGGTAGTCCGTAACACTCACGCCTCAGTGCGGTGAACTCGATGTGAAATACCGAACTATTGGAGACGAGGGAGTATATAGATTTGGAAGTGGAGAATACAGGTAGGTATTCCGCTTAGTCGATTCGCTTTAGTAGTAATGTATGATAGTGTAAGGATTTGAACTGGTCCACCTGGTAGTTACTCTATCCCATAGATCGTAGCGCGCTGGAGTTCCGAAATCGCCTCCAAAATGCTTGTATCTCCGCGACCCATGATGACCACGGAAATTTAACCAGCAAGACTTTGACTCGCCAGGTGGTTTCTCCAGTTATTGGGAAAGCACTTTATCCATTGACTTCGTGTTTTGATGTTGGTTTAAAGATGTAGGTACAGTTCCCATGCAGAAGTGCATATTCGCGTGATTCACACAGCTTTCCGCGAACATACTCGGCCACCACTACATGATATTTTGTTTGAAACTTCTAATGCTCGTAGATTTTGATGAAGAGGCATCTAGAGCCGCTATGATCTGGCGGCGTCCTCCAGAACGTACGGTACTATTGTGTTTTGGGCACAAATGTCGGCATTTTCACCCTTCTCAAGATGAGGCCAATTTTTGTCCGGTGAGCTACGTCTTCGAAATTGTGGTATCCAAGGAGCGTTGTAAGTTAGGTTGTCTATTATAGCAGTATCGAAGGCTATGAAACTCTCAGAGGCAAATAAGGAAAAATGAAAATGGTGACTACCTACTCGAGGCTTTGAATTTTGAGAAGAATCTGGGCAACTGGACCACTTCTATGACTTCCCACGACAGGACAGTTGGCGAGGTGACGTTTGGAATGCAATATAGTAGTGTCGTAAAGTAAAATTGCTGAAATATAGGCTTCCGTGACTTGTTTTGAGACGTCAGGGTGTGATTTATGCGTCTACCAGGTTTAAGCGAGTGATAGACCGTGCGGCAGCATTTATTCATTGGTGCTTTGTCTTGTGGAGGGTTGGTGACCGTCACGGGCTTTTAATATACGGCTTTTTACCCTCGTGTACCCCTCCAGCGTTGAAATTACGCCCATGGACCCCCATTACCTCGATGTACCCCACACAGAATTTTATAATTAAAGTACGGTAATTGTTTACCACAACAAAACAAATTTATTCCTCCACCACCACCAAAACCCAGATTTTAGTTCAATTAAAGTACGGCAATTCTTCATCACAACAAAACAAATTTTATTTCTCAATCACAACAAAACAGATTTATTTCTCCACCACCAAAAGCCAGATTGTAGTTCTACCCACCAGAATCACGTATGTAGCAGCGTTTTTTCTTTTTTCAGTTTTTCAATAATTGCTTACCTGTGTGGCTGCCTACATTTAGGCGCATAGTGACCAACACCAGTGCAGATGCTACAGCGTGGCGGAGGTTTATTAGACACGTCCGGCAGACTAGGTCCACCATTGCTAGGAGTGTACCCCTTCCTCCGCATGTCGTCCTTCTGTACTCGTTTTTTTGCCGGTCTACCCCGCGGTATCTTGGTCAATGGCCCTAGGGTACAGGGAATGGGACGAGGCCCCTTTAGTTGAATGCGAGTCTGCATGTAAACTGGCTATTAGCACAAAGTGCGGCTCCTTTGCACTGGTAATTCAGGCTTCTGCCAGTAAGTTGGCCTTTTCTCCTCATAGGGCACAAGCTGTCATGTTTATTTGGGCGGAGCCGAGTTAATGGGCGGTTAGTAGTAATTGCAGGCCAGTTTGCGATGGTCATTTTGGGCGAAGCCCAGTAAATAGCCGGTTGGTAGTAATTGCGGCCAGTTTACAATCGTCAAATTGGGCTCTTGTACTTAATTTGGCTGTCAATACTCAATGTGTCGAATGGACAGAAGCCTGATTTGGCGTTAAGGTGTAAACTGGCGATTGGCAGTAAATGCAATGTCTCTCCACCACTCTGTTCGGGCAACCGTTGGTAAAACGATACCTTACCGCTCATTAGGCTTTCGGCTTGAGTGATGAATAGGCTTCGATTTATAAATGGAGCATCATCTCCTTATTCAGCCGACCCCGCCATGCCCCCCGCCATGCCTACCAACGTTGATGCCCACTACTAACCACATTCGTTTTCTCCCACCGACAGCTCCACCATCACTTCCTCATCTCGCTGACAGCTCCTTCTCTTGCATGCAGCTTCTCCTTCCCTTCCTTCTCACGCCGCAACTCCTTCTCCCGCGAACATCTCCTCCTTCACGTCCTTCTCTCTCTCTCTCTCTCTCTCTCTCGCTGACAGCTATTCCATCACTTCACCCTGCTCGCACCCACAGCTCCTGCATCACTTCTTCTTCTCGCTGACAGGCTACAGCTCCCCCATCAGTCCGCCCCACAGTATTCCCCCTCGCCGCCGCTCGCTCTTTGACAGTCCCTGATCTTCTTACAGCAGGTACGCATCATGCTCCTATGCTATCCTACACACCTGCTTCGCTGCGGATACCCCACTGTCAGCGCCGCTGATAGCGCTCTGTCCTCGTCCTCCTTTACTGTCTAACAGCACCTGGCCCTCTTGCCACCAGTACGTCTTCTCCTCCTATGCCATCCTACAGTATCATGCCTGACTCGCTCGCGGCTGCGGATACTGGCAGGCAGTCTATTGAGCACGCCGGTCATGTTGAATGTGTGTTAAGATGACGGGGTGGGAGCCGGCGAGCGAGGGAGAGCGGGGGACAAGCAGGGTTCGGTTTGCTTGGGCGTGGACGGGAGGATATATATTGGGCGAGCAGCAGTAGCTAGAATCACAGCAATCTGAAGCAGCAGATTTCACTCGTATAATTGTTCAATATCAGCCATATGAACTCCTAAAAGCCATTTATTATCAACGCCAGTTGAGCAACTGTGCCCTTTTCTAGTCGTATGTACTAGGTATCGCCCTTTATACCTTACAGCCTTTTTAATCTTTCAAGCCTAAATACAGCCTTTTCACAGCCTTTTCACAACCTTTTCACAGCTAAATAGAGGCTAATTACAGCCAGAAAAAATATTGGAAGCCGATTTAAATGCGTGCCCATTCAACAAAACGGGCCCTGTCCCATTACCTGTACCATAGGGATGGTTGCTTGCAGGATTGAAGCTGAAGTTCGTTCTCTCCAGTCTCATCTGCCTGGCGTGGAGAGTCTGAGCCCGAATCCTCCTTGATAATTTTCTTGAAGCCCTTCTAGTCGAACGGTGTCATAGCCGCTTTGTAGATTCCGGCCCATTTGCCACAATAAAGGGCCTCAGGGATGTAATCAATTCGAGGCCGTTCTTTGAGCTGATGTATAGTTGAAATTGCGTGACCACATAGAACTCCTGTGGCCTGGTAACGGATGCAAGAGCAAGTAGACTGTCAAATCCGAAACGAAATTGATTTTGTTGTGGCGAAGAATTGCCGTACTTTAATTGAAATAAAATCTGGTTTTTGGTGGTGGTGGAGGAATAAATTTGTTTTGTTGTGGTAAACAATTACCGTACTTTAATTATAAAATTTTGTGTGGGGTACATCGAAGTAATGGGGGTCCATGGGCGTAGTTTCAGCGCTGGAGGGGTACACGAGGGTAAAACGCCGTTTAATAAATCACGTCTTTGGTCTCTGAGGTGGTCATTATGTAAATGACGATTTTCGTGCTGAACAAGGCAGGTTTGTATCTTAAATTGCGGCTTGCCAGATGGTGAAGATCTCTCATGCCTCTTCTCATTTAGAACCTTAAACACAAGCGTGAAGATTTCCAAATTCCACTAAATCATACCCAGGGGCCAAGAGAAAAACTCTCTCCGTAAATTCTCTAGGCTTATATGGCCTACTTTTGGAGATGTTCCGGGTTGAGTAAATTTGCGTAGTCATTTTGGGACTCTAAGTTTAAACTTACGATCCATGGGATAGCGTTGACGATGGACGCATACTTGTTTACTACGAGGTCTCAGTAGTGACGCACTGCGAATACATCACCAACCCAATCAAGAGTTGACTTTACCCCCCTTATTCTATGGTAAGCACCTCCGGAAGATAGCAGATCGGCGGGGAGATATAACTATAACCCAGCCTATAGAGATATTCAAATCATTATCAGCGATATAGCATACCTAGCATATCTCATCTACACGCACGATCGGTGAAAATCCCCTTATGGAATGAAATGGTGGATTCCGTATGAAAATCAACTGCGAACGATGGTCGAGTGCAACGAGCTCGAAAGTCGAAACCGTGGTCCGTGGCTGATCCGCTCCCCAGAATTGAGTTGAACCCGAAGACCGAAGAATCCGAGTTCAAGTGAATCTTCATCCGTACCCGGCCGACGGCCGACTTATCATCCCCCAACCGCATCCGATACCGATCGAGAGTCTGTGAGTAAATATGTAGTGCCTAGCAGCAGCGGCCGAACTGCTCTTGCTCTTATTAAACATCCGGGAAGAAAAAAAAGCGCAATAGTTACGCTGCATAGTAGAACCCGTGTACCAAGTTCGCCACTACTAGTAACTAGCGGGTGGGACCTCGAAATCACCGGTAATTGTAATCTGCGCATAGGTATTCGGAGGGTCACTCGTCTGATGGATATGTATGTACAAAGAACAGGTGTGTTCTGGTATCGGCCTGTGTTGAAGAAGCGCAAGCCAGCACCGCCGCTGCCCCAATACAGTAGATGCGTTACGTTCCGCTGGTTGATTCTCCGCTGCTGCGGTGTTCGTGGTTGCATCTCCGATTATCACACGAGTTCGAGTTCGAGACGTGCATTTCTGGGATTCGGAATGGTCAGCCTGTTCCGCAGAGCTTCCTGGCGAAAGCTATGGCTTTACCAAGTGTTCGTTTTCCATACATTGCCTTTTGTTTCTCGGAGGGAAGTAGGTAGGTAGGTAAGATGTATGATAATTATTTCCAAATCTCAACGGTGACAATACCTAGAGCGCGCATCATCCTGGAAATAAGACCTCACTCTCACGAGTCACGCATCCCTTCTGCAGCCGGCCCACCATTACACCATTACCCAGAGTCTTAGCCTTAACCACGGAATTGAAAAACCATAGCCAAGTAGGAACGGCCTCAACACCGCTCCCCCCACCACCACGCTCACCTCCCTACCCCCAACGGCCCCACAAACCTCAAAACCGCCCACACACCCACACGCCCACACGCCCACGAAGCACCCACACCGTACACGGCAGCATTCTCGTCTCGGCTCCTGCGTCCACCTATAGTAGCGGTGTACCAGTGCTCGACACAGTGCTGGTGAGTCCGGTGGTTGCACACCGTCATGATCGTGATGAACTCCGTCTTTGGACTTCCGTGTGAGTGTTCCGGGGCGAGGTAGACGAGGCGGGTGACGCTGGCGAGTGATGTGCAATGGTACACTGATACTGGTTGGCAGGTGGGTGTTGAGGGGGACGTGGTTTAGATGGGGGGTGGAAGAGGAGGATTGGGATGGGAAAGAGAGGGTTACTAGACGGGAGTAGGGAGGACTGTATGTGGTTTGTACGGATGGAGGGGGATCATGATGAACGGCCTACGGGACAGTGAGGGCTTTGGGGAGGCAGATAGGGGCTGCCGTCTTGAGTTGGAGGCGCTGAAGCATCCACGAAGAAATTACGTGAATTTTTTTGAAAGATGGGTGACGTCAACTAGACTTCCGGTCCTCGAGGCTCAAGAACGTCTTTTCGGTTGGTAACGGCGTCGACCGGCGACTCGAGTACCGAGTGATTGGACATGAACATGATGGCTTCTTTTTCTTTTGCATCTGGGGGTTGCGCCTTGGTCGTACGCAGCGAACCGTTCGCTCGGACGACTCATTGGTGCTGTCTAGCAACCAAAAGAACCCTCCCGTCCGCCTTTCCATCACTGCATAAGTTAAGCGCTCCGCTCCCGTTGGGCGGTCCGCCCAGCGCATGCATATAATATACCCCTCCGCAGTCCGCACAATCTCCAGGTAAATGATTAATTCGCAGACGATCTCGACCGCTCGCACACCAGCGGGCGGAGTATTCGTGATTCACTATATGTTCCGCACCTAGCATGCACGGTAGGCGTCTATGCTTGTGGTTGGGGGCGCCGGCCATGGTCCACCGAGCTGCGAATGTAACGCGCGGGTATCGGTATGCGGCCAGTGAGATATTGTTTACCATTCCGCTCGTGTTAGGGATGCAACGGAACAAAACCCTTCATTAGGTGGAATGTAACGTTCCCGTGGCTACGCACACCATGCCGAGTCTCGAATCATGTGGTTAATGTTCCTGCATGATCGATGGTTCATGCAAATGTGGCGTTGCGGCACAGGAGAATGTGGAGTACCTAGGTGCATATTTGGACAATTATTTGCTACATATGATACTAGTAGTCTGTAACGAATAGAGTTGACGAGAAACGCTTGGCCGAATCGATGGCGGAGGTATGTAGGGGCTTCGTTTGACATGGAATGGAATGGGGGCGGAGACGACGTCCGAAGTTGAAGAATTACGGAGACAAGGGACACACTGCGGTCTGCCTCTCTCCTGGCTATGCCATGCGTTCGGCGTCTCGCACGGCGCCTCCGGCCGCATTCTCCGGATCGGAACTCGGCAATGCTTGGCCATCGTTACTTAGTCAAGGAGAAGGCCCGAGGGAGGCGCCGGTTGGACGGTCTAAGCCGAACGGCAATGTCGTCGTGATGTTCCCCAACAGCCTTCGTCGATTCCTGGAAGCTGAAGCAAGCACAAGTTACATCAGGAAAGATTGCCTGTTGGAAAGCGGCAAATCCCTCTCCGGCCTACCTATTCAGTCGGCTGGTAACAAGCATCATTGAGGTGCCAGAAACATGAGTAATGTGCTGAAAGCCGAGTGCGCAATTGCCGCAGAATTCCGCACTTTCGTCGTAGGCGCCAGCACTCTGCGTTTTTGCTTTCTTTCGGAATGCCGCGATGGTACTCTACTCTACACACCTGTTCGCAGGGGGATTCCGGAGTTTTGTTCCTCACCCCAGAGAGCAGGTGGGAGCAGGCCAGGAATGGCAATCAGCCCTGCCGATAGCTATGGCCTGGATGGGATGGAGACAGTCGACGCAATAGAGACTGATCCCTGTGCGGATGCGCCAACTGGCACCTGGCACATATTGCCGGCCCGTCTTTCTGGAGACGAAGGACCTCCTGCGGCTACTGTGATGTGGCGAGGAAGCGACCCATGTTGGTAGCACAGCGAAGAAGCCCGCCCCCCTTGCCCGCCCCCCTCCCTTCTCCCCCCCGGCCATTACTGCCATCTCATCCATCCCACGGAATCTCCCACAAGCCACCACGCCCACCAGCCCTTAGCATGGTATTTCAGCCCTGGAAAAGACACGGGATCCCTCCTCTCTTCCCTCCTTCAAACGCACCCACCCTTCCAATCTTCGATGAGCAATTAAGTACCCGTCGTCAACGCTCCCACGGTCCGGACGACAGATAAACAGACAGACAGACAGACAGATAGACGGACAACACAGCACAGCACGACAGGGAGAAAAAAAATCACCTGGATCCACCGACAAATTCGAAATGCTTTCTTCGTGGGCCGTCTGCGTTGCGCTCTGGACTCTGAGCATCCAATCCGTACGGGCGGCGGCGCCGGACAACACCAGCAGCACCTGGGTTCCGTTGGAAAACGTCAAGAACATCTGCGGGCGGGACGATAGCTATTCGAGTGGGGTTTACACCTGTGAGTCAACCACGCACACCGTCCGGAGGAATAAACCTCATTCTGACTTGTGGGGTCCGTGAAGTTTCGACGAACCGTCTTGAGCCGCAGGGAGCCGTCGGTTGGCAATGTATGGAAGTGAGTGAAGCCTGCCGTCTCCTGCTTCGTCGCCGTCGTCGTTGCGTTGTTCATTCGATGCTAACCATCATCGTCCAATAGGTAGGAGATGCTCCACATCGCTTCAATAACGAGAGTGCCTGGGCGGTATCGTGGATGTGGGAAGACGACTCGGCGACGACATTACATGGCTTCCCGAATGCCAGAATCAACCACACCGTACTGCCGACCCGGATTTCGGGTATCAACACGTTGTGGTTATACGCGATATGGACCTATGTCGCGGGCAACGGCACTGCGAAGGCCATAGACGGGGTCATCAACGTGGACATGGCTGCCAATGTGGTGTTGGATATCTTCATCGACTCGGACCCTCAAAAAGCCGGCTCTCCGACGGAGGCGAAGCACGAGCTGATGGTATGGCTGGGGGCGTACGGAGGCGTGCTGCCGATAGGCTACAAGAGCACGCCTGTCAAGAAGAGAACCGTGGGGAAAGTGAATTTGTGAGCCCTTCCGTGCCACCTCGCAGCAGCGATTCGAGACTGACGGATCCTTAGCAACCTCTACGAAGGTACGAACGAGCGGGGGCAACATGTGTACTCTTGGATGGCGGACACAAACACTACGACGTTCTTCTCAGACATCTCGGCCCTGGTACAAAGCCTTGCGAAGGACAGTGGAGATGGCTTCAGCGATGACGATTACATTGGTCTCGTGCGATTAGGCACACAGACATATCACACGAAATCAAATTCGTCGGTGACCTTCACCGCTCAAGTGATGAAGCTGGAGGTGATACCGGGAATACCAAAGCCTTTGGATTCCGGCGTGGGGAGTCTGCGAGTCGGGTTCGGATCGATTCTGCTTCCCGTAGGAGTCGGTTTGGCAGCCATTTTTTTCGGATGATTTTTGTTTCCTTTGTTTATTTTGCCGGTAACGGCACGGGGTGGGGGCGTTTTTCTTTTGTGACCATCGCTTTTGGACGCTATCTATGGGACTGGACATGTTTTTCTTTTTCTTTTTCCTTCTTTTTCTCTTCTTTTCCTCCTTGTGATTATTTAATTGTACATTGATACGGAGACTCTGGCAACACACGGCCACACGAATAAAAAATGACTGGCACGACAGGCGTCCAAGATGTTTCACGGTGCTTTCTCCTTTTTTTGCGACTCCTCTCTCTCTCTCCCTTGCACGGGGATGCCCAACGGGTTTGTTGAGATGACAGCTCCGCTCCTCGATGCGGGTTACTCCGCTTTCGCTCTGAATCAACCATGCATCCCGGTCGCAGCCACACAGCAAGCTTGCAGCCAACAGCCGCCAACCAACGTGAGGGGTTAGTTAGTTAGATGGTTATCCGTTGTGAGTGGACCAGCCCGTCCCCGGAGATCTTGGGCTGGGGGGACGGCTGCCAATTGGAATTTGGCGCTGCATGCTCAGGCTTCAGCCATGCCATGGCTACATAGAGGAAACCTCGCACTGTTCACTCACATAGAAAAAGGAAAAGGAAAAGGAAGTGGAAGTGGTTTACCCCTCCCTCCCAACACCCATTTCCACACAGGAATCCCCACACAGCAATCCCCCTTCCCTCCTCCCCCCTCCCCCCTCGGCGCTCGCTCTCTCGCTGTTGCAACTTCATCGGTCTCTTCGGAGGAGCGAGGGAGCGGGGGATCCACATCTTGGCGAATCCGTCTCCGGCGTCTCTCATTCGACGGGTTGCCATATGCATGCACGCGACCCAGGGTTGTGCCATCTCCGAGACAAAACGAGTTACGAGACTGGGTGGATGGGTGACTGGGTGACACATGTGTGCATGGGATGGGAGGGGGGCAGTGGGACTGTGGGAGGCGGTCAGGTGAAGTCAAGCGAACAGGACAAGAGGTTCGGCAGATATCCGCGGCGGAGGGGGAGGCGGTATTGGACTTCGCTCTGGAGGGTATCTGGGTGTCTATCTCGCACGGTGGGGATTGGAGGGGGGGATTGGGGGAGGGAGGCTGGCAGTGGTAACAAAGTAGAGTGGAGTACTCTATGTAATCGGATGCACCTCCCCCCCGGCACGCAACAACGCTTGGCATTTCGCTAAAAGGCTTGTGTTGTTGGTATGTAGCGTTCCCAGGCTCCCAGCTAGGAGGTGCTATATGTTAGAGTAACTACATGCGCACATAGAGTGCTCTACATGACTACATGGCTACATGGCTACATGGCTACATGGCTATCGCGTTGCCGCGATCGGCAACAAGGTGCGTCGGTGCGTACCGTATCGAACATCGATGTGTCAAGGGCGGCTTGCGTGCGGCTTGCCGAGCGGTCCGGTCCGGGTCCGAGTGACGATGTTTCCACCAACAATCTTTGTTCCGTTGGCGGTGGTGGATGTGAGAGTTGGTGCTGGTACATTCGTATGCAGGCGAGAAGATGTGGTTGCAGTTGTCTTGAAGGCTCTGCAGCCCGCGGCCCCGCGGGCGAGGGTTGTATGTATCGTACATAACTTGTGCATCATCACGTAAGTATGGTACAAGTTATGCACGCTCGCTCGAGAGTGCGGCGGTTAGAGAGGATAGGGATGTACCGTACTCTATGTACCGTACTCTATGTACCGCACTCTATGTACCGTACTCTATGTACCGTACTCGTCGCATGTATGCGACTGCTTCGCCGTGCGCTCGGCCCGGCGGTGTGATGGCCAGTACTGCATACTACCTACCGGTACTAGTTACCCATCATACATATCATATGCGGTCCAGAGTCACCACCGGTGTGAGGCCCGAGGGGCTGAGAACCTGAGAAGCAGGCAGCGGACGGACAGTCACACCCAAGTGGTCGACACGCGGACGATCGTTGAATGCCTAGAGCTTCTTCTTTCCCTCTTCCGGATCCAGCTTGCTTTTCTTTGCTTTTCTTTCCCGGGCGCGTATCGGGAGTCCGTATGCACTCGCAGCCGGAAGACGACGACGACGACGACGCGAAAAGCAAAGAAAGGAAAGGGATATCTTCGATCCAGATGACGCTGTTCGTTTGTTGCCGTAACATGTGGGTCGTTGGGTGGGTACTCGTATGTAGATGGGCGGTGGAAAACCTCCGTCGCGAAAGGGCGAGACAGATACCGTAGGTAAAGCATGTTGGATATGTATCAAATATCGACCAACGGGAACGTTGACTGGTCCGCAGATTTCCGGTATCATCCTCCGCCCCCGGTTCGTTAGGTTAGCAAGTACGAATGACGAGCCCGTGGAGTCGGCCGCGCCCACACCGCCGCCGCCGGATCGAGCCTGGATACGATACAGCCAGCCAACTAACCAACCGGCCGTGGGATCCCCCCCTCCCCCTCCCCCCCCCAAAGGGCTCTGGAGTCTGGGAATCGGGACCCGTGCAAAGCACATCTGTGCGGAATTGTGTATGTACGGGAACGATCGTTTTGGATTCGAGATTTGGGGTTCGAGATTTTGGGATTCGGACGTCGGTCTGCTTTTGGCTTCCGTGGTACAGTACCGTACGTGCGTGCACCGGGAACCGGGACATCGACTGGGTCACTGGGCTCGGCCTGGATAGGGCCAACCACAGCAGACACAATACCGGTCCTTGGTGCACGAGTCGTGAAATATAGATGCCAGGGCTCGCAGTTCTGTGCGTCCAGTCTACCTGCCGACCTACCCAACCGCTTCGACAGCCGATCATCTCGAGATTCGAACTTCGGACATCGCTTTTCCGTGCTCTAGCACATAGTTACCTCCGACTATCTCATCTATCCCCCGTCTACAGTGCCGGTGCATTTCCCATCGACAACCGCCAAATTTCCAGTCTCCATTGCGGCCAGCAGCCACCTCTTGAGTCTCCACTGCACTTGCAGTACTATCTTACTAGGTACGCCGAACCTCAAACAACACTTTTGCGCCCCGGCCTTACACCTTACACCGCGCGCATGCTACTCTACTCTACCGACTCCAGCCAGTCCCGCCTTATCCGCGATTGCCAGCGAGAATGCACTTTGCCCCCTCAGGACCTGGCAAAATACAATGGTCCATGGGGCATCAGCATCAGAATCAAGTCGGATAGGGATCTGTCGGCGATTATCGCCTACTGCGCGCGCGTACTGTAGACTACAGTTCTATCTACCTATCTGGTGATAAAGAGGGGAGGGGGCGGGAAGTGCAAAAATTTACAGTGAGTGCGTTCTGCCCCGTCGTCAACTACGCGCGCAGTCGGGCTTGCATCCAGACCTTTTCGCGGCAGTCGATTGCTCTCGTCCTGACTCTGAGTGGCAACTGGAGTCTGGAGGCCAGGTGAGCCAGCGGATCAATACTACCTACACGCCACATCACCGCCTACGCGGCCGGTTTCGCTGGTGGTCGATGGAATAGGTATGTACATAGCATGCACCAGCTTACCAGAGGGAAGTGTCTACCTAGCCCTCTCCAGGTGCCCTTGTGGATGGATGGTCGAGTGGTCGAGATGTGTCGACGATCGATTAGGATCTGACTGAAAGTGCAAGTGTAAGTGCTGCAATAGGAAGCGCTGCGGACACGATCTAGGTACCTACACCAAACTACTTCGAAGTTGGAAGGCGTGACGCTGGCCGGCCGAAAACTCCGATATACCTACATAAGGTAGGTATCATGCCTACTCCGCACATGCTACTCCAGTATTTGATAGGATTCTGCAGCGTCCATTGCTACGCCCTACAGTCGTCCGTGGAGATTGGAGATTGGCGTAAGCATCAATGAGTATGGTAAGCATCAATGAGGACGGTTAAGAGCGGCGGACAAAGAAGAAGTATCGTGTTACTACTACTATGCTGATTAGCCGGTGGGCACCTGATGAAGCGGTCGGGATCCTTTATCGGCGGGAATCGACAGCAGCAACGATTGTAGCGGCGGCGGCGGCGGCGATGGGAATGTCATTCAAGTACAGTACATACACCATTTGACTCGCTGTTGGATCATGGTCAAGTTGGGCGAGGAGGAGCCAGACACAGCAGACTAACCGTTTTTTTGGCAACGAGTGACTGGTCGCGCAGCTGGATGTCGGTTCAACGCCAGAGAGGGATTCTAAGAAGAAGAAGAAGAAGAAGAAGAAGACCCTACTATGCCCGTCAACGTTCAAGATTCCCACTGGTCATCTCGGCCTGTATTTCCTTCGAGCCATCGACAGTGTCTGCTCCAACATATGCAGCACAGCTTGCGAAGTCATACATACGGTTCTCTTCCGACTTCGCAAGCTGCCTTCCTTATATGTAGCCAGCTTTTATACTACCACGTACGACAAGCCTCTCTCAAAGTTCACCTCATGTTTCTCTACCACCAACCACAAAAGAATACATACGCCCACCCCCCGAAGCAGCAAGAAGATTGGCAAAAATGATCACTACAGGGGTCGAACCTGTGACCTTGGCGTTGCATACTGGATGTATTAGCACCACGCTCTAACCAACTGAGCTAAGCGACCTGTTGATAACTTCTGTGGCTCCATGGCAGCTCTGTTATACTGTTTTGTGTCGAGCTTGGGGCGGTTGCATTATTTTGAATGGCAGTCAGCGGTCGTGGGCCTGGATACTGGCTTGGCGGCGGCTGGCAATTGTGGTTCCTTTGTTTAGCTTGATAGCTCTCTAATAGAAATAATTGCGGATGTTAATGGTAGATGTGAATGAGATTTGCCAGCTGCATTTGTTACTGGGAGTGGTGTTGGTTTCCTTGTTTGGCTTGATTGCTCTCTGATAGAAGGGATTGCGAATGTGAAAAGCGGATATGAATGGCATGTGCCAGCTGCATTTGTTAGTGAGACTCGTTCTCGCTTTTGCAGGAGTGGGAGTAGCGTTGCGGTGTTGCGGTGTTGCAGGACCCAGCAGCCGGAGTGACTTCTCATGAACCCGTATGTGGTGGGCGAGATTAGCGGAGCCGCTGTAGAAACCTTTAATTTGCCGCCACAAATCCAGTAGCTCTTTGGTGTAGCTGTCTTCCCGTTTGGGGGGGCCGTTAGCATCGGAACCTTGTATGGAGGTGATGAGCTGCTGCTGCTGCTGCAGGGCATCTCTTCAGTATTGACTAACTGCCAAAAGTCGAAGCTGAGAGCACCATTCGCAATTGCACTGCACTGCGCCGCAAAACATCGCCCTCCAAGCCATTGTTAGAGTGCTTGTCGATTCCGACTCGCTCTACCAGGCTGCTGCAGCACCACACAGATGAGGGAAACGCAATTGGGTAACGACATACGCCGATTGTATGTATCGCTCGTGATTCTAGCTTGATACGGTAGAAGTGACATGCTACGCCCACCAACATAAAGAAAAACCGCAACACAGAACGTTCTGCCATTCCCCATTCTACACCTTCGCAGGCGCTTTCAAAACTGCCTCCTCCGCCGTCTTCTTTCCTGCCTTCGTCCTCCCCTCCGCAGCATCGCGCACATACTCCGGCACTCTGTCCACCGTCCCAGTAGGCACGGGCTCTCCATACGCGGTCCAAGTGGGCACGACCCCAGTCCAGACCCTCTTGGTGACGTCACCGTCTTCCAAATCTGCCTTCGCATCATTCGGCGGTCCGGTGCGCACCTTCGCACTCGCCGAGGTGATCTTCACTTTTAAGATACCGGTGGAGTCGAGCTCGGCCTTCAGCGGCGGCACGCGGGACCCCGCCCACCGCCCCGGCAGCACGTGCTCCGTCACCAGCTTCATGGCGTACAGCTTCTCCTCGCTGTCGGTCACTGGCGTGGCGGTCCCGTGGAGAACCGCGGACCGGTAGTTGTAGCTGTGGCTGTAGGGGGTGCTATGTGCCGGTACCGAGATCAGCTGCTGCTGCACGCACACTCCCAGTTGCCCACCGTGGCGCGGAGACTCACAGTGCGAGTACGAGCCCATCCACGATAGTGGCGGCAACGCACACGGGAAACCCCGCCGCCTCCCGCCCGCGGAACAGCCGCGCGCTGACGTAGCCGTGAATGTAGAGGTCCAGGGCCTCGTCGAGGCCGGCGGAGGGGTTCTCGAACGACCCGAGAGCGCCGATCATGGGGAGGATTGTGGGGAGCGGCGGGTCCCCCGGTGCTACGGAGGAGACGTGCACCACTGGGACACTGGCAACGATGCTGTGAATCGTTGTGGTTTCGTAGGCAGCTAAGGATGTGGTTGTTAGAGATGGTGGACGGGAAGGGACGGGACTGGGTGAGTCGAAATGATGGGAATGGGACGGACGGACGCACCATTGCTGGCGTAACGGATCACTTTGTTGGCAGCGGTCTTGGGATAGGTCAGCGTCGGGCGAGGCATCTTGATCTTGATCTTGGGCAGCTATGGAATCACATCTAGGAGAAGGGGAAACTGCCGTATGATATACAAATCTAGGACTGAAATGATGAATCTGTCCGGCGTGATTAACTGCCGAGTGATAGATCTTCGACCATATTTGGGCCGTGGAACCGTGTGACTCATCCGACGGGCACTTCTGCTTTTAGGCACAAATTCGAGAGCCATGCACAATGCACATTGCAAGTTGCCTTGGACCCTTGATACACAAAAAAGGGCTGCATGGAATGCGGAGTTGTATGCGAGTGGGTCACAGAAATGCTGGCCGTTGCTGACACGTGATCGCTGCACCGTCGTGGTCATATGATATCACTCGTGACAGCTGTCAATGGGTCGTAAATTCCTTAATAGACAGGTTCCAAACTGGAGTGGCCTGCCGTATGTACGAGCTCAGCAGCACCTTCGGCGGTCTGGGGACAGGATTGGGTGCACTTAAAATCGTCAAAATCGAACACGGCCGGCTGAATACAGATCATGAACAAGGAGAGTTACAAGGCACCAAGTAACAAACGGCGATGACTGGATGAGTAGACGAACTGACCAACAACTTCTTACTACTTAAGTCCGCATTACCAAATATTTATATGTACATTTAGCACTACTATACTTCCTCCATTGCTGTAGGGGCAGGTGTCTCTTCCTTTGCCTCTTCTTTCCTGAGATGTCCTAGCAAGCCCTTCTTCCCCACAATTTTTGCGCGCTCGATCACCGCCTCCTCATCGCGCAGTAATTGCTTCGCCATAGCTTCGTCCGCGGCATTCCTGCGCTTCTCCTGACGAACAGCCCACTCGCGCTCGCGCAGCGCCTTCCCACGGCGCTCGCGTTCTTCGTTGGCCTTACGCTCTTCTTCGGTGAGCACTACCTCTGGCAAAGACGCGAGAAACTCGGTGATGATGCTATCACGTGATGACTCCGGTGCTGTGACGTATCGCGCATCCGCAAGAACGCTGTCGGGGAGCATGTGGAGTGCCGTGTTTCGGGTGAGCGAAGGCGTAGATTTAAGCAGTTTCTTGAGGTCGACTTCGCGGATAGACTCAGAGGTTTTGTTGCCTGCAAAATGTTAGTCTTTATTGCATCATGAAGGGGAGGGGGCCGTACGAGCAACAAAGTCTCGGTACATCTTCTCGCGCTCCTTATCTGAGAGCTTCGTATCTTTCATGACAGGTTCCTTCCTCCACTTGCGCTTGAACTCAGCCCAAAACAATTTTGACGTCGTGTGCTCCTTGAGGAATGCCCAGAACGGGATCTTCGGGTTGATCTTGCCAGCCCTTTCCTTCTCCTCACGCAATTGTGCGGCTCGTTCTTTGCACCAATCCGTAAAGACCTCCTTGCGCGCTTTGGTCGTGGAGAGGACGGTGTAGCGATTGTCGTCCACTAGCTTCGGAAGCGCATCGTCCCAAGTGCTGTACGGCGATATACCTTGGTCGTCCAGCAGCTGGCGGAAAAGCGCGATGGTATCTTCCGGTGCAAGTTCCTCACCTTCCTCAAAGTCTTCTTCACCAAGCCCATATTCTTCGGCCATTGCTTCGAGCTGCCACGCGATATCCTCTTCCGTAAACTCTTGCGCCTGATTGGGTGGCGGCTGCTGGTGCTCTTCGTCGCTCTCCTCCTCCTCCTCCTCCTCCCCCTCCTTTTCTTCTTCCGCTTCCGCCTCGTCGTGTTCTTCCTCCGCCTGTGCCTCCTTCATAACCTCATCCGCCGGCCCAGCTGCCTCATCGGTCCGAACCTTCTTGGCACTCGGCTCGCCTTCTTCCACCTTCGCGGGCATCAAAGCTCTAAGCCTCTCCTTTTCCACCCGCTCCTTCTCCACCTTCTCCGCCGCCTTTCTCGCCCTCCTCTCTCTCCTTTCCCGACGCTCCTGTTCTTGATCCACGGGCGGCATAACATCAATCTTCTCCTGCACCTCCTTCGGCGCGGTCCACAGCGAAGCACGCGTCTCAATGTTATGCACAAAAGTCCTTCCCATCTTTGTCGTTACCAGGACCCACGGCTCTGCACCCGGGATAGCGCGCTTCTTCTTCGGGCCATCCTGGGGCTTCAGCTTCGGCTTCGGCGGGAGTCCATGTCCTCTCGGAGGGAACCCTTGTCCTCTCGGACCGCCACGAGGCGCGCCTCGCACGTCTTGGAAGTACGGCCGGTGTGGCAGTTGGTGTCCGCCGGGCGGCGGGAACGGTTGTGCGTAGGGGACGTAAGGGCGAGGGTATGGGCCTGCTTGTAGGGGCGGTGGCGGGCCGATTGATAGCCGTGGGGCCGGATAACGCGGTGCGACTGGCGGCGCGACGGGACGCGAGTAGGTTGAGGTTTTGGTGGACGCATTGTAGTAGTATGAATGGCCTGTGGTCGGGTTAGCTATGGACGAGTAAGGACACCTCCGTGAGCTTCGACACACCTGTTGGTGCTTTGTGTTCGGTCCATCCCGGGGCCAGAGGCAGGGAGTTGGCAGGTGGAGGAGGTTTCGGTGGTAGTGAAGCCATTGGGGAATCTGGACGATCGTGCCTGCTACAGCCGGGAGGTCAATTATTGGTGTTTGTAACGATTTGCAGCTGCGCGTCAACGGCGTGTCGTCCTTGGCGTCGACTTAGTTAGGAGAGTGAGGCTCTGCTTTCTTGTGCTACTCGACCAGCAGTTAACTCACCTCCAACACCTCAACGAGCAACAACCACCACCCCACCACCATCCCCCACCACCAGCAAATCATCTCCATCTCCATCGACTTCCATCCTCGACCTACAGCTGTCACACCCCTGATAACTGTCTCTACAATGTCCCGCCGCTACGATTCCAGGGTGCGTATCTGGAATCCCCGCCCCGCCAAAGCAAGCAAGCAACTGATCGCTCCGAATAGACTACCATCTTTTCGCCCGAGGGCCGTCTCTACCAGGTCGAATACGCGCTCGAGGCTATCTCACACGCTGGTACAGCTCTGGGAGTCTTGGCCAAGGATGGAATCGTGCTTGCGGCGGAACGGAAGGTTACCAGCAAGCTGTTGGAGCAGGACACGAGCGCCGAGAAGCTGTACATTCTCAATGAGTACGCCGCCATACCCATACCCCGTCATCTCTTCTGATCTCACCCCACCTCGTCGTTTCCGGCGATGGAGAGAGCTAGCTAGCGGATCCACAAGCTAACCGTGATCTCCGGATGCGAATAGCAACATGATCTGCGCCGTCGCCGGAATGACCGCCGATGCGAACATCTTGATCAACTATGCTCGGCAGGCAGCTCAGAACTACCTGATGACCTACAACGAGGATATCCCTTGCGAGCAGCTGGTGCGAAGACTGTGTGATCTGAAGCAGGGCTACACGCAACACGGAGGTCGATTATCTTTTCCTCTTGGTTGGAGCTAGTTGTAGCTGACTCGGGGTGTGGTAATCGATGGCAGGTCTCCGCCCTTTCGGTGTCTCGTTTATCTATGCCGGTTACGACTCGTCACGCCAGTTCCAGCTTTACCAGTCGAACCCTTCAGGAAACTACGGAGGATGGAAGGCTACCTCTGTCGGAGCCAACAACGCTTCCGCTCAGAGCTTACTAAAGCAGGACTACAAGGAGGACTGTACTCTGACAGAGGCCTGTGCAATCGCCGTGAAGGTGCTGAGCAAGACCATGGATAGCACTACGCTCAGTAGCGAGAAGAGTAGGCGTTTCTAGTGCATGCGGCTCTGGCACCAGCTAACGAGTGATCTGCAGTTGAATTCGCTACCGTAGGACAAGATGCGGACGGCAAGGTGTATCACCACCTGTGGACCGCGGAAGAGATTCAGTCATTGTTGAAGGAGCATGGACTGGCGAAGGAGGTCGAGGAGGAGTCGTAGAGCAGTTTAGGAGCTCCCTACGCCTTTAATGAAAATCTACGATCATAGAGCATCTGGATGAGTGTTCGATAATTGGTTGAAAGCGAGCAAGCGCACAAGATGCTTCATTTCAAGAAAGAAAAGCAATGACAACCACCATCCTCCCAAGAATGATTTTCCCCGTGAAAGAATGACACCGCACTTTGAAGGCACAAATACCGACCTTACCGCAAGCACATCACCGAGCAAAAAGTGCCCGGTAAATCAAGAACCACATCAGTCTTCATCGTCACTCATATGCTCAAGCACTCCGCACCCCCTTCGACAGCATTTCATAGAACCTCCTGAGGCCCAGCACCCTGGCCCTGGGCGGATCCCACTTAACGCACCTACCACTCCCCCACCTCATATCACTCTTCCTCACACCCTCCCACCGTCTCGCCAACTCTCTAACCTTCGGCCTCTCCTCCACATCCGTAGGTCTAACCCCATCCCACCCCTCCCTCTCAGCCACATCTTCCAGACTCCCCCTCCGCTGTCCCACACAGCCCCTCAGGACATCTTTAACCCTCTCCTTTTCCAGCTCATGGGCCTTCCCGACCAGGGCCGGCGCCACCCCACTGCCTATCTTTGCCGGCATAACCCCGCGCTCAACCAGCGAGTGGACATCCGGCCGCACCGCCAGCTTCCGCTTCAGCGAGATCTTGGTGAGTTTCCGCGAAAGCAGCCGCTGCGTCGCCTGCTGCTGCGTGAGGAAGAGCGGAGGTGGAGGGGGCGCCGCCGGCCGGCTCGGGAGCGTGTGCGCTAGACGCTGTTTGGCGGATTGCAGACGCTGCCGGTGCAGCAGTGGGTCGGTGGCGGTTTGCCGGAGCTGCGCGCTTGTCTGCAACCATCAGCGGGGCGACGACGGCGAGAGGTGCGGGAGGTAAGGGAGGTAAGGGACCTTGGTCAGGGCGTAGAGATCGGGAATGTCGAGGTGGTGCAGGATGTTGAGTACTATCTCGGAGGGCATCGAGAGGAGGGGCGCCTGCGCATGTGAGTGGGTAGACGCCGGCGCCGGTAGTAGGGGTTGTTGCGCCGACATTTGCTGTTGCTCTTCTCCGGAGATGTTGTCGAGTGGCAGCTGGAGGAGTAGGTAGCTAGTGAAGTGGAAGTGGAAGTGGTAGCAAGGCCAGCTTGAAACAGGGTGAAAGGAACTTGTGCGTTGCGCGGCCCCACACGTGTGGTAGGTAACGGTGATGACGACGGTGAGTGCGAAGGTGGCTGGGCGGTGGGTTGAAGGCAAGCTCAAGTAACACACGGAACTGCAGGATGATAAGATACCAGGGATCCGGGTGACGATGATGACAACAACAAAGCTCCGTGGTGGTTGTTGTTCATATTCGTGGCCGAAGACGTTTCACGGTTAAATTCCAAGCTCCGTATTCGCTGGCAGTCGTAAAGGATGGGTAGAACGCAAAGAAAAGTTTTTCGAAGAGGTCTTTGAGAAACAGAAGTTCTTAATTGCCGTTTATCAAAGATCATTTTAAGGTTACACACGGTTCAATGGCCACTGCAAGGCTTTATTTTTAATTGCTTAATCATACTCGTATTTAAACCTAGAGAGATTATAACTAGCGGCGTGCCCTTTTCCTCCTATCCTGTTCACAGTCAGGTCACTGCATTGCGTAAACAGGGTGCTGCTATTCTTAGCTGAGCTGTCGATTGACAGCCAGTGATCCCGACACGCGCCAGCACTCGGCTGATATACGTGTTGTGCGACATTTCCCCTGAGCGCGCTGGCAACCATAGACGCGACCTGGTCCAATCCCCCAACATGAGAGACACTATTGGCTCGCTTGTGCCGCGTGGGTGTCGACATGGGACGAACTGTTGGCAGTTGTTGACGACGAAGTCGATTGACGCCCTATGAACCAGGATGTTCGTGAAACATTCGGCGTGGGCCTGTTGGCCACAAACTTGTCGCCCCCTGATAGGCAGTATACATTTTCTGTACATGTTGTCGGAGCTGAAAGGAAGATTTGGTGGCGGGAGAAGGGATTTTAAACCGAGGTGCTGTAAATGAGAATAAGGCTATGATGTGTGTTGGTCCTGGTAGTGGCATTGGTAGGGCAGGGAAACACGGAGGAGGATACCGGCGGTAAAAATAGACGAATAGACTAAGTCTTGTCAGCAGTTGGATACATAGCATCTAGAACTCTTGAACGTGTACGGATGAACAACACATTGCTTCGTTTAGACAGATCTTGACAACACTCTGGTCGGTGAGGATGGGCTCCGGAGCCATCCGCGCTTTGCTGGCATGTCCAATCCGTGGATAAAGTCGAAGTCGTTTCCTGTCTAGCATTCGATCCTCTTTGGATATAGAGGTGATGGATAACATTGACGACGATAGTACTAGCTGACAGTCAGAACGAAGATTCTCAACCTCCGCTTCCGAATACCGAGATCACAGCGCCGACGCAAACCGAATTAGCTGTCCTCGGCCCAGATTCCAATCGCTCGCGAGCATGAGTACGAGTACTCAACCGACAATCCCTCAGCATCACTTCCGGCCGGAGACTACCAACGATATCCTCGACGGCCGAGTATTTTTGACGCAGATATTCGATTTCGGTAGCACTGGATAAAACTGGACCCGGGAGACTGCGGTTGGAGCCGAATAGATCAAACAATATCCCTAGGTCTTCCGTATCTTGCATTCGAGGTCCTGGTTTTGCAGACGACTCCTTTGCCAACGCCTTTACAAGTCAGCAATGGAGTCGAGAGAAGAACACACACAGAAGAAAGCGGAGGTAGAGGTTGATCGTCTATTCTGGAGATGGTGGCGAGAGAGCGAGCACAAGCTCTCTTGCTCTTACTAACAGACATGCCCACCTGCTAACCTTTCTTATAGTTCCCGCCTACAACGTTCTCCCTAGCCACTCCGCCACTCTGCCACACCGAAAACTAAGCCCACCCGGACGCTGCAGCCCATGGAGTTGCTGGTGTCGAACGACGTTGCTGCGGTTACCGCTCTTCTCCGAGACTATGACCCGATGTACGGCCAAGAGGGTTGAGCGTGGTCTCGGTTCATACTTGGGCGTCCGAGTCTTCCCAGGGCGCTGATAGTGAGGTGTACCCCACGACGACAACAACACTCATGCCGATCAGCCAACCACACACAAATACCAGCCCTTTCACCTCATCACTGCAGTATTTACCCCCTCGATCTCTCGGCCGTCTTTTAAGTGCATTTCTGTCGTCACCGGCGGATAACCACAGGACCGACCCGCAAACTAGGCATTGGGCATAATCGAATTTGTGGTGGGTGTTGCCGAGGCCTGGACACCCAACGAAGGAGATACAACCATGCGTGTCCGTCTTCAGTCACAGCCCATAAGCCAGTCGGTATGAGATGACCCTGCATGACTGCAATTGATGTCCATGACTAAAATCCGGTGGACGGTTCGGTGAATCGGAGCCTGGTCGCCCTCTTTTCGCCATCTGGCTTCTCCCAACCGTTTCCCTAGCGCTTCTCGATTGCCTGCCTGCAGGAGATATTACAATGGATAAAGCCGGACCTGGCTACCGTCCCCCATCGATACACGGTCGTCTGAGACACTCGCCATGCTGAAAGATTTCTTTCTGTGGTCTGTATGCTGACAACGGTGATACCATGACAGGTACCATGGGGTGATCACAGATGAACTACTCCAACAACGTAGCGGGAAATCAGCAGTTCAGCTTCCTCGAGACTGGGGCCAATTCGGATGAATGTTTATCCTGGCTGCTACCTTATTCCGCCCAAACGACTACAGAGACACGACAGGATGTGAGACACGGCATTACCGCTAGCTGAATATTCTGCAACCGTCACTAACGGTATGCGCAGGTTGGATTGTTGCTTCGAGATCGACGTCTTCGGCCGCGGCCTCCGAGTGATGATGGTGTTTCTCGCTCATTCGACCTGGTTGGGTTATTTTCAAAAGCCTAGCCGCAGAGTAACTATTGAGCAGATTGCGATCACCTCTCAGCTGAATCCGATACTCTGCGATGATGGACTCTGGTGATGCCTGACCATCCATCACAGACCATCACTCGAAGTCCCCCCCTCGGACTAATCTCTCCACTTCCGAGTTCCGGAAACTTAAGCATGCCCCTCCCAATATGCCGCTCGCAGAGGATTTCATTACTTTTTGGCGGATTCAGCGGGATTTTCCTAATATTTTGAGAATTATCAGTACGAATTTTGATTAAGGTACGTCAGTAGCGTGCGTAATGTACTAGCTTTTCTTCTCCTTCTTCCGCTTCCGCTTGCTGCGTATGAAAGAATACATCTAACAGCTAACAGCTTTCGAAGAAAATTAAGGTGCTGTTACTATCAGGCTGCATACGCCTTTCAACTTTCGAGATGAGATCTCTGGGAATATCATCAGACGATCTTAATCTTGTGATCATCATCTCCTGGCATATATTATACCTTCTCATAACGCCAAAAGGTCTCTCCTTTGCTCTCCAATTCACCTGCAGAAATTGATGGTCATGTAAGTATCGTCCTTCCGTCTCACAAAATAAATCGGACCATCTGAACGATACGGATGAATGTTTAATTTTCGGCCACGCGAGACTGCTCTCTCTCTCCCGTCTATGACCATCGAATATTGTTGAATGTAGTGCCGAGCACAGCATTGTCAGATTTTCTTCAACCCCCGTGCTCGAGCAAGAGCACCCAAGACATAACTGCATCTCCGGGCTATCGGATTATTCACGCTATTCTTCGACTACGGACCCACCACGCCAGTCCTCAGCGTTGCAGTATGGAAGTGGCAGGTAAGCATTACGTTCACTGCTACTGCACTGCTGCTGGTATTTAGCCAAAGAACAATTCGAAAAGACAAACACCGGCACAGCTGTCACCGCCATTTCGAGTCTGCTGCAGCCAACCATAGGCTTCTAGAAGCGAGTCGAGTCGTCAGCTCCCAAACCGTGTTTCCCAAAGGGGGCATATCTAGAGACCATCCAACACCGGCTGAAAATTTTGGGACCGATGATGTTGTATGGTCCATGTATGTATGCACCTGTAGGTGATATGACTATCTTTGCTCCTCTTTGCTCCAAGCGTTACTAACTGATCGGTGGTATCGATAGGCTGAGAGGGAGCGAAGCGAAGGAAGGATGCATTTGTTTTCGCATGGACAGGCCATGGTGCTTCGAACGCATCGTCATCACAACACCCGTGCTACCTAATTGGATCCTCGTCAGTGCGTGGACGGCGATGATAGACTGTACGCGAATGGTTTGGTCGATACCTAATTCCTGACGGATGGACAGCCCATCAAGAGGGCCATTCAATAACCGAACAATGATGGATTTTCCTGATGGATGCAGCCAGCGAGTGGTGAGCATCACGGGCCGCACACCAGAGGGAATACATACTGCACAGACCACGTCCAGACTGTGCATTTGAAATTCAAGTGCATACTGTACGTACTATCCACCGTGACCTAAGCTAACGTCGACGAAACAGTCACTCGACCCCGCCCCCTACCCACTTTACCTCACAACCCCTCACTCTCGCTTACCACCCACCAAAAAATCACATTACTACTATCCGTCAGGTTGCCGCATGCATATCGTTTCCCGTGACCGAGATGTATGTATGTGGTACCGGAGGTGGGCGCTGGCTTGCATATCTGTGCTATCTGATGGGACGCAAGCGGGGAAGGGGTGATTCATTTGGAAGAAACTACCGCTCGGGCGGTATCAAAGCGACGGCCTGGCTGGGGAATTCCTTCATCGCAATCATCAGGTTGATCAAGATCCACTTCGCACATATTGAGGGGCTTGGATTGATGGACTGATGGATGGGTGGGATTGACCGACGGTGGATGGATGGATGGAGGGACGTGCCTGGAGTTGGGTTCCGAATCCGCCTACCTATGGGTTCTACGAACTGGATAATGGCCATGGATCGGTATGGATGGGATAGGAAAGGACAGCCTTGAGCCCGCGATTGGACTGGATGAAAGCTTTCCGAGGGGAAAGGGCGGAGTGGGGGAGGGGGAGGATTGCCGTGCTGTCTCGTTTCACTTGTCACTGGTATCGCCACTGTCGGCTCGTTTTCGTCACCCGCAGCTCGCAACCCCCTCCTCTCAGCTCATTGGGTGATGCTGGAAGGTTATACATGCTCCAGGCAGACACGCATACATACAGACACACCCACACAGAAATCGTCAGGCCCGTTACTTGCACGCAGTCATTCGTGCGTTTCCGGCTTCCGGCCTCGGTTTCTGGGGACTTGGAAAAGGAGGAGGAGGAAGAGGGGCTTTGAAATTCTGGGGCGAGCGAGGAAGAGGAGCAGCAGAATTTGGCCAGGAATGGTGGGCGAAAGACGAGGAAGCAATGGCCCCAGGTGCTATCCTAAACCTGCAGGAGGAGAACAACACCAGCCAGAAGAACAGCTCATCAATATCGGGCGTCGAAATCGTTGGTCGATGCCCCCCTTCCCCCCTCTTCCCTCCAGCACCTTCCACTCACCGTCACGCTCGGCCGTGGATCGACGGACGAGAGGAAGGTGGTAAAGCAGCACTAAGGAGGCAGACTTCTCTCCTGCTTTTCCTTCGTATGGCTTCTGCAGGAACAAACGGCCTTTCCTTTGCGTCGGGACTACTATACTGTACGATGATTTTACCCTTCTGCCAGCTCGCACGAGCTCAGTGGGGATGGAAAGCGACAGAGGGGGAGGAGGGGGGGAAGGAAAAGCGAAAACTTTGATCATACCGAGAATCCTCTGACACACAGGTAGGCTACCTTCGCCACCGTACTTTCGACTTTTTCTCGCTACAGCACAGATGGCAAGTCAGTAAGTAGATTGAACAACGCAGCTCCCGGCCTAGAATACAGCCCCACCCCTCCACTCGCCCCGTTTTCCGGACGAACCAGAGATGGAAAGAGGCCACTGCTGAGGGACGGGATGGAGGCAGGCCTTCCTTCCTGTGTGCCCCGAACCAATTGTACCGTATGTGCTTGACCAGCTGCCTCCCTTCCCTGGTTCCTCACGCATACGAACAATTGCAATCGAAGGCACCCGCCGTACCACCGCACCACCGCGAATGTACACCGCAGCTCGCAAGCCGCTAGGGATATTTCCAAGTGCCGCATGGAGGACATGGATAAGGGCAGTGCCAGCAAGCAAGCAAGCACACACGAACGACCCGGCCTGGTTCCCACGGACGGTCTCACATGAGACTGCGAGGTTGAGCCAGGGAGGTGACGGAGTGGAAACAGCACTGCTGCAGTGTACGCAACCCTGGAGGGGAGGGGAAGGGGAATCCGATCACCACCTTGCTCGATCCTGCAGATACCCACCACCGCATCTCACCAGCAATCACGACGTCGAACAACTACCCCCCTGACGGCACTGGATGGATGGATTGCGTGTAGCTTTACCTCCACAACACCGCCCCAAAGGTGACATTCACTCATTCATGCACGCACTCACACACACACACAAACTCTCTCTCACACACACACATTCACACACGCACTGGCACACACCCAAAGCACATTTTTTCTTCTCCTTCTATTCTTCGCCGTCGTATTCACTCCGTTTTCTCTCTTCGCTGCCAGAGTCGTGCTAGCCCTGAGGTGTCTCTGATTCGAGTGGAAACCCCGCCCGCTCCTCCGCCACGGACAACACATCACGACACATCACATCACATCACATCCGGTCCAGTGACTGACTGGATCAGTCCATTCGACATCGTCACTTCTGTTCACTCCCCCATCCAAAAATAAGGCCAACCGCCACTGCACTGGACGGCGCTCACCCCCCTCCCCCCCTCTCCCCCGGTGGCCACAGCAGCAGCAGCAACACGGATAATGGAAATCCTCTACTGCCACCTCGAGCCAGCAGAAATTTTGATTCGAGGCCTTCATGCGTTCAGTTCTCTCCAGCCGATTCCGTGGCGGCAGCAGCGGGCGGGGTTAGGATGTGTCCAGCCAGGCCAGGGCTACATAGGTAGCAATCTAAGCTGCACGTACGCTGCACGCACACCTATATGCCAGCCCTAGGAACCAAGAAAGTAACCTGGCCAGGTAAGCAGGCAGGCCGGAGAATCGAAGAAGAAAAGTAGGTACGAGCTACGGTACGCACGGGCATATCGATTGATCCAAGCAAGGGAAACTGAGAGACAATGAACGGGGGGAAAAGAAAGAAAAAACAATAGCAACAGCACAGCACAGCACAGAGCAGCACTCAGCATGGGCTTCTAGAAGGATGGGATGAGAGTAAGAGTAAGCGGGTAGAGGTGAGCTAGAAGACGAGGCGGGTACATACCTACGTATCAAGAAGGAGGAGGGACACAAATCGCTTTGCTTTGCTTTCACGAAAGGAATGGGAGGGCAGGAGCACTGTACCGCTGCCAAAACGGAAGACGGAACATCATATTACGCCCAGGTGGAACACACATAGGAGTGTTGCCTGGCCTAGCTGGCTAGCTGGCTGGTGTCGTTAACCGGTCCGTAGATAGATTGCGCAACTGTACTAACGTCGTGCGCACTTTTTGTTTCGACTATCTATCTCTCTCTCGTATACTTACCCAAGTCGACCTACCTACCTACCTACATACATACCTACCTACCTACCTACCTGCCATCGCATCCATCCGTCCATCCACCCATCCACCCCATCCATCCATCCATCCATCCATCCATCCCATCACGGTAATCGGTGTATAGACTATAGTAAATCTACATACTCCGCCCCGGACCTGCCCCGCCCCCCTGTGCGTCTGGGGGGGGGGGGGTGGCTTGATGTATGGAATGGACGTTTCTAGCGTCTGAATCACAGGACCGAAGGGAAGGAAGCAGAGCCAGACGATCTGATCCAGCACGTATGAGGTCGGGGGAAGGGCACGAATATGGAGGGGGACGGGGGTGGAGGGGCGAGGGCAAAGATGGTGGGGGGGAGGGGGGAGGGAAGGGGAAACCAGGACGCAGGACGAGCTTGCTATGCGTAAGTGAGTGTGAGTGAGTGATGTGTCCCTCCCTCCCTCCCTCCCTCCCTCCCTTCTCCCTTCTCCCACCTCGGACCGGACGGACTTACCCACTATCTCTCTTGGGGGGATCCGACGAGTGCTTCCTGCTTCGGCGATTGAGCCAGGGTTTGAGCGAGGGAGGAATGAATGAGTGAGTGTCGCCCGGTCGGTTGTTCGTTCGTGGCAAAGCAGAAGCAGAAGCAGAAGCATGTACTCCTGATCACGAGGAAGCTTGGGCCAGAGCAGGCCTCCCTGGAATGCATGTATGTGTGTAGTTACCGGCGGCTTTATGGGCTGGATGGATGGATGGATTGCTGGCGGGATTGGTGCGAGGGTGGAGGGTGGTGGTTGAAGGGTGTTGGTGGTGGACCGTGGTGGTCGATTGATTTGTTTGCTGTACAATACTTACTTACTTACTTACTTACTTACATGGAGACATGGGGGATGTGGAGGGGTGGAGTGGAGGGGTACGGGGGGAGGTCAAGGGGACGGGGGAGATGTGCGGCCGGGGGTTGCTACTACTACTGCTAACTAACTGCTAGCTAGGCATATCACTACTACCAGGCATATCAGACCGATCCTCACGACTCACGACGACTTGGAGGTACTGAGCATGAACGAGTGAGTGAGCCATGCCATGGCAGCTTCTTCCTTCTTTTTTTTTTCTTCGCTTCCTTCAGGCTTCGGGGGGTTCCTGGTACCTACAGGATGATGGATGGATTGAAGCATGGCGATTGTCCATGGGAGGGAAGGATTGATGGATGGATGGATGGATGGATGGATGGATGGGCGAAACAGGCAACAAGCAAGGTATACATCGCATTGGCGGAGTGGAGCGGGAAAAACAAAAACAAAAAACAAAAACAAAAAAACCAAGGGCAAGAAAGAAGAGGGGGAAATAGAGAGAAGGGACAAGAGAACCTTCGTCTTGTCTTGTTCCGAAGAAGGAAAGAACGGACGAAGTGACAACACAGACAGACAGACAGACCGAAAATCCAACAGCCTTGCGCATCCAGGACTCCGGCCAGCCAAGGACCAGTATGTATGTAGTACACTTCGGCTTCCCTTCTTCTTCCTCCCATAATTGTTACCCATCTTTGCTGGAGCCAATCCAGGCAGGCAGGCACGAGTTAAAAAAAATAGTAACCGAAGGAAGGGGGAAAAAGAAAAGGGAGGCCATCCATCATCTTTGCGCATGAATCTCAGCCAGAATCCAGAAGCGAGCGAGCTGGGTGGGAAGGGGAAGGGGAATCCGCCCGTTCCGTCCGTCAACGTTCCTTCGTTCGTTTGTACCCTTTGGCGGGAACTATACTTGCGGTTGACTTGGACTCGAACCTGACTTGACAGAGCAACAGGGCAGGGAAGGCCGCGGTGGTGTTTTTGTTTTTTTTATTACCAGATCTGTCATATTTGTTAGCATATAGTAGTTGTACTAGTACTGCTTGTTATTTGTTACCAGCTGCAGGTTGTACGCACATATGTAGGTTGGTAGGTCGGTACCTTGTAGTCAATTAGTTAGTTAGTTACTCACTAGTAGTTAGTCCTGGCCAGCCACGCCGCCCAACGACGACGAGCCTCGATACCTGCCTCGATACCTGGCAGGGGAGTCTATGATTTACAGCCCAGAGAACGAAGTAAAACCCCCGCCCTGTCGGTTGACGGGGCGCACATGGACGATTTACGGGCGGGCAAAAAGCAATGGGGCGGCCGACTGACTGGCGTCGGACTGACCGACTGACCGACTGCTAGACGGACTGGCAGACGGACGGAGGCGAAAGCAGTGGCGGGTACTACGCATACATACGCAAGTACGCAAATACTCTACGTACTTCTGAAACACCGCCGCTGGCGGCCGTGCGTGCGTTCGTGCGTGCTGTGCAAAGAGCTATAGTTACCGGATTGCCGTAATAAAGCAGTGCATTCACGAGAGATCTAGAGAGTGACGGGCCATAGTAAAAACAAACAAACAAACCCGGGTGTCACTGTCGTCAATGATCAATCCTGTGTGTGATGGGATGGGGCAGAGATGGCGGATGGGATAGGATATGAAGCGCCAATGTCAAAAACATGTGCAGTCGACTTTCGTGGTTATGACATGGGAATTAAACAACTACACTCAATCAAAGTTCAATGACATTCATATATCTCGGTGAAACCAATCTCTCCTCGGCCTAATGCCCATAGTACTCTTAATATATTGTATCTGGCTGTCTGTCTGTGTGTACGTCTATGTATGTACGAGCTGGATGGTTGTCAAACTCGATGGCAAAAAGGCTACCATCACCACCATCACCATCGCCGCTAGCCATCGTCATCAATCCATCCATCCAACGTCAACCAGAGTCCGAGGCTGTGGCTGTGGCAGCCCACGCTCAACCCACACTCCCGTCTCGTATTCTACGAGCCTGTAACCGTCCAGCCATCTCCCACAATGCAGCTCAGGTCCCCCCATCACCACCACCATCACCGAGCTTGTCACGTCCAAAATAAAGTCTACCTTGCTTCTGCTGCTGTTGCCGCTGCTGCTGCTGCCTATTAGTATTTCCATCCGTTTGTCGATACCCACGGACCAAGCTCCACAAGCTCCACAAGCCCACAAGCCCACAAGCTCCACAAGCTCCATTCCTTCCAGCAGCAGCAGCACTCTATCCAGTATCTGCCGTGGAACAACCCACTGTCTGTCTGCCTGCCTGCTTGCGTATCTCTCTCTCTCCCGTGAGCAAAAACTGCGTGCATGTGCAACTGCTTCCACTCGCCCCCGGTCAATTGGACACGAACGGCAATTCGTCATGTGCTTTTGGCGAGAGCCAGTTCGAACCGCATAATGCCGTTGACGTTGGGGAACCCCAACCCGTGTTGTCTTGTCTTGTCATCAGGAACGCCAATAACAGTATGGTCAGCCATGCTGAACACATTGGATAGACCGCAGAGCGCATTGTGCCCCCCCCCCCCCCCCCCCCCCCCCGAATTTCGCCCTCAAGCCGGAACAAGAAGCAAAAGGAGCATTCTCTTCGCCACCCGTGTAGGGGGGGAAGGGAAGGGAGACAAGAACGCATTGATGGTCACCACCACCAAAGGCATTGGTACACCACTTCAACCGGCGGTCAATCTCTCCTGCAGGAAGCAGTAGTCCCTGGATCAACGCCTAAAGCTCGCCGGCCAGCAAGCCTGATCGCTGACATGACCATGAACTGATGTGCCCCATCCTTCGATCTTGATGTTGAACAGAGACCCTACCTTCATATCAGCAACAGTAAAAGTAAACCCCCCTCCCCGTTCAACAAAGCAAAGAAACAAAACCCGATGGCTGGCCACTCCCGGGCCCACAACCAATTTCTGAAACAGATTGAGTATGATCCTTCCTTTTCCATGACGTGGCAAACGTGGTGTGGAGGAGGATAAACTTTCCCCTAGCGCTCGCTCGTTTACACAAGCGGAGGAAGAGGTGGTGATGCCTGCGGATGCCAGGATGGATGGCTCAAGATGATGAGCAGACGTGCCTGCACAGCAGATATCAAATTCATGCGTAGAAAGCCCTTATCTGCAATGGGTAGAGACAGGCAGCCGAAGAGGCAAAGTCTCCGAAGCTTGGGACTGGTAGGAAGACTACGCCCCTCCCCCGTCCCTCCCCTCGTAAACATGGAGGGATGCATGCCGATGACAATCAGCTGAACGCGTTGACACCCGAAACAAAAGGTGCGCCTTTTGTGGAAGCCAATCCGCGCTCTCTAACGTCCCGTTCCCAAGGTTTATCGCCGAGGCACCAATAGTCTTGTGACTGAATCTGCATAATGTATAACATCGTTCCAAGAATGTGGAGTGGATGAACACTGGGCAAGCCGAATAAACATGAAACGAAAACATCATGTGCAAACGCTCAATTCCACTGGCTCACTCTTCCGATCCCTCCAACGTGCAAGATAGGACTTCCTCGGAAGCATGTTTGAGGAGGGACTGTGGGCTGAACTCCAAGAGGTGGGTGGGGGGGGGAGCGGAGGGACGGAGGGACCATCCAGGAGGCAAACGGGGCAAAAGTAGCCGGCCCCTGGGGGAGGGGAGGGGGGGTGTATGAGTAGGGGGTGTGCTGGTGAACGATGAGGGATTTCGACTGCGTTTTCCTTGATTTGTTTTGTTGGGTGTGCTGATTGGGAACATCGAGTATCCGATCGTCCTGGAGAGCAGACCATCCGGGGGTAAGAAGCCACGATTCATGCGGCTTGTGAAGACATCCCCTGGCCCTGACGGCGGGCCCCCCCATAATCCTTGAAACGATATCTCGTGCCATGGAGCAGACGGTAACCAGTGTTGAGCCCGAAATATCCACCACTGAGCAGGGCGCCCTCTCAATTCTCCACACAGGCCATGCAGCCCCGTCCCGTCCATCACACACACGTGATAATAAAACTAGCACTCAATATATCAGCTCCTGCAAGTAAATTTGTGCCTGCAGGGGGGTAAATCGGGTCAGGAAACTCACAACACCACCCCATATCAAGGAGTGTCCGTGCGAGTGAGACAGTGTGAAAACCGTAACTGCCGCACCATGGTGGGGGTAAATGGCCTGAGATAGGGCGTAATGAACGCCATTATCGAATAGAAACGCCCTTCGATGTTTCCAAAGTTGAGCAATGGGAAACGCCGGTGGGACCACTGGGTCCGGAGGAGGTGGAGGGGGGTGGGGAGGGAGGGAGGGGGTGTGTGAAGCGGACAGGGATGGAAGGCCAGCATAGACGAAGATCGTTGTCGGATTGTGCCTCGACTCTGCTTCATCGAGGTGTGTTGTCCGTGGCGGGAAAGGGGGGAGGGGTGGGTGGACTCGATGAGGGCGTTCGCGGTCAGGCTAACTTCCTCGGAACTGGTCAACTCAATTCCCGCAATGTGTATCAAACTTCAGCCGAACAGAGGCAACATACCCATTGAACACTCACGGTCAGAAAACATAAATACCCCCTCCGGTTTCCTGCTCAATTGCTCCCCACCAAGCGCCTCTCCCGAGCACCCGGACAAGAGTCAATTCAATCCCTCTGAAAGCATTACCTCATACACTTCTTGCTTCTCCTACCGCTGTTAGCATCCCCGCTCATAGCCCGCCACCTCCATCCTCTTCCCTCCATATCCTTCACAGAAGATCAATCGACCAACCCCTCGAAACATCAATCCAAACATGTGTTTCTACGATCAGCAAATCTTCACGTGCGGCGACCACAAGTGGGGGCGCTTCCGTGCCCACTGCAACAAGGAGTACCGAACCGGCGAGACCTGCGGTATGAAGCTCATCTTCGAAGCTTCCCGAGTCGGAACCAAATGTCAGATGTGCAAGAAGCACGAGGTCATCTGGCGCAAGATCGCGCAAGCCCACGAGCGCGTGAAACGTTGGGAATCCGAGGGGATCAACCCCGTCTCGACCGACAAGGAGTGGGACAACATTGCCCAATGGCAGCGGGAGCTGCAGGACATCAACATGATGCGGCACACCAAGATGCGATCTATCTGATCGGATGTTTCGGCGTTTTTGTTTCAAGGAGTTCTTTTGTTTTTTTAAAAGCGTTAATTGGTGACGCTTTGTTTCCTGTCTTTCGTTTGAGCCAGCATATTTTGTCTTTCCTTTCGGTTGTGCGGGGTTGCGGGCGATGGTTATCGGTAGCCGGGCGGTTCGGTAGTGGGGGTTAACGTTCGAGGTCGGGTTCGGGATACGCCGAGTGAGCGCGTGTTGAGGCCAGTCCGGGAAGTTATGTTCATCTTTTTTTTTCTATAAATTCTTTTCGTTTCAGAGTTGGATAGGACATGGGAGGATGTGGAGGAATCATGAAGGAAACGGGCTGCTAATTGACGAATATCGTTTCGAAACGGCGTGGCGGCATATGTGTTTGGTGATATTTCGTGGCGCGTGCGTGGCTGGAGAGGTTCTAAAAATAGTAACCGAGCGACTCGCAAAACCGTTTTCTGCCTGAAGATACGGGCGCGATAATCTATGAGGAAAGATCAGTAGGAAAGACAAATTATTTGAGAAGGGAAACTTAAACACCTCTGTTTTAAGAAACAATGGAAAAGATATAAGACGACCGATTTCTCAGTAGTGAAGCGGCATCGTCGTGATGATTGCCCACAGTCATGATTGGTCTCGGGGATTTTTGGAAGGAATGGAAAGTGCACATATTTGAAGCTGCCGACAAGCGGATGGGCAGTGGTAGAAGATCTCGCTGGTGAAGCGGACAGGAACGAGCAGACAGCACGGAGGAGAAGTAAGTGAGGAAGATGGAAAAGGGGACAGAGATGTTTTTTTCACGGCATGCCGTAGTTATGAGGAGGCAAAATCGACAAGAGCTTGGTCTCCCCTTGACCTTGCTGCTGCCCAGTTTATGCCTTCCTCCCTTCGCCGTGAAGTTGCATTGCTGTTGGTTGTGAATAGGCGCTTGAGGCTGATTGGGAAGTGTAGGGTAATCTCGGCGCCAACCATGGCCCAGTGCGCCGAAGCGAAAGACAGCCCCACGACGACGACAGCAAGAGACGATAGGGATTGAACGAGAATCGTCGAGCGCGGACATGGAGCGGCAGTCGAATGCGAAGTGGCGGTCGGGTCGGTAGTCGTAGGGCGGGAGGGTGGTGGAGTCGAGGGTGGAGGCCGGAATGATGTAGGAAGCGGAGGTGGAGGTGGTCGGGCGGGGTCGAGGGACGCATGGCGCTGGAAACTGCAGCTGCACGGATCAACACCCGAAATCTTGCCAAAGAAAACCAACATCAATCAGAGAAAAGCGAAGTTTCGCCGGCAGCATCAACTCACTTATATAAACCTGCGCGCTGACAGACGCTGTGACTGTTGACAACTCGGTGGTGCCTTGCTGTAGAGACAAACGTGTTCGCTCCAAGCATAGAGTACGCATGAACAACGTACAGATTCTTCGAGCGCTGAAGTCCAATCCTTTGGATTTTGTGGAAATCCACGTGGGAACCTCTTGCCGAATTCTGAACAAGTACGACGATCAAGCTGTACGGATAATTGAATTTTCGCAGGCCTTCCTATCTCGCGGTATTTGCAAATGCACGAGTTATTTCGGCGGGCCTGAGAAAAAGCGTTGTTGGACGCTGATTGGTTGGCAGACGGCGGTACCACTCCTGCAGACAAGTGGTCAGTTGACGGAAAATAAAATACAATTTTGATACGAGTGCTTTGCGTAGGCAAGTAAGTGGTTTAGTATTTGGCTGCAACGGGAGAAAGGAATACAAAACACCGCGGAACAAAAGTCCATTGCAGCTGCGTGTGGTGCGAAGTCTCTCACTGCGAGGTTTCTCTTCGTGAATCAACTGCCAGTGGATACGGGACAAGTCATCGAAGCATGTGCATGATGCCGACGGCGTTGAACAGACGCACTTAACCATCACGAAGACACCCTGCTCGGTGAGAGCTTGTTCCTCTGCACTGTCTTGCTTTGGGAGAATGGAGCGCTGCAATTGGGGCAGTCATCATCTGTGAGAACTCCCGCCTTTTGATCAGTCACTCAGCATTATCTTCCGCATGCTCTGGATGCTTACTGCGGTATGTGTTCATGATGATATAGAGTGCATCCAAGGACACGCATGCTCGAGCGATGTGGCATCTGCAGCGGCCGCCAACGAGCAAGCAGTAGCTCCACACATTCACAGACTGATGTTCCCGGTTCGTCCCTCTCCCTAATCCCTATGAGCATTCATTCGAAGACCGATCGGATGCGTGAGCCACATATTCGCCAGGACACAGTCTCCCTTTGCTTTGTTTTCCCGATGCCAACTCAAGGACGACCGTTTTATTTTATCAAAAAAAAAAACGCTTCTTTAAGATGCTGCTGTTGGTATTCGCCAAGGGCCGTCGCCGGCAACCCGAGACAAGTGGTAGCCCAATCGACCGATGGAGGCTCGAGGTATCACCGTACGGTGTGGAAGCGATTCAAATGGTGCGCATTGAGAGGAAAACATGGCCCAAATAAAGATCAACCATCGAGTAAGAACACCGGACTTGATGTGGCGTGAAATGATGCAGTGCGCGAAATCTGATAAACTCGAGCGTCCCTCCATAATCGCATGCGTCGGTTCTCAATAACTGATTCATCGCTTTCCGCGCAGAGCCAGCGGGTGGTAGATAGAGTAAGGTGTTCGACACGGGCCTCTCTGCTAGGGCTTATTACCATTCGCCCCTCGTTCTTCTTCTTCCCCTTCTTCGACTTCTTCTTCTCTTCTTCTTCTCTCCGTTTCCATCAGCCTGTGATATCGGGCCCCTGCAGTTCCGAGAGCCGAGCTCCAAGTTCCAGTACGTTCGGTGCAGGAAATTGTGGGCGGCCAGTGCTGATGTTCTAGCGTTGAAGCCAAACCAACAAAAGTAGTGAAGAGGCGAAAATGGTGTTGACGATGTCACGACCGCCATGGAGTCCAGTGCGGGAACTAGTGATCGTGCCTGAGTGCCAAGTCGGATTGCGACCGCCTACCGTGGTAGAACAACGATCCACTAGAGGAGTTTCGCAGGTCGTGAGGAATGGTTTGCGGGATCGTTTTAGGCTTAGATAGATAGATCTCATTTTGCGCCACTCTACATGTTACTAATTGCTTCATATGGATCTTTTGATCTGTCTGATTGAAGGTGCCGGCAAAAAGCTACGGTGCTATGTAGTAGACTTATGCGACAACGCTGTTCCGAGATTGTTCCCGTCGAAAAGGTCCGACGGCTCAGAGCACGGTCCTTGGACTCGGGTTAAGCTAGAGCCGAGCACGCAGGTCGGGAGGTCTGGAGTAACCATCTCAGAGTCCGGCTAGCCAGATTCAGGACCTTCCCGGCCGCTTGGAGTTGTCTTCCCCAGCAAGCTCCACCCACTCTGCTCTACGGTACGCTACAGACTTTCGGCTGCATGGGATCCGCTGCACGGTGTCGGCTGCGCTTGGCGCTTAACCCCTATGTACGCGCCAAACTGACGGCCAATCCGAACACTGAAGGGCAGGACAACTCCCTACCTCTGTGTCTTTCGGAATGCACCGGCTAGCCGATGCTGGCGGTCATATGAACAGAGAGTAAGGCATCGTGATGAAGCTACCCCTTACAATTCAACTTCATTATGTAGGACCTCAGACTTCCGACTCCGCGACTAATAAGCTTAAATTGCGAGAAAAAACAAATTAAACCAACGCGGTTCAGGCCACTCGCCGTGCACTAGCGCCGTCTAGCGAGCTTCGCCCATGATCCCCCTTCACCCAATCGAGGGATTTTCCGTGGATGTAGGGCACTCTAATCGCCGTAGCTCCGTCATAGTGTCCCGGCCTGTTAACTTGGCGTTTCACTTCCGGCGAAAGCTCCAAGGACTGGTTCCTGGGTCCGAGGTCGGCTCGGCTTAGCTGCTTTTCAGAAAGACTTCAAAAATCCCATGATTCCCCCTCTCCCTCCCATCGGTTTCCCCTCTGTCCTTAACATTCGTTCGCACCGACTTCAGACGCTCTTTCTTGACGATCGACCCCCATACACTGTACTGGCTACATATAACGCATCAGTCTAATCATTAATAACCGACCAACTCGATATACGATCCATCCGCACACATCCAGCATCATGCGTACCTCGACCATCTCCCTCGTCGCAGCCGCGCTCATGGCCCACAGTGCCTTCGCCAAGGTCTCCTTCAACAGCACTGCGTCCGACTACAAGTTCGACGGCGTGATCCCGAGCGGAGTCCTGAGCAAGGAGTGCGGAGCCGTCTACGCCAAGGAGCTCTCCTGCCCCGAGCTCCTCTTCGAGCTCCGGGACCAGAGCACCGGCCCCACCCTCTTCAAGAAGACCGTTCTCGAAGAGTTCTGCACCAGCGACTGCATCGACTCCCTGAACTCCTGGGACAAGGAGCTCAACAAGACCTGCACAGACAAGGACAAGGCCGCCGTGGCCAAGCTCTCCTCCGGCGGCGAGTACCTCGCCCTCGCCCTCAACAACGCCCACCAGATCCAGGAGAACCTGTACTGGACCTTCTGTCTTGCCGACTCGTAAGGCGCCCTCCTCCCCAAAAACATTTACGTCCCACTAACCACCCATCCACAGCGCCAAGGAGACCGACTTCTGCCTGGTGAAGAGCGACCTGCCGGCCTTCCCGAAGGGCGAGGACAGCAGCAGCGTCGTGCCCTTCTGCTCATCGAGCTGCCGCGTGCAGCAGTCGTTCCTGATCAACCACGCAGCAGAGATCGCCGGCGCGGACATCAGCATTTTCGAGTCGACGGTGTGTCCCAACGTCGACGTCTCGTCGTTCAAGATGAACGTGCTCATGCTCGAGGCCTTCGGCTCCTCTGAGGAGGCGTACGATGCGGAGGATACCGACTCAAAGATCCTGCCTGGTACTACCTACGAATACACGGCCCTCTTCGGCGACAGCGGAAACTCCACCGCAGGAAACTCTACCAGTGGTAACTCCACCGTCATCGAGAGCGAAGGCGCTGGTGCTAGGGCCGTTGTCTCGTGGGGTGCCCTGGCCGTCGCCGGTGTCGTTGCTCTCATAATCTAAGGCTAAGGGAGGAGGGAAAAGTACTATTATCTTGTAATCTTTTTTTGTATATAGAGTCCTAGCAAGCTCGGGGCAGGAGTTTGGAGTGAGAGTAGATATGGGATGCAAATAGATTTTTTCGGTGCCCACCGACTGATGAAAGGTGTTTTGTGATTCTTCGGCTTCGATTTCTCTTCGGGGCTTGGAATGCTTCGCGGCATCGTTTTGGTCCCAGTACTCTAGTGAGATGTCATTCGCTAAAGGCTGCGGCCTCTCGTTGTCCAACCCACTCACCCAGCACAATTGGAATCTGCAATGTCCCATTCACTCTCTCTCGTTCACTCACCTAGCCCTATCGTCTGCAACGTCCCATTCACTCTCTCGTTCACTAGAGTACCTATGCCAACCCATACCGCCCAGAATTCCCAAATTCTCAACGGCTCCCATTCAGTCGCCTCGTGTTGAATTTTCTCACCTTGAGTCTTCGCCCGAATTGCAGGAGCTTCCACGCAAGTTGGCAACCAGCAGCCACACACGCCCCGTTCATGAACGAGAGGTACCGTATATGTACGGCTGAAGAAGAAATGTCAGCTCATACGACGACAGTACTGGTACTAATCGAACCGGTGACTTTCTACGCAGTACCTCACCTAGGTATGTAAACACGAACCAGATGAGTTTCTCCAAGACCTATTGAACTCCACACGACGGTTAACGATCACGATCTTCCAGCCACTCAATGATTTGTTCCGACCAGCCACACGAATCACAGATCACAAATCACGGATCACATATCGGCACCAGTCAATGCCCATTGCCACCACCCATATCGTCCGGAAACATTTCCTCTTTGGGAGCTCTTCCCTTCTCTTCCCATGACGGTGTCCAATGCGAGGTATAGTAGGGGCCATTCTAGCGAAAGTGAAGGGGAAGGGAACGTGGGGTTCCGGAAGTCTCCCCGAGCTGAGCTTCTGGATCGTGGATGGGCTGTTATGGCGGGGGGTCAGCCACACCACACCTGCAACAAACGCCTCAACGAAACGATTTCGGCTGCGGGTGAACGCTAGGTACCAGGCACAAAGCATAATAGAGACATCGCAGCCGAATGACGACGATAAACACCCCATATGGCGAGCAATTGCCCGACTAGGGGCTGGCGTGCGCGCAAACCCCTTCTTCTCACTGCTCAGGGCGGCTTTATTTTCTGCCGAAGAGCAACCCTGTAGCTGCAGCTGCAGATGGGGATGGAGATGGAGAGTTCCCGTGGTAGCTAACTGATGCTGCCGATAGTTCTGGACCAGGGCAGATATGTAGGTACATACGACGACGTGGCCAACAAATCATCGTCGAAATCAGCCGGCGTGGAGGCGAACTCGAATCCCAGCACATTTATGTAGGTACACTTCACTTCTTTCTCGGAAGGATCCGTAAACGTGAACGTGTTTGCGGTCAAATATCGAACATCATGCGAACGAAAAAAATTACGTCCCACTCGACAAGTCACAGAATCGTCAAAGAACACGGCATGTCAAGCATGTACTACCTACTCTGCAAGGATCCGCGAGATATGGAGAAGGGATCACCTATCAGTCAGCGTCATGCGTAGTTATCGTCATGCGTATCATAATTCCTACATAAATCATACATACCCGCGTCCGATCATTTTTTGTGGATCGATTCGCGAAGCGCTTGGACCATCCCGGGTGAGACGGGCCGGGGGGGGTTGGGGTGTCGGGGTGTGTCTCACCCTTTTTGCGGGGTCGGTCGGCTCGGTGAAACGACGACGGCTTCATCTTCAAGCTCTTGCACTTTTGCCTGGCGATTGAGTCGTAGTGCAATAAAAGGACTACGGCTCGGTAGTTTTTTCTGAGGGAGGGAGGGGAGCGAGGGAGAGCGAAGGCAAGCGAGCATTGACGCGCAGAGATCTGCAGAACGGCATTAGTTAATTCCTCGGAAACGTCAGGGACAGAAACCCTGGCGGGGTTTACTGCGCAAGCCACCCCCGCGGACTCCTGCAATAGCCTGCAATGGCAGTGTATAGCGAGTCATGCGCCGTTGCCTACGTCCCCGCACGTGGGAATAACTCGTGTGGCTGGTATGTAGCTCGCGGGGGGCTAGTTAACTAACCCTGAGTCACGACGGGTTCTATCGTTTCGGATGGATTGTTTCTAACGTCCTTGATGCACCGTGTACGGGTCATGTCAGCTCAACGAGACGTCTAGTGTGGCTGATCACGCTCCCCCCTTCCCCTCCCCCCTCCCCAGCCACCACGATATCGCGGAGTGGTGCTACATACATCCTACCGGTATGGAGAACTTCCGGCGACGCGACGGAGGGGTAGCAGTTGAGTGCTGTCTGCAGCTTGCAGCCTGGAGGGCGAGGTGGTTCGCGTTCCCCTTATTGATTGATTGATCCGCAGCTGCTATGTGCCTAACGGCTCTTCCAGGACTTTTGCCCCGTCCTGTAAGCTGTAAGCTCTCTCATCCGATACGCAGCAGAGATACTTTTGCCACACCCTCCCCTTCTCCGCTCCCGTCCCAGCCACCCTCTCTCCCTGAGCCCTCACGGAATACCTATCCAGGTAGGTGCCGTCGTCATCGAAACATCAATGCTTCGCCAGCCACATTTTCTGGGAGAATCGCGCGCATTGCGATTACGACGGAGGAGAACGGAGGGCGGAACTTCCGTCTGCAGCTGCAGGTACGTACGGTGTGGCTCCGCTCATGCACCAGCCCCAAATCCCTGATGAATTTGCTTTGCTTTCCTTGTAGGTAGGCGGAATCTCGCCCCCGTCGATAGAGTAGGTAGAGTAGGTGGAAGTGAATGAGGTATCCAGGTACCCGAGAGACGTAAGTGTGCCACGACTGGCCGTGGACGGCCGAGTCAGTTCATCATGCTCATGCCTCGCGTCCGGGTCCGGCTGTTCGTGCCGCGGAGGGATGTGAAATCATCCCTGTGAATAAATCGAATCAATGCTGTGTATATCTGATGCTAGTTAGTATGTAAAATCCTGCAATTGATATTGCATTGTATTATAATTGTATTGCACGTATGTGCAAGGCGGAAGAACAAACAAAATCCCTGTGCTGGCGCTCGGAACGAGAACATACCGGGAATTAATAGAGACGGAAGGTATCAGTGTCCCATTCGTTCACTGTCACGATGCCCGAAAACCGGGGAAACACACACCGAACAGTTGTAAACTTCTTTCAATGCCGAGTGATATTCCAAGCTACGTCTTCATTTGTGCATCACTCGGTGCTTGCTCGCTCGCAGTTGAAAAATGCTCGTAAATATTTCCGCTGATTGATTCGCAAACTCAGCGGACGAGCAGGTAGCCATACTAGAAAGACATGCTAGAAAGCTAGAAAGAAGGAGAAGCAAGTAAGTATGAAAATTAAATCTTGGACGAGTGACAATGTGGCTTTTGAACGAGACGAGAATCACAACACGTTGCAGACACGAGATCTGTAACTAAAGTAGGGCATTCCGACTTACGAGATTTCGCCGTAGTCTGTCTCGATAGGTTGGCCAAAAGGTTAAAGCGAATGATGAATCGTCGGACATGCTATGACACAGCAGTAGTAGGTAGCAGCAGCAGCAGCAGCAGGAATATACCGTAACATATTCTCCCCTCCCCGAGCCTACATACCTACCATAATTGCTAAGCTTTTAAGCATACAGTCTACAAGTCCCCGGCTTATCCGTCGCTATTCGCCAGCCCCGACATGTCTGCGGTACCCTAGTGCCGCAGCCCCCCGTGCCCCAGTGTCATCGACGATGCGCCGCAAAGTCTTGCATCATGAGCCAGCACTCTTCCTGAGCGAGTGATATCCCAGGTACCCACGCATCGCACTATCGACTCCTCCATAGTGTATCACTCGCTCGATAAACCACCGTGGCTGCGTAAGTGGTCATTCAGCTTGGATGGTCATTCACGTATCTAGCTGCCTATGTAGTTGCCAGTAGGTATACCAGGGAAGTTACTTTGAATGGGTAGTGCGGGGGGTTGAATATTGGCGAGCGCCACTTCCAAGAGCTGCGCACGCTTGGCTCCTCAGTCCTGCAAATACTCTAGTCTTGACCTTCGTCCGAAGCAACTCGCAGTCTCGCACAGGACTGTTCACACCTCCGTATATGCTCACCGTTCTACCACCTCACTATTCCTTGGAACATCACTTTACTTCCCCATCTCAATTCATTCACCTCACCGCACCTCAACTCCCCTCATCCCACCCCCTTCCTACAGGATACAACATTCGGAATCAAAACATTCGAACTCAAAAGAAGAAAAAAGAATTAACACATCGATTACGCACAACTATAGCCAGCCCACTGGTGAGTCGTGACTCTCCGCCTCCACCTCCACCTTCTTTACATAGTAACCGACCGACCTCCGTGCGGGAAGCAAGAAAAAAGAAAAAGAAAAAATATCATCCATCATCAAAGCACTGCACTAGCCGCAAAAGAAATCCATAACCACAATCCATTCATACCCCCCAGGATCTACTTCGCACACCTAGGTACACCCTATCCCATCCTAACTCTGCGCGCGACTCCCATTCGGCAAGAACAGTTCATTCTGCCTATAATAGTCCTGCGGGGGCGGAGATCCAGCTGGCGGCTCCGAAGGCGGCTGTTGTGGCTGTTGTGGCTGGCTCTGGGGGCCCGTGTAGTAGTCCTGCGGCTGCGGGGGGCGCTGGGAGGTGTACGCCTGGTAGCTCTGCGGGGGAGCCGCGGCTTGGGTTTGGGCTTGGTAGCTCTGCGCAGGCTGTGGAGATCCTTGGAGCGGCGGGTAGGGGTGCTGCGGGGTGACGGGGGAGGGGCCGTCGGCGCCCGGGTAGCTGGGTTGGTGGACATTGAGGGGGCGCTGGTAGCCGTAGGGAGGATAGGAGGTGGAAGCGGAGGGGGTGATGGGGCGGCCGCCGGTGAAGCTGGATTCGTGCGCGGGCTCGATGGGCGTGTCGTAGACGGAGGTGGCGAGCTCTTGCGGCGCCGGGTGGCCGTCGGGGGCTTTGTAGGCGTTGCTGGGAGGTGCCGAGGGCGCGGTTTGCGGTGGCGGGTAGTGGTGGCCGGCTTGGGCGGGGGAGACGGAGCTTGTGCGGCCTCCGTGGGGAAGGTGACCACCTGGAGCCATTTGGCCAACTACGTAGAAGGGGGCGGATGCACCTTGGGGTGGCTGGTGTTGTTGTTGCTGCTGCTGCTGCTGTTGGTCTTCGCGGTGCTGCGGTGGCTGCTGCTGCTCCTCGTGTGGCTGTTGGTAGTACTGACGCCCACCCGGCGGGCCACCAGGACCACCATGTGCCGGCTTGGGTTGCTGGTGTTGTGGGGGGCCGTATGGGCTAGCGCTCTGCGGTGATGCCGAGGGAGCGTGGTGTGGCGGCGCGTTCGAATAATATTGTCCCGGGTTGCCATACGCATCAGCAGGTGGGTATGTGTAAGGGTTAGCAGCAGCTGGCGGCCGTCCATAATGTGCCGCGGCTGTCTGCGACATGGATGACTCGAGCAGCAACTCGTAATCCCTCCGGGCTTTGATGAACTTTTCATTCAGCGCCACAAAATCATCTGCAGTATATCAGCACGCGTTAATTCCACATCATCACCATCATAGGCCAGACATACCCTTCTTCTGCGAATACTTCCCAATGAGCTCAATAAGCTTCGGTCTGATCTGGAGGGTAGAGTGATAGAGCGTCGTGATCTCATCATTATCCTGAGCGGCGGAGTTTCCCTCGCTAGTACTCAGCAGGGCCAGGAGCTTCTCGACATTCTTAATCTGGCCAAACACCTCCGCCTCCATCTGCGCATCCTTCTGCAGCTCTTCGGCCGTGGGATCCGCCAGCTTCTCGACATAGTTCAGCGGGAAGATACCCGTCTGGCCGCGCAACGACCCCTTCCACCAGTCTTTGTACACGCTCTCCAGCACCGCAATGATGTCGCCCTTGCGGAACGCCAGCTCCGTCGTCTCCGACGGAACAAAGTCGTAGAGCGCGCGCACCCTCGACACCGTCGCCGCAGTAGTGTGTGTAACCGGCGCCGGCTGCGGGGTTGCAGCTGCAGCTGCAGCAGCCGCTGCCGCTGCCACAGCAGGTTGGGAATTACTCGGACCGGGCTGGCCCGTTGCCGGGGCCGGGGCCTTGCTTGCCGTCTGCGCCGCCTGCGCATTCGCCTTCTCTTTCAGCGAGATCTCGAGCGCCAGCTGCAGCTCCTCCTCCTCCTTCTGCCGGTCCACCGACGTGATCTCGCGCTTCGTGGGTTTCGACGGGGGGTGAATATTCGGATCTGTGCGTCGTGTCTCATCAGTCCCCTACTCCCAACCCCACTCCCACCCCACTCCCACCCCACTCCCACCCCACACCCTCGAGAAAGGGCACCTACTCGCAGACTTCAACCGATTAAACGCCTGTTCCATGACTCCCAGCCCGGGATCATTCCTAAACATTTCGCTCCAATCCGCCATCTTCTGCAGAATTCCCGACTTAACCGCCTGATGCGTATTCCTATCTCCCGCGAGCCTGAGCAGCGCATCGGTGAACGCGCGCGAGGCTAACTCTCTGTGCATAGCGGCACCACAGTTCTGCGTGAACCCGTGTGCCAGCTCCAGCGTGTATAGCTGCACGTTGGCGTTGCGGTGCGCAAGTCGCTTTATTAATGCGGCCACGGCGTCTTTCGGCCCGTCTTCCCCCGCTGCATTCACCTTTTCCCATGCGTCCATCATGTACTCCCAGTTCTCCGAGGTGAGCGTCTCGTCGGTCGCCTTGGCTGGAACACGGATCGGGATGTTAGCGGGATGCAGTGAGGGGGAAGCAAAGGGAGGACGACTTGCCGACGACGTCGTCAAACGCATTGGTTTGCGTTCGGAACATGGTAGGGAAATTCTGGCTGGCTACTGGTATCTGTATCTATCTAGCTGCTGCTGCTGTCTGCCTAATTGCTGTCTGTTTGCCCGTCTGTTGTCTGTCTGTGTAACGACGACGAGTGGTGTAAAACTAGCCGATACGATCTGTCGGCGGTGGGTGGAGATAGTCGTTGTTGTGGTAGAGAGGCAGAGCAGTTAACTACAGCGCTGGTAGGTAGAGTACGGTAGGTAGCAGACGAGGTTGAAGTTAAGTTGACAGGATCGATGAGGTTTGAGCGATGGGATGGGGGGGATGAAAGAGGGTGGGGCTGCGTAATGGCGTTGACGTACCCTAGCTGCAGCCCAGCTTTACTCGTACCCATATAGCTCGGCCAGTTGACTGCGCCACGGTGGTGGGGAGGCTTGAGCGTTGAAAAGCAGGCTTTTGGCGCGGCGGCGGCGCCGCGCCGCGTGGGAGGCGCAGTCGGCGTAGAAATGTGGCGAGTGCAGTCAGCGTAGAAATGTGGCGGGTGCAGGATCAGCATCACTCGGTTGAACATTGAAATTTGTCACGGTGGAAAGTTGTAAGCTCAGCAGAAATCCGGACAGAGACCTGACCAAAATCCAGAGATGGCCCCCAAGCGCCTGGCCTCGAGATTCTACCAACTCAAGACAGGTCACTGCCTCACCGGCCAGCACCTCCAGTGGACGAAAAGCCGACCGGATGCCCGTTGTGGCTGGTGCCGCTACAAGACACAGACTCGGGAGCACCTCTTCAAAAATTGCCCTGAATGGAAAAGTCAGCAAAAGACACTATGGGAAGAAGTCCGGAAGCAGACAAGGAGGGGCAAAGACCGCTTCAAAATTCGGGACCTCTTTGCAGATGAGCGATGCAGCAAGGCCATCCTAGAGTTCCTCTCCTCCACTGATGTGGGCAGACCTTCCAACAGTTCAACCAACCAACTGTTGGGGTAGTGAACTGAACCAACTGGCAAACTTAACCAACTGCTAGGTTTTGAACTGGGAAAACTGCTTGTCCCATCAGTTCAGCTCGGCTTAAAAGTTTGGGCTAAACCCGTCGCCACCACAAACCCACCGGCCAACCGCCTATATACAACCCACTACCCAGTCGCTACTATCAATCCAGCGCCCAGTACGTAGAACGCCGCCGGTTGACGAGCTTGGAAGCCTTGTTGATTGCTTGTCGAGAGGAGTGTTCAAAACAGTCCTACCGCGATCCAATGGTGGCTAGGTAGAACCACGGCAACGTCGACGTTTTCCTAACCTCAGCCGAATGGCCATTGACTTTCTGTCTAGGTATACTAGCCATGTCGGCTGAGGTGGGTTGAACGGCTGTTCTCCGAGTGCGAGATGATTCTGACTGGTCATCGGCACATACTGGGTACCGAGAGTGTTGAAGCCCTGGAGAGTACCTATCCAAGCCAACGGTATCGATCTCCGTGGTTGACCGAGTGCCATCTCGAGTCAATAATCGTGAATGACTCTGATTGACTCCGGGACACGTTTTTCGTCAATAAACGTAATTGACCGGAGCGGGTCCCAAGTCAATAATCCTGATTGACATAGATTGACTCGGGTGCATGTGCATGTTTTGTCATTTACCGTAATTGACTCTGCGCCATCAAGCGGTTCAATCGCCGTGCTCCCATGGGTAGCACCGTAGCATCAGAGTAGTACTTCAAATCTAGTACTGTACATCTTCTATCGCTCTTTCCGTGAGCATGGGAACCTATCTCGCCCAGTTTAGCTGCCCGGGTTGAACTGGCAGTTCTGCCAGTTTTTCCCGGGAACAACTGCCAGACATACATACCTAAACCAACTGGGAGCTGACAGCCTCTGCTCCCAACTGAACCGGGAACAAAATCAACCAGAACTGAACTGTACGGCATCAGCTTTGACCGCGGCAAAAGAGAGGCGATCCTTTCCAAGATGTCCCTAGGAACGAGAAGGCGAACGAATATTCCAAACCAGCAGGCGACAACTCCATCGACAACCCCACCGCCCGCCGGCGGAGTGGGGGGCACCCGCTACACGAATAAGTACCTACGGCACCAGCCAGTTACCCCCTCCGTCACTCCCATACCCGAGCACCCGAGCACCTTCGACGAGGCATCACAGACAGAAAGCAAGTAGGTAGAAGGAAGCCAAGGCATGGGCCGTCATAACAGCAAAGTCACTCACTAGAAGTACTCTACCTACCGGTACAACCAGAAATCCGACCGAAAACCTGGCCAGAGACCTGACCCAATTCCAGCGCTGGCCCCCAAGGCTCAAGCGCCTGGCCTCGAGGTTCTACCAGTAAGCAACTGAAGACAGCGCACTGCCTTACCCAGCATTATCGGCCAGTGCCTCCAAATGCTAATGGACGAAGAAAGAACCGCCGCAATGCCCGCTACAAAACCCAGACCCAACCCCGATTACACCATTCCAAACCCACCGCGACCAGAAAACCCAACCAACCAGCCAACCAGCCAACCAGCCAGCCAGCAATCCAGCCAGCCAACCAGCCAGCAAGCAGAAACCACCACAATACACCAGCAAACACTGTGAGCCCAGGTTCAGGTCCAGGTCCAGATCCCTCAGGTCCCTCTTTGTCTGCTTCCGGGGGGGGGGGGGGGGGGGGGCAAAGACCGATTAAAGACAGCTTCAAGATCCGGGACCTCTAAGCTCTTCGCAGACGAGCGGTGCAGCCAGGCAGCCAGGCCAGGCCAGGCCATCCTCCACTTCCTTTCCTTTCCGCCACTGCGATGGACCGGTGGGCAGGTGGGCTGGCGGATCTCAGAGGCTGAGGCTGGTGAGGAAGATGAGGAAGATGAATGAGGAAGATGAGGAATGCAGTAAGCAAGTGAGGTGTCCGAGTGGAGTGGGAGCTGAGGAAGTGGGAAGAGATGGAGCTGGGTGCGGCGGCGGCTCCAGGAGGCGGCGGCTTGGGATAGAAACGCGAGGAGGGAGCAGAGTTTGTCTTTTCATAGTGTTATTTCTTTGGTGCGCTCTCAGGTCGCATGCAATCAATGATTACACAAAAACAAAAGGTGGAAAGTTGTATCATAAGCTCAGCAGAACTCCGGCTCCATTGCTTCCTATCATTATGCTCCCATTTCGATTCCCCACAAGCAAAAAATCGAATCAAATCCAAATCAAACGGCTTAGGCATGGCTCCTCCCTCCATAGGCACCCTCAACCTCAACATCAACCAACTCAACCAACTGAACCACAGAACAGAACCACATCGTCATCATAGCACACAATTCGCTGCTATACAACCCAACAAAAAGACCCCAAACCAAACAGACGCGCACGAGAGAAGTATCTATATCAATCATCAAATCCCATTTCCAAACCCTGCCCGTAGGTAAGTAGCAAAAATAAATAAATCAAAGTTTACGCCAGACGGATTACACAAATTTCAACGGAAAAGAGGCCGAAACACAGATTGCAGGTGACTCAGGTGACTATCTCTGTCGCTCCTGGGCCCGTGCTTGTCTCGCCGCCCGGACCAGCGGCGCAAGGCTAGTGAGTGGATCTGCGGTTTTCAGGAATTTGTGCTGTTACAGCCATTAGTAAAAATCCCCACGACACGGAATGGACATCAAACTCACCTGCAGCAACTCCCCAGCCGACGCCCTCTTGTCCGGACTAACTTCGAGCGCCAGGTACAGGAAATCCTTCAAGTCGTAACTCAACAGCTCGGGCTCCTTTAGATCCGGGGTTCCGTTTGTGGCAATCAGGAATAGCGCGCGGAGGGGTGACTCGGTGAGATACGGTGGTTCTCCTTCGATCATCTCGATCGCCATGATGCCCAAACTCCAGATGTCGACTTTCCGTCCGTACTCCTTGCGTGTGACCACCTCCGGCGCCATCCAGTAGGGTGTTCCGACCATCGTCGTGCGCTTCATCATCGCCTCGTTGATTTGCGCGCAGAATCCGAAATCGGCTGTGCGAAGGGGGTTAGATAATTGCTTGCCAGAGCGACGCTGGGGGACTAACTCAATTTGATGTTGCCATCTAGCGACAACAGAATGTTGTCTGATTTGATATCACGGTGAATAACACCCTTCGAGTGCAGGTGCTGTAGCCCTTGCAACGTCTGGGTTGTGTGTGTTAGCGCGTGTCTCCAATCCGTCGACACCACCCGAAACATACCTCCCGGCAAACGGCAGCTATCTGTCCCTCGCTCATCACATTATAAGTCACAACGTCCGTCAAGCTGCCTCCCTCCATGTACTCCATCACCACCCACAGATCTCCGCGGTGTAGGAAGCTGTCCATAAAGTTAACGATATTCCTGTGCTTGCTATCCTTCATGACCAAAATCTCATTGATGATCAGATCCTTCTTCGGCTGCTGCTCGAGGTTCATCTGCTTGATCGCAACCGACTGGTTGGTGCCAACCCGGTACGCCGTGTACACACCCCCGGACGCACCCTGCCCGATCTTGTTCAAGCTCCGGTAGAGCTTGGTGGGATCGGCGTTGGTGCAGATCGTGTTGAGCCTGGAAACGATATCAAAGTCCTTACTGGGCTTCGGTTTATGCCGTCTCTGCGGCACGGGTCCAACACCACCCTGGCCCTGAAGCTGTTGCAACTGCGCGATCTGAGCAGCTTGAGCTTGCGCCTGAGCAGCCTGAGCCTGAGCAATCTTCGCCGACAGTGGAGGTGACGGCGACCGATCGGGTTCACTCTGGAAGGGCGCAGGAATGAAATACGCTGGCTGCGCCTGAGGCTTGTATGGTGCACTGTAGTTGTCCAATGGTTGGTGTGGAGGTTCCATGGGCATCTGATGCCTTGCCGCCTGGGATGATTGGCGACTCAACGGGTGCTGCTGTAGTGGCGGCGTCGACACGTACTCAGGCTCCGGAGGCTGGTACGTATGCTGCGATAGGGTTTCGATCGGCGTGGCCGGCTTAGGGATCGAGGGTGCCGGCCTCTGCGCGACGATCGCGGGTATCCGACCTGATTCCTGCGGAGGCGATGCCGGTGGTCGTGGTGCGGGTCGGTTGGGGACATATGGACTTCGCTCGCTTCGGAAAGACGGAGATTTGGATGGGACCGGGGGTGGAGCTCGCGGGTTCTCGAAGCTGGCTTCGTGGTTTCGTGGAAACAGCGGGCTCAACGGCGGACTCATCAGCGACGGTGCGCCGACCGAAGGCGACGGTGCGCCCAGGGTGGGGGTGTACGGGGTGCCATCGTGCTGCTGCGGAATCTTCTTCCACACACCGTCCTCGTTCACGTTCACATCGTTGTAGAAGGCGACGATGTCCATCACCGCCTGCGGGTTCTGTTCCTGTTCGTTCCTCGAGATTCCGCTTTCCTGCAACATGCGCTGCCACTCTTTCGGCAGACCCTGCAACACAAGAAGAACAAGCTCGTATCAGTTTCCTTGTTTGGGGTGACGTACATCACACGAGTCCAGATGCGGGATCGGGAGCGGAAAGAGCGGGGCCGTACCGTAAATTCTCCGGTGACAAAGTTAAATCCGACATGTGTCAGATGGACTGGGTTTGACGGGCCCGATATCTCAACCCTCTTTGGCGATCCGAGAACACTGTTCATGAACTTGGAGAATCCACCCTTCTTACCCGTGCTGGGTGGTTTGGCTTCGTCGGAGTTCCTCTTCGAGCTCGAACCTCCGAGCCCGAGCGCGGCCTTCATCGCTCCGCGATCGCCAGCCGTAAAGCTGCTGGACTGCCGCAGCTGCGGTCGTGTGGTGGTGGCGGCCATGTCGTATTGCTGTTGGATCTTCTGGAGGTGGTCGACTGGTCGGCGGGACAGGGTGTTTCGATCGCCGTTGCTGGAACTGTGAGACTCGTAGTAGGACGACGATTCGACAGCGGTCTCGACTTCAGACAGCCGTCCAGATATGGGTCGCGAGTTGTAGCCGCTGTGGCTCGTGTACTGCGGGGAATAGTGGTCGCCGTTCGCGGCAAGGTAACCGTCGTGCTGTAGCAGCGGCGATGAAGTGTACGATTGCTGGTACTGTTGCTGGTCCAGGGAGGAAGTGGAAGAGGAGGAGAACAGAGTCGGGGGATTGGGTGAGGTGGGCGTCCTTTGATGACCGGCAACACCGGGGCTCCTCCCATGCGTCGATCGATCGCGAGGGTAGACGGGGGCAGACGGTGTTCGCTGTATAGAGCCGGATGACCGAGAACTAGGAGAGTAGAAGGCATTCCCTGGTGATACAAGCTGCGGCGACACACCACCACCACTGCCACCACCACTTGAGCGGGAGAACGAGGACAGGAATGGAGGGTTCTTTGTGAGGCGCCTGCCATGAGAGGGTTTCTCGGAAGAGCGTGAAGAAGCGCTTGCCGAGTCCATAGCTTCGGCACCAATATGTAACTTTGCTTTGCTTGGGTGCTTGGTTGCTTGCTTGAGCTTTGAGTTTTGGTTTGACCAAGTGACTGGGGGCGGGGAGGGAGGGGGGGAGTCAGGCCAAAGAAAGTGGCTTGTTTTTTTTTCCTTCTTTCTTTTTTTTTCTTCTTCTCCTTCTTCTTTCTTTTCCTTCCCTCTCAATCAGAGCAAGTCGCGCCTCGGTTCTCCGCGATTAATTCTGGAAGTAGGTAGGAGGGTGTGGAGGATGTGTTGCAAACAAGTTCTGGCAGACAGACAGGCGAGGCGGGCAGCAAGCAAGCAAGCTTCGTTCTTCCTTACTTACTTCGCGACTGGCAGCAGCTGGCGCGGGGGCTGGGCTGGGTCGGGGTGAGGGTTGGGTTTCGGGGAGGGTGGTGGGAGGGGGGGTGGGAGGATGGGTGTGGTGGTGGTGGTAGTGTTGGTTTGGGTGTGGTTGGTTGGACGAGAATGGATGGATGGGCTTTTCGGGGACACTTTTTGGAGGGTGGGAGGTAGATTGCGGCAATTTGGCAGGGCGATGAAGACGAATCTCAAGGAGTATGGATGGATGAATGGGAGTATGGGAGGATTGCAGAGTTGTGCGTGTAAGCCGGGGTGGAGTTGTGAGACCGGGGGGGAGGTCGAGAGGTGGAGTTCACACGGTTGGGTAGGTAGGAGGTATGCAGTGTTTCGTTCGGTCGTCTGTGGCGGGCGGCGGCGGCTGCGAGGCGGAGGAGGAGGAGGAGGTGGTGGTGGTGGAGGCGAGGTGTCGCTGGTGGTGGTAGTATCGATGGTGGTGGTGGTGGTGGTGGGCAGCGGTGGTGGTGGTGGGTGGGACGTGATGGTAGGACTGGACGCGGTGGATGTACGGGGCGGGTAGATGGTATGGGGATGTGAGGTCGATGTTTCTCCCTCGCAGCGAATCAAGAGCTGACTCGCGAACTGGCGCGGAACCATCGAATGCGCCGCTACTTCGAACGGGGATGGCATGGCATGGAATGGCAGTGAGTGATGGACACGGTCGCGCTGAGCTGCATGGGGACTACAATAGTTAGCAATAATAATAAGACCTAACGGACACACAGCAACGCTGTGGCACAGCTTATCACGGTGAAGTGCCAATCCGACCCACGACTATCGCCAGAACAGGAGGTATTAGCTTGTATAGCATTTCGACGCAGTGGACTCCACATAACGGTCTGCACAGTGTAACCACGAGATGTTCTGTAGGGCTTGCCTGCAGATCGGCTGCCTGTCCCGAATCTTTGCAACTTGCAAGCCATGTCCAGGCCTTGGAAGTATTGTGAGTACCAGGAGCTGCCAGTAAGTGGTGCCGCACCACCATCACTCATTGATAGCACTAGTCTATATTAGAAGCGCACTAAGCTAAATACAATCAATGAGTGAGGGGTTGTGACTAAGTTGTGTGGGGAAAAAAAAAATGCTAAGTTGTATGGGGGAAAACCTGGTGAGGCAGCACTTACCCTTTCACCCGAGTACATAGAACCCACTCAATTCCGCCTCTTACATACCCAAAGATGCCCAAAATAAAGTCATCGTTAACGGTTAAGGCGCTTCCAAGTTCCATCTCGATGCCCGCCGGGTCTGCCGGTACATACGAATACGCATGACAGCTCGGCTTGGTACGCTAACTGAATCAGGAGCTCGATGGTGTCGTCGCTTTGCTTGCCATTCACTCTGGCCCACCCCCATCTTCACTCCTTCTCGGCATCACAGACCACAATCAATCGATACACGGTCTCTCTCTCGTGAGACCAATCGGAAGAAGAAATACCACGCTGTGAGCAGAAGACAAAATCACTTACGAATGATATGACAAAGAGATGCACATGTCATCCTGCAGAACCTATATAAATCGAACCGCCAGACAAGATGAGTTAATCGGTAAGCCTCGATTATTCCTCTTGAATGTACTAACAATCGTTCCAGCGGGCCGGGCCGACAAGATTGCCGCAACTACTATAATTACCCATTCTCTCTCACTCTGAATGAGTTCTTACGACTTCCCAACTTCACAACTTGCCGAATCCCCCCAACTCCGACAAATTTTCCTGTGGCTGCAGCAAAAGGACGTGGAGCAGTCCTTGGGATATGCCACCTCGACCTCGATTCCGAGTCTGTGTTCGTTGGGACTTGAACGGATTGGTTCACACTCTTGGGTCTTGGCTCGAGTAGGTACCTATGGGTTGAAGAGAAGATCGAATCCGAGAGCGAAAAAGCGAGTGCAGTGTAAGCTCCGTGCTTTGTATTCTCGCAGCCACATTCATCGAGGTGGAGCTGCAATACAGTGGTATGTATGGGCGGTGGCCGTTGCCATTACCTCGGTTTGTGTGAGGTGTGGCGCTGGCTCCGGGTCTCTCGAAGACTCCATTCTGGGCGGGATTGCATGTCCCATCACTCGCTTTTAGTAGTTATCCGCTCCTGGGCCTATCCATGACCATGACCACCATCGTCCTCCCATCTCCGATCTCTCATCTCGACATGCAATGCAATCAATGATAATGATTAAACACCAACAAAAAAATCCCCACCGACCATCTCCGCCCAGGTCCCCTCCCCCTTCACAACCCAAGGGAAGACCGCGTATCCAAGTCTGTTCCAAGAACCCCCAAACCAAATCAAAAAACCAAGTTATACAGAGCACCATAGGTCCACAGCGCTGAGCGGGGTTCCTGCATTTATAATCGCCCTTAAGTTTTAACACCCTTAACAAAGTTTTAACATCCATAGGTGGCAGTTAGCACTCTAGTCCATTCTATAATAGATTACGGGGATGCCTGCTCGCATGGGCATCTCTGCTCAATTATTGGTAAGTATGTAGAGTACGGTACTGTACTCTACATATCCATGTTTTTTTTTCCCTTTCAAGTTTCTGCTCTCGCCGCCGCGGAAGTCCTCTAATTTCTTCTCACATACGAACGAGAAGCGCTCTAAGAAGCGCTCCGAGAAATCCCACATGGTAACTACCCAGGTGATGGGAAATCGGGATTACGTAGAGGGGAGAGCGCGTGTAGAAGTAGGATCCGTAGGTTTATAGAAATATCTATCCAATAAGTTTTTAAGTAGGTATGATTGAATGGGTACGGAAAGGTACTACCTATGATATAAGGACGGCCGCACCCAGGTAGATATTAGGTATTCACGGAACCACCAGGGACGGAGACGGGGGGCGGGATGGGGGGTCTGGCGTCCACGCTACCTATGATTTACTATGATTTACCGTCCGGCGCCGACGCCTCCGTCAACGTGGACAACGTGCTCCTCTCGACGTATAGTACGCGTGGCTATGTACCAAACCCGGCGTCGGCATCACTCTATACCTACATACGGGGCTCGTGGAGACTACGACGGACTCGTGGAAGGACTCGTGGAAGGACTCGTGGAAGTCTAGAAGCCTGGAAGCCTGGAAGGAAGGAAGGAAATATGTCCTAGAAGTCGGAGGATGTCTCAGCTGTAAGGAAGCAATCGATCGCAACTGCAAGCCTACTTACCTACCTTCCTAGGTAAGTACCTTGGTAGATGGAGGGATACCCAGAGAACCTATGTCTGCAACGTGCTTCCGCGGCGCACTCGTCCTGCACTCTCCACCTTCACCACCACCATGACCGTGAAGCGGCACGGATCACTGCAACCCCAGGGACTGCAAAGTCTGCAAGTCTGCAGGGCCTACACTCTGCATTCATTTTTTCCGCACTGTGCGTGGCGAAAGGGGTGGCTTGTCCACGGCAGAAACCAAAACCAACACCACGGGAGCACGCATAAACCGGTAGGTACTAGTATCTACCAGTTCCCCTCCGTCGCTCATGGCAATGCCCGGTTTGAGTCAACAGTTACTAGGTTGGGTAACTTAGTTACCGGCTTGTGCCGTGTATATACGGTATCCCACCGTCCCACGTAAAAGCTCCGAGGCATTGTTCCCGTACATTATTCCCGTACATACTTTACCATACCCCGGCAGTAGTTATTCCATCCCAGCACGGCGAGATCATGATTCATCACTATAGTATAGCAGGATTGAGCGCCATGTAGATAGCTAAATATATGGTAGGTAAGTTACAACTCCTCCTCCCGCTGATACCTCCAGTTCCGCCGGGTACTCTCCAGCTCCACCGCCCACCAGGACTTCCCGCCGATGCCGACAGCTGCCGCGAATGCTTCTTCCACGCGCGCGGACTCGAGCTGGCTTTCGGGCAGTTCTTGGTCGTCGTCTGTGGCCAGCATTGAAGGGTTGTTGAGGTAGAATATCTCCTCATCGACGACCTGCGGCTTCGGTTTCCGCCATTTACTGCTGGCCGGAGTGCGGAGGTCTTCGGCGATCAACTGCGCATCCGCCTCCGAGTCGGGTTGACACTTGGGAGGAGCCATGATCCTGGAAGGAGTGCGCGGAATAGTCGGCGCTGTCGGACGCTCGGACTTCGCAGTCTTCGCGGGCGGCGACGGCGTAACAAAAACCGGCGTCCTCCGCTTCCTCTCCAGCCACTCGCGATGCTCGGCTTCATCCCTCGCCGCCTCCGCCTTCACCAGTGCATCCAGCGCCATCAGCTGCTGCGTTGCCTCCCCCGCCTCCCCCGCCGCCGCCAGCATCTTCACTTGACTCTCCGCCTCCATATCGCGGAGCCGCTGCTGCCACGCCGTTTGCTCAGCGGTTCTCTCGCGGTAGATTCGCATCATCTCCCGATCATGGCGGAATTCGGATCCCGAGCACAGCTTGCCGAATAGGTGCTGTACGGAGTCGCGGGGCGTCCAGGTAGCCTCGTCGATGACGCACTGGTGCACATCCTTCGGCCGAAACGCGGCCACGAAGCTCCGCAGCTCTGTTAGGGACGAGTGCCGCGCATACGGAAACTGCACCCACGCCGGCAGCATCTCGCCGTTATCTGCAGCGATATACTCCGTGCCGGGCCAGTTCCGCGGTTGCGGCTGCCACTGCGAGTTGTTGTTGTGGTTGTGTTGTGACTGTTGCTCCACGGCTGCGGCGGAGAGCATGCATAGTAGCCCGTCTTTGGTGAACGCCGCTTCGCCGTGCGAGTCGTCGAACCGCAGCGGGACAGCTTCCTTCCGGCTTCTGCTGGCGGACAGGAGCATGCTCCTGATCTCTGGTGATGCCGAATCGCCGAGCATGTCCAGCAGTAGCTGGAATTGTCCAAGGATGGAGAAATCTGCGTCGTTGCTCAAGTCCCCCCATTCCACGCCCTCCTCCTGGTACACCACGCCGTCGTTCATGGCGACGGCGGGCGTGATGTACACGACCATCTTGTCCTTGAGTCCTGGGCACTCCAGGCCGCGCTCGCACGAGTGGATCCGCACAGCGGGATTCGTGGTGAGGATTCCGGCCTGCTCGGAGTTTCCCAGCGTGAACCCGGCAAGATACGAACCGTGCGCCCACTGGACGGACTTGAAGAGCTTGTAGTGGTATGGGCTCAAGTGGATCTGTGATTTGAAGTAGGAGGCGAGGGTTACCCACACTTCTTCGTAGCCGAAGGTCCACGTGTTTAGATGGAAGATGGTGTCCGTGGGATATCGGTCTAGTTGGCGTAGGAGATCCGCGACTCCCTCGCGCTGGACTGGGCGTCAGATCTGTTCTTACGACAAGTTCTTCGGGATGTATATGCGTACCTTCGAGCTGAATTTGTCAAGCCCCTTGGCCGCACAGCTCGTGTCCAGATAGATCATATCCAGCCTCTTGACGCCCGTGGAGTACGGCAACAAGACGGGATGCCGGGCGATGTACTCAACCCACCAGGCCTCAGCTGTCACTGATTAAACCATCGACCCATCCACAAACCGGCTGGTGAGAACATACCTCTGATATCCCCGGTATAAAGTATCGCCTTCCCATCCCCTTCAAACAGGAATATGACGGCGCCAACACAATGATTCGCCTTCCTTCATCAGCCTCGCTGCCAGCCCGCCACCGCCCCGGTTAAAGCAGTCAACTCACATCGATCAACGTGACCCTGACCGTCCTCCCCGGCCCAACCTCGACTTCCGTCGGTGTATCTAGCGGAATCGTTTTCTACACCGTCTATATCAACCACCACTACCACCACTATCACCCCTCTCTCCGCCCTCCCCTCCCCTCCCCACTCACCAGCAACCGCGTCTTCTCCCTGTAGTGGCAATGGCTCGTCTCGATGACCCCGCGCTGGAGGTTAAGCCGGTGAGTTTTTCTCTGGAGGCGGATCAAGAGCTAGGTAGGTACCCCCATCACATCAACCTCTCATTCCCATTCCGCGCAAGCTAGGCTAGGAAAGGATTGTGCACCTCTTTCGTCGCAACAGAGCAGTAAATGAACGGCGCGTTATAAGCGCCCTCAAGGCCCTGGACATGATCACTTCGCCGCCCACACCTTGGATCAGTCCCCGCGCCCCCCCCCCCCTCTCAAAAGTACAGGAGGAGTGGTGACGAACGAGTGTATATGGCTCAGAAAGCAAGCCAGCGGCGGTTTATCAGCCGGGCTGGAGCTGGGGCGGAAATAATCAACTGCCCTCCCCCCCGCCGCAAGAATCCATCAGCATCAGCTCCGTATCTTCCGCTCTGCGGCGCAGATTTTGGACCGCAGTGGTCACTGAACACTGGAGAGAGTATGTACATACCGCGGATATCGGGAAACTCTATACGTCACTCGCATGGAACGTTAGCTTCTGCGATGCCCTGGAACTTGGAACTTGGTGCGACGGTACACACCAGCGAGTACGCCCTTGAATGTCGACATGGCTGGATATGCCCAGCGGGATCTGGTGAACGAGGGACGCGATGTTGGAGTTTATGAGTTTATGATGGACGAGGAACCGGGGGGAGAGAGCGGGTTAAATCGCAAGTATCAAGGCCGAAGTGGCTGGGCGTATCTCGATCAGCCCTCGAATCAATGAAGAACAGCCGTTTCGGTTTTGGACGTGTGGAAGTATGTACCGCGAGTGTATATTCTACGCGTTAGTGGGGTTCTATATAGCATAGGTAGCTGAAGCTTCCCGTGCGCGGTCAAGACCGATCACGGATTCTACATACAAAATTACAGAGTACTCTACACAAACGCGTGCCTGCATATCCCAGGCCCGCACGGCGCAAGGAAGGATCGCATACATAGTGGACGGCAAACAAGCTGCAGCTGCAGCGATAGTTCTGTCGCTAAGGAATTTCGTTTGGATGCGGCTGCAGGACTGAGGATGGTCGTCGATCGGGTGCCGGTGACTAAGCGATGCTGTGCTACTCTACATACATGGTGGAGGTGAGGCCGGCGGCGAACTACGACCTACATACCGTAGTGGAGTGGTTACTCCCGTGGTGCACGGAATCTGCAGAACCTCTTTAACGTCATGGGCAGACCGAGTAGGAGAGATAGATTTGGAAGTCTCAAGGTTCATCGCTTCGAAGATCATCACGGAGGGACTGAACTCTGGTAGTATTGCGGACGGTGGTAAGGAGCTAGGTACTGGTGGAGGTTGTGGAAAACCTAGAGCGCAGTGGTAGCAGGGAGAATAGGATCTTAGCAAAGCCCATTCAGAAGCTCTTGTAATGTTGCGAGATGATTCGTTACCTACCGAGTGAATCGTAGAGCTCCATCTACATGCTCGTTGTTCTTGTTCCTGAAACCCACTCGTCATGCATCAGCCACTTCAAGGTCCCCCACGCCCTCACGTGGACGCCAACCAACAACCGAGCTCCCAGCGACAAGCTGTCGCCACCCACGGGCCACCCATCCATCCCAGTTCCCGTTCCCACCGGCCATCTCCCACCTTCCCCAACACCCCCCGCCTGCCTGCCTGCCTGCCAACCTCCACATCCACACATCTACACAACGAAAGGACAGGAAAGGACAGGAAAATAAAGAAGCCATGTCCGAAGCCTACGAACGAGAACGGTTCCTCCCCCTTCCCCTCCCTTTGGCCCCTTTTACCGTCCGCAGCAGCTGACACGCAAGACAGACAAAACAACGCGCTCCTCGACGATCTCGCCTCGAAGGTGACCGCACTGCGCGGGGGTAACGGTAGACATCTACGACCAAGCACGGGACCACACCGTTCTCGACCACAGTGTTCGTCCACCCCCACCACCGCTCCATCCCTTTCGCGCCGCTCCGCTCCGTTGCTGACCATAGTTGGTTCGTTGGGGGGAACAGAATGAGGTGTTTTCGTCCTTCAACACGTCGCTGAAGAACTCGGTGGGGCGCGTGCGGTTGATGGCGCAGAGCGGCGGGAAGATGTCGACCATCCGCATGGCCGCGATGATGGTCGGTGCCGTGGTGGTGCTGTACTTGGTTTGGGGGTGGTTGTTTGGCTAGGCTAGGCTACTATAGGCGGAGTGTACTCAACGAGCGAGCGAGGGCGTTACGGGGTCTGATTCTGGTTTGGTGCTTGATGTGTGGCTATTTATGTTCGGGTTGTACTTGCGATGGCGATGGCTTTTTAGAGCTGTGTTTTGTTTTACTTGCGTTTAGCCCCACGCGGTCTGCAATTTTGCAGGCGGAGGAAGGATTGTATCAACACATGCGCGCGAATACAAGAATAAGAATAAGAATATAGGGATATCCATTATTAGGCATAGCGAACCCTCCGCCTTTCTCCCCTACCACCATCTCGTCCTGCGCCTCCACTTACCGTTCTACGATTGTTCATGCGTAGGAAACAGGCCGACCTGCTGTCCAAGCCTGTAGCTCCCAATCTTGTCCCAATCGATCTTCTGCCTGGTAATGGGGAGTTGCCTCCTCAGACTCTTGAACGCACCCTCACTAAGGAGTCCAAACGCATCATTCAGCTTCTCCTGGTACTCCTTTTCCTTTTTCGCGATGGCCTTCACCACGTCTGTGGCGCTGCCGCCGGGAACCTCGACGTCGACCGCATGAGTGGTAAGCAATCGCACATTGCCGTCTTCGTAGTAGTGGACGTCTACTTTCAGCTCGCCAGTGAGAGTGTTCGTGGACGGGTCGAAGTTGTAGATGCTCCGCCAGCGGCCGTTCCAGTAGTTCGCGGGGCTGTATTTGTTGCCGGTTATTACGAGTGCGACGGTCGTGTCATCGTTGGAGGGGTATGCGCCGTAGGCGGGGAGGGAAGGGTAGTGCTCGGAAACGTGAGGCGCCAGGGATTTGAGGAGTGACTTGCTGTGAAAAGTCAGCCTTCTACCCGCTCCTCCTCCTCCACAGTGATTAACGCACATCAAGTCGGCATTCTTCGACTCAAGCACATAGCTCTGCACACTCGACGCTTTCTGTTTCCCACACAATTAGCCTGCCTCGCCCATCACCACCCCATCTCCCACCCCCTTCCCTCAGAGGTACCTACCTGCGTAATATGGTCAAAAGCCCAAGAGCTATTGGCCTCGGTATCATAGAACCTTCCATCCCCGAGATCATTATACTCTGACACAATGACCTACGCGGATTCATCATCAGCATCACCCACTTCATCCATCCCCTCCCCCAGTGGACAAACCAATTTCCCCCCGGCCCCCGGTAGCTTCGTGCTGATGAGCTGCTCCTTATTGTACGTTTCCACGGCGGGCGCAAGGTTGGCGGTGATGCTCGCGTCGCCGCCGATGAGTGATTTGACGTCGCTGATTACGTCTTGGAGCTATCTGCACATCAACACAAGTTCCATCTCCTCGTCCTCCTCCTCCCTCCTCCCCCACCACTTCCTCCCTCTCCCCTCCTCTCATCCGAACATTGGAGGAAATTACCTCGCCAGGTGGAGCATCGAGTATGAAGCTGGACACAGTCTTGATTGCGTCGGTAGACATTATGCAGGTGTCTGGTTGAACGGAGGATGGATATGTTGATGTTCGGGGGTCCGGCGTGGATGTTGGGGAGGTGCGAGGAGGGGCTAATATGAGAGTTCACGGTGGCAGGTGGGCGGCGTGGCTAGCTAGCTCTGGCTGCGAGAGATTATCTGATAAGATCAAAACATGCAAGTCGAGCTCGAGTGATGTGTTGAGTAATGCCACTTGTGCTCGGATAGGGTCATCGATATCGGAACGGCTAGGGTTATCTAAGGCTGTGGGAATGGGTTGTGGCAAAGTCGATAGGAACGCCTTTGGGTATGTTTTGCCGTGAGGAGTTGCAATTGAAGCTGATCCAAGACCGGATCTAGGCCTAAAACTTTCCGAATTTCGACTACCCTATGCGAATACTCTGAGTCCCAAGTCTTCATTTTCTGCAGAGGATGTTGAGGGGATCACCCTGCTTGGTATTACTGAAGGAGATATCCAATGGCCTCATACCGTATCTACTCGTTCATAAGATAAAACCACTAGGCGTTCTGAATGAGCTTGCCGAGTGGAAACGGGTGGCACGAGCGCGGTCACAGAGGGCTGTATGGTGCTTTGTACAAGAGATCGTGCTCAAATGGCGACGAAAGTTAATGGACTTCCGTTGCCACTCGGCAAGCTCATTCAGAATGTTGAGCGGTTGTGTCTTATGAACGAGTAGATACGGTAGATGATAGCAGTACAGTATTCTCTATTTCAAGCCTAAAATTGGCCATGATTTACTCTAAAGACTTGCATCATTATGTATCCCAAAAGCATTCCATCTCTAGACCCCAGCGTTTTTCTACCGAATCTACAACGATAAACAAAGTCCGTTCACACCGCTGTCGCTGCCGCAGTAGGCGGAGCATTTCTCCTCCCACCTCTCCTACCCTGAACAGGGCGCGGACCTGGACCTGGCCCCGGACCAGGCCCAGAATTTCTACGCTGTGCCGGTGCCGGCGCAGGTATAGGCCCACTTCCACCCTCCGCACCACCACTGGTATCGCCGCCTCCACTTCCTCCCGTTTTGCCGCCTCTCGCCTTCCCCTTCCCCCTCCCCCCACCGCCGCCGCCACTCCCTCTTCCACCTCTTCCGCCCCTCTTGCCTCCACGAGCCTTTCTCTCCTCCTCCCTCTTCTGTGCCTCCTCTTCCTCCTTGACACGCCTACTCTCTGCCTCCCACCACTGGAGAAACTCTTGCTCTTCCTGAATCTCCTGCAAATTTCGCTTCATTTGGTATTCCTTCAGTAACACCTTCTGGGCCTCTTCCTGATCGATGATGTCTTGTATACTGAGGGGAAGGAATTCTGAGGGTCGGGGGCGGTGTACTGGCGGGGAGACGGCTAGAGACGAGGCGGAAGGAACATTCCGCACAGCTGGAGATTTGGGTGTTAGGGAGGCCATTGCTGCTCGCTGCTGTATCGGAGCAACAGAGGGAGGTGTAGCTAAAGTCGACGAGGAGGAAGCAAGGACTTCCTTCAGTGAAACACGAGGTGTCGACGCAGCAGGATTGATATTCCAAGGCGCCTTCTTATCCGGTGTCGAAGGTGGGGTAGACATCACCAACGAGCTTGTCATTTGCTGTTGCTGCTGTTGGCGCTTCCGTTCCTTCTGACTCAACTTCTGCGGTGTTTCAGACTTGGGAGAAGCAGTGGAAGAAGAAGAGGTAGCCATGAGTTGCGCTGTGAGTGCTGATCGCCCGGATGCTGTAGCGGCGGCTTGTGACATGATTTCCTTCAGGTCGAGTTTGTCGGATTTGACTGCTGAAGGTGCTTGCCATGGGTCAATGGATGACCGACGCGGCGGCGGTGCCGGAAGCTCAAATGCGACCTCTTGAGGAAAGCTGCAGGGCGACTGTTGAGGTATCCCACCCCATGCAGGCGCCTTTCCTTTGGCGTTTCTCACAGTGGGGGCGTTTGTTTCAATGCCCGTAGATATCCTGATAGGCGAAGAAGCGCGAGGTATCTCGTCGTCATCCATCGAGAAGATATCGTCATGGCCCTGCTGCGCCGGCTTAACCAACGGAGAACCACGGGCAACTGTAGCCTTCGGAGCCTTCCGCTTAGGCTGCTGGGGGGACGATGATGACGGTGAGGAGAACTTCAATGAGCTCGAAAGTGGCTGTTCCTCCGACATGGCAGTGTAGTGGGCAATTAACGCAGCTCGTTCCTTTTCGGAATCATCTTTCATTGTTGGATACTTCTCAAGAAGCTGTTGTTCCTGCCTACCAGTTCGAGAACGAGGGGACAGACGCTTCTGATTCGCACGAACGGCTTCGTCAAGTTCGGCCATGAGATCATCGTCTACCCCATCCAGTAGACTGTGCTTCGTTAGCAGTATTCACGGAAGTTAGCGACTTGAGTAACTTACTGGTTTTCAAGCATAGTCTCAAGGTTAGAGCAGATGTACTGCAAACACTGCTGCTTAAAGCCCTTCTCCGAGCACGGTGCACAGGCCGAGAGCAGTCCCGCCGCGTTGCGAGTATTGACATACCGGCCAATCACCTTTTGACAAATCTGAGACAGCCTCTCGAGCATGAGCTCGTTGGCAGTAGCAAGTACGTCCAGCACGAAGTCGAGATACTGGTCAATATCGGTGTCCTTCACGCCAACTCGAATACCGTCGAAGCCCTCGACATCCCAATCGTAGTAGAGCCACGAGACTACCATATCTATGATTTCCCTTGGAACGTGCTTCATATCGACATGTATTGCTCCCTTTTCCATTTGGCGACCCAGAAGCCACCGTCCGCCGGCCCCTCCTCCATACAGGGCATCGAAGAAGGGACACCGAACACGCATTAGAGTAGAATGTACCGAGATAGCTTCGCCGTCCGCAGCGTCGATTATCATATCCGCCGTCTCGAAGAACGCAGGATCTCCGTAAGCCAGCTTGAGATCATTATCCAGACAACGAGATGGGTAGTGCATTCTCCCCACCGCATCATGGAGTGCTGCCAACCCGAGAGCAACAGCGACTTCTGACAGCTCGGTCCTCAAAGACTTGAAAAACTCCCGTTCCGGCTTGGTTGTCCCGCGGCGATGCCAAAGATCAATGACCGTATCGACATAGAGATAATAGACTAGATTTAGAACGGTTAAAAGCTCGACATCGTGGAATACGAGCTTTAATTTCTCTGCGGACGGCACTATCTCGCACACACCGGGCACACTGCCAGAGCGTTCAGAAACCAGCTTGCGCAGAACGGGAGACCTCGACAAAATAAAGCTGTGGACTGGAATACAGACGGCTTCGCTCTTGCTGTTAGAAACAGTCATGTCCCACTGATCCAAGCCTTCGTGAAGTTCGAGGTCGGCAAGATGTGACTGAAGTTCTTCCTCCACTGTTTGCTTCGTGAACCAAGCAACGGCTTTTGAATATCCTTCAGGTCTCGGTTTGGGACCGTATCCCCACTCTTCGTCACCTTCGTCGTTCAGTCGTATATCTTCGGCGTCCTCGTCCAGTGCGAACAAACCGCCAAAGGATAGCATCTGGCTGACCTCATCCCAGAGTCCGGATGGCTCCACTGAGAGCCGAGTCCGCATCAAATCGGAATCCTTCCGGATAGCGGCGAATGAACCAGTCGTATTGCTCCTTACCGACGTGATGCGAGTCAATCCCGGAACACGATCAAACTTGTATCGTCCAGCCTCTCCACCGCTCTCCTTGATTTTGGCCCGTTTAACTCGACTCCAGACGCTACCAGATTGAGTGCAAATTATTATGTTGCCATCAGCTCCAATGTCGACATCCCGCACGGCCATGCGCTTCTTCCTCAAGCTCCAAGCCCTCTGTGGCATCCAAGAAACTTTGCCGGATCCCCGGGTAGCCTTTTCTTTCAACGTGGCGTCCACATCAAGCGCGAAGACATCGCCCATCTGCGACAGAGTGCAAATAGTGTCTCCTCCTCCCGTGATTTTCATGATCGAGTTAGAGCCAGTGTCGTACCGAGTGACGTTCATTACACCGGCTGGTAAACCAAAGAAACGTTCCATGGGGAATGTGAGCCTGGAATAGCCATATCCTGCCAAGATCCAGACTTCGCTATTCTCGAGCAAGATAACAGTGGCCTTGTCGATAGCGACGACGTCCTTGATCTTGGTTCCATTCAAGAACATGGCGGAGACTTTGCGTGGTGTGGACTGGACTTCCACGGTCTGCGCGTCCGAAGAATCCAAGATGCCTAACTGGCCATCGTTCTTCCCGAAAGTAAACAGGGAGTCTTCCGTGAAGACAGCAGTATGGACTCGACTAGCTGCACATCCGATGACAATCTCACGTTTGATGAGGCCGAAGACCTGACGGGGTGTCGGCTGCAGTGGCTCCTCCTTGGGCGATTTCTGTGGCTGAGCATAACCCAGCTGGCCACACTGATTCCTCCCCCAAGAGTACACATCTCCACCCTCAAGGACAACAACAGTGTGGTCCTGTCCTAGCGCTACCTTTACCACCCTCTTCTTCGGAAGTAGCGGCGGCGACAGCGGACGGAACGTGAACTGGACAGTCTGCTCTTCGCCGAAACCGAGTCGACCACCGCGGCCGAAACCACATACGAAGAGATTGGAATGGGGATCATCTGTAAGGATGGCAGTGTGAAATTTTGAAAGAAAGACTTCTTGAATTCGGATGGGATTAAACAGTACGGTTGCATCTAAAAGTTCCTCGGCTGTCTTGCCTTGGTTTCCTAGCCCGTCGTGATACCGTCGCTTCGCCTGCTCCAACAGTAGATGTCTTGGTCGGTGCAGCGGAATCCGCTCCGGAAAAGAGCGATCGTCTCCATCGATGAAACCCAGAGTCATGTTTTTGTTGGAGCCCCAAAAAAACACCTCGTCTCCCATCGCCACCAGTTGGCTTCCGCCAGCTACAGTTGCTTCATCCGTATCCGAATCTCCATCCAATCCATCGTCCACATCCTCGCGAGCGCGTCCTTCGGGAGTAATCTCAACCTCTTCGATAGTCGCCTCGAAAACATCGAACGGTGCATCTCCCGCATTGTCCTTGGACTTGACGAGACTCCAGTTGCTGGGACTCGCCAGGATGATCTCCCGTGCCGCAGAAATGTTCGCATGGTACAACGCACGATGCAGACACGTCCACCCCGACTCCAGATCCACCAACGTCGGGTCCGTGAGGGGATGTGCCAGCAACGCCGTAACGAATGGCAACCGATCTTGCTCCGTACACGCCAGATGCAAGACGTTCCTCCCCATAGCGTCGAGCTCCGCCAGCATCTTCTTCGTAATCACGACATTCGCTGGTGGCGATCCCGGACGATTCTTCGCCGAGATGGTACCGCCCAGTGATGATTTATAGGAGCCCGTGGGAGTCGTCAACCCCGCCCTGTGTGCGCGGTGTCCCGTGGTATAGGAGTAGGGCTGCGAGCCTTGGAGCAGGCGCTGGAAGCGCTCCGCATCATTTTCGAGGTAGTACCGCCAAAGGTAGCTGCTCATAACACGAAGGAAGATCCTTGATCGCTCTCGGTCACCCTGTGAACTGGGTGATGGAGCGATGAAGAATCGAATGGATCGAAACTAGAGGTTTCAATCCGGTTGGCGACGGGCGAAGAGTAGGTTGCGAAACCGTGGGAAGGCTGGACTGAAGTTTACTGACTGGCGGACGGGTGAAAGCCGGGTGGGAAACTTCGTGAACGCGGCCGTGGATTTGGATACGTGTGGAGCGCCGAGAGTCCGATAGATCGATCAAAAGGTGGTGCACACGGACAGAAGTTCGAGGTTGAAGAGTGTGTATCTCCGGGGGTGCCGTGGCGGTGGCGGGGGCGGTGGGGCGCGGTGGACTACAGCAACACCGAGTCCTACGGAGGCGCGGGAAGCAGTTGGGCTGGCAATAGCTTGGATATCGGCAACGCTTGGAGAGAATTGAGGGTATCAATCACTGGCTGAGGACGGCGGGGTTCGACGAAGGACGTTCAAAGGACGTTGGAGATGAGCAAGATTTGTTTCACGTTCACGGCTGATTAGTGGGCTTTTGACTCTAGCGGCATCAACGATGATTGGTCCGGAGAAGGAGAAACACGGATTATCCCGTCACTCACCAGGCGTCATCCACTCTGAAAGATCTAATCTGATCGTCACGCAGTCGATATTGATTCTGAGCTCTGAATCTTCAAAGCATGAGCGTCATGGACTCTGTGGTGTTAGAAGCCTCCAAATCCCTGTATACTCTGCCCGCCAGACTACCTTTCTATGGTTAGATAACGTAAGCGCAGGAAGCGAATCAGAACCTGGAAGTGAAACAGTCTTCGAGGTGTGGTTTAAGGCTAGCCTTGTGGGGTGCACCCCTATGTTAAAGCTACATGCTCCACACTTCCAGCAGCTACATATCCACTACTCTCCCAATATTCATCTATTGTCAAATGTCTGTTACAAGCAAAAGTGGACCCGCCAGCAGTGGTCAAGGGGTGTTTGTACCTGTGAATAGCCGTCTTCAAACGGCCGTTACGTTTTACCACGCCAATCGACAAACTCCGGTTCCCCGTCTCTATCGAAGCAAGGATAACAAGGGGAAAAAGGTCACCAACTACGGCTATTCGATTCGGCGAGTAGCAACGATGCATGGGGTTGCTTACTCACTTCTGCAAAGAGCGATTACTTCCGGTGGGAAGATCAAGACCCGGTCACAAGCACACGAAAAGGAGATGGTCCTGACGGTCGAGGAAGAGAAAGTTCTTGAAGAATGGTGTCTACAAAACATGCATGGTTGGGGCTATCAGATACGGCTTGACTTGCTACGAAATATGGCTTGTGCAATTGTCGAAGAGCGAGAACGGCGGAATTCCGAATCTGCCAGCGATTTCCGCCTTCGAATGCTCGACCATTTGAACGATGATGTCGGTCCAAATTTGGATCTCATTGGTAAGAACTGGTATAAACGGTTCTTATCACGACATCCAGCAATATCGGCAATGCACAGTGGCATCGACCCTTTCAATCCCAACGCCGCTGTTCCTAAAAATCCTCCTGACCTGCGTCGGAATCAAAATCGTATCGACACACACGCTTCCGATGAATCGAGCTCTACGGCGAATCCGACTGACTTAACGATGGCCGCGACTCCTCCTCCGACAACACCTCCAAGACGAACGCCTCGATCAGACATATCGCGTCCCACAACCCCACGTAACGCTATCGAAGTGCAGCAGCATGTTGAAGCTCTCTTAGAATGGTTGGACTCTTCAGAACGTCAATGGATAGAGCTCGCAGAGTCTGGTATCCGGGAACGAGTACAACAACTAGCAAAGTCGGCATGCATGTCAATGTCCCGACTCGAAGCACTCAAAATCGAAACCAACCGACAATTACGACTTTTCCAGCGTGACGGAGGAAACCCTAGTGACGAAGAAACTGGTCCCGACTATCAAGCAGAGTTGACTGATTGCCGAGTCCTTACGATTGGAGAAGCCAAATTACTAAGAAGACGAGCGGAGGAAAAATGGGAAGCGAAGCAACAGCGTTTGGATGAGAAGCGACAGGCAAACGCCTTGGAAAGAGCGATGATTGAATTGGATGGTCCCGACTATAAAACAGTGTTGACCGATAAACCAGTCCTTACGTTTGGAGAAGTCAATTGTCTAAGAAGACGAGCGGAGGAACTATGGGAAGCTGATATTTAGAAGCAATGGCGTTTGGATGAGAAGCGACAGGAGAACGCCTTGGAGCAAGCGATGATTGAATCTCCTATGGGTGGTATCCACGAAGCACAAGCAGCTGCAGAACCCGGAGAGTCTGTTGTGTTTCAAACAATGAACCCGTTCAACGGATTGAATGAGGCTGGTGGAGTTTTTGGTGCATCGGTGGTGGAGGCTCTCAAGCCAGAGTTTTTCGTCGTCGCAACCGGAGAGAGATCCGAACATTATCAGCATCTAATTCCCCGGCTGAAGAAGGACAAGGTGAAGAGGGGCTATGCGCATCATGGGAAGGCGGAGAATTTTGGTGTTTGGACAACTGTCATGGCCAGAACCAAGGACGAGTGGACATTCGTTCATGTTTCCTTTCCTTTGGATAGTTCTTCAGATTGAAACTTGTATGTAGTATGACCCCCCGGCGTCGGATGAATACTTTCTCTTCTCCATAATCTTTTTGTACTGAATAGTCTCGGACTGGATTGACATTGTTGTACTGGATTCTCCTGCTTTCTGTTTTCTGTCATCTGAACTTGATTGATTCTATTGTAACAAATACACGTGCCAGTTCCGTCAAGTTCATTCAATTGTACTTCAGACTTTTCTTCATGAGGAGTGACTCATTCGTGTCGTTTCAGCGGGCGATAGTTACTCTAGAACATAGCAATCGGTGCCCCTTGTTAGAAGGACTCGTGGAGGCGATTCGCTGGAACGATCGAGATGGTGTCAAGTGGTATGTTCGGTCTAGGAGCTATTGGTACAAGAGAGAGAGAAAGAAAACCAAACTTGGACCTACCGCACCGAATGTTCCAAGCACCCACCACCGGTCCTCTGAATGGCTAGTGAACTATTCACAGAAACACACTCGTCCCCACACTCCCCTCTGTCCGTTCCGCTGGACTCCCCGTTAGCAGCGACTGTGCCCGACCAGTCTATGCAAGTACGGGTCCATGATTTGGACCAACCTGAACTGGTTATCTTAATGGTCCGAACTGGTATGTAGAAGCTGATAAAGTACCAGTAGAGGAACTATCGGGAACACATGTACGCCGTTGACTGCAGATTTAGCCACGGCTGCCTTGACAAACCAGCTTTCCAAATGGAAGGCCTTCCCCTAACTAACCGAAACTGCCCCGTTTCTCTGAGATGCCTCACAGTGCTTAATCCAGTTCGCTGGACGATGATGGTGAAGATAGCCCATCTGGATCTGGACCCTTACTGCACTCATTGTGACTCCCATAGGTATTTATCCTTGCCCTTTGCCACTCATCGGCTCCGATACGATGTCGTAATCACTTAGCGAGACTCGCGCACCCCTACAAGAACCCGCTATACGCGTCTCCCCGTCTCGAGTGCCATTTCACCACACTCCACGGTCCTCTTCTTCAACGGATCTTCACGTTCCGACGCCCCCGCTCGGTCTCAACACCGACAACATGCCCCCCAAACCAAAAACCCCCGCTACCACGAAAAAGGAACCTCCAAAGACCCAAACTCTCATCGCCAGCGCCAACACCGGCCTCACTTTTACCCGGCGACCTGTCGTCGCCTCACCGGCGACAGCGACGGCGACTCCACGACAGGGAAAGCTCTCCGCGTTCGGCTTCGCAAAGAAGAAGAAAGATGTGGTGGAGAAGAAGGGTGTGGAGAAAGAGGAGGTGATTGTGCAGGAAACGCAGTTCGCCGGGTTGACGCAGAGTCCCGGGTTCGAACCTTCCGACGGCGAGGATGAGGATGAAATGGGCACGGGACTGAAGCCGAGGTTCGAAGGCGTCGCTAGGAGGCGGGGAAGTCGGAAGGAAGTGATGAGGATGGCTACGCCGCCGTTGACGGAAGACGCTACGCCGCCGTTGCCGATGGACGTCGTCAGAGAAGCACAGCTTGGGGTCGGCAGACGAGGGGAGCGTCAGGCCGTCGAAACCCCGCCGACGCTGCGGAAACGGAAGATCGAGACCGAGACACAAGACCCGACGCCGTCACCGACGGTGAGACGGAAGAGGAACATCACCCCCACCCCGTCCCCGCCTCCGCCTCCGCCTCCGCCAATACCGCACGATGATAGAGTCCTCATGCCGCCGCCTCCCGTAACACCAAAGCGTCCCGCGAACAAAAAGTTTCCGGACGAGATACCGTGCTCGCAGAGCCCCGTGCCTAGCCCGCTTAAGACGCAGGTAACGCCGGGGAAGTTCGAGATGCCGGTTTCGCCGTTGAAGGCCAGGAGCGTAGCCTCAAGGACTGTAGTGAGGAGTAGTCAGTGGTACGAAAATGAGGATACTCAGGGCGTTTTTGACTCGGTGGAGGCTGGGGATGCATCACCGCTCTCGCCGCTGCCAAAGACAACGCCTGAGCCGCTGGGATTCGATATGCCGAAGCATAAACAGAAGCATAAGCCCCCGTTCCCCCCTCCTATGGATCCAGTCTCCACCGGTTTCTCCTCACAAATCCAAACTCCCGCCACTCCCCCACACCCATCTCCCCGCACCCCTCCAGCCGCACGAACACCACCGGGCATCGTGCCGGAAACACCACCGCACCCGGCTTCCCAGCGTTATCAAGGAATAAACCAAGCAACCGCCTCCTCCGCCAGCGCTCTCTCGCCCAAAGCGTTCTTTTCGCAGACGCAGTCACAAACCCAGGGCTCACATCGGCATCCATCGCGCTCACCGAGCAGAACAGCCACGACAGCCACGACGCTGTTCTTCTCCACCGCGCGCGAGATGCCATCCCCAAGCAAGCCCAGCCCGGCAAAACACCATACCCCTCCCAGGCCAGATATAGAAGACGGAGAGGAAGACGACGACTTCGACCTGGACTTGGACCTGGACCTGGACCTGGACCTGGACTCGCAGCCAATACGCTACCCCATCACCGTCTCGCCCACTGTCTCGCTGCACTCCACTCTCACGCCCACCCACTCCTCCTCCGACGATACGGAAGAAGAAGAAGAAGACCCACCGCAATCGTTCCACCCCGTGCGCACCCAGCAGTTCTCAGAGAGTATGTATGTGCGCAAGTTCGACGACGACGACGAGGAGGAGGAGGAGGAGGAGGAGGCGCGGCGGCGGGGAGGGAGGAAGGATAGGGAAGGGTGGAGGGATGCCGAAGACATTACTACCAGTCAGTTGCTCCCCGACACCTTGATGGAGACGTTTCCGCTGCCGGATAGTTGGGAGGAGACGCAGTAGGTAATGGTGAGCCCGGGCGTTGGTTGAGATCACGATGAATGGGATGGGATGGGCCGGGAAGGGGGTTACATCGTGGCTTTTCTTTGGCGGTCATCAAGTATATGTGTGTATCATATGAGCGTCGCTGTCCGGTACAGCTTCTTTTAAGTTTTCGGGCACGTATCGGAATGGATCGGGAGCATTCGGCCTTGCGGTTTCTCTCTCTCTCTCTTGAGAGAACGGATGGAATGATTGGGCCACATAGGTAAAGTACTAGGTTAAAAGTTATCGCCAGAGGGCCGTTTTACACCAAAAATGGCCACTTTCACACGACTAAACTCATCCTTCCTCTGACAGAAAAATATTGTGTCTTTCACAAACGCCGTAAAATCATAAACCCTCTCATATATGAAAAAAAAGTTGACCGCTTTTAGTCAAAATTGGTGGCTTTCGATGGGGGTTTGTGCATGACTTGAACGGCAATTCCGCATTTTGTATGGGGCTCCCAAACAAAAAGTTGCACGACAACCAGCGAAAACCATAAATTTTTCTCCTGAGCCGCATTGCTCAACCACAACTGCTTACATTTGCGAGCCAGTTTCTTATAAGATCACCTAGGCTGTTAACAAGGACTTCCAATTGCCCAATATTTTTTACAGTGTGTTTGGGACGCAGAATCTGTGGTTGAAAATGGATAGCCTGGAGACAATGGGACTTGGGTTAGCCGCATAACTTCGCATAAAATATTGATTTCTTTTAGCTAGAAATTTGTCGAAGCTGGACATGTATCTAATCATCCTGTACGCAAATTGATATTACTTTCTATTGTGTGGTTGTGGTGTTCGAGAGGTCTAGATGTGTGGTGTGGTGGTCTCGTAGGGGCGAGTGGCGATAACTTTTGACTTGGTACTTTAGGTTCCTTCGTTCGAGCAGACATCTTGATTAGAGTACATAGAAGAGTAGACATAATACAGAATACCGAAATCATCATAGGAAATAGAGCATGGTGGGAGGATGTTGACCGGATACAATCATAATCTTCACAATACAGTGCCATGAGCGTCACGCATCCCTAACCGTGGAACGATGCAAGACGTTGATCACCCGTATATGGTTATTTACACAAGATATTTAGAGAAAGTAAACGTGAAAACAGAAGCAGTGCCAGTGAAGAGCGTCGCAGCGGTAACAGGATAAGAAGCCAGAAGTAGAAAAGTAGAAAAGTTACCTAATGGAATTGGACCGGGGAAAAACAGAACATTTCCATCACCACCAACGATTAAAGCCCCAAATCCAACGAACCCGAACCAGCCAGCCAACCGAACAGCACATAAAAGAACCGAACCAGAGCACAAAACCGCAAAGTAAAAAAAGAGGTAGAAAGCAAAGACAAAAGAACCAGAACCCATCAATTTCGCCCTTCTAACCATGGTTTCCCCAGATTTCCAGCAAGCAACCATCCCCATGCGCGACCCCCTATCCCACATGACAGAAAATAGAAACACAAGAAAAGAAAAGGGATACCGTATTATTCCGTTATGACAGATGGAACGCGCCCTGTCCTTCCTTGACCGCCACCCTCATACGGTCCCTCAGGATGTCGAGCGTGGTGTAGTCAGGAAGCTTGAGATAGTTCACACACGTCATAACACTGGGGAGGTAGTCGTCCGAGGTGTATGGAGGCTCGCTGGCCTTGCATACCACTGTCAGTAGAGGCGTCAAGCTCTTGAAACCTGTTCCAAGTTAGCACCCGAAGAATCATCAGACCGAGTGACAGCACTTACCACCAATAGGAAGCTTCGGGCTACCAGTGACAAACTGGAGGAACTCGCGGCGCTCGGACGGGTTGTACTCGCTCATGACCTGCAGCAAGTTGCGAACTGTCTTGCTGTCCATGTTAAAGCCGTGATCTGCCTTCATCGAGTCCATCAAAGCTACGCAGTATGTCAGAAATCTGTCCGGGGAAATACGGAAAAGCCATCACTCACTCTCAAGAGACCAGTCCTCATCCACCTGGCCGAATAACATGACTAACTCGTCGGGAGTAAACGACCTCAACGCGTTGTACGGGAAGACCTGGGAGAATCCAGCACGGAACGCTTCGACCTGTTTCTGGACTCCACTTCCGAGAGTCATGCCGATCACCTTATCGACGTATTCAGCAACGTTATGGATGGTAACTTTAACATCCCCACCGTTCGGTACGAGTTCAATCTCATCGTATCCAGGCAACGTGAAGTAGATCTCCAGATCCTCAACCTGAGTACCATCAACGGTAATCTCCTTAAGGCGTTCCTGCTTGCCTCGAGTAGTGAGGACAGGATTCTCATCGACCGCCTTTTTGGCCATGGCAAACTTTCGGAGGAGTTTCAAGGACGAAGCGAGATCTTTGTCGACGGTCTTGACAGCTCCCAGAGATGGCGGAACGGCCGAATCACAGTTGGCTCCAGTGCGGAAGAAGGTAGGGTTGAAAAAGATGTCGATGATGCGAGAGTCCAACATGGAACGCGCCACAAACTTGCCCATAATCTTAAACAGATGCAGCACCTTCTTTCCATTGTCTGAATTGGCCATCTTCTCGTCCATCGGCGCCGGAAACAGGCCCTGGTGTCCAAACGCATACTCACTGTCGTTCTGAGAATCGTTCTCACGCCACAGCTTGAGTTTCTTGCTAACGAATGCCCTAGAGACGCTAGAGTAGAACTCAAGTGTCGGTCCAAGTCCGGTTCCCACTTCTTCGAAGTACTCAACCTCCAAAACACTCGGGGATGCGCCGTAGATCTCCATGACCTTGATTGCAGACTCGAGAATGCGTTCTCTCGATATTCGGACCTTCTGCCGCTGCAGCCTTCCGAGGAATGGTCGGTTGTCATCACGGTGACGATCTTGGCGGGAATCTCCGGTTTGCTGCGAGTTCTGCCATCTCGTCATGGAACGGGAGTATCCAAATGACGTTGACTGTAGGTACAAGTGCCGGGTCTCGAAGGGGAAGAGGAAAGGGTAGAAGCGGGACAAGTCTTCGGACCATGTGGGAAGACAAGCGCTTGCAACGATCAAGGGCTCCTCGAGCTGGCGGTTGAGTTTGGCAGTCAATTTAGTGTTGACGAACTGGCTGAGCGGCTGCAGTTGGGGCTTGTCGACCTCAGTGTCCTGGAAGACGTCATCGATGTTTGCGTTGAGCGCATGCAGAATGCTGAGCAACTGCATGATCGACGAAGTAATCTTGTTCTTGTCCAAAGAAGCCGGAATAGCTGTGGACTGCGTCTGAGAGTTGTCGGGGACAGGCGACAACGGTCCATCAGGTGGAGCGGCTCCAGGCACTCTACGAAACGTGATGGGGTGAACTGCTGACCAGATGTTTCTGTACGACGGCTCCTCTGAACCGGCATTCCGATCCAACTGCACCGCCTTGTAGATGGTCATATCGTTGGAGATAGTATGTCCATTGATAGTGAATTCGATATGCCAGTCATTTACCGATGCATAAGTGGTCTTGGTCGCCTTCGGGGAAGCTGTGGAAGGCCCAGACAAAGGAGTAGTAGCACTAGCGCCAGAAGGCGTTGCCACACGGGTTCCATCCTCTTTGCGAGCAGTCACCTTTCCACCGGCAACTTCAACATTGACGGCGCCAGTTTCTGGTTCAGGCTCATCGTCCATTTCCCGGTCGAGATCGTCAAGTACAGCATCCATGTCACCCATCTCATCATCGTCGTCGTCGTCATCTGGCACAGGGCGCTCATCCATACACTCCAACCGTTCCTGGGAGCGTGTGGCGGGTGGTTTCGGCGGCGCTGAAGCAGATGACCCTGGGACGGCACCTGAAGAGGTCCTTCCGGTGCTACGGCGCTTCGCGGGTTTAGCAGCCGGCGTAGGCGCGGACGATGAAGATGCGCCCTCGGCGGGAGGAGCTGGTGCAAGCAATCCCGACGTTCCGGGATGTGGCAAACCAGCAGCAGCAGCAAACGCCGCCAATGCACCCGACAGTCCGCCAGACCGATCACGACGAGCACGAGGCCTCTCCGAAATATAAATGCGGGGCTTCAAGTAATCGTCCAGAGCCTTAAAGGTTGCGATAGCGTGAATGGACACCATGATGTTCCGGTAAGATTTGGGAATGTCAGATCCTTCTTCTGCTACAAGCTTGAGACGGAGCTGCTTGGCGAGCATTGAGGCACTGCTCCGATTGCCTTCGTAGTTCTGGTGAACGGTGACAACCTCGAAGTGTTCGGACCGGCTAAGCAAGTCCTGCAACTTCTTGACGAGTACGCCGAATGGTGAATCATCTCTCTCCTTTTGCATGAAAATCTCCAAGAACGAACGGCGAGTTCCGGCATCGTCCATACCTTCCCCATCGTCAGTATATATTCTCACTCAACGCAAGGCATCACATACCGGGAGTGTTCTCCAAAACGGAAAGCAAGGACTCGACTATGCCGGAGTTCATCAATTCAAAGCTGGAGATGGATTTGAGTGCATCTGAGCTAAAGAAGCCAGCCAGCTGCTCGAATAACTTGGCAGGCTGCTTCTCCGTCTTCAAGCCCTCGGAGAGGGTGCTCAACGACTTCATAATCTCCTTGGCCCTGGTCTTCATAGTAGTTGCTTCTTCCTTGTCATGAACTTCCATAAACTTCTTGGCCTGAAGAGTGAGCGCGCTATCCATCGCGATGATCAATTCCGAGACATGTGATGGCTCATGTCTTGAAGACGACGATGACCTGGAACTAACAGGAGAAGAGCCCATGTGATCCTCATCCACCGATTCGTCGGACGGGTCTTCCTCAAGGTTGAGGTGTACGGATTCGGGCAACTTCGATGCCAGCTTCTCTATCTCGGAGATTACGCCCTCCCTATAGAAGTGGTAGCGGTATACATCAGGTACACGACGCAACAGCAGCTCGGCCGCATCCATCGCACTAAGAACCAGGGTCGGATGGTCTTGCTGATGGAGGATAGTGGCAAGATGAGACGCAAACTGAATACCGGAAAGTGCTTCCTTCAGGATATCTGTGTCCATGTTCGAAATCATCTTCAACTGGGCGGTCAGAACCTTCTGTCGAACATTAAGATTCACAGTGCTGGTGTATGCATCTGTCAAAGTGGGAAGCAGGATCCCTGCAAACCGTTTCAGTGCAGGTTTGTTCTCCTTAAGCAGGCGTCGGCGCAAATCATCTGGTGTCTCTTTTTCCTCGGTCTTGGAAGTCGAGGAACGCCTCCGACGAACTTTTGGTGAGGCAGAATCAGCTAATTGATTAGATCGCAGGTCTGTGGATACGACAAATGTAAACTTACTCTTGATGCCTGGGAGGAGCTCGCAAATCACGTTCAGCGTCTCAAAGATTTGTTCGCGAGGCTTGTGAATCAGCGCCTGCATAGTCATGACAGAGTCGGTCTTGAGATGCGGGTTGTCGCCCTCCGGGGGAGATATGCCCGTCAAGATCTGGTACAGAGTGTCCACAATGTTCATCTTGAGAAGCTCCACGGCAAGTGTAGGGCTGGCTTTTGCAGTGATGGACAACACTCGCAAAAACTGCGTGTGAATGTGTGTACCGACAATGTTGGTAGTGCCGGGCAAAAGAAGCTGCAAAATAGCTTTCAGCAGATCCTTTGACATCAACTGTTCGAGTTTGTCGGGTTGATGACGGAAGCTCTCGGCGATACGTGCAACACACTGGCAGCCCTGCTCGACAACTTTCTGGTCGCTGCTCCTCAAGACATTACGCAATGTTTCCATTACATCCCGGACTGTCGTAAAACAATCTTCGGGGATGCTGCGGCAGCAGTTGGCAGCAGTCGTCACGGCAGTCCGCTGAACGTTCGTAGCAAAGAAGTCCAGGTATGTCAGACACGCAGTGAGACCACCTTCACGGACGATCGAAGTCGGATACTCCACCGAGATCTTCTCCAAAGTCTATCAAACCATTAGCATATAAGCTTTCGAAGTTGGGACAAGCGCGTCTCACGCTCAGGGCTTGCTCTGCAAGATCAATGTACTGGATCTCCATCAACTTAGCACACAGGACCGGTACAGCACCTCCATACACCACGTTCGCCGTTGCGGCGGGCAACGCCTCCATCAAGTTTGCGATACAACGACATGCGAGGAGCATCATTTCCGGATTCTCGCCATAGGGACCCTGATCTTGCATCAAACTAACTAACTCCTTCACAAACTGGTCGGGAGAGAAATGTCCGGACAGGTTGTCCTCGGTGGATACTAGCAACAGCTCTGCCAGGCTCTGCAGAGCAATCAATTGTGCCGAGGGGTCATCCTTCTGTCGCAAATTCTCAAGAATGTCCCGGAGGCGTGAGGAGATTCCAGATACGAGTCCCGAAAGCGCACGTAGTGTACTGGAGAGATTGGCACCACCTCCGCCCAAGTAGCTGCCATCGAACACATCGTCCTCGTCCTCATCGTCGTCGTCCTCATCCCTGTCATAGTCCTCCTCTCCATATCTCTCGTCGTCATCATCACCTTCCTCATCCTCTCCAGAGCGATCGGCCATGTCCTCGTCATGGTCGGGATCCTCCACTTCGTGACGCAGATTAGCTTCTCCCATAACCACGTCGTGATCAGATGGGGCCGTAGCAGGAGCCGGAGGTGGAGGTGGAGGGGGAGGTGGAGGCTGAGTTGGCTTCTTTGTTCGGCTCGAGGGTATCGATTTTGAAGTGTCTGCGAGTACGAGTATCGTCAGTCGAAAGCCCGAGCGGAAAGGCAGCAAGCGAGAGGAAGAGAGATAGAGAACTAACCTGGTGTTGGCTTCTGATTCTGATTACCTTTTCGCCTCGAGGAAGCACTCTGACGCTGTGGTGGTTGATTTGGCTCGTTCATTCTGGGGCACCAACTAGCTCAGTACCCCGCCTATAGATAGATGAAATGCAAAGGGGAATGAAGGGGGGAAGGGGGAGGCGAAATTGCAACAATACCCTTGGTCAGCCATCTCGGGTTTCTTCTCTCTATGACGTCTCTGCGGCTGAGACTTTGCTGGTGGTTGCTGCGCGGTCGTCTTTGAGCGCTTCTTGTGAGGTGACTGTGAGGGACCCGCAGAAGCTGTAGGTGGTGGTGGCGGGCTGGCCTTTGCTTTCCGCTTACGAAGGTTTCGAGTAGTGGTAGAAGTGGATTCGGCTGCAGCTGGAGGGTTTGCTGGGGAGGTGTTCTGAGCCGGGGCGGGTAAGGCTGCGCCGCTAATGTCACTCGCCGTGGAACGGGTGACTCTGCGAGTGGGCATGAATAAATGAACGCTTGAAACTGTGCGGGACGCTGAGTGTGGTGCGTGCGTAGGTAGTAGGTTGGATGGACGGTGTATGGAACGGGACAAATGACGAGAAGAAATAGTAGATATCTACCTCAAGGTCGAACGGAGGCGTGGAGAAGATCTCGTTGCCGAATTTGTTGGAGATCTCTGGTCTGGGTTGGCCGTAGATGATGCAGGCAATGCTTCCGGTTGACGTGTTGCTCTAGGCTCCATGCGAAGCCGCCATCAAGCAGAAGAGGGTGTTGGTATGAGGAAGTCCAGCGATCGACTCTTCAGAAAGAGACGTGGCGATAAGGAGAAACCTGTGAGTTAGAGCTGGGTGTGGGGCGGGAGGGGGGTGTGGGTGGTGGGTGGTGAGTGGTGGGCGGTGGGTGGTGGGTGGTGGGTGAGTGGGGGGGGGAGGTTGTCAGGTAGGAGGTAGGTAGGCGAGGCGAAGGATCTTCCGGGGAACAGAAGATGGGATCGAGCTAGCGAGTGTTTGAAACTCTGGAAGTGGCGTTAGAGAAAGAGAGGGTAAGGTGGAAGAGTAAGTCGGTTGTGAAGGAAGGTTGGAGATGGTAGTGGCAGTTGGTGGAAGTGTGTCGGTGGTGGTGGTCGGTGGCGGTAGGTTGTTGGTGATGTGGAGGAGGACGGATGGATGGATGATCTGGGTCCAGGTGGTTGCTGGCCTGTGCGACTTCCCGCCGACAACTCTGGGGCTGGATTAGGTGATGTGATGTGATGATGAGAGCACAAGTCCGAAATACGACACTAGCACAGATATAAGGACGTGACGGTCCGGACACAGCGTGAATCGTGATTACGGCAAAGGAATCGAAACTAGGCGAACGAGACATGGCAGCAAGCAAGCAAGCGACGTTGACTCTACTGCTTTCCGGGGGGTCGTCTCTGATCTTTGATTCTAGAAAAGAAGTGACTACTACATTCCACTACGAAGACTCTTCCACGAAACGAAACTCATGTGTATAGATCGTTGGACCTAGTTATAAAACGACTTTCTCTCGTATGTTACAGGCGTATCTGGAGCGGCGCCCACGCGTGTCGACCCCCAGCAGCAGGAAAGAGCCGCAATAAACTGCGTGCGCGGCGTCGAAACTTTCTGTTGGCGCGAATCGCGCTAGGTAGATCGGAAAGCTGTGGCATGGTTGCGGGCAGGCATCGCGGCGAGATACATCCGTGCATCACGCGTACAATATCCCGGAGGCTGTCGGAAGCGATTCACGTGGTGTCACTCGGTTGGAATTGCCATGGATGGCCGCTCGGCTCTGCAAAGGTTGATTTTCCTCTGTGGGAGCCCGGCGAAGTGCCTTGGGAGAGAGAGACAGTCCATTTAGCTCTTCGCGATAAGAAATGATGACGGCAAGCAGTCGGCTTGCCGCCGAACTCTACTAGAAAATAGGCGTCGGTCTTGATTGATTGGAGCCAACGGAAACGAATGATCCATGGCAAATGGGCTGAATGCACACTGTCCAACGAATGACGAATTCCAGTGGCTTGAAACGAACCTGAGTGCGTCTCAACGGTAAGGCTGTGGAGCACTCCCTCGGAGCTCTTTGTGATCTATTCGCTGCATCTAGGATTCCGAATGCGTCACCTTTATGGGGCGGCCGACCTTCACTACGGTAGTAGCCGACCATGGTGACAAAACAGACGCCATCAACACTATTGCAGGTACGGTTCTAATCACTTCTTCATCCACTTCGAAGTTGAGGAAATCTCTGGTTTCTGGTTAGAGTTTGCATGTTGAGCTCGAAGAATTCGTTTCATGTGTTGGAAAGCTGTCCGAAGGTGCGTTATACCAGTACCTTCAAAATTCACCCATACATTTCTCTAATATGGTGCTATCAACCGACAGAGCATCGACATAGGCTCTAGCTTTGGCAACTCGTGGCAAAGTACCGCTTCACGGAGGAAAGTTTAACAAGCTACCGAGCAGCCGCTGAGCTCGAAAAGCTCTGAACAGCTCATCTCCACCTCCCAACGGACAGAGAACCCATAATATTCGGGCTCTATCTCCGTGGAATGAGCTATCCTCGCGGCCCGCCTTCGAGACATGCCAAGTAGACTTGGAAAGTGGAGAAGCCCAGCCATGTCATGTACTGTCTTCAAGTGTCGGTCGTTAAGTTCTGCCGTCGCTTAGATGGCTCTACTCAAGACGCAATGGAACTATCTGTTAGGTTTCCGCCTTTAGTTCAGCGCATTGAAATAGGTGCCATAGCACAACTATCAATCGGTGGGTGATTTTCTACGATCCGACATCCAGCGGCAGGTAATCTGGAGGTTTGCGACTCAACACATGCAGTATTTATGCAGTATTTACGCAGATTACCACGCTGACTCACACTGTCGGAGTTGCTTCGTGCCTACAGATTCTAGTAGGCTCGGCTTAAGTGGGTGACAGTGCCTCCGATAGTCCAGTCCAGCCCGTCTTTCGGCAAAAGTCGGACTGGACTGAGAGATTCAGTCCGGCTGGAGGCATGGGCTGGACTGGGCAGTCTGCGCAACTGGTAACTAGAGCTGGACGGACTGCAGTTGACTGGATGGACTGGTACTTTGAATGTAGGTTGAAAGAGTTCTGCGCGCTAGCCACATAGGAAGTTCGACCCAAAATTCCAGACGGTGGCAGTCTGTCAGTCGACTGTAGTCCGAGGCGGCAAAATTTGTGGACGGACCGAATTCAAATCGTCCTCCAATTGTATGGACTGGACCAGACTGATGCAGTCCGTTCAGCCCGGACTGCCGTCCGGGTTGGACTATCGGGAGCACTGAGTGGGTGATCGATACTCGGTATGACGAGAAGGGCCACTCACTTTCGTGTGGGTGAATGTGATTGTCAGCATTTCAACGCAAACTACTCCTTGAGGCTACGACGATTATCAACGACACGGAAGAGCGTATCGCGTCTCCCTTCGTCGTAGGAGGTGACCCACTACCCCGTCGCTTTCCTTAACAGCGAGAAAGTTGTGGGCCCCTTCAGTACATATATTGACAGCTTTGGAAACGTATCGAGAACCAATTCTTCCAGAAGGCACAAGCTGCTCTCAGATCAAGTCGGCGGTCTTCCTCCCGAAGTCATCTCTTCCGTCACTCGTCCTACATGACTCCATGACCTATCTCAGCCTTCGACGGCATGATTCTTCTCCAGAGACAGGAGTGTTCAAGAGTGCGGACTATTAAAGGATGTTTTGAATTCCTTTTAAATGACTCGGAGCCCGGTGGTTTGAGACAAGGCCACAGCTCTAATAGAAAGTGGATTTTGTAGTTTTTTTAGTTTCAAGTCTGCACAGTCGCTAGAGAATGAACGGTGTCGGATGATATTTGGTTGTAGCATGGCTGCGATTGTGAATTCCATCAGCCACATAACTGTGAATAATCGCAGCAGCCCGGCCACACAGATGTCGGACAATTCTGTATCCTCACCCTCTCAGTCTGTTCCGTCGTAGAATGAAGCACTAGCTGGGCTACGGATATCCCACAAACACCCACCTAGATCATCACATGCTTCTTGCGACGGCGAGAGTGAGGTCGACGGGAACGAGGAGTTTTGATAATTTATCGTGCTCGCTCCCCGGTCCCTTTCCCGAGCATGAATCGTGCTCTTTGTCGTAGAACTGTATGGGTGGGTTTGGTGGATCGATCACAGCGCATCACACCGGTTGCAACCATATATCGTCGCCTTGCAGGGTCGTGTCACTACCATTGAATGCTTATGCCGCCATAATCCAAATAGGCTGCACGCGATGAATGGGGAAACAAAAAAGAAAGAATGACACAATCCTACCTCCCTTCTCGCGCACCGCCACATCCTCCTAATCATTTCTCCCCACGGACTCCAAATTCCTGGCACAGAGAAGACATAGGCTACTCCCATGAATTACGGTACCGGCAGCGATTCCCTTTCACTCGTTACCTTGTCGGCACTGGCTGCTGAATCAGATAACAGGCTAGACACTCCAGGTCATGTCTTACGGGAAGATCGAGGCCGAGGACCCTCGTACCAATATCCATCTTCAACTTCAGCAGACTCGGCTTGACTAAATGCGAATATTCTCATACATCCTCCAGCAATGGAAAGCAAGAGAGAGATGGACCAGCTCGTCAAGCTGCCAACTACCTAGGCCTTCAGATACGGTTACCTTGGAAGAGGCGGGAAATCAAAGAGGGAAGACAAGTGGCGATCCGTAGGTACTTCGCGATTAGGATCTAGGATGCTCGGGTTGCTGTTTAGTTCATGGACTGAGTGGAATCAAAGACCAAGATACATCATACGAGGCTTCTGGATTCCTTGCCGGGTTCATTCGCGGGCTTCGTTCGGATCCAAACGGCCGACGATTCATGGCAGTTCACGAATCGCAATCATTTCCTCTCGATCTACGTTCCATTAGGCCCAATGCAGAGGCAGACCCGACACACTCATCCTTCGTAATAGACACTCTGGATTAGCACTTTAACTTTCGAAAGTTTCCCTTTGCATAACGACCTCGTGGCGCAGACGTTTGCTGCAACCTGTCATCGCCGCGGAGCGGACACGACAAAGCTGGAAGCCCGGATACCGGGATACCGGAGAAGTCACTCGAAGTAATGGCCTACTGGTAGCGCACCAGTGAGAGCGCGGGATACATAGAAGGATTCACCACATCCTCGCCCGCACTTTCGCCAGATGACCAGCACTTACACCACATCTTGAAGCCGATTCCCGCCGGTAGCATGACCAAACAAGGAGGCTTACACGCACGAATAATCCAAAGAACGGGAATGCCGTTGGCGAAAGAAAACAACCCCCGACACCGACACACCGATAATGATCATGCGAGCTCACGCACTACAAATCTCCTCTCGAACAGCTACCGCAACTTCTATGGCAAATCCAGCGCCATGCCCCACGCCTCAAAGCTACAGTCAATTCTTTTTTTAGCTTAATCATGACTGCATTCGACCTTATCAGATCATGGCAATACATAGCCGGTTCCGACAGTGACCTTTCTTCTCTCGGATGCTGCGGATCGAGTGCTGCCCTATGAGTCCGGTTCGGATGCACTTTCCGTTTACGGCTTCGTCCGTTTCCCCTTTTCACGATCTTTCACGATGCTCGTCGGGAGCCAAGCGGGTTGGGCGACGACGAACTTAGGTTGGCGGCATAAGCCCGTGGTTATCATGCATGCAGCCACCCGCACCAGAAGAACCGACCCTGGCGAAGGAAAAGCTTGAAAGCATCGTGAAGTCTACATGTGTAGGGCTGCACCAAGCACGAACATAAATAAACCAGTGCGTACCGGCAATCTGCTGCACGTCAAACGATCAAACCACTACCACGATGCCGCCACCATGCATAAAAGCTTCGTTCAACCAACCTGCAAAACAACAGCTGTGCGGAAACAACAACCACGCGGGAAAAAAACAACAACCACCTAGGAAAAAAACAACAACCGGAGGAAGACGAAAAACGAAACAACAAAGACAAGGAAATCGTGTACAAGACAAGCAGCCAGTCATGATAAGCGACATACCGGTAATAGTCTAGAATTGCAGTCGGTCGAGGACGTTCACAATCGACCACACCCATCACGGTCTCGGATCAATCCACCACGTAGTATGGCTTTGATTTCAACCTCGACCTCAAGCTTGAGCCGACGCTTCACACTCTCACCATCACCACCGAGTCCGAGTCCTCCCGACAAAGCGATCCCGAGGGAGGCACATAGTACATAATAATAAAAAAAGAAGCGACCTCGAAGGTCTAGATCCTGCAGGAATCTATCCATTTGCACCCTCGAGCTCAAAGGCTTAAAATCTCTCGGTCAGGTCGAGTCGAGTCACAACGGTTACCACCACCACTACCACCGCCACCGAAGTCACAGCCAGTCCAGCAAACGGGCATCAGCATGCGGAGACGCGAAGCGATAAGCATGTGCCTCGAGTATGCAGATTCACCGCGAGCTCTGGACGGAAAACCCAGGAAGATCAGCAACCCGATATTACCTTTGAGTACTTCCTCCGTCGGTATCAGAATCCGCTTCTCCCAAAAAATAATAAAAGAAAGCGCAAAGAACGCGGCAGATACGCCCAGAGCCAACCAGCACGTCACGCCTGTATCTCGTCGCAAAGAACACTCCGCTTCAGGTCGGACATGCAACTCCCAAGAGTCTGCACCACCACATCATGCATAGGTACTCTATGGATAAGCGGTGGAGGAGGCCTGGCCTGCGGCGGATACGGAAAAAATCCCAAGCCCTTCTTTTCTTCCTTCGTTTACGAGAGCGCTTCTAGAAGCCCCCCCTCCCCGCCACCGACGTCGAGCGACTAGCGAGATGGCTGTCGCAGGAAAATCTTTTCCTCACCACCGTCATCCCCCCTCCACCCGGGAAAAAAAATAAAAAAGTGCGAAGGTGTCGACGTGCCGTATCCGGACGTGCGAAGATTTCCTATGTGGCGGCCACCTCCGGTCGGGTCGGGAAGGCAGGTCCCGTGTAACCCCGCACGCACAAACACCGTCGCAGGTGATTGGCCAGTACGGACGTCGAGGCATGCCCGCAAGCCCGCGCGCAGATCCCCGCCCGGCCGCCCCCTGAGCCACTTTACTTTGTCGATCACTTCCCACTCCCGTCGTTAGAGCGGTACTTTCGGGACGGCCACTTGTGCTGTGGGGGAAAGTGGTTGGAGTTAGAGCTTACGCTTGCGCGAAAAAGACGACCATTCAAAATGACCGCGCTGCTGGAAGGTGGGGGAAACTAACTACCACTGTCCGATAACGCATACATAAACAACTTGAGGGATAAGAGTTTTCTGCGTGGCTGGATAGGAAGGTACGTCTGCTCCACCCTGATGGATACTTTACTTTTCAGGTCCGATGCTAACGTCTGCGAATAGGCACCGTATTTTTTATTTTGTTTGAAGTGCCGACATTCGACCACGCTATCTACATGTCACCGACAGCGCGTAACAAAGGGCTGGCCAGCCAACGATTGCCTCTGTGAGAAGGATATGCTAACACAATAGGGAGGAATACGAGGAGGAATCGTTGCGTCGAGACTTATGGCGGGAGGGAGGGAGTGAGACATGGAGAACCCACCCGCGACCATACTAAGGCAGGTATCCGCAAAGAGATCGCTAAAAGAACCACAGGAGATGTTGGTTGAAGATGGCGGAATGCTATGCTCCGTAGACAGGTATGCTTCAGGATGAACCAGTGATTATTACAAACATGAATGCCTGCCTGCCCCCGAAATGAAACCATCACTTCAATGCAGTTCGTGTCTCATCTCAGGCCCATGTCTTCCAATCCCAAATCTCCCAAATCTCCCCAGATCACATGGTCTCCACAGACCACAGACCAGAGACCACGGTGAACTATGAAGACGGAACTTGCTGTCTCGTCTCATCCCCCCGTGGGGAGACGGCGGGCTGGCGAATGGCACAGCAGACAGCCCATCATCTCCAGCCTCCATCTCCGACTGGAGGAGATATCCCTCGCCCACCAGCCAGCCAGCGACGACAGTAATCATCTCAACCACACTCCCTTATTCCTTATTCATTATTCCTTATTCTATCCTCACCAGACCTGCGTGCGCACGCAGTCATGGTTACTCTACATAACCGGTCACAAACCGCTACAGTCATAGTTACCTACATACCTGATATCTGCAATCCCCTCCCCTCCCACCTCAGAAGGTCACAAAAAATATCCTCCAGCGGGAAGGAAACAACACTTTCCCCGAACGTCAGCCTTTACGTACACACTCCTCTCGTCCGTAGAGCAGAGCAGAGCGCTGTAGAGCACCGTAGAGCACCGGCTTTCCGCATACACGCCGTGTACTCTGTAGACTGCCGCCATCTAGCCAGCTATCCATCCATCCAGAAGCCGGAAGCCAGAAGCCAGAAGCCAGAAGTCAGCAGCCAGAAGCCAGGAGCCAGAAGCCAGAAGCCCAGTAGATACGTACGCATTCCAGACCCCAGACTCCAGACTCCAGACTCCAGCGTATCCACGACATAAACCAAAAGAAACGAAAAGGAACAGAAAAGGAAAAGAAAAAACCGCTTCTTACAAGGCAGAAAGTGTAGGTACCGTATGTATGTAGATGTCGCCGCCAAAGGCCAGACCCATCGGCGAGGCGAGGCGAGGCGCTGAACGCCGGCGTATGTATATACTCTGAATCGAGTATCCCTTCTTCCTTCCTTCCGTACTTCCCCCCCCCCCCCCCCCCCCGCGAACCCCCCCTCAAATCACCGAATTCACCCTCCACCCCCCCCCCCCCCACCCTCGGTCAAATCAGGCTTGAGGTGTACATAGCCCGCCCTAGTAGGGCTGGGCTACCCTGCAGCACCGGTCCATGGAGATCCGAAAAACTGGCCCCTGCTCGGTTCGTAAGATTTCTTCAGAACAAGGACAAGGCAGGGGTAGCTAGCTGAGCCCAACCTTCTATTTTTCCATGCAGAGAAAATTGCAAGAGCTATGTGGAGTACCCATAGCTTTAGCTAAAGCTCTATGTATAAGCCACAAGGTGGCAAACCATCACAGCGGGGGGGAGGCGAGGATGAAAAATGTAAATATTTGAATGTGAAGCTTGTTTGCTGGTATTATTCGCGAGAACCATCCAGATCGTGATGTACAATGTGTAGTAGAATCTAAGGTGTACGACGCGCAGAACAAAGGAAAAGAAAAGGAAAAAAACAGCCATGCCCCGAAACCGTGCCCCAGAAAAGTAAAGATGAAGAAAAAACCAGCATCAGGAATCCGCGCTTTTTAAGAAGACCCAGAAAAACAACCATTAAACTTGTGAAAGTCCGACAAAAAAACACCATGACCCAAACTCCGTCTAATGTGGTCGTCGCGTCTCCGATCCGTCTACCAAGTGCAGTATCCACCCTGAGATATGTCAGTACGAGTAAGTTCACAGTTTCAGAAGCAGATTAACTTACGTCGATGATAACATCAGTGCCCGTCATGTAGGTGGAGGCATCCGAAGCCATGAAAACAGCCAGATTGTTAAGCTCGTCGACGTTGCCCAGACGGTTCATGGGGGTGCGCTCCTTCCAGAGTTTCTTCTGCGCGTCAAGAGCGGGTACGCGGTTCAGGGCGGTGTCCATGTATCCAGGCGAGATCGAGTTGACCCGGATGTTGTAACGAGCCCACTCCGCTGCGAGCGATTTTGAAAGCATGATCACAGCCGCTTTCGATGCGTTGTAACACGACTGCTGCTGTGGCCAATTCACGATATGTCCGGACATGGAGGCGATGAAGATCATGGAACCTGGAGAATTGGCCTTGATCATCGTGTTGCCAACCGCCTGCGCACAGACGAAGGTACCGGTGAGGTTGATGTCGATAAGACGACGGAACATCTCGACATCGTAGCCCTCAGCAGGAAGGTTGGAACTGCATACACGTCAATAAAGCTCGTCACGATAGATCGACAGAAGAAGTAACTTACTCGGCGATACCAGCTGCGGCGACCAAAATGTCAATCTTGCCGAACTCGCTAACGGTCTGCAAAAGAGTCAGTAAGGATGCCAGCTGTGATTATTAATATCGAATAACTTACAGCATCGACTGCGGCTTGAACAGAATCTTTCTGGCGAACATCCACTTGGTGGAAGACAACCGGGATGTTGAACTTCTTTGTCAGTTCGATGACCGCCTCGTCTCCGTGTTGCTTGAGGACATCGAAGATGACGAGAGCTTTGAGATTGACGTCACAGAGAGCGTCGGCGATGCTGTTTCCGAGGCCACGAGCGCCACTAAGAGATGTTAGAATCGCTGTGACATCCGAGCAGGCTCCAGTTGGAATGGATTCGGAAGACAGAACTTACCCAGTAACAACGGCAACCTTGTCGTTCAAGGTGAACTTAGACAAAGTGGGGGTGATTGTCTGAGCCATCTTGGGAGTAGCCGAAGCCTTGATGTCCGAGATCAGACTCGAGATCTTCTTCGCGTCGACAGAGCTCTGGGAGCTCTTGGGTGCGGTCGGGGTCGGATCGTTGCGAATAGGCCCGTTCGACAAGAGAGCCCTCTGAACGAACGCGGCGGGGATCTTGACGGTCTTGATCGAAGCCAGAGGCCTCGACACGGAGACGATGCGGCGAGCGTACATTTTTTCTTGTGTTAGAGAGGAGAAGTGTAAAGGAGTTGTATGGGAGAGATTGGTTGAATGTGCAGCGGGGGGAGGGAGGAGTCGACTTGAGGATGATGAGATGGAAAAAAAAAAGAGAGGAGGAGGGCGGGTTGCGAGCTATTTGAGGGGGAGGCGATGAGGCTCCGGGAAGCTTCCCAAGAGCTCGCTCCCCCTGGCGGAGACCCCTCGGCCGAACCCTACAGAGGGTCCCCCACCCTAGCGTGGGTCCCAACGCCGCTACCCCTTCAAAACAATCCACTTTTTTTGGCCGCTCTAGTCTGATGGGATGCATCTGATACATGTTTACATCTCTTGCGTAGACACACTTGACTCGACAACACCGAGAACGCAAGCAAAGGAAACCGTGTCGTCCGAAAATTGACGGCATCGTCACGACGATTCTGCGTGTCCCGCTCGACATTTCGCGTAGCTGGGACCTGTTCTCGCCGACATCCAAAGCAAAAAAAATGCCGTCCCAGCGGTCAGACAGGCAGCTTCTGTGACACAACATGACAGTGAAGTGATGGATGCTTGTCACATCCATCGGTCTCACCCACACTTCGACCCACACACACACCCACCCACACACTCACATTCTTAACCGCTCCAACGACAAAAACAAACCAAACCAAAAAAAGCAAAACCAAACCACTACATACAAACCGCCACAAACAACAACATCGGCGGTGGGATGTACTCCGTACTCGCCGCTGCTGCTACTCCTCATCCCATCCTTCTACTCGCCTCGGCGAGTAGACGAGACGATACAATGCTATTGCTTCTGTAATTTTCCGACACCTTCCCTTGCTTCCCACCTGTGGTGGTGTCCCCTTATCTCGCCTCGCCACCAGCACACACACCCATCGTACATAAAAACAAAAAACAAAAAATAAAAAAAATGCGAAAGGGTGGTGTGGGTGGGACTGGTCCGTGCCCGTTCCTCCCGACGCATGGCCAGGGGTAACAAAAAGCTTGTTTTGTGCGGCTCCGTAAAGGTTGAGCAGCACACGTCGCATCACTCGACACAATTGTTCACGATGTCGCCACCTTCCGAGCTCCGAGAAAGAAAAAAAACCACCATACCGCAATGGTGAGATCTCCGCTGCCCGGAGGAACGGGCTGCGATGGCGGAAACGAGCACAGGTCACGCGCGGCGCGGCGGCGTTTGGACCCTGTACATCCCCGCTGGCGCAAAAACTAGTCGAGGAACAAAGCGCGAAGCGCAAATCACATCAACTTTGGTAGTTCCAACAGATCTGACTCCTATTTCCGAACTCCACCCGCCCGGCGGCCCTGGCCACCCCGCCTTCTGCCCTCCAAGGTTCCTTCGCCATCACGGCGACTTCTGCTAGCTCCATATCACAACATACCACAACCGAAGGGAAGAGAAAAAGAAAGAGACAAAAGAAAAAGAAAGAGACAAAAGAAAAAGAAAAAAACATCCACTCTCATCGCCATCGAAGAGTTGTAAATCGATTCTAATCGACCGTCCCCCACCTCAACCAGACATAGACATTTCCATCACATCACAACGCTTCCACATAGTTGCTGCATCTTCGTTAGCATCAAGAAAAGCAGACACCTTATTTCCTTTCCCCCCACCGCACGTGCGGATGACGCGACGAAGGAGCAAAACGTACCTGGGAAATATTCCAGTATTTTCTCCAATTCGACCAGTCCACCAATCCTACCCCGCGCCGGCACGTCAGTCATGTCATGTCACTAGTTGTATGTACGCAATAGAAGCTCACGTTTTTGGAGTCGGTGCGCTTGACGATAGTTATGATATCGCCCTTCTTGAAGCCCAGATCTCCGTCCTGCGTGGCCGCGAATGTGTGTAACGCCACCGCCTGATTGGCGACGCCAGGTACAGGCTTCGGCGGGGCCTTAAAAACTGGCTTAGGGGCAGTGGGTCGCCCTGGTGGCGGACCCTTCGATCTGGCCGCTGAGGGATTATCCGAGTAAGTGCTACCACGGTTCTGGAACCTAGCGCTGCGGGACTGCTGCTGCGGGACTGAGCGCTCGATATCGTCAAATGTCGTGCTCGGATCAGCCTGATGGCGTTCCCAGTACTCGCGGTCATCACCCCATGTAGAAGCTCTATTCCTCCCTACCGCCGCGGCCGACGATTGCTGGGTAGTACCGAAATTTCCCATCGACGCTCTGTTTCTGCTCGGATTGCCGACCAATTCGGACCGTTCGGGGTTCCGCCGGTTGTCTCTGTTCCATGAGAAGTCATCCTGTCGGTCGGAATCGTCTTCGCATACGGGGACGTCGGCGTACAGGTCGTCGTAGTTACCACCCGTGTTATTACCAGCGAACACTTTCGAATTGAGTACTCGGAGCAAAATATCTGCTTCTGGCGGCGGCTGGACGGTTCCCGAGAGTAGTTGTCGTGCGGCAACCTGCAAAATCAGATATCCGTCTCGGACTCCAACTCCGTTTCTGCATCTTCACTTACCGGTCCTCCATAGAATTTGGTGTTGGCGTCTTTGCGCTCGACAATCACCGATCCCTCTAGCGATACACCGGCAAAAAGTCCCTTCGTTTTGCTGGCGGAATATATTAGTACCTCACTTGAATTCACTTCCACGTGGTTTATCCGCAAGAGTGCAGACAGCAGAGTACATACCTGTAGGAGAAGACACCAGCGACAGATCTCAAGCTTGCGGCGCCACTGGCCTCGACATTGCGCCCAACAGGTCCTGCAGCCACCGATACGTTGCCTCCCAAGGTCAAGCTAAATTGCGTCTGTGAGCTGGACCGGACCCGCTGAAATAGAGTAGATAGATTACCTTCCAGACTGCGCAAATGTTCTCACCGCATTGCTATCGTTCAATATAAAGACGAAATCCGTGAGTTCGGCGCCGAGCTGTCCTCCCAATCCAGCGCTGCTCATCGTCAGCCCCCATCGCGCCCAAACACCGAAATTCCCATAAACCGAGGATAAACCCACCCGGCAGTTCCGATTGCAGATGGCGCAGACCAAGCTGCCGAACACAGCCGTCAATATCGTAGAACAAACCAACATCATTCGTGAGGGAGGACAAAGCATACTTCCATCCGGCCTCTTAGCAATGACCAAACCCGAGCCCGCCCTCACCGAGAAGAGAAACCCCGCTTTGGCAACTGAAATAATCGCCAGGCCCTAGTTACGATTCACCCCATCTCAGCTTCCAACATTCCCCCACTTCCCCCCACTCCCCTCCCTCATTCGAACGCGGGGGACAAGCGCACCTTTGCATTCGCCAGGATCGATGGCGGAATAATTTTATCAGGGCCGAACGACTGTTTCGGATCGACGAAGGACGTGAGGATCCGCGCCGCTTTGCGGCACTCGTTGCCTAAGCTCGAAGGTATGGGATTGCTGTAGGTAGTAGTAGAGTGCGCATTAGCTAACTAGATCATACACATGCACAATCGCAGGGGAAACAAAATGCCCATGAACACGTCCGGACGACTGCACTCCGCTGCGTCCGTCTGTGGGGATGAGGAACAGAAAGAAAGTAGTAGATAGTCGTATAGTTACGCACTTGAAGATAGGCATGGCTAGAGCTCGAAACGTGGGTAGTCTGTCTGTCTGTCGGTCTGTCTGGCGGGCGGTTGTGGGAGTGGGATTGCGTGCGTGGGTGGGCGCTTGGTAGAGTAGTCGATGCTAGATAGAGGTGCGTTGCGTATATGAAATACGTTTCTGCTTTTACGTCTCGGCCTCAGTCCTTCTTGGCTGCAGGTGATAAGGTGTGTGTGTGTTGTAGAATACGTGGACGCGGCGGGCGAAGAGAATTCGAGTACATAAGCAAGGCCGGAAGGCGAGGGAGGCGGTGATGTCAGTAATGGATTGGCGGAAGATGCCGAGACCTGCGCATAGTACACTACGCAGGGGAAGCCCGGAAGCCCCGCCTTTGAGCCGTGTATGTACGGAGAAAGCCTACTTCCGTCCCGAATGCGAGAACGCGTATGCTTACACTCTACGAGGCTGGGCTCCAAGCAAATATTATACTCTATAAAACAACTCAGCCACAGCGGTTCGGCCGATTCGAGACATGAACAAAGGCGAATTGCGACAGACAGGCCTCGGGCACGGCAGGTGTCCGCCTCAGACAATCATTTTGGGTTGCTCGGCGAGTTCTACCGGAGCACCCGCATCCATGCCAATTCCAGCTCCGGGAACCTGACAAGTGACAAGAGACCGCTGGGACGCTGGCGGCGGGGTGTTCTCGCGGCCAATGATTTCCGCGCCCCACGGGGGTGGCTGTTCAAACTTCAATGCGGAGTTCTCGGGACATGCGACTGCTTTCAGGCCGGATCTAAAACCGGTAATACTTCAAACAAAGCAGAGGCATTGCGGCAAACAAGGCATGATGTGCTCCATAGATTACTATACTTTACATCTCCGGCCAACTACCGGTATAGTCATCGCCAAGAGGCTCATATGTATGCCCAGACCCCGCCTCCTCCGGGATGAAAACCGTATATCAGGCATATCAGGGAGGCGGCGGAGCTTCAAGTTTCACGTAGGCGGACGAGGTGGACCTTACTGTGGTGCAGAGTTGCACAACCCCACCCATCGATTTCGCTACCGAATTCCCCAGCTTTCTTTACCTCCTGCCTACTTACATAGGATCTGCTGCCGCCGCAGGAGATCTATGTAAGCCCCGTTTATGCACTCAATCCGCGACACCATATGCATTGCGGGACATGACGTGAGGTCGTAAAGAATTGTATGTAGTTGCCCACCTACAAGTAAGCAAGGAAAACGTTCAAATAACTAAGCCCAGCCAAACCCACATAACGAAACTCCGCATAAACATGACCAGCTGCCTGCCCTAAGAACTCCTTCAAAACAAAACGAAACTTGCAATGCAAAACCATCCCATGGCGTCCATACCGCCCGCCTGCCCACAACCAAACACGAATGTAATGATACATCTTAAAACGATAACCTAATAGAAATAAAGAAAACGACAAATGTTGGATCACTGGAGGCTCATCTTCATGAGACCATCGTGGGTATCTGGTCTTCAATCAGTGCCTGCCTCGCAACTCTTCAAGGAGTGAGTAACATACCGCTGAACCCCTGGAAATTAAGCCTTTTACCTCCTCCATTACCCCCAACGGGAGGCGATTGGGCAAGTTTTGGGCTGTTGGAGAGGCTTGGAGACACCGCCCTTCTTTTGAAAACATTTGGTTCGAAGCGTTCCTCGGTATCCATGCGTCTCCGCTTGAGCCGGCGCATGTCCGCGGGAACGGTATTGGGCGAGTTGACGCAGGATGAATCGGAATGCATCTGCAGCTGTCAGTTTGTCGATACTGGATACTGGAAGTTTGGGTGCATGGAGTTGACAAACCATAATGTCTCCGTCGCTGCCCGTTCGCTGCTGCCCTGGATATGCAGGCGGGCTTCCACTGATGCCCTCCATTTGATCGCCGAACCAAAATCCACCGTGACGTTCCGCCTGTTTCGAGAAACTTATCCCAACTCCGCGTCCACTGTCTCCGCTCTCTAGCTCGTCGTCAAGCAGATTGGCCAATTCGGATTCCATCGTTCGACTCTCTTGCGACATCTGTGGCGACATCTGCGGATCCTCATCTTCACGGATCTGCCTAGTGATTTCCGCCTCGCGTTTAACCTCCACATCGATTGGTGACGATTCCTCTATCAACGCCGCCTTGATCCGCTGGAAATTTTTCGTCTTGGGTAGCAACGATCCGCGTCGTGACACCGGTCTCCGAACGGGGTCTGGGCGGTCCGTTTCGTATTCCAGCGCCGACGGCCCAAGTGTCAAACTGTCCCTGCGCCTCATGAAATCGAGTCCTCCGCTCATCATCGAACTGTGTGAGATGGGTTGCATAATCGGCGAGGGCGACATCATAGGTCTCGGCCTACTGATGCTCGCCCGCCGATTCTGTCTCGTCCCGAACCGTGCCTTCTGGTGGTTGAGAAGCGACATCGACGCGGCGGATTCGATGGGTGCGGGGTTAGTAGGTGTATTCGCAGATTGTGTGGCCGCATCCATCAGATCGAAGTCACCGTCCAAGTCGTCATCGAGCGACGAATCGCTATCGTCTCCGGACGGGGCGTAATCGAGCATCGAGGTGGAGCCAAGTGACGACGCATGGGACGATCCCGGGTGAATGTGGCCGTGATTGTTGTTGATGGGGGATTCTAGCGGTCTGTAGTTTCCTCGAGGTATGGGATATCCACCACTGATAGCTAGAGGCGACGAGTCTGGTGATTCCGCAATGGTCGAATGATGTAATGACGTACCTGGAAGAAATAGTCAGTACCGTGATTTTTGACAGCGTGAGCGGGATGATGGCTGCACACATGATCGCGCAAAGTCCAATCGCGGTCGCCGTGCAACGGAGTAGCCCAGCGCTGGATCGAGAACGGGTGAGAGTGGATTGCGCGGCGGCATTTGGAGGGATAGGCGGTTGGAAACGCTCAATCGACGCGGTGTCAATGGGACGCCTGGGCTGCTCCCGTGGCCGTCTGTAGCTGTAGCTGCAGTGGTATTCATAACAATGTCTAAATTCTTCGTTGGAGAGTCCTTCTTGCTATCGGGAGTCGCAGGCTTCGGGCTGGTTGCGGCGGTGGGATCGGTGTGCGCGGCGGCGGCGAGCTGCGACGAAAGCGAGGATACCACGACGCCGGTATTGGACGTAGAGGTTCGTTCCTTGGGCTGCATTCTCTAGGTGGATTGGAGTCGATATCGCCAAACAGTCATTCTGCTTGCTTATCTGTGAGGCGGGGTGGTGGGCGAGCTGTGAGTGGGCTGATTTCGGCGATGGTGGTTGGTGGGTTGGGCTGATGTGAAGAGGTGCGAGTGGTTGCCCTGCTGGGCTGCGTAGTGACGTTCCCCGCTTACCGAGAGTTCATGACCACTGACACACCTATCGACTCTACCGCGTGCAGCCACAGCCAAGCTCTAACACCACAGCATCACTCTCTACACGACGTCGCCGCGTTCCAAGCTACAAGCTCCAACACCAAACGCGACTTCACGATGCAGGGCTTCAACATGGGGTGAGGACTTCCCTTCCCGCTACCTTCACGGGAGCTAATCACCCGAAACCCCAACTGCACAGACGTTATGTCCCTCCCGAGTTCGAGGGGCAAGTTACGGGTAACAAGCTTCACGGCAAGAAAGCGCCCGGGTTACATGGCTCCAAACAAACCGTGCGGTTCGAGATGCCTTTCAACATCTGGTGCAGCACCTGCGAGGGGCACATCGCACAGGGTGTACGGTTCAACGCCGAGAAGAAGAAGGTTGGAAACTACTTCTCGACTCCGATCTTTGCCTTCCGAATGCGCCACACGGTCTGCTCGGGCTGGATCGAAATTCGAACCGATCCGCAGAATACGGCGTATGTGGTGACGGAGGGTGCCAAGAAAAAGGCGGCAGATGACGAACCGGCACTTGGGATTATCAAGATACACGACCCAGCGGAAGCCGCGGTGGAAGACCCGTTCGCAAAGATGGAGAAAAACGTCAAGGACAAAACGGAAATCAAACAGGGTGCGGCGAGAATTGAGGAGCTCCGGGAGCTCAGCGATCGTCAGTGGTCGGACCCGTGGCAGCACTCGCGGAAAATGAGGAAGGTTTTCCGAGTAAGTCCCCACCGTCTTCCTCTTTCACGGCACGCCTGTATGCCTGCTAATTGTGGCATAGGCCGAGCGCAAAGTGTTGGAAGAGAAAGCGACTGCAACAGAAGCCATCAAGGATCGCGCCGGGCTGTCAATAGAGCTGCTGGATGAAGCTTCCGAAGATTCCGTCCGCGCAAAGCTCGTCACATTTGGGCCTGACCACGAACAGAAGGTGTTTGAAGCACACTCTAAGCCACTCTTTGAGAAGAAGACGGAACCGAAGACTACAGATACGACCAAGACGAAAGGCAAGCTGAAGAGTCAACAAGCGATGGACAAGACGAGGGAGGCCCTGAAGAAAGACTTGATGCGGAATACGAGGGCAGCAATTGATCCGTTCCTAACATCTCAAGATCGGCCGCGGCTAGGCCTGGGGATCAAGATCAATAAGAGGAAGGCTCGAGATACAGACGTGGAGACGAAGAACGCTGAAATTGGAGATAGCGTGAAGATTGGAGAGGTGGACGAGAAGAAGACGCATGGGTTGCTAGGGTTGGATTACAGCTCAGATTGAGGCTTGATGATACCTCTAAGAGCAAGGAATCAATACACCCTCGTGCACGGTGTTTTCCTGTTGAATTCCATCGTGCATGTCATTACATCATAATATCTCACTCGTACTGTTTTTTTTATCGTCCAAAGATGCCTCTTTGCTGAGAGAGCCCCTGTCGCTCGCGTACCTGAAGCGCGGCATCTCAAAGGCAGGGTGGAAAGAGGTCAAAGCATGGTCTGACGCCAAAGTCACCAACCAAAAGTACCGGTGCAGCCGGAAACCTTGTCAGAAACCGGACCCGATCCTGGCCCCCGAACGCCTGGCCTCACAGTTTACCGGCCGAAGACGGGGTACTGCCTCACCGGCCAGTACCTCCGGTGCACCAAGAGCCGCGCCGACGTCCAGTACAGATAGTGCCGTTACAAGTCCCAGACCCGAGAGAATCTCTTGAAGTGCTACCCCGAACGGAAGAGCCAGCAAAAGATTCCGTGGGCAGAGGTTCAGAAGGAGACAGGAAGGACAAGCACCGTTTCAAAATTCGTGATGTCTTTGCAGACGAACAGTGCAGTCAGGCCATCTTAGGATTTCTCGCCTCCATTGATGTGGGCAGGCGGATCTCGAAGGTCGCTGGGAAAGATGCAGCAAGTGAAGTTTCCGTGTGGAATCTCAGGGAACGGGAAGAGAGACGGGCGGAGAGGAGTCAAGAGGAGGAGAAGGAGGGCGCTGAGGCTTAGGAGTCGGGGTCACCCCCTTCATGGCATCTCCTGGTGAAGAGGCAGGGGTCTCGGTGGTGTGAGGGGTGGAATTCGGACATTCCTAGTGTTATTTCCTTGGTGCACTCTACACATATCGATGGTACAGGCCAGGGCGGAGGGTAGGGGAAGCCACGTCAAGCCGCTTGATGGAAGTTGAGTTGGATAGTGAACATGGAAACGGAGTGTGTGTATATTGCCATAATCTAGCTACCTAAGGTCGCATGCAATTAATGATTTAAGCAAAAAAATAAACTCGCTAAGCAGGCCGAACTCTCCTCGATACGATACTCTATACAAAGATGCTCTATCACTACCTCGACGTTATGTCTCAAGCCCTCGGTGGGTTCCAGCAATCTACGTCACATAGTCAGTTTGGCCGATTCCTTCAGGCTTCGGCACCATCCACTCTCGCCGACGTTTCTGAGCATAAAGGCGGGTGTCCTGGCCTCACACACAGTACCGGTAGGCCATCTCCATTCAGGCCGCAAATCGCCGGCAAGGGACCGTGGATCATGGTAACCTGGGAACCATTTCTTTCCACTCGTGTGACCGCTGTGCAAAGTTGAGAGACAACCGGGCCCGGCTCCTGCTGATTTGCACAGGATCTCACTCGTGATGTCTACTCGACGAAACGAAAAAATGCGTCGACTGCGACGACTGGATACTGTACGTCCGGTTCTACATAGGTATGCTACCTACCTGTACGAGCGAGCGTAGACGGCAGATGACTCCTGCTGCCGGTAGGGAGGCGGCCATAGTGTTCGTGGTGGATTTAGCTACTCCACTGCTGCTGAAGAAACCCATGTACCTAGGTGGAGTATCATGCGTATGAAAGACGTCGCTTGGGGGCACAGGTTCGTGGAATACGGTGCTCATTTGACCTCCGGTTTGTACCGTACATACCGTACATACCGTGCCTTGCTATGAATACGACCCATAGATTCTATGGTGGTCAGTGGGGAAAGTCGACAGTACTACTACCTATACAATAGGTAGTATCCGAGTGAGCTGTCGAGGTACACGCAGTATACGGTACGGTACAGCTACTGATTACTACAGGAGCACCCATACCTACCGGTAGTTACGTCCGAAGTCCGCCGTCCGCCGTCCGCTTACGACCGTGACCGTGACTGTGACTGTGACTGACTGTGTTCCGTCCGTGGTGCCGCAAGTCCAGGCCTCGCAGAGTCGCAGAGTCGCAGATACCATAAACCACCACGGAGTTACGGACGCGGAGCACCGTTACTACCGTACATCACGTCATCTTGTTGCGTTCTCGGACAGTGATATCCACAGTAGGCCAAGTGAAGACCTCACGACCCCATTGCACCGGAAGCAGAAAACGTGGCCATGCTCCCCATGCTCTCTCACGCGCGCGCCCGCAGCCAGCAGCAGCATGTGAGCGACTCCGCCTCCGCAAGACGCGTGCGGCGTTACATCGCGGACAGGAATAGCACATGCAAGCAAGCATGCAAGCAGGCAGACATGCAGACATGCAGGCACCCCGCTCCAGCGGCCAGCCTCCAGCCTTCGGCACCAGTAGCAGCAGCAGCAGGAACTTGCACCCGCTGCGGTCGAGTACTCTGCCTATGTAGGTACCAGACACCAGCAGCCGGTTCCACCCGGGGATAGTGAGATCGCTCGTGGCATGGACGTCGACGACGAGGCTGCATCCATCCATCCATCCATCCATCCATCCATCCATCCATCCGCATTGCCAATAAATATATGCCCACAGCAGCGTGGGAGATCTGCGACGTTCCGTGGAGTCGTGGAGTCGTGGACGCGATTAATCATTCCACAGTTTTTGTTCTGCTTTTGCTTTTGCCAGGCGGGGGAGGGGGGAGGCGGGAGAGGGATCGTGACGGCACTGGTGCATCAGCCGTGGCCCGCGGGTGGTGGTGGCACCGTTACTACCGTACCACGCAGTCCGAAGCCGGCGAAGCCCCTGGAATTTCCGGACGGGTTCGCAAACTGTAACTGTAACCGCAACTGAACCCGTGAGACGATGGGGATGGGCACGATGAGTACAGTGCTCTGACCGCTGGGGATTACTATTCCAGACCACTCCCACCAGGCGTAACCTAGGTACGCGGCATTTCATCTGCCAATCGCTTCCGGGTCGTACGCAGAGTTCGGACGGACGGTTTAGAGAACGGGGAACGGGGAACGCTGTCGCTGTCGCTGCTCCTCGATATATCACTCGGCCTGAGAACTGCCGTCCCCAGATGAGCGGGTCTAGCTGTGTGCCAGCCAGAAGTTAGAACCGGTTGAACGGTCGAGGAGACGGGACACGGAACACGGGACCTACTATAGAAAAACATGGCTGGCAGCACTGGCAGAGACGGGGAAACTGGATTTCTTGGTCGAGCTCAACTGGGTACAGGAGGTTGGACGGGACAGGACGGGACGAGAGCTGGTTGAACTGGATACCTTTCCTTCCTGCTTTCTTTCCTCTTCATGCCGGTTTTCCTCATTGTGTCATACGGTGGCTGGCCGGGCGGAGAGCGATACCTAGGGAACCGGTAGGTACCTATCTATTGAGCTCGCGGCCAGCGGCCAGCGAGCCGGTGGAAACGGATAATTACTTATTATTATGTATGTAGTATCTGCCACGATCCACCACGGTCGAATGTGACATTAAACAAACCAACCCAAGACCAAACCCGGACGAACGGCGATCCCAGCGCATCATGAGAATGAAAGGTGTTGGTCGAGCACCTGGTGATCCCGCGCCGAGTGAGCGCCCTGTGAATCACCGCCCGCCCACCCACCCACGTTTTCGCCACGCTCTCACGTCGCTGTCGCCGTTGCACTCCACTCCACTCCTGCTTACGTGCCGTGCTCTACGCCCTACGCATGCCCCACCGGCTCCCACATACTCTATACTCCATACTCCACCGGTACCTAGACTACCTACCGAACCGTATAGGTGTATACCGGTACTCTACGCGGAGCATGGCCGAAGGAAGGAAGGAAGGAAGGAAGGAAGGCAAAGCTTGTACCATACGTACCATACCTTCCATACATACCATACATACATATGTAGCCCTGTAGCCTGTAGCCTGTAGTCCTATAGCCCTGTAGCCTGTCCTCCGCCTCCTCCACCTTCTCCGCCTCCGCCTTCTCCGCCTCCGCCTCATCCTCTTCCTCCCAGGTACATCCATACATCCATACATTACATTACAACGAGTCTCCAATTTGAAATCGAAGACTCTCCGGCGGGCCTCGCCCACTTCCCCCGCCTCGCCCCATCCCCAGCCAGCACCCAGGCCCAGCCCCATTCCAGCCCCAGCCGTCCATAGTCCATACGAAGTTACTCTACGAACCCATGGGACGGTAGGACTGGGACCGGGAGTGGGACTGGGACTGGGAGTGGGAGGGGGACTGGGAGTGGCCTGCTCCGCAGCTCCGCAGCTCCGCAACCGGGAATACCGCTGGACGTTGGAATCTGGATAGTGGACACTGGCCGGCGGACGTTCAATTGCGCAGTAGCAGCCTATTTACCCGCGCGATTCGAGACGGCTTCCAGAACATACACCCTCTCCGGAACTGACCCGGGGGGGGGGGGGTCCATGCGCCTGTTCCATCCAGCGTACTTATTGTGTATAGGTATGTGTGCATGTATTGTGTGTGTGTACCAGTATGTGTGTGTATTTGTGTATGTGTATGTGTATATATGTATGCATCACGATCACGCGTACCCGGACCGGAGAGCTGCCGGCAGATATGTATGGAACGTTATGTATGTAGAGTATGTAGATAGACCTCGGTGAAGCGAATGCACGCCCAAGCTCGCTCGGCTTTAGGCCTGCTACGTGTGAGCGTGGGTGTGTGTGTGTGTGTGTGTGTGTGTGTGTCAGTACTCGATATTTGTGTGTGAGAGCGTGGGTATGTGTGTGTGAGAGCGTGGGTGTGTGTGTGTGGCAGGCCCACCGACCGGTGGTCATCCGGGAGCTCGCGCTCGCGCTCGCGATCTCTCGTTGTTTACCCGCGTGCGATCGATCAGCCCGTACAACCATGGACAACACAGAGATCACCAGCGCTTCCCGGCTCGCATCACCCCTTTCGAGTACTGGGATGGGGGAGGGTTTAGCCGGTGTTTCGATCCCCCCTCCCCCCTTCAAGTATCGAACCTGTGATTGAATCAAACCCCACCCCCCAGCGGACACCACGGGCACCAGGGATCCCACTGACGGGCCCCACGGGCACCATGGGCCCCACGAGCTCGGTTGTAATTGTGCCGCGGGGCTCGGGCAAGGACTCGGGCGAGGCCACAGTGCCAAATAGGGATTTGCGGGTTCTTCAGTAGAGTACTCTACTTCTTGCTTAGGCGGACGTCGAACCATATGCCATATGCCATACCGTATGCATGCCTCGTGTGGATCCGGGGTTGTCTGTAGAGTATTGGCTGCTGATGAGTTGGGGGGTGCTGGGGTTTCACGAGCAAGCCGAGTGCTAGTGGGGCGAGGGGGGGAAGACGCTGCTGCTGCTGCTGATTTCGCGGCGGCGGGAGGAAGCGAGCTGGCTGGCTGGCTGGCTGGCTGGCTGGCTGGCTGGCAGGTTTCTAGACGGTTCTTCGGTTCTTCGTGTGCCATTGTGCCGGTGTATATGTGTGTGTATGCATGTACATATACGGTACATACATAGACGATGTGAACGCAGCAGCAGCCGGAGAAGCTCGGACGGATATTATCATATCTATTGCGGATTGAACCGTGCGCGCGCGACTGGACCGGATGGTAAGCATCGAAGATTTTATCCAAGCAGGAGGGAGGGAAATCAAGAGGGAAACATCATTACCAAGCAAGCAAGAAGGAAAGCAAGAAGGAAGGAAACATCATCACCCATCCATCCATCCATCCATCCATCCAGAAACTTCCGCCAGCGCAGAGCAAGCAAGCAAGTACTTTACCTGGACATACCTGAATATACGTGAATATACGTGAATATACCTGTTGTTGTACTGTACGTACTGTACGTAGGGCCAGCGGATGTCGGCGGGTAGTTAACCAGCAGCAGCAGCAGCAGGTTTTTATCGATTCCGCACGGCAGCGCAGCGCAACCTGCCAGACCAGGCCAGTGACGATCCCGCCCGCCCTGTCCGCCGCCCTGTCCGCCGCCGCCGTCAAGATCGAAAGGTCCAGAATTAGCATCCGGTTTGCCAGCTGCGATGGGGAGGGGACTCAGGGAGCCCTCCAATCGAGAGCCTGCGCCACCGGATCGAGGGGCGTAGATACTCTACGTATCGGGGAAACCGCAGCAGTGATCCTGTATATGTGTGTACTCTACTGTAGAGTAGAGTATCTATCGACTATCGACACCTCTCCGTGCGGCGAACTCTAATGCGACGTGACATGACATGCGCATCCGGAACCAAGTAAGCATGTAACTATTTGCATACATATCATACCTGATATCGATCGACTCCGCCGCCTCCTCCTCCTTCTCCTCCTCCTTCTCCTCCTCCTTCTCCTGCTCCTTCTCCTCCTCCGCCTCCACCCCAATGCAGTAGTTCCAGCAGCGCCCTCCCGGTTCCCGACGGCAGGCAGGCAGATAACTAACCCACACCCGAGCAAACAAGATAACTACATATCCTATCCTCTCCTCTCCGCCCCCGCTACTATGTATGTACATACCCCACTCGGGTAGGTAGCATAGTACCGTATGTATGTAGGGCCATCGCGGCATCCGGGGGTGGGGAGAGTGGGTGGAGAGAGGTAGTCCGGACGCTCTCGATGAATCCGCGTGGTCCGCAAGTGTCGTTCTGCATGCGCATTATGCTAGCAGATATATAGTATTACCTAGCTCTCGATGCCTATCTACAGTAGAGTAACTAGAGTAGAGTGCTCACTCGCGAACCGCACTCCCGTAGATAAGGCTGATAGATAGTGGACTGCGGACTGGACTGCGGACTGGACTGTGGACTGTGGACTCGGTGTGTGCCAATGGCCAATGGCAATCCCTCCCTCCGCCCCCCGGATTTTGCGTTTGAAGGGAGGGACGGAGCGACGGAAGGGAGGGGAGGGGGTGGGGGACGGAGCGACGGAGGCAATCCGGATCAATACCTGATACATATATATCGAAATGGGAAAGTAGAATTCAGGGAAGCTGGGTACTCTACTCTAGAGTGCGGAACGAGAGCAGAGCAGAGCAGAGCAGAGCAGTGCTGAGTCAAGTCGAGTCGAGTCAAGTCAAAGTGGATAACCTATTTCCCGTCTCCTCGCCTCCTCGTCTCGTCTCGGATCCGGATATTCTCGCAGTTTTTCCGTGGCAGGGGGAAGGGAGCCGATATTATTCCGTCAGTCTAGCACACACACACACACACATGCTCTACGTAGATTAAGCGTGTATGATATGTATGTATGTGGAGTAAGTTGTGTAGATATCCCGTGTGGATGGATGGAAGGGATACAAGTGAGAGTCACGGCAAATCCACTCCCTGCCGTAATTACTCTACACAGTTACATGAGTACCTACGGTACATACATGCGCGAATCCACTGCCCCCTTTGAGCCCCGTTTCCCCCGTCCCCACCCCCTCCCCACCCCCCAGTTGTCGCGGAGCGCATCATGTGTTTAACTATTCACGCCCGGGTCGCACACACGCCCCACACTCAGACTCACGTAAGGCCGCAAGTACCGTGCTTTCGTACCACGACGGGCACGTAACATGGCGGAGAGTATGTAGAGTATGTAGGTATGCTAGGTACGGGAGAGTAGCGAACGAATGAGGAGTGGACCCTTGGACTTTGGTTAATGCCTGGCAGGCCCTGTTCCCTTCGTTTCTCTCTCTGCCGAGTCACCCCCCCAGCGGCCCAGTCCAGCCCCCCTCCCTCCCTTCCCCTTCCCTTCCCCGGTGCGTGTTTCGTTATGTACCTGTGTGTATGTAGAGTACAGGTACAGGTACTTGTGTATTCTAGAATAGTTACAAGGCTCGAATCGCTGGCTGGCTGGAACAGTGAACTGTGCAGGCAGATGGCCTCCGACTCTCCGAGCTGAAGGTTCCTTTTTCCTTCTTTCCTTTTCTTTCTTTCCTTTTCTTTTCTTCTTTTCTTTTCTTTTCCTTGATCGATTGATTGATTTGATCGATTTGATTGATTGATTGAGGTTGTATGTATTTGCAATGCGCTGACAAGTCAAGTTGCTACCTAGTACCTAGCTTACCTGCCTACCTGTTTCAGGAGCAACCCGTGCTGTGTACACCCACTCTACTCTAGGTAGTAACCAACTACCTAGCAGGTATTCAGGTCACGTTCCAATGTTCCAATGTTCCATCGCCGTGCTGGCGCGCGTCCGGCGATGTTGTTGCTGCTGCTGTTACTGCTGCTGCTGCGGATCCAGCTGCGGATGCTGGTGGTGTAGTGTTGGGTTGCCGGGTTGCTGTCACCGCTTGCTTGCTCGACTTCAACGCCGACTTCGCTGTGGGAGGGACAGGTCACGGAACACTAGCCACGTCTCCTCCTCCTCCTCCTCCTCCTTGGTTACATAGTCGATGCCCCAGCTTTGGAGCGAACGAACGGAGGAAGGAAGGAACGAACGGAGGAAGGAAGGAACGACGAAGGAAGGAAGGAACGAACGGAGGAAGGAAGGAACGACGAAGGAACAGTGTGTGGGGTTCGATGTGGGGGGGGGGGGGGGGGGGCGTGAGCGGGTGGCTGACTGACGGACGGGTTTCATATTACCGTCATCTACAGCACATACAACCGCGCCGCCATCGCCGTCGCCGTAGGATGTTGTTGTTGCTGTTGCTGTTGCTGCTGCTGCTATTGTTGTCGTTAACTATTGTTGTTGTTGTCGGTAGGTACAAACCGGTCAGCTGCCGTCGTCGCCGTCACGGAGTCACCATTCCTCCATCTCCATCTTCTTTGTTGTCGTTGTCGTCGTCGTCGGCCGTGCAGGCGCTGGGCGCGAGCGAACGAGCTGACAGGACAGGACAGGACAGGACAGACAAATCGGCAAATGCCATGCTCTAGTGTTTGTTTCCCACCCGACCCCACACACGCCCAGACACCCCAGACACGCCCAGACAAGACAAGATGTCGGTTCGGTTTCGGAAGGATGCACTGCTCCCAAGCCTTGACTTAGCGGCGCGGGGAGTTATCCGGGTACTTGTGGTGGGGCACGGGATGGAATCGGGAATCTGGATGGATGGAATCCGATGGATGGACTTCCCCACGTATGTGCTAGTTGGTACTATGTTTTAGGTATGTATCTACTCGGTGCCTAGAGAGAGCGAGAGCGCGCTGGGCCGTGAAGGAGGAGAAGGATCGGAAACAGGTTCTCTAGAGTACGGTAGGTATCGTTGTGTATCGTTACGGATGAGCGCTCCATTTCCAGCAGGAAGGAGGAACTTGGAAGGAGGATGATGGATGATGGATCACGGCGGGGAATCTACGGTATGTAGTCGCTTCTGCTTCCGCTTCGTACATGCATACCAGGTATGCATAGGGTACTAGGTGGTATGGATATGTAGCTCCAGAGATGTTCGAACGGCTTCAGGCGAGGAACGCGACGGTGATATCTGCATCCTTCTTTCTCAGAAGCGGCGGCGGCGGCACCGACACCGACAGGATTGAATGCTTGTAGCTTGCAGCTTGCAGCCTGCTGGTGAGGCCGAGATCTTCCGTGATCCGTCCACGACTCCACGTCGCCGGTTTTGATAGATTCTTCGCGCTTCAAGTACATACAGTACCTACTGGTAGCTGTGTGGACATGAGCAGCGAGCTTTCAGGCGAGGTTGAAGTGGGCTGCAATCTGGGTATGATACTCTAGTAAAGTTTCTGGATCCGAATCTCTCTCACTGCACCGGTGAATCTCTCTCGCCGTGGCAATTCTATGAGGTATGTACCCAACTCGTGGCAGTGCGACTCCACTGTCGTTACCATCACCACCGTGTTGGTGCTGTCAGCCTGTCAGTTGTCACCACGAGTCCGTATGTAGTTGCCTGCGCCTGCGCCTCCACCACCAGCAGCACTAGCCACAACCCATCGGCTACCTACCTTATTCCAGGCCTAGCATCTTTGCACCTTTGCATCTTTTCTCCTGCTTGCTCGAGAACAAAACCCGCTATCCGGATACAATCTAACTACTCCACATACTCTACATAAACCCCCAAGTAGAGTGGACTCTGCAGCTACATATCCGATCGCGATCGCCTGCAGCCAGCAGCAGGAGCAGCAGCAGTGAACGGTGCACTTGTGCAGGCCGCAGGCCCCCGCAGGCGGTACTCTACTCAGCACGTGCTACCGCACATACTTACATACATACACATATAGGAAGCGACATGTACTCTACATACCCCCCCCCCCGAAGAACTCCCCGATGCTGCTGCTGCTGCTGCTGCTTCCCACGGCCGCGTTTCGGATATTTAGTTGTTGGCCGGGCGGAATCGGAATCGGAATCGGAATTGGGCGTATGGTTGGCTTCCGATAGCCACGGCTGTATGTACGGTATATGTACGGGGGAACCGGGGAGACGCCGGGAGGATTTGCTTCGAGGGGGTTTCCCTGCACACATACACACACTCGGTACGTACCTCGAGTACGCACGAAACGTGGAACATGGGCAGTGAGCGGTGCGGTGTGGGGGGAATTCCGGGGAAGTGCTGGGCTGCAATTGAAAAGGCATCTGTCTGCCAGGATGAGGATGGGGATGGGGGTTAACGTTGCATCTGCCTGTCTGCCTGTCTGTGTGCCTGTCTGCGTGCCTGCCTGTCCGCCCGACGCTCGTCCGTCCGATTGTTTCTGTCTCTGTTTTTGTCTCTGTCTCTGTTTCTGTTTCTGTTTCTGTTTCGCGATTCCCGATCGTATGCTTCTCATGTTTCCTTTTTGTATGTCTGGCAGTCGACGGCCATCAGCTGCCGGTGGTGGTGGTGGTGGTGGTGGTGGTGGTGGTGGTGGTGGTGGCTGTCCCCCACATCCACGCCCACGCTCACGCCCACGCCCACGCCTACATACGCCGACGCCCACGCTCACGCTCACGTCCCCATGCGGACATCGTCAAATGTACGTAGCCATCCCTGGTTCTGATTCGCGGCTCTCCAGGCCGAGCATAGATACTCTAGGTATTCGCGTTTCGGATGTCCCCAGCATCCCATCTCATCCCATCCCACTTACCTAAAAACGAAAGAAAGAAAGAAAGAAAGAAACGATCGTGATGTGATGTGGAGAATGTCGGTCATAAGTAGCAGGTGCCCAAAGCGCAGCCGCTCACTCCCTCCCTCACTCACTCCCTCCCTCCCTTCCTTCCTTCCTTCCTTCCTTCCTTGCTCCCTCGATATGAGCTCTCCCGAAAGCCAGGCACGGGCTGCGGGAGTGCTAGAGTTAGAGTGTGTAGGGTGGAGTATGTAGAGTCCCTAGCGGGAATCGAACCCAGGCTCCAGCTCCGGCCTCCGGCAATACGGACCGGAGCTGCTACAAGTGAGAACTTGAACTTGGAAGCTGGCAGGTACATATCGACATAGGCATCTAACTACGAAGCGAGGCAAGACGAGGCGAGGCGAACGCGGATTCCCGTGGAGGATGATTGGCAGGTGTCTAGGGGGTCACTGGTTATGATGTATGTACTGTACCTCTGGAAGCTGCATATGTGTGCATAGTGTACGGTAGATATAAGGTATCCCCATATGTACTTGGAGGTTAATTATGCGCATAGACGATTCGACGCGTCGAAACGGCGAAAACATCTGCTTACTCTACTTGGTTCTCCAGAGCCTTTGTATGTACCCCGGAATCGAGTCGAGCAGAGCAGAGCATCTACACAGTGCATCCCCCTCCTCCTTCCACATCCGGAGCGGGTACTTACGGCCAGGTCAGGTCAGGCCGAAGCCTTGGCATCAGCACACCGCCCACTCCCCCGTCGCCGTTCCCCCCACGGAGCCCACAGAGCCCAGTGATCACGGGTCGTCCGAAGGGGTTGAATCGTGATCGTGATCGTGATCTTTGCGCGGCCCGTTCCCGCTCGCAGTGAGAGGGAATGCTGTGGTGCGATGCGATGCGATGCGATGTGATGGGATGGGATGTGATGGGATGTGATGGGGTGGGGTGGGATTGCGATGTGTGTGTGTTGGTGGCGGCGCTGGATGGGGAACGGCGAAGTTCGAACGGGGGAAGCCTGAAGCCTGAAGCCTGAAGAACCAATTGAAAACGGAGATGGTGAGAGGATGCGGAGATGGTGAAGGATGCGGAAGGGGTATGTGTACGTGCTACTACCTAGTATAACTAGTAGGTAGTTAGTTAGGCTAGTGGCGGATTCTTCACGAGAAGGTGAAGGTGATGGCATGGCATGGTGATGTTGTGTTCCGGTTTTCGTGGCGATATTCGGCTGCAGTCTCGAGCCTCGAGCCTCGAGCGTCGGCGCCACGGGCTGGTCACGGACATCACCAGGCACCGTATCTATATGGGTAACTACCATCCTGGAGTACTAGGTACGGCCATTTCAACCACCGACCTGGAACCCCAAGTATCGCCACCACATAGACACCCCACACTGCACACCGCACATTGTTTCTTTCGTCCCAAGCCGGCCCCACGCTTCCAAGTTCCGCGTGACTACTCTCGGCATCTACCTGGTAGTAGGCGAGTAGCCTCCGGTCTCGGCCCCGCGCATTGAGGCGTCGTTAGGTAGTGGTCAGTGGTCACCGTCACCGTTGGCTTCGTGTGCAATGTGCAATGCGTAATGGAGGTATGGTATAATGTGCATTGCATTCATATTTCATTTCATTTCTCGCCTCACATTTGATCCATGGTATCGGGGAATATCGATGTATGTAAAGTACCCTGACAAAAAGGACTGGACAAAGCCCGTTTTACACCAAAAATGCCCGTTTCCATGCAACCCAAACATACCCTCCACCTGGTGGAAAAAAATCGTCTCTTTCACAGAAGCGTTAGAATCACAAGCTTCTTCATCAATAAAAACTTTGACGACTTTCATCACGGATTGGGGCTGTATGACGTTGTGTGTGCAGGAGTTGAAAAGTGACATGACATTTTGTATGGGGCCCCCATACAAAAGGCTACTTGGCAACCATTAACTTTTCCCCCATATGGTATTGTTCCACAACAACGATTCAGAACTCCGCGAGGAGTTCCCATATCGTTGTTGGTGTAATTATAGAGGTCTCCCGATGGTCTCTGATTTTTTTTCGATACGTTGTGGCTGTTGTATCGATAGTTGAAAATGGCCATTTTTGGTGTAAAGCGGACACTGTCCAATCCTTTTTGTCCTAGTACTGTATGTACTCTAGGTAGATCAAGGGAAGGGAGAAGAAGAAGAAGAAGAAGAAGAAGGGAGACCATATTACCTATCATGTTACTACATAGAGTGTGTTGCTAATACATGACATACGCCCTGCGGTTTGCGGGATGCAGACATATCAGGCTGAGCTGATGTAGGTATCATGTTACCTACACCGTTATCGTCGGAGAATAGACTGCGAGAGTGGTTTTGTCCCGTTTTGTGGAGTGAAGTGGAGTGAAGGATGTCCATTGTCCATTGCCCATTCCAGGAGCCAATCCGTAACCGCAGTCTGGAGTCTGGGACGTGCTTGCGTGCGGAAGATGGGGGTACCCTGTGAGAGGTCACGCCTTGCGACTCATTCCTCCCACTCCACTGCCGTGCTGCTGCTGTGTCAGTGTGTCTCCATGTAGAGTTGCAAGTTGCAACGGCTCCGGCCGCCGGGCTGGAAGCCTACTCTACATACATGTTAGGCACCGGTAGGTACTGCCCCCCAGTGTGCACTGTGAACGTCGTGATCGTTACACGAGGCCAATATAGATGTCCGTCGTGATGCGGCGCTGGGTAAGCATGCTGTATCGTACGTTCCCTCGCTCTCTTCCTTCCTTCCTTTCTTCCTTCCTTCCTTCCTTCCTTCCTTCCTTCCTTCCTTCCTTCCTTCCTTCCATCCATCCTTCCGTCCACCCGCCCGTCTCGGTATCGGGATTCCGTCATACATATGCGCGCTTTCGCGCCGCGGTTGATAGGTACATACATCATGTAACTACCGTACCTATGCGAGTGTGCGTGCGTGCCCAATCCAGAATATCGAACCCGGCCAGCCATCCATGCATCCATCGCATAGTTAACATGCGGTTGTTTCATGAGCTGACCGACAGACCGACTGACCGACCGACCGACTGAACCAGCGCCTGACTACCTACCCAGGTAGAGTAGAGTACCTAGAATACAACTGCCAACTCACCACTCCACACCCTCATTTTCCCCCCACGGGCCCGGAGCGTGATCCTATTCCATCCCAGAATTCCTTGAGCATCCATATGTATGATGCTCCAGCATCCACTCTCCGGCGCGGTGCGGCGCCGGTAAGGTAAGGCAAGGCGGCTCCCGCTCGCGAGGGAGGGAGGGAGCGAGCTTTGTTTGTCGAGCTCGAGCTCGAACGAACGAACGATCCCCAATGCCCCATGCGCCCAGGATGCGGAGTGCGGGGGGAGCATGCTATTGGTGGGGCATGTCATGTCATGTCATGTCGCTGTCGCCGTGCGTGGGGTCACTGGGGTGGGTGGGTGGTGGGTGGGTGATCGGCACAGCGGCTCGAGGACCGGATTTACCGAGCGGCGAGTGTCACGAGTTCTACACTTCACCTCACTAGATACCGGTACTAGTAGGTGCACTACCTACACTACACTACACACGTACCTGTACCCAAGTTATCATGAGTATGATCATACAGCCAGCGAACCGGCGAACGTATTGGAACGCTCGAACTTCGACCAGTTGTTGTGTTGGGTACAGCAAGGAACGGTATGTATGGTACGGGTTCATGCGAGCTGATCCTCTGGCTGGGAGTCTCGTACTACGTACTCTACGTACCTTATACCGTACTTGAGTACTGGCGCGCCCATGAGTGATCGGTCAGTCGGTCGTGATCTAATCGGCCGTGACCATCGCCCCCGTCCGTCCGTCCGGCTGGCCGTGTTTGGCCGTCCAATCCGATTCAATCCAATACAACCGGGACAGCGCTCACGGGACCAGACGTCCATGTACCTATGATAGGTACGGTAGGCTCGATATGTGTTATGTACCACCGCGGCGATGCTCAGGGGTTTCTTAACTAGAGTACTCGGGTGTAAGCTCACCTTCCCCCATACAACTTAGCGTTTTCCCCCATACAACTTAGTCACAGCCCCTCACTCATTTCATTGTATCTGGATTAGTGCACTACTAATATAGACTAGTGCTTGTAATTCGTAATGGTGGTGAGGCACCACTTATTGGCAGCTCCTGGTACACAGGTACATGCCCAACTTGACTGATGCTGATGATGCTGATGATTCTGATGATGACGGGATCAATTTCACCTGCCTGTCCGCCTGCCTCGACGTTGCGTTGCGCTGCGTTTCGTTTCGTTCCGTGCCGTTCCGTGCGCGTGTGTGTGTGTGCGACGACGGCGCTTACGGTTGCTCCCGGAGATGACGAAGGTTCAAGGGATCCCGCCCACTGGTCCTGAGTCTGGTTTGTCTGATGTACCGAGTTGTGGCTTACGTATGATATCCGGACGGCAACTACTCTAACTCTACATCAGCCCTTTGGTTGCAACTTATGTACTTGCTGGCAGCCGGCCGACCGGCCGGCAGAATACGGAGGAGTACTCCATAGTAGTATTGTCCGCAGTTACAGCGCGTGTAGGGAACGGCGCCTTTTCCACGATTTCCACGATCCCACGATCCCACGATTCCGCTGTCCACGATTCCCTCCCCGCAGCCCCGCTTCTCTTCTCGGAAGCAAACGTGAAACGCCCGCCCCGAAGCGGTTATATACACTACACCCGAGACGGATTGGGCGGGCGGGCAGGCTATGTACCTATGATGTTCGCTTTCCTCCGGGGCCCAGGGGGCTGCTCAAGCTCAAGGTCGAGGTCGAGGAAAGCAGGCAAGCAGGCAGGGCTTGTCCTTGCACGTACGTACATACAGCACAGCACATGTCTGTCCGTCCGTCCTGCCGTTCGTCGTGCTTAGTCGAGACTCGAGAGGTATGTAAGAAGTAATATGATACGGTACTCTAGTAGCAGTGCATGGTATGTACGAGTACAGCCAGGTCGGTTTTTTCTTCTTCTCCATATCATACTTGTTATGTAGAGTAGAGTAGAGTACCTGCCTTGGCTTGACTTGAATTGACTTCCGTTTGTTTGCCCGTTTGTTTCCCCACAATGCAATGCGATTCGCTTTTTGATTTTGGTTTTTTCGGTTGCCGCGGGCGCGGGCGCGCGCTCTCGCGCATGGCCAGTCCGGTTGGGAAAAAGAAATAAGAAATGGAAAAAAAAAAGAACTGATGCTTCAGGCATCAATCAATGCTCAAACAAGCAAGCAAGCAAGCTTAAAGCTCAAAGGCGCGATCTCGTCTCGTCCCGTTTCAGGGAGGGGGAGGGGGAGTGGGGGGGACGGGGGAGGACGAGCGACGTCGGAATGCGGAGAATCCCAACCCACATCCATCAGGGGACAGGACAGGACGGGACCGGACAGCAGAAGTCACTACCATGTAGACTCTAGGCGTCACACTCCCCCCCGCCCCGCCCCTTTGACGTCCGCGCGAGTAACAGTCAAGTCAAGTCAAGTCAAGTGAGGTGTCGATCATTCACCCCTCGGGGAGGAGGAGGAGCTCAGCTGAGTTGCCTGCCTGCCTGCCTGCCACTGCCAGCGAAGCATTGAGCGATGTCCACGTGCACGCACGCACTCATCTTTTTTTTCCCCTTCTTACCCCACGGGGTGGAGGGAGGAAGGAGCAGCGACGAATGATGCCGCGAGATAACAATAGAAAGTACTCTACTCTATGAGTCTATGTACTGTAACTATTGCATGTCATCATTGTCATGTCGTTTTTACACAACGGAATGGAATAGAAACGAATCAACGAATGGATCAACGAATGAATGAATCAATGAATGAACGAACGAATGAACGAACGAATGAACGAATGGATGAATCAATGTGAGAGGCGGGGTGAGTCGCAGCTCTCAACTCTCAAGCAGTAGTTACTCTACCTGGGTAGAGGTGAGGTGAGGTGAGGCAAGGCAAGGCATTGGTGATGGGATGGGATGGGATAGGTTGGTGAATCGTGATGAGTCCTCAGTCGTTCGGTCGCTTTTCTTGGTTACCTGATTGCTTTGCTTGCTTGCTTGCCTGGGTTACCTGACTGCTTGCGTGCTGCTTGCTTGCGGTCGATTGCGAATTTCCCTCCCTCGCTGCCTGCCTCCCTCCCGTCTTCGTCTTCTCTCCGGGAGGAAGAAATTTTTCCTTTCCTTTTCTTTTCTTTTCTTTTCCTCGCTCGCCGTTCCTTCTTTTCTTTTCGCGGCGAGACGTGATAGCCGTCTGAATATTATCTTCTCTTCTCTAGGTAGGTCCTCTAGGTACTCTACTCCTGCTCGTCCGGGAGAGGGGGAGGGGGGAGGGGGAAGGCAATCGCAAAAGGAACTGCAGGACGTGGAGGAGCAGGACGTGGAGAAGGACGTGGAGGAGGAGTAGAGTAGGTAGGTGGAGGAGGAAGTATGAAGTAATAGTAATCCCTAGCTGCTGCTGCCGCTGCAAGTCCGTCCACGTCCCCTCCACGTCCTGGCTCCTCCACGTCCGCCGAATTCGACTCGACTGGACTCGAGCCCGTGGGGAACTGGGGCTTGCACCTGCCACCTACCACCTCGTTCATGGGGCTATTTTCAACCGCCTGCGGTGTATGTATGTATGTAGATCGCTGGAAATATGTAGTTGCTTGGGTTAGGTACGTTAGGTACCTGTATGTATGTACCTGTGCCTAACCTATACATATCATACGTGCGGACTACCCACATACTAGATATACACACATGCCTAGAGGTGGACCTAAGCGAGTGACGGGATGCGACGCGACGCGACGCATTCACGATACGATCACAGGGTGGTGGTGGAGGTGGTGGTGAAGCAAAGCCACGCAAAGCAAAAACAAGGCGGCCTGGCTGGCTGGCTGGCGGGCGCGGGCTCATCACCTGTGCGAGTTGTGTGCGTGGTGTGTGCACTATGGGTGCGTGGTGTGATGGGGCGTTTGAACGTTTAGAGTACCTTGGCTGAGGCGTCACGAGTACTCTACCTTCAGTTCTTCTCCTCCTCCTCCTCCTCCTCCTCGAGTCCTTGGTAGGATCCCAATTCGATATCTAGATTCTAGATACATATCGCCGCAAACGGCCATCACATCACGGGGTGGGGAGGATGGTCCGGGGGTGTTCCGGAGGTGGCAGTGAGCAATTGAGATAGAGTACCTACGGTACTCGCTAACTATCCCGGAACGGCGTGCACACTCGACGGTGGACAGGTGATACGAGTGTATGTGTGTACGGTGCCTTGTGGTCATCGTCGTGGTGGTGGTGGGTAGAGCTTTCTTTCTTTCTTTCTTTCTTTCTTTCTTTCTTTCTTTCTTTCTTTCTTTCTTTCTTCTTTCTTTCTTTCTTTCTTTTCGATCCACCCTCCTCCAGCTCCAGCTGGCGGAAGAACTAGAGTACTGCTTTCTGCTGCTGCTGCTGCTGCTTGCGATACTTCCTGCTGCCGTAGACTCGCTCTATCATACCTAGTAGGTACGATAGATAGCAGCTCAGCTCAGCTAAGAACTCTGACTCTCTAGATAACCGTTCTTTCTGCTGGGGGGTTCGTGCCGGAGAGGAAGGGGAAGGGGAAGGGGGGGCATACATATCGCTCTGGCCGACCCGACCCTACTCTACCGACCTATGTACCGATCACATGTCGAAAAAAATTCCGGTCCTGTCCTGTTGAACATACCGAAGAAGGCAGTCCGAAGAATTGCCTTCGCTTCGTAGATACCGGTATGTAAATAGCTGGTGGAGGGTGGAGGGCGGAGGGTGGAGGATTCACCACCAACTCCTCCACTCCACTCCACTCCCTCTAGAGTATCGGTAGCCCACGGTAGGGGATGGATGGAAAAACCTCCAAGCAAAAAAAAACTCCGCGAATTATGTAGAACCTATGATATGTATGCTGTATGTACGCTGTAGGTATGATGTATGTAAGCCTCCCCTTCCCTCCGGAGCGCCTCCTCCTGGTGTTGTATTTTACCCGGTGAGTTGAATTGAACCGGACGTTTCGAGGTCCCAACTACTGCCTGCCAGACAGGACAGGACAGACAGGACAGGACAGAAACGACAGACAGAAAGACAACCATCTCGGAATGGCGTACCAAGATTTCCCTTCCCTTCCCTCCCTACTCCCCCCACCCGCCCGCGCCAAGGAGTAATGGCTTCGAAGTTCGATGGGGGGGGGGATGTGGAGACCAAAGCACACACCACCACAGCACACACAGCACGCACACAGCACGCATCCGATCAGGTATTCTCGATGGATGGATGGATGGATGGATGGATGGATGGATGGACTTGTGGTTGGAGGACTCGACTAGAGTAGAGTAACTAAACGGACGGAGGAAAAAAAAGCAGGAAAAAAAAAAGAAACGGGAAGAAGCCGAAGAAGAAAGAAGGAAAGAAAAGAAAAAGAAAAGAAAAAGCCAGGCAGACAGACACGAGATGCGAAAGTGGTGAAGAAGAGGATTGAGAGGATAGAGTGCCTTTTTGGTTTGATTTGGTTTGGTTTGGGGCTTGTTTGCTTTCCTTTCCCTTCCTTTCCCTTTCCCGGGGAAACTGGCAGGGCGCCCGGCCGGCTGGCTGGCTGGCTGGCATGGTGTGGAGTTTCTTCTTCTTCTTCTTTTTTTTTGTTTCTTTCTTTCTTTCTTTTACGGTGCTCTGTGAGGTTTGCTCTCGCTCTTATTATCCACGACATCTTTGGAATGTCGCGCGGGATTATTTTATTATTTTCTTTTCTTTCTTTCCCACTTGCGTTCAATCAAAGCAGCTTGACGAACGGACGCGAGCGAACGAGCGGGAAACAATTGGGGGACGGGGAGTCGTGGACGGGGGAAGGATAAGACAAGACAAGGGCAGAGCAGGGAGAGACCGGCCGCCGCCGTCGAGTAGAGTAGAGGTTGAGTAAGTACCGGTATGTAACAACAACGGCGACAGCAGACAGCAAGAGAGAGAGAGAGAGGCCTCGTGACGGTTCCCATGACAGGAGCACTGCCGCCGTAACCTTCCTCCCTACCCTACCTACTGCTGCTGGTACGTACCTGTTGCTCACCAAGCGACCTTTGTTTCGTTCGCTGGCAGTGAGCGGACGGGGAGCCGGAGGGAGGGAGAGAGAGAGAGGGAGGGAAGGAAGGAACGAAGTCCGGAGGAGGAGGTCATAGTCACGGTCATAGGTGGAGGCAAGTAGAGTAGAGTACATACCTCATACACACACACACATACAGCATTTGGAGATGTGGGTGGGGCAATGGGAAAATGAACGTGGCGGGTGGGATTTACATTCGCTCTACACACCGGTACCAAGGTACATAGCACTGTACAGTACGTTTGGTTCCTATCGGCCCCCTCAAGTTCTTTAGCAGTTTGTTACATGGTAGCAGGCAAAAACGGGTTCTCATCCGTTTGAGGGGTGGCCATCGTGGCCACGATGGAAACAGTCAGCATCTCGCGGCGCCATCACCAGCATCACCAGTATCACCAGCATCACCAGTATCACCAGTATCACCAGTATCACCAGTATCACCAGCATCACCAGCATCACCAGTATCATCAGCATCATCATCAGGCTCATCGAATACATACGTTGGCCATCCGTCCGGAGGCAGGAGGCATGGACTGCATGAAGCATGGCAAGAACGGTATGTACATCGTAGCAAGCTTCTCAGCAGAGCATAAGAAGTGAATCCAACCATGTGCTACCTATAGCAAATCATAGCAGAGCAGAGCAAGCAAAGCAAATCGCAAATCGCAAATCGAGATAGCCAAAGCAAAAAAGAAAGCATGGTGTGCGGTGCGTGAGTTGAGTGAGTGCGTGTGGTGCGTGAGTGCGACGAGGAGCCCCCCACCCGATGGGCCACCTACATACCTGCCAGCCATAACCAGCCAGCCAGCTGCCAGCCAGCGAACTCTGAAGGAACTCACGGGCTCTCTTTTCGTCTTTCTTCTTTTTTTTTGTAGGTAACAGGATCTAAATTCGGTTCGCACCTGGTAATTGCCCGAACGGGCCCACTCCACTGGACAGTACGGCAACAAGTCAGGTTCTACTTCAGTCCGTGGTGGGTTGCGATTGCCCTGCCCTGTCTTGTCCTGCCCTGTCCTGTCCTGTCCTGTCTTGTCCTGTCTTGTCCTGTCCTGTCCATCCATATCTCACGTTTTTCCTTCTTTTTTTATTTATCGGTGGCCAGACAGCCAGCCCGCCCAGCAGGCCAAAAGCGAAGCAAGCGGAGCAGAGCACGCACACACGCACGCCTCAACTAACACCTAACCCCCCCCGATTACCCATGGCCACCCACCGCCCCCCTCCCCACCCGGGGCCACACCCCCCCGTCCCCCCGTCCCCCCCCCCCCAATCTCCCGGGTGGTACGCTAGAAAAGAAGACTTGCCGGCATGAAGGTGGTGGACATCTAGAAGTCGTCGTCCAAAAGACAAAGCCTATAACCCTTCACCCGCCCGCTCCCACATAACTACCCATTCCCTCGGTTTCTCCACTTCTCCCTAACGTTGATTCTGCGTCTATTTACATATACCTCCCACCCCCCCGCCTACCTCCACCACCACAACCATCAACCATCTTCAACTACTACAACTGTTCCGAATCTATATACCCGGTCACCAGTCCTCCTTCACTTCAGGATCTACACCCACCACTACTCCTTCCGACTTTATATACCGTATACATCTCCGCCAACAGGACCGCCAACAGGACCGCCGCCACTGACCAGAAAACCATCGACATCACTCGCACGCAAACTCCTACCCGAGAATCGATCGAATCGAAAAAAAAGAGCGAGAAAAAAAAGAAAAAGACCCCACCCGTCTCATCTACTCCCCACACCCGCTCACCCCCGCAAACCATCCTCGAAAGCTTTTCCAAGGGGTTTTCATCCTCGAATCTCAGCATACAAAGCCGTTGGATTTCCCGCGGCACCGATAACATCAACAATCTTAGTCCTCCACCACCCGCTTCCCTGCCACCACCACCACCTCGTTCGCGCTCCCGCAAGTGATCGATCTCATACATACACCTCAAGATGCCTTCGCGGCTAAATAGCCCTATTCTCGCCGTCGATATGAACCGTGTCGCCGGTGTCGACCCTAGTAATGTGGATAATCTCTACAGCATGTGGACCAGTTAGTAGGCACCTATCCAAAAAGAACGAAGAAAGAGAAAAAAGAATGAAAGAATGAAAAAAGCATCGTCAATCCAGTTTCGATCAGGAGGCTAACCATCGGATCGATAAAGTCTTTTCAAAATGCGCCGAGTCACTTGAGAACGGCCGTCGGCTAGAAAACTTGAGCTGGAGGCTATGGAATCGGGAAACTTTCTGCTGCGACAATGGCATCCCGGCTACTGTCGTTGCCTCCACCACCACTACCAACACAACCACACCGCCAGCGACGACAATACCGATAAGGAAACCGAGGCGTCAGGAGGAGCCTTTAGACATGCCAGAGCTTTCCTCGAGCGTGGTGTCAGCACCATCGGACGACGAACTGCCGGAACAGCGATCGGGAGCAGTCGGGATCAAACGCCCTTGTCTGACCAGGAGCGATTCCAGCCGAGGCAGAGAAAAGCACATGACTCCGGTCCACCTGGCTAAGATCATGGAGGATATGAGCCACAGCAAATCCGCGGCCGAGGAGTGGAAGGCTCAATGCGCGCGCATGCGACGGAAAGCATCTTCCATGCCCACTGAGCGTGTACCCGCTGCGATGGCCGCGTTGTCCAAGAGCTGCGATGATGGTACGGAAGCGAAGAGCACCCACAGCGTCGTTCGTGGTTTCTCGCCCAGCCGGGTGTCCTCGTCGTATCGATCATCGGCGAACCTCGCTGCTGCCGCCTCCTCGAAGGTAGTCGTCGCCCCGTTGCCAGCGAAGATCGCTACTCCCGCACCGAAACCAGTACCGGCACAAGCACCAGCACCGTCGACACAGAAGAAGAAGCAGCCCGTTTTCTTCTTCGCTTCGTCTCCTTCGTCCGACGGCAGCCCAGATGAGTCTTACTGTTCGTACAGGCAGCCGAACGACAAGAAGACATCCTTCATGGACGAAGTTGCAACTCGAACCCTCTACGACGATGATGATTCGGATGACGACGAGGTTTCTGAGAGCGCCATCGACGATGACGACCTCGAATGGGAATCCTCGTCCGAGAGTGGCTCATCCAGCTACGACGACAACTCGATGTTCAAGCGTGTCGAAAGTCGGCCCAATCTGATCGCGTCCCGCCGATCTCTCCTGTCCACGATGCTCCACGAGCCCGAGCGTGCCGCGCATCTCGCCAGCGTAGCCTCGAAGTCGACTCCCGCCCTCCGTCGATGCAATTCGCCCCGTGAGCCCCCGCTCGGTACGCCCGCCTCCAGGGAAGACGAGGTTCCGGGCTCGAAGCCCATCCGCCGCATCAACACGGCGCTTCATCCGCTCGCCTTGTCCCCGCGAACCACCCGGCGCAACATGCTCGCTACCGAGCTCACCGAGTCGCTGCGCAAGCATCTCCTGTGGGAGAGGCAGCAGAAGAACACGACCGCCTCGGCTCATCTCAAGCGGAGATACACCGCCGCCGATGTCACCAAGCTGGCCGATTACCCACAGCCTCGCGGTAAAGGGTGCACTTCCAAGAACAACTCTTGGAACAACCCCTTCGACGAGACCCAATACGAATACCACGCGGCCGGGTGGTAGAGTTATAAAAAGAGGAGTGGGGGGATTGTACAAATGAGCGTTTTTTCTTCTTTTCGTTTTCTTTTTTTCTCTCAGCTTCAGTACATAAGGGTTCGGTTTTTCTTTTCTTTCCTTTTTTTGTGTATCAGTGGGGGCGGATGGTGTTTTTGTGTTTTCTGTCTAATATCTTGGGGCGGGGTGTATACTCTGCATTCGGCGTCGTATGGGGTTTGGCATTCTGTTAATTGTTCACACCGGGAGATGGCGCGAGCCATCATATATCTGCCTTTTTTTGTCCGTCTACTCTTCAAAAACCTCCTTTTTATTTTTTGTATGGAGTTTATACCAGTTTGGTCGGCAAAGGTGGGGAGGAGTCTAAAATTCATAGTGTATTGTACGTTACTTGGTTGAGAGGGAGGATGAATGGATGTGGGCGGGTTGGCCACTGTATCTAGTACTTGGGAGATGAGAGCTGGAGGTGGAGGTGGTGGAGAGTACGGAATATGAAGATGATACAAAACAAACTCACGCTTGCTTGCGTTCCCACGATCCTTCACGATGCCATGTATGATACGGTACTTGTAACTACTGCACATGCACGAGCGTTTTCTGCCCCACCCAACCCAACCCAACTCTGTTGCTTGCTGTTCCTTTTCGCCTATGACCTACCTTACCCATGCCCATGCCCACCCATCGTGAGATTGAACTCTGGCCTGCATGATATGTCGTTAGTTACCTAGGTGGGTAGTTAGCCACGTGCGTGCAGTGACGATCTATGTACTATACATACATGTGGTGCTGCGTGGGAGGGATTGTGGAGGGATTGTATGTAGCAGGGTACGAGTAACGAGAATGCGGAGGAGGGAGGGGGATATCGTCATTCTTCCCCAGAATCCAAATGCTATGGTTTTCGACATCGGCACTTACATACATACGGGTTTGCGGGGAGTGGGGAGTGGGACGTGACGGGGTGGGACGGGGAAATCCGTCTTGATCGGAGTGGATGGGCGAGACGGATGGATGGGTGGGTGGTACATAGGGTGGTGGTTTCTGGATTATTTCCTACAATAAGATACATCATGATCTGCGCAGAGCATGAAGAGTGTGGATTCATGGTTCCTTTTTGGGGCGGTTGGGTAACGTTGGGTGGGGACTCGGGATTGACATTGGCAGTGATCGCCATCCACTCACCCACCCACTACCGACCACCCACCACCCGGAGGAGAGAAGGCAGAAGGGCAGAAGGGCAGAAGGGCAGAAGGGCAGAAGATAAGTCGCGTGCTTGGGAGATGTGTAGATCATGACGAACATGTATCTACATAAACCACGGTTTGATAGGATATCCGGGTACCGTACCTACCTCATGCCCAGATACCGTGAGGGATATATCGATTTCGTCCCCTTCCCTTCCCTTCCCTTCACTTCCGCTCCGCCGTACCCCGACTGCACGTTCCGCCCTAGGGCTCGTGCGAGATCGCGAGATTTCGCGAGATTTCGAGGGGATTGCCGAGCTTGGGATGGGGATGAGACGGTATCGGGATCGGCGGTGCGGCGCCAGGGCCGGGGCTGGAGCCGGGGCCCTGTGGGGAACTCAATGGTGTGGGGAAGGAGCAGGATGAGGAGGGAGGGGGAGGAAGGGGGGGGATGGGGAGGAGCCGAGTGCTGATCTAAGATATCAATCCCACGGTAAACCGTAAGATGTTGTGACTTCCGGGGTTGGAGCCAGCACCCGCACCCGGGCTCGGCTTCGGCTTCGGGGTGGGATCGGATGGGCGTCGGGCGGGGGGCAGGGGGGTGAGCAAGAGCAGGAGGAGGCGAGTGATGCACAAAGAGCTTGCTCGGACCTGGCCCCTGGGCTCAGTGGGCTCAGTGGGCTGATGATGATGCGAGATCGGCTTCTAGTAAGCTTCTATGTAGTTCTAGGATTGTCGTATGGCGTCAGGGCTCACGAGCCACGAGCCACAAGGGATAGTGTGAGGTTTCGCAAGCAGGTTCGAAGACTTTGCTCTCTACTCTACTCTACTCTACTATGTAAAGTACTAGGTCAAAAGTTAACGCCAGGGGGCCGTTTTACACCAAAAATGGCCACTTTCACACGACTAAAACTCATCCTTCCTCTGACAGAAAAATATTGTGTCTTTCACAGACGCCGTGAAATCATAAGCCCTCTCATATATGAAAAAAATTTGACCGCTTTTAGTCAAGATTGATGGTTTTTAGTGGTGATTTGCACATGACTTAAAAAGTGATTTCGCATCTTGTATGGGGCTCCCACACAAAAAGTTGCACGACAACCAGCGAAAACCATAAATTTTTCTCCTGAGCCGCATTGCTCAACCACAACTGCTTACATTTGCGAGCCAGTTTCTTATACGGTCACCTAAGTAGTTAACAAGGACTTCCAATTGCCCAATATTTTTTACAGTGTGTTTGGGACGCAGAATCTGTGGTTGAAAATGGATAGCCTGGAGACAATGGGACTTGGGTTAGCCGCATAACTTCGCATAAAATATTGATTTCTTTTGGCTGGAAATTTTGTCGAAGCTGAATATGTATCTAATCATCCTGTGTACAAATTTGTATTACTTTCTATTGTGTGGTTGTGGTGTTCGAGAGGTTTAGATGTGTGGTGTGGTGGTCTTGTAGGGGCGAGTGGCGATAACTTTTGACCTGGTACTTTAGGTGTGTACTACTATGTACGATGGCTCAACCGTCTTGGAAGTTGGAATCACAGTTACAGCCCATCCATCACTGTGGACCCACGACCCACGCGGAAAGGTATTGGGTACTCGTGGATGATTGATTTGCGCAGCGAGAGCTGGGAGGTTGGGACTTGTGTGGACGACGTAACCGTGGAGGATACCTACACAAAGTGAGAGTGAGTATCGACGAGAGCAAAACCAAGCAACTGACTGAGAATGTCGAGTGGACTAACTCATCTAGTCTGGAGCCTGGCAAAGGTACATATTGTGATCTGATTTCCCAGCCCTCTCTGCTTGATCTCATGGTGGGTTCCGGCTTCATCTACTTCGAGTCTTCAACCCCCTTTTCCTTGCTTTGGAATTGCTACACTCACTGGTGTCGTTCAGTGGTGGAGGTGGGGGATTTCGATTCGATGGTGTTCCTACATTGGCGCTCATATGGTATCGTAAGCACTAACTAGCAGAGCGCGGTTGCCAACGTCTAGAGAGTCAACCAACTGAAATTCATCCTCAGTATCCGTAGAATAAACCTGATGTCTTACGGAAGAGATGACGAGTATTGAAAATGGTGGATTGCATGACAGTGTAGCTGCCTGGGGACGTAGGGCAACAGACAGCAATCTCTTCATATGGGGAAGAAGAGGAACACGAGTAAGTAGTGCGTAATAAAACCACCGGATATGTAGACCATGAACGAACCACGTTATACGGGCTTGTATACTGAAGTCCAAGAGGTTAGTATATTTTCTGGACGCTTCGAGAACCTACGATGGATGGTCGAAGCTGACTGAGATGGGTAGACCCCAGCACAAGCCATCACTCGCCTGCTCAAACTTCCAGTAAATTCCCAAGCCTTCGCTACTTTCACCTCCCTCCTCAATCAGAGTTTGCCCTAGAAACCGTCTTTCTACTCGCTTTCCTCAACAACCTCGCTGTGTTCTAGCCCTAATCAAGTACGACTAGTAATGAACCACGGTGCTCAACCCCTCCACGCCCTCGACTTCAACTTCACCGCAACCAACTCAGCATCAACATCGACACTATGAGCAACCAACTCAGCATCACCATCGACACTATGAGCAGCGACGACGAAGGTAGCAGCAACAGCAGCAACAGCAGCAGCGCCAGCAGCAGCAACAGCAGCAGCAACAGCAGCGCCAACAGCAGTAGCAGCGGTAGTGTCGACACGATTGTCGACAAGCAGCAGCCTCCAGCTCCACTTCCGCCGTCGCCGTCTACCTCAATACCAGAATGGGTCTCGACTTACTTCACCAGTGATCCGAGCACCGACAAGCTAGTGTTATATATCTGCAAGGTGTGCGGCGCGGTCGCCACGAAGATGGGTGTCGCTCGGCATCTGGAGCGGTGGCACGGCATCAAGTGCGAGCCCGTGAGGTTCTGAGGCGAGGAAGGGCGGGGGATCGGGGGTCGGGTGGATGGGGATTGGCTGTTGTTAATCCTATCGCTACGGCATAAAAAATGATGATGATGATGAAGGCGTAACGATGCTTCCGGCACAAGAATGCATTCCTACTCAGACTCATGCTCGATTCTTTTGACGTTCGTGAGTGTGTACGGTACTTGGCTAAGCTGCCTGTGTGTTTTCTAAGTGGTAGACTCTCCCTTAGGAAGGATGCGGGGCGTGGTCAATTCCACCTGGTAAGTGCCCCCCCACGATGCATACACGATACTTACTCTATTGCACGAACGTTTCCTGCCCACCCCAACCGACCGTGCCGCCTTCCCTTTCGCCTACCTACCAACCTACCTACATAGCAGCAAACCACGAGCTCATGCGATCGAGATTCGTGAGATTGAACTCTGAAGTCTGGCCTGCACATGCGTTCTGTGAATAGCTACATACTTTGCTGGGTAGCGAATTGGGTGCCTAGCTATGTAGCATCCTTGTTCCGTCCATGGGTCCTTGAATGTGGAGAACCTTCGTCATTTTACGGTTTTTACCCCGGATTTCAGATTTCGCGCTTGCGGGGAAGCTGGGATGGGCAAGTCATCGGGTAGGGTGGGGAAGTCATCAGACGGGCGAATTCATCGCCCATCGTCGTCGACGCCGGCCGTGAGGGTTTCCTGGATTACTAGTACATAGTCGACGCGATTTTGGTAGGGGGATACATCATGATCTACAGGAGGCTGCGGAGCGGATTCATACTCGCGAGTGGGATTGATCGACATCTCTAGTCGCGGCTGGGCGCTGCAGCCTGCAGATCATGACGAGCACCCTCACCACTGCGGGTAGGGTGCTTATGTAGAGTACCCCGGCTGACGGGACGTTACTGCACATACATACCCTGAGGGATTATCGAGCGAGATCTTGAGATTTGGGGGGAGGGATGAGCACACCCACCTAGCTTCCACTGCTCGTTTCTCTACCACTCACCGTGGGAAGATCACTCTTCGGAGGGGATTGCCGGTGGGATTCGTGACCGATGCGTGGTGGGCTCGGAGGTTTAATGCGAGCTCGATCGACTGTGCGACGAGATGGCGAGTCGAGGCGGTTAAAAGGTGTGCGACTGCTGACCCAAGATGTCACCGCTATATATGCGTAGGCGGAGTGAGATGCGGAATCTCCGCCCGCCCCCAAGGCGTCGGAGTAACGTGGGCGTGAGGCATGCGGGGGTGGGTGGGTAGGGGGGTAGCCAACTACCTACGTGAGGGAGGTGTTCGATCGAGTGATCCGTACCGTGGGAACTGGGCTTCGCCGGCGTTTGGCTGATGGATGATGTGGGATCGGCTTTTGGGATTTTCGCATGGCGTCAGGGCTCACGAGGTGGGCCCGACTGGATGAAAGTAGGCAGGAAATTGGATGGAAGAGGGTTCACGTATAATGCAGCCCATTCATGCGTCACGACTCACAAGGTGGTCCCGATTCGATGGGAAGTAGGCAAAAAAAAACTGGGTGGAAGAGGGCTCAAGTTGAACGCAGTCCATTCATGCGCCACGGCTCATGAGGTTAATCACCAGAGGGATTTGCATAGAGAGGCCCCTATGGTGATGCTCTGGGATACCGGTACTTCGGTGGTTCGGGGCAAAAGATGGCCCTTCAAGTTCCTTGGTGCTTCGCGACGTCAGAAAACCGCAGAAGCTAAGCAAGCAAATAAGTGCACGCATCGGAATGGAAGCTGGAGACTGTCACAGACGATCATCCAGTGTAAACGCTGCTGGGCTGCCTACTCCGGGGTAAATGGACGTCCGGCGAGACGATAGGCAAAGGTGTGAGTAGTAAGCAATACAGCGATAAATCGAAGAAGCTTAGAATTGCGGAGGTCCCTATTGAGAGCTTTTGGGTGTCTCGAACGGAATGGGGGCGATTGGTTGCTCCCGCAGGTGGAGTCAATGGATGCGAGTGATCCCAAGATTTTCTACACGCTTACTACCAACCCTTCGTTCGAATCCAACAGGAGGCTGCAGTGGCCACTGTTAGAAGTCTAAAACCTTCGACTGTTAGAGAATATATCCATATCCACATGTAGAGAGCACTGGGAGAATGCAATGGCAGCAAGGTAGCATACCTAAGTACTGTATAGTGAAGGGGAGGGTAAAAAATACGCTTTGTGACCGTACCGATACGGAAAAAGGCGTATCGATACGGTGAAAATACGTATTTTGACCGCACCGATACGCCAAAAAGCGTAGTTTTTACCCCCCCCTTCACTATACAGTAGGTACGTGATATTTCCTGGTGGTTTCTTCGGGAACCTATCGGGTGAACAGAGTATTCTACGGTATAGTAGATTAGACGGTTGACTTCGGACGTAACGATGGGCGTTGGCGGTCAGTGGTTTGTGTATAGGTAGTACCAGGTTGCCCCATGGTTGTTCACTCGAACATGAATCTTAAAACACCGTCACATAAAGATACAAGGAGCCCGTAGAGTACACGACGACAGCTGCCATTGGAAGGAAAGGGTTATCAACTATCCATAGAGTTCCTCGCCTCCAATTACCACGGCGATTGGCCGGACTTTTTCCCACATCGAGAGTCCAGCTTTTATTATGCTATGTGAGTGACAATATGTGACGCCGCGCAACACGACGTAATCCCTCAACACATACGAAATCAGCTGTCGAGAGAGACGTTCACAGCTCTGTAATGAGAGAAAGGAAGGCTTTTGATGCGGATAACTCCTAGCCTATCCAGTCATTCGTACGGTGCTCACGGCCATCGATGGTGCTGGCAGTGGAGGACGGTGCGGGGTGGTTCACGGAGGCCTTTCGGAAGGTCTCGATAACTACACGGTGGCCCGGAGCCCACCAGCCTAACCATACTGAAGAACATCATTATTACCGGGCTGCCCATATCTCCCTTATACCTTTTTGTTTTCCTTTTTCTCCCATCATAACACATTATTGTACCCAGAGCTCATCGCCTTTACCTTTATTACTGCCTTCTTTAGCCAGGTGGATTAGTCCGGAGACCACAGAGTTCATCGATACCACCGCCCTGGCTGCGGAGGTCAATTTTACACCCCTCCTCCTGCTGATGTTGATAAAGCAATGGTTTGGTTTTCCGTCAGTGGCTTGCTCCAGGCGAAGACGCCGAATGATGGCACTTTACGCACCAATCTAGGTATCCCTTGGTCGGGCGAATACATTCACGGAAAATGTGTACTCTATCTTGTATTATTTAGTGCTGATGAACGCGGAGGCAGAGGTGACTTGTCGTCACCGGTGAGACCAACTGTTGAAGAAGCGGGGCCTTGTCGGGACCTGGTGAGACCAAGTGTTATAGGAGAGATCCAATGCGGTCGTTCAACGTTTGAATATTTCTGCTGTCACTGTTTCTGTTCGTCCGTCTCGTCTTGTTTTCTTATCATCATCTTCTTCAATTGATCACGTTTTTTTCCTCACCCTTTTTTGGGTCTCTCGGTGCGCATGAGCTAGAGCTAAGTAGCCTAGTATTGCTTTGAAGAGCAACATCATCTCATGGGATGCTCAAACATAGCCATCAGATCCAACTATCATGTCTGCCAAACAAGCCCACATACCAGTCACAGAGATATCCCCCGACACTCAGAAGAACCCGAGATTAGAAGCACCAGAGACTTTCCCTCCGTTGCATTATCACAAACCAAAACATATCGGTCCGCCAAGAGTTCCCGAAGGGACAGAACTGTCTCCACAGGCCATTTTCTCGCTCTACTAGGTGCTGGAGTGACAAGATCCTTTAGCGGATCGTCGATGCCACTAATATTTACGCGAAGCCAATGTGGAACCCACTACCTTCTGGGCTTGTTCGTCTCCGCGAGTAGAAACCGTTGTCCATCAGAGAACTACGGTGCTTTCTGAGCACGACAATCCCCATGGGAGTCGCCAAGTTGCCGCAACTTCACCATTGCTGGTCTCGAGCCTTCGTCGATTTTTCAAACGTAACGCTCTCGCTCAACTATATGAGCAGATCAGACGGTACCTCCATATCTCGAGTCTGCCCACCGATTCGAGGACCATTGCATCCAGGTCGGACGAACTGGTCACAAAGGCTCAAACCGCTATCCTCGCACCCACGAAGACTTTCTCGGCGTGATTGAAAGTACATAAGCACTGCCTATTGCACGATACAACTGTTCCATGTATCCGCTGGACCAAGGGATACCGGTAGCAGAAGCCCTACATAGAAGTTAGTAAAGGAGCTTTTCCCAAGCTGTTACGGAAAGTCTCGGAACAAGGTGCGGCCGTCGGCTTTGCCCTGCGCGGTAAGGGGAATTTCACTTTCGCAGAAGCCGTAGACTTCTCAGGGATTGCTACCGTCGTAGTTATCGATCAGGCCAGAGGTCGGGCGTTCGACATACTTCGGTCAGCGCCCGCGCATGACAGCGAGAGGTTAGGGATCGGGTGTTACAGAATTCGGATGGAATGGAAAAATATTGTGGTTTTTAGAGGAGAGAATGGGGATTGGGCGGATTGGCATGTTGGGGGTTGGAGGGAATGGGGAAGTTTGTGGTTTGATTGCAATTTGCGGCTGGGTTCTGGTCAAGTGGTTCTGGCTTTTAATTCTGATTGTATACGGATTTGTATAGGATAAGGAGTGAGTTCTGGTCAGTTATGCTGCGGGAATATACTTCTCGACGAGATATGACATGAAGGAGCTTCCTATCATATTCTATGAAGAGCTTAGCTTTGTGTCTCACTATTGTAAGGCAGCTTAAACGTGACCAATAGAAATACATAGTGCATACGCTCCGATCGACGTCACCCTGCGTCACTGGGACAGAGCATCACTCATCGTGAATCGACACTACAAACTGAATCTACCATATCTCGAGCTCGCCATGAAGAATTAAACATCTCCGTCAACTCTTTCAGTCCTTCACATTACCGCCTAACATGACTTCCTCCGGCCCCTCAGGTTCAGTGCCTGACCAACGCCGCCACTACCCGATAGTCGAAGCCTCCAAAATCGCCGCAAGGCCCACGCCAGATGCCGACCCACGCACCTTCGAGCTCTCACAGCTCCAGCGCCGCTTCAACCTCTCCTCCACTTCAGGGACAACCTTTACCCTCTCGCTTAAGCCCTCGGATCCCGATTTCGTCTACTCAATCAACGTCCTAAAACTTCGCTTGATCGTCCCCGCCTCCTACCGCGAACCGTCACTCCCGAATCCCCCTCTTCCGAGTATCGAAGTTCTAAACCCCGAGATTCCGCTAGGCTACCGCGTAAATGTCGAGCGGGGATTTACCGAGCTGGCGGAGAGGAGACGCACGGCGACACTGCTGCAGCTCATGAATGCGCTCGATCGAGGCCTCGAAGCCATGCTCTCCGAAGAGAAGGCGGTGACGTTGAAGATTGTTCCGAATTTTTCGCCGGCAGTTACACCCCCGCCATCATCTCCTCAGACACCGCGGCCTCCACTGGTGGAAAAGAAAGCTGAGGTGGATGTGAGAAAACAAATACCCTCGCCGGTCAGTGCCGAGCGCCGCGCAGCAGCAAAAGCGAGGCGTGACACGGAAACGCGACAGCTCGAAGCGCGACTAAAGCTCTCCGATGTATTCTCCAAGTCTGCGGATGGGATCGAGTACATCGTTCCACTTGAGTCGCGGCGGAAGGACTTACTCCCCGTACCGCTGCTTCCGATACGGAGCGTACGGCTTGTTGTGCCTATGGGATACGATCTTCAACCAGCGAGGATCGAACTCGTTGGCGTGCCCGACGGGATTAAAGAGAGAATCCAGAACTGCTTTACCGAGTTTGTCGAGGAGAATATGAATGTGAGCTTGACCGCGGCGGTGAATATTTTGGCTGTCAGGCTGCACATTTGGGCCGCAGAGAAGAAAGAGAAAGTTCCGGCGAGAAAGAAACTAGAGAAAGAGGCAGAGGAAGTGGCCACAAGAGAAGCAGAGGCCAAAGCAGAGGCCGAAGCAGAGGCCACAACAGAGGAAGAGGGGCTACCGACCGCACCTAAAGACCCCCTGACTAAAACCCATATCAAAGTGATCCCTCGCCCACCAGAGTGGTCATTCCCCGACGGCGGGGACGATGACGAGGACTCCGACGACTACTCGGACTTGAAAGACTCATCCGGCGATGAGCATGCGGCTGAGGACCACACCGCCGCAACTGCGGATGATGTTCCACATGCTGCTCAAGAACGTGGCACTTCATTGTCATGTCCTGGGATCCAGATGTCCGGTGTGGAGCTGCTTGAGGTGCTGAAGTTGAATGTCAACATCAAATGTACTAAGTGCAAGCAGGAACGGGAGACGTTGAATCTGCTAGGAACACCCCCGGGAATGGTGGGGAAGCCCCAAGCGTTCAGGTGTGAGAAATGTTCGGAGATCATGGGAATTGGTAAGCTTCCCCCCTCTCCAGCCACAGCAGTTGGAAGCTCACAATACCTCTGCAGGTTTCCGGAAGGATTTCATCCACCAGAATTCGCACCGCCTTGGTTTCTTCGACCTGGACGGCTGCACCGTCGCCGAGATTCTCCCCAGCTCCTTCACCCCACAATGTATCTGTTCGACGCCGTTGCCAGCGCCCGGAATGAAGGACATCGTGCGTGGGCAGAGCGTTTCGGCCAACTGTCGAGAATGCTACCGGAAAATGAGTTCGTTCACCTTGTCCGGCATGCATACTATATAGCTGCTAACGAATGTAGGCCTCTATATTCCCGAATTCAAGCTCCTGAGGATTACGCAGAACGATAAACGTATGTCTCCCGTCCTCCAGTCCAACTGCGTCTAACATGACTCCTCCCAGTCGGCCTCCAACAAATCCCCCTCAAGGCCAAAACCGACAAAGCGCGATATATAGCCGGCACCGAGCTTCCTCACAAAGGCCGGTGCAAGCACTACCGCAAGAGCACACGCTGGTTCCGGTTCTCGTGCTGCAGCAAGGTCTTTCCATGCGACAAATGCCACGACGAAGCAGAAAAGCACAAATCCGAACATGCCAACCGAATGATCTGCGGTCTCTGCTCGAGGGAACAGAATTACCGTCCAGATGAATGTAGATTCTGCGGGAATGCCTTCCTTTCGAAGAAGTTGTCACATTACTGGGAGGGAGGGAAGGGGACGAGGGATAAACGGTATGTCTTTCCCGGAGGAATCATAGTGTCTATCGCGCAGTGGCTGATTGACATATCAACAGGTTGATGAGTCGCAATGACCCACGGAAATACAAACGTCTGGGCAAAAAGCCTGAGGAGTAGATAGTCATCCGTAGCAATCGATCCTGATTCCCTATCCCCACAGTTTTCCTATAACCTTCCATGCAATACTATTGTATGCATCCGTCAGTGGTCCATCTCTGGCCACAACCGTAGGCTTTCCCCGATCTGCATCTTCACAGATGCTCGCATCCAACGGGATATCACCCAGTAGTTCTAGCTCGTGCTTTTGGCATTCCCGTGCAACTCCCTCGCTACCGAATATGTGTGTGGTGTGGCTGCAATTAGGACAGGTGAATACGCTCATGTTTTGGACCATTCCTAGGATCTGTGCGCGTGAGTGCTGGTGAAATGGGGAAGAAGAAGTGGGGGATGGTATACTGGAACATCGACTTTCTTGAACATATTCACGCCCTTTACGGCATCGATCAACGCAATGTCCTGCGGGGTGGACACGATCACCGCGCCTTCGCCCAACCATCAGCCCAGCCATCCCCTCCCCTTGGTCCCCCAGCAGAAAGAAGACTCACCATCGACAACAACCTGCTGCACAACGCTCAGTTGAACATCACCGGTGCCCGGCGGCAGATCGAGGACGAGCACATCCAGCTCGCCCCACTCGACCTCATGAAGCAGCTGCTGCAGCGCCTTCATGACCATCAAGCCGCGCCAGACGACCGCCTTCTCCTCGCCGACCAGATATCCGATGCTCATGCTCTTGACGCCATAGTTCTCCATGGGGACAAGTCTTCCCTTGTTGGTCAACCGGGGCTCGCCCGCTTCCGACAGGTTCAGCAGTCGCGGGACCGACGGCCCGAAGATGTCCGTGTCGAGCAGCCCGGTCCGGCGCCCCTGCCGCGCGAGCGACAGACTGAGGTTGACGGCGAGCGTGGATTTTCCTACGCCGCCCTTGGCGCTGGACACGGCGATGATCTTGGAGATCCCCGGGAGGCGCCGGGGCTTGGGCGGTGCGTGTTGCGCCCGCGGGAAGAATTTGGGGCCCGACGAGGAGTGCGGGAGGCCGAGCGGGTTTTCGTGGTGGGAGACGGCGGAGGTGGTGAAGCGCCGGAGCGCGGAGAGGTGGGGAGGCCGCATTTTAGTGGGGCAGGTGGTGGGACGGACAGTGGTGGGGTTGTGGCCGGCTGAGGTGACGTATAGACAATCGGGATGAGCCTATGCAGGTTATTCCGCAAGCTGATCGATGCTGCAGAACCGGCGACAACTTGCATGGGAGGGATCATCGGAACCCCACAAAAGTAGTCTATATACTCTACATACACCCCCGCATTTAGCGTTCATCCCATCTGACATCCGCAACCATATCTCCATCCCCCCACCATCTTCCACCACGACCACCCAGCGATAATCACAATGTCTGAAGAACTCTCCACCCAACCCGTAACTACCCCACTTTTACCTGCCCGTAGCTCTGCGTATCTAACCCCCACCTTCAGCCGCCGCCGCCCATGCCCGAGTACGAAGACCTCGACGACTTTGCGCAAACGCGCGGCGCCGACGATCTCTTCGAGTCCGAGATCCAGCCTATCGCGCACCCATCACCGCCACCCCCGTCCGCGCCCTCGGCACCCCGTAACCCACGGCACCCACACACGCCCGCGGCCACCAGCGCCGAGCGCACGCTCTCCGGCGGCATCAAAAAGCCAAAACTTACGGAGGATGAGCTCGCCGCGCGAATGGAGCGCGTGCGACTTAATAATGCACGGCTGACGGAGCGCGCACAAAAGGCGGCGGACGATCAGACGTCGTATCAGGTGCTGGAGGAGCAGAGGAAGACGCAGGATTCGGCGAGGCGCGCGAGGGAGGGCAGGATGAGGGTCGAGGAGATGAAGAATCGGAAGGAGATTGAGTATGCATCACCGCTCTATGGGAGGTGGAAAGTGTGCAGGCTAATATGTGGGGCAACAGTGATGAACGAGAGCGGAACCGTGCGCGGAAGATGAAGGCTGTTCAAACGAGGGAGTGGGATAGCGAGAAGAAGGAGGAGGACTATAACCCGCGTGGACCAGGCTCGCAGTTCCGTCGTGGTGTGAACGGAGGAATCACCCCCGCCCCAGAATCATCTGCGCATGGCAACAACTGGGATTCAAGAAGGAACGACGAGAGCCGCCCTCGTGGCAGCTATGAATCCCGCGGTAGCTATGATTCCCGCGGTGGCCGCGGTGGCCGCGGTGGTAGAGGAGGCAGAGAGGGACGAGGGGGGAGAGGTGATCTTTTTTCTTCCGCCTACGCACCCACCGACGCCGACACCAAACAATCCGCCGCGCCAGCTGCTGCGACAGCGAAACCAACGCCACCAGTCGAAGATAAAAGCCAGTGGCCAGACCTCCCCGGGACTACCGACAAGGAGAAGAAGATTATTGCTGCGTTGCCGATGGCTTCGCCTGCACTGGGGTCCTGGGCGGATCAGGTTGAGGCCGGTAGTCCGGCCACTCCTACTGCTGCGCCGGGATCGTGATTGTGACGTGAATGGGTAATGTTTGTTATGGATTGTATGTACGGTGGTAGGGGAGTTCAGGGTCGGTTGTTTTTCTTGTTGCTGCTCTTATTGCTGCTCTTGCATTGATGATGACATCTTTGTACTGGATTTGAATGGTATGGTCAGTTGTTTTCCTTTGAGAGCGAGTAACGGATTTCCCATTTGGAGTAATACAGGTGCCCTTTCTCTCTGAATGTTCCTCGTGAGCTCTGTCATCCTTCTTATTAGGGCGGCTGGGTATGTACCAACCGACGTCAGGAAACCGCGGGTCGTTACAGCTATAATACAGTAGAAGATGGCGTTAAAAATGAAGGTGCTGGTGGGTACAGTCTGACCTGACGCCGTTCCTTCACCAGCCGCCTCCACCACCACCACGGTATCCACCGCCTCCACCTCTCCTCTCGTAGCCACCACCACCACCTCCCCTTTCATAACCACCTCCGCCACCTCTTCCACCCCAATCACCACCACCTCGACCACGGTATCCACCTCCTCCCCTGCCTCTGTAACCACCTCCGCCTCTGCCCTCTCCGCGGTAACCCCCACGATCGTAACCGCCATCACCATGATGCGACTGCCGGCCACCATCGTAGTCTCGCGGTGGACCGCCAGGACCGCCCCTAGAACCGGTGTGCAATCCGTGCTCCTCTTGCAGCTTCTTGAGCGTCGACCGCATGTGTGCGTATCCCAGATGCATCTGTATCCCATCAGTACCCAGCCCTCCAAAACCTAGCACAGCGGTGCAACCATACCTTTCCATAAAAGTGATCTGCCAGTCGTCGGTCGTTATCCAGTCGCGAAAGATATGCGCCGCAAACATCACACACCTGCAGCTTTTGGTGCCCACTGGGTCCGGCACTATCCGACAACGCCTTTAGCTCCCTCTACTTGCTGTTAGCGTCCACACCGGCACACCACCGTATAGATGTGTAACATACCTCCTTCGTATCCTTCTCCGCCTTCGCCGCGCGCACTTTGTGATACTCCTCAAGCGCCCTTGCGACCTGTCCCTGCTCGCCCAACACCTCCACCTCGAGCAACCCCGTAGAAATACTCCTATCGAAATCGCCAATCATCTTCAGAAGGGCGTTGGTCCGAGTGATTTCATCCGGCGTTTTGTCGAGTCTTCGCTGGGCCGCGTCGATGCGACGATTGCAGTCATCGATGTACTTGGACAGATCGCGCGCATAGTCGACTTCGTAGCCGGGGTCGCGTCCCCGCCCTTTGTCTGCTGCGTACTCTTGCTTGTGCGATTCGAGGTGTACCTTTTTGCACGTGCCCAGGTCCTGTTTGGTGTTTGTGAAGAGGTCGTGGGGGCAGGTGCCGACGAGGAAGGAACGGCACACGTTGGGGTCGGTGTAGTGGCCGCCTGATGTAGAGGCGTTGGGCGTGCCCATCAACTACGCGGGTTAGACTGGTCGGAAAACGAGGGAACACGGAGATGGTTTACCTGCTCGAGCAGTCGGCGCTGTTCTAGGAAGCGTCAGTACGACTCAGTGGAAGGAGGAAGAGATTGACATACCAGCGGCCATTGCGATGATTGTTAGGGGCTACGCTTGTAATGATATGTTGGTACTGAAGGTTCTGAGTGGTGATTGTCGTTACGGTGGAGAGTGAGGTGGAATTGGGGCGTGTAGAGGTCAAATTGACGGCGATCAGCTGGGAAAACGCGACGGATAGATTCAGGCACGAGGCGGATCCGGGTAACAGCCGAGTGATACCCAGTGCCGGAATCGAGGCTGCCTCGAGCTCCCCGCATACTCTCGCGAATCACATACCTAGTACTTTGAAGTGTTTTTCTCGTCTATTGGTAATGTGCAATCGTATGGGGTCGAATCCGCAGCCTATACACGGCCCATTCTTCGAGTCCTATCTCATGAGCTGCATCCTTGCGAGTATCATACGGTTAGATTTATGTTTCACGATTGATACTTGTACTATAGTCTCAGAAGAGAATTACATATGAGAAATCGAAACACTTTAAAAGAAAACTGTCACGGCCCATTCCTTCTATATATTTGGTTCTTTGTTTGTCGCCATCGTCTGCTTGCCCGAGAGTGAATGCGGCTTACGTGTTGGCTGCCTCACTGCTCCATTGACGGTCATTAGCGACATCAGAATCGCGCCAAGCTTTTCTACCTTAACGCAACCCGCGTCCTTTCCTTTGTCACGTTTCTCTATTTCTGTCTCAGCCCAACCAACATCACCATAATCCACAAATCCTCGACGCCTTCTTTACCTCCCCCATCTCTCGACCCCCCACCCGCCCTCACTCGCCACCATCTTTTCTCAGCCCCGCTCTCCCCTCACAACTCAAGACAACTACCAACACCATGCCTCCCCAGATTCACTCGTCGGACGAGGAGAGTGACGACGATGTGATCCTCCCAAAAAAGACCGACGTAGCTTCCGACGAGTCCGACGACGAAGTCGCTGCTAAGGACGGAAGCGAAGATGAGGGATCCGACGTGGATGAAGCTGACAACCTGTACACGGTCCACTCGATTCTGGATCACAAGTTTGTGGGCTCCGTAAGTAATTATGGTTACGATGTTGCTTGTCGCGTTAACGGTCGCGCACGCGACGCGTTGCAACCAAGCTAACGAAACATTGATATCTACAGAAGCTTTTCTTCCACGTAAAGTGGGTAGATTATCCTCTCAAGAAAGACTGGACCTGGGAACCAGAAGAGCACCTCACGTAAGTTTATCCTTCAACCAAACGTTGCAGCTAGTTTTCGTGTGATGCGATGGCTAATGGTTTCACGTGCAGGGGTGGCTCGGATGTGATCCTACAGGACTATTACAAATCGATCGGTGGACGACCCAAGCAGCAAATGTCGGCGGTGCGTAAGCGTGGCCGTCAGTCCGTCGGAGCGAGCGCTGCTGGTACTCCTGCCAAATCGGCGAAGAAGCCCAGGACTTCGGTGACAGCCAGCCTTGCTAGCCCGGTTGGTTCCTTCCGCGCGGAGAGCCCCGATGAAGAGAAGGACACCCGCAAGCAGACCAAGGGCGATAAGTGGAAGCCTCCTGCGGGCAACTGGGAAGATGTCATCTCTCATATCGATACGATCGAGAAGACTGATGCCGGTCTGGTCTGCTACGTGCAGTGGTAAGTCGCGGAAGAACGAAGATGAATAATAATTGCGGCTAACGGTGCGGTACCAGGAGCAATGGAAGGAAGTCACAACACGATGTCTCGGTCGTCTACAAGAAGTGTCCTCAGAGGGTATGCCTACCCACCCACCACATCAATTCACTACTAACCTCAATCATCCACAGATGTTGACCTTCTACGAGCAGCACCTTGTCTTCAAAGAGACAGGAATGTTGTAACGAATGATCCACGACGTCCGAGGAAATGAGATGGTGGGATAGTGTTACGCAACTGTTCACGCTTCACTTTTTCACGACTGTATGCTCTTTTACACCTTTGTCTTTTCATGTCCATCCGTCTTTCTTGTACCACCAATTTCTTCATGTCGCGGTTCTCTTGTGGGTTTAGGTCTATTTTTCCTTCCTTTTTCTCAATGGGGGTGTTTACATACGGGAAAGGGGGTGCAGTTGGGGGCTCATGACAAGGAGAACGGGAGTCAATTTGTGTTTTAGTTTCTTCTTCCTGTTACTCGCCTGTATCTACTTTGTTTCTCGCCATCTTTTGCGTGCAATACCTCCCTTCGTGCAATGCTTTTTATCGTTAGATACCGGTTAAATTGAGTTCGATTCTTCAGGATATGAGTGGCATCTGTAACCAATCGCTGCTGTATGGAGGTTAGGTGGATCACCTGTCCACCTACCTACTCCAAATCCAGGGTATGGTAGTCATTGACGCGGAGCGATGGTTTGAAATCCCCACGGTCGCGCCACTCGATCGGGACCACGGCACTGTACAGTATGGTAAGGACAGATGGTATCAATCTCAGCCCGTCCCTTCTGCTCTCGTCCCTGAGCATCGACGCAGTAAAGATTTGAGCCCACGCCACAACGATCATTATGTTCTATGATTTACAACCAGCCCTTGATGACAAAAGCAAACACGCGGATATCCCCCAAGCAAGCAAGCTACGAAACCCGACAAGTAAAAAGCACACTGGAACCATTTGCACGCCGCGTTTTCATTTCGTTCGTTCATTTACGCCATGTACTTGAACGCGCCGAATCCTATAATGATCGACAGGACGATGAAAGCGTAGATCGCACTGTTTTTCACACATGGGGGACACGTCAGCACGTGCACTGCACAGGAAGGAGATGTGGAAGTGGAAGGGGGGTCACTGACGTTCCGGCATCGGCGGAGGAAGTGTTGGCCGCCTGCGAACCGGAAGCGGACAGCTTGGGCTTCGGGTCGCCGGGGGTGCGCTTGAGAGTTCCCACCAACAGTCCAGCGAGGATTTCGCGAGCCTCGTCACTGTGACCAACGTCCTCGAAACTGTCGGTAGCGTCGAGTCCTCCGACGTCCATCAGGACTTCTTCTCCTCCACTGCGAAGGTGTCAGTAAGGCATGGTCAGGTGGGTCACGAGGAAGGAGACGTACGGGTGCTCGTCAACAAAGCCGGAACACTGGTAGACCTTGTCGTGGATAACCATAAGGAGATCCTGTTGCGGTTGTTAGCATTGCCGGGGATGGGAAGGGGATCGGGAGAAGCGGGATCGGGAACAAACCTTCTTAATGTTGTGAGACTTGATGTCATCGTACGAGTACTCCTTGAGTTCCGACATGTTGTTTTGGATCGTGGGTTTTTTGGTTTTATGGTGGGTTATCGCGAAGTGAGGTACGAAGTGAGTGTTGGGTGGTGAGCGAAGGTGTTGTGTCGCGGGTTGGTTAGGTGGTGGAGAGAAAAGAAAGTTGACAGATAGAAGGAAGGGATGGATCAGAGAACGAACTTATGGAACTACCTTAACTTCTCTAGCCCCGAGGGAAGGTACGGTGCCACCCCTGCAGCCGCGAAAGCTGCGTCGGGTAATGGATGTTTTTTTTCCAAGCTGGGTGATTGGAGGGTGGGGTAGTGCCGAGTGTGGTCGATAATCTGTCCCCTACGAGCAGCACTCCACCGGTATTCCCCGGAGACTTTTGACCATGTAGTTAACTCGGGTTGCGCTCCTTCCGGCTTGGTCTCGAGATCGTTGACATAAACTCTGGGCTCTCTGGGCTGTAACAGATTGACTCTCATCGGGCTCCTCGCTCTACAATCGCAACGGCCGAGACTTCGGAAATCACTGAAAGCTGAAGACACGTGGCAAACACCAACCTCGATGTCAGCGATCCCGTCAGCGAGTGACCTCTAAAGCACCATACCCTGTTTACGGTGCGGATGCAAGCCTGGATTATCTGCAATAGCGGGGAATGTTCCGTCTCGCGGCTGGGGATCTGGAAGGAGAATTTGCAGCCGTGATCCTCCCCGCGTTTTCCGGGCGTGGTGGTGGGGGTTAGTTAGCCGGATATTCACATGCGGAAGGGAGAAGCTGGCTGGCCTGTAAGTACCCGGCAGCTTGTAACCGGGTACCCTAAGAGTAGGAGTGAGATTCGCTTGGACGAGCCATAGAGGTATTGCGAGTATGTACCCTGGCAGGAGTATTTCGCGAAAGTGAGTTGGTGGACGAGTCGACTGGAGACGAGTGATAGTGCGTGACAAGACACGAGGCTTACGGCCGAATATCGAGGCTGAGCTTGGCCGAGGAGTACCGGTGCATTGTGATCCAGACAGTACTCCGTTTCTATTTTAAGCGATTACCATTGGCTGTTGAACGGAAAATATACTGTAATGTCACTTTTTGCAGTAATCCGGTATTCGGGATTCGGGATTCGGTATGTGGAACACCCACTACCCAACTCTAACTCCGATTCCTCGGCTAGCAACCTCCATCCAAAGGTTCCTAAGATTGTAGGTGAAGAATATTGGTTGGATCTTTGAAGTAAGTAATATAGATGGTAAATATAGAGGGTGGTTAAACAGAAATCCCGGCGGAACTGTAAAGCACCGGTACATACGACAGCCCAACACTACAAGACTATACAAGCGGTCCAATACTGCGGGTCAGTGCTCTATTTCTACTTGGTCGAATATACTGCCTGTTCCAATCATACAGCTCCTGAGCAACCAATAATCTAAACTTCTCGTTCCTTCGTACCTCTCACCTACAATTTTCAACTCCGAGCTTGGAACCGAAGGTGATAGAACACTGTCACCACCCATATCTCCTCTCCGTTAGATCTGAACGCGTAGAATAAGCTTAAACAAAATAGTCGAACCAGCATACAATCGGAGCCTGAAAATCCTCCGGGCATCCCTGCCGGTGGCGGCGCGGGAATGTAGCGTTGCCGAAAGTCTGGACCGATATGGTTGATTGAAGATGGCTCGGTGGTAGGTGCGGTGGACTAAAGCTCGGCTTCAATGTTGAAAATAGCGAGCGGTGTCGGCCATGGGGGCTTGGGAAGTTGGGAGGAAATAGAGGGAAACGAGGACGAGTGATGGACTGTGGACAATGCTTGAAGATAGGTTATTTGTAGGTGATGTCCGTGCAACTGGTATATGAGGCTGATTAACTGTGCAGCATGGGTAAATTGAGACAGCTGATTGCATACTGCTGACCATAGTCCTCGAGAAGAAGTACTCTACATAGAGCGAGCTGCATAATACTGGTCATAGTGAATCAGCAGAGTCTCATGCAACTGTTTCGGAAACCACCCCGCCGCGTCTTCGGAGTCTTCCGAAGCTTGATCAGATTTAGACAAGGCGTTTGGGCTCTTTGATACCTTATGTTTCCCCAGTACAGCCACATGACAACTGCGCCGCTTGCACCGCCACTCACTACCCCTGTCCTCCCAAGCTTCTGTGTTCCAGGAAACTGCCACGATAGATCCGTCCACCACCAACCAACACGCGGGCATCACCACAGCCAACAACCTCCTTTCAGCGAGTCGACCCCGCACAAACAAACACACCCCTTTCAACTCACTACCCTTTCTCCATGTCGCGACGATTGAATCCAGCCGCAGACAAGACGGCCGCAAACCAGGCCGTCATCAAGAACCTCCTAAAGTTGCCGGCGAACCGGGTCTGCGCTGACTGTAAACGCAATAAGCTGCCACGATGGGCGAGCTGGAACTTGGGGATCTTTATCTGCATCAGGTGAGTGGTGGTGGTGGGAGATCGGGAGGTTTAGGTGAAGCTTTCGGACTGACGGATCGATAGATGTTCGGGAATACATCGTGGGATGGGAACGCACATCAGCAAGGTTAAGTCAGTGGACTTGGATACTTGGACGGACGAGCAGGTGCAGAGTGTGGTCAAGTGGGGAAACACTCGCGCGAACAAGTGAGTTGATGGGTGCTGCGTTTATGAATTGAGTCGGGACTGACGTGTGGATAGGTACTGGGAAGCCAACCTCGCACCGGGACATGTTCCCTCAGAAGCGTATGTAGTCGCTAGCTGCGATGTATGGATGCGATGGCGCTGACGGAGGAACAGGAAGATTGAAAATTTCATTCGGACCAAATACGAATCCAAGCGCTGGGTGATGGAAGGAGGCATGCCCGACCCATCGACGCTGGAGGACTCTGACGATGACAATGTGGTGAGACTAGATATCCGCCCTTTGAAGATATGGCTAATTGAATATGTAGCCTCTGAAGCAGGTGCAGGAGAAGCTCGAGAGGAAGTCATCGGCGGCGGCAGCTGTTGCGGCAGCCACTGCCCCGCTTGCCCGTCCTCAGCAGCAGCAGTCGCCGCTCGACACTCTCATCGACGACCAGCCCGCCGGAAGGTCCTCCCCGATGCCGAGATCGCCCCCGAAGCCGAAGCAGCCCGATACCAACTCGCTGCTGGGTCTTGATATCTTCGGCACCGCGCCGGCCCCTTCGCCGCGACCTTCGTCTGTGAACTCGGACCCGGGCAAGATGAGTTCCTCTCGCCCCGACCTCAACAGATCGATTCTCTCGCTGTACGCATCTTCTCCGAAGCCGCAGCAACCCAAGATGCAAAGTCCCACCATGGGCAACTTCGGATCACCCCTGCAGACATCCATGATGCCGCCGCCACAACAGCAGCAGCAGTCCGCATATGGCGACCTGAACAGCTCCTTCAGCGGTCTGAACTTCAGCGCGACGGATGCACCCCCCGCCGCACCCCCCAAGCCATCTCCTTTTGCCAACCTCACCGCTAGCATGAAGAAGACCGCAGCTGCACCACAGCTATCCAAGCCCGCATCCGGTGGCTTTTTCACCCCCGCACCGGCAAAGCCCTCTCCCGTTAGCGCATCCTCCGGTCTGGAAGGCCTCTTTGATTTCGGGGCCTCCGCAGCTCCCCAAGCACAGGCACCCGTCGCGCCCGTCGCCTTGAATAACGGCTTCAGCTCGCTGTCCTTCGATGCCGACGCATGGGTAACCCCCGCCGCCACCACGTCCGCAGCCGCCAACAGCAGCAACGCCTGGGGAACCCCCTCACTGTCCTCCAACTCCTCAGCGAACGCTTGGGGCTCGTCCGCGCCAGTTTCGAGACCCCCCGTTCAGCAGTCGTACGTGAGTACCACCGACGACGACTGGGGAAACTTTAGCTCTGGAACTACCACTACTGCTCCAGTCGCCCCAGTCAAGGTCACCCCTGGGGCTTCGGGACTCGACGATGATCTGTTTGGGAACGTGTGGAAGTAGATTGTGCAGAACGAGGTCCTTTGTTTCTTGAAAATAGTTTTTCCTTTTCTTCTCATTTTCTTCCCATTTTCTCATTCTTCTTGTGTATTAATTCGAGGTGCTGGCTGAGGTTTCTTTCTTCTTTCTTCTTTCTGCTTTCGTTCCTTTTTCCTTTTACTTGGCGATGCATGATGCGGATGCTATGAGGATGAAATACCTGCTACTGGATATAAGACTGTCATTCATTTGGGGGTATCGTCATCTTATTCTTATTTACTCCTTCTTCTATCTACATACTTTACTCTAATGCTGCTACACTCCAAGCGTCGTTCCTGTAAATACTTGCGTAAGTAGGTGTGTCTCGTGTCAACCCATCACCGAGCTCTTTCAAGTTATCTACAGCTCCCATCCAAAAAGCACGGTTAAAGTCTTGGCTTCCTTTCTATGTGCTGTGCCTGATCACCTCACCCCAGCTCTCCCCCCCAGCTCTCCCCCTCTCCCCCTCCCTTCACCCAGCACAACACAACAAACAAGCAACAGACAATGGACGTAGCCTACGACCACACGTTCACGGACGACGTCTCCGCCGACGACAAAGGCAAGGGCAAGTCGGTTGCGCCCGCGGCCTCGGCCGAAGAAGAGTCTCTCAACGAGGAGCTGCAGCAGGCGTACAAGGCGATCTCGAGTTCTCCGTGGGGCGCACGGCTGGGCGCGTTTGTTGGGACTGTCAAGAAACAGGTAACCTTTTTTTATACCAATCTCGAGCGGAGCGAGGGCTGATGGAGGCAGGGCGAGAGCTACTACGATGCCGCCCGCAAAGAGTACCCCACCGCCGTCAAGGGCTTCGGCGACCTGCGGACGAACCTGGTGGCGCGCACGCGCGCCCTGAGCTTGTCGACCCCGCAACACGAGGGCGCGGAGAAGGGTGAGAGCGCCGGAGCCGCGCCAGGGCTGCTGGACAAGATCAAGAAGGGCGTGGCGGAGATCGAGGCGGTCGAGGCAAGGGCCGACGAGTACCTTCTCAAGTTTGGGACTAGCATAGGTGGGTTCTTGCGGGATGCTATCACGATTGCCCCGCCGGTGGCGGCAGAAGGTGAAGGCGGCGAGAAGGGAGAGGTCGTCTTCGAGGCGGCGAAAGAGGGTGGGAAGAAGCAGATCTTGTGCGTACCTCCCCTCCTCTCCTGTTTGCATGCGTGTGGAGAGGAATGCTGACCGAACCGCGGAATAGCACCACCCGCCTCGACGCGCAACTCCACCTCCTCCACAGCAACCACGCCCTCTTCAAGACCGACCCGGCGGTAGATAGCTTCGCGCCGTTTGCGGCCTCGTTCTCGGCGGACAAGGAGACGTCGCGCATCGCGGCGGACCTGGAGAAGTACCCGGAGCTGCGCGCTACCATGGAGGCGCTGGTGCCCGACGAGGTCGAGTACACGCGCTTCTGGATCAGATACTATTTCCTCCGCAATGAGCTGGATTTCGAGGAGAAGAAGAGGAAGGAGCTGTTGAAGGGCGCGGCGATCGAGGAGGAAGAGGTCGGCTGGGATGAGGATGATTCCGAGGACGAGGAGGACGACGAGGATGAAGAGGAAGATGAGGACGATGAGCAGCAAGCTAAGCCTGTCGCCGAACCCAAAGCTGCCCCAGCTGCCCCAGTGTTGGCCCCGAAAGCTTCAACCGATACCCTCCAGCCTCAGCCCCAGCCAGAGCCCCAACCCGCAACGAAACCGAAGACTAGCAGCGACAGCGAGGCAAGCTACGACGTCGTCTCCGGTGCACCCAGCCAGGCTGCGGGTAGCCCACCGCAAAAGGGAAAGGTACTTTACATCCCCTACATCCCCACCTACCCTACGTACTGTTCTGATGGAAGATAGCGGAGAGACGAGAGTAGTGACGAGGAGGCGGATTGGGAATAAGCTTACTAGACGAGGCTTGAATGGGGCGTTTGTTTTTGGATGGGGGAGGTGAGATTGGAATTACTTGACGATTACCATGAATGGCAACCACGAGACGAATGGAAAGGTGACTGCGTAATATGAGTTGGTTGATGGTACATAACTTAGGTTTATCGTCATCACTATTTTTGTTCTTGCGTATTAGTGGCATGGTGATGCGAGTGCTATGGGCCTGGACGGCGTAAAGGAGCTTGGACTGGTTATTGCGAAGTGCAAATCAAAGGACTCTGATCATGCTGCCTCACTCGCATGATTGTAGTGCCAAAAATTGCCATATGGTCGCTACTGTAATCCCATTTGTGATGGATGCTTTGGACACACACCACTTCTCCGAGGGCTGTTGCTATACGTTGTTTAATTTCCCCAGATCCAGATTTCTATCCCATCCAGCTCCAGCTTCATCTCACGTAAATCTGCTTCCCTTCCCGCTCGCTAATAATACACCCACATCTACCCAGCACAGACGAAAGAAGACCGCCCCCGCCCCAGAACAGCTAGCAAACTACAACAGATATTTCTCCTGGTCGGGTATGAAACAACTACAACAACTGAACTATATGCGCCAACAAAACACAAGAACGAAATCACATAACCTTCGTACGGACCCAAAACAGAACGTATGCATTCTTCGACTGCCGTGGTATTAGTAGAGAAGTGGGGGGAATATCGGGGAGAGAAAACTAACCAGAACCCTACTCTCATCGATCGGAGACGTCTTCGAGTCATCAAAAGTATTCCACACTTTTCTAAACGAGTCCTTAACAACGGCCGTGTAATGGCCACCCTGGAGGGATCCGTAATGGTTCACGATGCCGTACAGGTTGTAGTAAAACGGCGGCGTAGTTTCCGGGCTCGATTCCATTCGCACTCTTGTCCCTCTTGTGGCCTCGGGGGAGAGGGGCGGGGGAACGTATTCAGTCAAGTTGAGTTCAGTGAGTGGGAAATCGATTTGGGTGTTGAGCTTGTCTCGCCACCGCCCCTGGTTCGTGAAGCGCTTGAGGTGGATGATTAGGATGTGGGGGAGGCGCATGATTGTGAGCTTTTTTGTGGCTTTGCGGCGGGTCTTGCAGTTGGGGCAGTGCCAAGCGTCGTCGCCAGAGAGGATCTCGTCTTTGGTGAATTCGCGGAGGCAGTCGTGAAGTGTGAAGGTGCCGCGTTGGTCGACTAGAATCGGCAGCGAGAGGTACATGAAAGGGCTGTATGTGGTGGAAGTGACGCGACAGGTAAGGCAGGTGAGGCGACTACTGAGTTGGCCTTGTAGCCAGTTGACAGTTATGGAATAGTTTTGGTGCGTGTAGCGTTGCCATTCGACTTGCGAGGCTACTTGCATCGGGAGGAGTTCGCGTTGACGCTCTTCCCCTTCTGTTAGCGGGTTGAGCTTGGGCTTGCTGGCGTGGGGGTTGAGGTCTTCGTGGAGGCCGTCCAACAGGAACTCAAGGAACTCTTGGGCATCCTGCTGGCTACTGGTGCTGAACGTCTCGTTCAACCGTCCAGTAACTTCCTGCATTGATGTAAGAAGTTGGAGGCGATGGATAATGGCGGTATACATACCCTGAGTGTTACAGGAGCGATGAAAGGATATTCGCCGCTCCACAAGTGCCGTATCAGGCCCGCAAAAGCCTCTGCTAAGACACCTCTCGAGCCAAGGGGATTGTTCTTATTGATATGCTGCTTGTAGCTACCGTCCAGGAAGTATCGAGAGAGTGGTATTGTTCCGCTCATGCACTGTAATATCGAATTCATGTAACAGGAATTTCCCAAGTTCTTAAGGCCGGTGGTTCCATTACTGACTGCCCCCGAGACACTGCGAGCGAGCGCAATTTTGGGGGGCCTGATAGGCATTGGGTGAGAACCTGCTGCATCTAACGGATCCGATACCCCACTATAGCTCCTGCGTGCCGCCACAGGGAGTGGTCGTACCGGTGACACTGGAGGATTGAACTCAGGATTCCGCACATCGGTAAACACGTTGAATGGATGATCGATAATGGTGTTTGCGCTACGCCTTGGTGTGGGAGAGTCGGGAATTCTGGGCATCATGCTCTCCTGTCCGTGTGGACTTCCTGGGTATTGTTGGAACTAGAGTTGGTGTTAGCCTTAGCAGTGGTTGAGTAAACAGGAAGCTTTACGTATTCCTCCACCGTCCTGGCAAAGACCGCGCCCCCCGCGGAATTGGGTGTGAGCGATGTCCTCCTCCGTTTGGTATTGCCGTCCATAGTTGAGACGGATCCATACTCGTTCTCTTTCCGAAGCTGCTCCATCCACACCTTCTCTTCCTCGATATTGATAGGTCCGGGCTCAGCTGGCATCGTCACGGCTTGGGACGTGACACCATTTTCAAGAGTGGGATACGGAGGGGGATTCTGTGATCTACATTCGAGGAGGAGGGGAGTAGGTACTCTTACGACTTGTTGAGAGCGTCTGTGCATGGAAGGCACAAATGGAGCCGGGGCTTCTTCGGTCTTGAGAGATGTGTGTCCGAATATATTAACCCAGGCGTTGAGTCCGCCGGTAAGGAGTAATGGCGGTCTGCGTAACTTCTTGCTGTAGTTGAACTCATGGAGTGCATTGTGGAGAATCCGCAAAACATTCGATTGCGGACTGCCCATTGATGATTGTATATAGGTAGTATCAATTGTCTGTTGATCGTAGTAAACCACGAGGTCAAATTGAGCTCGAGCTTTGAAGAGTTCCAGCTCAGTAGCAGGGGCAAGGACTAAGGCATCCTCTAGATCATCTGCTGACATTCTGGCTGCGAGTTAGAAGGTATGGAACTTGAGGATTCGGCACTTACTCTTTTCGGAGCACGATCGGATCAATGGACACGATAGAGCGTGAATAGATGTGCCCTTGGTCGTATTCGTCTCGGGGACGAACATCGAGTAGAAGCACTGTAACCCCAGAATTGGCCTTCAGATATCCATACAGAACTTCAGCAGTCATCTGTATTTCAGTTTGCGGCGGAAGTTTTGGCTTCGCAACATCTGCCTGCGTAGCCCTAGTGCTTCGAGGTGGTTCAAGTCCCCTCGGTGAGCCATAGCTAGTAGACGGCGAGTATACTGGCGGTGGCATCTGCGGCAGTACGTTTTCTACATCGATGTGAAGAGCTTGGTTGGGCATTGACCGAGGCCCTTGAGGACGGCCGAGACCAGGAACTAGCGATGCAGGCAGATCCTTCACCGAGACGCCACTGTCACCGCGTAGGCGGCCAAACCGGGCCTGAAGCTCTGCTCCAGCATCCAAGCTCCTTCTATCCGCCCCCGAATTGGCTACGAGTGATTTTGAAGATAGATGTCCTGGTTTTGTCCGGATATCCGGCGCCCTTTTGGCTCCATTCAGCAATGGCTGTGAAGGTGTGCCGTTCGGTTTTGCCGCCGCCGGGTCCTTCTGTACTGCCGCCAGCTGATCCGATGTAGCCGGCACTTGGGAATTCGCATTGTCCTCCTCGATCGTTCTCCGAGCCCGCTGGAAATCAGCCTCCCGGCTGGAGACGTCCTGTAGAACATAAGCAATGATCCGGCGGCGTACGTCAGCACCCGGGGGACAGTATGACATACCCCGCGGAGCCTCGCGTACTCGTGGAAGAGCGGTGCCTTTTCGGCGTGGAATGTGGCATATTCGGAGCATTTCGGTATGATATCCACAAGTATGGTAAACGCCAACAGATATTCCACATATGCGTTATCCAGCGTGCTGAGGTCATAAAACCATTTCGCCTGATGCCAGTGCGTCTTCGCCTCTTCTATCCACGATTTGATCTGCCCCAAGCGTTAGACCTGGTCCTTATACACGCGCATACGCATACACATGCTCGTGACAGCTTCAAGGAGAGACAGACCGTTGCACGGTCCTGGGGATGTAGGTGGTTCGTCCGGGCGATTATATCTTTGATGTGCGGGTAAGGAACGGTGCGCTTCGAAAGAGCAGGAGCTGACCGGCTATGCGGAGGCGGGGGGTTGGACGGCATGATCAGAGAGTGCGAGCGGTAATTCCGCGCATGACGGACAGAGTTGTAGTTGGTAGTGGTAGTGGTAGTAGTAGTAGCTAGTTGGTGATGGGAAGGTAAGAGTAGTTGTTTATCGTCGACCCTTCTTTTTGCCGCTCTGTGGTACCTGGCGAGGTAGTTTCTATATAGGGACGTGAAGACGGGTCAAGGGTAGCAGTATTGGGAGTGGGTACAATGGAAGGAGGGATCAGGGTGACCGTGGAGTGAAGGTGCAAGCAAGCCAGCAAGCAGGTAAAGCTGGCAACCAAGAAGCGATAGTTGGGAAACAGAAGGCTGGCGTGTGGGGTGTCGAGGGTGGGGCAGGGGGGCCAAGGAGGCTGAAAGACGCGCAACCTTGTCTACATGTGCCACTCGGCGTTGTGGAGTTACCTAGTCGAGGCACGAGGAAGCACTCGCGATGATACCACTTGCACCTGGAGAATGCGAGTTCAATAACTAGAGAGCATCCGAGATTCCCGGTTCTTACAACGGTGAGGACATCGAGTTCTCTTTGATGCTGGTATCGTGTGTGTGGTGCCGTTGAAGTTGAAGTAGAGTAAAGGCCCGGAGTTTGGACACTGAGCCTCATCATATCGCTGCCGCGCCACGATATCTGGCCATCAAGAAGGCTCACGCGATTAAATCAATGCTTTACCGGTATGTACTTGCGGGGAAAGCTTGTCAGCGGAGATGTGGTGTCTTCAGCCACGTAAGAGATGTCTAATCAGAACCTACAGAGCTCTTCTAACGCAGCGGATCGATACTGGTAGGTATCGGGCTGTTCGGGCGCATGGATCCATTTCATCTCCATCCAAAGCCTCTATCCTCTGTCTTGGGATAAGGGATTCCCCGAAGCTAGTGGCATAGAGCCTATGAGCAATACAATGTAGCCACTTTATCTGAAATCACTCATGCCATTTGGCGGACACCGGGGACGATTTATTTGCGGTGTAACACTGTCACGTGAAGAGCGTGCGCAGGGCCTCATCAGCCTGTCCACTATTGCGTCGTCACTCTCCAACCTAAAAACCATAGCCCCACCAACCACCCTCGCTCGCTCACCACTGTCCTGCCCTCCAAGCCCATCCATCAAGAACCGCGATAAAGACCCTGATTGATGCCAAAAGCTGAATAGATCCCCTCTTGAGCTTAACCAACTGTCGAAACACTTCAAAGGCAAATCCCGGCGAGCGCTCTCACCGACCAGTTACCTAGCTCCTCCCACCAGCTCATTGCATCCCCACGTCCGCCTCCCAACCTTCCACGAACAACCACCTCCCCGCAACCACAACCGTAATCACAAACAACATGGCGTCCTGGTTCGGCGCTTCTAACTCAAATCTGGACGAGCAGGTGGAGAAAGCTACATCGTCCAGTCTGTACGTCTTGGTTCCCCGACCTGCCGTCGTTTAGAGCCTGATACTAACTTTTGTGGCGCGCGATCACGTAGAGAGGATATCGCCCTGAACCTGGAGATTTCCGATATCATTCGCAGCAAGACGGTGCAGCCGAAGGAAGCTATGCGATCGCTGAAGAAGCGGATAGGTCACAAGAATCCAAACGTTCAGCTGGCCGCTCTCGGGGTATGGCTCGTGTGGTCTAACGCGCGCGTTGAGGTATAGCTTTCTAACATGTGTTTAGCTCACCGATACCTGCGTAAAGAATGGTGGTAGCCACTTTCTGGTCGAGATCGCTTCCCGCGAGTTTATGGACAACTTGGTTTCATTGTTGCGAGCACCCGGTGCCGTAAACCCAGAAGTCAGGGCAAAGATGCTGGAGTTGATCCAACTTTGGGCCTCGGTGTTCGAGGGAAACTCCAGTTTGTCATACGCGGGAGATGTTTACCGGCTGTTGAAGAGTGAGGGATTTGACTTCCCTCCGCCCACAAGAGTCTCGTCCACTTTCATAGACTCTTCAGCTGTTGGTGTCCCAAACCCCCAAACCCCCTAGGAACCACTTTCAACTAATACCACTACAGCCACCGGACTGGTCTGACGCCGATGTGTGCATGCGATGTCGAACCACTTTCACGTTCACCAACCGCAAACATCACTGTCGAAACTGCGGTAGCGTCTTCTGCGGAGCCTGCTCATCGAAATCGATACCCCTTCCTCACATCGGCATCGTTCAACCGGTCAGAGTGTGTGATGGATGCCATACGAAACTGACCGAACGGAAGCTACCTCCAAAACTTCAACACCCAAGGGTTCCGTCCATCAAGAGGGTTATGGCTGCACCCATGATGCAGCCGAGGAACCCCAGGGTGGAGCAGGACGATGATGAGGACTTGAAGAAAGCGCTTCAAATGTCGTTGGACGACATGAAGGGTGGCGGCGGCTATGTACCGCATCCCCAGCAGCATCAGAAGCATCAAACTCAATATCAACAGCCCACGAAAGTACCAGAGAGCACACCGGTAAAGAGCACACCTGCCCCGGTAGCGGCCACCGACGACGAAGATGAAGAACTCAAGGCAGCGATCGCGGCGAGTCTGCGTGATATGGAAGAACAGAAAGCGAAGGCAACGTGGTCGATGCCTTCGGCTTCAGCCAGTAGCGCGGCGGCAGGCACTCCTGCCAGGATCGAGCGACCCGATCACGAGTTGAGTCCTGCGGAGGCCGAAAACATCAGCTTATTCGCAACTCTGGTGGATCGTTTACAAACACAACCACCAGGCACAATCTTGCGGGAACCCCAAATACAAGAGTTGTACGAGAGCATCGGCGCGCTGCGACCCAAGTTGGCTAGGACGTTCGGCGAGACGATGAGCAGATATGGTACGCTGATATTCAACCCTCTTCTCGTTGAAGCACGCAACATGCTTACTGCGTTTTAGAAACCCTATGTGATCTCCACGCGAAGCTTGGAACAGTCGTCAGGTATTACGACAGAATGCTGGAAGAGCGGATGAGCTACACATATGGTCGCCACGGATTGGGTGGAACGATCCCCCAAGCTGCCTACCAATCCCCTCCTCTCACGAATAATCCGTATCCGTCAATACCTCCGGCCGAGAGTTTCTATGGCGGAGGACCTTCGCATCCGGCGGCGACGGCAACACCAGTATCGCCGCAGAGCCCGGCAATGGGCCCAACACAGCCCCAATATGGCAACTACTACTCCCAACCGCCACAATTTGACCCCTCGAATGCGAATTACGCCGGTGCGCCGCAGTACCAACAGTATGGCGGTTACAATGCGCCAGCAACCCCGCAGCACCACACAGAAACATCGCAGACACCAGGTGCACCTCCGGCCAACATGCCACCACCCCACCTTCCCCCGTCTAGCCAGACCAGCACTATCGCAGACCCCAACCAACAACAGCAGCAGTCCTCCCAACTGCCCTCGCAGGCACCCTCGGCTCCTTCCGCTTGGCAGTATCAGCCTTCTACTCCCGGTACGGAGACTCAGCCCCAATACTCGTACCCTCCTCCACCCCAGGAAGTGCACCATGTTCCGCCTCCCCAGGCAGCAGCATATCCGCAGCACGTTTCCTCACCACAACACGGATATCCCCCCCAGAACTCGACATACCCCTCTGTCGAACAAAGGGACTATCCCATAGTGCCAAACCACCAACCGCAACCCAGGGCGGTGGTCGAGGAGAGCTTGATCGAGTTGTAGACTATTATTTTTCTTTTTTTCTTTCTTTCTGTGCGTTCTGATGTTGGTTGTTTGTGTTGGAGACGACTGGGGATTTGGAATTCAAGTGGGCCCTTCTAGTTAGTATCATGGTAATGGCATCGCATGACTTGGACGGCTGTGGTTGTACAACGCATTTGAAAATGCCATGTATTCACCATGTGGGCTCGAGTTAGGTGAGAAAACGATTTCTCGATGACCTGTAATATATATTACGAGAAGCTTTTTTTCCGAGACCTGAGAGTCATATCATCAGCCTTAACTCGTCTGTGAAACTCTGCCATTGCAAACAAACCTACACACCGTGAGCGGAGTTCTCGTATTTGCCAAGCATTCGCGTATTTAGTTTAAGTACCCTGTAGGGCCCCACCATCATCATCGTCATTGAGCTTCCCCACCAAACCTCACCACTACATACCATCACAACTCTCCGCCCGCCGTTTTACTCCTTACCAACACATACGCACACACACATACACACACACACACACACACACACCGCAATGTCTCGCCACAAGTTTGTCCGCAACATGGATCTTGGCGCGGGTTCGTCTCATCCCTCCACACGATCGGTCTATTCCGTAGCTAAATAACGTCTGCGATAGAACTCGACGACGACTATGACTATGACGACGGAGAAGACGACGGCATGACCGAGGAGGAGAAACAGCAGATGATTACGGCGCTTAGGGCGGTGCGAGAGCTGCTCGGCGGCGAGGAGTCGAAAGCCGTCGTGTCGGACAAGGATATCGAAGAGTCGCTGTGGTATTACTATTTCGATATCGCAAAAACGGTGGATTACGTCTTGAGTGAGTATTGGGGGAGGGAGGGGGGCGTGAGTGGTGTGCGAGTGCAGGCTGATGGTCGAAGATACACATATGAATGCCGGAGCGAAGAAGAAGAAGGGGAAGAAGAAAGGTAGCTATTACTTTCCGTTCCCTCTCTGTTTTTTCTGCACAATTCATGCATACCATACCTCGGACAAGAGCTTGGGGGAGTGGGTGGGTGGGTGGGTACTTGACGTAATATCACAGGCTCAGCGGTTGGTCAAGGTCTAGGGTTCGCGTTCGGGTCTTCTCCGGAACGGTGGTCGTCAGCTACGGAACAGGGGCTTTTCGTGGATTGTCCGTGGGGCAGGGTGCCGCGGGATCGGATGGGAGAGCTGGTGGGGGTGCCGATGGAGGGGGCTACCAGCGGTCTGCTGGGCGGCTCGGGGAAAAGCTCGAAACTGGCGGAGTTGGCGAGGAAAAGGAAGGAGAAGGCTGCGGCGACCGCGGCAGCCGCGAGTGGTGCCGCGGAGATGAAGACTTCCGTGGCTATTCTGTCGCGGTTGAATCAGAAGGCGGAGGCTACGGGTGGAGATACACCGCCGTTGCCATTGCCATCACCACCGCAACAAGAAGCAGTGCCGGCCCCTGCTCCACCGACGCTGACGCCGACGCCATCGGAAGAGAAGACCGCCACCGTCGACCTTGACCAGCCGAAGGCGAAGGAGAAGACACGGGATGCATTTGAACCCACTCCCATATCCGTGCCCGAAGGCTTTACCCAGCAAAAGCCACTGGGAGCATCACCTTCTAGCTTTGCGAAATCTATCTTTGGGGAGAGGATTACTTTGCGGCATGAGATGGGTTTTGCTGACGGGTGTTTGTTCTTCGTGTCAGGAAACAAAGAAACATCGGGAAAGCCGGATCCGTTTGCGGGGCCGAGTCCGGATGATGTTGTCGTGGCTGCACAGAGCTCTAGTAAAGGTGCGTAGTCTAGATTATGGCTTCTCTTGGGAGGTTCTAATGGTGTGGGGTAGGGTTGAATAAAGGCAAGCCCGCTGCCAGGGAGACGGCGGCAAAGGTTGGGGAAGACCTAAAGGCGCTGACCATCGATCATACGCCGGTAAAGAAGGTCGAGAAGATTGATGTCCTGAAGGTACATCGCGAGTCGAATGCTAAGGAGAATGTCAATTTTGTTGTCGTGGGGCATGTCGATGCTGGGAAGAGTACATTGATGGGGCGAATGCTATACGATTCCGGCGCGGTCGACGAGCGGTCCATGAGGAAATTCCGACAAGAGAGTGAGCAGATTGGCAAGGGGTCGTTTGCACTGGCTTGGGTTATGGATCAGACGGAGGAGGAACGGACACGGGGCATTACGATAGACATCGCAACAAACCACTTCGAGACCGACAAGGCGGCGTTTACTATCCTGGATGCGCCAGGACATCGTGACTTCATTCCCAACATGATTGCTGGGGCGTCGCAGGCGGACTTTGCGGTGCTCGTTATCGATGCGTCTACTGGTGCTTTCGAGGCGGGCTTCCATCGGCAGGGCCAGACGAAGGAACATACCCTGTTGGTTAGGAGTATTGGCGTGCAGAGGGTGGTGGTTGCGGTGAACAAGCTGGATACTGTGAGTTTGCCTTGCCGAGCGATGAGGGTGATTGGTATTAATATCTACAGGTTGACTGGTCGGAAGCGAGATTCGAGGAGATCGTCCAGCAGATGCAGCAGTTCCTTACAAATGCTGGTTTCAACATGAAGAACGTCACTTTTGTCCCACTCAGTGGTCTCACAGGTGCCAACGTGGTAAAGAAGCCTGCCAAAGGCCTCATCCCGTGGTATAAAGGGCAGACACTACTGGAAATTCTCGGTACTTCATCCCCCCCACTGTCAACATTCATCCCCCCCACTGTCAACATTCATCCCACTAACCCTCGGCCGCAGAAACATCAAACACCCAGAGCCGAGCAGTTGAGAAACCGCTGCGTCTAGTAATTTCGGACGTCTTCCGGGGCGGCGTGCAAAATCCCGTATCGATATCAGGGCGCATAGACGCGGGATATCTCCAGGAGGGAGATGTGCTAGTCAGCATACCGAGCAAGGAGCAGGCCACAGTCAAGGGTATCACCATCAATGAGGAACCGAAGAAGTGGGCTGTGGCAGGTCACAATGTCGTCATTCACCTTTCCGGGATAGATCCCATCCATCTCCGGTAACACCTATTCATCCAATTTTCCGAGTATCAACTGATGAAGTGAAATAGCGTCGGCGACGTCATTTGCAGCCCCTCCTCCCCCCTACAACCACTCAGCACCTTCACCGTGAAGCTCCTCGCCTTCGAGGGTCTCACGCCCATGGCAGTGGACGTCCACAAGGGACGACTCCACGCAGCCGGCAAGATCTCCGCCATGATTGGGACGCTGGATAAAGCCAATGGACAAGTGGTCAAGAAGAAGCCGAGACATGTGCCACCCGGAGCGCTGGCCAGGGTACAAGTGCAGCTTGTCGTTGGTGGTGAAACAATACCAGTCGAGAAGGGGAATCGCGTGGTGCTCAGGAGTAATGGTGTTAGTGTTGCGGCCGGGATTGTTGAGTGATAGCGGAGAAGGGACGGTGAATGGTATATAGGATTCATATACTGAAGTACCGCTTCTAGAGTACCTATGGTCATTGGTGCCTGCGGTCATGAAAGGCTATCTTTTTTGCGGTTCTATGTAATTTCAAGCTAGCTAGCGGCCGGCAGCAGATATGAAATCCATGGAGTGAAAAAGGCACGGGTCATGTACCTTCTTGTAGATCTAGTTTCCTAGTCCGATATTGGTGTGAAGTTCTTTTACGAGAAGAAACACTGGGTTTCGTATGGAAATCACGCTCGAGTGCACCAAACTCTCACGAGATGGCGACTGATTTTCACTGAAGTCAAATGTAGTGGTTACATATACTCGGTCGGAGTTTGAACTTGAAAGTTCAGAGAACTTTTCGGACCCGGAACTCAGCTGTTCAACTAGGTATGGTCTGAAATACGGGCTGCTGATATGGACTTCACCAGCAGATAGGTAGCCTGTCCCAGGATATGCATTATGTAGTCAGCCACCAGCAGTGATCGATCCTCGTGGTGGAAAGGAACGGGTGTATACTTGGTACTGGTCATTGCTAGCTGGCGGAGTTGCATTTTTGAGTTGTCAAGTTTCCAGTACTGTTTTTTTTGGTTGGGCCGGCTGTTGGCATGTATGCAGACAACAATTAAACTTCCCGGGTGCAGAGCTAAATGACAACTGTATCTTTCTTGACCGCCGGCACCATACTCTCCCTCATCATAAACTGGGCCGTGGTGTGGGGCTGGATTCGTGACAACTTCGATGCTAGGTGTGCACGTGATGTCACTTGGCCTACCCTTAATACCGGTATAAGCTCTTCTCTATTCTATCCCTGCCTCATACACTCTGGACCCGCGAACCCGCAATGACTACATGTGTCATGTAGGTACGGTACTTGTAGATGCCACGTGGAACATGTACTCCACGGTGCACGTTGACCGAGAGAAGAGGACAGGTTTGACTATGCATTTCACCTTCTATTCAGGTGCCTACTCTACGGTAAATAGAGTACCCTCCCTACTCAGCCGGAATGCCCGGTAGTCGGCGGGGTTTAACAACCTTGGTATGTATATTACAATGTAGAGTACATGATAATCTATTCCAGTGACAGCGGAATTGGGATTCGGATTTGGAAATAGAAATGTGTTCTTTTTTTCTTCGACAGCCTACGGGTGCTGAGGTGCACGTTGAAGGCGAAGGGAAGGGGAAGGGGACGACACAGTAAGCGAGCTGGTACGTGCCCCGCCACTGGACGCTATCTATTCGCTGAAGATGAAGATGAGGATGAGGCCACGAATGAGAAGTGGCTGATGCGTGGTTCGTGATGGGATAGGTATCATATGTAGTACGACAGAAGAGCACTCTAGAATACACGGAGTCTACACCACAGTCCACCCGTCAGGGCAGGGAGGGTGGGTACAGTACTATCCATAGACGTTCGCATGCAGGTCTAGATGTGGCTGAGGAGGTGGGTATGACTTACTTGGCTATTGGCTAGGTGATAGTTACTAGTCCTCTAGAGTAGACGCGGGCCGAAAATTCCATCGCTTCGACACTAGTGCGGCCGAAACATTTCGAAGTTTCTCGTTTCATCGATTGACGAAGAGGACAGGTTTGTGTTTCTGGCAATTGTGTACACATCTCAATACTCTAGGCAGTGGTGCAAGGAAGCAGTAGATACTCTACTGTGTACTCAGCCGGAATGAATGGGGTCGATGTGGGCTGTGGACTGTGGCAAAAGAAAGAAATCAGCAAAAGAGGGAAAGCAAAGGAAGAGACCAAGTTACTGGGTCGTCGAGGTAGAATGTCATTCCCGCAGGAGGGCTCTGCTCTGCAGATGATCATCGAACTGTGTGGAGTAGGTAGCTGGCTGCTAACACGGTGTTCTTTCTCCTTTGTCCAACGCCACGCTAAGCTTCTCTCAAGGAATTATGCTCTTCTACAGATTCAATTTAACATTAAGCTACTGCGCCAAGACTTACCTGTGACACAGCGAACGAGTTGTGGGAAAAGTGTCCTCTACACATCCAAGCTGCATTTAAGTTGTCCATAACTATCCCCCAATCCTCCCGCTTCTTCCTCTCCTTCCCTCGTTCAACTCCCCACACACAACACACAGCAACGTACCCAGAGAGTGATTAGATCCTCTCTCAGTACTCCGACAGCCCTTCCTACAACATCGTTTACGTGTTGTTACCTATCTGCATCCGCCAAAGAGAGCTTGCTTTCTATACCATCCCCCGTTGTCACAAACACCCCCACTCCAGTCCCGATGATTTCATCAAAGGGCAGCAAAGTCGCCTGGGCGGCTTCACTGTTCTACCTCTTGTTTGTATGTCTGGCGCCTTTACTGTCGCCGGTCAATGCGGCCGAGAATGATACCGAGAACTTCGGAACCGTTATTGGTATCGACTTGGGAACTACATACTCGTAAGTTACACCCTCCTCTGAAACGACCACCGTGGCGGCGGATCTGAAGTGTTTCGTGTGCTGACGTTTCGAAGTTGTGCTGGTGTGATGAAGGGAGGCCGTGTCGAGATTATGGTCAACGACCAAGGAAACCGTATCACCCCGTCGTACGTCGCTTTCACCGAGGACGAGCGATTGGTCGGAGACGCCGCAAAGAACCAGTACGCCGCCAACCCCACAAACACCGTCTTCGATATCAAGTAAGTGGATTCCCCCTCCCTGTCAGCAGCGAGCTTTGGAGTGAGCTGCAGAGAGTGTGTGATGTGAGTGACGTGTCGCTAACATGCTTCCCCCGATAGGCGTCTCATTGGCCGCAAGTTCAACGACAAGGACGTTCAGCAAGACATCAAGCACTTCCCCTTCAAGGTCATCAACAAGAATGGAAGCCCCAATGTCCAAGTTGAGGTTTCCGGAGAGAAGCGTGTCTTCACTCCCGAGGAGATTTCCGCCATGATTTTGGGCAAGATGAAGGAGATCGCCGAGGCCTACTTGGGCAAGAAGGTCACCCACGCCGTCGTCACTGTCCCCGCCTACTTCAACGACGCCCAGCGTCAGGCCACCAAGGATGCCGGTACCATCGCCGGTCTTAACGTCCTCCGTGTCGTCAACGAGCCCACCGCCGCCGCTATCGCCTACGGTCTTGACAAGAAGGGGGGCGAGCGCCAGATCATCGTCTACGATCTTGGTGGTGGTACTTTCGATGTCTCGCTTCTTTCCATCGACCAGGGTGTCTTCGAGGTCTTGTCGACTGCCGGTGATACCCACTTGGGAGGAGAGGATTTCGATCAGCGTGTCATCTCCCACTTCACCAAGCTCTACAACAAGAAGCACAGCGTCGAGATCACCAAGGACCTCAAGACCATGGGCAAGCTGAAGCGTGAGGTCGAGAAGGCCAAGCGTACTCTGTCTTCGCAGATGTCTACCAGAATCGAGATTGAGGCTTTCCACGACGGCAAGGACTTCTCCGAGACTCTCACTCGCGCCAAGTTCGAGGAGCTCAACTTAGACCTCTTCAAGAAGACCCTCAAGCCGGTCGAGCAGGTCCTCAAGGACGCCAAGGTCAAGCGTGAGGATGTCGACGACATCGTCCTTGTCGGAGGTTCCACCCGTATCCCCAAGGTCCAGCAGCTTTTGGAGGAGTACTTCAAGGGCAAGAAGGCTTCCAAGGGTATCAACCCCGACGAGGCTGTTGCCTACGGTGCTGCCGTCCAGGGAGGTGTTCTGTCCGGTGAGGAGGGTACCGACGATATCGTCCTCATGGACGTCAACCCCTTGACTCTCGGTATCGAGACCACCGGTGGTGTCATGACCAAGCTCATTCCCCGCAACACCGTCATCCCCACCCGCAAGTCCCAGATCTTCTCGACCGCCGCCGACAACCAGCCCATCGTTCTCATCCAGGTTTATGAGGGAGAGCGCTCGCTGACTAAGGACAACAACCTGTTGGGCAAGTTCGAGCTCACCAACATCCCCCCGGCTCCCCGTGGAGTTCCCCAGATTGAGGTCTCGTTCGAGCTCGACGCCAATGGAATCCTGAAGGTTTCCGCCGCCGACAAGGGTACCGGAAAGTCTGAGTCGATCACCATCAACAACGAGCGTGGTCGCCTGTCGCAGGAGGACATTGAGCGCATGGTTTCCGAGGCCGAGAAGTTCGCCGACGAGGACAAGGCCAACCGCGAGAAGATCGAGGCGCGCAACGCGCTCGAGAACTACGCCTTCTCCCTCAAGAACCAGGTCAACGACAAGGAGGGTCTCGGAGGAAAGATCAGCGACGACGAGAAGGAGACTCTTCTCACCGCCGTCAAGGAGGCTACCGCTTGGTTGGAGGAGAACGGAGCTACCGCCACCACTGAGGACTTTGACGAGCAGAAGGAGAAGCTCAGCCAAGTCGCTTACCCCATCACCTCCAAGAGTAAGTTTAACCCCACCTCGCGTCATGACTATTCTTCCGAACTTTAAACTAACGCATTCGCTCTTTAGTGTACGGTGGTGCCGGAGACGATTCGTCGAAGCCCGATGATCACGATGAGTTGTAAATTCGTATGACTTGTTGCTTTCTTATTTTTAGGCTATCATTTTTTTTTTGCTACATGTGCTTCTAGAAATGGAGTTACCGTTTTTCTGTGTAAACCCTTCTGTTCTGTTTGTTGTTGTGATGCAGCAGTGTATTCGTGATAATGTTCATTCTGGAGGAAGATGGTAAAAATGCAAAGTGTTGCGATGTTAACGAATCTTATCATATCACACTCGCGTGCAGATACCGGCTGATCACCAGACCCGTCACCCGCAACTCCACTTAGCTCGCCACTTGTGCCCGCCACTTGCCTGAAAAGGGGATCTCGCTGGGGCTAGCGCCGAGTGATCACTGTGACTGGGCGCGTAGAGTTCCAACTGCATATGGTGGATTCCAGGTGGATGCCTGATAACCGACTCTACTCTCTGACTCTTTGAGTCGATGTGTCTCTTCTCTTTGAGTCCATGTGTGTATGCGTGTTTATGTGTGTGTGGTTCCAAGAGGTCATTTTTCATTTCATCAATTGCCCGCAACTTCGTTCCCATAAAATGCCCACCAAACCGAACCGTCCCTGACTCCCATTGCCCAAACCCACCAGTGTCCAGTGTCCAGTGTCCAGTCATTCTGTTCCCTCCGTTCCCTCAGTCCCTCCGTAAATAGAGTAGTAAAGCGAGAGTAATAAGCAAAAAAGTTAACCAGGTAAATGCAGAAAAGAAAAGAAAGAAGAAATAGAGGAAATAGGGAAAATGAAAGAAGAAGAAAAAAAGGGAGAAAGAGGAAGAAGAAGAGAAAGAAGAAATAGAAATAAAAGGAAATAAAGTATCTACAACGAACCGCGCTATCCCATATCCCGTCCCCCGTCCCCACCCTCCATCGCATCTAGAACTTCCCCAGCAGCATCTTCCAAACGCCCGGCTTAACCTCGCCCTCAATAGCGGTAACCTTATGTCCTCCCTTCTCCAGCTCCTCAAGTCCGACCTTACTAGCACTCGAACTCCGATCCGCGAGCTTAACCTCTCCACGGCGGTTGACAATGATCTTTGCATTCATTGGCAGCGCGCTGCGCCGCTTCACCTCGCGCTCCCACTGCTTCTTGCGATGGAAGTAGTAGACAATGATACCGATGAACAGCGCGAGCGCGACGACGACAACCGCAGCGATGATCCCGATCTGTGCGCCTACCCCCACCCCCATAAATGCGTCCGAGTTTCCCGCTCCCCCGCCGTCGGAATCGGAGACTTGGTTGTTGCCCCCTACCGTACCGTCGGAGCCTACAAGGTCGTCGTAGGATAGGCCCGGCTCGGAGGGGTAGTACTCGCTGGACTCGCGAGTTTCGGAGGCGGAGGCGGAGGCGGATACGGTGGAGGGCGTGCTGCTCACCCGCGAGGCGGAGGCGCTGGCGCTGGGGGTGGAGGAGGAGGAGCGCGCGGAGATGGCAGAGCTGCGTATGCTGGATGCGGTCGGTGTAGGCGATGGCGAGTCTTGTGCCAGCACGCCGGTCATGCCCAGGAAGGCGAGGAGGAGGAGGTGGGTTGGTCGGAGACGCATGGTGGATGTGGATGTGGCGGTCGATTAGGTTGTGGGTTGTGGGTTGTGGATTATTCGAATGGAGGCCAGCTGCTGGATGTATGTCTTTGGGGAGAGGCTGCTGCTGCTACGGTGTATGCGTTTTCCGGTGGGGAAAAATGGGCGGCTTCTCCTTCTTGTACTGAACGAGGAGGGCGGGAGTGTTTACTCTATCGTATGAAGGGAGGGTGTTTGAAAGGTATATACTATGGTAGGCGCTGGCACCCACGGAACCGAAGATGACAGACAAGACGAAGGACGGCAGACAAGTCAGGAAAAAGGAAAGCGCAGAGGATTCCGATGCAGTAGCAGGCAGGCAGGCAGGCAGGTGTGAGGAGCTGGCTGCGGGGCGGGCGTCTACGTACAATACATATACTCTCTCCTATTTCGATCACGGCCTGGCAGTCGAAGCTGTCCTACGCCGTCCCATCGTTAGGTGCAGATAGACGCTGGAGATGGTGATGGGAGGGGGGGGGGGGTAGGATCCGCAGGGATGGAGGAGATGTTGGTGCTGGGTTGCCATCTATTCCCGGTGGTGGGTGTGCGGGCGCTTAAGCACAAGTGCACACAACATTGGCTGGGCCGCACAGCTGATTGGCTCGTTTGCAGCCATGGAACAGTTTCGGATTTGGGACCTGCAGCCAGTCAGACTGGAGAGCTGGGTTGGGTTGCATAGATGCACGCCCGTGGGTTTCGCGTTGTTGCTGGTCAGTGGTGTTTTTTTTGTTATTGTTTTTTTTTGGTGACGGCTGGCTGGGAAGGCGAGTTTTTCTTTCGGAGGCGAGATGCTTCGGCGGAGGACGGAATAGGGAATCGAATCGAAGTCGCGACGTCAGAGGACCGGACGGCCGGTCGCATTGAGGGCTGCGGTTTGGCATCTGTCGAGGGAAGGAAGGAAGAGAAGCGGCTGGTTAAACTGGGCTGCTGCCGTGCTGAAGAGGCCAAACGCATAAATCTTGGATCTCGCAGAAATGCACTTCGGCTGCGGGATCTCCCTCCATGCAAAGCGTGACCCCTGCTCCGGCGATATGTATACTTTTCTTCAGGATCTTCCGGGCTGGAGAATCAAGACGTAGTGTATGCACATAAGTCAGTATCTACAATCAATTGTCACACTACAACCGCTGATAGACATCGAGTGCAGCCAGGTGCTTACGTATAGTCAGTCCTCTCGTGGGGTCGATGGAAGCGAGGCGAATAACGAGTCGTCGATGCGAGGCCGTATGCACTCGTCAGGCCATCCAGAGACCGATCGGTAGTTAGATGCCCAACTTCCAAGACGGGTAGATTTCCATGAGATTGCCCACGCCGAGCCTTTTGGGGCGAGTTCGGCGGCTATCCGGTGAACCGACTGCTGGATCCAGGACTCAGGCTGCATTCGGGGCGTTTGCCCCGAGGAGTCGAGGACAACCGTCTCGAACTGGGGAATATCTACTGCCAATCGACACTTCGCAACCGGCAGAGTTTTCCAGTGACCGCTTGCATGATACATACATCTTATCGACGAGTGGAGAGGATCGGCAACGGGGGGTGATGACGGATGTATGGATGGACGGACGCCTGCTCGAACGCTTGATGATGCAGAGTGGACTTGCGCAGAGATGTTGTGTTGTTGTTGCGGTCCGCTGACAGGATTTATCCAGGCAGCCAGCATTTCCAACATGGCTCTTCGGGCGACAAGCGGAGATGCAGAGTTCTTTTAAGCTGCTTACCGTGCGTCATGGTTCTTCGTCATATCGGAAGCGATGATTTGGCATCGCGCCTCTTCGAGGCGGGGAGGAACAGGCTGGGTGGAGGGTGGGGTGCGGCACGGCGGGGTGGGAGGACACAGCAAAGGATAGGCTGCGTGGGATTCCAAGAGCAACGACCTAGAACTCCGGCTTGGATAAGGAATGGTCCACGCGCCTCTCAACCTCTAATGATTTCAGGCGCCCACTCACTCACTGCGCCGCACCCGCCTCTTCACCTCACCTTGAGCTTTCAGTTATTGATAGCCCCCACGCGCCTCTCCACGTCAGAGCAGCACAACACAAGCACAAGCACGTTGCATATTCCCTCGATATTCAGTTCGGGGTCTGGTGCGTCTCGCTCTTCGCTCTTCGTCTTCCAGTTACCAATGACCATTGGCAGCGTTTGGCGCTCCCACTCATCCACGGGACGAGTCGACGGAGTTGGATACGGACCAGGAGCAGGAGACCCTGACCAAAAACAGGAGAACGGCTCGTCGGAAATCGGCAGATACTCTACATACATCGAATCAGCAGTCTGAGGAGACCAATACCTATCTTCGGCAAGACGGCTTGGGTCAATGGTTGAGCACTCAGGAGCATCGTCACACAGCTCCCTGTCGCGACTCTTCTTACCACGCATGCACCACCCAAGAACGATAACCACAGCCACAACCACACTGTCTCCAGGCCCTCCGAAGCCGAATAGCGTTCTCCGACGAGACCTGTGAGCTTAGAGAAGACGCTGGCCCCTCTCCCTCCTCCTCCACCCCCTCCTCCTCCTACTTCCAACGAAATTAACCACAGCTACCACCACAACCATAGTAACACCTACAACAACAACCCACAGATCATGGCATGTTACAGCCCATATCCTTCCCACTAAGCCACTCCAAGAAATAGTAGCCTCGTGGTGCTACAAACGAGCCCGCTCAAGGCTTGGCAGAGTGCTCCTCTGTGAAGCTACCTATACAGACTTCCTAGGAACACCTCCCGAGTCCCATCTAGCCCGCTCGATAGAATCTAGATTTATCATCACGCACTGCAGTTCCGATGTACAACTACCAAGTCCGGATCTCTCTCGTATTACACGTTCCGAGCTGAGCTGGAAGATGCACTCTGCCGTGAAGGATAGATAGCAGCTTGACGGTCTAGGTATTCGGGTATCGATGCACCCCAAGCAGAAAGGATATCATGAACTAACCCTAGAGAGTTTGGATCGATATATCAAAGAGTCGCAACATCACGGTGGCACGAATCATCTACCTATGCTCATCACATCCAGCCTGGACCCTGCCTGCCAAACTACTCGATGCCAACAGCATTTTCGGGAAACAGGACCAGATCACGAACTACCTACCTACACTCCATCTCATCTTGCTGGTGGCACCCCCCGTTACCGTTCGAGATACCATGACCCACATGGGGAAGGATGTGATGGTGAGGGGGCATGTGAGGATGGGTTGCAGAGGGAGAGTCGAGACTTGAGCACGACCCGTCGTCGTCGTGCTCTATGTAGTTTCAGGCTTTCAGTGGGTTTCCTTACGATAGTCTAGACTTTACATTCGATAGATTTACCCCGACCAGCCAGCACCAAATCTTAAAACCTCGTGTGTGAGTTTCACCTGGATCCACGCTTCCTGCTCCACCTATACTTGCTACCAGCTCGCTGAAGAACTTTGCTTCCTCACATACCTAGCACTCGGACATGGCTACCTATCGGAAGAATCCTATCGACTGTTTGCTAACTTTTAGCTGATACTAGGTATATTCCACATTACACCTGGAAACACGGTTGCCTTTAAGATTGAAAAACTCGACTGGAACAATCTCCTGCTCGGATAAAGTGTCCATGGGATTCACGTGCTACCCCATGGCTATTACTCCTGCAGCTGAATCGTTATGGCTAAGCAGGCTTCTGGAGTCTGACCGGCGTCCCATATATCGTGATGGCCTTGGCCAACCTACTTAGCCACCCATCGTGCTACAACTTAGGTCGAACTACCCAACGATGTACCTTGTGACCTTGTCCGCTCTCCGGGAATGGACGAAGCAAGGGCCCGTGGGCACTGCGGGGGTTTTTCGAGAGCCACAGTCCACGTTGGGGCGGGGGTCTCCAAACTCTCTACGCTCTCCACACAACCACATGAGCATATAAGCATATGGGCGTTGAATGCTCTGGGTAAGTTGTGGGCAGCAAATCCGGACAGTTCGTGTTCCGTGTTGGCGGTGGAGAATCCATCTAGGAGTTGCCGCTGGATGCATGGAAGGATTGGGCACTCGTTCAGGTGTGCGGTGCGTGCAGGTGCTTCGAACGTTCGTAGTCACTCGCCCATCTGCTATCTTTTCGAGTGTCGGTGACGGTAGCTGTATTCTGAATTGAGAGGAAACCATACATACCACTGTCGAGGCTGCGAGCTACCGTCGTTACTTTTCCTAAGTCCTGACCGAACCAAAATTGGTCGAACTATTTATTCTGAGGTTGTGCAAGTGGCAACAGGCCAGACGTTCGTTCGTTAACCGCCTCACCGTCAAACTATCCAATCGAATCATTGAGGTGAGCCTTCCCCGCTGCCGGAAGGAACAAGTTCTCAGATTGGAGACGGCTGGCGCGGTGCCTGCTAACTACTAGTTATGCCGGATGATCGTCGCGGTAAATACCCGCTGCGTCTGACGCCGACCATCGCTGCCGAACGCGCTAAGCTCTGACCAAAGATTCGAGTTATCGGCAACGTCCTGTGCTCTAGCATAATTATCCCCCATATCTATTGTCTGGCATCAGCTCGTGATTTTGCCTGGAAACGGAGCTCTAGAAAGTGTACTCTACTGTAGATATTCGCAAGGAATTTGTCCCGCCGTATACGGTACTCAGATAACCGTGAGCCGCACGTCTTGTCTATGTATACTACAAGCATAGTATGTTTCAAAAACAGAGGTGTAGATGAGGATGTTAATTCTAATGGCAAATACATGTCCGGCGGTAGTATATCTGTTGGACCTCCCTAGCTTGCCCCAATTTGAACTGACGCAGAAAGGTTGGCAATGAGTGATATCAAAAGCATTCGGCGAGTGGGCTCTTCCGCAAAGCAACATGTGTGAATTAGTACAAACAGGCTCTCCAACATTATGTATCTAGCAGCGTATATTCCCACTTCCCTTCTCCGAAGCTTTTCTAAACATTTGACAGTGCACCTAGTACCTGGTAAAGTCCACCGCCGCCGCCCTCGGTGTATGTAGTAGTAGAGTCCGCCACCGGCGTAGTAGTATTCGCCGGTGGCCTGTCTGCAACATGGCTGCTTTTTTGTAACTCGAGTCCCGGCCCGATAGCCTCTGTATCAGCGCTGTTGCTCATTTCTCTGGTATTGGAACCGCGGATGTTTGAAGTACCGTGGGTCAGAGGTGGCGACAGCGACTGTCATAGTAGCAACCGTGACTGCTACCAGCACAGCTGCAACCAAACTAATTGATATAGTGAGCCGTGTGGTTGTGTAGACGCACTACCGCCTCCTAATCGGGCCTAATCGGGCATACTTTGCAGTGCAACAAATATACTCCCGCCCAGGACATGTAGGGGTTAATATTTCAACGAACGGTTTCCGGTTATTGTAAGCCATTATCACCATTTCGTGACTCCTCCAAAGCACCTTCAACCTCAGTCAGTTAGTGAATATCAAGTTTCAGGATTCTTCAGGAATTGAGATCGAGTGAGTGAAAGTGCAACACTCGGTTCCACGTGACAACCGACATCCATACAACCCAAGATCCTCGAATTGTCGAGTCAATAATTGTGATTGACTCCGATTGACTCTGGGACAAGCCTGGTCAGTTACCGCGATTGACTCCGGTACATGTTTAGTCAATAATCGTGATTGACTTGGTGCCGTCTCGAGTCAATAATCTATGATCCTCTTCCTGCGAGCCTTTTCGAACCGACTAGATAGGGGGTTGATGTGAAGGCTGCCTCTACTCTGCAGAGACACAACTCTTACTGAATCCAGCGAAGCCTGGCGGAAATATATCCGCAACTAAAAATCCACAGATCTCATGATATATCGTCTGCGGGGTCAACACTTCCCGGAAGTCACACATTCCGAAAAATGTCGTGCCCCTAGGCTCGGCGGTTCCATCCACCAGGGGAGCTCTGGGTGACGAAGCGAAGAGGACCCTTCCAACCGACAGTCTAGGTACAAATAAACCCCCACCATAGTTGTCCATCACGACCACCACGTATCAATCCCTTCCTACTTATGCTGCACCTGTGAGGAGCTCTCGAAAAAAGTGAAACAAATGACGCCGATGACGATGATCGCATACAACAGCTCTCAGATATTTCGTCATGGATAACGGTCCTTTGTACGGGGCGGGGCGCGTGCAACTGCGATTGGCGACCGCCAGCGGACGAGTAGCGAGATGCATCAAACAAGGTCTGGGCTATTCGGTTCCTTGGCATGGACCATCCCACCTTGGGGAATAATTGGCTGCTTGTTATACATATAGTACTCGGCGCCGGCTTCCTTGCTGCAACGTACGATTGAATCCTCCGAGCTACCTATACCTTACCTCCCCACCTACATCACGGACCCGACACAACACACCTCCACACAGCTCATCCTAAAATGACCACCCCCACATCTCCAATCGGCACAAGCCGTACCGGCACAATGGAGAGCGAAAACGCAATCCCTCCCGAGGTTGGCGACGTCGGCGGACTCCTCGTCGAGCGTCTACGAGCCTGGAAACACGCGGTCGCCTACCTCGAGTCCTACATCACGCAGACCGAGAGCGTGCACAAGACGCTCGGCAAGGAATACCAAAAGGTGCTGAAATCCGTCGACGAGCCATTGCGCGAAGGACACCATTTCCAGCAGTCCGTTGGCGGCGTGGCATCGCTGTTTGAGAACATCCGCGCGAACACGGTGCGCCTCAGCACATCGCACCAGGAGACCGCGGGGGAGCTGAAGAGCACCGTCCTGCCCATCCTGGAGAGACTGCATAAGGAGATCCGGGACAGGCAGAAACATGTGCAGAGCGAGAGCGAGAAGAGCGCGAAGAGTGTCGCCAAGACGAGGAACAGCACGCAGGCGCACATTGAACTTCTCGGACAGCACGTTGCGGCGTTTCAGAGCTCTGGCGGGATCAGCGCGGGAGGCCACGACGGCCATCACTTCAAGCTGCATCATTCCAACACGGGTGGGAAGAACAAGCCGGAGTTTGACCCGTACCTGCTCAAGAGAGGAATCCTCAGTCGCCTTGTGAAACAGGTCCATGAGGAAAATGCACAGAGACAGGACCTCCTCGGCGTGCAGACCCACTCACAGGAGTTTGAGGCGAAGATTGTCCAGACTGTCCAGCAGGCACTCGCTGCGTTTAATCAAACAATGAATGTACAGGCGGATCTGCAGAAACAGTTGTATGGGGACATCGTTGGTTTGTCATTCCGCTTCGTCCACCCTCACTGCTCACCGCTAACGGAACACAGAGAAAGCAACTGCTATCCCTCCCGACATCGAATGGGTCAACTTCCTCTCCCGAAACGCAGAGACAATGATCGATCCCTCAGCGCCAAAGCGCACAGTGGAGAGCATCCGGTTCCCGAACGAAGAACATTCCAGCACTATGCCGTTGATTGAGGGCGCCCTCATGCGAAAGGGCAAGATTATCCGTAGCTACAACCAATCGTACTACGTCGTCACGCCGAGCAAGTACCTGCACGAGTTCAAAGACCTCGATGTACGTTCCTTCCCCCCCTTCCCACCACCCAGACTAACCCTCGCTTCGCAGCACCTCAACCGCGAGCCGGAGCCTGAGCTCTCTCTCTACCTCCCTGACACCGTCCTCAGCGCCCTTAACTCCGAGGGAAAATTCCAAATCACGGGTAAAGACGCGGGGTCAAAGCTGAGCACGAAGCACGAGTACGCGTTTAAAGCGAGCTCCCACGACGAAGGCCAGCGCTGGTACGAGGCCATCTCCGCGTGCGTTAACCACAAGTCCGATCTTGCGCCTGCTGTTACTCCCCCCGGAGGCGCATCAACCGTAGCTATCGAGCCTCCGGCGTACGATAAAACCCCGCCGGCAGTGACGGGCCAGCAGTCCGGTGTTACGACAGCGGCTGTGCCGGTGGTGGCTGAGAAAGCAGCTTAGGAGGCTGCTGGATGGGATGAGAAGAGGTTGCACTAAGTGGGCAGGGTGCATTGTCCGAATAGTACTCTATGATTGCGACGCGATGATCAGTATTGTTGTTGATGTTGCTAGCCATGGAGTTTCTTTCTTTTCTGTGTTTTATGACTGTACGAGGGGGCGGAAGTTGCATATGATATCACTCCTGTACTCTAATCAAGTTGCTTTGTGCGATTAATGACGATGGCAATTGTGAAGCGGGATGGATCTTTCCTGTAACCACAGCACCTAAATCACTGTAAAAAACTTGTCTAGAACCCTAAAGTCGTATTTCATATAATACGCTCTACATGCAAAAAGATATTCCACGGTATATCCACAACCCAAAAAGCCACTAAATCTCACCGCTCTCCATCCGTCTTCCCTTCCTTCTCCGCCCTCACAGCCATGTATCCTTTAAACGCCTCCAGCTCCTCCTTTCCGATCGGATACGTATGTTCCTTCTTCGGATACTCGCCCTGCCTAACCTCGCGCATATACTCCTCCATGCCGCTCTTAGCATGCTCAAACAGATTCGCATAGCGCTTCACAAACTTCGGCATGAACCTTCCCTCGGGGTAGTGGCCCAGCATATCGATCTGGACCAGCACCTGCCCACTGGTGCCCGCGCCCGCGCCAATGCCAATAGTGGGCACATCCAGCTCCTTGGTGACGATCTCCGCGATCTCGGCGGGGACGGCCTCGAGCACCATGCCGAAGCACCCGGCCTCCTGCAGCGCCAACGCATCCGCCAGCAGCTTCTGCGCCGACGAGAGCGTCTTACCCTGCACGCGGAACCCGCCCAGCGACGACGCGCGTTGCGGCGTCAGCCCGATGTGCCCGAGCACCGCGATGCCCAGCGACGTGAGCCGCTTAATCGTCGGCGCGAGCTCGGAGCCGCCCTCTAGCTTCACGGCGTGCACCCGCCCCTCTTGGATCAGCCGGATCGAGGATTGGATCGCTTGTTCGGGGGACACTTCGTACGAGCCCATCGGCAGGTCGCCGATGAGGAAGGCGGACTTGACGGCGCGCGAGACGGCCCGGCAGTGGTGCAGCATGGCGTCGAGGGTTAGCTGGTTGGTATCCTGCGCTCCCACATACGTTAGCTGTCCGCAACTTCTTCCCCTCTGCGTGCGTGATGTGCGTCAACTCACTTCCATGCCCAGGGCGACCATTGCCAGCGAATCACCCACGAGGACTATGTCGACGCCCGCCAGGTCTGCCGCCAGGCCCGACGGGAAGTCGTGGGCCGTCACCATCGCGATCGGAGTCTTTGCGGCATGGAGGTTGCGCAGCGTGTTGATGGTGACCTTCTTCCGTGTGGGGGTAGCGGTCGGCGATAGTGGGGAGTGCGAGGACGATCGACATTGTGTGTAGCGGTGTTGTTGCTGGGGTGGTGGTTGTCGACGTTGACGCAGGGCGGTTTGTGACACCCCAATCACGTTGGATAACGGACGGGCGGCGATGGGCGTTAGAGTTGAGCGCCATGCGACTGGTGCCAGACGCCGTAGCAGCGAGGTCGGTGGTTGGAGGGGCATATCTTCTCGGGGCCGACTTTGTCTTCCAGCTGCGCACGCTTCGGCTTTGTCCTCCGTCCGTCCGCTAGTTATCGCTCTTTTTGAATCCTTTGAAGCGCCGTGACGGAAAGAATACCGTGGACCGCGCGATGCAATGTGTGATTCCGAAGGGCCTTCTTTCTTGGTGGGATTTTGTAGAGATTCTGAAGATCCTCATTCCCCCTTTCTCCTAACTCCTTCTCCTTTTTAGTCGGTCGGATGGACGTCGGCCCGCCGTGAGAAAAAATAATCTGTGATCGAGACCAGGCCCTCGGTAAAACCGTGACAGGCCTTTCCGGGTAGTGGTCATGTCGCCACCAAAGATTCCCATGCCTTCCCCCGCCTTGCATTTCCCCTGATGCAGCCAGCTTATGTACCTACCCCGCAATGCGACCCCGCCAGTGCATGGTGATAACGGCGGCGGTGGTGGTGGTGGACCATGGTGGTACATACTGGTGATGGAGGTGGAGGTCATGTGGGTGCTGCGTATTTCATGACGCCCGTGACTTTATTGCCGTTCCCGGCCGTCCGTCGCACTTCCACTCTCACAAACCTCCGCCAGCACCTACCTCTTCGTCCTCCACGACAAATATCTACACCTAATCATCAATAAGCAAATAGTCGTACCCGCCGATTCACGTAGAAAGCTGGCAGAGCGCCTTTCCATCGTCCCTTCCATCAACCCCGTCCATCAATCCCAGCAATCCACCCCGCTAGCGCCAACAAGCTCTTCAAAGCTCTCGCGAACATCTTGAGCTTCCTCGCCTCCATTCGCGAACAAACGACCAGCGATCACACAAGCCAGCCAGCCAGCTTCTACAGAAATGAGTTCGCCAAGGAGAAGGATCGAGACCGATGTGAGCCCGCCCTGCCCGCCAGCTTTCCTCAGGTGTACGGAATAGTGTATAGTAATGACGCGTGCTGCTTGCGGGAGGAGTAGGTCATGAAGTATGCAACTCACCCTCTCTCTCTCTCTTTCATGCTCCTCTCTCTCTCTCTCTCCATAGCTAACACTCCCGTACAGACTGTACGTTCCCCCCGCCGACCTGTGCTCGACCAGCCAGCCCCGACCTGACCAGACCTGACCGTGTGAATGTGTCTATGTACAGGTTGATGAGCGACTATGAAGTCACCCTGGTGAACGACAACAGTATGCTCCATCTACACTCACCTTTCTTCCGCCCTCCCTGCCGTCGCTGACCGCGAGTGCACAGTGTACTATACCTACTCTCCCCTTCAGCCCGCCGTTGTCCCATCGCACATCACATCGCACTCGCTGACCACCGCCGCAGGTCCGAATTCTTCGTCCGCTTCAAGGGCCCGGAAGAGAGTGAGCACATCCCCCCCGTCCCTCCCTCCCTCCCCCGCCCCCTCCTTTCCCCCCTCACTAACCCCCCTCCTTTAGCACCCTTCAAAGGCGGCACGTGGAAGATCCACGTCGAGCTGCCGGACCAGTACCCGTACAAGTCTCCGTCGATCGGCTTCCAGAACCGCATATTCCACCCGAACATTGACGAGATGAGCGGGTCGGTCTGTCTCGACGTGATCAACCAGACGTGGTCGCCCATGTACGACATGATTAACATCTTCGAGGTGTTCCTGCCGCAGCTGCTAAGATACCCGAATCCGACCGATCCCCTCAATGGGGAAGCGGCGGCATTGTTGATGCGCGAGCCCAAGGCGTATGAGGAGAAGGTTAGAGGTATGTGAAAGTCGAGGGAGGGGGAGCGGGGGAGGGATGGGATTAGGGGGGGAGGGGCCAGGGGGGGAGGGAGGCTGATAAGGTGTGCGGACAGAGTATGTCGAGAAGTATGCGACCAAGGACGCGATTGAGGATGGCACCGACGACGACGAGGAGGAGGACGAGATGAGCTCCGTCGGTAGCTATGGCGACGACGAGGACGACGAGCCCGCGGGGCAGATGGAGGTCTGACGTCGACGTTTTCGTATCTTTTTTCCCACCTTTCCCCACCTTTTTTCCTACCTTTTTCCACCGCCTGTTTGTTTCCGTTGGCCCAATGATGGGGTTCCTTGCCTTGCCTTGCCTCGCTGGTGTTTTTGTGTATTTTTATGGACTTTTCCTTGTTTCTTGTTTGTGTAGCGGGTTGATGGATGCGTGGAACGTGCGCGTAATGAATGAGATCTCGAGAGTCGAGACGGCGTTGCGATTGCACGCTTCGTGTTTACCTTTCCGTCCGTCAAGTACTCAGTACTATGGTGACGATGCCCGAGCCTTTCCCGTCTTCTCGTTCTCTACTCTCATGATGAGGGTCGCATCCACGAAGATGAATAGAAAAAAAACGAACGCCGATACCGGAGCTTTTCGCTTCCCGCTTCCATTATGTTTCAAGCTATATATTCCAAATAAATATCCAGACAGAACATCAGACAGTACCTCAAGCAAAAAAGCAAAACTCCTCTATCATCCTATCCCCCTCTCCCCCACCCCCACCTTCTCCGTAAAACATCGTGTGAATAGACTACCATACTGTAGCAAAGAAGAAGCCAGGAAATAAGTGTTATATTTACAGGGTGAATTGAAAACCACCCGAAACCGAACCCAAAAACGCCAAAATGAAGCCCCCCCCTTTCGCGCCGCCCCCCGTCGCCCCCGAAAAGGAAAATAAGAAAACGACTGGTGTAGAGGTAGGTAAGGTAGGTAGGTAGGATAAAATAATCTTCAAGATGGAAAGAGAAAAAACGCCTAGACGTAAAGAAAGATCCCCAGCAAATACCGTATGAAATCACTTAACATTACCTACTCCTTCTTCGCCTCCGCCGCCGCCGGGGGGACAGCAGCGCCCAAAAACCAACCCCCGCGCTCCCACTGGCCAGGGACATACTCTGCCTCGCGCCGGAGGGCAGTATCTCTCGTGCCCTCGAGGAGCTTTCCCAACCGACCAAAGTCAATCGGCTTCAGGATCCACCCGTCGAAGCCGATGTCGGCGTACTCGATCCAGCGCTCTTCGAACAGCGACGCCGAGACGGCAAATATCGGGATGCGGCCGTGGGTGGCGTGGCGGCGGGGGACGGGGTGCTTCGAGTTCGACTCGAGCCCGCGGATGCGCGTCGTCGACTCGCTGCCGTTCATTATTGGCATCTGTGCGGATTGTTAGTGTGAGTGATCGGATTCCAGATGGGGTGGGGATGGCAATAGATAGACTCACCTGCATGTCCATCAGGATTGCGTCGTAGTCGGCGCAGGCTTTGCTGAAGCTGTGGAAACACTCGTCGCCGTTGGCGGTCATGGCGACGCTGTGGCCCATGCGTTCCAACCTGGAATTACCGCTATTAACATAATTCCTTTCGCAAAACGGGGTCTGCGTCTGCGTCGAGAATGCCTCACCTCTTCTTGATGATCTTGCTGTTGATAGGATCGTCTTCTGCGACCAAGATGGTGAACTTGACCGCATCTTCCGCGCGCACCTGCGCTGGCTGCCTAGCAGGCGGCGGCAAAGGCACCACGGCACCCGACGGAACCGTGTCACCCTCACACGGAATCCGCACCGGTCTCACGGGCGCCAGGCTTCCACTGAGGATTTCCTTGCCTGGCGAGAACTTGCCGTCCATCAACCGATCAAACACCGGGGCCTTGTAGGAAGACTTAGCTGCACCCGCCGATGCCGGTCGACTCGGTACGAGTGGACGCGAGGGCGGCGATTGAGGTCCATCCGCCACCAAGCTGGAATTTGCAGTGAAGTATTCATTCGTCGAGGAAGGCGAGCCGACGATGGACGGGCTCGAGATGGCATCGACGAGCCGGTCGATCTCAATCGAGCTGGCACTCATGGAACTTTCGCCCCATTCGGGTGCGTTCCACTTGGCAGGTGGTTGGATCAGAGTCACCTCGCCTTGCGTTGGCGGAGGTGTTCTGGCCGGTTGCTGAATCGCCACATTGTCCGGAGACTCCTCCTTGGGAATTGTAAACGGAACACACAGAGTAAACCTCGAGCCCTTCCCTTCCTCGGACTTCAGTCGCAGCTGGCCATTCATATTCCTAATCGCACGAGCTACGACAGCAAGTCCCAAGCCAAGAACCCTTTGGCCAGGCATCTTGCTAAGAGCATTGAAGGATGCGCTCTCTTCGTGGGATAGCGAGAGGATATCCCCCTCCTCCTCCGTGTGGATTTGTTCGAATTCTCCGAAGAGAATGTTCAGCTTGGCGGGCGAGATTCCCTCGCCAGTGTCTTCAACTGCGATTTCGATATCGCATTTCCCACCTTGGATGCCCCCAGCCCATATCTCAATCCTCAGTCCTCCCGCGGACGTATGTTTGACGGCGTTGGCCGTGACATTGCTGATGACCTGTCGCAGTCGTGCCGGGTCTCCCTTGACATACGATGGTAGGCCTGGATATTCCACCACCTCGAAAGTGAGTTTCTTCCGATCGGTATCCGCACGGAACTTGTCCGTCGCTTCGAATACTACCTGGCGAAGGTCAAAGATTTCATCCTTCATCAGGTCCTGGCCCTCTTCTGTGCGGGTGAGATCCAACAGGTCATTGATAACATAAATCAAGGACTTCGATGCAGAATGGGACCGCGCCAAGTTGTCGCGAGTCTCTGTATCGAGCGGTCCTTCGAGTGCTATCTCCAAATAGTTGATGATGGCGTTTAACGGTGTCCGGACTATCAACAGATTAGCACGAAGCGTCTGCTGTACCTAGGTAAGTACTCATGAACACCTCACCTTCATGTGAAGCATTAGCAAGCAGCAGTCGAGTGAGCTGACTATTCTTCAGCGCAGCCTCTTTCTGCCTCCACACCTCAATAAACTTTCCATACACCAAGCAAAGTACCGCCGCGGTTTCGACTATTCTCCCCGCACAAGTGATTAGCAAAGCAAACCTCCCCATCCCCCATCCCCCAGACACATCCGGATAAAATCCACACACCTTGTTCTTCGGTCCATTCACGACTTCGTCCAACGACAGTTTCTGACCATATCTGTCGATACCAATGAGTCTCCCCTCACTACGACACTACGACGGGGTCGCGAGTTTACCTTGAAGCTTGTCTAAATTTACATATTAGCCTGTGATTCCAAACTTCTAAGATATCCATAGCACCTTACCCTTGGCTCGAGATACGCATCTGTACCTTCCTTCAACTTCTTATCGTACGGATTTCCAGCCCAGTGGACGTGCTGTGCGCGCGAGAGTTCTTGTCAGAAAAGAAAAAACAATCAAACCCAGACCTAGACGACCAACTAACCGATATCTGTGGCTGTCTGAAAAACACTATAAAGTCGCGCCCTTCAGAGCTCAGCGGCACCAACAACAAGCCAGCAATGACCTTGAACCCGGGCTTATATTTCAGATCTGGGAAATCCTTTACCATGTCTTGCGAGGTGATAACAGTGTTAAAGTTCCTGACACGCAGATACTCGAGCATAGCGAGGGCCTCCTGCGAATTCTCCGACTTGCCCAGCACCTTCGTTTCGTCGCGGATGCTCAACAGACCACAGTCGGCATCGAACAGCTTCAGCAGGTCATCGGAGCTCGCAACGATATAGCCGCCCGGATTCTGTTCCGTGGGCACGGTGTTGATCAGTTTGCGAGCGTGCAGCCGTCGGGCGTACGACAGACGCTCGATGGTGCGGCTGGCAGTCTCGCCGACTAGACGGCACATCTTCCGGATTGGAAACGATACGCGCATCGGACTGTAGGAATGGCAGGAAACGAGGCCCCATAGCTGGTTGAAAGCGGTGATGGAAATGCTCATGCTTGCCCTGACTCCCATGTGGCCCAGATATTTGAGGTGAATCGGGCTCATAGCCCGTAGATAAGAGTGTGTTAGGTCCAGCGGAGTCTCCAAATCCTCGCGAGTATTGCATACGAGTCTGGCCGTTGTCTGCTCTCGGTCGTAAAGAAGTCGGACCTTGTTGATGGTGTACAAGGCTCGGGCCTGTGCCGGAATGTCGGACGCCGGGAAGTGAAGACCTTTGTACAAATCCTTAGTAGCCCTCGGATCCACCAATTCTGTGACAACCCTTCCATTCCACGCCTCGTCGAACTGATAAATCATGACGCGGTGAAACCCCGTGAGTTCCTTTACCAGGCCCACGACGATCTTCAAAAACGTGGTCAGATCGGCAGCGGAAGCCAGTTGGTCTGTGTATGCCGATCAAGTCAGATCAATGCTCAACCCATAACGAAAGCACCCAGAAGCGAAAGCATATATACCTTGAATCTGACTCATCAAACTGAAAACCTTTATATAGCCGAGTCAATCCCAGTATTCAAACCACATAGCGCATCGCATCCGCCCCGCAGTATGGGAATAACAAACCTCCATTGCCGCGGCATCTCCCCTCCTTTTCCGCGCGGACCGCAACACGCGCAGTGGTCTACTCGAGCTCATTGTGCTCTCCAGCAACTCCTCGTGTGTGGGCTTCGAGTCGAGCGTCTCGGACGGCTCCGAACTGTCGGATGCAAGGCTGAGCGGAAACAGGCTGTCATCCTCCAATTCGAATTCGCAAATGAACAGACTTTTGTCCCCCGCTGGCAAGTGTATCGCACACCACAGCTTGATCTGAATTGCATCGGGCCCGGTAACATTGAGAGAAAAGACCTCGGGGCCATCGAGTCGCGCGTCCGAGTCGTCCCGTACGAATTCGATGTGTTCGGCGAGGTGGTCGGCTTGCTCATCCGACAGGACGGACAGGAAATTGCCCCGTGCAAACAGTTCGCTGGGAGAGTAGCCGATGATGCTTTTCGAATTCTGTGTGGAATAGGGTTAGAAAACGCTATTTCTCCCCGTGGAATGAAAATACATGCTTCGCTGACGACTCGGACATCTAGTATTGCCCCGTCCTCCAGTTCTCTCATTGCCACAAGGCAACCAAACCCCTGCACCGCTCCCGGAATATGGATTGCCTCGTCCTCACAACGCTGCATCTTTTCCACCCCCGCAACCCCGGTCACTATCATATGTCCATCTTCGGTGATGACGTGCTTATGTCTCTCGGTGTAGAAACCCGTCCCCGCGCCCGAATCGGCCGAGCCGCCGTTCTGCGACCCTGGAGCCTCCGCCGTGAAATAACTGACGCTCGCCGATCTCGCTGCGGTAGACGGTGCGGCAGAGCTCAGATACGGAGTCGTATTCGTGGTGGATCTTGAATGGCTGTCCAGCTTGAAGAAGGACTCGGAGTCCTCCCGCGCCGGCGTCCCGACCAAACTATTCATGAGGCTCATGGTGCTCAGGGGACCAACACTGCTGCCAGACACGCTCGCGCTGCTCCTTGCACCTGGCGACTCCGGGCCGAACGGCTGCGGCTCGATGTTGACGACCGACCGTATCGGAAACACCCTGTCGTACCCCTCTCTGTCCGATGGGGCAAAGTTGCCAGGAAAGGGCGGCCGCGAGACCGATACGCTCGAGACACTGCTCAGCAATGGCGGTGCTGTCGGTGCAGAGGCAGATTTTGGAATCGTGATACCGGTAATGCTCGAGCATGTGGCGGCGCTTGGGTCTGTCTCGGACGGGCTAAGGTGCCCATCCGAGCACCTAGTTTCCTCCTCCGGGGGACTCATCGAGATGTCTGTGCAATGACAGCACGACCTAGTACCTATTACCGTTATCGAAGCAATCGGTGCAATCGGTGTAGGGCCAGGTTCGGCAGGATGGACAGTCTGTATCAACCGAGTACTGCGACCGATGGGAGGGGCGGTCGATTATTGTTGGTCGGTGGACCTTACTGGGCGAGGGGTTGAACGATCCGTTCTCAACGACTTTCCAGTCAGCGCTCCGTTTCCCGGCCGGGCTGGATGTGGCAAGTGGAGTGGCTACGCTCGAGGGCCGCAGATGCGTATCGGACGACGGCGGCGGCGGCGACGGTGACGTATCGACGGACTAGTTGTAATTGTGCGGGCGGTATGGAGTGCTCTCTCTCTCTCTCTCTCTCTCTCTCTCTCTCTCTCTCTCTCTCTCTCTGTCTTTCTTTGAGGGATATCTGCAGCAGAACAGAGGGCCGGAAAAAAAAAGATCGTGCAACCACGAGCAGAACCGAACCGAGTGGAAGTTTTTATGTATGTATGTAGATATGTATGCCGCAAAGGTTGGGCTGGATTGGACGCGTGCGGAGCTTGAGGAAATGAGAAGCTAGAAGAGCTAGGCCCTCCGTTCCAGCTAGGTAGCAATCGAGGCTGCAGTTAATGCACAGTCCGCCGCCACCCGCCGTTTTGGTGGTTATGCGAAAACGCCGAGGAAATGATATGTGGCCCGCACCACCACCCTTCTTCCTTCCGTCCTCCTCCTCCTCGCACGCTAATTCGGTGGCTTCTTAACGAAACGACCGACACAGCCGGTCTCGATAACTATTCGTGCAGAGTATGTGGATGGGTAGGTATGTATGTAGATGTGTAGGTAGGTGGGTAGGTGGGTAGGTACGGTATATAGGTAGGACACTAGGTAGATAGGTGCGGACACTGGACGGGTATGTTGGAAGGCACTCCCCCGGCCGTGGTTCTTAAAAGCCACGAATGTGAAGCCCCGCGTCGATGAGCAGACGAATTACAGATTCGCTGGGGGGATGGCGTTGTGTGCTAGGCGCAAGACGCAACAGAAAAATGATAATTGCGGAAGTGCATCAATAGTAAGAGTAAGAGTAAGGCCCCTGCGCACACCCTCCTCCTATGTAGATACTCCTCTTCCCATGCAGCAGCACCGCGAACGCAATCCTGGTCGGCTTTTCGGTGTCAGTGCGGATACAAGGCTGCAGGTGGAGGTGGAGGTGGTGAAGATGGTGGTGGTGGTGATGGGTGGTGGTGGTGATGGTGTTGGTGGTGAAGGTGGTGGTGGTGGTGGAGTTGTGAGTGCAGGTTCGGTGGAGTGGAGTGGAGTGGAGTGGAGTGGAGTGGAGTGGAGTGGAACAGAGCGGAGTTCGGTGCGAGCGAGCGAGAGTTGTTGGGTGCACGAATGGTAGATTAGTTATGTGGAGGAGAGACACGACAAGACAAGAGGATTCTTCTTCTTCGTCGGCTTTGCTTCGACTCGACGGGGTCGGGAGGGGCTGGCGGTTTTTCGATGTGGCCGTATGTACCTATCTAGAGTACTTGCCTATACTATTCCTTTAGCAGGGGCACATTTTGCGGATCGCTTATGCCGGAGGGAAAATCCGTGTCTCTCCATCTCAGCAGTTGTTCGGGACTACGAGGATGATTAAGCATGGAGGAGTAGGAGGAGCAGTAGGAGGAGGAGGACGCGGGGACGGGGGGAGGAAGCGGAGGAGGTGGATGGTGCAAAGATCTCCATCAAGGCTTGTGTGGCGTCGCATCTACTGCCGGTGCTAGAGCAGCATATCTAGCAGTAGAGTGATGACTATCCCATGCAGACTGGCGAAAGCCTCACACTCCACAGTATAAAAACGCATGGAGATCAGACACGTACAATACAATATAGCACTACGGCATACACAGGGGCGCGTTGAGCAGACTCGGCAGCACATAGCAGATACTCGATAGTCGGATGCATGGAGTTTACTGACTCTACCCTACCATGTGCCGGTATGCACCAACCCTACCTACACACCGCCCGGCCCAACGTCAGCGTGCACCGTCACGCAGCAGCGAAATAGAGTGGAACCCACACGCCGAACAACTTCCCCAGCAAGTCGGAATCTATGGCAAAGATTCCCCATCAAGATTGCATCTGTCGATCCGGAGCAAGCACACACCCTGTGCTGTGTGCGCTCTCCACTCGCCTCCGATGCTCCATCCCATCCATCCCATCCCTCCCATCAATCACATCCCTCCTTTCCCGGCGCGCCACTGCGTCCCATCCCATATGCCCATCCCATACATAAATCCCATCCCATCCGCCTCTCCACTCCAGGTGGCTGGCTGGCTCTTCTCTTTCGGCAGCAGCGAGACCTGCATGCACCGCAGTAGGCGCTCTATTCTGGGGGTAGGTATGGTACCGTGTTTACATACTCCACCGTACTCTGCAGTATGGAGAGCGGTCCATGTATGGACGGTTGTCCCACCCATCCATAGGCCGAGTACCTACACGACCTCCTGCATTTATGGAGGTCGAGGATGAAACATACCAACTCACTTGCCCACATATCCCGCTAACTATGAACTATGGGGTGCGTTTATCCTCTGGTGTCTGGGGGAGAGGAAAGGAAAAGGAAGAAGGTATGTACGAGTACATACTGTGTAGATATGATACCTAGCAGTCAGTAGGCCCTGTCGATGGCGATCGGCAGTGGTTGATCTTTAACCTAACTATCGCGATACCAGATTGCCGTTGTCCGACGGGGGGGGAGGGTGTGACGCTTGGCTGGCCGGCTGGGTGGGTGCGGGCGCACCACCATGGCACCGCACCACCAAGAGCCCATGGCACCACCAAGACACCGCAACACCGACATCGAAAAGGACAAAATTCCCATTCCCATTCCCATCCCCATCCACCGATAGTTACATATCCGTATCTCTGTCCGTAGGCTGCCTACATACCGGTGTCTACTCTACTCTGCTACGGTACAGCCTACGTTACCTAGGTGCCTCCCCTTGTTGGACATGTGCCTCCATGGAGTAGGTACTCAAGTGGTTGGGCGTACCGTGCGATAGTTACATGATACATGATACAGGTATCCCTAGACAAAACGCCAATGCCCCCGCCCGTGTCCCGACTCCCGAAGTCCAGGTTTGCCGCTCTTATTTTTGATGCCACATGCAAACGAACGACACTCGTCCCACAGTCCGCTCGTCTGGATGCCGCTGGTGCAGTTTTGGTGGAGTTGCTGTGGTGGTGGTTGCGGTCGTGATGGTGGGTGCGGGGATATGTACGGTAGGTGCTCGGGCCGGGGGGCGGTAACTAGAGTAAATAGAGTAACTATTAGTAGTGCTATAGTTATAGCAGAGTAGATACATCTCGATTCGCTGCGCGGGGGCGGAAGCTTCATGCTGGTTAGATCGTACTCCAGTCTCCAGCTGCAACCCCGTTCGTCCCCCGAAATCGGAATGTCCGACGACGACGGAGAGGCGGGCCCGCCAGATTTCCAACATAGATAGATCCCAAAGCCCAGCTGGCGTATGTATGTAGCAAGAATCGCACGAGGTACTCACTCTACTCACTCAAGGTACTATAGCGAGCGGCACCAGTGACCAAACACCAAAAACTCGCCGTTAGGCAGAAGCCGGAGGGAGGTATGTAATCCGCGGGCTCGATTTCCAACCTCGATTCTAGGCTTCCGACGCAAGGACTGGTAACTGCTCCAGTGCCAGTGCCAGTGCCAGTGCCAGTTTTCCACGGGCCCCGGCTAAACCAGATGCCGAACCGAACGTATGTAGCTCGCCGGTCAAACGCTGTACTGTACAACTGTCTATATACCTACCTGTCACTGCTCTTAGTATGAATCATGATAGGTATGAAATGATAGGTATGATACCCAGCGGAACACCCCCGAGGCGCCCCGATGCGCAGGCACAGGTCGTCCGTCCAGATCGGAGAACTACATACGGTACCTACAAACTATAGTTACGGGCGGCTCGCCCATACGGTACGTAGCGGGCGCTCCACAAACCCACGACGGAGACTATCTAAGTACATACCCAGGTAGGCAAAATCATACGAGTCACGAGTGCGCCCGAAACACCACTGGGCGGACCATGCTTCTCTCTATTCTATAGCAGGCGTATGTACTCTACATAGGTACATACACCTATCCAACCAACTGTGCGATGATCCCGCGAAAGATTTGGATCCTGGATTCTGGAACCCCCACCTAACTGTAGTAAAAGCACAGGATCTCACTCGAGCGCCACCGCTGCAACGCCGCAACACCGCAGCGAAACATCGCATCCATCCAGAAATGCGGGACTGCTCTACATGTGACTTGGGATTATTGCTTGGGATTATGGCTTGGAACGGGCTTGGGAATATGGCTCCACACACTACACTACTATAGGCTCTGGGTAGGCTCTGGGTCGGCTTTGGGGAGGCGGTGGTAGGCAGTGCTAACCCGAGCCGTAATTCGCCATTCGCCACCCATAACTGCAGATAGCTCTGGATACTCCCGGGTTATTCACGGGATGGATGCTCTAGTTAGGCTGCTCAGGGCTTTTGTGATGGTGGCGCCACCCGGTGACCCGACTGGGAGGGAGGGGGGAGTTAGTTGAATCCCAACCATCATCACGGGTCAGCTTACTCCACGGTAGCATGTGTTGAGAGGAGAGAGGGCGCAGTTCGAGCTTCGGAAAGCGAAGGCGGCTTGTTTGGCTACCCCACCCCATCTCCTCCAGAGGCATGTGAAAAGGAACCGTACAGCACGTCGGCATGTCGGCACCTGCCGGGGCCGAGGCCCGGCGGACCCCCCAGGGCCCAGGGCTGCTGCTGCTGCTGGTTGACTCAATGGGATGGCTCGAAATGTCTTCTGCCCTTTTCCTACCGAAGCTCGCCGGCCACCGAGCAAGCCGCTGCCGCCACGTCTCGCCGCGAGTGAGGGCACAAATATCGCAGCCTCGCCTCCCCCCCTTCCCCGGGAGGTCAGCCTTGCGAACCACACCGTCCATCGTCCATCGTCGTCGTCGGACTCCCGGGCCTGTACCGTATGGTGAGGCGGGTACGAAGTTACGCGAAATCCCCTGCCCCTCCCCCTCCCCCCTCCCCCCTCCCCCACTCCGCCCCTTACCTGGATTATATTGCTGCGATTGCTGTGACCCCATTGGAGCACTGCATCGATATCATAGAATGTGATGGAAGGTCGAAGGCAAAGAGGCAATGAGGGAACATCGAATTGTTGCTGTTGTTGTCGCATACGGCGGCCGGCCTGTCTAGACTGCGACCTACCTGTCTAGACCGCGGCAACTGGACTGCGGCGACTGGACTGTGGAGACTGGACTGCGGCGACTAGATTGCGGCGACTGGATAGTGGACAGTGGAGCGTAACGAATCGGGTAAAGTGCGAAACTGGAAACCGCAAACCGCAAACTGCGACGAGTGAGGATGCGTGAGCCGCTGCGGTTGTCACGACTCACGGTTGCGGCGATGCAAGCAAGGTTGCTGACATCTGACTGCTCTGACTGCTCCGACTGCTCCGACTGCTCTGACTGCTCTGACTGCTCCGACTGCTCCGACTGCTCTGACAGCTCGTGCATCGTCACATATGGCACAGCGGATCCTTGCCTTCCTATGCATGCATATCTCTTGTATGTAAGATGTACCATATAGAGGCACGCAATAAAGTCATCAAGATTATGTCGTCCTTATCATAAGGGAGGTATTCAGATAATTCTTATATAAGCCAGTCATAAGCACGTGCAACCCCGTAGGGTTTCTATAAGGGGAATGCCAAAATAAGGCATATGTTCCCATAACTCTAGAATTCTCATGGCTCCTACATATTGCCGGCCCAACAGAAACCACTGTTCATAAATCAGCCTTCTCACCTTGTGAGACTTAGGCCATCCTAAGGGATATGTAGTCAGTGTTGACATGCACAGCCCTGACGTATGATAATGACTGTGAGACTAGCAGGTTTTGGGAAGCATTATAAGCTATCTCGGCCTGATCCAAGAAAACCCTTCGAGCGCCACAGGCTTGATTTCTTCACAAGCATGATATAAGCGTTTAATGAGCTTATTCGAAACCATGGGTTCTATCGCCTTTACGGATCCATGGCGCATATGCGAAAATCAGACTGCTTGACACGGAACTTCTTACATCGGCCTTATGTTCATCTAGCACTGGCGCTCCGAGTAAGGGATGTCGTCACTAAGTATGCACTCCCAACTTTTTCATGCCGTCGACCCCCCACAACCCTCCCCACTACACTACCTACACTACAACTCCTCCTCCCGCCGGCAGCTCCCCCCATTACTTCCTCATCTCGCTGACAATTCCTCTTCCCGCTGGCAGCTCCCCCATCACTTCCCATCTCGCAGACAGCTCCCCCACCACTTCCTCATCGCGCTGACTACTCCTCCTGCCACAGACAGCTCCCCCACTACTTCCTCATCTCGCTGGCAGTTCCCCCATCACTTCCCATCTCGCTGACTACTCCTCCTCCTACAGACAGCTCCTCCATCACTTCCTCATCTCGCTGACTACTCCTCCTCCCATAGACAGCTCCTCCATCACTTCCTCATCTCGCAGACAGCTCCTCCTCTCGCTGGCATCCCTCCTCTCGCCTACTATAGCTCCTCCATCACTTCTTTCACTTTAGGTACTACTAATTCGCTGCGCCGCCAGCGCTGTATCCGCTGCGAGAAGACATTTTTGCAGACGGCTCTTTTGCTAACACCTCTAGGCTGGGGCGGGTAGAGAGGAACACACACAGAATGAAGAGGAGGTAGGGGTTGATCGTCTATTCCGTTATGATGAGGAGAGAGAGAGGCCTCTCGAGAAGCTTCCCAGGTTCGTTCCTTCCTCATTGGCTGCCCTAACTATCCTCACTAGCTATTACATCTGATCCTTTCGCCGACAGCTACTAGGTTACCATCCCGCGGCCCGCCGCAGCACTGCCCACACATCGTCAACGCTGGACTCGGTAAGCTCGATCAGGGTGATGGTAAAGCAGCTTACTGCTTGTAGTAGGTGGAGTGGGAGGCGGTACAAAATTTGTGAATCTAGTATATATACTCACAGGATAGTGTGGGCTGGGCTGGTGAGTGGGGGAGGATATGGGAAGGGGGCAGGGAGGGAGGGAGCGGGGAAGGAGTAGTTTAGGTATATAAATAATAAAGGTACGGAAGAAGAGCATCGCCAAGTGAAGACCATTGATAAGTGAAGAGCATTGATAAGTGAGAAGTATCGCATGGCGTAAAGCTTGATGCAGAAAAAGTCCTTATGAGCGTATAAGCCTTACTATCCCTTATTTATTGAAATGACTTATGGCATCCTTATAGAGCCTTATGAGCTCACAAGGTTTGCGGTGAGTAAGCCTTGCAGAAAGCTTTGGAGTCGCGAATCATTTTCACAGCGCCAGGATTGAGGAAGGATTATTCAACAAAATGCCCTGGAATCTGAAAACCCTGACCAAACATTTTTTATGAATAGGCTTATTGAGAATTTATACAAATATAAGTATAAATATTTTCATGCGGGTTGTGTCAAAATCGTGCCCATACCAGGCTGCCACAAGCTTGATGACTTTATTGCCTGGCTCTATATGGTATGTATGTGGTTGCACCTTTATGTAGGCCTCCCGCGTCGTTGGAGCATCGTTGGAGCCCAACTGCCAACATGATCGATCGGAGCCGACAAATCTGTCGGGGTTATGTAAGTCTGGACTCTGATGGTGATGACCACAGCCTCCGAGACTGAGGATACAAACCACACATGTAATACCACGATACATCTAGTGCCATTCACAATTCTCCAGTACTTACGTAGGTGCGCCAAACATCGTCGCCTGAAGGCTGGCTCCTGGCCACGGCCTACGCGTGCAGCAGTAGCACTGGAGGTCAAGTAATCCTCATACCTACCGTATCCCGCGCCCGGCGAAGGGGGACTACCTAGTGATTGATACACCGCTTATCTACCTATAGTATGCATGAGTTCGCCGGATCGGCGGAACTTACTCACCGAACAGATGAACTGATGAATAGAACCACACCATCGCCTTGCACAGTGCAGCCGGCCGACTGGAAGTCTGAAAGCTATCGTACAAAACGGCATCCTGCCCATCGGACATCGGACATCGGACATCGGACATCGGACATCGGACATCCCGCTGGTCTTTCCGGCTATCCTTGGGAGCTCCGAGCAACTACGCACATGGATTCGTGCATCTCCTCCGCAAAGGACCCAAACTGACAACAACACCGCCGCCGCCTCGCAGGACGGCGGGGCGAGTTTGTTGCTCTGCCAGAGGGAGTGAAGGAGAGGTTCTTTCAGTACCTGGATTATTATCTGAAGCCGGAACATGAAGAGTTCACGAGGTGGTTTTATTGGGGGTGGCTGGAGCGGGGGATCAGCGAGGGGACGCTGCAGCTGGCGAGGGTAGAGGTCGTGCCTGGGGATTGTAGGAGGCGGAGGAGGCGCTGAGGACGTTGCAGGCTTGCAGCGTGGGGTCTGTGATGTTAAGTTGATCATTGGACCAGTGGCCGAGTAGCGGCGGGGAGCCATGATGGTCTACAGCAGATGGCACGAGTTGGAAAATTCCTCGTTGGGGGGCTGCATGTGTTTATGCCTTGCTTCCTAAGATTCATCTCGCACTCTGATATCATGCATGTTCGGTGGTCCTTATGGACTGTGTATTGGAAAAGAGCAAGAAGCGCAAACTCTCTATTTCATATTGGAGAACTCGCGGTGAGAGGGTAGGCGGTTACATAAGACTATGCCTCTCAAATTCGCTTAGTCCCACGCCTTTTCGTGCAGCAGCCACGTTGGGATTGAACTCGATGCCCGGAAGCCCTCCCCCCGAAGCCACTCACTGTGAGTAATGCCCAAAGCCCGGAAGAGACGGTGGAACCAAGATGCCCGTAAACAAAGCATTTGAAAGTGAAGTAGGAGTGACGGATTTTGGGTGGACGGCTCCATCTCTCTCGAACCATATCCTCTCGTCCCATACCCCAGCCCTTCCGTACCAAACCACGCAGCGGCAGAAACGGGGAAGTGGGGCATTACTGCGCCTCCCCGGCACCAGCCGCCATGTCCCCGCCGTCTGCACTGCCTACGCCGCCCAGCGGCTTCGGCGGCAGGAGGCGTTTTACCGTCGCCAGGATCTCAACCTGCACGCTCTCATCGAACCGCGTATCCATCTCCTCGACGATGCAGTCTAGCTCCGCGATCGTCTCGGGCCGCTCATTGACGATCTGCAGCAGCTCACCCTTTTCTAGCGGCCATGCGCTCACCGCCTCCATGAACGTCGAGATCTGCCCGTCGGTTTGCGATGCGCACGGCGATACGAGGAGGTAGTCGCGGACCTGGGAGGGCGGGGGCCCGCGGGTTAGCGATCGACCGGCTGACTGCGAATGTGGGACGGGATCGATACACACTTCTTTCATCACGGTCTCGAGGTTTTCGGCCTTCATTGCGTGTGCGCCGCCGACGCGGTGGTGTATCTCGGTGTAGCGCGCTTTCATCGCAGTAATGTGCACGAGGACTTCGTGGTTGCTGAGCATTCCGACGCGGGGGTTGAGAATCTGTGTTCGGCAGGCCAGGTCAGTTACGTGCCGTGAGGGAGCGCCGGAGTGCAAGCCCCCCTACCTTCATGGCGGATGCGTTGCTGTGAGTGTGCTCAGTTGTTTGGTAAGGATTTTGTTGCTGTTGTTGTGTCTGTCACGGCGGGAGTGTGTGAGGAATCAGAGTCAATGATGGTGTAGCGTTAAACGCGGTGGAAACTAGGTGGAAACTAGGTGGAAACCTTACCCACGGCGCACGCACTCCTGCCGGTCCTATTTTTGTTTCGCTCGCTTGATCAACTTCCAAGCTTTGGTTAGTCCGCATGGTGGGGTCCAGATCACAAAATCACAGTGTCGGCGGAGCGATAAATGATGCGACGAGGCTGGAGATCCACGTTCTCCACCGGCGAGGCCATTGATGTGTATGATCCGAAGGTAAATGTGACGTTGAGAGAACAAATATTCCTGGACACTGGGGAGCGGGGGAGAGGGAGGAACAGCTCGAATCATAACGTATGGAACGCAAGTGCAGGAACCAGACCCCCGGCAGGAAAAAGCATTGGGCGACACCTCAATGCAGGGAAGACATCGGCAACCGCGGCGGGAATGAGTTCGTTAAGCGCACATTGCATTCCGTCGCTGCCGCCAATAGGGCGCCCCCACAGTGCGTATGTATGGTCACTACATACGCGAGGTTAGCACGGGTGGTGAACGAGACATGCGGTTAGTGATGCGCGGGGCCCACCTAGATGTAGATGTAGATGCCATTGGTCTTGGGAACTGGGAGGGCGGGAACGCCTCAATTCATCCTATTCCTCATCACCCTACCGGTATTTGCACATCAACAGTGGACTTAGATAAGCTCATGTCTGGGAACCCGCACGGATGCAATCCCATTTGGTGGTGCCTGGCTTCGTGATGTACACTGATCACCAAACTGGTCCTCTCACGCCGATGTTGCAGGTGAAATGAAACAAGAGAAGTTCCTACATAGGCTAGGTAGTGTGGCGGAGCGATGTAGGAGCTGTCGGCGAGAGGAGGAAGTGAAGGAGGACACCTGTCGGCGGGAGAAAACCAATGTGGTTAGCAGTGGGCATCAACGTTGGTCGGAATCGACATTGGCAGGCAGCAGTGGCGGGGTCTTCTTCTTCTTCTTTTTCATCATCATCTATCGAATACCTAGACGGTCAACCCCCCATTGGTGCCGTATCAATTGGCTAGCGACAGTAAGAAGGACAAGGAGAATACATCGTTAGTCATGAGAGTGATACTTCTTCACACCAGAAACAAAGGTAGAGTACAGCAGAAAGACAAGATCCAAAGAAAGGTGTAGAGACTGACAGGGGCAGGGGGAAAGCAAGCAGAAGAAGAACCCCAAAAAACTGCCTTGGCATCATGCTCTGAGCGTCTCGGTTTCAGACAGCCAGGAAGATCTAACGGGGGTATATTGCGCTTGAAAAGGAAGCTCCCGCCAACCGAGGCATCGTCTTTGGCGCCCGAATGAGGCGTTAGCCGCCAAACATATCGAAACCAAAGCACTGAAACAAAATAGAAGAACAATTATGGTAGTCGAGGATAAGACGGATCACTCTGCCGGGTGATGAACCGGCCCGCCCCACAACATCTCACGACCCACGTGCGACTCCGCAACCGCCATACTTCGGGCTTACCTTAAAAATTAATCAGGAAAATAGCTAAAACAAGTGGGCAGCTTGCATATTTTGAGATAATTATGACTGAAAACATGAAAGGTGAGAGAAAGTGAAGCCCCCTGAGAAACAGAGAATGTGGAAGACACGTGTGACCGGCGTGCAGACTCATCCTATTTGGGAAAGTATGACAAAGGAAACAGCCCCCCATATGGTCTGGCCCACCCTGACAGGGCGTCAATTGGCGCCATTGATATCATCAATGTAGTTCATGATTTCCTCCAAGCCCCGGACTTCTCCGATTTCAGGCTCTAAGAGCCGTCCGGATCCCATAGTGTGGAGGATCCTACTACCGACACCACAGACGAGGGCATTCTCCGCTCCATCCGCATCCCTCCTGATGAATATATCTGAGACGCACGCATCCGACCACGCCACACCAACTCTCTGGGTGATCTCAGCCGCTTCGACGATCTGCCGCTTCCATTTCTGTCTGGTGGCCCGGTCCTTCTCCGTCGGATCGATTGCGTCCAGAAATTCGCCCTCGACGTACTCCCGTAGGAGTCCGTCGATCCTTCCATCTCCTTCCTCGGACTCGGCCAAACCCGCCAGAACCGGGAATCGCGGCGAACCCTGGAGCTTGACGAGATTGTCGACGAGCCGGATAAAGTACTGGGTGTCAAAGAAGCCCTGCAGCGACTTGAAGAGGTATCGCGAGCCGCCAGCGATGACGAGATTGCCGAGCCGCCCGTGCACCAATGGGCCCAGGGTGACATGTGTGGGGCCAAACACTGCAAGGCTCGGCCAGGTGTTCGGCAGAGGGTCGTATCGGGGCCATCTGAGCGTTTCGAGGTGTTCCTTGGTCGCAATCGTGCCATCCACCGTGAAGACGTGGAGCTTGACAAGAGTCTTCTTCCGTCCGTGGGGGAAGGGTGAGCCCCTCCTGGCAATGAGGTTCGGAGTCGTTGCCCCCGACGTCATCTGCCGCATCTGCGAGAGATAGTCCGCTTTGACCACGGGATGCCAAAGATGTTCCAGGTCGCGCCAGGCCCTCCATATAGCGTCTTCGCGGCCGTCGTCGTTTAGGTCGCGGCTCATGGAGGCTTTGCATTCTAGTAGGAGCGTCTTCTCAATACAGGAAGCCGTCTCGTCACTGCACGTAATGAGGATGTGGTAGCGCATGGTGCCGTAGTCGCAGAGCTCGTGGAGAGCGTAGTAGCCCCCGCCGGGAGATGAAGAGTGAAACGTGAAGAGCTCCGATGTGAGTGGACGGATATCCATGTCCAACTGGCTATGGTCAATCGGAATCTTTTGGAGCAAGTCGTAATCTGCGCTGCCGATGGTTCTGGCCATTACGCTCCGTATGTCCCGCCTAAGAGCCTTCTCTTCTCGGACGCTGCCGCTAGTGCCGAAATTGAGTCTTTGGATAGGAAGATTGTTGTAGATGAGAACTATGGGCGGAATATTTGGACCGCCGGGTAGACACCGCCGAGAGTGTTCAGATGGAAGGGATTGTTTTCGTTTGCCAGCTAACCTGGATACAACAGTGGGGGATGGCCCCATTTTGATACCTCAGGATACATACTTGACCAGCCAACCGATCAACAATCCATAGGACTGCTGATTCCGGTGATGAAGAAACGCCCAACGCAGCTGTACGGCACGGCAGTCGGGCGAGACGACGTGGGTACACGCTGGCGGATGGACGAGTGAGAAGTTATGGTAGGGCGCTATTTGCGAGTTTTTTTTTGACAACCACACCACCAAACGCATCCATAATCAGTAATGGATTACTCCCCGCTAATGCATTTACTCGGAAAAACAAAGCATAGGCCATCATAGCATGGACCGAATTTCCGGGCTCTTCTACGGCGCGCAAGACGACTGTCTCGGTCAACACGTATGTAGCTGTACAAACAAGCAACGCCATGTTCAGCCACAAACTCACGCGGCCTGGTGCCCACCGTACACACACTACTCTAGAGTCCGGCATTCCGAGCGCAATATACTTTCCATGGGAACCTGGGGGATGCTGCTAGCTTTGTGTTTTGGAGAACAGCAATGCGTACCAGGATTAACGTCCAGGCTAGGCATAAGTTCCAACAAGCCCTACAAATGTCGCACGATGCGTGGCTATCTCCAGAAGAATAGCTACCACGATCGATCTTCCGGCTGCGAGGTCAGCATGAACGGAGTGAACTGTCAAGCGGCAGATTCATTGAAAAATCCTTCCGGTCCTCCCCAACGGATTTCGCTGGCGCACACGGCTGCTGCAGTGCGAACATTCTCGACTTCCCCAAGCGGAACATTCTTCAGGGCCCCCGTTGCACATGACTCGGATATTTGGGGGTTTGCGGTCAGAAATTGCTTTACCGCACTTTTCCTTTGGCGACAGCATTGAGTCGTCGCCTGTAGCGGGAGTCTCAGTGCTATTCTTGCACTTTATGCCCCGGATTTTGCGTTCTTCCCCGACGGAAAGAGAGAGCTCGGAAATCCGGGACTCTGTTGATCCATTCCGTCTCACGGCGTTGGAGGATAGTTAGACCATGATGGTAACCAGAGACATCACCAGGAACGCGATGGTACGTACGACCGACATTGATCGGTTCGAGCGATATCCGACGAAAAAAAGAAATTTGGACTTTCTAGAAGTAAATGCGAATCGGTTCAGCTGCACTCAATCCTTGCCGGGCATTACAACCGATCGTCATGCATCACCCTACCTACTGTATAGTAGCACTCTGATCAACTCCTACCGTCAAAAGTATGGATCACCACACGACTGGTTGATGAAGCGACGCGCACGAGGTTGGGAGTCAGGACTCAAACTCCTTTTGGCGGATCAATGGGTACGGGTGGGGGTTTCCATGCGTTCCATGGGTGGTCACTCGTGTCTCGGATCCAGTTCGCTTTTAGAATCCCCCGCCATGCGCCGTGGAACCAGTAACCGATTGGGCAAACTAGGAGGGGACGGAAAAGATGTAGTTCGTTTGCAGGATTGGATTCGGTTGGATGTGATATGACGAACATGGTAAGAAAAGAAAAGAAAAGAAAAGAAAACATGCCGCCCATGCGAAAGAGCTAGAGTCAGATCTCAATTCCACGACGGGTTCTGCCAGTGAGTAAAGTGTCGATCTCTTCCCAACTGGCTTTCAGGCGTTGGGTGAAGAATGGTAGTTACCTCATGCTGCAGTGCCAGTGCTTGTCGCATGGAAGAACCGCCGCTACCGATCGCTTATTTGCGACCCACGCACTAAACCCATGTGTGACGCCCCCCCTGATGTAACGATGCGGCGTCGGAATCTTAAAACTATACTTGTAAACACGATAACCCTCGGACCACTGCGCTTCAGCCGTCGGCTGACGCCAGACGTCCGGTTTCCGCGGGCCCCCGCGTTAGGCGAAACCAGTACACGTGTTATATCTCTCCGAGCGGTGAGGAGTGGGTTTCACTACATACCGTACCGTGGCAATGCTCAGCTAATTCTAGTTAAGCGATTGCTGGATTGAGCTTCCCCGCCCTCGTTTGTCCAGGAGCCCTACTATTTACTATTTGTTAGTAGCAGGATGGCAAGGCGAGGTCAGATATCTGCAGGCAGTCGTGGTGAATCGCGCGGTTAAGAGCAAGGAGAAAAATGAGAAGTCCCACATAACATTTGTTGTGTGCAGAGTTTGATCACTACCTCCCGACTGCTACCAGGTAGCTGGTCCAACAATCCTGCGGATAACGCCGTAATCACCAGCCACGAACTGTCCGCAGAATTGTTGGATCAGCTATGTAACTAGTAAACATCAGATACGCAGCGCCATAAGTTAGTATGCACGGATAGGTGATGACATCTCTCTGCCTTTAACGGAGAAGTAGCCTCCCGGCTATGGCTCTATTCCATCTGAAAAAATTGTATCTTACTCTACCTAATCACTGACTGGACTAAGTGGCCCACCGAACGTGGCTGACCGATAACCCTAACTATGTACACTGGTGTAAGGGTAAATGCTGCCTCACCAGTTTTTCCCCCATACGACTTAGCGTTTCTTGCCCATGCAACTTAGTCACATCCACTCACTCATTTGATTGTATATGGCTTAGTGCGCTTCTAACATAGACTAGTGCTTATAATTCGTAATGGTGGTGAGGCACCACTTATCGGCAGCTCCTAGTACGTAGTGGTGGATGCAGTGTACAGCTCACTATTCATTGGGCCGGATAGGAATATCCAAGACTACCGGTGAACGTGGTAGGGTATGGGTACACATGGCCTGCGTTTAGTTACGGTCATTCCACCGAATGGAAGCCCACCGTCCGAAAGAAGCAATCTCCGAACACAGGCTTTGGTAGTGACATATCGAACCTCCCGTCCACCGTCAATGTCATTCCGTTCTTCTACACCGCGATGCTAAGACGGAGGTAATGGGGCGCAGCTCCAGCAGTTTTACTCTACAGAACAGCCTCTATGCATACCATATGCGAAAATTGCTTTTCGTGTTTGTGTGTGTGTGGCTCCCGAACTATGGATCATCCCGCACGACTCGCACTCTACGAGTGACATCTATGATGGCGATATGTATCGACCACTTCTACAGCAGCAGCAGTAAATAACAATAGGGGAGGACAGAAATGGTATTGGATTCAAGCATTCCCGAGGTAAACCCCCGACTCAATGCACCAGCCCTCTCGCCCAGCCAGCTAATGAACCATAAGGCTCAGATCCTTGAGCCACCACTCCCAGCTGCCTCCGGCCCTACCCATCACATCGTTTCCACAACCCATCCTAACCATCTTGACCATCGAGATAACGGGGTCACATTTCATGCTGTTATTGGACTTGCCACACAGCGAGACATTGCCTCCCTTGTACTTCGCCAGCATGGTGCACTTGCTGCCGATCCCGTTGTACTGGTGCCAGCGACAGCCCTTGCCGCTCTACGCCTTCTTAAGAGTCTTGATGAGTCCGTCGATCTACGAATAAGTCGGGGAGGCCCACGAGGTCTTGCAGGTAAGCTGCTGGGCCTCGGGTCCCTGGAAGGGGTCGTCGGTATCGTTGGATGGAGTATTAATGGCGTCGTCGTCCCGGATCTTGAAGCGAGGGCTGTTGACCAGATTGATTCTCGTCTCGTCGGTCTTGGAGGTGATGCCGCCGGAAGGGTCGAAGGTGGACGGAACCGCAGAGGTGGTGCCGCTGGAGGGGCCGAAGGCGGTCGGAGCCGCCGAGGTGAAGACGGCGATCGTACAGAGGACCACCAAGATGTTGAGATAGATCTTCATGTTGACGTTGGAAGCTATATCGATGGTAGATAATGGTGGTGGGAAAAGGTTGTTTATGGTAGTAGATAGGGCTGATAGGGAAGAGAGGTGGGAGGGGGAGAGAGGGGAGAGGCGGAAGAAGGTACATAAAAAGATCGCGGTTTAGAATGACTTATTCCAATCCAACTTCGAGTGCTGCCAGGAACAACATCATCGATATCACTCGCACAGCAACACCTAGCGTCGACACAGACGGCTACACGAGGGCAACTTAGGGTTGCCGTGAGTTAGGTGTAGTGCATCGAGAGGGCCAGGCACTTAATTTGCTTTCTTTCGGAGACGAGACACAGCCAGGCTCAAAATTACCCGATACGGCAGAGACATCATCTATATGCAAGGCCAGTAATTTTAAGCTCAGAGCTCGAGTAGTATGTACTGTGGAAGTGCTGTTTGCTGTGACTGCTCACCGCCCCACCTTTGTCCTATAAAATTCGTTCTGCCCCTCCTTGCCGCTGAAGCAAACATCACCGCCAGCCAAGATATCACCATCCCCCATCGCACTCCAACAAGCTCCACCCACACAAGCTTTCGATCACCAACCGGAGTCGACACCGACACCGATCTTTCGTTTCACTAGCCAACCATCATTCTTCTTCTCCTCTCCACGCAACAATGCGCGAAAGCCTCACTACCATGCCACCGGAGCTCCTGTTGATGATCATCGAAAACCTGCCGCGGTTGGGCAATGCGGTCAACCTAGCCTATACCTGCCGTCGATTCGGGTACCTGTACGAAGCGAATATCGGTACCATCGGACGTATGCTGCCCCCAAAGGACTCCGTCTTCGCCAACAACATCGGACGGAGCTTGTGGAAGGATGCGCTCCGGCTGCACGACCTCTGCCATGGTACGTGCAAGCTATCCGATATATCCACTGTCGGAACCCGAACTAACCGCCTCCAAATAGGTGACTCCGGCATGACTAGAGGTGAAAGATACAGAGAGATGTTCACCACTGCGCGAAACGTTGCAACCGCAGCTCTGCGAATCGAGAGGGTGCTTTGTCACAATCTTGGCCGTGTTAGCGATAAGTGTCGCCACCGTTCAATTCAGAAAGCGCTATACGATTACTTGTACGCTGTCAACAGCAGGGACATAGATCCGCTGTTGCAGGCTACGGTTCGCAAATCCCGCGACGGCGACCCCGATGTGCCTCGCAGTTACTCATCATTTCTTCGGATGGTTTGGAAGGACTGGGATGTGAGCTGGCGGATACCCAGAATGCCAGCCGAGGCGAGGCGATTAGTGAAAGAGTTCGAGGAGGCACACTATCCGGGAGGCCAGGGCCTGCTGGAACTGTATCGATCCGTTGATCAGGGAATCGAGCTCGCTTGTTATGAACTTGCGAAGCCAGACTGGTATGTATTCAATCTGTCTGAAATGGAAGTAGGCACCCTATAGTGGTATGTAACTGATCATGTGGACCATAATAGGTGCTTAGAGCTGATCACCCTATTTAAAAGTTAAAATACCCATGTAATGTCACATAATGTCCTTTAAATGCAAATAGTTAGCAGCCGTGCAAAGGCCAATCATCTTCAAAATGACGAGGGCCGCTTGACTCGCGTTCTGTCCGATGGTTTTATTGCCTGTCTTCGCTCTGGTCAAGCTCTTGAGGTAGCAACCACAGAAAAAGTTGAGGGTTTGATTGGCGATTGAAGTTCGGCGTTGGGAAAACCGTTGCGCTGTAGGCTGTAGTTGTTGATGCGAGAGTGAGAATTGTATTGACGGACTACTATACATACCTTGTAAAGACAGTTTATGATATGGAAGTAAAAGAGAGTACAAAAGGACGTTATAACGAGCTAAACTAATCTCTTGGGGCCGAGGCCACAAACCTATGTAGCCACGGTGGCCTACCGCCGCTGGTGCTTCAATAGTAGTTACTTTTTCAATTCCGTGTTCACACTCTCGCCAAAATTCGCCCGTCAGATGACACCATCAAGCACTCGATCCACTTGGGCGGACTTGGTTTGATATGTGGATGAGTGGGTACAGTATACTAGGTATTCGACTGCCAGCGTATGGAACCAGGACAAGCAAGGGCACATCCCGAGCACATAGCGTTGGGCACGAGTACCGTATACATCGAAGTGATCCCGCGAGTATGTCTCCGGTTACTACTACTTCACATCAGGCCCCTCGGTAGGTATCTTCCGTCCCGTGATCTGTGTTAGAATCGCTGGTGGGAGGGGGTTGAACGGACGTCTACTTCAGACCAGAAGGACGGAGCAGGTATCATCCACCCGTTATGCTTGTAAGACTTGGGGTTGTGGATGAAGTATCGCCGTGTTAGCCTAAGATTCGGTTTGCAAGGGCCAAACTTCCTGCAGAGTTAGGGTAGTAAGGAAACACATTCTAGACTTTGCTGGTTACATGTAGGTCGTTCTCTAGGAGATGTTTATTACGTGTCGATACTAGTCTTGAATTTACTCTGTGGCTCTAACAAAAACGAAACAGAAGACCGCACATGTTCTAATCATATCATATCACTCGCAACAGCCGCCATCCGGCGAATCGCAAACTCCAATTTGAATTCCACTATTAAGAAAATTCGACGCAAAAAGAGGCCTCAGTTTTACCAGTCCATCAAATGAGTATGACGTTTAGTCCTGGTCCCTACCCACAATAAGGCCCTGCCTTGACCTCCCCACCCTCTCACCCAAGTCCATCTCACCAGCCTGTCGATGAGCTTGATTCAAAAACTGTGCTCTTCCTCCATACTTATTATTGCGCATCCTAGCGTCCTCCTCAGCAGCCGCAGCCGCCTTCTCCTTCTCCGCCAGCAGTGCAAGACGCTTAGCACGGTCCGCGTCAAGGGAACTGGCATTGCTCTGCATCGCTGCCAGCTTCCGAGCACGCTCTGCTTCCTCGTCTGCAACGGAGTTCGAGGTGGCCTTGGCGTGGTGGCGAGGCGGAGATCTGTAGCGGGGACGGGGCGGAGGCGAGGGGCGCCGCGGAGGGGGCGAAGGTCGGCGATCGTTTTGACGACGTGAAGAGTGCGGAGATGTGCGGTCCTGCTTCTCGTCGTCATGGCGGTGTGAGTGAGACTCTCCACGCTTCTCTGGCGTTCTCGATCGGTGTCGTCTCTCGCGAGAATCAGATTTCCTTGACCGCTCGCGCGAATCAGACCTCCTGGACCGCTCGCGCGAATCAGCTCTCTTGGTTCGTTCCCGAGAATCAGCTCTCTTCGTTCGTTCCCTCGACCGGCGACGATACTCCTTATCATCTCTGCCTTTATCCCGCCGGGGGCTCCTCGACCTATGTCTCCTCCTTGAGTGTGATCGTGACCTCTTGCGGTGATGTCTGTCCTTCTCGTCGCCGTCATGCCTGTGTCGATGTCTCCGTTCCTTCTTCTCCTTCTTGTCATCGACGCCCCTCGCCTCCTGTAGCTTCCGCCTCTTCGTCGGATCCTTCATGTACGCCTCCAACGCCTCCTGTTCCCTCCTCTTGATAGCCAGCAGCGGGTCGTCGCGCACCTTCGCCACGATATCCCTCTGATTTGCCACGCCGGTGGGCGCCTTCAAAAACCCCTCCGTACCAGCATCTTTCTTGAGGATATCGTTATCCTTTCCGGTGAGCAAGCCATCGATCCTCCTCCTGCCAAGCAACAGCGCCTCCATCTCCTCGCTCGTCCGATCCATCCCTTGCGCCGGCCCGCTGTACAGGAAGTCGACGCGGTCGAGAACTTTCTTGCCGCCCGCTGCCTCCTGGATCTTCCGTAGCTCCTGCAGCTGCCGCTCCTCTTCCCGCTCCTTCTTCCATTGCTCCGTCCGTTTGCGCTCGTCGAGCGCGCGCTTTTCTTCCTCCCACACGCGCTTTTGGTTCTTGAGCAGCTGGGGGTGCCAGGACTTTTTGAGATTGAGATCCTGCTGGAGTGTTAGTACACGCGCGGGACGGTATGGGATCGGGCGTGACTTACGCCTCCCATTTTGGATTGTGTCGGAGTTTAGGTGGGTTGTGGTTGTGGTTGTGGTTGTAGTGGTGGTCGTGGTCGTGGTTTGCGCAAGGTGTGTGTATGAAGCTTGAAAGCCGCTGTGGCATCGCCCCAGTAGAGTAGTTGTAGTTAGTCATGCCAAGCCACACTCGTCACGTGTACTATATAAAGTATGCGGGAAATTCAAGACTATCCAGAGATGTATATTTCCACGGTGACTCGCCATGTATGGAGAGATCCTACAGCCTTCTGCAGAAAATTAGAACTACGGCAAACGTCTATAATGCCATAGTTTTTTGGCACCGTAGTCTAATATGCCATAGTTTGGAAGAAAATAAATAATCTAAAATGCCATAGTTTTTTTGTTCGACGTTTCAACCCCAGCACCACTTGAACCAACCACCACTTGAACCAACCACCACTTAAACCAACCACCACCACCCACCCCGCAAACCTACAGTGGCGAGCGATGGAAGAGATGTCGGTGAGAGGAGAAAGTTAAAGAGGACTCCTGTCGGCCTAGAGTTGGCAAAGAGCCCTCGTAAAACCACCATCACTCAAACACCCGTCTACTTGCCAATGCCTCTCCAGACCGACAAGCGAGTCGACAGAAGGAGAACACACAAGGGGAGAGAGGATGTAGATGTTGGTCGTCTATTCTGTAGACGATGGGAGAGAAAGAAGAAGAAGAAGAAGGAGAAGAAGCAGACGAAGCAGACGACGGAGAGGGCAGGCGACTCGCTGGCCCCGCCAACGTTGATGCTCATTATAAGGCCCAGTTTGGTTCGCAGCTGCCAAACTCCCCTGGTGACCGTTCGGCAACCCAGATGTTCGACAGCACGCCACACTTTTTCTCTAACTTCGGGGCTAGTTACGCCAGAAAACCATAACTACATAGCTTTCTACAGCGGCGACGTGGCCCTTCCTGTCACTTAGGGGATGTCCCCTCATATCCCACAGCGGCGGCTCCCTCTCTGCGCCGTACCAGCAAGTGACTCCTCCTATCGACAGTCATAACGGAGGAACCGTAGAACGTGGCCGGTGTCGGACATCGTAGGCGTAATGAAGAGGGACAATGGTGGGGTTGATTACGGGGGCGATGCTGGCATGTACTACTGGTGATTTTCTATAGAGTATATTTGTACTTACTGTGGCTCAGTCGACAATCTCCAGTTTCTCGAGTTATCAACTTGGGGTGGTGTGCCAAACAGGCACCCATTCGGGGAAGTTTATGGTTCGAAACTGCAGCTCACTTTTTGTGTGGTAGATTCAAACTGCAGCTGCGAACCAAACTGGGGCCTAAGAGTGCTACCTCTACAGAGTGAAGGCACCCTTCACATCGAGCCCCCCAGTCGATTCAAAAAGGGTCGCAGGAAGAGGATCATACATTATTGACTCGAGACGGCACCCGCGGTAATTGACTGAACATGTGCCGGAGTCAATCGCGGTAATTGACTAGGCCTGTCCCAGAGTCAATCGGAGTCAATCACACTTCATTGGCCATGGCTTCTCATCAGAGTCAGCCTCTTTAAACCCTTCGAGCCCTCAGCCCAGTCCGGCGACGGTTATCGCCGCATACTGATTCCTCTGTCTGAGGCCCGGCTTCCTCATCGTCTATATGAGCTCGTTTTTCTTTATAAGCAGTCTTCTTTCTCATCTTTCTCGTATCAATACATCAATCGAGTTCAGTTCTTCTCTCAATTCCAACATGCAGTCTAGATTCCAAATCGAGTGATTTTTTGTGGTATGGTTGGTACGTACGTCTGGAGTGCTGTGCTCCTCCCACCATCAATTCGTTTCACATACCCTTTCTACTACCCAGTACCATAGGCTATGGCGAACCGAAGTGCTCGTGAACGATGATTTTGCATTGTAGAAAGTACGATGCCTGTGATATTCTATTTGATATCTATAATGAATCACTTTTACTCCTTCGGATCCTCACCACCATTTCTACCATCAAAATCGGCACCCTCACATCCTCCCTCCATCTCCTCGCCATCCAGCTTCGCAAGCCGCGCCCACTTCTCGCCTCATATTACCACCCGCCCACCCAGAAATTATCCGCCCCAACTCCACCGTGCACCATCACTCGCTCCATCACCATCACTTCTCCAGATCCCTCACCGCCCCCTCCGTTGGCAGCGGGGGCAACCCCGCAATCCCCGCCCTCCTCTCCAGCCCATCCAATTTTCGAAAGCACAGGGAGAAGCCCACGGTGCCGAGCAGTAGCAAGACCGAAATAACGCCATAATTCCACACGAGCAGCGGATCGTCACTGAGCGGGACAAACGCCTGTCCCGCGAGCGCCGCGATCGCCGTCATGCTCAGGTACACGGCGTACACGAGGCTGCGCATGTTCGTGGGCGCCTTTGCGAAGCAGTATTCCATTCCCGTCGTTACCGCCATCATCTCTGACAGCGCGATCAGCGAGAACGCCGGCGCTTGCAGCCATACCGATAGGGGCCCGGGTGGGCACGAGTTGGCGTGCACACCGCAGGGTCCCACGCTGTAGATGTAGTGCTGTAGCACTGCACACCAGATTAGTGCAAGTGCGGCCAGGAGGAAGCCAGTCGCCATCCGTCGTAGCGGACTGAAGTTGATGTTGTGGTCTCGGAGGAACGGGTACACAAATTGGTCGAAGAGTGGGATGAACACGATTAGTGTGAACGGGTTGACGTTGCTGTAGAAGTCGTTGGGGAGCCCGTGCGTTTGCATCGTCGCCGCTTGGCTGGTTAGGTTGTGCAGCATCTGGTTGTAGCCCAGCCCTGGGTACGGGTGTCAGTAAGGGTGGGACGGAAAGGGTGGAGGTGGAGGTGGACGACATACAGAGAACGGGGAACCAGGCCAGGACTTTGCATGCGCCGACACCGCGTGCGACTTCGTCCACCCAGCTGTCGTCAAAGGTCATCCATGCGGGACGCTGGTCCGGCGGGATGTTGCTGGGCTTTACGCGCTCCCAGAGGAGGGGGTTTTTGAGGTTTTTGCAGCTGCGGGACACTCCATCAGCCCAGGTAGGTGCTTGCGGCAAGGACATGGCGCTTACGTTGTCACGGGGTTGATGGACCACTGCCCTTTCGTCGCCAGTCTCCACAGCCGGATCGCCTTCGAGAGGACGCTGCCGCTGGGCGGCGAGCGGACGTAGCGCTTGCGGCCCCACCACAGCACGAACGGCGAGGTGAGGAAGAAGCACAGTGGGATCGTGAACGCCAGCCAGAAGCCGACGTACTTCTCGGCGTAGACCATTGCTGCGGCATATCAGCGAATGCTAGGAGGAAGTCATGGACTGCGACGGACGGACCGGTTTCACCACTCACGGCGGCAACGTTCAGCATTAGGTAGAGGTAGAGGTATGAGCGGGAGACCGTCAGCTCCGGATCGATTATCACTCGTTTGCCGTCTTTGAGGACCTTGATGGTTGGTCGGGCGTCGGCACTCTGCTCGGCCATGAGTGTTCTGCCACCAGTCAGCACTCACCATCTGGTATCGGACCGAAGCCACGCACCCAACGTTCGCCTTGATGGACCCGGTTCCCAATCCCTACCGAGAACGTATCAGTAAAAGCCGACGCTCACACCCCACCAGTCTCTTGTTCGGAACGCACAGTGACAATAATCCCCGTCATCAACAATGCCATCGACGACTTTCCATTGACGATGACCACCGGGACCGAGGACAGAATGAGCAGCAGGTGTCCAACGATCGAGAGGAAGCACGCGTACAAAATGGTCGTGTACCGGCCCCAGTGTGCGTCCGCCATGTATCCTCCCACAAGGGGCACAAGGTACACCCACATCGAGTCAACTCCAACGTTCAGTCAGTACCTTCCTTCACCCAGCAGGGGGACGGGGGGTTAACCTACAAGTAGTGATAGCCGTTGCCAGCCTCTGTCCCAATCCCAGGGCACCGGACTGCCCATCAAACCCCGCCCCCGTCACCGAGCCTTCCGGCAAAGGCTGCTGAATGAAATTGACAACTGTTGACCACGATCAGCACTCCCTCTCTTTCCAGATCCTACCCTGCGATCGAGAAACAGACACACAGAAATCGTCCCACAAAACGACAGATGTTCGCACATCTCCACAAACGCGATGGTGTGCGCCGTCAGGGGCAATCTTCCGGGCACCCTGGGAAGCGTAGCGAGCTCCTCCTCCGTCGGCTCGGTGGGGTCTCGCTGCTCTAGCGTGGCCTCGCTCTTGACATCGACCGGGGCGGAGGGCGTCGAGTATACGCTCGAACTCGCTTCCGAGACCACGTCTCGCTGCTCGACGCCCCGGGATGCCATCTTGTCGGTGTATACGCTCGAACTCACTTCCGAGACTACATCGCGCTCTCGCTGCTCGAGGTCGAGGTCGAGGTCCCGGGATGTCATGATCGGTGTCGCTGCGATGCTCTAGGTACTCTGTTCTGCTCTGCTGCTGAGAGGGGGTGTGCTGAGGAGGAATCCTGCGGATAGAGCGACACTTAAACACATTGTCTTAAGGTTTTTTTTTTGGCCGATGTTTAAAATTCTGCTGGAGGAGTCTGGTCGTTTTAAACTTCGGAGATGGGTGAGGCCGCTATCTATAGTCTCGACTAGAAGACTTTTTTATACCTTTTGGCGCGAGGGAGGGAGGGCAGCATGCAAGAGACGGCAAAATTCAGCGACCGGAGAGGCTTACAGCCTGTGACTCGATGGAAGCAACCGAGCGTGTCCATCCAGAGCTGCTTGCGAACCATCTACAGGCTTCCATGATGTTTTACGGAGCCAATGATGCGAGTGATGGACAATGTATGGATATCTAAATCTCTTCATCCTACTCCTCCGGATGCACCTCTCTTTCTCTACTTCTCGTGCTGGCCGCTCTTTGACCGTGATGTGATGCTGGATATCAGGCTCAAATACCTCCTATGCACTAGCACTAGCACGAGCACAGTCCGCCGTCCTTAAGTTTTAACTTTGCAACTTTTCACCCGGGCTCACTGTTCCGATCACGTGGGAGAATGAGAATCCGACGTGATGCTGCAGAGTTTGGTATGGCAACTCTTAGCCTTTAAGGTTTCATGGCTGAAATGTGAGGAAGAGACGCATTTCAATGACTCACTCGAGCATTGAGGAGGGTAGGGTGAAAGGGAGGCAGTGGTTACCGTTGCCGATGCCGTTGCCGTCCGCGCTGCCTACTACAAGGTATATGTAGGTCCTCTTGGAAAGATATCAACTATGAGTACCGCCATTCATATCGATTCGTGGCATTTCTTAGCTCCAGTTCGCGCCTTTGCCGTGGGAGAGAGAGAGATCTTCAATTTATTTCGCATGCAGCATATCTAGACTATATGGCGAAACCTCTGACGTGACCGTAAAGTTTAATGTACCTACCGTACCGTAGTATGTGTCGAGTGAGCTCGTGTGATCACACGCAACAACATCATCACCACCACCCGCGACCGGCGTAGTAGGTCGGCCCGAGGACATGGCGATATAAATTTCGGAAGCCTCCACCTACTACATACTACACCCCGCGGAAACAAATACCGGAACGAAGTCCCTGATATGTACGATGAATGGTCGATATCCGTAATTTACAGGTACGGCGTGACATTTCCGCAGCGCTTCACGGGACGTCACTCTCGTGGCAATGTAGGTAGCTCGAAAAGGCACCCCACTTTTTGCCATTGTAGACTTGTAGTTACCGGTAACTACCACCACGCGTGGTACTGGCGAACCACGTTCTATCTAGAATACCCTCCCAGCAGCTAACCTCGCTGTAGTTACATACAGCCAGTTCCATTTCGTCATTGGACCACTACGGTATCAACCACTTCACGATGCACCGGACCTACCTAACCGTCCGTGCATGCGTGCATGAGCAGCACTCGGGGAGCGCTACCATATTCTCCATACATAGAACACTAACCCGCCCTATTCCCCACAACCATAGGTATCCACATCCAGAATTCCGAGGCCGGGGTTACGGGGATGTTTCGTAGTCTTCCACGTTCCAATATGTACTCCTTCCACAGGTGACAGGTGGCAGGTGAAATGACGCTCCGAGCCTCCGAGCCTCCGATGATTCTAATTCCGTAATATGGGGATGGACGATCGGCGGTAACTAAGTCCAGTGCCGACGGTGGAAGGTGCGGTAGGCAGCCCTATGCTATCACTGGATCCGATCCTTCCAAAAACCGCCGAGCAATCGCCGTCTCCGACTCTCCGACTCTCCGTGGCCAGGAGTAAACCTCCTCTCTAGGTATGCACCTATGCACCTATGCAGGGAGATACCGACCGGAATAACTATCGGTGGCTAGAGTACATCGGTAGGTGCTGACATTAACCGCCATGCACATCCCGATAGTTATGTACCTCCTATTGTTATGCATCCGACCCGCCCGATTCTACCAATTCCGCCCACCCCCGCCAGCGGCCGATCCCGCCCACACCCAATCCCGCCAATCCCACCAGCGGCCAATTCTCCAATAACAGCCCTGCCATCCCGATGCCTCCAGGCACCGTTCCGCCCAGTCCAGTTCCGTCCAGTTCAGACCAGTTCAGCCACGTCCTTACCCCTGGCCCTACCTAGCCCCATCCCTATAGTAGCCCCACTGCTGTTCCTACCCCTGGCCATGGCCCGAACCCGAAGCCACCCAGCCCCATCCTCCAGGCACCAGGGAGGGAGCAGCAGCGGCGCGCCCCGTAAAACACACACCAGCCCCCCCCCCCCTGCGTCCGGTTCCCATTCCACAGGTGGGCCTGGTGTGGCGTGTTTCACCATTCTCCCGAATAACTACTGGTACCAAATGTGGCTCGTTTCGTCGCGACTCGTACCAGAATTAGTACTATACTGCCTACTGGTACGTAGCGAAAGAATAGTAGAGAAGAGAAGAGAAGGAAGAGCATAGCCGCCGCGAACATTCTGCGGGCAGGGAATTTGGTTCGCGGGTTTCTGGTGTTTTTTGTTTTTCTTTTCTCGGCTTTTTGTTTTTGTTTTTCTTTTCTCGGCTTTTTGTTTTTGTTTTTTGTTTTCTTTTTTCTTTTTCGTTTCTCCTTGGGGGATGGTACGGTAGGATGTACGGTGTCTACGGTAGGGAGAAGGCACCACAGGCACTCTACATACTCTATCGATAGAAGCCGATGGAACACCTCACCCGCCCCGCCCACCTGCCCAGCGTGCCTGCCTACGTACCCAGCCTACCCAAGACTCCAAACCCCAAGACCCAAGACTCACGGTGTTACCATATGCACGCGCATTCCATGCATACAGTCGCGACTCACTCGCGACTCGCGTCGCCTTCGGCGCCTCGACGCCTCGTGTGTAGTACAATACATACCATAAGTACGCGTCGTGATTCGTAGATGGTGCCGTAAATACCAGTCTCTACTGGTCTCTACTAGTCTCTACCAGTCTCTGCCTCTCTATCTGGGTACATACATGAGTATCATCTGATGTCAGCACCGGCAGCCTTCCACTGCCTACCCTACCGCCTACGGACACTATGATACCTAGACAGTCGCGTCTTCCAAGCTCCAAGGGCCGGCGGGAAAGGTATTTTTGCGGAGCGGAGTGGGGTGGTGTGGTTTGTTTCTGGGGGGGCGGGGGAAGGAGGGTGCACGAGTCCGTTTGTAAGGGGTTCGGCAGGTGTGCGTGCGTGCGTGAGCGAGTGAGCCTTGAGTGAGGAATGGGTGGGATGGAGGATGGATGGGTGAGGGATGGGAGAGTTCGGATGAGTGGCGCCCTACACTACTATACATCACTCTACTCTGCCGTACCTGCTGTAGGTACTATGGAGAGCACACGAGCTTCTGCTCTCCACGGTTGCGAGCTTTCGAGATGTCGCCGGGGTTGGGCTGGGTGATACGATAGGTACTATGTACGACATCTACGGTAATCAGGGGAGACAGACATCGTACCTACACCATAGGCACTATCGTAGCATCCAATCTCCGAACCATGCAAACCGCACTGCACCAAAGCCCAATCCCCAAGCCTCACCTCAAGCCTCAGAATCCCAAGGCGTGCGGGCGATATATAGTGAGTGAGTGAGTGGATATGCGGGATGGCAGGGAGCTCCCAGTGGCCCGTGGGGTTAGGTAGGTGGAACCTGGAGTGGAATCTGGAGTACTCTATGTACCTATCTGGCCACACGTGCCCACGGGATCCGGCCGGGCGGGGTGACAGGGAGGACGGGGGACGGGTGGGATCGGATTGGAAGATTGGAGATTGGATGTAAACGAACGGGAGATCTCTCTGTCTCCACTGACGGAGCAGCCCTGAGCCCATATGGACGGGCAGGAGACAGATCCTGTCGTGTCCCGCGCGCATGACTTCAGGCCTTTCCAGCGCGAGGGTTTGTAGGTACCTATCAGATGTAGCTAGAGTACAGCATGTCATGTTCAACGAGGATTGAGGATCAATCACCAAATCATCAAATCCTCAAATCATTAGAGGATCTGCGTATATACGAAAATAGCACCCATCAGCCACACCTTGGTCCTAGTTATAGTACTAGTTATAGTAGAAGCCGCCACTCTGCGGCGCTCTTCGGCGCTCTGGCCAGCGGCCAGCACTAGAGCAGGCACTCTAAGTAGAGCTGCATGAGATGAGATGGAGCCTGGAGACATTTCTTACGGGACGCGAGGCGTCGAGGCGTCGAGGCAAAATGTGAAGATCTAGGATTCTTTTGGAACAAAAAAGCTCTTCCACTGCAGTCCACATTTGTCCATACATAGCACGAAACGAAAGCAGCTTATGTAGAATACGAGTTTAAAAATAATTGTAAAAAAATAATTGTTTGTAGTCGAGTAAGTCTCGTCCATTCGCTTCCACCACTACCAAACCGGCCGAAATGCCTTTCACAAAAAAAAACACAGGAAACAGTAATAAAAGAATGTCCAATCCAGTCCACCAACAGTCCACGTCCCAACCAAAGCATAAAAAAGCAGGCACTGGAAGCAACTATGTGCACGCGCGATTCTGTCGTTTAAAAGAAAGAAAAAATTCCCCGAGGAGCCAAATTCGTGAATGCTCCAATGAATATGAACAAAAGCATCCGAAACTGTACAAGCCCCCCTCTCTCTATCCATCCACCATCCATCCACCCACCCACCCATCCATCCATCCATCCATCTATGTCCTCCTCCTCCAGCATCGCAATGTTCCAACCCATCCAGAAAATAAAAAAGGATGTATGATTCATCAGCGGCGCATCTGAAGTTTCTCCGCATTCGCAATATACCCAGGAGGTATTCAGAATGCTTGTTCAGATGCGCCGCCGGCAATCGGGGTTATGTCGGCAGGCCGAAAATATTCTCTCGTAGTCGACTTGTTTGTTGGAAAGGAGTGCGCGCGCGGACCTTCGTTCGGTCGATCGTTCCATCATGGTGTTTTTTTGTGAGGTTTTTGTTTGCGGGGAGTGGTTCCCGTGGAGCGTTGGATAATATATTACTCTCGTCCTCGTCCTCGTCCTCTTCGACTCGCTGTCGAAGGAACCGTGTGGGTAGGGTGGGGGGTGGGCGGCGTTGTATGCTGTCGATTTGGTCGCATCGCAGGACATCCCGTTCTCGATTACGAAAAGTGGATGCTGGGATGAGCGGCTGAAACAGCGAGCTGATTGGTCGTCTAGGGGTTGGTGAACTCGCGGACATGCACATGCGAGTCGAAGTGCACGCTGCGGTGCGAGCTGGCAGGGGAGACGTCCGCCTGAGTCTGGGCAGTGCTGGTGTCGAGGTAGGAAGTCCGAGGGTTGCCGCCGTAATGAGCGACGTTGGTGTTGCTGTTGCGGGGGCTTCCGCTGTAGTGAGAGAAGCCGGTGTTGCTGGTCCGGGGGCTCGATGAGTGCCTGGAACGAGCCGCCTGCTCGCGCCGTCGGGTGTCCTCCTCCCATTGGGAGCCACGAGGAGGGGCCTCAATGGTGGGCACGGGAGCGGGAGCCGCCTCGCGTTTCTTGATGTCGACGATTTCGGTCGAGAAGTAGCCCTGGTTGTAGTGGACGATGATGCGGATCAGGCCGTCGACAGCCTCCCAGCCGTTCTTGTAGTCGACGGTGAAGACGCCAACGTGCTCGGCCTTCTTGTAGAGCAACTTGGTGATTGCAATGCAGAGGGTTCGGCCGGTCGTGCAGAGATCCCGTCCCTGCTGGTAGGCAATCACGGGGTTGCGGCAGGGCTTACACTCCTTGGAGTGGTTGTGGAAATCCTTCATCTGCCGGTAAGTGTCGTTGTCGATCTGCTCGACGATGGAGGAGACTGCGGTCTTGTGGCTCGAGCCAGCGTTGTATACTCCGGTGCGGGCCATCTCGTCGGTCTGTATTTCCTGGTGGTGGTGGTGGTGTTTAGGTTGCTGTTCCGAACGACGCTGGTAGTGGAAGTGAATGGTGGTGGTAGTGGTGGAGATGTTGTGGGGGACTGTTGATGGTATGGTGTTGTTGTTGTTGTTGTGTGAAGGTCGGTTTACAAGCTCAGAGTAGGATATGTTGTGATGGTTGTAGTGCTGAAGGATGGAGATGAGGATCTGAGGGGATGCAGGCGGGATATTTAATGTCGAAGTGATTGTCTGGTGGAGCGATCGTATGGAGGAGGAACGTCAGTGGGGTGGTGGGGGGATGGGGTTTTATGTAGGGGCCGGAGACGTGCTGCTTGCTTGTAGCATGGGCAGGGTGCATCCATTATTATTCCCCTTCTTTGGCTGTGCAAAGAGTCATGGGCCACCCCTGCCAGCCAGCCAGGCGCATGTCGCAGAGGCAGAGAGCCAGAGTTCGACGGAGTGAAAGAGGCGCGGGTGTGACACCAAACCACCGATGCTCCCCATCCCTCCATCCCTGGACTTGCTCGTTCGTTCGTTCCGGCTGCGCTGGTGGTGGTGGGTGCAACTGTGCAAGCACAGCCTTCTTTTTCCGTTCCATCGATCCTCAGCAACGGAGCCAGGCTAACCCCCCGTGGCAGTTTGGGAGCCGTGAAATACCCTAGCAGCCTGACTAGCTGGCCCTGCCGATTCGCTGCCGGGATCTATTTGGGCTCTTGCGAATTCGGAACCGCGCACGCTCAACCAGTGGCATCAGGCAACAGCACGGCCAAACTCTCAGTGGTCCTCGGGTTTGCCGCCCAGCGCAACGCCCACTGCCCAGTCTCCCTGCTACCAAAGAAAAACTGCTTACGTGTACGGGCACCAGTGACCACCACTCACCACTGACCAGGCACCATAATCGACAGGAATACCACTCGAGCGAGTAGAGTGCACGCCCAGCTACACAACAGTAAAGCCAGCAAATAATGTCTGCACTGGAGATGAGAGGAGACTGCATGATCACACCAAAAAATAAGTTGAGTGCTGTCGCCCTTCCGATCCCCGGCCCATCACTACGGTCGAAGCCACGATGCTCGTTCTCGTCCTCCCACGGCGGCCTGAACCATCAATCTCCTCCACCACCTCCTCCTCCTCCTTCTTCAGCACGCAGGGTCTAGGCCCCTGTTTGCCCCGATGCTTGCACGGAAAACTAAGTATGTAATCAAGTATGTATCATACTTGGGACGTGACCGATGGACTCACTCGTTCGCTGAACTTACTGTGTCCCGGGTTGACCGTGACGTCGGGAGCGAGGAGAGGTGATGATGAGGAGGAGAAGGAGGAGGATCACGGCTTGTCTCCCGATGTTGCCCCCTCGTGGGTGCGCACATGTACACTCACGCACACCTCCAGTACCCACACACTCACACACACACTCACACATATAGTACCGTACCGGTGAGAGTTTCCGGAGATCTTCGGGAGCGGAGCGTGGAGGTGAGTAAGTGAGTAAGGAGGCAAGTAGGTACACAACTACTCTACTCTACCAAGTACGGTACCTGGTGTGTGTTAGTACGTGCTCTGTACTCATACGGTAGATCGATTCGCCTGCGCCACGGTCAACCTGCCTAACACCCTACCTATCGGCACGCTCGCACTCGATCCCCACACGTCTCCATACATACATTTCCATGTATGTACGGCATGTATGTCTCTTCGATAACTAACCGACGAGTGTAGTCATCTTGTAGGTACGTGATGTGCGACATCATGTTGGCATGCACAGTATGCACGGTAGTGTAGCCACCAGCACCAGCACCAACACCAGTCCAGCCCAGTCCGTGCGAGCGAGCTGAAGCCACGATGCCATCTTTCGCTTCGCTTAGACACATCGTTAGAGGTATTCCGCATGCACCGGCCAAAATCCGTGCGGTTCTCGCCCGCCCGCCAATCCGCCTGCAGCCCGTCAATCGGCACAGCACGGTGCGGTGCGGCCGGCAGATGGAGGTTGGGGTGAGGGGGGAGGGGGGGGGGGAGGCGATGCCAGCGACAGCTGGAAATGCCACGTTCAGTTTCGAAGGAAGGAAGGAAGGAAGAGGCTGGCCTAGCTGGCTGATCTGGCTGGCCTGGGCTGGCCAGACGTGATTGTCGTCGTTCTAGAGGAATTTTTTCTATCACCGCCACACACGATGAAGTGGGGACTTTTTCGGCTGGGGGTCTTGGGGATGATTTGAAGATGACGGGCTTCGGCTGGGGGAAGGTGGGGAGGGGAGGGGGGATGAATTTGGAGATGACGGCGGCGTGCAGAAGTCTTCGCGACGCTGATTTGCTACCGAACTTTTTTTCGCAGAAGGTGCCGCTTCTTTTTTTTCTTCTGTTGCTACTGCTGCTGCCAACGGCTGTGCGACAAGGCGGCGGTGAAGATTGATTGGCCCGCCGCTTGGGAGAGCTGCGTCATGTCGTCCGTGTAGGTGGACTAGAGTAGAGGTGGTTCCTGCCCGCCCGCCCCCTACATACAGCTTGAGTACCTCCTCTGTGTGATGTGATGCTCGTCCGCGACAATTATTGGGTGGATAACCGTCATGCAGGGCGGCCGGGCGGAGAAAAGCTAAGGATCTGGGACCAGCAGTTACTTGCAGCATGTCACCTATGGATTGGTGGGGGAGGGTGGGTGAAATCCTCACCGCCGCCGGGCAGCGCAAGTATGTAGAGTAAAAGAACAACACCAAAAGTCCGAGGTGGTGATGATCGTGGGCCCGGCCCAACACCATGACGATTTTCTCACGACGTCACCACGGTGGGTAGAGTAGAGTGGTCGAGGTCCTGAGCTAACGGCCTAGAGTAGAGTTGTTACTGCTGGGGCCCAAGGAACACCTTGGATTCCGCCTTACCCACACACACACGCACACACACATCCCTCCCTTCTTTCCTTCGCTCCCTTCGCTTCACAGCCACCATCCACCACCAGCACCACAACCATCACGACAACCAACCTGCAAGAAACACACGCCCACAGAACATCCTGCAATTTCTTTGGTTCCCCCTGGCGCCTGTATATAGGCTGTAGGCTGTTGCTTCATCGCTTCCCCGTCTCCTCTTGTCTCTAGTTACAAGTTGCAACAAAGCGACAGCAGCGACAGCAGCGACGTCGAGGCACAGGCACAGCCTCTTGATCGCTGCACTGCACTGCGAGGACACGAGGATGAAGAAAAAACCTCCCTTCGCTCTTCCCTTCCCTTCACTCATGTGTATTCCACTTCCATGTTTGAGGTTCTGAGCATGCCTGCTCCGAACCGGCGAACCATCGAATCAGCCGACTTTTGGCTACTATTTGTGGCACATCCCAACTCCCAACTCCCCAGCGACTACTGACTACTGACCACTGACCAGTCCAGCCGATCGAGATACTGCGGTACTGTACGGTAGGTATTCGTGGAAATCCTGCTTGACACTTGTATCTAAGGGCTCTGGAGTCTTGCTACCACTTGCGGTACGGTGCAGCTCCCGTGGGCCCTCGTGCCCGTGCCTGTGCCTGTGCCACAGCCTGTTTAGAAGGTATTATTATTATGGGGTATGAGGTATGTACAGTACCAGAATTCTGCAGGCAGCAGAATTACGGTATGTACGGTATGTACCTGCGCCATGCTGTGCCTAATATCTAGAGTACCTAAAACAACTGCGCGCGCGCGCGGTGGCGTCTGTCCCACCGAAACAATTTTTCCTCACGCTCACGAGGAAACATTTCGAACATTTCCATTCCCTTCCATTCGACGAGATGAAACGAGGCCGTGCAGTCCTCGAAGACAGCGACCGAAAATTCTCCCTCCTTCCCTCCCTTCAGCCGATCCCAGCGCTCGCCGCTCATGTCTGCACTGCAGTCGGGGGTCTGCGCCCGTTCTCAGCCTGCTCTGCTCGCTCGCACACGTAGAGTACGGTGGTGGTGGTGGTGGTGGTGGTGGTGGTGGTGGTGGTGGTGGTGGTGGTGGTGGTGGTGGTGGTGGTGGTGGTAGGTAATTCACGGCAGCACGGCCGCGTAGATCCTGGTTATCCTGATTGTGCTTTTACTCCGCGAAGGATCTCCCCATCCCGAACGCCGAGCGGGGGGGAACAAGCGAATAAAGAAGTTTTCGCCACCCCGATGCGATGCGGTGCCATGCGATGATGATGCTGGCGATGATGAGGATGATGAGGATGATGAGGAGGGTGCCAGCGAGACGTGGCCGAGAGGATTATGTGGTTACAATGTGGTTATTGCAGCGAGCGAGCGGTTTTGCTTTTTGCTTCTGGAGGAGCCGAACTGGATGGACGTTTCTATGCATACTCCATACTTTACCGGTATGAGTACTCTACTCTAGGTAGAGTACGGCAACAATTGCTGACGTGCCGACTTTCTTCAGCCTGGGGATCGGCAACAGGAGCAGTGAGAGCACTGTACCACCCAACATACCCAACTTTGGAGCAGAGTGGCTGATTGTCTGGACTCTGATCTCGACTCTGAACGCGCAGTTCGCGCAAATCTTTCGCCACAGCTCTGCACTGCTGTTTACACATTTAAATATCGACACGTGGAAGCCTGGAGGGGAGACGCGCAATCCAGTGACATATCATATGTAGCAGAGTAGAGTATTTATGCACCACGCAGTGCGCTGCGCACTGAGCATTGGCAATGAAGTATGTAATGCGCACATCCGTCTCGTGAGTCGTGGTGGTGGTGGTTACGTATGCAGATTTGTAGATAGGAGGTATGGAGATATGTAGATTTGTAAGATGAGCAAACATCGACAAACATCGACGAAACAAACATCGACGAGGATACACATGCTCGTTTGTTTGCTTGTTCCACCCGCTCGCAGCTCGGGAGGGGAGGGTGCTCGCATGTCAGTTATCCAGTCCCACGGGCCACGATACCTACCCTACCCTGCCTTCCCTACACTACAGTTTACACTACACTACCTACACTACGCTACCGTAGCCTCCCCGTCAAGTTCCAACGGGAGGGAGCGACAGGTTCGCACCATCGCGATTCGCACGTCGCACGTCGCCGGGTGACGCGGGCGGAGGGCGCGGGGGGTGACGGGGGGATAGTCAATCACGCCCCCCCCCCCCCCCCCCCTCTGCCATTTCGAGGGCTGAACGAGGGGAGACGAGGCTGCAGCGCACGCCGCACGGAGCGGACCGGCTGCGGCACTGCACTGCACGATACTGCGCTGCACGGTAGGTACTGCACGACAGGTACTGCGCTGTGACGCACTGCGCTGTACGGTACCTACTGCACTACGCTGCGACGCACTGCACGATCACGGGTGGAGCATGATCACGGGTGGTGCATGGAGCTACGAGCCTACATACGACGACCTGTGTGTGTACTACTGGTATGTATGCTAGTAGTACGGTATGTATGGTTCCTGGATGGGGTTGTGTGGGGATATAACTATGGGATTGTATGGGGATGTAGGTGGGAATGGGGATGTATGTGTGTGCGGGATTTTCACCACTTGAGGCTTGAGCTTGTTGTGTATGATGCATGTATGGTATCTACCTTACGGACCTTACGGACCTTACAGACCTTACTGTGCTGACAGTGCTACATAATCTGACGAGCGACGACCGTAGTTCCTGGTTCCGTGGTTCTGGGGTTACTAACTGGTAGTCAAGGCTTTCCAGCGAGTAGGGCTGCACAGAAGCTGACGGGTTCGGACCCCGGGGTGATTGATCGTTGCGGCGCCCGCGGGCTGGGTGACTTGTCGTATCTTCGACATTGGATTTCTCCAGCATACCATCATACTACCTACCAGGTATACAGCAGAATACGATAGGTAGTAGTCGGAGACCTTCGGGCTCCATGAACCCCCCCCCCCCCCTCCCACCCCCACCCCCGGCCACCCACCCACCCACCACGCCGAACCGCACCGAACCAAGCTCAAGGCTGTCAAGGCTCCCTCCCCATTGTATACCTACAATAGAACCCCACAATAGAACCCCACGACTGTCAACGTCAGGACTCTAGACTCTAGCGAAGAAACTCCGAACCGTCCGAACCGTCCGACTGTGCGTGCGTGCAATTGCAGCCAGGCAGTCTTGCGCGCGCGGATTCCGGAGCTTGCGGCGCATGATCCGGGACGAAGATCCTCAAAGTTCAAACCTTCAAAGTTCAAAGTTCAAAGTTCAGGCCGCCGCCGTGGGATCCTCATGTACTATTCTTGGTGCATAGAGATTATTAAGCCACTGTCTACTATTATTATCTAACTGGCGACTAAGCTACACTGGTGACTAAACTAAACTGAACGAGAGTAGAGTAGACTCTAGAGTAGTAACTGAAGTCTGAGCCTTGAGGGTGTGCGAGTAGATCGAGTATGTAGGTCCCCACCTCAGGCTGCCTACCTACGCCTCCACGCCTCTACACACGCTTCTACACACGCCTCTACGCTCCTGCTCCCCACACTGCACGCCGCACTGCACTGCACTGTACTGCACTGCGCTGACGGCAACTAGAGTACTCGTGTACTCTACAGATAGATAAACGCTTATTAAAAATCATGGAGAATCGAGATTGCACATGTCTACCTAATGTAGAGTACCAGGGTTCGCCGCTGCTGCTGCTGCCTGGTGCGGTGCGGTGCAGTGCAAGTGGCCCATGGACCATGGTTATGTATGCACACCTACAGAGTAGAGTACATGTAACATAATATATTTCTGTTTCGCCTGTGCTGTGCACAGCCACAGCCACACCGACACACCGACACCAACTAGAGTGGAGTAGAGTACTGAGTGCTGAGTAACTGGACCCAGCCTTCTTGCGTTTGGTTGTGTTGACTGTATGGTAGGTGATGTATAGTACCTGGAATAAGGGTACCGATATAGTATGTAGTTGGGAATTTGGGACAGCCGTGCTGCTGTGCGGCGACTACTGGTCATCGGTCGTTGGTCGGTCAAAGATGGAGATCAGGGATGGAGATCAGGGATGGAGATCAGATGGAGATCGAGGATTCTCGGTAGTGATTGATGATTTTGATGGTATTGATGGTACCGGTATGTAACGGACCATCGCGATTAGACGGATACGGCGGACTTGGAGAAATGCGCGAGATGCGAGAGATGCGCGAGATGCGCGAGATGCGAGATGCGAGGGATACCGTACTATGATAGGATAGCGAGGACGCCGACAGCTGCCATACGAATCAACATCATCGAGTCGCATAGTAGTGGGTACTCTACTCTGGTTACATGTTACTCTACAGACTCAGGTATTCCGTCCGATCTTTTGTCCACCCACGGCCCAGACTCCAAACTTGTCACTCCAGACTCCATCCTCCAGCCTCCATCCTCCATCCTGCATCCTGCATCCTCCAGCCTCCAGATCCTCAAGCCAAGCCTCCTCCATCCTCCATCCTCCATCCTTCATCCTGCATTCTCGCACTCAGCTCAGCTCAGCTCCGCAGGCAGGGCTGCCAAGATCCGTCCGTCGCACCACTTCGCCCCCTCGCCCCCTCGCTCCCTCAGGTTTGTCCAGTGCCACCCCTCTACCCTCCACACCCCGCGACACCCTCCCTTCGCTCCCTTCACTCACCACCCCTCCACAGTACACTCCCAGTACACCCCCATCTGACCACTACTGTCATACCCCATCGCCGTGGAAACCAAGGTTTTTGCTCCAGTGGGTGGTGGTGGGTGGTGGGTACTGTACACTACATAGTTCGTCTCCTCCTGCTCACGCTCCTACTCACGACGATGACGACGTCGCGGCAGCTGCATCTGCTCGCTTCCTTTCCTACCCTTCTTATGAGTCACTCCACTCCACTCCCCAGTCTCCCACTATATAGCTACCTAACGAACTACTGCGGGGTAGGTGGTGAAGGGAGCAAGCGGATGATCTACGGTGCGTGCGTGCTGCTTTCGCAGCAGTGTTTGGGGCAAATACTCTACATGGAAATGGTTGGGCAGCGCCGCCTGGTGTTCGCGCGTTTTTGGTACCGGGTTTGGTGTGATGTGACTGCAGGACGTGGAGGCAAATGGATGGGAGGGGGTCAGATGTTGCTGCTGCTGCTGCTGCTGCTGCTGCTGCTGCTGCTGCTGCTGCTTACACATGCTGCTGCTGCTGGATATTGGTTGGCGATGAAGCTTGGTTGGTGATGCATGGCGTGGGCGAGGCTTTAGTCCGGGGAGGGAAGGGAGGAGGGAGGAGGGAGGAGGCTGTGAACTGCCTAAGGTACGGGACGGGACTAGGTAGGTGCAGTAGGTGCAGTAGGTAGGCTGTGATAGTAGCAGATGGAACAACGGCTGCTGATGGGCTGGTGGGCTGACGACCACTTGAAAGTTGAGACATCACAAACGTGATCTACGGCGACATGTAGCTAATGGCAGGGCTGATGCGAAGCTACCCTACTCTACATACATGCGCGAACGATCCCAAGAAGGCTGCCAAAAACTACTGCGGTTCGATCGTAGATTCTACATAGATTCTAGATTCTGGAGTACCGTACCAGTCTAGCAGTATGCATACATCTCATAGCTCGATAATTCGCGCAAGCGGGCTGGCGCCCTATCGGTTCCTTACGACTCCATGGTACTCCATGATACTCTATGCATCGCTGTCGCGATCGAGCGACTCCCGCGTGCTGCTTCCCTCCCGTCGGCGGTCGGCGGTCGCATCTCAGGTCGGTGGTCGCATCTCAAGAGTCAGGTTCCCCGTGCTGGATGCTCCCCGCCTTTTGCTCCCTTCCGTTTTATGTATTGTACATACCTTCGCCTTTGCGTTTGTGTTTGCGCTTGCCGTCGCCTTTACGTTTGCCTTTACGTTTGCCCCCAGAGTCCAGAATCCAGAGTCCATAGTTACCACCCACAACCACCACCGCTCGTGTGCTCCCTTGCCTCCCCCTCCCCCTCCCCCCCCCCCCTCCCCCTCCCCCCAGGTATGCACCGTCCATATATAGCATGATAGAAAATCCGGGGCTTTAGCCCGCGCACATTCATTCTCACGGCTCTATGTAGCTCAGGTGTCTACACGCGAATGGATAGATAGAGTACTCTATGTTGGTGCTCAAGGTGTCACCATGGTAGGTATCGGACGTTCCGTTCAGTCACGGAAGAGCAGAGCGGAGCGGAGCGGGGTTGCCCCCATCCCTCCCCCATCCCTCCCCCCCATCGCCCCCACCTCCCGACCGCTCGCTCGCAGAGTCCGCGAACAAACGTCGGGCCGCAACGGGAGGGAAGGGAGGGAGGTCAAGGGAGTTCAAGGGGCAAAGCGGTGTGGACTGCAAAGACGAGGACGAGGACGAGGGACAGCTTGGTTTGGTTCGGGCCGCGGCAAGAACTGTGCTGCTGCTGCACTGCTGCTGCTAGCTATGCCATGTATGCCATGTATGCCATCCCATCCCATCCCATGCTATGCCATGCCATGCCATGCGAGGGGGAGTCATACATACTCAGTCTCTACATACCCACCCGTGCCCACCCACGCAGTGCCCAGCGCCCACACCGCGACACGACCGCGCACACTGAACGCGCAAAGCACCTTACCAGGGCTCGCCTAGAGTACTATAGAGTAGGGTGGGGTTGGGTTTGCCTCGACGCGTCCGCGTCCGCATCCGCGTTGGGGATTGAGCAATGAGAACTTGAGTTTTGAGAAGTCACGTCGACGGCTGGATTGATCGGGCCTCGACGCGCTGGACTCGAGGTGTGAGGTATCTAAGCCACCACTCCTCTTCGCACCCCCCACCCTCCCCTCCCCCCAACGAGGACGACGGCGACAGAATGCTGAGTCACATTGCTCGTTTCCTGGTCTGTACTCTACTGTAGATACCGTGTCGTTGTGCGAGCGAGCGAGCGAGTGGCATTTGGATACTCCACGGCACTCTGCTCTAAGTAGAGTAGGTACGATGCCCCCCGCGACCGCACGCACGAGCGCATGGATGGGTCATAATCCCTCGCACCTCGCACCTCGCACCTCGCACCTCGCAGCGCGCACACTCCAAGGGCACACCGGTAAGTAAATTCGTAACTCTGTGGAGAGTCGGCGTCGCACGACAGCAGTAGCTAGTTGGATAGATAGAAATACTAGAAACACTAGGAAACTAGCTGGAATCCTATCGACTCATTATTGTGCTTTTTGGCGCCTATGTTGACTAGGCAGTAGGTAGTACCCAGGTAGGCGAGCATGCGAGTAGCTACAAAGGTATGTAGGACCTAGGAGGCAAGTACGGTATGTGGAATAACGGGGAGCAGACTGGAATCCTCGAGTGGTGGTTCTACCTGTTTTTGCCCCATGGTAAGTGCCCCCACCTGGAGCCCGGAGGGGATGACTGTTGTGTCCGTCCGTCTGCAATCCGGAACCAAGGCGGAATGACGAGCGCTGTGACGTCCACGGTCCACTGGAAGTGTCTGGAACGTATGTATTGTGAACTGACGTCGACTCCGTGAAAACGCCCCATGGCATCACTCCCAGGCTCCCAGGCTCCCTTACTGACGACGGAACAAGTGCCGGCAGAGGTGGACGTAAGGGGATGTGGTGAGAAAGGCGCGATGGATGAACCGATGATGAGGTAATCTGAGACGCCGAGACCACGCCTATCACTCGGAGGCGGCGCCAGTGCGCCAGTGCGCCACGGATGTGCATTGTGCGGCCTATGTACCTATATCGATTGCAGCGGTGAAAATTGAGCCGAGGATTTCCCCGTGGCGTCAGTGGTGTTGAACAGGATCTAGATGTAATGGCTCGCTCTGGATTTGCACGATTGCGGGTTGGATCGCCTCTTGGGGACTCGAGGCGGTGGGCCACCATCGGTTCGAAACGTCTGGTGCGCCCCAACGCCTGCCCCTAGATGCTCGATCAGTAATACCAATTGCTCCATTTCCTGACGGATTGTTTCCCCAGCTTCACCGCCAGCTTCACCGTATATGCTCTCATCCCCGAGAGCATATTGCTCATTGAGTAGGAACCGGTGGGGGCAGTTACTTGCGTGTGACTGGTATGTACCGGTATCTTCAGCCCGCCAGCCAGCCCTCCCTCCCCCCCAGTGTTGCCCCGCACACTCCGAGTCTCTGATCGACGACGACGACGGCGTCTGCATGCATCAGACCAGAACCAGATCTCCCTCATGCCAGGCCTCGGAATGCTGCACAGTACAATGCAATGCAAGGTGGGCCCATCACGCCTCCGGAAAAAGACACCATCGAAGGACCAAGCCACGAAAGGTGGGCCCGCCTCCTGGGCTTCCGGGCTTCCGGGCTTCATGACACATGTAGGTATGACCCCTTACCCCGCTATCACCTGCCTGGACTCTGGAGAAATTGCCTCACCTACCTACCTCCAGGACAAAGCCCTCAATCTTGAACCTTCCTCGTTGCGGTATCTTGGTACCTTGGTTTCTTCTCGTGGAATGTTGGCAGTGGCAGTGGCAGTGGCAGTGGCAAGCAATCTAGGACCTCGGACGACGGACGGAAGGTTGGCGAACTTCGAAGGGTGTCACAGACTCACAGAGAGGGGGCGCTTTGTCGGTGAAGGCTGTTCCGCAAACCCGATTGACGTACGTCGAGCGTATATTGACGATGAGCAACCACTCAGCAGTCGGGACTCGGGAGTTCAGCTGGCGCTGGTGCTGAAGTCAGAATCGATGGTTTGTTTTTGGTGCAAGTAGCAAAGTCCTCGGACACCCCGTCCCCTTGCCAGGAGGGTTAATGGGGAAAATTCCACATCCCTACTCCACCGTTTTAAACATGTCCTTACTGATGATTAGAAAGGAATGCATACAAACTCCAAGGGCGCGATCTCATCTGCAAGGTGGACCATGGGAGTCCCCTCCCAACCATTTGCGGCAGTCATTAACGGTATGTATGTACGCCATTTAGGCTTTGGGGACTTACTATCGATAGCATATTTCGTTCACGCTTCACAGCGCTCACCTCCAGCCAAGCCCTGCTCTTATCATCGTTGGAGCATCCTGGTCTTCCATCTGACATTTCTTGAGCCGAACGATGGCGATTAGGATGTGACTGCATGATAATGAGTAATGTGACAATTGCAATATGGCTAGAGAGAATGACACCGAGCAAGGTATGTAGTATGTACCCCAGCTTCTGGCCAGCAAATGACATGCCATGTGCTCTTCACCAGTGACATAATCACGCTCCACTTCTAATCGGCGGGGTAGTGGTTTCCGCTGTCCGGTGGGCGTGGTTTCTGGTGGGCGTGGTCATGGGTATCACTCGCTGTGGTCTGAGTTCACCCCCCAATCCCTAAGTTTTACCCCTTCGACTGCAGACGGCTTGGGGTGACAAGGCTGATCAAAACGATAGTGAGCACCGGCGTGGCACGAGTACCATCCAAGCCGCGGTCGTTGACTCCTTGTCGCCGTACATGACATTCTTCCATGACGTTCCATCAGGAGAGGTCACCTGTATGACCCCCAACAATGCTATGCGCACCTTTCCTGCAGCAACCCGAAGTCGGACTGTTGAATCCCTGCGACAAATTCGCCTCCTACCCCCCCCCCCCCCCCCCCCCACTCGGACATCGCGGTTTGTACACCTCGACCTTTCGAGTTGGTGCCGAGCAGGCTGGGCAGTGGATTGGTCTTGCCATCTCCTCCGCCCACTAGATTACCCTCAGGATCCCCAGCTTGGAGCTCGAGAATGCCATACCTAGACCATGGGAACGCCTGGGCGCCTGTCTTGCTTGGGGGAGGCAAGGACCTCATGCGTCAAGTCAGCCTTGTCCATTGGGATGGTGGATTGCATTCATGTTTGGTTCCCACCGCCAGATTGATGTCCCGAATCCTCACATTTGGAGGCGCCAGCGAGATCCTGGAGGACACAACAGGGACGAACCGAGCTGCTGGACCGCGAGGACCGAGAGGGAGGTCTTGGTCCGGGGTTTGTTTCTCAGTATGTACCGGTATTTCGATGGTTACCTATCGTTATCCGATCCTTTATGATGGTTATTAGTTGTGGCCTGCTGATATTTGATTCCGTGGCTGGTGGAAATGTTAAGCTTCTCGAATCCCTCCCACGAGTTCATCCGTCCCATGATCATCTTTCTCTCCACCGTGCTTGTAAATATTCCTTATTGCCGTTTCATAGGTACATTCTCGGGTCCCGTCGATACGCATGTATGTAGGCCTGGAACGAAACTCCCATCATCCCATGTGAGGTCAGCATACCTGATACTGGCCGGCGCGTACTGCAGACGAGGCGGCTGTGGCGGAGTGTACCTTGGTAGTTTCACGATCTTCCATCGATTCCCGAAAGACACGGTACGATAGAGAGCATGGGCGGCTATTCCGAGGAGTATGTAGGGTATTTTTTTTTGGTTGGTTAGAGAACCCGGGTCTCCGGGGGGGATAAAACGCCACACACTGGGAATGCGGCTGGTGTATGCAGGGGCTGGTGTTTTACCGGCTGCGCCACATCTGCGGCCACTGTTGGTGTTCTATCGAGGACGAGGCGTAGCCGTGGTGCAAGTGGAAGTAATTGGTTGGCGAATTCGCGGGCTCAGTCGGAGGGGGAGTGTGTGGAGATGGTATGTAGCTACATCGTGAACCGTGATTACATCGCAGTGCTGGGTAATAAGGCTGTGTACATACCCAGCTGGAGGATCAACGCTGCCCCATTCAGCATGCACACCGGCGGCTCGATGTCGAACCCCCGTGGCAAACTTGGACACGTGCTTTCCCGCAACGGTTGGAGGTGTTTGAGCCACGAGCGACCGAGCCGGTGATATTCTGTGATTCAACCCGAGTGGCCTCATCGATTGCGCCGTCTCCGAGCGGGCTCGAGGATCGGTGGCGATTAATCATCCTGGAAGAATATTTTCAAGTGCTGACTGAACCCTCGAGTGTGCTCAGTGCACGGAAGTTTGTGCCCATGATATCTGATGTGCGCAGTGTGGTAATCCTGGGTGTTATATGTAACTGCAATGTGATGTGATGTATTCACGACGATCTGAGGCCAATGGTGTCAACTCAGGATGACAGGACAACCGCGATAACCGTTGTATCACCTCCGCACAGCAGGTGCGACTCGGGGAGTAGTCTGTGGGCGAACCTGAGGTCGCTATTCAACAAAAAAACCACTCACTCCCGACCCCGACCCCGGATTGTGCGACCAAGGCGCTGATATCGCTTGCCACCTGCACACATTGCGCGCGCAACATCGAACACGTTATGCACTTATGTAATCAGACCGCATCGTGCCTCGTCATCTCCATGGTCGTGACCCCAGTTACGAACAAAAGTGGGATCACTCTGGCGAGATCAAATTTGCCATCTGCGCACATGGTAGGTACATCGCACATCGCACATCCGACCAGGTTGACTACCTACCTGTTGCTGCCAGGTTTGTGCGTGTGGGGGAATAAATGCAACCTCGCGTCGTTTGCGGATCCGACGGACAGCGGCACTCAGGGGTGTGCGGATATGTGGTGTGCGAAGCAAACATGTCGAAACGAATTTGATTACTGAGAGGAGAGACAGACCCAGTAGAGGGGTGCGCAGACGGGTCCGAGAATGGTGCCACCTCTGTGTGCTCGTGCTAGAATACCCTCTTTCCTCTGTCGTTGAAGGTGTCGTACCGCGGAGGACGGGTGGATGTTGCTTGTTTCCGGTCCGGGCCGTGGCACCGATAAAGAGACGCATTGGTAAAGGTGCGGTAGGCGCTGATTGGTGCTCATCGTGGCTGTATGTGTTGCGTGATGGGCTGTGATCCGTGAATGGTAAGAATGGTTGAAATTTGCTTCACAAATCTTGAGGAGGAGAAGGAGGAAGAGGAGGAAGAAGAGAATCTTACCAGTAACTTCCAGACGGCGAAAAGATATAGATACGACTCGTGTTCCACGTAGAGGATTGGAGGTATGCAGCAGCTCGATGACTTGTGAGGTCGTGAAAGTTGATGTCCAAATTTTCCTTCACGTCGACTGTTCCTAGCCCATCCGCCTACCTCCCAACCACCCGTCAAGTCGCATTCCATTCTGTTCCGTTGCAAACATATCCCTCCTCCACCGCTGCCGTCTTGGTCTGCCACTTTCCGCTCCATCTTCCCCCGCATTGCCGCCGCCTTGCTCCAATCACCCAGCCATCACTCCCACGCCTCAGTCAAATCGTCCGCCCATCACTCCCACGCCTCAGTCAAATCGTCCACCCATCACCACCATGTGATCCTTCCTGCTCCGTCCATCCCTTCGCATTCCTTCCCAAAGCCCTGCCTCGAAACCCAAGTCGTATCGATTGAACCCCCGCGGGCTCTCCTCAGGTCGCAAATGTGTTGTCAGTGCTGCCGTGCTAGTGATTCCGTCAGAACCCCCCAACGAGACCCGCCGCCGATGGCCAGCGAGCGAGCGCCGACTCTTTATACAAATAGCGCACCAAAGCCTCGAGGCAACCGTGACTCATGCCAGCACACCCGTCTCGCACCATTCAAAACTGTGCTTTCGTGGTTCTACTGAGCCCCAATGAACTAGCTTTGACCGGAGGGCTGAAGTTGAGGCTGGATATATGGTCGTGTGCGTGCGTCGGCGTGACTCACGGGGCATCCGAAAGGAGTTGAGGTTATTGGCCAACGTTTATTGTGTGCCTGCAGCTCGAAAGCCTATCCGGCGCAGTTGGGAGGCCAATCGCTGGCACGAGCCACCAACTACCACTCTCGTGTAACGTTGTACACACACACGGATCGACAAGCGAGTGCCTTTCCGTGACTGCATCCGTGGAATATGTTGACGTATGGTGCCTGCGCTTTTGAAGGGCCATCCTTTTGCGGTTCTATTTTCAAGCCAGCTAGCAGCCAGCAGCAGGTATGAATGATGGGGAGTAGAAAAGGCCCAGGTTATGTACCTCCCCCCAACCTTAGAATCCTGGTTCGATGTTGGTGTGAAGATCTTCGACAAGAGGAAACACTAGGTTTTGTATGGAAATCAAGCTCCAGTGCACCAAATCTCACGAGTGGAGACTAATTTTCACTCTGAGGTTAAATGCAGCGGTCACAGCCGCCATCGAGACTCCACCAGCAGATAGCCTGTCCCAGGATATGCGCAATCAACCACCGGCAGTGACTGATCCTCGTAGTGGAAAGGAGCAGGTGTATACTACTATAGTCATCGCCGGGTGGTGAAGTTGCATTTTTACCTTCATCCCATCATTCATCTTTAGCCCATCCAACACACTAGGGTGCAACTTTCACCTTTACCAACATCACCAGATGAGCTTGACGAGCATCGGGTACCATGAACGTCCACTGCGTATGATCGAGAAGACAGGGTGCCAATAGTAGGTATTGCAAACAGTCGAGTTTGAATTCCGCGCCGAAATCGGCAATATGTCTCCGGATGTCCGCGAGTGAGTAAGGATATACACAGCAGTGTGTACCTACGTGCCATATTGCTAGCGTGGTCGAGCTGCTGTTGTTGCCGCTGCGCTCTCGGGCAAGCGTCAGTGGCCGACAGCATGCCAAGATCTTTTCCGTGATTGTCGTCGTTTACTCCACCGCTCCCCTCCTGCCGTCCTCCCCAACTGCTGTTCGTTCTGACCGACAACGCCCACAGCGACACATGACTACCGGCAGTGTTCTCTTGCTAAGTTTTCGTTGTTTGCAAGTACCTCACAAATCTCTCATATGTCCCTTTGTTTAAGCTTCGCATTTGCTTTACTATGGCTGGTTTAAGGGTTTGACCGCTCGACCCACCTCTGATACCCGTTGCTGCATATTATACCGCCGGACGTCCAGCATTAACCTTAACCTTAACCTGCCCTAAACTACCATCACTTGTCATTATCTCTAACCACCCTCACTTCCCTCCGCACTAGCCCGTTTTATCCGTATAAATACTTCGATCCCGCTCCCCATCTTCGATCATCTCCCGAACAAACAACAGCAACTCCCTCTCCTTCAGTACTTTCACATCAACGCATACTTTCACATCAACGCACACTTTCACATCAACGCATACTTTTACATCAACGCATACTTTCACAACACAGTCGGAAAGAAAGCACGACGATCAAGGTAAGGTTCCACGTCTTCTCCCTGTCTTCACCCAGCCCTGGGTTTCATTGGTTGCTGACCCGGTTGGTGTTGGAAGATGACTACTTTTACGACGACCATGCGCCTTCACCTCACTGGTGAAGAAGGGTCCTATGTCGGTTGGGACGAGTGCAACGACTACAAGATCGTCCACTCGGACAAGCATAGGGCGAGAGTGAACCTTTTCGACAAGGTCGTGCGCCATGTGCGCCACGTCCTTGTCGCCACCGGCCGGCTCGCTCCACCTATCGTTGCTCGTCACAACAGCCGCCTCACATTTGGCATGGAGCTCGAGATGGTGGTTGTGGGCTGGTCGAGTGAGAAGACAGGATTCAACGCCGTCGAAGGGTCCTTCAACCGAATCAAGTGGGCGGGGGAGAAGTCTTACGAGTGCCAAGTTTACCATGGCACAGGAAGCCCAGACCGATCAAAATTCCTGATCATGAGGGATGGCAGGTAAGGATCCACCTTTTTTTCCTTTTCTTTCCTGATGGTTTTGACTGTCCGTTACTGACGCACGCTTTAAATAGTATCAACTCACGCGTCTGCGTGAAGCCCTGGTTGAAGATCCCCAGCAGCCCTCGTGGCCAGACCACCGGTAACTCGACCGTCGAGGAGCGTCGCCTTGTGGCGAACAAGATTCTTGCGCCAAAGAGCCCTGAGGAGGAAAGGAAGGCGTGGTGGTCGAGGGGCTCGAATGATACCGTATGTCAATACATGCTATGCAGTTGATCCATTATGCTAACTTTGCGAGTAGTACTACCTCACTCGTGAGGAAAATGTGACCAAATGGTTGGAGGAATATCTCCATGACCTCTCAGACCCGTGCTTCATATTGGGAGCCCCTGTTGAAATGTGCACGCCGATCTTGACTCAGGACACATACGAGCCGGCTATTGAATCCGTGCTATCACACTTGACTGAGGATTTGGCGTTGCATTTCAACGAGAGCACGGGTCTGCACGTGCACGTGGGCTGTGGCAAAGGCAACTCGTGGAAACTCGAGGAGCTTCAGGCAATCGCTAAGGCGGTGTTCCTCTTTGAGGATGTCATCGACCTGATGCACGCAGCCCACCGCGTGGAGGAGAACTGGATGATCGCCTCCAATAGATGGAATCCAGCTGTACGGGGCCTCACCATCGAGGAAGCTTTTTCTGTGATCGACGCCACCCTCTCGACGCAAGAATTCCTCAACGTGGTCGGAAACAGGAAGTGGCACAAGTACAACTTCACCACCAACGACATGTACGGTACCATCGAATTCCGACAGTCCGAAGCACATGGGAACCCCAAAAAGGCGGTTGAATGGATCCGCTTCATCTCTTGTTTTGTGTCCGCCGCACTAGGAGCTGCCAAGTGGGAGTGGGCCATGTGGGCAGAGCAACTAGGAGGGGAGGCGGTGGGGAACAAGCCCAGGCCTGAACGTCGCCTAAGCTACCTTCACCTTTCAGAGGATACCTGGGAACGTTTCGGCATACCTTCCCATCTACGCCGCCTCATACCGGAGATGTATGAGGAGCATACATACCGGGTCCGTATGGCAAAGCTGTCGGAAGTTTACGATGCCGCTGCCGCCTGTGCTCCGAATTTCATCCGCAACGTTGCCGCGGGCGATCGCCAGCCAAGTCCTAGCGATTAGGTCCACGGTTTCCTTCTTTCGTTCTTCATTTTTTGGTGATAATGGAGCTGATGGATAGCATTCCTCGATAACGATGACTGGTTGATGTGTTGGTTTTTGTTTTCTTCCTTTCTTAGCGATACTAGAGCTGATGGATGGTATTTCTCGATAACAATGACTTATGGTTGATTTTGGCGGAATGAACGAATGATAGTGACTATTAGTGTTGCTTTTTCTTTTTCCTTCTCTTAGACGGCCATCGTTTCTTTTCTCCTTGATTTCCTTCTGCTATACCTTTTGGTGATTTAAGATTTTTAAGATTTGATGTTTCTCCTGGGGCGTTGGTTTCATCAAGGGCTGGTGATGTGGGTGGTTTCCTCTTTTCATTTATCTTCACTTCCTCTTCTTTTCTTCTGCTGATACGTACAAGATATATGCATTCGAGGTTTTTTTTTACATTTACGGTGTCATCATCGAGAAGATGAAGCTGTTGGCTATGGTTCGTATGTGCTACTTAGTTGCTGACTATCGTTTTTTGGTGTATCATGTTTCAATGAACGGTTTCCGATTATTGTAAGCCATTATCACCATTTCGTGTCTCCTCAAAATCACCTTCAACCACAGTCAGTTGGTGGATATCAATTTTCAGGATTCTTCAGGAACGAAGAACGAGTGAGTGATAGTGCAACACCCGCTTCCACGTGACAGCCGAAATCCACACTACCCAAGATCCTCGAATTGTCGAGTCAATAATAAGCAGCCACGACGGAAATGAGGGCAGTATGCAAAAGGAAGGTGGAAAGTAGCAGTGACACCGGAACAGGCAATAAGACGCATAATATCAACAGACAGTGTCGCTGGTCTGATTCAACGAGGAAACTGCGTAACTATTGTCTGAGATAGTTATGTACGTACGGCGAAGCATGCTGGAAGCTTGAGATCTGCAAACGCGAAGTACGGGTCCGAGAGAGAGAAAGAGACCTTCAGAAAGTACGGGTCCGAACTAACTACGGTAGTTCTAAACAGGCAATTCACCGAGTGATGGAGTAGAGTAAACCAATAGGAAGATGAACTCCGATGCGATATTGCTCCTCGAGCTTCGAAGGGGCCTAGATGTTACCTACATACCTCGTATCCCGTGCTTCGCGCTCGGAAGCAGCAGTATCCACTCGCGTGGCCTCTTCATGCACGAGGAACGGAAGGGCGCCCCCGTTCCGCTCGGGGATCGAAGTCCGGCTTTGAACACCGCAGTCGACCGGCATTTCGGGTGGTAGACATAGTATGTAGGTCGGTAGGTGTGGGAAGCACGTTCGGGATAATGCAAAGAGTACAATAGGTGCCTCAGCGGGACAGCTTCGCGGGTTGGCAGTCTGCAATTGACATTTTTTCTCCTCACCAGCGATATGAGGTGCACTGTTCATCACAGATATGTATGATATATCTGCCCTTTCAAAATACAAAGGGGCAGTTTCAACTCGTCCACTCCACTCTGGTAGCGAGAAACAAGCTTCACCATAACAAAGTGCCTTATGTATGATCTGTACCTATGCTCTGTATGACATGCTCGACGGGCCTCGGGATTTGCGCAAGCCAAGGCCGTGCTGCGTCATGCGGTACTAGGCAGGCAGGCAGGGCCCAGGCAGGTAGGCACAAGGGTGCGCGGATCGACACTTCGGGACCGGCTCGGCGGCGCGGCGATTCGGGGCCCCCCCATGCTTACGTACGTACCCCATGTACAGGCCGACCCAACCGCAAACCGTCTGAGCCGGAAGCCGTAACCCACGAACTAACGACTCAAGTATTTACAAGCTCGCTGCTCGGAAGCTCGCCGTGTGCTGTGCAGCGTCCGTTTTACATAACCGGAGAAGGGCGCCTACCTGCTTGTGGCTAACCATCGAGTACCGGTAGATACAGTAGAGTATCGCGGGGTGAATGCGGGGACCAAGCATGCATGGGGCGCAACAAAAAAAGACTCGCCGCGTGGGATCGTTGGCGTCCTGGTTTAATCGCTCATCGCCGAAGTCCTGTTCGGCGGCTCGTCATTTCAGCCTGTGAAGATACGAAGTATGCATTAGGTACGTACCATCTTTTACATGTTCCGGATGACAATTCGGTCTATTGAAGCTCCAGTAGAAGCTGCGATACCGTGCCGTATCAACTACCGTGGCCTATGGGAACGGAGGACAGAGCATGCGGAGATCCGATAGAAGGGCGGGTGACCGTAGAGGAGGAGTCTACCCATCGTTAGGTAGGAGTGTCCCAATCCCGCCAGCAAGTAGTAAAGCCCCACATTTCCTCACTGCTCGCCCCAAAACCCCTACTTACGAAGAAGCTTTTACCTACAACATCCTCAGACTTTCCACCACCTCCTCCACTCGAACACCTTTCCCACATCTTGCGCGTTTCAACACGCCATCATCGTCCCACGTCCGTTCGTTCAACCTTCCTCTTTTTTTCCCCGACACACCCTCGCATGTCTCGCATAAGTGATCGCCGAGATCACGGAAAGGGACTGCGGGGGCCGGGGGCGGGGAGCGTACAACAGCACGACCCGTCCCTGTGCGAGGCGTGCGAGGTGTGCGCGCGTGTGTGTGTGAAGCTGACTCGCACCGTGTCTCAGAACCAGAGAAACCAAGGTGAAAATTCGACGGGAACTCGGACTTTTTACATACATCTTTCGCATCCGCATCCATCTTTTTTCCTCCCAGGTCGCCGGCTGTGGTCAATCTAGTTTTTTCTTCTTTTATTTCGGAGCTTTCAGGCGATTCGTGATGGCATATCGGTATCTGCGGCTGGGCGGGAGATTGAGTTCCAGGGTCCGCGCTGCTGCCGGCGGTGGTAGTGGTGGTGGTGCTGCTGGATTTCGTGTAGCGAACAGGGAGTGGTTTGGTAAGTTCGGATTTATGTTTCCATCATGTCATATGCGTCGATGTTCTCTGTCCCAGTTCGGCGTCTGTCTGTCCGTCTGTCCGCCCGTCGGTCCATCTGTCTTCTGCGTGTGTCGTGTCTGTTCTGGAAACAATCGATGGAACGATAATGGAGCGGCGGCATTCCGGACCGTCTGAGCACTGTCGACCTACTCGACAGGCCACGATATGCTGCTCTGACCGAGTGCTCCAACGAAGCTCCCTCAGATGAAGCCATCCTCACAGTAACCACAATAGTCCGCCCAGCAGAACCCGTGCAGCTCCGGACGCGGATGGCCAGGGCCACGGGAACCAACTCCACATCCGAGGAAACTTTGCCGCTTTAGCCCGGCGATTCGCTACCTAGCATGGGACTCCTGTTGCTCCACTTGCTCTCAGTTCCGGACTTTCACGAGCACCTCTCGCATCCTCCGCCCTACATAATTCCCCCCACCTCTCCCGCCCTGCAGGACAGACAGACACACCTCATACCCACCTCCCCCACCCACCCCACCCCACACTCCTCTTCTACTCCTACATATAATATCCCCCCGCCATTTCATCCCCCCGAATCGCCCCTCTGACAAACCTATTTGAACTGACCACCTCATCCTTACGGTTCTTTGCACAGACACCTTCCTTCAGAAATCACAAATGTCAACCACCGCCCCACGCCGTGCTCTCAGCGGGACCAATATCAACGTCAACCTTCTCAAGGCCGAGTATGCTGTGCGCGGTGCCATTGCGGTGAGGTCGGAGGAGCATCGTGCGACACTATCCCACAGCGATGTCCCATCCAGCCACGGTCTCCCCTTCGACTCGGTTATCTCGGCAAACATTGGGAACCCCCAACAGCTCGACCAGCAGCCCATCACCTTCTTCCGTCAGGTGCTCAGCATCCTCGAGTATCCCGCGTTGTTGGAGACCGAGGGAATCTACCCCGAGGATGTCAAGGCGCGCGCTCGCACGCTACTGAAAGAGGTCGGTAGTGTGGGAGCGTACTCACAGTCGCAAGGTGTTGCGGCAATTAGAAAGTCGGTTGCGGCGTTCATCGAGAGTATGACACATTCCCATTCCCCCACTCCATCTATATACCCCGCCCTGCCCCCGCAGCCGCCCCCACTCTATTTGAAATCCCTGCTGACAATCCCCCCCACCTAACCAGGAAGAGATGGCCATCCCTCCAACTTCGCCGACATCTTCCTCACCGGCGGTGCGTCGAGCGGTGTGAATACCCTCCTCAACACCATCTGTCGCGGTCCCGAGACCGGAATTCTCATTCCGATCCCGCAGTACCCCCTCTACACTGCGACCCTCGCTCTACTCAACGCGACTGCCGTTCCGTACTACCTCGACGAGCCCCACGAGTGGAGCACCAACGTCCCTCTGATCCGCTCACAGCTCGCAAAGGCCAAAAGTGATGGCATTGATGTTCGCTGCATCGCCGTGATCAACCCAGGCAATCCCACCGGTGCCTCTCTCTCGGAGGGCGACATCGAGGCTGTTCTGGACTTGGCTGCTGAAGAGCACCTTGTTGTGATGGCGGATGAAGTATACCAGACTAATGTCTACCGTGGCGAGTTCCACTCGTTCAAGAAAGTCCTCCGCAACATGCAGGCGCGCAAGGGCGGCGAAAAGTACAGCCACGTCGAGCTCGTATCCCTCCATTCCACGTCCAAGGGCATGGTCGGCGAGTGCGGACATCGCGGCGGCTACTTTGAGCTCGTCAACTTCGATCCAGAGGTGCAGGCGCAGATTTACAAGCTGGTCTCCATCACTCTGTGCCCTCCCGTGATTGGCCAGTGTCTGGTTGAGCTCATGGTCAACCCTCCCAAGGTCGGCGAGGAATCCCACCCGCGCTACCAGGCGGAGTACGACGGCATCTACAACGGCCTGAAGAAGCGCTCGCAGGCGCTTTACTCCGCCTTCAAGAGTATGACCGGTGTCAGCTGTCAGGACCCTCAGGGTGCCATGTACATCTTCCCCACCATCACGCTCTCAAAGCGTGCACAAGAGAAGGCCGCAAGCGAGGGCAAGAAGCCGGACGAGTACTACTGCCTCCGTATGCTCGACGCAACCGGCATCTGTGTCGTCCCCGGCAGCGGCTTCGGCCAGACCGAGGGTACCTGGCACTTCCGCACTACGTTCCTTCCGCCCGGCACCGACTGGGTCGACCGCATGAGGGAGTTTCACGAGGCCTTCATGGAGGAGTTCAAGTAGAGTAGACGTGAAATAATGAGGGGAGAAAGGGATGGGCGTTTGGGTCGTTTAGATCTACTTGGCTTTGTCTTGTCTTTGTTGTACGGGTGTTTCCTGGTGTTCGTTTTTTTCCTTCCTTCCGTTTTGTTTTGTGCTTCTCTCTTGTTCCGGTTGCTTTTGTGGCTTTTGCTTTTGCTTTTGCTTTTGCTTTTGCTTTTGAGTGGACCTATGGCTTTGGCCTTTCACGGGTATCTATATAGGTTGGAGTTGGCGAGGTTGGGTGAGGTAACTATGGCAGGCATAGATACCACTATCTGCGGTGCAGGCTTTGGAAGAAATGTTGCGGTTTTATTGCTTCGTTGCGTGGTGATTTGTCTGCGGAATCCCGTGCGGAGTAGATGGTGTTGGGTCTGGATATCACTTGGGCCCTGAAAGCAAGCGGCCTCCCGTTTTGCCCTTGTAAGCCGCCGTCACAGCCATAATGCCCGAAAAGCGCCCTTTTCTAATGCTGTGTTGCAAGTGGGTGTTTTCCAGGCGTCGGGCGGACCGCCGTCATCATCACCATCGTCATCACCATCATTCATTCATTCACACATTAACCCATATTTCAAGTGACTAACGGAAGGCCGATGTGCAGGGTCCGAGTCCTCTGTGAGGGTGTCAGATAAGGAGATCCCGTGGAAGGGAAAGGAAGGGAAGGGGAGGAAATGGTTCGCAGGCAGGTCACTAAGCACAGAGAACCACGTAGAAGGAAGAATGCGAACTGCCGTTGTATACCAACAGATCCTTGGGCGAGTGATTTCATGTGGTACGGATCGATCAGGAGCATTGTGCTGTCCCGGCTACCTCATACATAATGTGGCTATCCGGATATCCTATGTACGCTGGGATCACTCTTCGGGGTATGATACCCATGGATGGTGATGGCGCTGCTGATTCGGCCATGTATTTATAAAATTGCATTGGAGTAGGTATCATAACTGACCATACATTGCGCTCTTCGGAGTTGCGTGATCTGACCCACCCCTCATTCAGACCTGAATCATTTGATCTCGGTTTTCAGTGCTCCCGCAATTTATATTGATTACTCCTGACCCTGTGAATTTATGAATTACTGACGCTGCGCCGCTGCATCCGTGGGGCGCAGAAAAAAATGGCACTAAGGGTGGGGTTCGGGATGCCCCGCCATCTACGCTTCCCTCTTACTCCACGACCTCGACCGCAACCGCTACATCGCCGCTACATCACTCTCCCTCCCTACTACCGGCGGCCTAGAATGTCTCTCCCAACCACCTACTCGGGTACGGATCCACATCACCCTACTCCCCCATCCTGCACTCCTCTAACCGTGCGCAGGCGCCGTCCGCATCGCCGTGATCGGCGGCACCGGCATCGAAGCGCTCACACACGAAGGCTTCACGCCAGTAGCCTCGCTGACAGTGGCGACGCCATGGGGCGCGCCCTCCAGCGCGATCCTAATCCTCGAGACGCCCTCTGGCGCGCCCATCGCCTTCCTCTCTCGCCACGGCGCGCACCACGAATACACACCGAGCGAGGTTCCGGGACGCGCCAACATCGCCGCGCTGCGGTCCCTCGGCGTGCGCAGCATCCTGGCGTTCTCCGCTGTCGGCTCACTGCAGGGGCACATCAAGCCGCGCGACTTCGTGCTCCCCGACCAGATCATCGACCGCACCAAGGGGATCCGCGCGAGCACGTTCTTCGAGGGCGGGATTGTGGGGCACGTTGGGTTCGCGGACCCGTTCGACGCGGGGCTGTCGCACGTCATCGCCGCGGTCGCTACCCGCGTCGGCGGTGCTCATCTCCACGTCGGCGGAACAGTCATCTGCATGGAGGGTCCTGCGTTCTCGACCCGTGCCGAGAGCGCGATGTACCGCTCCTGGGGCGGCAGCGTCATCAATATGAGTGCGCTCCCGGAGGCGAAGCTCGCCCGCGAGGCGGAGATCGCCTACGCCATGGTCTGCATGAGCACCGATTACGACTGCTGGAAGACCGATGAGCCCCCCGTCACCGTCGCCACTGTCACTGCGAATATGCGCGCCAACGGCGAGAATGCGAAGCACCTCATGGCGGCCGTGCTCCAGGAGCTCGCCAGGGAGGAGCATGCGGACCTCGTCCATGCGAAGCATCTGGAGGGGGGCAGCAGGTGGGCAAATTGCACCGCCCGCCCAGGTGTCGGAAGGGAGGCGATGGAGAAGATCGATTGGTTGCTGCCTGGTTACTTCTCGTAGAGGGGAGTGAAGTGGAATGTGGGGACGCCTGTTTGTCTACATATGTACTCAAATAGCGACCAGGGAGATATCCATTTGCGTTGGGGTGGTTTCGTGGCTTTGTTGCGTTCGATAGGAGGTTGGCAATTGAACCGTCTACCTACCCACTCTAAATGGGGACGCGGGCATGCCGGCGGCCGGGGATGATGAACGTCTCCCCGTTCGCCACTAGGACCAATGTACGATGTGATTCTGGTGATGGAGAGTACTTACCCAGCAGCACCTATGACGCACATGAGTGCATATAACCAGTAGAGTAGAGTATGTATGTGGGGTAGCCACACACTCGTCCCTGGGGCCGGGGCCGTTTGGGAAAAAAACGGCTCTATGCACAGTACATACATCCCCCTGCCGAATCCCCACCACCAACGTAAAATGTAGTTACCGGACTTCCATCCTTTCCCCGGTGAAGCCCCACGATCTGTCATCTCGCTAACAACCGACCCGGAGCCTCGCTCGTAGATCGGAGCCGGAGGCCATTGCCGTCCGAGCCCGTGGATACTCTACTGAGATGCACACCTGCCATCTGGGATCACTCGTCTGGGTAAGTAGGCAGATAATTACCGCTACGCTATCCGTTGCATACGGTATAACTATACCCCATATTACTCTCTAGTAGCGGTTGAAGCCAGCGGGCGCCGGGGAGGAACCGGTCATACATACTAGCAGTGATGCTACATACGATGACTAAACAAAAAACAAGGACATCACTCCAACTAGTACCCCGCAATTGCTTTGGAAGCTGGAATCGGATGCACTCACTCACTACTCTATATTATACTATTGTATACGAAGAGATATATACATGCATGCGTGCAGCGTGCGTGCAATATGGATAAACAACCCGTTGCGCGCACGCACGCCATGTTGTGTCAATTCGGACCTTGTTCGAGGCCATCCACAGCATAGTGAACTACAGCTCGCGTGCGACTATGTATGTATGGTGTGTGTGTGTATGTGCAGTTGAAGAAGTTCGGGAGTTGATCGATATCTTCCGGGTGGTCGGCGTGATTCAGGTACGTGCTGTGCATACTGTACTTAAGTCGCACCTGGTATGATATGTGTGTAGGCAGGTTGGACCGGAATTGACGAGCTGAAGGTCAACGATCGCTTGCTCGCTCTAGGTAACTACTCTACGGTAGTTAAGCTACCTGCTATGCACTACTATAGGTGGTATGATATATCCATGCATCCTTCCAGCCGGCACCAATGTACCAACCAGTACCAACACCAACGGATGATTGACGACATACCGACATGCCTACGGGAAGCCCGAACGGGAGCGGGGGAAAGGAATGGAGGGGGTGGGATCGAGTGGGTTTATATTGCGCCGTGCCTTCCCCACTACCTCTGGGGAATTGGCCAAGTACTCGAAACAAGGACCGTCCACCAGCAATGCATATCCTCTCACTCGCCCTCTCGCTCCTCGCCGCTGCTTCCACAGTCGCCGCCGCTCCGCAGAAGGGCTGGAACGGCAACTTCAAGACGCACATTGCATTCGGCGACAGGTCCGTTCCGCTCCTCGCTCCCCCCTTCCGTGCCTGCCACGGGTACCGGTAACTGACCGTGCCCAGCTACACGGACGAATCGCGGCTCTCCTACCTAATCGCTCACAACGGCACGAACCCGCCGGTAGGCTGGATAGCACCGGACTCGAACTCGTCCGCGTCCGGCGGGCACAGCTGGGCGCGGTACGCGACGTACTACACAGGGGCAACGCTGTACAACTACGCAGTCTCCGGCGCCGTCTGCAGCAACGAGCTGACGCCGCGGTTCCTCAGCTCGATCAACCGCGACTTCCCCGATGTCGAGGGGTACGAGGTGCCCGCGTTCGCGGCGGATCTGAGGTCCGGCGCCCTGGATGTGGACTGGAAGACGACGGTTGTCAGCCTGTGGATTGGAACTAATGATCTGGGCGGAGGCCTGTTCATGGATCATGCGCAGAAGAGGGGCGCTACCGAGGTGGACTATACGAAATGTGTCTGGAAACAGCTAAGGAGTCTGCATAAACTTGGTGCGAGGAACTTCGTGTTGCTGAATATTGCGCCGCTGGGTATGATCCCCCCCCTCCCGACGACAATGCTATGTGTTCGTGCTAACACACCCAGACCTCTCCCCCCTCTACTCGACCGAGCCAGGCCCGAGCCGTTTCTGGTTGAACAAAGGGACGAACATGACCGCGATATCGAGCACGATGGCCTCCACCGTCGCCAGCGTGAACGAGATCTTCAGTCTCCGCGCCGCGGCCTACACCAAGTCGCAACTTCCCAACTCCAAGCTTGCAATCCTCGACACCAACTCACTGCTGGCGGATATCTACCACCGGCCGGAGCTGTACCTCAACGGCACCGCGCCGCTCAACGTCACGGGATACAACTACGGCTGCACCGCGGATTACTCACGCTGCAGGACCTATAGGGGTGACGATAGAGACGCGTTCATGTGGTACGATGAATTACATCCTAGTGAGCAGGTTGGGAGGGTCCTTGCCAAGGTATGGACCGAGGTGGTGAGGGGCGGGAAGAAGTGGGTGACGTTCTTTTAGGGAAACGGGGGAAGGAAGAGGGGGATAGTAATCGTTAATAAATGTGATTCAATGTCTCGTGCAGTCTCAATGGGTCGAGTGAGAGGAATGATTGCGTGTTAGTGTAACGCTGGCCAGCCCGACCAGCCGGAATGCGCGCAATCGGTCACGGATCATGGCTCGCAGCAACAGACCGCCCGCGGCATGCATGCATGCGGGTGTGATGGAGCTGGAGGAACCGCATCAGCGTTACTGTTACACGACGTTGCCATGTTGTTCCTCCTCCTACTCCTCCGGTTCACCCAGCTCACCGCCTTGTTCCACCGACTCGCTGCCGTCGGGCGTGGAGTCGGCTGTGGAATCGGGCGTGGAATCAGACGTGGAATTGACTCCGAGTCACCATATGCTGTGTTATGTTCTGTGCTATGTTCTATGCTATGTTCTGTGCTCTATATGCTGTGCTATGTTCTATGTTCCATCTTCCATATGCTGTTCTGTGTTCCATATGCTGTTCTAGGTTCTATATGCTGTGCTATGTTCTATGTTCTATGTGCTCTGCCGTATTGTACAGTGCAGTGCAACTATACCACCACCACCGCCCGCCGCCCGCCGAATCCCGACGATTAGTATACATTCATGCATAAGCAGAATGTTTCACCGTTACCGTAACACCGCCGCCGACATTCCGAGCCCGACATTCCGAGTCGGACCGGCACGACTTGCCACGGGTTGCCACGAGTTCCACGGGTTGCCACGAGTTTCACGAGTTTCCACGGGTTGCCACGAGAGAGCGCTCATTCATCCACGTGTGACGTGCTCGCCAGGCTCCAGCCGCACGATGCACACGATGCCCACGACGCACACGGTGCTCACGCGGCACACGATGCACACGATGCACACGATGCACACGATGCACACGACGACCACGCGGCACACGCGGCATGGAAGGTTCTTGAGCCTTTATGTATGATAGGCTTTGAGGCTTTGAGACTGTAGTTTGGGTTTACATAGGTACTTAGATACGGCGGGAGACTGGTTGGTTGGCTGGTTGGTTGGATGGTTGGCTGGCTGGGCAATACCCACTCTACATACTCTAAATGGGATCGACTTGCCAAGATGTACTCAATATACTCTATATTTTCTACATAGATGATAGGTAGATGGCATTTCCCGGAATGTTTCTCGTGCAGTACTGTGCAGTGCAGTGTAGGTAACCGAGTACTTTGTTGTGTACTTTCTATGTATGGTACTTTCTACCTGTGGGGTTGAGACATAGCCTATGTACCCATCACCCCGTCCATCGCCCCCGTCCGTCATGGGAAAGCCAAGAGTAAGCCTTAACTAAGGTCGAGGTATCCGACATCTGAGCAGTGAGCAGTGGGCAGCGAGGAGACGATCGACCGTCACCTTCCGGTATCCGGCGACTGTGGAGCGTGCGGCGTGGTGGAGGTTGGGGCATTTCACTCTTTCACTCCTTCACTCCTTCCGGTTGAATACCAAAACATCAATCGATAATAGTGGACCGTGGAGTAGCTATCAGGGCGACGCTCTCGTCAGCATATGTAGGAGTCCCGCCAAGTCATCGACATAGCTTCTTGCCGGTGCCGAATTGATAGATCGATGGATCATGACAGCATTCACTGTTCACTGTTCACTGTTCAATGTTCACTGTTCAATACTCATCGACGAGAGGGGTGCGGAATACTCCCCCAACTACCAGGTACCTACCATATGTACCAGGTATCTAGTACTAGCAGTACTAGTATTACCTACCTAGACACGGTAGACACGGTACTTTACGCGGATCAAGCTTCCACCTACCCAGCATCCACATGGCACTCACCGGGTCTGCGCCTTACGACTCGCGACTCGCGAGGTGTCGGGACTCGGGACTCGGCTTGTGGTGGTTGGCTCTGTTCAACGTTCATAGGGTATCGAGTAACTAGAGTACTAGCAGGTACCGGTACTCTACCTATCGAATGGACGGGCTCGAGGAACCACGAGAGGAACCACGGGAAGGAGAGGGAGGGCAGGGTTGCTCGTCAAAAACCGGCCAGACCTCGGAACAAAACGCCCTGACGGACTGGGCTGGTCAGTGGTCAGTGGTCAGTGGTCAGTGGTCACGACAGGATTAGCTCATGCAGAGTACGCCCACTCTCGCCCACCTCGCCCGCCGTGTGCATAACCAAGCAACCCCATAAGAAAGCACGAGTCCACCTCGTGGAAGAGGAGAAACTCGTGGCAAACCGCCCTACTCTAGAGTGTACATTCTCTAGCCCGAACCGACCCGCCATGCGAATTAGGAAATCGCTTCCTTCCTCTCAAAGTTCCAAAGAGCCCCAACCACGGACGCCGGACGGGGGTTTTATTGTTATTTTGACGCATGTAGACGATGACAACAATGGCAACAACAACGGCAATGACAGCAATGACAACAATAATAACAACAATAACAAGCACTGTAGTTACGGCCCACGGGCCCAACCGTCCCCTTTGCAGAAAGAAAAGAGGACACGGACAGGAGCCGGTGCGGATTTTCTTTCGGGGAAATACATGGAGTGGAGTACTTACTCTAGGTCCTTACCTAGAGTGCCGGTAGGTGAGGAGTCAGTGCTTAATCGTGGGGACGCGAGGTCCGGTACTTAGGCACTTCGGCATGTAGATGGTATACCTAGGTAGTACCATCATCCCTATGGGCACGTACCGTACATACCAAGTCATAGTCTAGGTATGTACAAGGCGTTCAAATCCACGTGTAAGAATTGCAACTCCATGATGGCAACTCCTGGACTCTACGGCATTATTCAGGGCATTATGTTTTCGGCCGTGTGGTTGATCTTGGGTACCTTTGCTCCGCAGTGATTTCAATTCTCAGGAGCAGCTACTAGAGCGCTAACTAGCAGCCCTGCAAGTTGTAAGTTGCAACTGTCGTCGTCGCTCCTTTTTTTCTTTCTTTTCTTTGCTTTGCCTGCTGCCTGCTGCCCCCCACCTCACAGTTGACCACACCACATGAGTCTGGTCTGCGCCGGTTGCTCGAGTTTGTTATTGTTGTTTTTGTCGTTGTTGTTGTTACTCTATTGTTGTTGTTACTCTATTGTTGTTGTTACTCTATTGTTGTTGTTACTCTATTATTGTTACTCTATTGTTGTTACTCTATTGTTGTGTGTGGTCGGCCAGAACAAGGCCACGGTCTCAGACTCTCAGTTGCCGAGGAGATGACGAGGCATCGTCCTCATGCAGCGGGCAAAGTCAGCCGTGGGCGAGCACGCAGACAGGCCAATAGAAATGGAAGCCGAGTGCGGTGAACATAGGGAGGAGTTAGATTCGGTTCGGTTTTGATTTGAGTCGAGTGCACGCAGTCGGCGTTGTGCGAGAGAGAAGTCGTTGCCCTCGAACGGTGCAGGCCACAATCGAGTCTATATACCCAAGTGGTATACTCCACACTCCACTCTATGCCCACGTCCCTTTTCCCGCATGGCAACATGGCAACAAGGCCACGCGCCAAAAAAGAAAAAAAGAACAAAAAAGAACAGAAAAAGAAAGAAAGAAAAGCCGACTTCCATGACCACCACAGTCAAAATCGAGGAAATTAATTGTCTTCAACTCCTTTGGGATGCTGCTACATACCAGACCCGACTCCCGACAAGGATCCGGAGTCAGTCGTTTCATCCTCGACAACCGCAACTCCTCTCCCAGATCGAGAGTTGTCTGAGTGAGCAAGCAGAGAACGGAAGAGAAGGAGAAAAAAAAGTGAGAAATTGAGAAAGTCTAGAGAGCGCGCGAAAAAAAGCCCAGACTCTCCTACACTCCACTCCACTCTGCACTACCTACTAGTAGTACTCTACTGCTGCTGCTGCTGCTGCTGATGCTGATGCTGCTGATGCTGCTACCACTTTGCATGCACTCCTCCCTCACCTTACCTCGCCCCAGCTTAACTCAAATCTAACGACGAAGGACGCGAACTCGAGCCACCTAGGTGCCCGCCCGCCCCCCTCGACGTCCCTACATACATACACCACCGCATACATAGAGAAGATCCGCACGTACTATAGAGAAGCTATCGCTCGCTCGTACCCGGCGCCCAGTCCATTCGTCGACACACTCACACACTCACACACTCACACACTCACACACACACATCCACTCGCCTCCAACTCGGTACTCAACAACCCTCCCCCCTTCGGCCCTTCCCGCTTGCACGTACGCACGTTCGCTCGCTCCCTCGCCTTCGAGCATCCACGTTTCTCGTCTCCATCTCCGTCTCGTCTCTCACGCATCGCCGATTCCCTCCCCCTCCCACCCTCCCCCTCATCGCCCATATCGTATCGTACCGTACCGTATCGTATCCCACGCACTCTACTATATCGGAGTCGGCTATTCCAACCCCCATTCCATTCCATTCCACGCCGCGCCGCGCCGCGCCGCGATCAGTTGCAGTAAAATAATCCCCACGTCTCATCTCTCCCACCCCCCCCCCCCCCCCCCCCCCGGCAAACGCATCCAGTCCATCGCTCTGGCTTCTTCCGCCATTCCTCCTCCCCCGCCGCCACCCAATCTCACCCGCCCGCCCAAACTACTCTCGCCAGTATGGGCAACACAAACGGGAAACCCGTAGTGTTTACCGATGAAGGTTCGTGGTCGAATCCTTACCCCCAACCCCCACATATGCGTTGCTTGCCGCCGTCTGTCCGTCTGTCTGTGTTGTTCCAATTTCGAGAGAGAGAGAGCGAGAGAGAGAGGTAGAGAGAGCGAGAATGAGAATGAGAGATAGAGAGTGTGTGGTAGAGAGGGTGTGATAGACAGAGAGAGATAGAGAGGACAGGTGGTTGCATTGTTGCGCACACATTCCCGGTATCGAGATCGTGAGCGGGCTGATACGATGGTATCACCCCCTCTGCTTGGGTGTGGAACCTGTCGTTGCTGACTCCGTGGCGTTGCGTTGTCGTGTCCAGTCAATCTCAACCACTTCCGATTATTGCGGGTCGTCGGAAAGGGCGCCTTCGGAAAGGTCCGGATCGTGGAGCGGAAAGATACAGGGTTGACGTTTGCCCTGAAGTATATCAGGAAGGATGAGGGTGAGTCGTGTGTGCTTGCCACGTGCGGAGTTGTGAGTGTATGGGCGCTGAAGGAAGGTCGTTTCGCTAAAAGCTATCTTACGCGCAGTGGTGAGATCGGAGAGCGTGCGGAATATCATTCGGGAACGTCGCATGTTGGAACAGCTATGCCATCCGTTTCTGTGCAATCTGCGATACAGTTTCCAGGACATTGAATACTTGTATGTTGTGCTGGTCCGGGTCCGCGCTCGGGGGCAGCTTCGGTTTGCTGATGTGCTGCTATCAGGTACTTGGTTGTCGACTTGATGAACGGTGGAGATCTGCGGTTCCACATCTCGCGCAAGACCTTCACCGAGGAAGCTGTCAGGTTCTGGATGGCGGAGTTGGCGTGTGCGGTCCTCTACATTCATGGCCGAGGAATTGTGCATCGAGACGTCAAGCCGGACAATATTCTCCTCGATAGCGACGGTCACGTCCATCTGGCCGATTTCGTATGGCCCGGTCCTCCTCGCTTATCGGATGGGGCATCGAAGCTGATTTGACGCAGAATGTAGCTTCGGAACTCCACGCCGACCGGCCATTGACCAGCAAGTCGGGCACCCTCGCCTATCTGGCCCCAGAAGTGTATTCTGGAGCTGGATATGGCACCGCTGTGGATTGGTGGTCCCTAGGAGTTGTTTTCTACGAGTGCATATACGGAAAGGTATTATGGCAATGCTGCTGGGTGGAATTTGGGGGTGGGGGGAGGGTGAGGTGGTACCATGCTGATTTTCGAACTTGCAGAGACCGTTCATCGCAGACACCCACGAGTCACTAGGAAAAGAAATCATGAGGGCCAATCCAAGGTGGCCCGTCACCGATCCACCGGTGACGACGAAATGTATGGATGCAATACGCAAGCTTCTGGTCACCGACACCACGCAGAGAATAGGTGCCGCCGGCTGGAGCACATACACGGATCACCCCTTCTTCCGCGAACTCGATTTCGAGGCCCTCGAGAGGAAAGAGATTGAGCCCGTCTTCAAACCGTCAAGCGATAAGACCAACTTTGATGCCACATACGATCTCGAGGAGTTATTGTTAGAAGAGGCTCCGCTGGAAGCACGAGCACGGAGGCAGAAGCCCAGGGAGCGACTGAAGGAAGACGCGACTGCGCAGGAGATCCGGGAGGAGGAATTACATAAGATGATCGAGACGCTCTTTGAGCCCTTTGATTACACCACCGTTGCGTACGACAAGTTGGTCCCCTGGGGAGTCCATTGAAGAGATTGCTCACTGACATGCTACTCCAGATATGCCGGAACAGTCGATCCCACGACGGCATCCGTGGGCCCGCCACCGGATTGGGTCCGCCCATCCATCAATCCTTGCCGATCCGAAAGCCAAGATTTCTCGGGTGCCGTGTCCATCAGTGCCACACAGAAATCTGGAAAATCCATCACTAGCTCCCCGTCCTCTGGATCTCCACCATTGGATCTCGGCGAGAGGATGCCACACCGAGCACCCGCCGAACCGAGTCACAACCCCCACCACCACATTGTGAGGATTGGCACTGGCGGCAGCAGTCAGAGACACGAGTCGGCGGGTGGAGGAGTATCAGTGGTTCTGGATGAGGCTGGATCGTGGTCGTCCTTGGCGGACAAATCGACCACGGTACCAAACAAGTCGAAACCTTCGGGGATGCTTGGATTCATGAAGCGGAAGGGTCGAGCTTCGAGTCCAAAGCCACAGGAGCCGGGTGTGCTAGGCCGTGAGGGCGCTCGAGTCATCATCGCATGAAATTGCAGTCCACTGCTGTTTTCAAAAGCACCACCATTGTTGTTGATAATGAAGTTTCATATTGCTTTCGTCTGCTTGGCCATTTACGGGATTTCCTTTTTCACTATTCTTTCCTTTTTTCGTCTCCCATTTTTAATCCTGCTCTTTTATTTGGCCCGTGGTGTGCTACTTCTTCTTCTTCCAAGTACTTACTGATCGATCGACTTACTGCTACTGGGCGAGGAGGGGAACAGGAGGAGAGATAATCCGACGCAGGTGTTTACAACGAATTACGGAGTGGGGGGGGGGGACGGGGGGACGGGGAGGTGAGGTTCTACCTATTTACACAAGTATGTACTTGGGTACACGATATCTAGAAGGGGTTACAGGCGCTATATTTTATTTTTCTCCATCCATTCGCATTATCTTTTTTCTTTCCTGGCCCCTAGTTGTGTTGTGTTGTGTTTGGTTTGGTTTAAGCAGCTTTTTCCTTGCCTGCCTGCTCTGTGGTCGTCGACTTTTTTACTTTTTGATTTCGATTTCATTGTTACTGACTGACTCGACTGTATCTATGATGGACAATGGTGCGAGGTGGGAGGTGGTGGGAGGTGGTAGTGGTATGGGCAATGGAGGTGGATGTGGCTGTGGATAGGAACGTGGATAGGGATAGGACGTGTTTGTACTGATACTCTGCTACCGTATAACGTCCTGATGAACAATGGATTCAAATGATTGATTATGATTCGAGCACAAATGGCGCGCCACTGAGAGAATTGCGAATACCTTCATATGATGAAGGGTAGATTAATCTCATTGCCAACCCGCCAGGCCGGAAATCTGATGTAACAGCGGCAGGGGAAAGTCAGCGAAAAGTCGGGACGTCCAAACAGCGTTCGGATCCGAGTTGTGTGTATATCTCACCGCTCGGCGCTCACGATCTTGGTACTCGAGAGTCGAGATTAGGTTGGCTCGGCAGGTACGTACCCTATCATACAGGGTAATTATACTCGGCGGTTAAAAACGTCATCATTCCAATCCCAATTCCTTAGCCAGCCTAGCCCACCTATAATAGCCCAGCTCGCGCGGTTGGCTGGGCTGGGCTGGGGCCGCTAGGTGGTGGGTGCTGGGGTACTTAGAGTACCTTAGAGTAGATAGGGTGGGTTGGCGTGGTAACGTGTGCGAGCCCAAGCAAAGCAAAATACCAGCCTCCAGGTTGCTTGCCAACACACTTGGCTGCTGCGAGCGACCGACCGCGCGACAAGCCTCAGTCAGTTCGCCGTCAAGACTCGAGCCGCCGCCGCGCCCTATCTATCACAGTAGAGTGGAGTACGGCTTGGACGTTCTGCCTGCCTGCCTCCTTTTTATTTCGTTTTCGGGGTTCTTTCCTTTCTCTTGACTTTCCGTTGTACTGTAGTGTACAGTTGTGTACTTCTACTTCTACTTCTTCTACTTGTACTTCTACGTCTTCTACAACTTCTTATCAACCAGTGAGCAAGTCCTGCATATTGCGTTTTGCGGGGGGGGGCAAAGGTTGCATTCGAGCATTCAAGCATTCGAGAGCGCGTCGATCATCGATCATCGAATTGTACGTACCTACCTCCTACGTGCAGATTTTCTTCCGCATGGAGGCATGAATGGCGGGGCGCAGAGGTGGAATACTGTGGACTGTGGAGGGGTTGATCGCTGACTTCTCGACTTGTGTGCGGCCTCCAGATCCAGCTCAATACCCATATCCAGATCCATAACCCATCCATAACCATCTCCTCGCCCCACCGCGACCGAGCCAATGTCACCCTACACCGTCCCCTCCGGTTCCTCCGGCGAAGTCGAGCGTCCACGAGAATCACACCGCCACAGCACGCGCCGCCAAAGCACACACCGTCAAAGCCAGAGCACGCATCGCCAAAGCCAGAGCGCGCACCACTCTCGCTCGCGCTCTCGCGACCCCCGGCGCGACGACCGGCGCGAGCGGAGTCCTCGGAAGACGACGACAACAACGACTACAACGACGAGAATTGTGGCAGCGGCGGCACCGGCAGCGGCGGCGGCGAGGGCGAAAAGTGGTCACTCGCGCTCACGGTCGAGACATACGAATGCACGCGCACAGTCGCAGTCGCGCGCACACGCACACGAGTATGAGCCGCTGCAGCCGCAGCCCACGGTCCGCGCGGTGGGGAGTGAGCGCCCGACGAAGAAGAGCGGCGGGGGTGGCGGGGGCGCGGTGAGAGGGGGGGCGGCGGCGGAACCGCGGTATACGCTTGTTGATGGGGCTGGTGATGATGACGGCGAGGGGGAGGGGGAGCGGGGGAGGGGCGGGGGCAGGGGCGGGGACCGAGGGCGCGATGGGAAGCGGAAGAAGAAGCCTGTGCCTGTGCCCGCCGCGGCAGAGGGGAAGCAGAGGAGTCGCTCGCATAGGCGTGGGGGTGCCGGCGCGGCGGCGGCGCTTGTTGGGAGTGGGAGTGGGGGTAAGGGCAAGAAGAAGAAGAGGCCGATTTCGGCGGATTCCGAGGAGTCTGGCGAGGTGCCTGCGAAGAAGAAGAGGCGGTGTGGTCGCTGTTTTTGTGAGTCACTCGGTTTTCATCTGCTACTGCTGGTGGTGGTGCTGGGGGAGTGTGCGCTGACGGATGCGGATTAGGGATCATGATCCTTTTGACGGTGCTGCTGCTGGTCATTCTCATTCCGGTTGGGGTCGTCGTGGCGAAGAAGAAGAAGGATGCGAATACGGCGGACAGCGGTACTTCGAAGCTGGGAGAGGAGAGCGCAAGGCCGGATAAGAATTCGATTCCGGTATGCATGCCCCATTCATGGAGAATCACGCGGGTTTTGAGGGCGGGGGTGCTGACGGTGATGCCAGTCGGAATACAAAAACACTTACCTTGATCCATGGACCTGGCTCGATACTACGGGCTTCAACACCTCGTTCACCACCCAAACCGTCGGAGGGCTGTCGGTCATGGGACTCTACGACAGCTACGACGACACGACCCGCGCCAATGAACATGTACCGCCGTTGAACGAGCCGTTCCCTTACGGCGAACTGCCTATCCGCGGCGTCAATGTGGGTGGCTGGCTCCTAATCGAGCCGTTCATCACCCCATCGTTCTTCAAGAAGTACGCGGCAAGCCGGGGAGTCGTCGATGAGTACACGCTCAGCAAGGAGCTTGGGGCGACGGACGCGAAGCAGACGATCGAGACCCACTACAGGGACTTTGTGAACGAGGACACCTTCAAGGAAATCCGTGACGCGGGGCTGGATCACGTTCGCATTCCGTTCGGATACTGGGCTATCGAGGTTTTTGACGACGACGCGTTCCTGCCGAAGGTATCGTGGAGATACCTCCTGCGCGCGATCGAGTGGGCACGGAAGTATGGGCTCAGAGTGAAGCTCGACCTGCATAGTGTGCCGGGAGGAGCGAACGGTTGGAATCACAGCGGCAGACTCGGACGGATGGAGTGGCTCAACGGTGATCGAGGCGAGGAGTTTGGAAATCGAACACTCAAGATCCACACGCAGCTCGCGACGTTTTTCTCGCAGCCACGCTACAAGAACATCGTCACCATGTACGGCCTCGTCAACGAGCCGCGGATGATCCTCCTCGACGCAGATAAAGTGATCGCGTGGACCGAGGAAGCGTACAAGGTGGTGCGCGACAATGGCTACGAGGGGAAGATCATCTTCGGTGATGGATTCCGAGGGTTGGGCACTTGGAAGGGCGAGTTCACGGGGCTCGACGGCATGGTGCTCGACGTCCACCAATATGTCATCTTCAACACGGCGCAATTATCCCTCACCCATAGCAAGAAGATTTCCTTCGCGTGCAAGGACTGGGGCAACCAGATGGATGCAAGCATGGATACCTCCTCCGGGTGAGTGAATTCTTCGAAACAACAACGGGCTTATTCCCCTGTAATAAACGAGCGACGTCGCTAACGGACGAATATAGGTTCGGTCCGACTATCGTCGGTGAATGGGGTCAGGCCGATACGGATTGCACAGAGTACCTCAATAATGTAAGCGCTGTTCCCCCGGACCGTCGATCATTGTCCCATACTGATTTGTGCGAATAGGTCGGTGTTGGCTCTCGCTGGGAGGGAAAATTGGATGTGGATGCCAAAGCCGAGCAGATCCTCAGTCCTCAGTGCTCGACCGGCAAGAACTGCAGTTGCACGATGCCTAACGGAGATCCTGACAACTACACGGACGAGTATAGACAATTCCTCTTGATGTTCGCGGAGGGTATGTCTAGCAATTCCTCCCCCTGATTGATGGCGGACTCTGACTGATTTGTTATCAGCCCAAATGAATGCGTTCGAGCGCGGATGGGGCTGGATGTACTGGACCTGGGACACCGAGAGCTCGCCGCAGTGGTCCTACAAGAAGAGTATCGCGGCAAAGATCATGCCGCAAAAGGCGTACGAGCGCGACTTCAACTGCGACACTGACGTGCCCGACTTTGGTGTGCTGGGCCTGGCAGAGACCAATTGATGATGATCACTCTTCTTTTTTTTTCTTTTTTTCGCTCTTTCTCTTTCTGTTGCATTTTCGGCCGGGAGTTTTTTGATTTTTGGGGGGGGGGTAGGTGTCTGCTTGCTTACTTACGAACGAACACAACGAACGCGGGAGTCCACGAAGAGAGAGAGAGGGGGGTCGGGATTAATGAAGGACAGCGCAACGCAACGCACACACGGTCACGATGGGGAATATGGAAATGTGGAAACGAATCACGATGGTTACGACGGTTACGATGGACGTATAGAAAGCGAAAGCGAAAAAAATTCTTTATTGGTTGGTTGTTGGTTGTGTCTTTTTTTGTCTCTTTTGTCTTTCTTCTTTTCTTTTTCTTTTCTTTTTTCTTTTTCTGTTCCATTTGTTCCGGATTCTTTCCCAAGCAGGGAGCGATGGAGCGATGGCGCGAAGGCTATTGGTGGGATGCGTGCGGACGGCTGGGAGTTTGCCGAAAAGGCGGAGAAGTGCCGCCGCCGGCCGTTTTTGCTTTGCTCCCTTTCCTTTCCGCCCATGAGCCAGCCAGCCAGGCACAAGGCACCAGGCTTGGAGGGGGTTGGTGCGGGTTAGAGCACTCCTTAGACGAGATCCCCAGATTTTCGGCTCACTGTCGTCCTAGACAGGTAGGAGGTAGGGAGGTAGCTCAAACGGCTCTTCCGCTGCCTGCGGAGGGATGGATGGGACTGGGCTTGAATTCGGGATCTGGGACGAGTATGTACGGGCACGGGTACTCTTCTGGGCTGCTTTCCTTTCCTTCTTTCCGTACCGTAGTTACCGTACAAAGTACAAACGATGTACAAACGATGTAAAATAACGTCTGTAGATATGCCGAATATATGTATGAGGAATACTAGTGCTATACTACCGGTATACTCTACTTTATGATGGCAGTTGTAGTCTTGTAGATACTTCATTCACCTACATAGGTGTGGAGGTGGAGACATATTCATGCATATTCTACCCGACGTTCGTTTGCGAAGCCTGTTTTTTTTCTGGGAGAGCAGGGGGGACGGGACATAACGGCCAACAGTCAACGGCCATCGTGAAGTTCAGCTTCCTTACCTCCTACCGACACAACTGCCCTAACCTTGGCTGGGCTGCATGTGATGTGTGATGTGGTGGGTGTCGTGGTGGGTGTCGTGGTGGGTGCCGACGGGTTGCTTTGCCTGTCCGGTCCAGCCCGCACCTAGAGTTGAGTACCGAATGCGGATGTTCAGCACGAGACCCACCCCACCGCCTCCACCCCTCAGCTCGAGGAGAGTAGAGTTTTGGGGACGGAAGAATTCTACAACAGGACGTGGATGTGGAGAAGCAGCCAGCTGCAGTTGCATCGCATCGGATCGCAAGAAGGGAAGGGAAGGGGTGGGAGGGTGTGTACTGTGTACTACATCGAAAGCCGAGCCGATATCGTCCGGTCTTTCTCGGTCTTTCTCGGGGCGCAGCAGAAAATGGAAAAAATAAAAAGGCTCAAAATGTGAAACCGGTAGTGGTTGATAGACTGAACTGCACTGAATTGAACTGGCGGAACTGAACGAATCGAACGGACGGAACTCACGGAGCTTCTTATTCGAGCGAGAAGAGGAACGTGAGTGAGTGAGCGACACTGTGACATTGTGACACCGGAAGTTCGTGGGCACTGGGGATTCCTAATGTACTCCATGTATGCGCGGTTTTTCGGAGGAGGCGGAGGCGGCGGAGGTGAGGGTGCTGCTGCTCGGTGGATGTATGGGTGTATGGATGGATGTATGGAGAACCCATGTCCGTGGATCGCGATTCCGACATCCACCACCACATCCACCTCCACCGCTACCACCACCACCACCACCACCACCACCACCACCACCACCACCCCCAGTCTATGGCTGTAGAGTGCAGAACGGATTAATGCTATTGAAGCTTTCCCGACACATCTGCACGAGCCACCCATCTATCCACCCACCCATCCATCCATCCTCATACCCCCCCTCCCCCTCCCCCGCGCAATATCGTGAAGCTCGAGGGGCAAAGAAGTGCCTGTCTGCCTGACGGAATATCTCGTCTCAATCGCCAATCCCACTCATTCCCTTCCCCGTCCCTCTGTTTGTCTGCCACACACTGAGCTCGGGCTTGACAGGGTAGGGAAGGGGTGGGAAGGCAGTGCAGCACTGCAGCTGGCGGTTCGTTTCGTTCCGCGGTTTGTTTTCGTACGAGTACCGAAGTCCCTCGAGCGGGTTGGACTATCAGTATCTACTCTACTCTGCTCTATTCTAGGTGCTCGGTCGTATAGGGCCCTTTTCTATCTGATCTATCTTCTGGCAAGCAAGCACGCAAGCAAGGAGGGCCAAAGCCATCTCCACTATCTGCAAGCTGTGCTCCAACACCTTTTCTACAGTATCTCCTCTATCTTGTCCATCTTATCCCATCTTGTCCCATCTGTCCATCTTGCCATCTTGCCATCTCTCTCCGCTGTCCATCTGTCCAGCCCATACATCCATACTCTACCCGTATAGCTGGCCCGGCTGCCTGCAGTGCAGTGTGGGGGGCATTCGTATAGGGCCCGAGCTCAGTAATGATGCTGGCCGCGTTTTCGAGGTCCGGGGTGACGATGGCGATCAAGATCCCTCCGGCGGCTCCTGCCCTCGCCTTTGCCCCGATTCTTCCCGCACTCCGCAGTCGGTATGGGCTCGGTACGGCGGTCTGGCGAGCCTCAAGCTCTGCAAGCGCCTCGCGTCGTTGCCTCTGGTCGTCAAAGTTAATCCGGTTTCCTCCGACCGCAGCCAATGGCAGCTGTCGTAATCAACCGCGCTCGGCTGTCCCTCCTCTGCGTCCATCGCAGCAGCAGCTGCCACCCGTGTCTATGCGACTTCTGGCTTCGCAGCCGGCTGCTGTCCCTGGTCGGAATGCCTGTCACGACCGCCACCCACAGCTGGAACCCCGCCAACGGCATGGACTACAAATTGAGACCGCTGCCACCAGATTATCCCTTGTCCAGCATCGGAACCAGACGCCCGCAATACTACCTCCTACTACTGCTCCATCCTCCTCATCCTCTTCTCACTACCACTACTTCCCCAGGATTAACCCCAGCCAACGCGCGCGATTAGTCCTACAGCCTTCCGAACCCGCAGTCCCCAGTTCTCGACATCCCCAGCCCTTGCCTAATCCAGTCCCGACGTTCACGAAAATGGCTTCCGAGAATACCTCAGGTTCGTCGTCTACCCACCATATAAGGACTGCTGGCTGGCCCCGTTCCTGACATCTCTCCGAACTCACAAGACACTCCCACCATCAACATCTCTTCCATCCCCAAGCTTGTTGCAGCTGCCGTCCCCTCCTCTTCGTCCACTCAGATCCAGCGTCCCGCCCAATTCCTCAGTCGTCCCGTCAAGAACACTGGAACAGCTACCGGAACTTCCACTCCCAACTACACCAAACGCACAATGGTTTCCATGACTCCCCATTCCGTGAATCGCACCTCTCTCCACCCTCACGGTGTCCAGTACGTTCTTCTCCCAAAGGCTTTGGAGCTTCCCTGAGCTCTGCCCTAGCTTCTCCGGCAACGGGGCCATGCTAACGTCACACCAACAGGCCTACCCGTGAGCACACCGAGATCGAGGAGGAGCTCCACGAGAACGCCAACATTGACTACGACCGTGTTGCCATCGTTCGTACACCTTCAGTGTGTTGTGTTGGGAGCTCTTGGCTGACATCATTCGCTCTAGATCCAACATCCCTCTGTGGCCGCTCTTTACGAAGATGCCCTGGTTTACGAGAGCGGTTCCGCCATCACCTCTTCCGGTGCTCTGACTGCCTACTCCGGTGCGAAGACTGGACGTTCGCCGCAAGACAAGCGTATCGTCGATGAGCCTTCATCCACCGACGAGATTTGGTGGGGCCCTGTCAACAAGAAAATGAGTCCCGAGGTAAGCTCCCTTGATATTAATCCCTGGTCGGTCTAGGGGCTTTGCGCCTAGACTCGGATAACCGTCGGTCACGTGTTAATGCCGCTTGCCCCACAGGTTTGGCTCATTAACCGAGAACGTGCCGTGGATTACCTGAACACCAGGAATCGCATCTACGTCGTTGATGGTTTCGCCGGCTGGGACGAGCGTTACAGGATCAACGTCCGTGTTGTCTGCGCCCGTGCCTACCATGCCTTGTTCATGCGTAACATGCTCATCCGCCCTTCGCCCGCGGAGCTTGAGCACTTCCACCCCGACTACACGATCTACAATGCTGGTTCCTGTAAGTGGATGGAACTACTCTGCCATGATTGCATGTAGCGTGTGGCTGATCATCGTTTTAGTCCCTGCAAACAGGTTCACAACCGGTATGACCTCGTCCACTTCCGTGGCGATCAACTTCGCCGAGAAGGAGATGGTTATCCTCGGTACGGAGTACGCCGGTGAGATGAAGAAGGGTATCTTCACCGTTCTCTTCTACGAGATGCCCGTCAAGCACAATGTTCTCACCCTCCACTCGTCCGCGAACGAGGGCAAGAACGGTGACGTCACCCTCTTCTTCGGTCTGTCGGGCACTGGAAAGACCACCCTTTCGGCCGACCCCCAGCGTGCCCTGATCGGTGACGACGAGCACTGCTGGAGTGATACTGGTGTCTTCAACATCGAGGGTGGATGCTACGCCAAGTGCGTCGGTCTGTCCGCCGAGAAGGAGCCCGATATCTACAACGCCATCCGTTTCGGATCCGTTCTCGAGAACGTCGTCTTCAACCCCGAGAACCGTGAGGTCGACTACGACGATGTCACCCTGACCGAGAACACCCGTTGTGCCTACCCCATCGAGTTCATCCCCAACGTCAAGCTTCCTTGCATCTCGAGCGGCCACCCCACCAACTTGATTCTCCTGACTTGCGATGCCTCGGGTGTCCTCCCTCCCGTGTCCAAGCTCACCCCTGAGACTGTCAGCTACCACTTCATTTCCGGATACACCTCCAAGATGAGCGGAACCGAGCAGGGTGTCACCGAGCCCACCGCCACCTTCTCGGCATGCTTCGGTCAGCCCTTCTTGGCGCTGCACCCCATGCGCTACGCCGAGATGTTGTCAGAGAAGATCAAGGAGCACGGCGCCAACGCCTGGTTGGTCAACACCGGTTGGACCGGTCAGTCTGTCGCCAGCGGAGGCAAGCGTTGCCCCCTCAAGTACACTCGTGCCATCCTCGACGCCATCCACAGCGGCGAGCTCGCCAACGCCGAGTACGAGAACTACCCGATCTTCAACCTGGCCATCCCCAAGAGCTGCCCCGGTGTCCCGAGCGCCATCCTCAACCCCCGCGGTGTCTGGAAGGGAACCGTCGACAACTACACCGAGGAGGCGGCCGGTCTCGCCCGCAAGTTCCAGGAGAACTTTAAGAAGTACCAGGACGGTGTCACCAAGGAGGTCATCGCCGCCGGTCCTCAGATCTAAGTTTTTGGTTTCTTTTTGGAGGCGGGGTTGACAAAAGGCCGTTTTCCTTTTCTTTGTCTGGGATTTTCTTTTTTTTCATCTGTTTTGGGCGTATTAGAATGTGCTGCCCTGCCATGACATGGGATGTGGTAGGATTAGGTCGTTTTTTTTCTCTTTCTCTTTTATTTCCTAGCGATGGGTTTTCTGGCATTTCCTTTCTGTATGAGTTGCTATGTTTATAGTTTTCACGAAGTGTGTTCTAGGTTATGTTATGTAGTTGCATGCAACAGCTGGAATATGTGGAGGAAATTGTAGCTGGTTGAAACATTTTCACAACATTCTTCTCGCTTCATTACATGCAAATGCAAAGTGATACATATCGTGATGAGTGAAGGGGGATGCATGTGCGATGCGGGGTGCAGGTTTCTACTCTATGGTAAGTAGTCTAAAGTGATGGATCATGGGGGCAGGCTAGACATCCGAGGTTCGATGGGGATGGGGGATGGGCTGGGCTGCAGGTTTCGGTCGGGTGGACGATTGCTGTTTTGGGAGTGTAGGTTCCGGGAGGTTCTCGTTTCTCGTTTAACTACGGGATCCGGGGGGATACATATCCCATCACATCACATATGGACCTCATATGTATGCAAGCTGAGATGAGGACGAGATGCGAGGAGGGGGAGGATGGCAGCAATGCGTGAGTCGTGACTAGTCGTGACGACGGGGCACTGGGCGCTGGGGCAGTCTGGGGTAGTTTATGACTTCGGGACTTCGGGAGTCCGGGAGTCCGGGATTGCCCGGCTTGTTTGGAGCTTGAACTTTGAACTTTGGCGATGCAGACAGCTACCCACGCACGTACGTAGGAGAGCCAGATGACGGCCATCTCTCTGAACTGACTGCTGGCTGCTGGCACAGGACACAGGACACAGGACAAAACTTCCGGATCATCGCTTTTTCCTCCTACGTACCTCATGCTCTATATTCCGGCCGACCGACCGTTGAGCTTCGGCTCATCGGCTCACCGTTGTCTCAGGCGAAGCTTTTTTCTTTCTTTTTTTCTTTTTCTTTCCCGAGGCACAATTTACATGCAAGAGGAGATCGGCGGTGATGAGGCGGCCCCGTTGCTCCTATGTAAGTACCTACGGTAGGTACCGGTATATAAACGACGGCCGCGCAGCAGCAGCACAGCACAGCACAGGATGTTTACCGATCAGATGAGGCTTTTTCGCGCTCCTGGGGCCCAGTGCAGGCTTGCTGCTCGTGTGTGCGTGCTTGCGTGCGTGCGGGATGTACGTGCTCTGGATAGATATAAAGTACTCACCTCAAGGGGAGGGAAGATGTTTCAGCCCTATCTACACGCCGTTGCCGTTTTATGTGCGCCAGGATGGAACTTAATAGATGTGTGAGGCAGACAGACCCGCCGTCATCGGCACCCGCTCGCTCGGATGATCTCGGAGCGAGCTTGTGAGCGCGGAGAGGTTCTTCAGCCCCCAGCACCAGCCTCAGGCTCCTACATAGGAAGCAGGGGGAAGTTACTCTGGGTAGGGGTGGCATCCATCCATCTGGCATCGGGTGCCTCCGGGTGCCTACATTGTAGAGTAGAGTACACAGAGGGAAGAGGGAAGAATGTTTTTCCCCGCTGGACTCTGGACTCTAGAGTAGTGGATGGAAGAATGCACGCGAGGGGCTTGGTGGAGCGGATGGATCGCGTGTGCTCGGGGAATGAGCGCGGCTGTGCGGGGAACGGGAGTGCTAAATGTAGGAGGGACTCCGAGTGGGTATGGACTGGTAGTCTACTATTCGCAGATAAGGCTCGACTATCATTATCGGTCACTCGCTCGCTCGCTCACCAACGATGAGTAACCAGGTGGACCTGCGATCCAGTGCGGATGTACTCTACTCTATCATAGTAGGGTTGTCCAGGAGGTTATATTGCTTTCGATGGAGAAACGTCTTCGCTTAGGTACCTTCATAGTTACCGGCCAGTCCATCTCTATCACATCGACTGCCTGCGGTAGGTAATATCCACCGGCAGAAGTCATAAATGCGCAGCAGATCACATATATTTATGGCCCGAGTCCGTCCGTGCCATTTCGGTTGTTTCGGTCGTTTCGCTCTGTGCTGCCCGAGAAACAAATTAAGTAGCTAAGACTGAATGCCTGAACTGAACTGGAGGCAATGTCCTGGGTGTGTGCAACATTACCCAAGAGCGCGGTAAATACTCCACCAATGATCGAACTCAGCACTATGTGTGCTATTGCTATGAGGTAGTACACAGCTCGAGTCTGTGACTCTGTGTCAGCCTCTAGGTTTATGATTTATTACAAATTCTGTATCACGGCCGAACCAGGAATCCAACAGCCGGTTCAGTTCACGCATGATCACTCGGCCGTAACCAGATTTGTAACGACCAATATCGTGAAAGCCATGAAATTCCACCGCCATAGACCAGATGGCGTATGTGAATAGTTAGCAATCAACGTCAAGCCCCGCAGTGAAATTCTGAACCTGAAATTCTGAACCTGAACCCCCCGCCACGCCAAACCAAACCATTACCCACCCGCTATCTCCAGCCCACACCACACAGACGACACAGACGAGACGACCGACTACCCAGCGCCCGCCGCCTCCACCGCCTCGTCCAGCAGGGCTTCACACTCCTCGAGCTGCGCCTCAAGCAGGTGCATCCAGAGGCCCCAACCCCCATCCCCATTCTTCCCCCCTCCTCCTCCGGCTTTGGACCACTCCTCCACCCACGTCCCCACCCCGCCCACCTCTCGCTGCAACGCGGCGAGCACCGCCTCGAAGCGGTTATAATGCAGCCTGAGCACACGCGTCGGCAGCTGCGGGTAGGCGTGTAGCAGCTGCGTCGAGAACTGGAGGATCGCGCGGCGCAAAGTCGTCGTGCGCGATAGCAGGCGGGTTAGGTATTTGCTTGTTGGTGATGGTGGGGGTTTGTGGGGATATGGATAGGGGGGACGGGGTGGGGGACGGGGTGGTTTACGCATATTTACGGGGAGAGGCGGGGGAGACGGGGTGGTTTACGCATATTTACGGGGAGAGGCGGGGGAGACGGGGAGACGGGGGAGACGAAGGTGAAGGCGGGAGTATGAACGTGTGCTGATGTGCTGGGAGTGGGGTCATCTCGAAGGTGGAACGTGGAACTGGAACTGGAACGCGGAACTTGGAAGTTGGAAGTTGGGCGTGGTCACGGGACGGACGGCTTGGTGACAGGTTTCATGTCATCGAGGTTACTGAATCGCGAGTGATATTCCATCAATCATAAGGCATCCAAAACGTCCACTGTCGTCTATAACAAGTATGCATCTAAATCCAGTTCCATCTACATCATCTTCCCATGGTATCACTCAAGCCTCGCCCCTGCCCCTCGCCGTCTCCCGCCCCCGTCCATCCTCATCGATAGCATAGAACGAAACTCCACACTCCCTCCTTCTCCCGACGATATACCACACACCGGCACCCCACGTCATCAACACACCCACCCAGCTCCACGTCGGCAGCCTGAACCCCATGAGCAGCACTGTCTGGAGCGCGCTTCTCGGGTACGTCGTGACCACCATAGTGAGCGGGGTGCTAGCACGCACCAGCAAGAACCCGGTAACGAACGTAGCCCACGCAGCCGCGCCGGCGCCCAGCATCATCAGCCAGAAGAAAGCGACATCAAGGATGTAGCAATTCCTGCTGATGTCGCGGAGCTCGCCGGAAATGAGCGCGCACGGAAGGAGGAACATGATGCTGAGGAGGTTGGTGTAGTGTAGGAGTTTCCAGGCTGAGCGGGTGGCGTCTTTGCCGTCGCCGGACATGACGACGCTGCTGTGATCGGTCAAGGAATTGTCGACCGTGAAGGGGTGCGGGGAGTCGTTGGGTGCGTGACGGTCGGAAAAGGCCTTGTACGTCGACGAGAGGAGGATGGGATATAGCGCTACGAAGAAGGTGGAGAATACGCCGGCAATGAAGCCTTCGATTGCGAAGCGCGTTCCTGGGCGTAGGGAAACAACGGCGAGGGAGAGAACCATGGTTATGCAAGAGGAGAGTGTGGTCACCGAGAGCGATTGGGACCGGTGAAAGAAATGCGTCAGGATAAGGGTCCATAGAAGCGAGGAAACGCGGGAGATTTGGTAGATCTGGACTTGGGTGTATCTGCACACGTGTCAGCTTGAGCATTCCGGCGCCAGTTGTAGAGGCGGAGGTGGGAAAACCGCGGAGATGGGGAAACCAACGCAAAGGACAGGTTGCTGAGCATGATCTTCAGACTGTATACTATCGCGAGCGGCAGCACTAAACAAACCTCCTGCCACTTGATCGAAAAGATTCCATCAGTAGTCTGAGCGCGGAGCTTTCCGGCGAATTCCCGTAATCCACCACTGCCGTCGGAAGCCCGTCTTTTCCCTTTTGACGGCTTCGGCCTCGGAGCCACGATGCATCCGAGTCCGAGGGAATACAACGAGCGGGAGAACGAGCGAGTGATCGAGGCGGACGCGCAGAGGAAGAATTGAGTGAACAGGAGCTCGACGAGTGTTGTAGTTATCGGATATCCGAACCTGCAACCAGATTAGGTCCGTGAACTGAAACATGCAACAGAGAGCCGTACTTGTAAACACCGGCTGGCAAAGATTAGCGATGCTTCGTCAAAATATTTGGGTATGCCACCTACTCCACAGTATGAATCTGTTCATGATTAACAGCAACAGAGACGTCACCCCGTACAACGCGATCAGAAGGCTGGTGTAGACCATCCAGCCCCTTTGAGTGTTCCAAAACCATCGCCCAAGCTTCCCTCCCCGAAACCACGAGAGGAATCCTTGCTCTGGCGGCCCTTCGCCTATACGCCAGCTTCCGAGCACTCCATCATCGTCGTACGCGGAGCCTGGAGAGGACGGGTACGGACTGCGCGTGTCTACGGATAGTAATGGAAGCGATGTCTGGCTTGCACCTTCCCACGGTGGTGATACCGATCTACTTCGCGATTTCGACTGAGAACGTGAGTGCCGTGGGCCACCGTTATCTTCCGAATCAGAGTCTATGAGAAGGTTCGGCGTCGGGAGTGGAGAAGGCGAAGGCGAGTTTCCGCGGGACGAGTGTGCCGAGGCTAGGAGTTCGTGGGGCTTCCGGAAACTTATGTTCCCGAAGGGAGAGCGATACATTATCCTACTCTTGAGGTTTTTGTTGAGGAAAAGGGTATGGGGGGAGGCAAAACGGTGATGTAACTGGGTAAGGTGTACTCTTGCTGTGGATGCGACACACTCACACGATCTCTCAAGTCCACAGGTCCAGCTGTCCCTGAATTTCGGTAACGTGGAACCCGTATGCAGTGACGTGACTAATGTCTTGGCATTACCTAGCGTGGCAGTAGCTTCGAGCGGGTCAGAGCCGCAACGCGTCTTCCCGGACACGCGTCTAAAATACTGCCCCACCACTCCTTCCCCACGGCATCACAACTCACAACTCGCCTCCCTCCTTCCCCCACTACACATCACCACTTCTCATTCGTTACACCTCTCGCCCCCTCCTTCCCCACTACAGATCACCACCTTCCCCACTACATTCGTTACATCTCTCTCCCCTCCTTCCCCCACTACACATCACCACACCTCTTAATATTCCCTTACATCTAATCAACCCTCATTCCATACCCCTCCTATACCTACATTTATTCTTCTAATCAATAATGGACAGAGACAGCTTTAATTCAAAGCCGCCTACCATCGGACGTGAGAGCGACGGTTCGTTTCCTGGAAACCACGGTGGCGTCCCCCGTTCTCAGTCGAATATCCCCAACCCCCAGGGCTTTCCTTATTCTGGTTTAGCCACCTCTGGGAATGGTGGTCCTTCGAATTTGCAGAAATCGTCCGACGCACCCCTCAACAGCCTCGACCGGTTGTCCCCCAAATCAAGACTCACGAGCTCCTCCCTCGTTTTGGAAGACGGCAACAGCAGCAGTAGTGGACCGTCACAGCCTTCCAGGGCCCCTCTTCCTCATGCCAATCCGGTCGAACATGCGTTTACCTCTCTGGGGAATGAAAAATTTGACCTTCCTTTTACGACACCCGAAGTTGTTCTTAACAAGACGCAGGTTTCTTCGTGAGTAACACCAGTCAAATTGAAGTCTGTATGAGCTGTCCGCTAATTCATTATAGCTCGGTGGAGAAAATCGAGAGAATCTTGACTTGTTTGAAGACGTATCTTACGATCGCAGACTGTAAGCCACTTAGACATGCGATGATTGGCATATCAGCAGCCGACTGACGAGCGTGATGCAGATCATACTTTCGCTTCCTACGACCTTGCCGATGCGCTCCGTGACTATGCCGGGGAGGTCAATAATCGCAAATCGCCTGACGCATTGGAGAGAAAGCTCCGCGAAATTGAGGCAAATGACGGCAAGCATTTGCATCGTTCCAAGTGCATATCGGATGCTTCTCACTTCTGGGAGAACAACGCATTCATGAATGATAGGCTTCGCCTCCTGGTCATGCGCCAGTTCTTTGGCCTCAACATCTCTGCTTTCACTTCCTTTGACCTGCAAGCAAAGGGAGAAATGAAAGGAGATATGAAAGCAGAAAAGGACAGCAAGGACAATGGAGAGTCAAATCCTGTTGTCGTGGACGACTTGCCAGGTGTGAGACACGACAATAGCGCCGTTCCGCAGAATCGGGGAGGGATGGCTGACAGCCGATTACGGGAAGGACTTGGGAAATGTCCGTTTCCTCTTTCGTCCCTCCCTGCCAGCGGCTTTCCATCGCCGGATCCGATAACCTATACGAAAACAGTGGCTATCATCAAGGAAGCACTCAGTGCTGCGAACAGTGACGAGAGGGGCAGTCCGTTCGACGAAGAGAAGAATCAACGCCGTATCGACAGAAGCTTCCGCAATTTTGAGGAGGAGTTTCTGATGGGATTCGTCGTACGCTCTTCTCTCGAAGGTTACGAGCACCTCATGAATGCTTTCCTGAGCAACAAAGAGAAGGATCTTTTGGACCCAATGAGCTCCAATCCCAAGAGCAGCCCACCTCAGGGTAGCAGAGAGGATCACCGCCCGGACCATGGCCACAGCTCTCAAGGCAATGGGAACAATATGGAGGACACCCGCCGAGGTACCAACCGCAGCCCTCCACAAGAGAGGAAAAAATATGCCGGCTCCGGTACTAATCGCAACCTACCTCAAGGGCGTGATGTGCCCCACCGGGATCGGCTGCCTACTTTGGAGAAGCCGACCGACGCGGATGAGATACTGGCAGACCTGATTGGACGAGTTAACAATGTTAAGAGACAGCATGGGTGTTCCGAGTTTGTGCCTTTCCCGGCCTCTATCATGTCGCTCATGAAGTCCAGTGGCCCTTCGGGTCCAACACAGGGCTACTCTCAGTCCCAGGGTTTGTCCCAATTGCCCACGAGTACTGATCCGACCTCGGGTCCATCACAGGTCTACTCTAAGTCCCAGGGGTTGTCTCGATTGCCCAAGAGTACTGATCCGACCTCGACTGAAGAGACCCCCAAGACTAAGAAGCGCTCTTACGAGCAGCTCCCACAGAGTGAATTTGGGAAGCAATGGATAAAGAGCCGGACTGTTTCGATTGTGGATGATACATATCCTAGGAACGTTCCTAACAATGAGGGAGTTTCGACCACTGGAAAAGAGATCGGCGTCAATGGGAACGTGGCTGTTGGGGTTCTACCGATTGATAAGATGGACAAGACTGCCGTTGACAAGATGGACAAGACTGCCGTTGATAAGATGGACAAGACCGCTTTTGAGAAAGTAATGCCGCTCGTTCAGCCTGGCCAGATGCCTTCCGAGTTGACGAAACTCATGGGTCGAATCGCCGGACTGGGAGCTACCTGCCATGAAGCGCCTTCTCTGCATAAGTGGCTGGGCTCGTTGCCAAATGAAATGACCGAGCAGGAGGTTCCTTGGCTAACCACCCGCAAGAAAAACATCCAGAAAGACAACCAGACTGTCGAGAACTCTCCGTTCAACAAGAAGCTGACGAAGGAAGGCTCCATCATGGGTAACTTCCGCACTGGCATCAAGACCGACTCCGCTGGTACTATTCTCGATGAGACTCACGGATACCCTCGCATGACGGGCAAGATCCCTGGGTCTACTCTCAAGAGGACTGGAAAGTTCTGTGTTGGTGATGGAACTGACTACTGGGTCGCCCCTAACATGAAAAAGTATCAGAAATGATAGTATAAGAGATAATAGTAAACTTAGTTGCTGTTGCGAATGATGGCTTTTACAATGTGATTTCGTGATGGCTTGAGGTGCAGAGTGAAATGAACAGTGTTCCCCATATATATAGTCCAGACGGACTGAACGGGATCAGTCCAGTCCCGTCCGTTCCTTTTCGAGGACCGGATAAAAGTAGTCCGTCCCGTTCGCCAATTTGCTGGACGGGATTGGACTGCACTCCGGTAGTGCAAAAATGCCCCTCTTTTCAGCACTTCCCCGACAAAATACGACACTATTTCCCACTATCGTGTGTTGAATTTCGTCCAGTACCAGCAACGCCGCGGTGTCATCTTCATCTAGTGAGCGTACTACACTCACACTTGCCTCAGCCACTACAACCACCGATAATACGCCGCGGAGCTTTCTCTCTTGTGATTTATGTCGCCCTGTACCTGTCTTGGCAGTCGACTGTAGTCAACTGCAGTCCGTCCCGTCCGGGGTCATGTGCACAGGTATTTTGGCAGCGAAAATGTGGTGATTCGAGCTCGATTGAACAACCTCAAGCCACCATAGGCTTCTCCCTCCTATGTACAATACATAGTTTTGGGGCTTTTATGGTGAAATTCTCATCGTTTCTAGTAGGTAGGCGGTCCATGCAATTTCACACGACATATACAGATGGGGTTTAGCGTACCAGATTCTGAAGTGGCAGACCAGGAAGTTTGTAGAGTCCGCGCCAGGTATCACCCTGCTTCAGCTCCTGACATCGAGCCTGAGCTTCGCTTCTTTCTCTGACAACAGACGACACTCGGACTCGCTTTCCGCTCTACTCTCACTACAACTACTGCCACTATCACCACCACTGCACACCCCTACTCCTTTTGCTCCTGCTCGTGGAATCGTCAGCTCGTATATTCTCCCTCTGGAACGACGATGACGGTTCCCTCTAGCAACAGCAACAGGAGCAGTAGTGCTGGTATGCACACACTGGTGGCCGGGCTCACGCTATCTTCGCCCTCACCGACGACTCCAGCCGCCACACAAACCTCGTTCACCGCCGCTCCGACGAGCATCTTCAACAACCCGGGGCACGGGATCTTCTCCACGTCGTCTAGTCCCCGCACGAGCAGCACCCCGAACAAGTTCGCCGGGCGCCGGTTAAGCTACGCCGTGGACGCCGGTGGTCGCGGGAATGACTCGGCGGTGAAGGAGGTCGACGACCCGACCAGTACCCTGTCTGCTGACAGAAGCCATGCCAATACCCCCAGCCGTACGTTGGCTGTAGCTTCCCCACAGAACATATACGGACGATGTGGCAGTTACAGAGGTCCCCCTCTCCCGGTTCCCAGCCCCCCCGGTGGAAAAGCTAACATCGGCGGCACGGCACAGGCTCCGATTCGCTTGAGGATTTTCTGTATAATAGAGGGTTTCTACAGGGGGCGTGCAGCGACGTAACGATCATCGCATTCGGGACACAATACCGACTCCACCGTCTGATCCTCGACCGGTCCTCCTTCTTTTCGTCGTGCTTCAACGGTGGACCCTGGGCCGAGGCCGATTCCTCCGAAATCACGCTGTCACCCGAGGCGACGGATCCGAATATTGAGAAACATGCATTTGAGCTGGCGCTTGCGAGGCTATATGGACATGTGGACAAGGCGGAAGAGGATAAACATGCGATGCCGCTGCTGGCGACCGCGAGTTATCTGCGGTTGCAGGATTTGGCGGAATCGTGTGTGGCATCGTTGTTGAGGAGTCTGAAGACAAGCAATATCGCAGATATTATTCGGTTCGTCACGAACAGCTATTACGGCCCGCTCACGGATCGTCTGTTGGATAGTGCGAAGGCTTTGTTGTATCGAGATGGGTGGGAGATGCAGCTCTCCGAGTGGGACGGGATCAGCGGCGAAATTGCGGCCGAGATCGTCGGTTACGAGGGATTCTATGTTCCCACAGAGTACCATCGGTATTGCTTCGTCAAGGGACTTACGGACTGCAGGATAAAGGCCGCATACTTGGCTGATGGGTCTCCAGTCGATGGCTCTTTCCTAAAGATCCCAGAGAACCCCGACAACGATTACTTGTCAGCGGACATGGCAAGACACCACGACCTCGATGACGGCGTATCTTCACTTGGGGATGACGAAATAGACGCTGATATCCAGCCTTTACGTGACTTACTGGAAACCGGAATCTACTACATCCACATGTCCTTCGAAGAACTCCAAAAGATTGCAGAGGATGTTGATATACTCGGCCGACCATTTGTCAGCGAGGCCACTATAAGGGACGCTCTTTGGCAACAGACAATCCTGCGTCAGAAAGTTCTGAATGCACAGAACGATAGCCCTGAGTTGGGTATCTCGAAGACTGAATATGTGCAATTGAGTGCACCGGTAAAGGGCGGAAAGAGTCCTAATACCCTAGAGGGGAAATCAACAAACACTGTTGGCCTCCTCACGCCCTGTACTTCCTCATCACAGCTGGATCTTTTCACGACGGGCCGTGGGCAGAAGCCGAAAAGGAAGTACTTCATCCCTACCGAGGACTCCTCCACCACGGTAATCGGGGATTACCCCGAGCAGACACCCCACGTCAGCGTTTCGGGACGGGGACAGCCTCGTGGTGGCGCTTCGGGAAACAATAATAGCAGTAACAACGACACTACAGCCGTCTCCACTTCCGCGGTCGCAAACCCAGACTCTGGCTCCAAAGAGTCCGGTAACGGCGACGAAATCCGATACAGCGACTTCCCACCATTCCGCTTTTCCGCCGAATTTAAGAATATCCGCTGCTTGAAGGAGCGCAAACGTGTCTACTCAAAAACGGTCTTCTATGCTGGCAGTTGCTGGAACATCTACATACAGTCGGTCAAGGGCGCTCGGGGCACGCAACTAGGAGTCTACCTGCATCGTGCTAAGGATCGGGAAGGCAGCGGCGCATCCTCAGCCGGAAACCGTGAAAACGACCAGCTCATCGGCATGATCGGCTCTCTAAACCAGAACCAGAAATCGGAAGCGGAGGAAGGCGATACTACACTCCACGATGGCGACACTACAGGCACACTCTCGTCCCGTCCAGGCGCCAACACTTCCGCCAGTCGCGCCACTCCCCCGCCGTCAACAGAGGTCTCTGTTGCGGCTTTAGGCCACTACGTCGACTCTCGCCCGATCATCCAAACGTACTTTAAGATCTTCTCACCAAGCAGGAAGGGAAAGATGTTGAGTATCTTCTCAAGTCGGCCCGATAGTTTCAATTTCTCGCAGAGTTGGGGGTGGAAGTCAAGTAGTCTCATACTGGACGAGGGCATGCTGGGCGGTGAAGGGAATGAGAAGGATTCTCGATTGAGGTTTATGGTTGTGCTTGGTTAGTACCCTGTCCTCCATTCTCCCCGTAAATATCCCACAAGATTCGCTGACTAGTGAGTGACACAGGTAATGTTTAGGTGTTTCGCGGAAGGGAGGGGCTTTACTGTTTTTTATAGCGAGTGTGGGTGTGTGAGGGAGTTGCATTTGCTTTTCTGCATACATTACCTGTATGGTACTTTACATACTTCTTTCTATTTCTACTTTAATTGTGGATCTGGCGGGATGAGGAGGATTACATGGTGTTTTCGTTTTCTTTACAGTTGGATGGGAGGAGGAGTGATTTATTGGCATAGTGGTGGTGTTGGTGATGGTGGTGGTGTTGGTGATGGACTGAAGCATTGAATACACGTAATTTGCATTACCTTTCATTGGTCTATTATGAGTCCTGGCAGTGCAGAGACCTCAGACAAGATGTTGCTGATGAGTATAATTCTGGATGGATATAAATAACAAAATCGGTAATTAATATGACCATGGATAAGGTTGACCGTTGGACCGTCCGACCGTGGTTGGCATCTCAAGGCTGGGCAGTGGGCAGGCCCCAGGGATCAAGCCACCCCGCACCCAAAGCCTAGGTAGTTCCCCCACTTCCAGCAACAGCTTGAGGTCACGCTTCCTCACTGCATCAACTTCGTCATCCCATCCGCCTGGCAACCTCACAACATCAGCGCTGCCCACAATGGTTTCGCCTCCCCCCTTCTCCCCGCCTTCGCCCTCCCAAGCTGAAATGAAACCTATAGAAAAAACCCTACACTTCAACTACAGTTCTAATCGAGCGCCTCACCTCGGAAGAATACTCCGAAAATGACTACAGCGGGCTCCCAGAGCTTATCGAATCAATAAAGCTTCAAGACAGCGGCCCCACCGAAGCCTCACGCGCGATCCGCAAAAAACTGTCCCTCTCTCCATCCCGCCCTCGCCCTCCGCCCATCCGCACTGACACGCAACAGGAAATACGGCAACATCCACCGGCAACTCCGCGCGCTCACTCTCCTTGACGCTCTGATCTCCAACGCGGGAGCGCGGTTCCAGCGCACATTCGCTGACGAACCCCTCCTCGAACGGCTGCGCCTCGCCGCAACAGAATCCACTACCGATCCTGATGTGAAAGCCAAGCTCAAGGAGCTGTTTATCCAGTGGAACAGGGAGTACAAGGATACATCCGGGCTCCAGGGCATAGCGAACCTGCACAAGCAGTTCCCGAGGAAACAGCGACAGCCGACCACGGTTACGAAGCCCCCGCCGCCTCCACCGGCGCCGAGCTCACCCCCGCCCCCAAGGAGGGGGAGTCCCGAGGGTGGGAGTAGTGGCGGGGGAGGAGGTATAGGAACTGGCTGGAGAAGCTCCCATAAGAAGTCCGCCTCCAAATCGAAATCCAAGCCCGCACCAGCGTTCAACCTGGAGAAAGAGAAGCCACTGTTAAACCAGGCGCTCGCGAATTCCACAATCGCGAGCACAAACCTGAAGAACGCCCTGAAGCTGATCAACCGCGAGAAGGAGCGGCCCAGCGAACAACGGGAGATCGTCACGCACTTGGAGGCGTGCAAGAACCTGCGGCAGGGCGTGTTGCGGTACATCCAACACGTCGAGAGCGACCAGTGGCTGGGAAGTCTGATCAACGCGCATGAGGAGCTCACGATTGCGATCGAAATGTTTGAGATCTGGGATAAGCCGATTGATCAAGATAGCGATAGCGAGGATGATTGGAATAAGGATGATGATGACGACGTGGCGGAGAGGATGGGGGCGCTCAAGGTTACGGGAAATACGAGTCCACCCATGCCACCGCGTCCAACACAACTGCCGAAAGGCAAAGATCCGGTCCCCGTCGAGGATGATGATGAGGAGGACCCAGACGATCCGTTCGGAAATCAGTATGAAGTCGTTGAAGATGATGGCACGAAATGGTACCTGCACCCCTGCCCTACCTACCTATGCGACACCTGCTTATTGATTGGAAATAGGAGAGTAGTGTGAACGGACTGGGGGGAGTGCGTTAGATGTTTGGAATGAGGTTTCGTTGTTCGCGTGTGTTGATTTCCTTGTTTTGTTGCTTGTTTGAGGTGGGGCTGTTTGGTAAAGCGTTTGAAGCGGTGTTTTTGCGGTAACGATGTGCTTTTGAGGCAGAGAGGTGGCCACAGTTAGATGGCGGGCATCGTACATGGTCTGGTGCCCACAATATATGTGTCGAAGACAAAAGACCGTTCGACTGCTTCATATCGGATGGCCATCGAGTCCTTTCCGACCCTTGGTGTATGGACGGGTTATCTCCTTTAATCACGTACATAAGATCCCCGAAGAAACGCTTCGACAACGAAGTTGGTCGTTGATACTTCGAATCACACTCCATGATCAACGGCTTTTTATAGATCACGCCGGTGGCCCAGAATCCCAGACCCCATACAAATACGTGGGGCGCAGGATTGAACTCGCCTCGGTGTTCCTTTCTTCAGGGTTTCCATCCTTCTGCTTACTAGAGTACATACGGGCCGACGTATGGTGGTGCGGGGTTTAAGGTGATCAAGAAGCGCGGCGGTCGTCGTTCTATACCGCCACCACTACAACAAGTCACATGGCGTATTCTGCGCTTCTGATACGTAGAGACCCAAGGTAAGGTAAACCGGCAGGGTGAAAGCTCTAGGCTGTAATGACTCTTCACCAGGCGCAATTATCGTACTTGTCACTACATAGGGGTTACTGGACGGCGGAGTTGGCAGCTGGCTACGGTATTAATGCTTCTTGTTGGCTAGCTATCATCCTGAAGTTTGAACGTCGTAATTAATTCCGCCATTCCGTTGCTGCTGCTATGGACGCGTGATATCTCCGTATGTATCTATCCTGCTTGAATACCCTGTATGAAAGTGCTCTAGATAGGTATATCCTCAGAGAGGCAAATAACTCCGAGCCCGAAGACAACCTGGACATCACGAACACCACATATGTAGTAAAGTTAGAGAATCGTCTTGGAGCCGGCCGCATACACATATGATGCCGAGATTCGTCCAGTCGAATTTGCATCCAATGAGCAAGTTAGTGACGGGATACCTATATCGAAGGTGTGCTAAGCCATCTAGTGGAATTAATGGGATTATAGGTATCGTGAGTTTGAGAAGCCCTGCTGTTGAATGGGAATGGAGAGGACAGGAGGAGGGAGGGGTTAGTTAACTGGAACCCCGCGAACAAACAGCACAATAGCGAGTTTGGCGAACCGTCGGACATTATGGCAGCAACCTCATTAGTGGGGACCACCTTACCTGACCTGGCCACAAACAGCTATCGCGACTCGACAGCCAGTTAGCGAGCAATAGTCAAGCTCCCTCCCCTTCTCTCTCCCCCTCCCGCGCGCAGAGATTAATAGCTGAAAAGACGTCTATCTACCATTTCCCATTGCCAAACCAGACCTATGAACAAAAAGAACAAAAGAGCAAAGGAAACCCCTCATTTTCCCGACCCGCGCGAGGCTGAAAGTACAAGAACGTAAGTTTTTGTTTTTGATATCAAAAAACGCCCACGAGCGTGATTTACTGCTTCGGCTTCTGCGCAAACTCTACCCTCAGAACCAAATGGTCGTAGCCGTGACCATCCATCTTGGCGCAGGCCCTCTCCGCATCCCCACGGTCGGCATACGATACGAACGCAAAGCCCTTGGCCCGACCCGTCTCCCTGTCCTTCGCCAAGAACACTCTGGTGACCCTTCCGAAGCGCTCGAACATGTCGCGGAGGTCGTCCTCCTCGGCGAACTCGGAGACGTTGGTGACACGGAGGGTAGCGTCGTCCCTGTCGCGGTCACGACCACCACCGAAGCCAGATCCACCCGGACCACCCATAGACTCTCCACTGCCACGTCCTTTGCCACGCAGATGGGGCGCGATGTAGGCACTGCCAGCCTTCTGCTCGAAGTCCGCACCGGTATCCGCACGGTCGGCTCCAGTGTCCGCCGCAGCGTCGTCCATCGGCGGCAGAGTGTCCTTGAACGGACACCTGGCGGTGAAATGGTCACCCTTGCAGATACGACAAGCAACCTTCTTGTCGCGCAGCTGCTCGCGGAGGGTATTCTCCGAGGGGTCCTCCTCCTTCGAATTCGCCTTCCAGTTGGCAGACGGACGGAAGACGATGTTCTCACCGACCGAAGTGGTGGAAAGATCCGGTCCGGGTGGGTGTCCCTTCTCGTCGCCGAACTTGGCCCATTCCTTGCGTTCGGCCACGCGCGGGTTGACGTGCTCCTTAACGACGGTGGTGCGGATCTTGCGAGTCGTCTTGATCTTCTTGCCGGCGTCGTTGAGACGGTACGTGATTACCGACTTGGTGCCGTCCGGGTTGGCGACGATCTGCTGGGGAGGGAGGGCGGTGGCATCGTCGAATTCTTCGTCATCGGCCCAGTTGGCGCGGGGAGGGTTGCTGCTGTGGCGGGGCTTTGCGTTAGCGGGATCGCCCACAGGCTTAGAGCCACCGAGGCAGCGGGAGCTTGCTTACTCGATAGCCATGATTGCAAGGGAAGGCGGGGCGAAGAGATGGATAGTATGTGGCGCTATTCTTCTTTGTCGTCGTTCGTGGGTGCTGCTGATGACGATCGTAGATGTAGGTAAGGTGGTTGTAGATAAGGTGATGGTTTGGTGGGGTACAAGAAGGTGAGGGTGGTGGCTGTTCAAGGAAAAAGATTTTGTGATCTGTGTGACTATCACTATAACGTTCAGGGTAGCTAAGCGAGACAGACGAAGCGTGGAGGAAGGAAAGAACCTTTCTAAAATGCGCGAGGAAGCAACACCAACAACTGCCAATGACGACAGCAATGAGGTCCTCTAAACTCTTCACTCGAGGTCTCCTTTCTCGTGGCCTCTCACTATCCTGTGCTGCCAGAATACTCCTCCGGACACCAAGTCGTAGCGCGCAATTGAGCACCGCAGCTGCGCCAGTTCGGAAACTCGGACAGCCCACGCACGAAACACATCCGCACCTGCTGAAAGCCGGCGAAGGTAGGTTAATTCCGCTCCCGTATTCTCCACTATATTGACAATCCTACCTAGTAACCCCCGGCATAACTGCGATCGAATACGCCCTCCGCCGCTCGCAACTCGCCGCCTCTCTCCCCGAAGGTGGCATTGCCGTGATCCCCAGCTCAATCATAAAATACCGGTCCGGACCCGTCTTCTATGAGTTCCATCAGGACCCAGATTTCTTCTACCTCACGGGCTTTCTCGAGCCCGAGTCCGTCGCCGTGATTGGTTCGTTCCCTGCTACGAAGGAGTGCTGTGGAGAGCTGACGCCGGCAAAGAAAAGACCGGGCCAGAGGGCGAACATACATTCCACCTGTTTGTCCGCGGGAAGGAGGCGCATGCCGAGCTATGGGAGGGTTCCAGGACGGGGATCGAAGGGGCTATGGAGGTGTTCAATGCTGATAAAGTGCGAGCCACCTTGATGTGCAGCCGAGACTGTAAGCTGATAGAAACTCCAGGCCTACGACGTGGACCATCTACAATACCACATCTCTCCAATCATTCAGGCCGCAAAAACTGTATACGTCGATGTCCCTTCGCAGTCGCAGTCTCAACATACCGTATTCTTTGGCGCGACGAAGGGCACTACGCTCATCTCTGCGTTGGAAGGGAAACGGACGCAGCCACTGAAGCCGGCGATGCACCGCTTGCGAATCACCAAGTCTGGTGCTGAAGCTACTGTCATGCGGAAGGCAGGAAAGATGTCCGGGAGAGCGTACAACAAGGCTATGGCACAAGACTTTCTGACGGAGAAGGACCTTGCCTCTTACCTTGAGTATGAGTTTAAGGCCGGCGGTTGTGATGGGAGCGCTTATGTTCCGGTGGTCGCTGGTGGAGAAGTATATCTTCCGCCATTCATCTCTGTCGGTGTTGTTCTGACGGAACACCTATAGAACGCCTTGACGATCCATTACACCAACAACAACAATATCCTTCGGTGTGTTTCCCCTCGCGCTGTCCGTCCACGCCGTCGCGTGCTAACCCTCAAACGACAGTGACGGGGACTTAGTTCTAGTCGACGCTGGCGGGGTAAAGTGCGCCATCCCACCCGTTGTTTCCTACCAACTAACACTGTTAGCACTACGGCGGCTACGTAACTGACATCACACGGACGTGGCCCGTCTCGGGCCGGTTCACCGCTGCCCAAAAAGACCTCTACAATGCCGTCCTCACCGTCCAACGTAACTGCGTCAAGCTCTGTCGCGCAGACGCAGGACTGTCACTGGACGAGATCCACCATGTCGCGGAGGACGGACTACGACAGGAGCTGTTGAGGCTTGGGTTCGACCTAAGCGGGAATGCACTGGGAAATGTTCTGTTTCCGCACCATGTGGGCCACTACGTGGGTGTAGATCTACATGATTGCGGCACGTATGGAAGGAGGGCGCCGTTGACGGCTGGCCAGGTCATCACGGTTGAACCGTATGTTCCCCTTCCCCATCCATCCAACTCAACTCCGTGCTGACCGGCTTCAGTGGTGTATATGTTCCCAACAATTCCCGCTGGCCAAAACATTTCCGTGGTATGGGAATCCGTATCGAAGACAGTGTCTACGTCGGCGAGGAGAACCCGATCGTTCTCTCGGTCGAGGCGGTAAAGGAGGTTGACGATATCGAGGCGCTGCGGGAGGAGTAGACAAAAAAGTATGCATAGTTGCAATTGGACGTGTAAGATATGTAGATACTCTACTACGATTTTGATAGAGGGGACGAGGCTGAAGTTTTTTGTTTGGTAATCGTAATCAGTGACGCACGCCTAATGCACAGGGTCCTAGGAGCTACCTACCCTGTATTTAACCCACCGCCTCACCAAGCCACCATCATAGTGGGGGAAGCTCCCACTCTCGAGTCTCCACCATGGCCAGCTACGAAGACGACCACAACCTGCCGCGCACCCCGCGCGTCCCCCGGCGGCGACCAGCGCCCACCGTCGACCTCGACTCCCTCTTCACATCGTCGCTCCCCAGCGCCGCCTCCGCCTCGGCAGCCTTCCGCGCGCTAGCGTCAACCTACAGCACGCTCTCGGCGACGCACACGCCGCTCCTGGAGTCGATCCTGGACACTCTCACGCACGACGCGACGTCGGAGGTGCCGGCGTCCGGCGTGCCAGAGGGCTTTACGGATATGCTCGAGCGCGTGCCGAAGACTCGGTTGAAGGAGGCTGATACCTGTCCCATATGTAATACCCCGTTCCTCGAGGATAAGTTCCCGCTTGTGGTGAGGTTGCCGTGTCATAGGTTCGTACTCTTCTACCGGATGGCGGAGGGGGAAGGTGGAAGGGGGAGGGCGGGGAGAGGGGGGAGAGGGAGGATGCAGCTGACGTGCGGAGAGTAACTTAGGGATCATCTGTTCGACCTTGAGTGCATCGCGCCGTGGCTGAAGCTCAAGAGCACGTGTCCGCTGGATCGGAAGGACCTGGTCAAGAAGAAGTCGCCGCCGCCGCCGCCACCGCAGGACGAGGACGAGGAGGAGTGGGATGATGCGTATGGTTAAGGCTAAGGCTACCTAGGTGGAGAAGGGTTCGAGATGGATGGATGAGGAAGATGATGATACCTTGCTTGAATGCCTAGATGATAGATGATAGATGAGGATTTCACGGTTAGATCTGATCTGATGGACGACGACGATGGTGATGGCCCAGTTCGTATAGAGTAGAGTAAACCACTCCGTTCATCAATACATGATACGTACAAATCCATTCGGCTCATTAGTTGCGTAAAGAAGTAATTACGATTAAACCTCCAAGCAAGCACACACATCCACATTGGAAAAAAAGAGAGAAACAATATATCCCTCAAAATACATACAAAGAAGCCTCCCCAGCCGATCCCCAGCCCATCTATACCATCCGCTTTTTGAGAGACAATAGGAAAAGAAAAAGAAAAAAAAAGAACCATCGTAAATTTAATAGCATCAAAAACCGCCAAAAACAAAAAAAGAAATGGCAAGATTGGAGGGGGAGGCCCCCGCAGTTAGGACTTAGATCACTCATAGTCGCCACCTCGTCGTCCACCGTTATTGCCGTTGGAGTCGCCCATCTTGACAGCCTCGAGGATGGCATCCTTAGCCTTCTCGAGACCGGCCTTGTCACCATTGAGGGTGATTGCCCCGTCGCCGCTACCGCCATTCCGATTGTTGTGTGGCACGGTGATGCGGCATCCGGTCTCGCGGCGGATACGGTCGACGGTAGAACCGCCAGGGCCGATGACAAAACGGTATTTCCGTGGGTCGGGGAGGATCAAGAAGCCAGTGTGTGATTGTTTCGCGGCGGCGGCGACAGCCTTCTCGATCTCGGCCTTAGCCTTGGCGACATTCGCCGGGTTACTCCCACGAAGGACCCATGGATAAGTCTCCTCCTCGCCGGTGGAGGCGGAGTTCTCGACGATCTCCCAGAAGACGCGGTCCTCGTCGGCTTCGTCGGTGATGAGGGGCATGTCCTGGGCGGTCTTGGGCTTGGGGGCTTCGGGCTTCGTGGGTCGAGGGAGGCCGTTGTGGTCAACGGTCACCTTGAACTCCCGCTGGAGCTGCTTGAAGAGGCCACCGTCGGCGATGGCATGATGAAGACGGCGGGGGACCTCCAAAGTCTCACCCTCGGGCTCCTCGGTCAATTCGAGGATGTGGGCCTTCGCATCCTCGACGGCCGAAGGCTCACCAGTAATGCTGATATCAGGATTCGTTTGGGGCTGTCCTGGGCGCTGGCGGGGAATACCGAGGGTGACTGCGAACTTGGCCTCGAGCTCACGGCGGATGATACCCTCACGGCCGATGAGCTTCCTGTGCCTCTCGGGAGCGACCTGTATGACTTCGGTCACCTGGTTCTCCTTCTCGGCAACGATATTTTCGATGGCCTCGACGATCTTGTCGACGATGTCGGTAGAGCCTTGCACGACGATGTCGTTCGACTCGGATGCCTGGTTAGGGAAGCGGACCAAGCGAGCCAGAGCAGCGCGGTCATCGGGGCCACCGGCGTTAACGACGATATCCCTCAAAGTCGAACCTGCAACTAGTCAGCTACCTACACTAGACACCGGAGAAAAAAAGGAGAAGCATACCTCCAGGTCCAATCAGAGACTTGTGGTATTTCTTGTCAACACTAATCGTTCTTGCGGTGGTGTTCTCCGCATTCTGCGCAATCTTAGAGAGCACGGTCTTCGCATGATCAACATCCTTTTTGGTACCGCGAATTCTGATCTCGACTGTGCTCTCGGGATCCGAGTTCTTGTCCTCCTGAGGAATGATGATCCTGGCCGAAGTCTCTTCACGAAGGCGCTTAATGTCCTTGCTGGCGTTCTTGAACATGTAGCCAACCGATTTGGCGAGCACGGTGATGGTGGCAGTGTGGTTGTTGTCGGCCTCGTACTTCCAGAGCTCGGTGATCTCCTGGCTAGCCTCCTGGGCGCCCTTTTTGTTTCCACGGATAATAATCTCATCGGGAGCCTGGCGAGGACCGTCCTCCTCCGACTTCTTGGGGAAGTTGATGCGCACGTTGTAACGCTCCTCCAGTCTCCGAACGGTAGAGCCCTCAGAGCCAACGATGACACCGTGGTACTGCTGGGGAACCTTGATGGTGATGACAGCCTTGTCCTCGAGCTCCTTGAGCTGTGCGTTCAGCTTCTTGCGTGCAGCATCGACGCAGACCCGGACACCAGTAATTTTACCGTTGCCCTCGTCCAGCCGGATTTCAACACCTAGGTCGTCTCTAAGCTTATTGATGTTAGATCCCTTGGAACCGATCAAGTTACCCGAGTACTGTCTAGGGTACTCGAATTGCTCCGTGATAACTGCAGGAGCATCCTGGCCCTCGGTGTCTTTCAAGAACGCATTGATGTTCGCAGCCATAGTGGCGACATTTCCAGGAGGTCCACGCAGGGTGATGGTGTTTTCAACACCCGAATCGGCCGCAGGAGCAGGCCTTCCAAAGCGTGCCGTAGGAGCACCGAACTGGACAAAGATCGAGGTAGGGTTGAGGGCATTGATGATTGTGTTCCGCTCACCGCGCAACTTGTCGTGGAGCTCTTGGGGGACTTCCAGAACCTTTTTAACGATCTCGACCTGACCCTTAGTAATCTCACGGATCCCTTCCTTCGCTTTCTCCAACGCTTCGGAGATCACAGCCTCATCAGTAGATGGACCTTCGTAGACCAAGGCAATCCTGTCATCCTCCGGGTCCTGTGGGAAAAGGATTTCAACAGAGGTTGCCGCAGAAATCTTTTTAGGCCCCTTTCCGTCCTTTCCAAGGATGTGCTTGAAGTAGAGCGGCTCAACCTCCATCTCAGATATCCGCTTAGGTGTGTATGCGCCAAAGAGCTCCATGACAGCCTTTTTGGCTGTATTGACATTTTCCTTAGTCTTGCCAATGATCGTGATGAGGCAGGGCTTGGTCAAGTCGTAGAGAGTTTCTTGAGGGTAGGTGATGTCAACATCGCAATCTTTCTCAATTACCTTGTCCCGAGATGTTTTCTGGATATGCCGCACGACATCGATGGCATGTACCTTAGCTCCATTCGGTGCATTCTTGAAAGGAGTGCACAGATCGAGGGTGGCTGTGTTGTATCCCTCCAATTTCCGTAAAATGGCGCTCAAACCATCGGCCACTTTTGATGAAGGACCGACGATGAAGGCCTTAAAGACATTTGGAGGGGGAAGAATAACAGAACAGCCAGTCTCGGCGAACACCTCCCTGATGATTTGGTAGTTGTTTCTCTTGAGGAGCTGCGGCTCGTGGGAGTTAATGTCGGTACCACGGACGGGGTAGTCCTCGGCCTCTAGCGAGCTGATCATTTCCTTGATCTGGGCAACAACCTGCTCAACGGCCGACTTCTCACCGATCACCAGGATGGGACCAGAAGGCTCGCTGAGTTTTGGTGCTGGCGTGGTGGTGTGAAAGTAGTCTGGAACGAGAACTTTGTCCACAAGTTCCTCCCATTTCTGGATGTTGCTCTTATCTTGGCCCTGAATGAAAGGGTAGAGCTTCCCGGAGGCAGTGATTGATCGCGTAATCTTAATGACCTGTTGGGAATGAAAGTCAGCAACTGCATTCTCGGTGGTTATGGTAGGGGTGAGCCATACCCGCTCCTTGACAATCTTTGTGATCAGCTCGGCGGCCTTCTCACATCCCTCACTGTCACCCTCAATGAGGACATCGATCATAGCCTCGTCCTCGTGCTCGGCAGCCCCCATGTCAGCGGCATCATACTGGGGAACCTTGACGTTGGTCAAGGTCTTCTGCTGAAGTTCCTGGATCTTGGACCCACCCTTTCCGATGATGAACGACCGGGTGACAGCAGGAACAGATACTGAACGGGTCACCTAACCACCAATCATCAGTTACAGCCTCAGATTATTAGTCGGATTTAAAACCAACCGTAGCTGTCAGCTCCCTCCTCAGCTCCCTCTTTGCTCTATCCCTATCATCTGCGGAGCTTCCCGAAATGACATATGTCGAGCTTCCTCTACTGATATTCGTAGCGACTTCAATCTTGGTCCCCGTCTTCCTCGCAATATCACGGACCAGGTCCTGCTGCGACCTCCTCATATCCGCTGGGGCCCTACGGTCTCCCTTGAGGAGTGTAAAGACCGTTTGCTGGCCACCGGCGCTCTTTACCGCCGGAGACCAATTCGACTCCGCCGGTGCAGACGAAGCCGAAACCAGGACAGGGCCCGCACCGGCACCCCACTTGACGGGTGCGATGCTAGCCTTCGAGGGACCTCCGCCGAGCGAGGGAAACGCACTATCCGAAGCAACGTCGATGTGAGTGGCCTCCCTATTCTTCTGGGGGGCTTTGCCGTGGTTCTTGTTCTTCGGAGCGGCAGCTTCCTCGGCGTCCGCTGCCAGCTGCAGGCGCTGCGCGGGAGTCAGGCTGGCGCTGGCTTCCTCTGTCTCCTCGACGGCGGCAGGGGCAGCATCGGCTGGGATGTCAATGATGCTCTCGTCGACGGTAGCGGACACAACTTCGTTGTGCCCGTTGACTACGGATTCGGCCATTGTGGATAGCGGCGGGTGGGGGGGGTGTGCGTCTGAGTGAAAGCCTTTGCGATTACAGACAACCTCTCCTTGCGGAGTGGGGAGGATGGAAAGTGTGTGTGGGTTTGGAGACGAGAGTTTCGGACTGGAGGGTGGGAGGGATAAGAACCTGAGTTGGTGTGTGCGAGGAAAGTTAGATTCGAGCTCTTCTGCCAAAAGCAATTGGGTTTCCCTCGGAAAAGGAGGAAGACGGACGTGGAGGACGGATAGAAACCTACACCTGTACGTTGGGACGGCCGTTATATAGGGGAGATTTTTGGAATGGAATGAGTATTGCGAGAGGAAAGGGAAAGAGAATAAGACGATTATTTGAGAAGAGATGTAGATGTGGAATGTCTCAGTCGCCAAGCAACGGCGCACACCGGCGAGGACACCCTGGCAGCTTACTGTCTTGTCGCTTGTTCACTCGATTGAGTACTGACAACTGTGGCAATTACCTATTGAGGAATCTGTTCACGCCGCCGTGCCGTAGTCTGCGGCCGAGAACCGTACTGGATCTCTGTCGATGTGGTCCTAGAAAGCATTTACCTGCCCACTCGAGTGCTCCATATATTTACTCGGATAGTTTTCTCCGGATTGTATGTGAAGACATCGAGGGCGGAAACCCGAAACAGCGGGTCACCGCAGGAATTGAGCAAGCCGCAAACTCGGGATTCGGGTATCGATAGTTGCTCAGAATAGAATTGCCTCTACTACACTTTAACCAAAAGAAAGCTCGGCGGTCTGTGGGTATTTGCAAAAGTTTGAGAGCTCGGACGCGGGTTTGAATTTAGGGACAGTCACCACAGCACAAAACTCACACAGACCCTCACTGCCACCATCGTGAGTGATTTCAGACAATGACTGATCTCTATCCCGCACCGAGCCCCTTATTTACACGAACCCCGCCCCCGCCACTGCTCGCCTTACGATCCGCAGACAAACAACACACAAACTAACCTTTGTTCATGAACAAACACGGGCAAGAAGATTTGCAGCAAAAAAAGCACCCCATCTGCAGATTGCCAGACGTGAGGACAGGTAAAACCCACACCCGGAGGAGACCGAGATCGAGAATGTTCAAAGTCCGTATCGTAAAAAAAAAAGCAGAGATGCAACTTTCACCCTTCTCCCCACCCACAACCACCCCCCCCCCCAGTGACCCCGACTAGACTGCTGTACAGGAATTGCCAGTGAATGATGCAGACAACTAAGCAGAAAAACACACGGAAAAGAGAAAACAAAGAAAAAACCCTCAAGTAATGAGGAAAAGGGAATTAATGATTCAAAAAAGAGTCGGAACCATACTATTGTCTGTTTTGAGATGGGAGGTGGCTGTATTGCTTTCAAAGATAGCGTCTGCTGGGTCCCTTCGTTGGTCGACGGAGTTGCGTGAGAAGATCGTCGAGATCCTCCCAATTCTTGTTGTTGGTAGCAAACTTGCGATGTTGCCGCGATAGAGTGTGCTATTGAAAATTATGTTAGCCAAACCAAGCGAAATGGGACGAACCAGGCATCAACAAACCTCTTCGAAATCGTCAAACTTCTCTCGGCAGTTCTCACAGTAACCGGGCTTGGGCTCCGCCTTAGTCTTCTTCTTGATTACCGGCGTCTCACGACTGCGCTCCGCCCGTTGATTCGTGCATCCAACATCCTCCTCTACCGGCTTGAGCAATTTCGAGCGTCCATCGACATCCCGTGCCTTGGCCTCGTTTTCGGCAGCTCTCGCGAGGAGATCGGTCGATCGTCGTGCCATATTGGCAGACTTCGCAGCTGGATTACCCATCAAAACGTTACCAGCTACTTTCCTGTGCAGTGCATGGATTTCCTTGCTAGTTCCAGCACGGTGGCCGGGCTGGTCTTGGTGAGAGGAAACCATTTGCGAACGGATAGCAGAAGTAACATTGGATGGCTGCACACCAGATGCGCAAGGTTCAACATTGGAGCGACGGCCAGCTTGGGACGCGGACTCGTTCGTGGCGGTAAAGGCAACAGTGCCCTCGAGGCGAGTGCCGCGTTTCGGGGCCTCAATGGCGGGGCGGGCAGTGGTAGCCTTGCCATTGGCAGCGTTGAGCTCGGCAAGGATACGCTTGCTCCTGCCGACGTAGGTTCGTGGTTTGGCGGGCGATCGTTCCTTGGGAATGGCCGCCTCTTTGATTGATTCGACCTGCTTCTGGCGGTGCGGCTGCTGCTCCGCCACCTTAGACACAGGCTTAGCCTCCTTTATCAGCTTGATGTCCTTGCGTGCCTCTGCCGTAGCAGCAGCGACCTTCGATCGCTCCTTCTCGGCTGCCTTCGGCTGCTCGACTTTCTCCCTAACAATGCCTCGTTCCCTATCCCGTCGCTGGTGAACTGCCTCTTCGATGAAAGGGCATTTTCCTCCACTGACACTCCGGAACTGCGGCCACGTGCCATCCTCCCGTCGCTGCACTTTAGGATACTCCCGCACGATGACAGGACGGTTGATACCAAACATGTCGTGGATGTAGATGTAGGGTCCTTTCCAGTAGTGCAGATCTTTGGCAGCCACATTAGGGTCACGATCCGTGGGACCGTGGAGTCTCTCATTGCGCAGCAGATGTGAGAGGTCGACATTGGGCTGTGTCTCCACGTACTTCGAGTGGGTGGGTGCATCCCGACGGCTTGGGGCCGTCAACGAAGGTCTCTCGGCGGGGAATCCGAAAAGCACATTGAGTACGCGGTCAAGCTTTTCGGTAGCCCAGATCTTCATACCATACTCTCGTGCTTTGAGTAAGATATCGGTTCCACCACCACGTGTACTCTTGCGCTGATCCGCCCTCTGATCTATCAACGCCGGATTGACAGTGGTTCGCGAGTTCCATTTAGCAGTCGCAGCGTAGGAGTTGTCGTACGGTAGGGTACGGTTGGTGATCAAATGGGTGACTTTTGCCGAAAAATATTTCTCACACGTCTGTTCATCTCAGTTTTAGTCTTCCCCCACATGGGAAAGATGACCATGAAAGCGCTTCAGGACGGCTGGCTGCACTTACCGCTCCCAAGGTCGAAATCTGCTTCTGTGCCTTCAACAGGACATCCTGCGGAATGCTCTCAAAGAAGAAAACATATGCTGGAAAAGCCTTCCTATAATGCTTTTGCCAGGCTCTCACATCCAACGTCTGCTGGTCGGCACCGGGTGCTTGAGGTATCTGCTGCACAACAGCCTTTGAAGCCTTACGAGCACGCTCGGCGTGGGAGGTGGAATCGATTGCGAAGGGAGCATCCGGCTGAACTTTACGCCCACGACCGGCGATATCGACAAAAGGCGGTGGTGCACCCGTAGTAGTAGCTGGACGCGTAGAGCGAGCGGGTGCCCTCTTGGAAGGGTTGTTAGCTTTTGCAACAGCATTTTCTCCACCACCGGCCCCGGGTTCGGCACGCGAACGACGAACAGGCGTACGTAGGATCGCCGGGTTGATGTCGACGGCCTGTTTTTTCGGCGGGGGTTGGCCGAAGGAGGCGTCCTTCTGTGCGCTCTGGGACCGCGAGCGTTTGGTGGAGGCCGCTGTCATCTGGAACGGAGAGTTGATCGCGTTGGGGTTGTTGGTGAGGGGTGCCCTCCTGGTCGTAGTCGTTGTCGTCGTGTGCGTCGTCATTGCAGCCGTAGCCTGTGGAATGGACGACACTTGTGTGGCCATCATCGACCGAGTGACTGCCGAAATTGAAGGAGCGAGTGGGGTGTTGTGAGCGACGAGAAAGTCCTATCTTCAAAGGCCTCCTCTTTTCTGTTGCGGGTCGAAACGAACTTCACGCGTGAACCATGCTTAGGAGACACGACCACAACAACAATCACAACAACAACGCAGGGACGATCCGAGCCACGAATTGGCGATCGTTTTTCTACCGAGAAGGGTGTTTTGTTGTTTTTTTGGGTTTCAATCAATTAAAGAGAAGAAGCCTGCAGTCCAGAGCAAGCGTATGAGAGAACGGAAGCGAAATAGAATGCGAAGGAGAGGGAGAAGAGAAAAGAAGACGGGAGGGAGAGGGGTGGTGTCGAAGAGGGTTGGTGATTCCCTTCCGCTGGGGGGGAAGGAAGGGAAGGATGTTTGCGAGTGTTGGTTGGGATGGGGTCGGTTGGGGTCGCGCGATGGGGTGGCTCTTTTGGTGGTGGAGGTGATTGTCAGAGTGGATGTGTGGTGTGGACACAAGACAGAGGCAGCCAGGACTCTAGAATAAAGATTGGAGGACGGGCGAACCGGAAATGGAAAGCGGAAAGACTGTAGTGGCTGGGCTTTGGCTGACGGGGGAGAGGGAGGGGGGTTAACTTCTGAGCGTTTGGTTGGCTGGATGGTTGTCTCGGGGAACGGTTTTGTTTGTTTTCATGTTGAAGAAGAAACGAAACGAACCCGATGAAGAAGGATTGGCGGAGCAGCGCAACAACATAGCTGGAATCCCGAGTCCGAGTCCGAAGTAGGAGGCTTCGTTCGTCTCCGACACGTAACCGCTCCAGATACGAGACACCGTCTACGTAAAGCGTGAAGTTATGTTTTTGCTTCGTTCACGTGACTACGCGCGGCAAATCCTCCTTTCGAAATTTCATTTCACGCACACACACCAAAAAAAACGCGACAGCGGGGCACGGCTGGGCACAGGTGGCGCGAAGGCTCGGCTCGGCTGTGCTGTGTTCCGGGGCCCAATGCCGAATGACGTATGAGAGCAACGGCTTCTCTCGTCGGCATCTCAACAACAACCTCCGAGAAGCCGAGTGAGCAATCCCGAGCCGATGCGGATGGAGTGGTATTCCGTCGCGATCGCCGGCCTGGCCCGAATCGAAACCTAATTTGCCGCTGATGCTGGTGGGTGGTGATGACGAAATGGATTCCAAATCCCTGTGGCAGTGCCGGTGCATCTGCTCCACCATAAGCCCCACGTTACTCTACGATACAAATACTTAGGCAGGCGTACTCAACATCGCACCAAAGGCAGAGAGAGTAACTCCGACTCGAATATATATATCCCACGCCGATGCACTCTTTTGTAACCCGTCGTCTTCTACACTACCGAAGCATCCGCCCCATCATCACCATCAATACTAGCACTCGCTTCCTTCCTACATCCATGGGCACCAACATGTCCACCTCCGCCCCCGACACCTCCAGCTTCCCCGTTCAAAAGTCATCGAGCGAATGGCGCGCCATACTCTCTCCCGAGCAGTTCCGGATTCTCCGTGAGAAGGGGACCGAGCCCCCCGGGAGCGGAGACTACAACCACCACAAAGCTTCCTCCGGAGTCTATAACTGCGCCGGCTGCGACACCCCGCTGTACAAAGTCACCACCAAGTTCTCGAGTGGATGCGGGTGGCCGGCGTTCTTTGAGGGTATTCCGGGAGCGATCGTGAGGAAGGAGGATGGCATGTACGGGATGAGACGCACAGAGATTATGTGTGCGAACTGTGGAGGGCATCTTGGGTACGTTTCGTGATGCACCGGTGTGGGAGTATGATGGCTGATCAATACCGCAGACATGTCTTCAAGGGAGAGGGATTCGATACACCGACGGACGAGAGGCATTGCGTCAACAGTGTCAGCTTGAAGTTTAAGGACGACGGTGGGGAGGGGAAACTTTGAGATGGGATCACTTGCGGCGCTTAGACTGTAGTTAGCAGTAGCGGCAACATCGACGGACTCGCGGATCAATACTTATACTTTTGATGGCCAGCAAACTGTGATGCTCCTCTCCTAAACCCCCACCTCCAATTATCTACATGCTAGGCGTGTCTTCGAACATACATAGCGCCACAAGATGAGTTGCACGGACTCTAGAGTCTACAGCAATTTGTGCTTCTGCAGGAATAGAGATCGTACATAGCTGGTAATCACTTTAGATTAGCCGCCAGCTTGCCTCGAATTTGTACCTATCCCATACAAGCTCCATCTGTGCTTCTCGAAGCTCCATTCGGTGTTACAGTTACACGGCACTACTTGATGTTGCTGACCAAGGTGCCAAGAGCTCGACCGAGCGCGTAAAGGCACCCAAGCACCTCGTGTTTCCAAGGGTGCAGGTGAACTCCCGCGGCCGATCAACACTCACCACCCTCACTCCTCCTCCGAAGAAGTGAAGCTCGAAGAGTTCGGGTTCAGTCGCCGCTTCTCGGACATTTCAACACACGCATACCACGACTCCGATCGCAATCATGCTCAAAACCAAGCCCCTAACCCAACTGCTCTCGCAATCCATCAGTCCCAATGTCTCGTCGGCACTGTGCGTCCTCCTCCTCCGGCCAGCTCCTCCCTCCTCCTCGTCCAATGCTAATCCGTCGCAGACTCTTCACCCCTTCCGGCTCCCTCCTGGCAACCGGCACCTCCCCCGTCGCCCCCGACGCGAAGAAGGCGCGCACCAACGCCGCGCTAGCCGCCAACATCTGGAGCACGTACTCCTCGACGACCGAAGACGACGACGGATTGAAGACGCTCACCCTCGAGTTTGAGGAGTACAACATGCATATAGCGCTTGTTGCGCCACGCGTGCTGCTGTGTCTAATCGGGCCGACGAAGCCGAATACGCCCCGGTACAGCAGCTCCAGGAGCAGTGCGCACAGCCAAGGGAGTGTCGGCGGGAATGGAACACTGGGGAGTGCTGGGCCTTCAAGTGTTAAGGCGGGTGTTGGAGGTGGGTTGGGTCTGCTGAAGACGCAGGCACAAGCGTTGGTACAGTACCTCGAGAAGGAGCTGGGCGGGTATGAGCTACCGGAAGGCCTTTGAAGACGTGCTTTCGTTTGGAGTTGAGGTGTGGGTTCTGTAATAGCATTCTGTTCTGATGGGGGTCTCCTTTTTTTTGTGTTTATCTGTCACGTAGACGGCTTTGTTATTTGATTCTGCTTCTTCTGTGCGGTGCGTCTAGACTTTGCTTTGCTGGCGAGTAAGGGTTCTGAACTGGTTTTATGTTTTGCTTCAAAGCGGGCCGTCAGTGCCGGATAGGCGATCAATCAATCTTCTCGAAATGCCGTGTTGACGAGAGAGGGTGTGTGATCTGGCCGATGTTGTTTTCCCGCAAGTGATCACTGATGATTGCGCTATCAATTGCTTTAGCTGCTCTTAAGCTCTCTCGGAAAATGAAATCGGTCCGGCTAGACAAGAGGCGGCCCTCGCACTCCTGTCTAATCCTATTCCTCAAGCCATAGATACGTCCCTAGATTCCTGAGTACTCATCGCAGACGGACAGTTCTGGTTTGTAATTCCGTCGGAACTTGCCGCCCACCTAACGTCATCCATCTCGACCCCACATTGCTGAATAGATCGACATGACCCTTCCACCACTATTCTCACGACTCCGCACCATTCAATCTCATCTCCGAACTACAATCGTAACCACAACGACAATTGCAAAGATGGCGTACTCAACCAACACCTCGCGTTACAAGCTGAGCCACACGATGTATGCTAAAGAATAAAGAGATATTATGGGGGGAATGGAGCGCTGACAATGGATGGATGTCAGGCTGCGGGTGAAGGATCCCAAAGTCAGCAGTACGTCCGCCCGCTCGTTCTTATATCACTGCAATGACGATACTCATTGGGAATATTTGCAGTCAAGTTCTATTCCGAGAACTTCGGTATGAAATTGATCCACAAGTACCACTTCCCATGCCCTCGGAGGGGTTAATATGCTTAACTCCGTCGCACCCCAGGCTCCACTTCGACGACGTCAAGTACTCGCTGTACTTCCTCGCCTTCGACAGCCCCAAGTCCGAGAGCGGCGGCAACCACTGGAACGACCGCGAGTCCGTGCTGGAGCTCACGCACAACCACGGCACGGAGGACGACCCGGACTTCAAAGTCGCCTCGGGCAACTCGGACCCGGGCCGGGGTTTCGGCCACATCTGCTTCTCCGTCGACAACATCCAGGCGGCGTGCTCCCACCTCGAATCAAACTCCGTCCGCTTCCAGAAGAAGCTTTCCGACGGCAGGATGAAGGATATCGCCTTCGCCCTGGATCCGGACGGGTACTGGATCGAGCTCATTGGGCAGGCGGGCAGCGACCCTGAGGCTACCACCACGGATCTCGAGACGTATAGGTTCAACCACACTATGATCCGCGTGAAGGATGTGGATAAATCTCTCAATTTCTACAGGAGCGTCCTGGGAATGAGTCTGCTGCGCACGATGGAGAACCCAGACAGCAAGTTCAACCTGTACTTCCTCGGCTACCGTCGGCCAGGCGAGGATGGAGATTTAACGAGGGAGCAGCTGGCGGGGCGGGAGGGCGTGCGTGAACTATCCATCTCCTAGCACGAGTAGAGTACTGACGTCCACAGCTGCTCGAACTGACTTGGAACTACGGCACGGAGAACGATCCTAACTTTGCCTACCACAACGGCAACACTAATCCGCAGGGCTTCGGCGTATGCCCCTCTCTCTCCTAGGTAGCTTCGATTCCTCACGCACCGACTAACACTCAGTAGAATGTGTGCATCTCCGTCGACAACGTCCAAGACGCTTGCGCGCGATTCGAGGATCTTGGTGTCAGCTGGAGGAAGCGCCTCAATGAGGGCCGCGTAAACACCGTGGCTTTCATCCTGGATCCAGATAACTACTGGATTGAGTACGTCTTACCCTCAGAAAAGAGAAGGAATGGGCTGACAGTGTGAATAGGGTCATGCAGAATGGAGCGCTCAAGAAGAGTGATGCCGCGCCGTAAATGTTGGCTTGGTCCGTACTTGCACAAAGAGATTCATATGTGTGATGATTCTGTATTTCCTTTGGTGCATAGCAGTAAATATCATGTGCCACAAACCCATATGACCGGGACTTGTGGAAACTTTACTCGCGTGCGAATGCTACGCTCTGGTCACTTCCCCAGTTGATATGGCCACTTCCCCAGTTGATATGGCCATGTTTGACCGGGCCGGCTCTTCCCAACTGCGTAGGTATATCAATCGCACATATCATACCATATCCTCCCTGTGATTGGAGTAGAGACGGGGCAGATTCTAAGCTTTCGAGAAGCATTGTGTTCAAGCCTGGATTGCAGGTGATTTGGCCTAGGGTTCTAGGTAATGGGGCTGCCCACTTACACCTACAGGACGCATTCACCCTGCCATTGAACCATGAAAAAGTGTTCAATCCGTCTACCCACCACGCGCGGATTATGGTTCATTCGAGTAAAATTGATACCTTGCTAGACGTTCCCAGCAGCAAACCTCGGTATCGATAAAGCACATTGACCTTGACAGTCAATGAATCGGACTTGAAAGCCCGTCGCTCCGTTCCACAAAATGTTGCATCATGTACCCAGCACTCGCACGGTACGTTCGGCACGACCAGAAGTTAGCTAGCTTAGCTGCATTGGAGCTTCCGCTTCCCCACACTGTGGATTACCGACATCGCAACCCGCGCGCGGAGCTTCCCCACACCCCACCAAGTGGACTCCCGAGCGGCAGATCAGTACCGCTCATCCGCAAAGCCGTAAAATAAAACCCCCCAAGCTCCAACGGCCAGCCAGCTTCCTCCTCCTCTGCAGAAAACAATTCCGCACACAATTCAATTCCCAACGAACGATGGTACTGTCACGCATAGCAGCTACGGCTCGCACACGGGCTACCAATGCCCTCCGCACCATCCAGTCCCACCCCCCGTCGTGTCCCTGCCACGGCAATCCCATGCACCCGCACAATTTCGCCCAGGCCGCGAAGACGGCTCAGAGGTTCATGGCGACGCCCGGAATGGACGTCAGCCGGCAGAAGGAGTATGCGTTTGAGATGGCCGGTAGCTAGCCCTGCTCCCTCCATCCTTCCATGGGATGCTGATTCTGGGGGGGACACAAAGCGTCGAGTATCCGCTTCGGCCCCGGCTCGACGCGCGAAGTCGGCATGGACTTCAAGAACATGCGGGCGAAGAAGGTGCTGGTGGTGACGGACAAGACGATTGCGCAGCTGCGGCCGATGCGCGTGGCCATTGAGGCGCTGGAGAGCGAGGGAATACAGTACGAAATCTACGACAAGGTGCATGTCGAGCCGAAGGATTACAGCGTTAAAGATGCGATCGAGTTTGGCAAGAAACACCCGGTCGACGCGATCCTCGCCGTGGGCGGTGGCAGTGTTATGGATACGGCAAAGATTGTGAACCTGTACACGGCGTACCCGGAGGCGGATTTCCTTGACTTTGTAGGTAGCTCTGGAAGGGGAGCGATGGGTGGTGCTGATGGAGTGACAGGTTAATGCGCCGCTCGGGAAAGGACTGCCGATTACGAAGCAGTTGAAGCCTCTCATCTGTATTCCCACGACAGCTGGAACTGGTAGTGAAACTACGGGAACCGCTATCTTGTCTGTTCCACTCGTACCCAGGCAAATTTCTACTGCTGACAGAATACAGCGATCTTGTGGATAAGAAGGCCAAGACAGGAATTGCGCATCGTGCACTGAAGCCAACGCTGGGTATATGCGACCCTTTGAACACTCGCACTATGCCCTCTGCCGTGGCTGCAGCCTCGGGTCTGGATGTGCTCTGCCACGCATTGGAGTCATATACCGCAATCCCCTTCCACGAGCGGACTCCTCGCCCCACAAACCCCATCCTACGGTTTGATCACTCCTCGCCTCCCTCTGGGTGTTCCAGCTGACATCTATACAGCCCAGCCTACCAAGGTGCCAACCCCATCAGCGACGTCTTCTCTTTCCGTGCGCTGCAGATGACCATCAAATACCTCCCGCGGGCTGTGCACGACCCCTCCGACGAGGAAGCCCAATCGCAGATGCTCCTCGGCGCGACGCTCGCCGGCGTAGGCTTCGGCAATGCCGGTGTGCATCTCTGCCACGGCCTATCCTACGGCATCTCCGGCGGCAATCCCGGCTATAAGCAAGCCGGCTACGCTGTCGACTACCCTCTGATCCCGCACGGAGTCTCTGTGGCTGTTACCGCACCCGCCGTCTTTGCCTTCACCGCCGCTTCGAATCCGGAGAGACATCTGCAGGCCGCAGAGCTGTTTGGTGTCGATATCTCCAATGCTAGGGCTGAAGACGCCGGCGCGATCCTGAGTGATGCGATCAAGAAGTTCCTGGCGAAGCTGGGAGATCAGCCCATGGGTATCAAGGGGTTGGGGTATGGAAGTGGCGATATTGAGGGGCTCGTCGAGGCTACGCTGCCGCAGAGACGAGTACTCATGTTGGCGCCGTCGTTTGAGGAGGAGGTTGATCGGCAGCGGGAGGTGTTGACGGGAATTTTGGAGGATGCGATGGAGTATTAGATACCAGCTGGCGGAGTTGTCTTTGCAGCACGGAATAGAATATCATGCAAGATACCACAACTTTTACATTCCAGAACAGTGCGTACGATTTGTTATTCTTGGGCAACAGAGTTCGCGCTAGGTATCACAGCCTGGGTTCCGAATCATAAATACAGTTTGAGCTTTCAATCTTGTCGTTATAAATTAAGCCCATGAACGTGCAAGCAACCGCAGCCGGTCCAAGTATTAAAACGAAACAGCTCTTTACTTTGTTACTCCCACGCGGCAACTTCGGGGTTGAGCTAAAATCAAACCATGCAATTCCTAACCGGGTACTACCGATGATCGACACGGGAGCAGTCCTTAACTAAACGCCGATGACCATGACATGACCTAGGAACATATCACAACACACGACCACCTCACAGCTTCTCTACCAAGATGCCTCACGACGCCGAACGCGAAGCACCGATTGCTTCCGAGGAGTCTCCACTGCTCGGGGATGCGGTCGAAAGTAACACCGCCGACGACGTTCCAGTTGCGCAGGAGCTTCCCACGGCGAAGCTAGTTGCCGTGTTGCTCTCCGTCTGGGTGTGTTATTCCCTGCTGGGGAAAAAAATCAACAAGATCTCCACTGACCCTCGCCAACAGATCGGCGTATTCCTCTCCTCGCTCGACACCACAGTAATCAGCACGCTCCTCGCGCCCATCAGCAGCGAATTCAACTCCTTCGCCTCGCTTTCGTGGATCACGACCGCGTACCTGATCGCGCAAGCGGCGCTGCAGCCGCTGTTCGGGAAGTTGACGGATATCTATGGGCGGCGTGGGGGACTGCTCGCCTGCAATACGCTGTTCGCCGTCGGCACCCTCTTGTGTGGGTTCGCTAGGGATGAGTATGGTATGATTGCCGGGAGGATCCTCGCCGGTGCCGGCGGCGGCGGCATGACCGCTATTTCGTCGATTGTCGCGACGGATTTGGTGCCGTTGAGACGCAGGGGCGTGGTGCAAGGGTTGGTTGGTGCTGTGGGGAGCTGTGGGAAGCGGTGCGAAGGGTGCTGATGAATGCGTGTTAGCGGTGGTAACTTGGCGTATGGAACTGGCGCGGCGTTGGGTGGGCTCTATGGCGGTATTGTGAACGACACTATCGGGTGGAGATGGGCGTTCATCCTGCAGGTCAGTTTATGGTATACTAGAATGGAGATGGCCGTCGCTCATTAACGGAGTACCCAGATCCCCATAATCGTGGTCTCTAGCATATTCGTCTTCCTCTACGTCAATATTCCAATCAAGAAGATAGAAGGTCCTCGGCACAAGCGTGTCGACTACCTTGGAGCCCTCAACCTAGTCATGTTCCTGATGTTGTTTCTGCTCGCACTCAATACTGGTGGAACATTGGTTCCATGGACTCATCCGCTGGTGCTGATCGCTCTGTCGCTGAGTGTGGTGTTCCTGGCGGGATTCATATACACCGAGAAGTTCATCGCCAAGGAACCGGTGATACCACTGAAGAGTCTGCAGGACCGGACGGTTCTGGCATCGTGCTTGACAATGCTGTTCATGGTGATGAGTGTATACTGCGTGGTAAGCCTCTCTTCCTCCATCCCTCTACAAGAACATCGTCTCACTGCAGATAGTACTTCTTCATCCCCATCTACTCCATGCTCCGCGGCGCCTCCGCCACCGCAGCAGGAGTGAACCTTATGCCCTTTTCCGTCGGAATCTCGATCGGTTCCCTCGGCGCAGGTCTAATCATGAATCGCACGGGGCGCTACTACCGGCTCGGCCTCGCCTCCATGTTCGTGTTCAATCTCGGCACCGGGCTGTTCTGCACCTTCACGCTGCACACTCCGCGCTGGCCACAGATGCTGTACTTACTCTTCTTTGGCATGGGGTACGGTGCAACGCTCACCGTGGGCCTGCTGTCGCTCATCGCGGCGGTGAAACACTCGGAGCAGGCGACTACTACCTCCTCGTCGTATCTGTTCCGTGCTACCGGTGGCACCATTGGCGCCGCGGTGGGAAGCGCGGTGTTTCAGACTTCACTGCGCACTCACCTACTCAAGCAATTGGGGGATGGTGAGGAGGCGGGGGAGGTCATCCGTAGAGTTCTGCAAGACTTTGGTGAAGTTGCGAAGCTCGTCCAGCCGTGGAAGGGAGAGGTCACGGATGCGTATATGAGCGCCCTGAGGATGGTGTTTACTGTCGGGTTTGCTCTGGGCACACTCGGACTGCTCACGATCGCCGCGATGAGGGAGAATAAATTGCATAAAACTCTGGATAGAAGATAGATGTAGATGTAGATGGGGGCATAGATTAGAGAGATTAGAGAGATTGAACGAGATTGAATGAGATGAACGAGATTGATACCAGTCGGCAACAATAGCATGCACTGAACCGAATTGGTCGTCGCCGAGTGATTGTTCCTCCTTTAAGTTTCCATCACTCAACCACCACACTTCCGCAACCCACTCACTCACACACTCACTCACACACTCACTCACTCGACCAACCAACCACACCAACAACCCCACCAGCCAGTCACAATAGCAACTCGAACACCAACACGATGTACGACTCACTAGACGGAATGGAACCCGAAGAGGCCGACTACTATGACGACCTCGACATCGACGACTCGGACCTCTTGGAAGCCGCCAACTCTGTCGACCGCGCTGCTGGTGCGAACCAGCACTCGGCGCAGCGGCAGCATCAGCAGCAGCAAAACTTGTCCACTGGTTCTGCCGCTCCCTATTCACCCCCGGAAGCCGATGTACCCACCGAAATCGAGCTCGACGAGGATGAATATCCGTTCCCGGAGCTCGACGAGGTGGATGAATACCCGCTTTCGGAGCTCGACCACGGCTACCCTTCAGAGCTCAACTACGAGTACCCTTCAGAGCTCGACGAGGATGGCATGGATGGCGAGGATGAATATCCATTCCCAGAACTCGACTCCGAGGCCGACATACTCATCCGCGAGCACTCGCCGGCGCCGTCGCAGCAGCCAGCGCCTTCCGCACCAGCCGCCCCCATTCCGCACACCGCTCGCTCCCTACTACAGCCTTTCATGCACTCGCCGGCGCCGTCCGAGCAGCCACCGCCTTCCGCACCAGCCGCCCCCATTCCGCACACCCCTCGCCCCCTACTACCGCCTTTCATGCGCCCACCTCTACCACCTACTCGCGGCACCCCACTCACTCACACTGGTCCCACCACGCCCACCACCCCCAGCACCCCGCCCACCCCCAGCACGCCCACCACCCCGCTCACCAGCACCACCAGCACGCCCAGCAGCACCACGCCCACACCCATCTCAACCCTAGCGCACTACACCCGGCGCTTCCCGACACCAGTACGTCCGCGCAGCGCCGTCGACGGCCTATCCGCGCGAGTCGTGATCCGTACGATCTTCCGGCTCTCACAACTACCCTCGCCCCCTCCCTCCCCTTCCGCACCACTACCTTCTCTCCCTCATCCACAGCAGCCACATCCACAGCAGCATCAGCAACATCAGCAACCCGACATCCTCATCGAGCTGTACGCGCGCGTCGCGTCCGTGCGGCTGGTCGGCGGGGGTAGGGAGGTATTCGTGTTCACAGACCTATTCACCAACGATGGTATGGACGCCAGGGCGGTGGTCGGTGTGTACGAGGGCGTGGGACGCTGCGAGCTGTGGGATACCGATGCCGAGGTGTTCCTGGGTGCGGAGAGGGGCGCGATTGCGAGGGTCGTTGGGAGGGTTAGGAGGGGTGGAGATGCGGCGGGAAATGTGGCCGGGGTGGGCGTGGAGAGTGTGTACGTTAAGGTACTGGTCGTGTGGGAGGTCGATGCGAATGAGGTTGCTGTTGTTAGGGCGCTGGTTGGGGTGTGATAAGGTGGTTGGAGGTGGGGGGACACTTGGGATTGAGGTTGGGCGGATTTGAGGGTGGGTGTTGGACGGATTTGGTGGTGGGCGTTTGCATGATTTGATGGTAGGCGTTGGGTTGGTTGATAGTAGCTGTTTGCATGATTTGAAGGTAGGCGTTGGGTTGGTTGATGGTTGATGGTAGCTGTTAGCATGACTTGACGATTTGTAGATTTGTAGATTTGTAGCTGTTAGCATGACTTGACGATTTGTAGATTTGTAGATTTGTAGGTAGTCGTTGGCATGATCCGATGGTAGTTGTTTGCATGATTTGATAGCAGCTATTAGCATGATTTGAGGGTAGCCGTTAGTAAGAGTTGATGGTAGCTGTTAGCATGATTGATGTAGCCGTTGGCATAATTTGGTAGTAGCTGTTGGCATGATTTGTAGATTTGTAGGTAGCTGTCTGCATGACTTGATAGTAGCTATTAGCATGACTTGATAGTAGCCGTTAGCATGATTGATGGTAGTTGTTTGCATGCTTTGATGGTAGTTGTTTGCATGATTTGATTGGCTATTAGCATGATTGATAGTAGCTATTAGCATGATTTTACATCCAGAGGAGAACAATTTCAACTGAGTAGTAATGCCAGTATAGGTAGTAGTTGATCAATGAGATTTCATTGTATTCAAAATTTCATCCCCAACCCACTCCCCGTCCAGTACCTACTACATATCGAGGGTATCATAGCATAGCATATTTCTCTCCCCCGTCCGCCCACCCATCCGTCCATCCATCCGTCCAACAAGCAAGCAAAACGACGGTTAACGCCTCTCCCCACGCACAATACAATGCAAAGTCAAAATGCAACCACCACCGCCTCACACAGCTCCCCCGGGACAAAAGAAATCACACAGCAACAACCGTCGTCCGACCACCATCCATTGTTCTTCCACACACACACACATTAATTGTAGTACGTAGCGCCATGCTGCGCGGAATACTGCTGCTCGGGCTTTCCATCATGATGCGGCGCCGGGGTATACGCAGGTGGGACGGGGTGAGCGCCATAGAGCTGACCATGAGCGGGCATGCTTCCTCCACCGCCGCCGCTGTAGGCAGTATCTGCAGTGCGGATATTCGTAGGATTATGCGCAGGCTCGTACTTATGCATTGCCTGTTTCCTGCGGGCGACGACAGCGACGACGACCATGGCGAGGCACGACAGGGTCGCGATGAAGCTCATGGCGACGAGCGTCTTGAACATGTGGCACACGCGGATGCCGTCGGCGTTGCCCCAGTTCGCGGTCGAGCATGATTGCGTCGTCGTGCTGCCCATGGAGCGCACGAGCAGGCCGAAGGAGACCGCCCATACGATGAATAGCAGCGTGTCGAAGATTAGGACGTAGAGGGGTGATAGCCCGCAGCAGCAGAGAAGCACGCTGGTTATGAGAAGGTTTAGGAGCGTTGCGGCGGACTACATAGCGGGGGATGTCAGTAGAGCTTGCGCGGAATTGCGGGGGGAAAGTACCGCGAAGTCGAGCAGTGAGAACTCGTACGGCGTCGTGTACCCATCCTGCCACAGGTGGTAGAGGAAATAGGCCAGGATTCCGATCACCGAAACGGCACATATTAGCTGCACCAGGCGCAGCAGGAAAAAGACGAGTTTGGGAAAGCTCGACGGCCTTTTCGAGCGGTTGAACATGATGCTGTGAAATTGAGGTGGAGGCGGTGGAGGTGGTGGTGGAGGGGTCGGTTGTTTGTTCGTATGTGGTGGGTGGTGGGTGGTGGGTGGTGGGCGGTGGTTAACGTTGAAAGACAGCAGTGGAAGCGGGGCCAGGCAGAACTCGCACTTTAAAGAAGAAACGCTTAAAACGAAGTAAGCATGGAATGGGCTGAGGCAGGTATGTAGGCACGTTGGCTGGCGATGGTTTCTGATATGTGGTTAGTTAGCGGTGCGGCTGGAGATAGAGGAAGGAAGGAGGTATGAAGTATGGTAGTTGGGGGGGCTGCAATGTGCATATTACACACTCTTGCTCGAAGGCTGCCTGCGGAGTGTGCTGCACTGCCCACCTCAGCCCTGCGAATCAGCACAAACTCTCGCACAAATCCGGTGAATGGGCGGCGTCTATTTTTGGACGCTTGGCCATTGGCCAGGCCCGCCAGACTCCAGTTGGCACTGGCCAGTGACCGCCACTGACCACTCTTCACCCAAAGGTTTTGCTGATCAACTGAAGGAGGAGCACCTCTACTACTATATAGCTCCAGCGGGAATCTGAACATTCATGCCCGTGGAATGCGGGGGATGTAAATACCTACCCAGGGTACCCACATACCCAACTACCCAACTATCTAGGTATCTTCACGCAGAGTCCTTAGTCAGTGCTCACTGCTCGCGCATCGAGTCTCAGTCGTGCATCTGAAACGTGACAGGATGTGTTCGGTCGGCAAGGGTCTCGGTCAACACTGTGACCAACTAGTAATTGGTTCTCAGGGCTCGATAGATCACCACGCTTGGAAGTTTGGATCAGTGGCCGTCAGGAGCCCGCTCAGTGTGGATATATGGAGGTCTTACTTTACTATATCCCCGATGCCGCTCGGCCATTGATGGCGTGAGAGCCAAGGGCCAAGTGAGTTACCTACCTCCAATAGGTATCTGGTATGAAGTAGGTACCGGTACATATGTAGAATATGTATTGTACATACCGGTAGATATCCTGCTCGCCATTCAGCCTTTGTCTGCGCAGCCGGTGGGCACTGGACACTAGGCACTAGGTACGCTTGACAACGGTCTCTTTTGAATACGAGCCCATGTAGAGTACCTACTATACACTACACTTTGTAAGTTCACCCGCCCAGGGCTTCCTCGGCCCCCACAGTTCACAGGCAACTGCTCCACAGCGTGGTAGTTACCGTACCGGTAGCGGTGTCGAATTAAGCGAGAGCCGAGCAGGCCAGCTGCCTAAGCCCAGCCCGCTGCCTAAGCCCAGCCCGCTGCCTAAGCCCAGCCACCCAACAAAGTTCAAAGTTCAAACACATTTCAGTTTCAATCGCGAACCGGGCTCGACCATGGCGGCGGGTAATTAACTGACTGCTATTCTATGTAGAGTACTCTCCAAGTTTTCCAAGTTCCAATCTGGCAGATTTCTACCCGATGCAAACTGCACCTCTCCAAATAACCAGCCAACCAACCACGGTGAGGTTGAATTGCATTATCAATTCCACAAAAGCTACTTTTAAAGCATGCACTTGATGCAGTGCTGTTAGTAAGGCAATTGCCGATCACTATTCACACCCTGAAAAGCTCTCCAAGACTCCAAGCCTCCAAGCTTCCAAGCATCCAAACCTTCAAGCACCCAACCGAACTGACTCTCCATAGTTAACTACAACACACGTCGGCGGCCCCCCTGCACTGCCGCCTGACTTGTCCGAATACCGTAGTAGAATAGTAGAGTGGCTGCCTCGTCGGCTACTGCTGACCGGCCGGTCAATCAGTGCAGGCCACCGGCGAACAGTGACAGCGACACCGGTATCGACAGCGACAGCGAGACAGCAGCTGCACGAGTGGGCTCGCTCTTGATCAACTACTGCGCTACACTGACTGCGTTGGGGAGCAGGAAGGAGACAGGGAAATGGGGAAGGGGGTTGCTTGCGGATATGTATGTACCAAGGTATGTACAGCGCACGAGTGATGGAATGGTGCAGCACGGTGAGAGCGAGGGTGGAGAAGATCTACAGTTATCAATGTCTTCTATGTACTCGATCCCTGCCCAGCCCTACAGAAATTCGGAGCAATCAGTTGTTACCAGTATGTACCAACTAGTATCCCGCTATGTACTGTCCACCGGAGAAATATGTACTCTAGATATCAGGTATGTACTCACACAACCTCCCAGCAGCTCGACTCCCGGTCGAAAGGTGTTTCGCTGTTCCTCATATTTATTTCCCACTCGCACGGGGAGGGAGGGGGGACAAAACCACATCGACGAACCGCAACGATTCCCGCAAAGGGCACGGTGAGTCGGTGACTTTGCGATCAACCTCGCTCCCGGACAGGGAAGGTGAAGGGGAAGAACTGCGAACCGGACGCTACAAAAAGATTGTGCAATCCCCCCTGGCAGCTTCGAGTGATCGGCTGAATGCACAGTTGTTGAGCGCACTGTGGGCTTGCTATTAGAGTCACTCTACTGGCTAGCAACAAAAGTTCAAAGTCTCAGTACCACTGTCGTCAATTGCATATACCGGTAGCTAGTCGGGTCCCTGGGTAGGTATTGAAGAATGTGCACTTCCTTGTGATGGTTAAGAGGGGGCGTGGAAATGATGGTTGCTCCTCACTGCCGCCTTTCGACTCGAATGCTGACCCATAACGGCTAGAGTAACAGTATTGCAATTGAATATCAACCAGAAAAGATCTTGGTTACATTTGCAGGCTTGAGTCCTGACTTATAATCACCGACCTATCCACCGGCATATCCCACCGTCTTCCCGAAGCAACACGACCATTTGAGAGGGGGGTATTTATATTCAAACAATCCACAGACGTATGTAGAAACTTGTAAGTTTAAATGCACAACATATATACACGCACCAAAACTTGCAAACGAACCCCCGAACGAAACCCACCATTTGCAAACGAAACCCCGAAGAAAACCAAAGCACACCCAATAAACATACCATACAACGACTACCTACTCCAGTCTATTCTACCTCCTTCTCGCCGCGCCCTTCACCGCCGCGGCCTCGATCCTCTGCGCCGCAATCCTCGCAGCAGTACGTGGGAGCCACACCCTGTGGCCCAGGACGATGGATCCCGTGAGCAGCGCGAGGGCGCCCGCCTGATGCGTAGCCGCCAGGTGGGTAGGGACCATATAGATCAGGGTGCCGATACCCAGCAGGACCTGCAGGGAGGCGAGGTGAACGACGCCCATCATGCCGACCCTAACCTTTTTTGGCATGGCAGCTGCGACGCGCGGATTGAAGCGGGAGTAGGCAAAGACAGCCATGATGGCGGTGAACGTGCTGAGCGCCATCACACGGTGCTGGAACTGCACGGTCGTGGGGTTCTCCAGAAGGTTGCGCCACCAAAGGTCTGAGCCGTCGGCCGTGTGCGAGTAGAACGGGTCCATCATCTCTTTCGTCGGCGGCATGTACCCCGTGCCCATCTTTGGGAACTCGTTGTAGATGAGGCCCGCGTCGAGGCCAGCGACGAGACCGCCAGTCATGGCGGTGGTGAAGACCATGGCGACAAGGAGCCCGACGAGGCCGCGGAACACACGGATTTGTGGCGCGCTGAGGGATTTGACGTGCGCTAGTGCGTCGGCAGGGTTCTTGAGGAGGCGGTTTTCACGCAGGATGTCGAGACCGCACCAGAGCATGGCCGCGTAGACGGTGAATGCGGCGCCTAGGTGCGCGGTGAGACGGTACTGCGAGACGCGGGGGTGCGAACCGGGCTTGGCGAAGAGGTCGTCGCGGAGTCCGGATTTGACCATCCACCAGCCGATGAAGCCCTGGAAGCCGATCATGCCCGAGATTCCGAGGAGCTTGAGCGCTGTCTTGAGAGTGACGCGGCGGCGTGCGGTGAAGTAGATGGCCGGGAGGACAAATGTCAGGCCGATTGCGCGCCCCCACAGCCGGTGGCCCCACTCCATGAAGTAGATGAACTTGTACTCGTCAAGTGTCATGTTCGGGTTCAGAATCCGGTATTCGGGGGAGTCTTTGTATTTGTTGAAGTTGTCCATCCAGTCATCGTGCGAGAGGGGTGGCAGCGAGCCTGTTACGGGCTTCCATTCTGTGATCGAGAGTCTGCGCGGGGAGAAATTAGCAGCTGCGTACAGGTGGAATCATCCAACGGCATACGAACCCTGACTCGGTAAGTCGTGTAAGACCCCCTAGGACCACAATTCCAAAGACCAATCCGGCCGACCCCACCAACCAGTATCCAACCTTCTTATCGCTGATTTCCGGCCATGATCTATGGATAGCCTTGGTGGGGCGGGCAAGAGAATCGGCAAGCCCCGGGAGTGGTGATTCCCCAGTCTTAGGAATTGCAACGGTCCGCGGGGTAAACGACTTGTGGAACGCTCTGAGCCCAGAGGTTTGGAGAGGCGAGAGTGTATTCGGTCTTATTGGCTTTGACTTGAGTGTATAGTTGCGGATCTGGTGGGTGCAGCATTTCGATCGCAGCAATAGCCTGCTGGGTATTGAGGAGAATGACATGGTGGTGGTGGATTGAGGTTGCACTGGACCCGTGGAAAGGTGGAGGATCGGAGTTTTTAACTCACTTTACTAGTAGGAGTTATTAATCTTCCAGAACATCGGATGACGATATGCAGGTGTGGGGCGGTCTCCGCGTTAGGTAAGCCTGCACTAGACCTGTCACCGCCAACGTGAAGGATTGTGGTCTATTACTGATGCCAGAATTCTAGGTTCACGCTGAACCAATGAAAACCATCACCTATGTAATCTTTCCAGCGACGAAGCCACGGAAGCGCGAAGCGAGAAGCGAAATAAAGAAAAATAGAACGGTTGAATTTCACTCGGCAGTACGGCAGACGGTCCTACCGAGGCCAACCACCTGTATCGTCCGCAGCTGCTTCTGATGGTCCCTGTATTCTACAGATGGGTGATATCACGTGTAAATGCACTTCAGGACATCAACAGAGTCAGCTTCTATTCCTGTATGCTGAAATGAACAGACTTCGGACTCCTCCCAAGCACATCGTGAGACAAAAGGTAGTTAGAAAGCATAAACTTTTTTCATCTTGGGCAAAAACAGTGTCTACGACTGCAGTTCACCAGTGCTCTCGGTCCTAAAAAGATGTCAATATTTATCCCGGTTGAGCCGTGGAAAAAGACTTACGGCATGGGCGTGATTCCCACCACCTCGGCGGCGGTCTTCTTCTCGGAGTGGTCATCCTTCATGAAGGCTGTTCACAGATATCAGTACCAGATCGAAATAAAAAAAGAGCTTCGGGCGGCTTACGGAAAGTCAAAACTTCCTTGATGGAGTAGTTATTGGTAAGGAACATGACAATTCTGTCGATACCCATACCCCAACCACCAGTAGGCGGCAGACCGTACTCGAGCGAGGTACAGAAGTTCTCGTCGATGAGCTGTGCCTCGTCGTCACCTTGGTCCTTCTGGTTGGCCTGCTCTTCGAATCGCAGCCGCTGGTCGAAGGGGTCGTTCAACTCAGTGTAGGCGTTGACGATCTCCTTCTTGCAGACGAAGGCCTCGAAACGCTCGCAAAGACCCACGCGGTCACGGTGGTACTTGGCAAGGGGAGACATCATCTGGGGGTGGCCGGTGATGAAGGTGGGGTTGATGCATTGCTCCTCGATGAACTCGCCGACGAGCTATGATACGGGTCAGTCTGGGGAAGAAACGACGCGATATATTGGGTAGAGGAAACCTTGTCAAGCATGCGGGCGTTGGTCTGAGGAGCAGAGCAGTCAATCTTGTGCTTCTTCAAGATCCCCTTCAAGAACTCGTTGGTCTCCTGAGTGTGGAGCTGGTCTCCCCGCGGGAACTTCTCTCCGGTTATCCTCTCCAATTCCTCCATCATGTCAATCTTCTTCCATGGCTTTTCCCAGTTGACCTCGTAAACCTCACCGCTCTGAGTGTTGAACTTGGTCACGTAGCTGCCAGTGATGTGCTTAACCATCTCGGAAACGAGATCCTCGGTGACGTTGATCAGGTCGTAGTAATCGGCGTATGCCCAGTAGAACTCGCAAGTTGTGAATTCGGGGTTGTGGGTGAGATCGATACCCTCGTTTCTGAACTGACGGCCAATCTCGTACACGCGCTCGAGTCCTCCGACAACCAACATCTTGAGGTACAGCTCTGGCGCGACACGCATGAACAGATCCATGTTCAGCTCGTTGTGGTGAGTGACGAAAGGCTTCGCAGTGGCACCTCCAGCGATAGCGTTCATCATGGGGGTCTCAACCTCCACGAAGTCCTTCTCGTCGAAGTATCTGCGGATGTACGACACGATCTTGCTCCTGGTGACAAACACATCTCTGCTGGAGTTGTTCATGATCAGGTCGAGGTATCGCTGACGGAATCTCGTCTCCTGGTCCTTGAGACCGTAGTGCTCGGTCGGCAACATCCTCAAGCAAGGCGTCAACAGCACAACCTCCTTAGCAAAGATCGAGAGTTCACCCGCGTTGTCAGCGGCCTTGGGGTTGGTCCTTCCGGGGAAACCGACAATTCCGATGATGTCTCCACGGTGAAGGTGCTCGTGCTGGGCAAGGTAGTCGCCAACGGCTTCCTGCGCCTGCGCCATAACCTGGATCTTGACACCCTCGGCACGAAGGTCGTAGAAGCGCAGCTTGCTGCCGGACGCACGGTACCCGTGAATACGACCTGCAACACGGACCTCGACATCGGGCCTTGTCTCGCCCTTCTGGAGGGATGTGTACTTCTCGACGATGTCGGCGAGCTTGTCCTTGACCAAAAACTTGTGAGGGTACGGATTCGGGCTCTTGGTCTCGCGGAGCTTGTTGATACTCCTGGAGCGGATCTCGAAGTATTGCTAGAGTGCATACACATCAGTCGGTGCATACAGCCGGGGGAGGGCAGCGCGTAGCGGGTCCATACGTTCGGCGTCAACTCCTCCATATCCTCCACCTTCTGTGCTCCTACCGCAACCTCCGCCTTCTTGGGCTTCGCGGGGGCAGCGGCAGCCTTCTCAGCCTGCAGAGAAAAACTTAATTTAGCGCGCTGCACACTGCCGATTTTCCCTCTCCATTCCCATCCCCCTTTCAGGTGGGGGTGCGGTGACGCCGGCTACCTTCTTCCTGTCTGCCTCTCTCTTCTTCTGTCTCTTCTTCAACTCCGACTTGGAGACCATCTCGCCGGTCGCCTCATCGAGCTGGAGGTTGGGAGCGTTCTCGGCCGCTGGGGCTGGTACTGCCGCGTTGTCCGCCATGCTGTCTCTTTTTTCGGAGGAGTTTTGTGTAGGAATTCGGGTCTGAGTCGAGGCTGCCAATTCGAGCGGAGTGTGTGATGTCGAGAGCATTTCCTATCAAAGACCCAAAGCCAAAAAGAAGAAAGCGGGGGTTGAGTCAAAGTCAGCCAAGCCTTTTGGCGGGGTCATCATTGGCGGGACCGCTTTGGTTTGAGACAGAACATTTTTCAGCTGGCAAAGTGAAGATAACCAGCCACCTCCGCCACAGATGGACAGTCGCACCGGAATTACGCGGTATGAAGTACCTGCAGATTGCCTACATGTAGATCTCTGCTCTGGGTCCTCAATCTAGGCTTAACACCACTCTATGTTTTGTTCGCTACCATAGTAAAGCAACCCTCAAACAAGAAGCAAAAACACATGTGCACATACAAGACGCAACACCCCCCAAAACAAATGCCAGTGCGCCCAACGTCAATCGCGTATCGTACAACAGCTGTCCCCATAAACACCCGTCCGTCCAGTCGAAGCCAGCCAGCTTTACTGGACACTCCCTCCCCCAAGCCCACATGTTCATGTGGTCCACCAACCGATATAGAGTAGAGATGCGTGCCGTACACCCAGTCGTAAGAAAGAAGACGTAACTAACCCATATCCCCAATTTGCCGAGCCGTAGTAAAAGTCACACCCACACACACAAAGACTATTTTTAAGAAAATTTCATACAATCCGGTCCGATCAAGTGAATGTGAAAAACAGAGGGCTTATGCAGGGAGGGCCCCGACCGTTGAGCTTTCCGACGGCAACTGCGGCGAGAAGAGAGATCCATTAGCATTTTTCGGACCAATGGAAAGGACGGAAGTAGGAGGGTAGCGTCATACAGGTGGATTCTGCGGCCTGTTGTTTCCCGCCATCATCCGGTTGAGACCGATACCCGCACCCTCAATAATAGCGAGCAAGATACCGCAACTAATGGCGGAGTTCCGGGCGGCCTTCCAACCTCCACGGACAGCAAGCGCTCCTCCAGTGAAGAAACCGGCAATGACTTTTCGTAAACGCGGTTAGCCAATTCCCCAATACATGTGGGGATGACAGCACATACTAGCATTCCAAGGGTCCTCCTTCGCGCGCACTCCCTTGACGGCACAGTCGAACGTCGAGAAGAGACCACCCCAGACACCAAAGTTTCCGGCTAGGACCGGAGCACGGGCCTTGATAGCTGTGAGGGCACCGATTCGTCGTTCACCCTACAAGCAGAGGATCAGTAACCTACTCATGATGTTTGTAGCGAAGCGAGTTGTTGTTATCGATTTCGTTGCGGAACATAACATTGTGTTCAGGTGGGAAGAATCGCATCGCGACTTTGGTGGCGGGGCAAACATCGTAACGACCGGAAGGTGAAAACCTACAGCAGGAGAGTTGCGGAAACCCTTGACACCGTGCCAAACAGCACCACCGACTGCCTAGAATGGGTCAGCACACAATCACCAATCGCCGAAACACAACCGGAGCGGGGGCGCGAAACTCACTCCCATAGAGAAAGCACCACCGAAGTCATTGATAATGACCCAAGGGCAGGGATCGCGGGAGTGATCCATTGTTGACTGGGGAGAAGGATAGAGTGGTAAGGGAGGAAAGTAGGTGGTGGTGGTCAAGAGGGGCGTGAGGCGTCGGGGGGGTGCAGTCGTGCCGTGTGGGGGTTGGTTGGTCAGTTGGTGTTGTGGTGTATTCGGCGGTTGATGATGAGATGTCGAAGCTTGCCAAAAGATTTTTGCGCTTGATGCCGATTGGTCGGTAACTGGATGGCGGCGAGACTTGGCATCTGCGCAAGACGGCCGACGGGGGGCAGGCCCAGCAAGGTCACACAACAACACAACAGCCCAGAACCGTAAATTTGGCTTCTCCGGAACTTAGTTTTTTTGTCGCCACGACTACGGGTGACCAGCAAATAGCACTCCCTGATCGATTGAAGCTCGGCTATCTACTCTACCCACTGTAAGTGACCATTCAACATCAAAATTCTGATTTACGGATGCCAACGAGAATAGATGCCGAGCATTTGTTTGCGGCCGGGACATCCGATCCCGACGACCAGGTATGAGGTGCTGCAGTGCCATCTGGTCAACATACTCCGTGAAGCGCATTTACATAGAGTACTGGCACTTTTACGAGCCGACGTCTTGCGGTACGGATTTGGCTTGTCCATTTGATGTCCCTCTATCTCGAAGCTGGTCCCATCTAGCGCCAGGCGTGGCCCCACTGGCATCTAATGAATCGCACTTCGGAGAGAAACAAGCATATAAGTGCTAAAGTTTGCCGCATTGGTTGTTGTGAAACACGTCCTCACGCAAAGTCACTCGGCGCGCCGCCACGTTCCGTCCAAGTCAAGAGTCATAGGCGGGCAGCGACCTCCGTGACAACGCGGAGCGGAAAAGCGGCTCTCCGTGCAATGAACTCCGTGCAAAGCTGATGTCTCTTTCCCTGGATGATTCTCTCCCACCTTCATTTGGGACGTTGTTATGAATTATGACAGTTTATTATCATCCCAACATCTTTATCTCCAGTCTTGGGAATACCTACCGCAAACTTAGATTAGCTATATCTCGAATCAGCAATAGTATCGCCATTATACGACTGCCAATGCAGACAGCCTCGTGCCGTGGATCAGTATGGCGACTGACCCAGACCCCGTTTCGGGGTGGAGTCGGCACATTTACGCACTAGGCACTCCTTCTTACATACAACCCGTGAATGATACTCCCGCCAGACTGGAAACACAGTGAAAAAGCTGCCGACTCACTGGTACCTTGATCACTGGTTCAGTAGACGGATTACGGTTGAGCATTGGTTTCATACGGCAGTTGCGCTGTTCTCGCAGCGTTTGCGTTGCACATGAGAGAGCACATGGCGACAGAGGGTTCTTTGCATATACTGTCACCAGCCGGAGTTTACCAGCCAGGGTTTGCGCACCTACTCTAATTACCAAGTGGGGGACCGCCAAAGCGGATACTCTGCTTCGTCCTAACTCTAATACTCACCACGAGATGCTGTGTCCTCCCGAGGTACTCTCAAAATAAGAGTTGCACGCGCCTACCTTCCACATCTTTGGCTGGTTATCCTCGACGGAAGCAATGGCTACATCCGGGGACTTTGTGATGAGACGCACCGTCCAATCATATCTCGAAGGGACAACCTTCAGTCGTCTACCGCACCGGTTATGCTCCTTTCCGCCTGACGCAACGAGGTTTTTTGGCCTGACTGTGGGTATGCACTGATCTTTATCTAAGAAATATCTGGCAACCTTGATAGCTTCCAGAGCTATGGAGCCTCTGAGCCGGCTGAGTACGTTTCCCCGAATTCCACGCAAGGTGAGTCAGAGTGTGCTTCGACGCCAGCATGACCAGCTATCAGGCGGTCAACCTTTCAATATTGATATTGGGCAATTGGCGGTACAAATATGACATTATTCTGAGGCGACTTTCCCATGGTCTAGACCCACTGCATCTAGCGAGTCTATCCACTTCCCCCTTTACCTAACGCTGAGGATTCTCGAGTTGTGATCGGCTGGCTTTTGACGTGGTGCCAATCATGTCGAAAGCCTTCTTCTCGAACGACGGCTGCAGCCCATCCAGGCCGGCTGAGCCTGTCTCCCGTGTATCTGTAAGGAAGATAAACACCATTCGTACGATGCACTCTTCCTTGGCCGCTCCGCTTCGATCTTGTTTTCAAGGAGCCGTCGGTATCCAGAAGTTGATACAGTCGGAGACATCGTCCCAACAAAATTGTTGAATGACGGGAGGAATTGGACAGCAGGGTCATTGACCTGGCAGTAGAAGGAGACCACCGTCTGGGATTCTGGATGGAGATGGCGTGAGTTTTGAAAATTCCAATTCTGTATAAAACCCGAGTTCCTTACTTGAGAGTCTCCCAGCATCAACAATTGAATCGGGTCGAATGGGAGCTTCCTTCCCCTGAGAATACATACATCTACGTTCTCGTCCTTTTCCCTTTCTTCTGGTCAGTCACTTCCGAGCTCATCTTTCTCCTCGAACTCCAACGAAGCAATCCAGACAAACGCATCACGAAAAGCCGTCGCTCCCCACTCTTCTTTTTTTCTCTAGAACGCTCTCCGCAAAAGTCCCTCCCTCCACCACTCCTTTATACCACCGATCAACCAACCAACCAGCCAACATTATGCCTGGCCCCTGCTCCGCCGACGATTACACACCCATCAAAGTGGCCACAGCCAAATGCGATATGTGCAATAAGCGAGATAAGCGTACGATGAAACGTTGCAACAAATGCTCGTTCCAAGTTTGCGGGGCCTGTATTACCAGCCTTCCGAACGGCGGCGCGCATTGAGTCGGTCCAACGCACGCACGCAACCCACTCACCGTGTCTTTCTTTCTGCCTTTTATTACACTGGCTGGTATATCGAAGATAGATAGGGCTGTGAGAAGAGATCGTGGGCGTGTGTTGTGGTGGTGGTGGGGGTGGTGGGGGAGTGCGTGGTGGAGATGGTGGTGTTTCTTTTCTCTCTGTGTGGTGCTTCCTTTCCTTTCCTTCTGTTTGCTCTAGACGGGAAGCAAGCCTCCTACGTGGGAGTAGTCACCCATTATCTCTCCACCTTGTCGTTTTGGAAAATGCTGCTGGCAGCCGACCATTTCCTGTCATATTTTTCTCTGTTTCTTTCCTATCCTTTCTCATTTTTGTTTCCTTGGATGTCTAAGGACCCCCGCCTCATTGGCCTTTTTAGTGTTTAGTCATGCGAGAAAATCTTTTGGAAGTGCGTATTTCTTGTCCTGACTGTATGTGGAGGATCTTCATATGTCTCTGTATTCCTTTTTGTAGATTGCTCACGGTACCTACACTCTCGTCGTATCTCCAAACGGCTTCTATGTAGTCTGTCTTTTTCTTTCGTCATTCCTTATCTAATGGAGTGTCAGCAATTATTATTCAATAGAATTGATGTATTACACAGTGCACACCACCTCATGTATGATTCCGCAATGCAAACTGGCACCTTCAGATTCACTGGTCATCACTCACCCACCGACACTCACTCGGCGTAATAGTGAGAGGGAGATGCAGTCCTCTTCACAAGTTTAAACCTCTGACTATGTCGTTCATAACCCGAGATTGCCATTCTGTACTTCCCACTTCCGCAGGCTCTGGTTCCTTGTATATACAAAGATAACCTCCCAGTAAAGATAGCCCCCCGAGTGATTTACTATGAGTAAGAAAGGCCGGCGAGTGCCTCAACACTGCTCGTACGCTCGACCTCCAGCTAGAGTATCTACTGGATTAACCAAAGCACAGTCGTGGAAGCCATTCTAGGTCTCGAAGTTGGTGTTCTTCGCAGCCAATTGCAAACTGGCATCTCCCAAACCCCCGCTGCACTCTTGGGTGCCCCGCTCCATGTGCAATCATTATGCTTATATTCTAACCTTTCCTCTGCCTCAAATTTCTCTCCACCAAAAAGCAACTCACGAAATCCTACATACATAGACGTGAAAACATCGCCTCCGTTTAAAACTTAACGCGGGGGGTCCATGCCAAGAATTCCTATTTATGTGTAATTTCCTTGACGCAGCCCCTCCGAACCCTGGCCTGAGCTAAACCAACCTTGTCCATTGGTGGTGGAGGGAGCACAGCAGCCAACACAGACCACCAGGTGATCAACGTGCACCCACTATCCAACTCCTCTCATCTCACCAGCTATCCCAAAAACACAAAGAAACGAGCGCTCATCGAACAATAACACCACTCACGAAAGCATAATGTCTAACTTCAACAAAGCTATCATCCTCGTACGTATGCGAGGGCTGTACATAGGATTGAGTGGGTTGAAGGCTGAAGCTAATGTGAATAACGAATGGATAGGTCGGAGGTCCATCCAGGGGCACCCGGTTCCGCCCTCTTTCGCTCGAGTTCCCCAAGGTGCGCAAATCGTATCTTCTGCCCCCCTCCATCGCATTCTGTACTGACAAACGGTCATGCAAACAGCCCCTCTTCGAGGTCGCCGGCCACAGCCTGATCTGGCATCCCCTCTGCGCGATTGCGAAGGTCGCTAGCATCCGTGAGGTTATCTTGATCGGCTACTACGACGAGTCTGTATTCGCACCATCGATTCGTAGCTGGAGCGCCGAGTTCCCTGCGCTGAAGATCACGTACCTGCGTGAATACACGGCGCTGGGAACCGCCGGAGGGCTGTACCACTTCCGCGATGCGATCCTGATGGGAAACCCCAAGCGCATTTTTGTCCTCAATGCCGACGTGTGCTGCTCGTTCCCGTTGAAGGAGATGCTGGAGGTTTTCGAGGAGAAGGAGGCCGAGGCGGTGCTGCTCGGCACCAGGGTGCAGGGAGAGGCGGCGCAGAGGTTTGGATGTAGGCCCCCACGCTATATACCCCGCGATTGGATGATGATTGACATGATATGTAGGCATCGTCGCCGACCCTACGACGTCAAAGGTCCGCCACTACGTCGAGAAGCCCGAGGGCCATATCAGCAACCTGATCAACTGCGGAGTCTACCTCTTTTCGTCCTCCGTCTTCTCCCTGATCCGCACCGCCATGGACGCAAAGGCTGACCGCCTCGCCTCCGACCCGAGTGTCGACCCAACCGACGGCGACTCGTCCTCCGTTCTCCGCCTGGAACAAGACATCCTCGGCCCCCTCTCCGACAGCCGCCGCTTCTTCGTCTACGAAACCCGCGACTTCTGGCGACAGATCAAGACCGCCGGATCCGCCGTGCCCGCCAACGCCCTGTACCTGCAGAAGGCATGGCAGTCCGGCTCCGAGGAGCTCGCGAAGCCCAGCGCCAACATTGTGCCGCCGGTGTTCATCCACCCCACAGCGACCGTGGACCCCACCGCAAAGCTCGGCCCGAACGTCTCGATCGGCCCTGGTGCTATCGTCGGCGCAGGTGCTCGCATTAAGGACTCAATCGTGCTCGAGGAGGCGGAAATCAAGCATGATGCGTGTGTGCTTTACTCAATCGTGGGCTGGAACTCGAAGGTGGGTGCGTGGTCGCGTGTAGAGGGCACGCCCATGGCGGCGACGGATCATGCGACTACCGTGGTCAGGAACGGCGTGAAGGTCCAGAGCGTCAGTATTCTCTCCAGGGAGTGTAAGGTGAACGACGAGGTGCGCGTGTGGAATTGTGTTTGTCTCCCATACAAGGAGCTGAAGAGGGATGTTGCGAACGAGGTTATCATGTAACTAAGTAGCGTTCCGAGTTGATCACGGGGGGAGTGGGGGCAGGTGGATTTGGAATGAAGGAATGAGGTCATGCGATTCGGCAGACAAACTTTACGATTTTAAATGAAGCTCCCACCCTATGGTGCTCCATGCCTCGCGAGCCTCGCCCAAAGTTAAAACTACAAGCGCTACAAATCATAGTATAGTCCTATGTAGGTATCAAAATCAAAAATCAAACAGTACTCCTCCTAGTCTCGGGTTTACTCCTCTCCCACTCCTCGAGAAACTTGAGACGGTATTCCCACTCCTCGCCGCGGTCCTCGGCGAGTCGCTGGAGCGCTCTACTATCGCGCCCCATCACTACCGCGTCCTCGTCTTCACTCCACACTCCGCGCATCGCGGGTAGGCCCTCGCCACGCATGTGCGCGGCTATCACGATCTCCGCCAGGTGCTTGTCCGCCGAGGTGCGCTTCAGCGCCCACGCAATCCGCGGGCCCGTCAGCCCCGGGAAGCGCGCCTTCATGCGCGTGACAAAGGCGGAGAGGGTTTCGTGTTGGGATTCTAGTTCGTCTTCTTCTTCTTCGTCGACTTCTTCTTCTCCTTGCAAGGGCGTGGGCGAGGGGGTGGGAGATGCGAGTGGTGGAACCATGAGGTATGCATCTAGCTCATCGTCTGGAGTACTAGGTCTCAAGACTGCGAGATTTGGCGAGCTAGGGAGCGAGGGGATTTTCAGGTCCAGGTCCGGGTCGGGTGATGACGAGCGGGGGTTGTATAGAGGGGAAGAGGCCGGGTTGAATAGCGGCGACGACGGCAGGGGCGGTCTGGTGATGGGGTCGCCGCCCACGCTGTGTGGAGACGATAGGTGAGAGTCTCCAGAGACTGCCGTTGAGGTGCCTAGTTCTGGCGAGGGTTCACGGCGCCGTTGTTGTTTGTGGCGGTGGCCGCGCTCAGGGGTCGAGGGAATCTCGGTGGTGAGCGGGAAGCGGGCGGGAATGGGGCGGATGCGCTTGCGTTTACTGGGTTTGGCGGTGTCGGCATCGGCATCGGTGTGTGGCGAGGTCACGGTTGGGGCATCGGTTGCGGGCACAGATGTCAGACCAGGAGCTTCGGTGTGCCATCGCGATGGGATCTCATGTTTGGAAGAGGAAGAGGCGGCATTCCGCACGCCAGGCGGGGGTGGTGTTGACCTCACGGGAGAAATTGGCCGCGGCGTCGGCTTCGCGCTGCGTTCGCCGGCGGTGCTTGTCTGTGCCAGGGGATGTGAGCGCCTGCGAGGACTAGGAAGCCGTGGCGGGCTGGACGGCGGTGGATTCCGAGATATTGAGGTAGACTCTTGTGGGTTCCACTCCTCCCCGCTCCGGACCCGGGGCAGGATGACAGCGTTGTACCGCTTGCGCCATTTCGACGCTGGATGGTGAGGGTGCTACACGATTTCAGCATTTGCCCCCCTCTTCATGGCCGGAGGATAATACCATTTCGCCGAGCTTCTCCCAGGCCTCTAGAGGATCTTCGGCTTTCACGACGGTCGAGTGGTAGGCCATGAGTATATCGTCATCGTGTTGTGTAAAATCATCGCCCAAGCTTGGCATGCTCTTCGATTTATTTCGGTTCAGATTCGATTTCGGCACGACTTTTGGCCGCGCTGCAATAACCTCTTTCGTCGGGTTCACCGGTTCCTCCTCCTCCTCCTCTCCCTCATGCTCTTCGCCCGGACCATCCTCCTCCTGAACCACACCCTTCCCCTTCTGCCCAGCCAACAGCCTCTTATACCACCACTCAGGATCAGGATTCGTTTTCGAAAAGTGATCCACCCAGCGACCGCGCCAGCTATGCATAGTCCTCGCGGGGTAGTTATACTCCAGTGTCTTATAGATTTTGTTACCATTGAGGGCGGTTCCCGGCTGCGAGATAGTGCGCAGCAGGATCAGGTCCTCTTCGGTGGTAAACAGGGTCCTCCTCCGCCCAGCGTGACTTTGTGTAGCTCTGAATTTCGCCGCCGACCCCGACGCTGCCCCCGTCAATGTTGATTTCTTGGGTCGGATTACACTCGGGTCGATCAAATGCTTCTCGGGGTCCTCGAGCCGCCCGCGTTTGATCGATTCGAGGACGAACGTGTACGAGTACATCGGCCGGTCGGTCATGACGCTGATACGCGCGTGGTCCCAGATGCAGTAGTCCGCGTCCCGCTCGACTTGTGAGACCAGTCCTCCATTGACCTGTAGTTCATTGTCAGCACGGCTCTGGGATAGGTACTACGGCGTATGTGGGTACCTTGATGTCGGCAATGAGAGTTGCCCGGCACGGGACCATGAGCGATATCCAGAACTTGAGGTCCTGGAAGAGTGCGTTTGAGAGGGGCGCGGAGAGGTTGCCCTCTTGAGTTATCGTGACCATCGCGAGAGGTGTTGTGAAGAACGGGGTGGTAGTGTGCAGCTGGTGATGGTGGTTGGGTGTGGTGTAGTGGTGGGGATAAATGGCTCTGGGGTTGGGTGTGCGACTTGAACGCGCCTAGGCGACGCGATTGCCTGCACCGATGACGCGCCGGAATCTCCAGCGCCAGCCTCAAGGCCGGCCCATAAGCATAAGCACATGGCCACCAGCTTGGCCTGCTTGGCTAAGGGTACTTCTCCTCGTGTACCTCCAGCCCTGGCTCGTGCACTTCTCCTTCTTGTCGTCATCTGTCCCATCCCAGCCAGTGTCGATCTCAGACTCACGGATTTCGTAAGTTCCGGAGCCGTGCTGTCTCGCCGAAGACCAACCAGGCTGCAGCCTTAAGTCCGAGCTCGAGTCCGCGCCAGTCAGTCCTCGATATCACGATACCTAGCATACCTACAAAGATCTGGACACACGCTGGAAGATGGGTCTAATACGGCAACTGGCACTGGGAGTTCTTGCGATCTCCTTCGTCACTTTCGTTGCTCTGTTCGGACAACTCCAACGTTTACGGTTACCTCCTCCTACCCACTCCGCCAATGTGTCCGTCTTCCAGCTAACACACCATCATCTAGAAAAACACCCATAGGCTACCTTCACCGCCTTCTCCGCCACCGACTCCCCGCATTTCTCCTATTACTCGACCACAAACTCACCTCGGGAACGCTCACCCCACTCCTGCAACGATGCGGCAATCACCTCGTCAACGAGAAGCACCCACTGGTGCTGATCTTCTACGTGCTCCTCGTCACGACCGGCGCCTACATGTTTCTTTCGGCAGGCTGGCGGTACCTCTCCCCCTCCCAGCAACTACTGGTGGCAATAGTCCTCCCGCTCCCCTACGTGAGCCTCTACCTCTGCGCGCGTAGCGACCCGGGGATCATCACGGCGGGCAACCACGCCTCCGCGATGGGAATGTACCCGTTCGACCACACGATCTTCTTCCCATCGCCAGCCACTCCCCCGTGCCGGAGCTGCCGGCTGCCCAAGCCCGCGCGCAGCAAGCACTGCTCGATCTGCCGTGCGTGTGTAGCCAAACACGACCACCACTGCGTGTGGATCAACAACTGCGTGGGGCTAAACAACACACGGCACTTCCTGTTCTTCCTATCGAGCACGAACTTGCTGCTCGCGGTGGGCGCCGCGCTGAGCTACAGCATCCTCGAGGAGGTCCTGCGGCGCAGCACGGGGATCGAGCCGCGCGCGCTGCACACCTGGGAGCTGTGGGGAAGGTACATGGCCGCCGCAGTGCTGCACGAGGTCTACGTCGGTGCGGTGTTCCTGCTGTGCGCCCTGTGCAGCTTGCTCAGCTTCTCGTTCACCGCGTACCATCTGTACCTCGTGTGGGCTGGCACGACGACAAATGAGACGGGCAAGTGGGCCGATTGGAGAGATGATATCAACGATGGGCTCATCTTTCGCGCGGATGGAGAGCTCGATGATGATACCGGAAGGGCGTGTCTGTACAGGATCGAGGCTGGCAGGACTCAGGATCTACCCCGCGGCGCCCTGTGGACGAGGGTGGAGGGATTGCATCAGGTCGTGAATGTCTATGATCAAGGCGGTTGGAAGAATTTTTGGGATGTGTTTCGCCCGCAGAAATTGCAGTGAGGAAAGGAGGGCGTGTACGCTGTGTATATATGTGGGAGTACTGCCGCGGTGCCGCGATGGTGGGAGTCATAGATCTTCCCGCTCTGGTGGGTCACTGGGTTATGGACATGATGGGTATGGCAGGGCGCTGTAGATACCCGATGAATGTGATTTACTTATTGTAATTTGTACCTGGGTAATACGAACGGCGATTTTTAGGTTTGGCACCTAGGTATCACGGATGGAACATGATAGGTGACTCGTTTACTATTCCTTCTACTGGGAGGCTCTAAGAAACACAAGCAATGCCGTTCACGTGTCCTAGGGTGTTCATATTCTTCCAAGTGATTAGAGTGGTTACCTCTTGGGTAAGTACCCGTCGTCAGTGGGAAGTAGGAACGGCGTGGATATCCACCACATAGCCGTGGCTTGTCAGCAGTACTCCTTGTGTCTATTATCTATCTTTGATTCTTCACTTCAAAGTTGAAAGTTCACAGCTTGCATTCCTCTAAGAAACACAAGCAATGCCGTTCACGTGTCCTAGGGTGTTCATATTCTTCCAAGTGATTAGAGTGGTTACCTCTTGGGTAAGTACCCGTCGTCAGTGGGAAGTAGGAACGGCGTGGATATCCACCACATAGCCGTGGCTTGTCAGCAGTACTCCTTGTGTCTATTATCTATCTTTGATTCTTCACTTCAAAGTTGAAAGTTCACAGCTTGCATTCTCATCTCCACACCTCGCCTATGCCTCTATGGTTATGCAGCCACCACAAGAGTGACGGCTGATGCTATTTCCTCCAGCCAGCGTAGCAGAGGGGAGACCAGGCCTGGCCTTGGCCAACGAGAGCGCCAACGAAACGAAACGCAAGGGGGTATCAACGTAATCGAGAGGGCTTTTCGGCGTTCGCACTTCGCAGCGTATGCGCGGGGTAGGTAGGAGGCAGGAGGTAGGAGGTTGGGTATTGTGCATACACGAAACGCCACTTTTATGGAAGTGACTGGCATGATGATGCGCCTCCAAAAGCCAGCGGGAATCGCCGTGAGTATCTACCGTATTCACATATTCACGTATGTACTAGCTACCGTAGTTGGTGGTCACGGGTCGTGATGTCGTTTATGTGGGGGGAGAGAGAGATCTTCAATTTGTTTCGCATGCAGCCTATCTACATAGACTATGGCGAATCGCCACACTCCTTTCCTTCCCACTCTAGCCGGCCGGGGTGGAGACTCTGCTACCGGACAGCACGATGTGGCGCCGCTGTTGTTTATGTAGGGGTCTCCTTGGGAGTCGGGACTCGGGACGCAGCGTAGAACTAGGTACTACTAGTAGAGTGTGGTAGAGTGATGACGAGTGACGCTGTCTCACTTCCTTCCTTTTAACCGTATCATAAACCAACTCGGATTGAGCGACGGTACTCTACTATGTATACGAACTTACGAAGTGTGCGTATGATGCCAGGAGGAGAAGCTGGTGAAGTCTCGAAGGATGGGGACGTCGGTGAAGTTGTAGTTGGCGATCGTTTGCGAATCTTCGTTCCATAAGGCATCACATTACCTTACATTCCTCTCTCTCTCCCACATGCATATTCCTCACCCCCACTTTCCCACGATGCCCAACCAACGAACGTCTTCAGCTCTCGCGAGTCGGTCCAGCTTCCGGCTCCCAGCTTCCATCACTGGCATGTCGTTCTCGCTCAGCGTCACAGCACAAATACTAGTATATAGCCACAACGTGCCGAACTCCCGAGCCATTCCTGATGGGGGTTATAGAGTATCATAGTAACCCACCAGCACCGACGCGTGCAGACTCCGTGGCCGATCATTCGGACATAACATCAGAGCTGCATAAGTTGCATACATAAGTTGCATATGCAAGTGTTCTTTTTGGCACCCGGGGATCGCGGGAACTCTGATAAGAGAGTTTTGTTTTTATTTTGCTTTGCACGGAGGGGACCTGAGCAGTGAGCACTGAGCAGTGAGGAAGGGTGGGAGTCTGTAAATAAATTGACGCTCGGAGGATGGATGGGATGGGCATGTATGGGAAATGTATTATGTCGTGATGCACAGACCGTTGCGACACCGGCCCTTCCTCTCCCTCGGAGGAGGGGGCTCGGAGGGGGCCGGGGGTTCGTATGTAAAACGCATGAACGGTCTCAGAGCACACGAGCACGCAACGAAACGCGACACAACACAACGGCACAAACGTTGTGTTGTGGCCCGCCTGCCTGCGCATCGGGGGATCGAGGGATGGGCGTCTGATATTCCCATTGGCCTTGTTCCCCCTCGCTCCTTCCCACAGCATTCTTTGGAGGCCATCCACCGCACACGTGCAAGTGTTTTCCGCAGGCTCTCGCGCATTGCAGCCCGAATCGGAAAGCCAGCGACACTTGGATCGCCGCCGCTAGCACTCCCAGGGCCCGGTCAGGGGTCGCAACGTTTCCCTCTGGAGCGCAAGCTCGAAGCAAGCGGGGACTTCGCTAAGTAAGTAGAGTAAGGTGCATGCAAGGACCCCGATCTTGTTCGCTCGGTCGTTCCACCCACACAACCCTTTTGTGGATTGCGGTGGGTACATAGTACTTCTTTCCCGCACCCGCAGCTCGAAGGTGGCTTCTACTTGGTTACTTCTTACCTCTTACTTACTTCTTACTCCTTCACACTCTCTTTTCTTCGGCGGCGTCGTCCAATTCCATTCCCTTGACCGTTCTTTTCTGACGTCTGTTGTCTTCTCGTCATGTGCATTGGCTGAAATAACCCGTTCTCATCGAAACCGATTTGGTGCTCTGTACATACTCGACTCAGTATCTTCCAGGTACTAGTTAATGGCCTTTTCTCGTCGCGAGTGTCAATCGAATACTATGATTGATCGAGCATCACTTGATCCATTCCTTTCTTCGCGGACGACGAGACCGGACGGAATTATATCGCAGACGGCCACACCCTTTTACTTTTACGGACGGCGGCGGCGGCAGCAGTGTGGGGACTACAGGAGCTGCTTCGAGAGAAATAGAAACTCCTTTCGTCGGTGGCCTTCGCAACAGCCGCGAGGATGCGATTCGGCGGTACCGCGCAATGCTCCCTGCGACTCTTGATTCGTGCGTTGGTGCTGGTGCTTTGGCTGGGGATTGTGGATGTGGGCGTGGACGCGGCTGTGACGAGTGGGCGGAATCCTATCACTTCGCCGTTGGAGGGCGTTTACGATGCGGATGTGGCGATTCCGGTTACGTGGAAGGTTTGTTGGTGCTTGGGATGTGTGTGGTCTTTGCACACTGGCTGACGAGTGATGGCAGCCAACAACGTCCGGAACCGTTTCTCTTATCCTGATGAAGGGGTCTCAGGATGATCTTGTGGAGGTTGCTCCATTGGCTGGTAATTACTACTACTACTACGCATGGAGTGGCGATGGTTTCGAATGCGAACTGACGCGCATGCTCTAGCTACCCTGGCGAATACTGGGGAGTACATTTGGAAAGTGGACCACGCCCTCGAAGGACAGGAAACGATGCCTGCGAACGATGTGTACGGCTTGATGATTAAGGATGACCTTACCGGCCTCTTCGAATACAGCCCTCCCTTCCGGCTTCGGATCCCCGGCTCGAAATTTGGCAAACGGGATTCAACTGAATCCACTCCGGCGTCTACTAGTGTCAGCAAAGGGCTCACGCTCGAAACCCGCAAACCAGATCCCACCACGTCCCTCGAACACGAAATGGAAAATGGAGTCAATCTCGAGGCAATTTTCGGCACCGCCGGTGCTGGTTTAGGTGCCATCATCATCATGATCGTTGGGTTTTCCGTGTGGCGGCGCATCCAGAGCGAAAAGAAACTGGCAGCTTCTCGGAAAGATTTCCGCCGCCGCCGCGACAGCCTCGAGGACGACGACACCCCTTCCCCCGTCACAGCGCAGTACGCCGCCCACAGACGCATCCTATCCTCCTCCTCGTTCGGCGATGGCGCCCGTGCCAGCGACCTCTTCGAACGATCGGCGCTCGAACCACCGAAACCACTCTCTCCGATCGCGGACTCCCCGCCGCCCACGCCATTCGCTGCCCCACCGATGGTATTCCCGCCCTCCGCCTCCCTCCGGCGCACATCCAAAGGGCCCGCCGAGCTCCACCGGCGATCCTCCCTCCTACCCCCATCCGCGCCCGGCCCCACGCACCAAATCGCCGGCTTCGCATCGACCTCGCCGCCCGAAGGCTTCACGCTCGGCCCCGCCCCCAGCTCCCACAACTTCTCGCACCGCGTGCCCAAATACTCCGCCTTCAACCCGGACACGCCACCGACGCGGCCGTCCTCCTTCGCCGCAACAGAAACCGACACCGCCATCTGGGACAACCACCCCACATGACAATCAGGGGTGGCCGCGGCCGCCCCGAGCCCCTTTGCCGACGCCGCCGCGTACGTGCCGACGCCGTACGGCGCGCTCGCTGCCACAAACTCCAAGCTTCACCTCGAAGCGCAAGGCAGCAACTGGGACTCGATGCCACTGTCACCCCCGCCCCCCGCGTACTCGGTCGTCGAGCACGAGCGCGAGACCGAGCGGCGCAAGGAGAAGGAGGCCAGAAGGTACCTGCACCAGCAGTTGATGCGCTCAGATAGCAACGCTAGCTCGGTCTATGGCGCACAGGACGAGTATGGCGGACAGGAGGATCGAATGTCCATCCTCTCGTTCATTAGCTATTATGAATACTTTAGACCGCCAGAGGAGAAGGTGCCTAGGGATACTTACTATGCTTGATGCCCGCTGTGGGTTTTGGGCTGAGACATTTTTTGTTGTGTGTTGTGTGCTGTGTGTGTGCTGTTTTGAGTCTTGCTTTTTTGCGTGCGCGTCTGCGTCTGTCTGTCTGTCTGTCACTCTTTGCATCTGTTGGCGTTTTTTTTTGTCATTTTTGTCAGCAGTTTTTGCCCTTTCGCTTGCGCGTCCTTTTGTGGTCAATGGTCATTGGTTTTTGTCGCTTATTGGTCTTTTTGGGGAAATTGGGAGGTTTACTTTTATTCTGCACTTATTCTGCACTTTTGGGCGTGGTGGTGGGAAGTAAGGAGGAGACGGAGATGGAGGAGAAGCAGGAGGAGGTGGTGGTGGAGGAACAGGTGGAGGATGCACTGGTGATTGGTAGTTTACAATCAATCAATAAAGTATCAGCTCGACATATCACTACATAATGTGCATTGTGCATTGTGCATGATTTATCACGGTGAGTGCAACTGTTCAAGCTTCAAGCCTCAAGCCTCAAGTGTCAAAAGCTTGTGTCGAAAGCCTCAGGTGTCGAAACGAAAGCTTGTGTCGAAAGCTTGATTCTGGAGACCAGTGAACATGGTGAACAATCTGTACCACCGAGTGGAGCGGCGAGGAGTTCTTCAGCCTTTAGTCTTCAGCCATCGTAGGAGTTGTGCAGCCCCATTCAGTCTTCAGCCTTCAGCCATCGGAACTTTCAATTGACGCTGGGGGGCGGGGGGAGGGGGGACACTGGGCTGCTTGGTGGTTAGTGGGGTAAGTGGGGTAAGTGGTAAGTTAAGGACGGCATCAATTTGTCACCGTCGGATTAAATAGATCCCGTATGTCATGTATGTCATGTATCACACCGCGTGTCAGTGTGAGCCAAGGAGGTGCCAGCAAGGTTACACGGCAGGTAGCGGACTTTATAGTTAGGCTAGTATAGTAGTGTCGTGTCATCCCGATTCCTGAAGACTCATCAACTCCGGCGCCTTGTGGTTATTATGTACCAGGTATAGATTTATCGCCTCGAGGCTCGGACATCCGTTTATCCGCCACATACACATCGCTGCAACTCCGAGTTCCTCACATGGAGGCTGCCTGAGGCGGGCATGAGCTTGCTAGATATTGTGCGGAGATTAGAGTAGGCACTGGGCAGACAGACAGCTCCTCGTGTGTACCATGCATGGATTGTAGGTGTGTAGTTAGCAGCTATAAAACCGCCAGGGCCCCGGGGCCATCGCGAAAGAAAAAAAAAAGCTGAAGAACCATCTCGCACAGCCGCACACTTACCATGTCGCCATCGAAACTCGAAACCACCTTGTCCAGCGCGGCCCTGGCTACGGGCGAGTCGGAACCACTTCTGCCCGCCACCGCCGCTGCCGCTGCCGCCTCCCGTCCGCCATTCACATACACGCTGCGGCCGGCGACCCTCGCCGACGTCCCGAGCATGGCCTCCCTCGCCGCATGCGCCTACCTCTCCTCCAGCTTCAGCGACTTCCTGTCCCCGGGGCGGTTCGCATACATCAGCGAGCACGCGTACGGGTACACGCAGCGGGTACGGTACCGGATGCTGTCTCCACGCTGCGTCTCGATCATAGCCGTGTCCTCCTCCGGGCTGCCGGTGGGGTACGCGCAGTTCGTGCGGCACGGCGAGGACGCCGCCGCGAAGGAGGTGCATAGAAACGGCAATACCTGGGCGTTCCAGCTAAAGAGGGCCTGGCTGTATGCGAGATTCGCGTGGGATTATATCACCTTCACCGATAGGAGTATGGATCAGAAGGCACTGAAGGTCATGATGGCCCATGGAGATATGTGGAAGGGAGAGCAGCCGAATAGGTGGCATGCCCAGAGCGTCGTCGTTAGTCCTGGACATCAGAGGAGGGGCATTGGAAAGGCGCTCATGCGGGGAATGATGGAGAGGGCGGGGTCGGAGGGTGTCCCGCTCGGCCTCGAGGCGAGTCCGGACGGGGAGTTGTTGTATACTAAGCTCGGGTTCGAGCTGAAGAGGAGGTTTGAGATTGACTTTGAGGGCTTGGGGAAGGAGATTGAGGAGGATAGGGGCGGGTTGATGATTTATTACCCGCCTGGGTGCGAGAGGGAATAAGAGGTGTGGGTTGGTGTATGTAGAGTACATACGATGGCGAAAGGACGTCCGCGAGCTCCGTCAGTTGTCAATGGGTGCTCACGATGGAGGAGGGGAAGGAGGGCTGTATTGAGCATATACGGTACCATATTCACATATCGAGTCTCATGGTGGTAGTTTAGTTAATGAATACCAAGAATCCGATCGATATATGCGCACAGTTCATGTTCATGTGGGATCTCGATGGCGGGGGGACGGGAGCTGCCGTAGCGCGGCAGGGATCGTGGACACTGGACAGAGCTCAATGCAAGCGCCTGTACCTCATCAACCTCACCTGTAACTGCTCTACTAGTATTGTACATCCAACCCACGCAGCATTGCAGCATCGCAGCGTAGCCATGAAGTCGACCGCCGGGTGGTTGTGGACGAGTATCCTTTTCACTATCACCACCGCTCTGGACACCGGCATCACCTATCCCAACAACACGCCTCCAAAAGGTGTCGATGTATGGTGCGGAAAGGCGTACAGGGCTACCGACAGTATGTACCTACGTACGCCATGATGATGGGGGACATAATGGCTAACTGCTGCGGTACAGAAGCATTCACCAGCCTCGTCGAAGCTGGTTGGCAACACCCTCCACCGCCCTCGAAAGAACCATTGCTGGAGTTGACTTGCCGCCCGCGGTTGAAGCCGTACGTAAAGGGCCTCTCGCCTCGGCCAGGGGTACTGTTCGATGCGAAGGTACACACTCCATTCCTCCAATTGTCCGTGACCTCGGTTGATGGCCTGGTCGAACGATAGCTATCCCACGACATCGGTAGTCCATTCGTCAATGCGACCCCTCCACAACGGATCTGGGTGAGCGCGTGGATCGGGTCCATATCACTCGGCGGGGGATATATGGACCTCGGCGGGCAGCTAGAGATACAATTCGCTGGGCTTGAAGAGCTCTCCACCCGAATGGAGGCGTATACCGTCGACTGCGAGGCGGCTGTGGGGCCAGCCGAAGCGCCGTTTGCAAGTGCGACCGCAGAGCTGTTCTGGCTGCCGCCGAATCCGTATGGTGGCTCCACGGTGCAGTTGGATACTAAGACGGATGAGCTGGTGTCAGCTTCTTTTCGTGGGCACAAGATCTTTCCGATCGGGTATTACACGGGCTGGGGGAATTACCTGGCTGGCAACTGGAGTGATCTGGGGCATATCAAGAAGGCGGGCTTCACGATGGTGCATCCGATTCCCGGGGGCGGGCCTGCGAGTGTGGCTTGGGGCGAAGAGTCCGGCAGCTTGGAGAGGTTTCGCGAGTTTATGGATAAGGCACACGAGGTCGGTCTGTGGGTAATGTATGATATGCGCCATACATTTGCGTCCGCCGAGGAGCTGGAGGTACAGGTAAAGATGTTTCGGGGGCATCCGGCACTGCTGCTTTGGTATACTGCGGATGTGGGTGGTGGCCATTCCGTTCGCTGTGTGTAGATAAGGTGCTGACTGATGCCGAACAGGAACCAGATGGTCACAATAACCCAACCGATTCGACGCTTCTCGCGTACAACACCATCAGCGCCCTCGACGGCTACCACCCAATATCCTTCACCCCCAACTGCCAAAACTACTTCTTCACACAGTACGCGTCCGGCGCTGACATAGTGATACCGGACGTCTATCCTGTGGGGCTGAACCCAACCTTCTCCAACGTGTACAACACTCCCTGCAACCGCACCTATGGTTGCTGCGGCTGCGATAACTGTGCGGCTACACTGCAGGACCTTGGCACTCGAATTCTCGAGATGAAGGAGTACGCACGGTGTTCAGGAACGCACAAGACCTTTTGGGGCGTGGCTCAGGCCTTTGGGAATTCCGAGTTTTGGACGCGCATGCCTACCAAGGCTGAGATGGTTGAAATGAGTCGCGACGCCGTTGTCCGTGCGGGTGCGAAGGGACTGTTGTATTGGAGTGCGCCGACCACCCGCGAGATTTGGGAGGGCACGGCGGATGTGGCCAAGTGGATGAATGGCTACGCGGCGGAACCCGTCATCAGGATGGAGGAGGTGGGAGGGAAAGAGACAATCAAGAGTGAGCTGTAGGATGGCTTTACTTGGAGAAGCGTTGTTCTTATGCCTATTTTTGCGGAAGTCGTGTGGTGGACTTTAATGCGTCTTTCTTTTGTCCCGCGCGTCAGAGCTGTTGAGCGGGAGTAAAGCCGGGGAGAGGACGGGAGGTGACACTGTGACGGTGTCCATCACTCTAGCTAGTCGTGGAAAACAAGTCATCGGACGGATGTCGTGCTTTCACAGTTCTCTCCTGGGACTGACCGATACATCCCGAGCTGTCACCTGTGTCCCACTAGTTAGCGGGATATTCAGGCAACCGGCAACCCCACAGCAGATCACTACTTCCGACAGCTTACTCTCACCAGACCGACGGTCCGAAAACCTTGGACTCGGAAGGATGTAAATTGACGTTAACCTATCCCTTTGATTGTTTCCAGTGCCCCGAGCTACGGCACGGGGGGTGGAGAGACAGGCGGGTGGAGGCAACTAGTGTGTAGGTTATGATGTCGGGCTGATGACAAGTGGTATGGTGAGGCGACTGTGCGGCCGACTAAGAGCTCCCTCGCCGCCGCCGCACCACCTATGCCCGCACCACAAGCCAGCCTTCTTCAGCCGGCTGATGGGAGGTTACTTGCAAGTAACCAGATTCGGACTACCCCCTGTGTCCCCCACTCGCCCCCCGTTGCCTTGAAATATTTTTGACAAGGGAAGGGTTCGGGTTCCTTCCTGCCTGCGGGGCAGGCTCTGGAGTAGATTTTAATAATGCCTTGCCAGTCGTGTACCTACGTGTATATGACGGAGCCCGAGGTGAGCTTCGTAGCAACAGGTACCCACACTCGCCTGATTATAGCCTAACGTAGCCCATTTGCCATCCGCCGTCCATCTTCCGCTCGGCTTCCTCTCCCCTCCCCCCCCCCCCCTCCCCCCTCCCCCTCCCACATACCTTTGACCTTTGACTCGCGACAATGAATGCGAACGTCCACCAATGTCTCAACATTACTATATGTCAATGTCGCCCAGCAAGTTGCATCAAATGCCCGCGACGCTTGTCCTGGGCGTGTCGATAATGCTGTGCACGCTGTCGAGTACGGCTGTCGCCCTCAGATTCATCTCCCGCCGCTACATACACCGCGGGGTCTCGGTTTCGGATTGGTTGATTCTCGTTGCGTTGGTGGGCACTCCTTAGACGGCAGTGAGGTACGGGGGGAGGAGGGGCGGTGTTTGGAAGGCATTGGTGTTGATGTTAATGGGGATATAGATTCTGGCGGTTTCTTTTTCAGTGGCGTTAATAGTAGGCACCAAATCTATGAATCCGAGGGCGAGGAGAATAGTGAGCCCAACTCCCCATTCACATTCGAAGGCAGCAGTGGATGCTGATATTTTTTCTACCAGTGCAGGTTCATCTATACTTTCCTCTTTGTATGATCTCTTTTTTTCTCCTCTGGTTCTGCCTATTCGCACCGGTGTAAACGGCTGATTCTTCCAGAATCCCACAGCAGCAATGATAAAGAACTCCGTACTCCTCTACTACCAAGATCTCTTCTGGCGGTACCGTGCAGTGCACTGGATCGCGTGGGGGGTGTTAATAGTGGTCAACATCAGTGCCTTCACTGTATCGGTCGTGGTGTTACTACAATGCAAGCCCGTATATATCCCTATTCTCATCTCACCTCCAAAAAACCTCCCATGTTGACTGGGTATGGGAAAGTTCTGGGTGGTGTTTGCGACGAGAGCACAAGACCGCCTTCCCCGGGGCTGGAAGTGCATCGATACCGTGAAACTGGTGTATGCGGCCGCCCCGCTCAATATCTGTACAGACTTTGCCCTGATCCTCATACCAATGCCCATATTGGCTTCGCTGCAGCTCCCCAGGAGACAGAAGATCACGCTGATGCTGTTGTTTGGGCTGATTGGATTGTATGCCCTCTTCCCCACTTCCCCACTTTCGTTCTTCTGGGTCAGGAGGCGAGGGCTGATATCTGGCTGGCTGGCTGGGGAGTGGTATAGTACGGCGATCCTCGAAGTGATCCGCGCCTACTACTTCCAGAAAGCAAATCAAACCACAGAGTTTGGCCGAGAGGACGCTATCTCCTTCCTCTGGGCATCGATAACCGTTCACGTGGGCATCGTGGCCGTGTCCGCACCGATGGTGAAGCCGCTATTTACGCGGTGGAAACGGCTATTCGAGCTTGTCGTACATTATGTGAGCTCGAAACGATACAGAAGCTCTGAGGAAACGACGCCGGAGATTTTGCACCACAGGCTGTCGCACGAAGCTGGCGGGGATGATGGACAGCTGGTCCGCGGGTCGCTGACGAGCGGCGGGCTGAGGCCCGATCTCGATATTGAGGATTATAGGGATATCAAGAAGGCGTGGCCGTTTTTGCCGTTACTTTCAGGGCCGTTTTGTAGGTTCCCCAGACGAGTGGTGCGAGGGATGCTGATGGATTAGTCATGTGGGGGATTACGTTCATTCTCATCGCTGTTATTCAAAAGAAGCTGGAGGCGATAGGCGTGGCTACCGATACTCGGTCGCTGGGATTGCATATAGCATACTACGGGTGAGATACCTTTCCCGGTGCACTCCATGGTGGTGGTGGTGGTGGTGGTGGTGGTGGTGGTGCTCATAGGTATGCACAGATCCCACAGCATATCTGCCCTCACCCTCGGTGGCTGGATCTTCCGTAGTTACGGCTTCAAAATGGCCATCTCGATTGGCCTCTTCCTCTACGGTATGGGAAGCATGTGCTTCTGGCCCAGCTCCATCCAAGAATCGTACCCAGGCATGGTAATTAGCATGGTGGTGGTAGGCGCCGGCAGCGGGTCGATGGAGATCGCAGCCAATGTTTTCGGCATCCTCCTCGGACCGCAAGAATACGCCGAGATCCGCCTTAACATCCTACAAGGCTTCCAAGCTGTCGGCGGCCTACTCGCAATCCTAACCGAAACTACCGTAGTGTACGAAAGCATCGGCGGAATGACCTACTCGACTCTGGTGGACGTACAATGGATCCTCCTCGCCTGCGGAATCGCCGCGTTTATCCTCGCGGGCGTGTTCCTCTGCGTGAACCTCCCCGAGCTTCGTGGCCTAGACCCTCCCAACACCTTCTATGCCTCGACCAAAAACATTTACACCTCCTCCTTCGGCCCGGGCTTCGCTCTGTCCGTGTTTACACTCTTCTGGTACGTCGGCGGTCAAGAAATTACCACCCTCTATGCCCGCGGCTTCCTGGTCGAAAACCCGCACACGAACGTTCACGAAGCCCTCGGGATCGAAAAGTCCGCGCAAGCGCTCTTCGCAGCGGGGCGCTTCATCGCCGCAGCAATAATGCTGATCATCCGGCCGCGGTTCCTGCTGCTAGCATTCACGCTCGGACTGATCGTGACCGCAGCGATCGGCATGGCGGGGCGGCACCCGACACACGACGGGATATGGCTGCTGCTGAACTCATTCTTCCAGGGAATGGCGTACCCGACAATAATCGCAATGGCCATACGCGGGCTAGCAAAGGGCGACATCAAGGCCGCCAGCATATGGCTCGTCAGCTCGCAGCTCGGCGCCGCCGCTGTCCCCTGCATCTTCCACGCCGTCAAGATCACCCGCGGCTCCGTCTACGCGCTGTCCGTGGTCGTGGCAGCGTTCGCCGTCATGCTCCCGCTGCCGGTATACCTTATGGTCAGGAATAATGAGCGAGAAAGGACTAGACGCGTCGATGAGTGCCAGTTGACGGCGAAGGGCTGTGGTTGTGCCGATGGCTGTAAGAGTGGGTGTGCGGCGGCAAACGCGGTGCTCAGAACTTGTGCCGAGAATGTTAGGCGGCGCAGTGGGCATGGCGCCCCCGGCTTCCTCAAGACGCGCGAAGATGATGTTAGGAGGAGAAGTGGTGGGAGTGAGGCGGGCATGGTGGAGGCCGGGATGGGGTTTCCTTGATGTTCATGGTGGTATCACTCGTGCTGGGTTTTTGGAACGGGCTTAGAAAGGTGTTATGTATTATCAATTTAATGAGTACGTCGTCATATCATACGGTTATAGTCTTGTTTCTCACAAAGGCCGAATATGAGTATGATGAAACGAAAATACAAAAAACAAATGTATTAACCATTCCATCTATAGTAGAGATGGTCTCAGAAGTAAAGCGACCCATTCGCCTTGTGCTATCTAATTAATCATGTAAAGTACATTGCGGCCATGGCTAGGACCTTCTAAAGCTTTTATTGAGTTGCGATCAAATCTCCTCCGAAGCTTTTCCCTCATCCGCGCGCTTCAGCTTCACCCGGCCCTTGTCGTCGATAAACGGCTCGTAGCCATGTTTATCAAGCACCTCGCTGGGCACAACTTCCCTAGCGTTGAGCTCCTCGACGATCGCCTGGTTCTCCTTGTTACCCTGCAACAGAGCGCGAAGACACAGGATGGCGTGTTCACGGATATCTGTCAAAATCTATCAGTATGGCCACACACTCAAATGGGGAAATGATACGCACAAGGGTTGTCATCATCGATCTTGCACTGGTTCAGGACAACCGGCAATCCCGCCTTCTCCCTGACCAGGTCCTGAACCTCACGATTCTGCCAGGCAAGTGTGCTGATGAGGATTACGATGAAGCGCTTGATATTCGGCCAAGTGAACTCGTCTGGTTCAACCAGCTCCCTATCGTTATCATCATCGTCTGCCTCACCATCCGATTCTTCCTCACCTTCTGCATCATCCTCGCCACTGCCGCCGATATCGAACGGACGTTCCACCAGATGCTTCGCCTCCTGCTTCTTGGGGGGTTCCTCCTTCTTTGGCGCTTCGGCGGTCGCGGGAGGGGAGGGCTTGTTTGGCTTTGTGGCAAGGTAGCGCGGGATGGCTTGGTCCAGCTCGCCCAGTAGACGGACCAGATCGGCGACCAGTCCCTTCTCGTGCGTGGAGAGCGTCTTCTTTGCCTCTTCGTCCTCCGAGAAGAGGACAAACAGCTCTAGGAATTGATACAGGCCTTCATAAATCCTGTCCAGGTCCCACAAGCTGAGCTCGAACGACTCCTTGCTCTCCTTTCCGGTGCGGATTGCGCCCTGCAACTGAATGATCTTGATGACGGGGTTCACTACCTGCTTCCGGAAGGTGTTGACGAAGAAAGTGGGAATTGCACTCTCGATAACGGGTGGGATATCGGCAGCTTCCTCATCACTTCCGGGACGAACGTTGGTAGCAGCAACTTCAATGGCGATGGTGGCGGCGTCTTTCGGTGGCTCAGTATGAACGGGAAAGCCCATAGTGGAAGGCGACTGCATTGCCGGTATTGGCGAGCCGCGGGGCCATTCTCCCTGGTTATGCTGAGGAAGACCGTTTTGTGGTCGGTAGACAGAAACCAAAAGTTTCAAGAGAACCGATTGAGCTGGGGTGACAATGTCCTTGTCGTCCCGAAAGCACTCGTACGCATATGGGATCAGTCCATTGAGAAGGATAGCCTCCACAATCTGTCCCAGCACGCGGAAGCAGAAGTCTTCTTCATCCACCTCCCAAGCACCCAAGAACACCAGGACTTCGCGCAAAAGACTGCGTCCGTATCCCTGCGCCAGCATCAACTTGCATCTAACCGACTGCATGGCTTCATCCGATCCATCGAACGCCACAATCCCGCTCTGCAGGATCATGAGTAATGGCTCAATCTCGTCGGGCTGCAGAAGCCGGGGCACATCGGTAAGAAAGCCAGGTTTGTAGTACTTGGCGTTGAACCCAGCCGATAGCGAGTTGCACTTAGCAGCCGTTTCATTGTGGTGAGCAACAGTACCACCGACAAATCCGACACCGACGCCGGAACCGGGTGATGGTTGGGGTTTGGTGGATTTTCGAGCTTTGCTCTTGCTGGTGGCCTTGGCTATCAACGGGGAAGGGCCGGTGGTGTGGATCGAGGAAGGTGTGCCGAACAGGTGCAGCCAGATGTGAAGCTTCCTGGTTTCATTGCAGGTCATGAGGTTATTGAAGAATTGCAATGCCGTAATCATCACCTTCTTGTCTGTGGTAGCAATGTCAGCAACTTCCGGGAGTGAGAACCAATGGGGCTAGGAATGCATACATCCTCCCTTCATCTGCAATTCTTTGTCGTGGGTCGGCTTGTCTAAGTTTGGTAGAATCGGTTTGCTCGCTTTTTCGACACAGATTGAAAGAAGCCGCCGGATCTCTGCATCGAATCCCTGCTCTCTGCACCATTCTCAGTCAACTGTAAATACACCGTGACGGGGTATGGAGCTCATACGCTGCGAGGTTTTGGGCCCGCTCCTTCGCCGCAAGCAAATTGCGTGCCAGTAAAACCAAGTCCCAGACTTTCGGTAGCAGGTGGTGTTTGTTCAATGTGAGCTGGTCGTTTCCAGCCAGCAAGGTCTCAGTCATGGCTTTCCACACTCGCTCCGAGAACCCCAGAATTTCCCTACCACATTTAGCATGCCCCGCACATTCAGGAGAAATTGACCATCGCCTACCTCGCCTCGCGACTCCTCTGTGTCTGCTTGACTACATTCTTGAGTTCCGCATCTCCAGTCGATTCGACGGTGGGAATCAGAATGCCGGGATGCGTGAAGCTCGCCTCGACGCCGAAGAGGAGGGTCAGGAGCAGATCCTCGAGAAGAGCCATGGTTAGATTTGTCGGGATACCGAGACTGCTTGAAGAGAGATTGGCGGAGGCCGCCGGTACGGGGAATGTGGTTGGTTCGTTCGCTCGTTGATGTAAACTGCAGGGTGTGGGATTTAGTGATGTCAGCTGGGTTCGCACGGTTTGGTGGGGCAGTCTGCTTTGAGTGTCAGGGTAATTAACAACGCGCGGATGACAGCTCGCCTAGCTTGTGACGCTTGTGATGCAAAGCTTGGCAGAATCGCGCTTAGTTGCGGCGAATTTGTCCCATCCAATTCGGGAATCGTTTCTAGCGGCCATGGTTCTAGACCCAAAGACTTGGCATGTGGCTACAACGAGTGGTCACGTGCTCGTAGGAAAGAAAGGCATGAGTTTCGTGTCAGCGCCATAACCACCAACCATTCCTACTACCACCATCACCGTATCCGAATAACTTCCACCAAATGTCTTCTTCCGGTATGATTCCCTACACAACATGCGCCCTATTGGAAGAAGCAACTCATTCTGTCAAACTTTAGTCGCCCGGAGATCTCGGCACGAGTTAAGGTTCGGCGGTGGAAAAGTCTTGACAGCCACGATGGACCATCGACAAGTATATAGTTACGCGGCAGCAAACTCTGATGAGCGGCCAACCTAAGGTGGCCTCTCAGTCTTAAATAGAGGTCTTCCCCGTAGACGATAGGTTCTTCTTCTGTATCGAATAGAATATCATCATCTGTCTACCCGTATATTCCAACACATTCAGTAAGAAAACCAGTTAAGTTGCCGGTGGATCAGTTCGACGAAGTTTGACCATTGGTGGGCAATGTTTACGCGTTTCGAAAATAAGAGTATACAGTAGAACAGAGCTGCACAAGCCGAGCACAGGGAATTAGAGAAAAGCCGGAGATCTAGCAGTATCTAACCACGACTCATCAAATGCAGAACCAGCAGCGTCCGCGGTAAAGATCAGTGTTCGGTTACTGTCAAGTTGATGCCTCAACTCAACGGACTGCATCCTACTGTTACCCTCGAACACAAAACCGAACATTACCTTACCACTGTCACGATTGTGAAACCAGTTGCATCGTGAAAAAGTCAAAGTTTGTACAGGAGCTGCCCGCCTGGTGAAGTGCAGGATAATGGACGGATCGAGGTAATTCTGGATCTTTGTGTCGTCAAAGTACAACTACGACATACCACCTATAGAATACATGAGTTGATGGGGAAACCCAATGGGAGGGCCATCGGCAGCAGCAAGTTACTCGCGCTTGGATGGAGGAGGTTAGGGAAGCTGTTGCACTGTTGGTAATTTCATGCCCGAAGGAAATTTAGAAATGCACAAATCATGGGAGTTGTAAATATTTTCTTCTGAAATAATTTTACTATGGGACGAGTAATCGCGAAAGTTATAATTTTCGAAGAGATTGTTTGAAGGACAAGTCACAAGAGTTGGTATGCCGCAGAATCTGCTATGGTTGTGCTGTTCTGGGTGGACGACGGTGTTGAGTGCACGAAGTACAACAGGGGGCGACGACTCTTCGATAGGCGGCAGCCACACCCACTCGTGTTGTGCCACACGCTAAATCGTAGCGTCATGGCCGCTATGTAGACAAGATTCCGGTGGCATGTTCCAGTGGCGCGTCGCGCAGGGCTGCACATCCCTGTAATTAATCGCTGTCTAGTATCACGTGACCACGCTTGGAAGCTCTGATTCAAATTGACGTCGACTCTTCCCGGTCTGTTCAGCTCCACCCCACTCTCCCGCTCTCCATTCTCTCTACCCTCTCGACATCATCCCTCGTCCCCCTCGTAGCATCCAACGCTTCACCTCTCATTCACTCTCCCACGCATCCCCGCTCTCTCTCTAGCAAACTCGAACACTCACACCTCACGTTACCCCACTGCTCCCCTCACCTCCGTTAGAAGCTTTCGAATAGCTATAGCTGTCGCAAGGGAACCAAATTCCCTCTTCCTCCTAACCCGGGGTGTTGAGCCGAAACCTACAACCGGTTCGGCCGATAGCAGAATGTCGGGTCCTTCCAAGCTGCGCCGTTCCGCACGGTCGCGACTAAAGGTGGATTACACCAAAGGTCTCGGAGACGGCGATGACGATGACTACGCCGATTCCAGTCAGGTTGGTGATAGTGTCGCGCTGGCTGCTAAAACTGGATCCGCTACTCGCCGAACCATTGCTGCTAGTGCCAAAATGCAAAACCAGGATGTGAAAGTGGAGGGCGACGGAGATGAGGATTCGGACTATGCCCGGCGACCCAAGAAGAAACCGAAATTGGCTGTCGTCAAGCGCCAGAGGGTCATTCTCAGCTATGCAGAGAGGGTTGAGCTTAGGATGAAGACTACTTGCTTTATCTTCAATATCCCATACAGCACGTTCGACAAATGGCCTTTCTCTCTGAACCCGGAGCAGGACGGCGGCCCTTCCCTATCAACCATGCCGAACGAAGTCCTACTATTGATTTTTTCATTCAGTAGAAGTGATGATCTTCTTTCCCTCAGAAAGACATGCAAGCATTTCAGGGCACTACTTAGGCACGAGAGGTACGGAACCGTTGATATTTAGTCATCCTATTGGGGTAGACATACTGACAACCGTAGCATTTGGCGTGAATCGCGCCTGAACTACCTCCCTCCACTTCCCAGCGAGCTCCCAACGCCGCTGCCATTTGGTCTGACTGAAATCAAGTTGTACCTACTCTCATTCTCGAAGTCGTGTAGCCACTGCGGTCAAGTGGCGAAGCCGCAAGCAAGACCTCGAGTCTTCTACAACTGGGGCATGCGCGGCTGCAAGGTACGATTCACCGTTTTCTCGACTCTGAGTAGAACCTGATGTTGGACTAGGACTGCGTAAAGCAGTATACCATTTTACACAAGGACCTAATGGCCTTGCTTTCGAAGAAGTGCGGTTTCGATTTCCACGAACGAGAGGCGCTGGTCTCGACTCTGGAATCGCACGATCATTCCATGTGGAGGTACCGTGGCATCTTCTGGAAAGCTCAGGTTTATGAGCGCCTTGAGGATGCGGAGATTGAACTTGTGTCTGACAATTTCACCAAATGGGCAAAAGATAACAAAGTTCCTCACTCTGTGGAACAGTACCATGGCATGCTGGATAAGTGGCGTTGGAGAGCTGCGGATGCGATCATGCGCAACGAGATAGACTTTCACTGTCACAAACGTCGACAGAGACGTTTTCTTCTAATTGAGCTGTGTAAGGTGCGTTCCGCTAAATGTGCCCCATGCCCGTTAGTTGAGACACAAACCTAACTTCGAGATGCAGCGACTTCCCGAGCCAATTCCAGAACAGGCCCTGCCCTTCCTCAATCGCTTTATGATTCTCCTCTATCGCAACACAGAACTCCAGAAATCCGAGTTCATTGAAGCTCTTCCATTCTTGCTGAAGGAATGGGCCTCTTACCGGGAGGAGCAGACGCAGGTGGCTCGTCTCGAGCGTATCTGGAGAATCCAATTGCAGTACTTCATCGAAGAAACCGCCGGGAAAATCTTGGCTGATCTTCACATCAAGGGAGACATCGATCCCATCACCTGGCGTCAGATCCTCATCAGGACGATTACGAAGGCCGCGAATGTAAAACCCCGTTACAGAATGCCAAAGGATGCGAGTGACAAGTACACCAAGATATTTAAGGATTGGAAGCTAAAAAACAAGCTCGGAGGGAGAGAACTGGGAAAACTCGATAAAGCTCTTACCCAACCAATTTACTCCGGAATCGAATTCTTCAAGCAGGTGCCCGAATCTGCCGACGATCGTGCCTCAGAAAACAGGGAAATAGTGCTTCCCCGTACGATCTACGAATTCTTCGAGCGCGGAAACGATCGTGTATTTGCGTGTCCGTATCGCTGGGGCCATCGCAAGACAGACCATATTTGCAATCACGCGACTCCGATGACTTTACTGGAATTAGTCGAGCATTGTGCGGCAAAGCACTCGGCGAACTGGAACGATAAGAAAGAGACTACCTGGGAACGTATTATGGATCACCTAGTTTTGCATCCTAATTTTGGTGGAGAGATCTACTGTTTCCTCGGACCTGTCGGCTCCGTGTTCCCCACCGGATCCCACGACGGATTCCGCTGCTATCCCTCGTCTCTGCGTTCTACAGACCCGCAGGGGCCCATTTCGGTGATGGTGGTCGCCAAAAAGTCAGGAATCGTTGGATACCTCATCAATGCATCGTCTGAGCGGGTAACCTCAGGGCCCTGTTGCTGCAAGCCACCACGGTACCCGGCAATCAATCTAGATACGACTGGCAAGGACATTTCTGGCATGGATTTTCAGGTTGCCGTCGCAAGCAATGCTGAATCTAACCAGAAGCACCGCAAAGCCAGTATCGAAACCTTTGGACGTCGCAGTGAAGTCTTTTCCCGACATCCATCAGCATGTATTAGTTTCAATGCACAGCACATGACCCTCAAGGGGACTTATGTCAGGCTCAAGATCACCTTCGGAGATAAATCAAAGAAGCTCGATGCGTGGCTCAAGTCTGTTCCAACGCAGCCGGCGACCCTCACCGATTAGACAGCGCTTCTTAGCAGCGTGCTCAATTCCTCCTTCGCCTTTTTCGGCATTTTTTTCGGACATTTTTACCCTAGAGAAGAACCAGTGGTTCTGGATGGACGATTTGCTGCTTTTTTTCCCTCCTCCCATCCCTCCTTAGTCTACTTTTCAGATAGACTCGATTGAACTGGGTGTGGCACAACTAGACGGGGGATGGAATACTTTACCGATGCGATACTAATTGTTGTTTTTCCAGCTCTCTTGTTTCTTTTGCTGACAGTACATTTTACACCTTTTAGGCGGATTGTTTGAGATTTATGGACGGTTGATTTGATTTGTTGGACGGCGCCTTAATTTCCTGGATTGTTTGAACATTGTTTTGAGGACTTGATTTGCTGATTTGTTTGAAAGGCGTTGAAGAAGAAAACGGGGGGGGGGGGGTGATACTTTACTTTTACTTGTGGTGTTTAGTGTGCGGAAATGTTTGCGTTGTTTGTCATTGCAATTGGGGTTTGTGTGCGCACTCACTGAGTGGTTTCGATTTGCTCCCCGTGCAAAGGGAGGAAAGGTCGGTCATTGCAGCATGGTTAGGTGTGCAAAAGCGAGATTTGTTTTTGTTTTGTCATTCTGAATTCAACCTATTCTTACCACCATCAGGCACAAAACCACCGCGTGAAGTTTATGCACTAGGATACCGGAGCCATTCGAACACACGAAGCCGCTCAACGTCACGAAACAGCAGAGATATCATGAAGCCAGCCGAGTGACCACTCATGTAGGCACCTCTTCGTCGAGTGATTTCTGTGAATACCACATTCCAGGTGGAATTGCGGATATGCCGAGATTTTGACTGCATCGACGTGCTTTTCGGCTGAGCTCGCCGGTACGAGCGATATGGGTCGGGTATGGAAGCTCGGATGGGAGCTTTGGGAAAGTTGGCGATCACTGTGGCTGAGAAATAATGTTGTCGAGACGCGGAGGGCAAGAGCCTCTCGCTGTTCTAGCGGGCATGTAGGTACCCGGGGGGTGGGTAGACCTGAAATATTAAATGATGCCTAGCCGGTCTTTATCTCTACAGCACTGTTGGTGGTAGTGGAACGATAGCTCGGGGGACAAATGTGCGTGCTTGAAAACTCAACCTCGCGATGACCGAGCTTTACGCGGAGCATCTCTCTTCCCGTGACCGATGGAAGTTGAATGGCCCGATATATCAATCTTGTGACTAGAGCAAAGAACTAAAGTTCAGAGTAGGTATTAGGCCTACAGTCTCTCGAGCATTATCCGTCCGGATCCCATCTTTAAGCTCGGGAGCAGTTTGTCAAGATGTTCCAATATCTGATAAGGCAGTAAGGCATCACTTCAAGCACTTACGCGCTCCGTACATCCCTTGAGCTTGCCCGGCTCTCCTAAACATTTGACGACTAGCTATAGGTGCGGATGGCCGTACCTGCAATAACCATATCACGATGGTTTGTTAGTCTCACTAGCGCCAACGGCATTACTAGAGCCGTATCATAATAATATACTTTACCGAAGGTTACCTCTCCGGTGAAGTTGGTTTTATTGCCTGAGCTCGGATCAAGAGATGCCGTGAGCATGTGAGAAGAAAGGTTTTGAAGGAGAGCTCGAGCTTCCTCCCCAGAAGGCGGTTTCACGCCCAAAGATGCTGATCCCTGTCGTCGATCGCGCTCCTGCACCGCACTCATCATCACCACCACCATCAACGCGCCCGTCAGCGTCAACTTGGCGTCTCCGCCTGTACCGCATCCAGAAGCCGCAACAACAAAGACAACAGCCCCGACAGCTCAGTACGGCTGCTAATGCATGTTCTGTTCGTGGGGAATTTCTTCAACAGCTTTGTTTGCGCGACAAGATGGTGCCCGGTGATCGAGGGCTCGGGATCGAGCTTGGAGGAGGAGCAGGAGGAGTAGGAGGAGGAGACGGGAGGGGGAGAGTCGGACACGTTTACCCAACACCACCGCCAGAGGACAGGCTGTCCGAATTGCGGCAAACATCAGGGCCCGGCGACGATAGTGGGATGGCTTGGGAGGGCGAGGGGCAGAACAAGGAAGCGGAGAAAGAGGACATGGTGGCCGTGGGTAAAGTGCTGAAGCTGTCTCACGAGCAGTTAGGCGAGCTTCTACCCTTGGATACCACCTCGACGCCGTTCGTTTTGCAGCCATCGTCTTCGTCTTCCTCTCCAGCTCGCCGCGCGAGATCGAGCACCCTTACGAATACCGGGACTGGGCCTGCGAGACCGTTGGTCGCGGGAAGGACGTTGTCTACACCGCCTACCTCAAGGAGAGTTGTGACCACGCCAGCGAGAAATCCGAATACGACCTCATCCAGGAGGAGAGAGAGTGGCAGCAGGGACAGAGGCATGATTACACCGAAACGAAAAAACTCTGGTTCCACTACGAGCACGGCTACGAGCACGACAGTGGTACACAATTATGGCGGCGGGGATGCGAGCTATGATACCCCGGGAGGCAGTGACGTCGACAAGGTGAACGGCAGTCGTCGGGAAGGCAGTCAACCGACTTCGACATCGACAACAATAACTACACCGTCGGCACTCCCGCCGCTGCCTTTCCAGAGCTACCTCTCATTAGCGCTGTCATCGCCGACTTCTGCAAGTTTCCCCGACACGCCGAGTACCAACGATGATGCATCTACACAGAGAGCAGGGCCGGTGTACGGAAAGCCGCCGCACCACTCTGATGATTCGGCAGAAATTGCGATGGAGCGTATCATGAACTTTTTTCTCCTTCCGCCGAAGCTGGAGGCTGCATTGGTGTTCGGCGTCTTCGCATGCCTGGACAGCTGGCTTTACATATTCACCATCCTGCCACTGCGATTTTTGAAGGCTATCGGCGTGTTGATGGGATACTGGAGGATGCGAGTATGGAATTACTTTAACTACGATGGCAACAAGTTGCGAAAGAAGTCTAGGAAAGATGGTGAAGCCGAAACGCCCGAGAAGCGGCGAGAGCGTAAGAAACGTAAAGAAACCAACGTGAGCGGGTTGAACCCAAATCATAAGGCAGATATCTTGAGGGGTATGATTCTATTTACCAGCTGCTGGTTCTTGATGCGGTTCGATGCTAGTCAGATGTACCATTCGATCCGCGGGCAGAGTGGCATCAAATTATATGTCATTTACAACATGCTCGATGTAAGTTCCGGCATAGGCTTCGACTCTTTGATAGATGCTCACGGGTGGCCTAGTTTGCGGACAAATTATGTGCTGCCCTCGGACAAGACATCTTCGATGTGCTTTTCTCTCGAGAAGTGCTCGACCGGCGTCCCGACGGCCACAGCAAGATCTGGCGGCCCATCGCGTTCTTTTTGCTCGCATTGGCCTACAATAGTTGGTACCCAATCCGGAGAATCAACTCCCTTACTGACCTTTATTAGTTGCTCACTCACTCGTACTTTTTTATCAAGTGATCACCCTCAACGTCGCCGTTAACTCTTACTCCAATGCGCTTGTGACGCTGCTGCTATCTGTGCAATTTGTCGAGATCAAATCCACCGTTTTCAAGAAGTTCGAGAAGGAGAACCTGTTTCAGCTCCTCTGTGCCGACATCGTCGAGCGGTTCCAGTTGATACTGATGCTCGTCATCATCGCTACACGGAACTTGGTAGAGCTGGGGGTGTGGTCCCTTTCGCCGTCTCCCAGCGGCGGAGTCCTCCCGAAAAGCTTCACGTTCTTCCCCAAGTGGACTGGAGAAATCATGGGTCCATTTTTTATGGTGATTGGGTCCGAGATGATCGTCGACTGGCTCAAACACGCCTACATCACAAAGTTCAACAACATCAGGCCAGTGCTATACGAGCGCTTCCTGGACGTGCAATGCAAAGACTACTACTCCCGCGTACGTAGCATCATCCCCCGGTCTCTCCCTCCATCAACTAACAATCGCACAGGCATTCACGGACCAAAACCTAACCAAGCGGATCGGCCTCCCCGTGATCCCGCTGGCCTGCCTGTTCATCCGCGCCACAATCCAAACCTACCACATGTTCTTAGCCACACACGTTCCGTCGCCGCTGCCCAGCACGTCCGCCACGACGTCTCTCAGCGAGAACCTCGCGACCTCGGAGACCTCCGCGGCACTAGCTAGCATCGACACGATCCTGCGGCGGGCGCTCTCGCGCTCTGACGCCTCAGCCTCCACGCTCTTCGACGACTTTGTCGCCGCCGCAACAATGGCGTTCTTCCTGCTCGCGTGCTTCCTCATCTTCCTCGCCGTCAAGCTGCTGCTGGGGATCACGCTGCTCGGCATCGCCCGCAGCCGCTATCGGGGCCTCAAGGAGCGCGAGCGGATGTGGACGCATACCGGCGCCCATAGGAGTAGTGCCTTCGGCACTACTACTATCACTGCCGAGAATAGGGCTATCATATATGGTGGTAATCCGGATGAGGAATTGAAGGTGGCGGAAATGGTCCGTAAAGGACGCGAGAAGGAGATGCGCGTAGAGATGGACTCCCTCGAGGGCGTCACCAGGTATAAAATGTGTGCTAAGAGGATCTGGTAGTGTTGCTTTACGGTACTTTACTCGGCTTTACTCGACTTTGGGGCGGGCGGGCGTTGTGTGTTTTGTCGGTGTCTTTGTAGAGAGAATGAGAGAGAGAGGGAGAGAGAGGGAACACCGATTTATTGTCGCATACGGCGTGTCTAGACTATGGCAAATTGATGTCTTTGTACAATAGCGGAGAGACCGTGCTTGCAATGTGTACCGAGTGAGTATGAGTGTTTGACGATGGCTGGAGAGTTAGGTAGAGGTTCAACTTAGCCGTCAGGATTCAGGAATTAGGATGATCTACGTAAGAGCCAGGAAATAGTTGAGCAATCCAATCTAAGCCCGGATTCTAAGTACATACCTGTTCCGAGCGCACCTGCGTTCCCCATCAATGTGTAGAGTGCTTGCTATCTATATCACAGCGACAACCCGGTTACCTACCCGGGGTTTGAGTCTCGATGCCGGACGTAGAGTACCTATTACATAGTAGAGTAGAGTAGATGCGCAATCCAGCATGATACGGTAGGTACCGTACTATGTAGGTACGGTAGTGAGGAGGTAGGCACGGCGGTGGGGAGTTAGTGGGAAGGTACGGCGGTGGGGAGGAACCGGGCGAATGCAGTGATGATGATGACGATTAAACAAAAAAGGAAACAAAAACAAAACAAAAAAAGAAACCAAATCCCGCATTCCCGCAGGCGCATGCGGTAGAGTGGCGGTAGCGTAGCGGCTTCGAACGTTGAAGAAGCATTCTACAGCCTAGTGGTGTGTGTGTAGACTACGTGTAGAGTATAGGCAGTTTACTCTATAACTATTTCCAAATATCGGCAGAATACATGACATGGCATCGCGAGTACGGTAATTATGGCAGCGGTTCACCGTTATCCTTCCATTCCACTCCCGGGTTCTTTCTTTTTTCCGTTCTTTTTTTACCCAGCGGGACGTACGCAGCGCGAACCACGGGGCGGGTACGGTACATTCATGACGCTCGCCCACCCAGCGTTGCCCACCCAGCGTCGACTCTCACTCTCTACCTATGGTGCGGCCTACCTATCCAGCTGCGGGGTTTCGTGTTTCGTGTTTCGGGTTTCGGGGCTGTCGATCGGCGGCGTGTAGTTCCTCTAGAGTATTGTAGAGTACACTGTAGGGCGTTGCCGCAGGCCCGCAGCGCCTGGGCGGAGGAGGCGTTTTGTTTCAGAGCTCGGGTACCGGGGAGTACTGCGTGGCCTGCGTGGCTTGCCAGGTGGCTTGGGTGGCTTGCGGGAGGGGGGCCCGGGGCGGGAGATCGAAATACATCATACATACTGTACATGCATTGCCGGTATTCGTGGACGATGCGCGGGAGTCGTTGGGACTCGGGGATTCGGAGGTGAGGAATCGTGTATTGTGTCGTGGGAGGATGGTCGGCGGCATATCTACCGTACTTACTGAGCTACTAAGCAGCCTGAATGTGCGGGAATTCAGACAGCAAATTCCCCCGATCCTCGTTGCCTGCAACTTCCCGCTTCATTGCTCTCGTGGTCTCGTTATGATTCGCCGTTTGGCCAGTGAGCCTTGAGGGGACTCGGGAGCACTGAACTTTGAACTTTGAACTTTGAACTTTGAAGCCTGGGAACGGTCCGGGTATGTCGGCGGGGTGCCGATACTAGGTACTTTTATACTCTATCATATTATCATAATCTCTCCTCATCTCTCATCTCTAGACTCCAGGGTAGTTATGGTACCTATCTCTACTCCATCTTGTCCACAGCTCCAAGATAGAAGGTCTCACACTGAGGTCATCTATCCACCTATCCACGCGTGCATGTGGTGCATTTCCACCCACCGAGCACCTACTAACGGAGAAACGCCATCTGCAGGGAATCTGCAGGGACATGAGCCAGGACTCCTGGCGACGTTAATTACTAGGGCGACGTGGGGAAGCGCCGCAAGGTACGCGAGCCGCTGATAGGCTGGCGGGGTTCAGGAATCGGGAGGGATGGCACGAAATAGTTACGCGGAATGGGCAGGCGTATGAGATTTGGGGGTTTGGGGGGTTTGAGGGGGTGGGAGTGGGTGGAGTGGGTGAGGCGATTGGTGACTGGAGACTGGAGGCTGGTGTGCGGGTCCTTGCGGTCACTCTCTGGTAGATTGATCGATTCGAGACGAGAGAGGAGAGAGAGTGCGCTCGCTTGGTGTGGTGATGGGACCGAGGAAAGGGAGGGAGGAGGGACTGCCTGCTGCTGATGTTGATGATGCTGCTTACACCCCCAAATCCCCGCCCCATGGTTGTGTGTGAAGTAGATTCATTCTTGTACATTGCATCCCACACTTGCTTTCACACTTGCTGGCTGGCTCTGGCTTTTTCGTTTCTTCCTTTGCTTGCCCTTTCCTTTCCTTTCCTCTTCCTTGCGTTTTCGTTTCTATCGCATCGCTGGTCGAAGTCAACGTTTCGGAGAAGTCGACATTCAACTCCCCCCACCGCCCCTCCCAGCTAGCGAGCGCCATTCACTCTCACCCCACACTCCCCACCACGTTCTATCGGCATCATCGTCGCTGGCCTTGGAGTGTCGCTCGGTCGATCTCAATCTCCGAATCGGATTGAATGGCGCTGGCTGGTTGATCCCAACAAAACACACCCTCCTTCCACCGTCGTGGACCACCGCAACCCGGCGTAAACAATCACCACTTACTTTCCTTGAACGACGACAACATCGACACCAACTCGGCTCACTTTTCCTTTCGGTTATTTTCCTCCTTCTCTTCTCGACGGCGGACTGGTCCGCGGTTCCTCCCTTGACGGGCATTTGATTTCGCGACATACTCAGCGTACAGGATACCTAGGATATTCGGTGGTGAATCTACAAACCTCGCAACGGACCTCAACAAACATCCCCAACCATGGGGTGCTTCGGGCGAAATCGCAAACAAGAGTTTGTGCTCGCCGAGCACAAATTCGCATACATCGTGCGTATACCCACTCCCGCGCCGGGCTGGGACAGGAGGAATGTGGGCTGACGGACGACAGAACATGAATGATTACACCAGCAAGAGCTTCATTAATTATGTGGCCTATGGGTGGATTTATGTTGGCACGTTGGTTTCGGTGGCTTGCTATGCTGCGGACATGTAAGTTATACATGCGTGGGGAGGAGTCGCATCGCGCACGGATGATGGTCTATGCTCGATTGGCGAGATGTCGGCGTGCGCAACGGCTTTCTTTTTTTACTTTATTTTCTGACGAGTGTGAATGCGCAGCTACACGGCCGTTATCCTCCTCGCGTTCAACCGTTGGACCAACGATACCCTCGAGAAGAGTGGTATCATCGATTTCGATGTCGCCAGGATTGTGTTCTCGGTGTGTATATTCTTCTCGATTGTGCTGCTGGCCATCGATTGGTTCCGTGCGATTCGCGTCATTAAGAGCGATGGTGTCGCCGAGGCATATATGGACCTGATCGCGGTCGGGTTCAATTGCATTTGGGGTGGGAAGGGGAAGGAGGATACGGGCTGGAAACGGTTCCTCGTCTTCTCGAGGTTGACTAAGTCGAGAGGCGTGGTGGACTATCTCGCACTGTTTACATACTTCGCGTTCAAGGGCTGGGTGAGGATCATCTTCGCTGAGGGCCCGCGGGTCGTTATCAACGCCTTGACTTTCATCTCTGTTACCCAGGCGGATGTGATTGTCCACAGCGGTCAATGGGATGGTTGGGACAAGTTCGGCAAGAACGTCCAGGCGCTTTACGATGAGAACAAGCTTCAAGTGATGATCTTGGGGACCATGGCATTCACGAGTCTGTTCTGGGTCATGGCGGTTCTTCGGGTAGGATCTGATCTCCTAGAAAATAGGCACGAATCTTGCTGACCGATGCATCTAGCTTCTGCTTGCGGCGATAATCTATGTCGTCTACCTATGGCACACGATGACGGGAACTCAGAGTCTGAGCAAATACTGCAAGGAGCGCATTGACACGCGGATGGGCGAGATTGTCCAGAAGAAGCACGACAAGGCGATTCAGCGAGAAAAGAAACAGGGCACTGCATTCATCGCGCGACAGCCGACAATACCCGTTCTTGCGCCAACTCGCAATCCCACCGTCGGGCGCGTAGTGGCATCGAATCCGATGAGCTCCAGTGCGAATCTGATACCGCGCTCCAACACATTGGTCTCGAATACGCCGCCCCCGAGCTACATGAGCCGAGAGCCGAAGCTTCCGTTCATTCAAGAATCGGGACCCGCACCGCCGGCTCGTGCTCTCACCCGTGGGCCTGGAAATGCTCCGGTTGGTGTTGTGCATCAGTCTGCTCCTTCGAGGTCTGGAACCATGCGGACACACATTAGTTATGAGTCGTCCGCCTCTTCGAGGGACTACCAGCAATCGGTAATCTCAGATCACCGGATGCAGCCACAGCAACCTTACTACGACCCTACAGTTGATTCTGGATACCTACCACAGCCAGTGGGGGGACAGAGACGCATGGAGGAACAGCACAGTGGGTATGCTGGTGACGGAGAGTACCACCAGCTGCAGCCCCTCCAGCCAGGACAGTCCGGAAGAAGTACGTTCGTGATGGACAGGCTCGCCCGAAACAACACGGTTGGCGGAGGATACGACAACGGACAACCGCCGGTTCTTGCTGGCCAAGGTGGACGAGGCAGATTTCCCATCCGCCCCCGAGAGCCTGTGGACCAACAGCTCGGTGGTTGGGGCGCACCACCGCCAGGACCCAGGAGGCAGACCGCTGGTCTGCAACAGATGTACAGAGCACCGCAGCCTGGGCCCAGAAGCCAGACGGCGGGTCCTATGGAGGGGAGATACGGACTGCCACCACAAAATTTAGCGCCTCAGATGAGGGGATATGGCGCGCCACCTCCTCGAAGTCGCACGGCAGGACCATCGGAAGGAGCATATGGCCCTCCTCCTGTAGGCAACACTGTGGTGGACAGAATGGATGGTGGATACGGTGGTGGTGCTCCCCCTCGCAGCCATACCGCAGCTCCCTCAGCTGGTGCCTATGATCCTCCTCTCAGAAGTCAGAGCACAGCACCGGCGGCCGGAGCATACGGTCCTCCGCCTAGAAGTCATACCGCAGCACCAACAGCCGGAGCATACGGCCCTCCTCCTAGAAGCCGCACAGCTGCACCCAGAGATGACAGCTATGCTCTTCCTCCAATAAACACAGCAGTCGGACTCGACGACGGCTTCCACACCCCTCCACCACCACCGATAAAAGACACCGGCTACACGACACCGCAAAGCGGCGTATCGAACTCCGATTACTCACCATCGCGCACCATGACCGCCGTTGCAATCGAGGGCGGCTACGGAACTCCACCACGCGGCCAACGCGAGTACAGCCGTGACAGCGGCCAGTCGTCACTGCGTGATCGCGAGGAGCAGCTCGCACAACCACTGTACGCGGGAAAACCGACTTTCCGTCCACCCCCACGCGAGCAGTCTAGGAGCCCGCCGGTTCAGGTTCAGGACTATGGGCTCGAGGAGTTTGGCCCGCCCAGAAGATCCAGAACTGCGCCGGTCGAGGGTGGTCTCGAGGCTCGCAATACTACACCACCACCACCGAGATCAGAAACTGTACCCCCTCCTCCGCCCACTACGATGAGGGGAGGATTTGATGGGAATGGCGGTATGTTTTGAGTACCTATAATCTGAGTAATTATTGGTGCGGTAGAATATTGCTGTGATAAACGCATGATTGTGATTGATTGGCTTGGTTCTTGTACATATCTTCTGCGTCTGAAAGTGTTTTCTCGTTTGTTTATTTGCGGCCGCTGGAGTAGATTGGGTGTATTATCGGAGTCTTACTGCATGATGGGGAGGTGATGATTGATTTGGGTTGCCTGCTTGGTTACCTGCTTTTGAAGTTGCACGATAGCAAGTACGAGAATGAGAATGATTCGAGTTGTCGAGTACCGTAATAACGATAATGCGTGCGTAAGTACACAAAGCATCAAACAAAGCGAGCAAAAGCAAAAGCAAAAGCAGATCTATATCGACACGCCCCGGTGTCCTCCTTCCACCCGCCATCCACCGCACCAGATCAGGTATGACTACTCAAGAACTGATTCAACTCCGTCTTGCCCAGCGGCTTTCCATGAGTACGATGCTTCTTACTCTCCTCAGTCTCCTGTAGCGAATCCGTATCGCCCACCCACACATAAGTTCTACACTCAGTATTCGACCAGCCCGTTCCCGGAAAATCCCCCGTGCCCTTCCAATCCTCGGTGAGATAGTGCAGAAACCCACCATGGAGCACGCAGACAACATTTTCCTCGGGCCTTTCCCTGAGCCACTTCCTCACCCACCGCGCACGCTCCGTCAGCGCGGCCGGATCCGGCCCCCAAAACCCCTTCTTGCTCGTCCACTCCGATGCGGCAGCTTCACACGCCGAAAAGTCGAGGACGGCGCGGGATCCGTGCGCCGTCCGCTTCAGCATTGGATCTGCCCGCAGGATGGGCACGTCGCTGCCTGTGTCGCAGGGGAGAGAGGAGGTCTCTTGTAGCTGTGGCAGCAAAAGCACCGGCACGCCGGAGTGGATCTGCGTGGGGAATCCGAGGAGGGTCGTTTGGATTGTGCGCTTGAGGGGAGAGCTGACGAGGAGGGATACTGGGGGGGAGGGGGGGAAGCGGTCCGGCAGGGTGAGGCATTGTGTCTCCCCTAGCGGAGTCAGGTATGGGTCCCGGATGTGGTAGCGCTCGTTTACGTTGTGTTCTGCTTGGCCGTGCTGAGGAGGGTTAGCTACAGGGAGGAGTGAATGGGGGAGGCGGGACGAACGCGGATCAGGGTGACGATCTTGGGGGCCATTATGGATGGCGGTTGTGCTGGTGGTGCTGCTGCTGGTGGTTGTGATACGGTGGTGGAATGGGAAGGAGTGGATTGAAGTCGAGATAGAGGGGTGCCTGGATGGATGAATAGCCGTTGAGTCGAGTCAAGTCAAGTCGAGCAAACCGAGCCGAGCCGAGTTGCGGACCGTTTTGACGTCACTCCAAACGTGCGTACGATTACTCAACTCTATATGCGTACCGCCGGTGACTTGGTGAGAAGGTTTTCAATGGCAGCCAGCGCGGAGCTCTATGTAGAGTGGGATGGCGATGCCTTGCTTGCTGGAGGTTACACCGCCGTGTAACTAGAGTAATCTCACTAGAGTGGGTACCTCAAGATCCCTACCTCTGTCTCCGCCGTGCAGTGCAGCTTCGCCTGGCCTGGTGAGTCTAGTAGAGCACTATACACCACACTACATCATCACCATCTCCATACTATCGCGCCCCTCCCCCACCACGACGACGAAGACGACGGCACTCTTCCACCCCGCCTCCGCCCCACCCCCACCGACGATACCCTACAGATGGAGAGCACCCTCTTCCCATCCACGCCCGCGCTCCCGGCCCGCGCCCCGGAAATCATCCGCGCTCACACGATACAGCTACAGAGTGCGTCGCTGAGCTCGCGCGAGGCCGAGCGGCAGCGGCGGTTCCAGGGGCTTGTGCGGCGGTGAGTTTCTCCGCCCCCTCGTGCCAGCCATGGAGCTCGCTCGCTCGCTCGATCCTGAAGTGCTGATTCCGGTCCCTGTCTATGTAGCTACATGTCGCAGCTGCTATACGGATGCCAGCGGGCGCACTGCGACACGCCGACGTGCTACAGTGCGCGGAAGCGTTTACCCCGGAACTCGAATGCGTCGCGCCGGCTGTCGCTGCTGTCGGCGCGCATCATTGCGTGCAATCTCGCGGCCGGCGATGAGCCGCTCCGCGCGCTGTGTCCTGGCAAGCCCGTTGTGCCCACGCTCGCTACGGGGGGAAAGCGCACAGAGAAGGAGGTGGGTGTGGTCACCGATAAGGGCGCGAAGGATCCTAGGTCGTTTACGCAGATGCTGTTTAATACTGTCGCCTTGAAGATGGTCGAGTGGATTAGTCTGCCGCCACCGCTGCCGCCGAGGAAGGTGGAGGGGGAGGAGGGGGAGGAAGACGGGGAGGGGGAGGAAGACGGGGAGGGGGGGGGGCAGGAGGAGGAACACGAACCGCCGAAATTGAAGTTCCCGGTTAATCCTCTGGACGTGATGGATACTGGCCGGATGAACAAGGATTCCGAGGCGGTCAGTCAGATGCATCACCAGGAGATACTACAGCAGCAGACGAGGCGGAGGATGTCGTCCGCAAAGGATGTGACGCCGACGCCACACTCAAATGCGAAGGCGAAACTCACCACCCCCATAAACACTTTTATACCGCCACCAGTATATCACCAACCACGACTGCGGAAGGAAAAGGACGCGGCAGCGGTTGCGAAGCCACATCTCACGCCTAGCAGAAGCGACAAGAACGCGGCGACGTTGATGCTTTGGCCGGCAACGGAACCGGTGGCGGTGGGGCCGCAGAGCTTGAAGATCCTGAATGAGGATATCTGCGAGGCACTGTGGCAGATGTGCAGCGACCCTGCGACATCGGAAGCGGAGATGATCGGAGTGGTGGCGTTTGCGGAACAGAGTGTTTTCTACGTTCTGTCCACACCGGAAGCTGCTCTTGCGTCGTTTGGTGGCGTTGGAGATGACGATTCGGTCGGCTTCGATTCGGGATCGGTCGAGAGGGCGCTCGGCTTGCTGTACAAGTGTGGACTGCAGGAATGCGCTATACGCGCTGTGTGGGAAGGAATGGCAAACGTCTTCTCGAAGCCCGGTAAAGGCTTGTCGGATAAGGCCGCGGCGGGCATGATCGTCGTGGCTCTTCATGTGCTGGCACGGGGGCTTGTGGACGACGAAGAGGTGTTCAGGATTGTGACGGAGTTGAGGGCGGCCGGGAAAGTGTCGAATGGACATGATGTCGCCCCGGATATAGGCTTCGAGGACGAGCTTGCCGAGCGGCTGATGAGGAGAGTTTTGAGGGCTATAGCATTTAGAGGGACGGAAGGGGATGCCACGGTTTCTCATCTGAAGCAGTACCTGCGGAGGTGCGAACAGCTACATAGGAAACAGAGAGATCTGCAGATTGTGGCTGATTTCGGGAAGGAGCTGGTTGGAATGGCTAATGATGGGTCTATCAGAGGAGGAACGGGACTCGCCAGGTGCATGCTGGAGTGGACGAGGGTGGTGTTCGCTAGGTGTTGGAATGGCGACGAAGTGGTGACGCGGAACGGTCTCGCTGGTGCATGTGTTGAGATGTTCGAGCTGCTCCATGCGGATTACGAGGCCTATGGACTGTTTCCAGAGGTCTTCGAGACGTGGATGATCGGACAGCGGATAAGTCCCACTGTCTGGCCAGTCGCGTGGTGCAATAAAACTATCAAGACAAGAGCACCCGACGATATCCACCTCCTGGACCACGCATACCTCTTTTCGGTCTCGCATCGAGTCACGTATTTCCGTGCCATCAACCTGGACATCATGAAGAAGGCGTATGAGAGTGCGATCGCGAATCTCCGCATGGTCAGCCAGATGAGCGATCTGACGAAACTGGGGTATCCCTACTTTGCGGCAAAGATCGATACCGCTCTCAGCATATACTTCGTCATTGCCGTTCGCCGAACAAACTTGCTAGAGGACGCACTCAACCAATTGATTCATCGCGAACACCGCGAGTTACTACGACCACTCAAGATCCGGTTTGCGGAGGGAGAGGAGGGCGTTGACCAAGGTGGCGTGCAGCAGGAGTTCTTCTCCCTGTTGATCAAAGAAATCATGTCACCAGAGTTCGGGATGTTCGTGACGGACGAGCGCACACGGATGTCGTGGTTCTGGGAGGGCAGTCTCGAGAGTTCCGCAAAGTTCGAGCTCGTGGGTCTCGTCGTCGGCCTCGCAGTCTACAACGGCATCACCCTTCCCGTGAACTTTCCAAAGGCGCTGTACATCAAGCTCCTTGGCGGCACGCCGACTCTCGACGACATCGACGATTGCTGGCCCGAGCTGGCGCGCGGCCTGAGGGATCTCCTCACCTGGGAGGACGGAGACGTCGCTAACGTCTTCATCCGCACGTATGAATACTCCACCGATGTTCTTGGCCAGGTCCACTCTGTCGATATGGAGCATGCGAAAACGAACGGCCCCGAGTTCCTGCCGCGCCCCATCCCGAGGATTAAATCTCCCAAGAAAAAACCCGCCGCCGTGGCGGAAGACAAGAAGCTGGAGCATTGGCTGCCCACACTCGCTGCGCCGGATGAGTGGTTGGGCTCGCTGAGCCAGATCCTGGAGAACATCAATTCCGAGGAACGCGATGAGCGCATGCAACGACAGAGGACTGCGAATGCCGAGGCACGCGAGGAGCTTCTGCAACGGCAGAGGGCTCGGGGCACCGAGGAGCGAGATGGGCGCCTGCAACGACAGAGGACTGCAAATGCCGAGGAACGCGCGGAGCGCCTGCAACAACAGAGGACTGCGAATGCCGCGGCACGCGAGGAGCACCTGCAACGGCAGAGGATTGAGGATGTCGAGGAACGTGAGGGGCGCCTGCAACGACTGAGGACTGGGAATACCAGGTATACTGTTACGTATCGTGATCTTAATGAGCCTAGTGGTGACGAGGAGGAGGGGGATGCAGAGGATGCGAAAGAGGATGAGCCAGTGGTGGGGGCAGTGCGCCCGGATGCACCAGAGGAGCAGGTTGATTATAGGCCGGTGGCGCCCCAGAGGACTATTGAGTGGATACCCGCGGAGGAGACAAGTATTCAGAGTCCACCTGCGCCTGCACCTGCACCGGCTGGGGAGGAGGATCCGCCTGTTCATTTGGCTGGTGCGCCTGTTGTGGAGGAGGATCCACCTGTTGATACGGCTGATACGGCTGGTGTGGATGATATTGGGCCAGGTGATGGTAAGCCTGGCAATGGAGATGAGCAGCCGGAGACGATGCCGGAGCAGTCTGATACCCAGTTGGTGGAAGAGGTGGAAGAGACGAGTACAGAGACCCGAACGGACGAGAAGCCACAGCAAGTCCCCGATTCTCAGCCAGATCTAGCCAACGCCCCACCGCCACAGCCAGAAGACGAAGAAGCTCTCCTACCCTCACCCCCAACTACACCCCACGAAGCCCCTCTAGTAACCAACGCCAACCGCGAGGAATACGTCCGCGACTACATCTCCTGGCTGACATCACGCTCGATCCACCCCGCCTATACCTGTTTCGCGCGGGGCTTCCACGCGCTCCTCCCTCAACGCAGCCTGCACCTATTCTGTCCCTCGACGCTGCAAACACTGATTGAGGGCTCGTCCTCCACCACGCCGCTGTCGATCACACGTCTCGAAGCAGTGTGCAAATACGAAGACGGGTACCACGCGGGACACCGAGTGATCCGCGACTTCTGGGCGGTAGTGCACAGCTTCAACGAGGAGAAGCGGCGGCAGCTGCTCGAGTTCGTGACCAGCTCGCCGCGCGTGCCGATCGGCGGCGTCGAGAACATCATGTTCTATATCGTCCGCAACGGCGAGGACTCGGAGCGCCTCCCGTCCAGCCTGACGTGTTTTGGCAGGCTCCTGCTGCCGGAGTATGCCAACAGGAAGAAGCTCAAGAGGAAGCTGGAGCTGGCGCTGGAGAATAGTAAGGGCTTTGGGAATCCGTAGCCTGTAGCGTGTGTAGAGTGTGTACTTGTGCATGTACTTATGATGTGTATGTACGATAGGAAATGGAAGGAATGACAATGAGGTGTTCTAAGTATCATACCGTACCTGTTCAGTTTTTATCTATACCCCAAGAGAGAGAAAATGTGCCCAGCACAGCAACGTAGACTCGTAGAGCAAGCAAAATGAAATCCACATCGATCAGCTTTATATATACCCTCGCCCCCGTCCTCTTCTTCTTCTTCCTCTTCTTCTCCCCCCTCTCCGCAAATGACAAACTCCTGGTCAAACAAAAGGAAACAAAACAACAAAACAACAACGCCAGTCAGTACTAGATAAGTAGAAGGAAGAAAAGAAAAAAGAAAAACCCCAAACAACTCGAGGCAGTAGATGTATCTAGCACAGTAGCAAACCCCCCGCTCCCCCTCCCCTCCCCCGCCCCCCTCCCCCCCGGCACACCCCCCAATCGTTAATTTCTATAGATATCAACAAGAAGTAAAAACAGTTAAAAAAAGAAAAGCTAAGCTTGCGTGCTTGCACATGACAAAATCGCAAATGAAATGAAATTCAGTCAAACTCGGGCCAGCGCTCGTAGGCCTTGACCTCGGGGCCCTCCCAGCGCTCGCCGTAGGGATTGGTGCGCTCGCCGCGGAAGAAGCCGTCCTGCGCGCGCTCGATCACGTCGAACCACGAGTTTGGTTGCGGGTGTTTGAGCCACTGCGAGTTGAATCGTTAGTATAAGCGGATGCGGGAAAGAGGAGGGGAAGGAGGAAGGGGGGTGCGGACCTGGTTGTGGATGTGGTACGTCCAAGCGCCGCGAAAGAAGTTTTCGAGCGTGCGGTTGTTGGGCGGGTACTTATCCTCGACGGCGCGGTAGTCGCGGCCGCCGTAGGAGCCATCTGCGCCCTTCGTGGGAGCCGGACTTGTCTCAGCCTCGCGCCTCCTAAGCTCGGTGGGCGTTCCATCGGCACCGCCGAGTGTGTTCTTGAGCGGGAGGGGAGCGCCGTCGTAACTCTGCCACTCGTCCTTGATCGCGTCGCGCGTGCCAACGAATGCGACGCCGTAGTCCTTGAAGCACGGGACGGCGCAGCGGCCCTCGCGGCCCCAGTTGAATTCGCCCCAGATCGGATCGAACAGCCCGGTTTCGAACATGGCGAGCTCGTTGACCCGCCCGTCTTTCCATGCCATGCGTCCGACGATCCGGGGGTGGAAGTTGAGCCCCATGCGCACGCCGCCGCGCACGAGGTACGAGGATAGCGAGGAGTTGGCGTTCAGCGAGAGGACCGCGGTGTTGAAATCGCCGGCGTGTGAGTGCACGGCCCAGCGCTCGGCGAAGTTGTGGTCGGGCGTTAGCAGCAGGGGTCGCATGTCGCGGAGGAGGAGGATGTCCATGTCCAGGTACACGCCGCCGTAGAGGTGGAGGACGACGAAGCGGACAGCGTCGGAGACGGCCACCGGGAGGAAGGTCATTTGTCGCTCTGTGAGCACGATCCATTCGCTGCCGTCTTTCTGGATCATCAGCCCGTCGCCGATGTAGGTCTCGCCCTTTGCGTTTGCGTTCTTGGTGGCGTCCTCGATGCTGCCGGAGCGGCTTAGGTATTTAGCGTAGTGAGGGTCCTGCTCGATGGTACCCTTGGGGAGGGGGATTCTCGAGGGGAATTTCCACGCCATCAACATGATGTCGCCACGCTCGACCAACGGAAGGAACCGTGCGAACCCGGGATCCTTCATCATGTCGTCCGTCGCCTTCGGATTACTGTCGGAGTCCAACCAAATGTACAGCCGACTGCACGGGAGATTCTGCGTGTACAGATAGCTCTTGACGAACAGCTCCACGCGCCACTGCGACGGGCCCGTCCAGTACGTATGGTACAGCTGTACCGGGCCCGGACACTCTCCCGAGCTCTTCCTGTTCGGCTTCGCTGCGCCCCCGATTGTCGGGTACCCCGTAACGCTCTGCGACGGCCTCCCCTCCGGAATAAAGAAGTAATCGCTCTCCCCCTCGGCCAAAAATTTTAGGCAGTCGTGGACGTTGCGCATCCTCTCGAGCCCGATCGCCGACCCACGGCACGCTTCTATCAGCCTTGTGTAGTTCGCGTACGTGTCCACGTCCGGCCGGGCGCCCAGGTAAGCATCGTTAATATCCTTCACCAGGGACTCCGGTCGTAGTCGCCAATTCACGCCGCCGCTCAGAGAGCCCTCCGGGATGACGGCTGGCTTCTGTACCACCTGCGAGAACGGCGAGATCGAACCGGTGCGGTAGACGTGTACGAAGCCGACGACGGAGGTGTATGCCAGCGTGGCTATCAGGAGATTACGCAGTAGGAGGCCACATCGTTGCAGTTTCGAGGTCGATGGCCCGCGGTCGACCATGATGTCGGGGAGTTTGTTGTTTGTTTTTGGCGGCGGACGTTAGGACACGCGACAGTGATGGTGTTGTCCTAGGCGTCGGCGTTGGAGTGCTAACGGCACTTTCGACTTCAGGAGCACAATGGGCTCCGACAGCTGCCACTGGCTCGACCAAGTATCGTATCGAGATGCGGGGAATCAATTGCCTCCTTGGAAACGAGCGAGCGCCGAGACGGCACGGCACGGCAGGGGGAGGGTCGGTTCGGTTCGGTCGGTATCGGTGGGGTGGATGGGCTCGATCGATAGCGGATCTTGGGGGGGTGGGGGGTCTTGGGTTCTATTGTAGACACGTCTGGCTCCAAGGAGTGTGAGTTGTGTTGCGGTTGCCGTTCCTTCGTGCTGGTCGTCCCGATGCTCCTCCGGGGCTGTGTTGCATCTCTCGTTCTTCAAAAAGGGGAAGCAGGCATGCGCGGCGTATTCGTACGTACCATATCTACCCTAAAGAATACCGGCATATCCTATGCTATTAGTAGATAGATTAGCCAGCCGTATTCGACAACTGCTGGAGAGTTCTTGGCGTTGCGAGGGTGGCTGGAGGTACCGGTATCCAGGCACAGCCTATCTAGAGTAGAGTGAGTACTATGTAGATGCTTACTCCAATGTAGGTCTACCGGTAGTAGTACTCGTACTCGCTCAGAGAGATTTAGCCAGCAAATGGTGAGTAAGGACTTAGGTAACGACTGAAGAGCTCCGTCCAGAGCGGGCGGACGGAGGGCGAGTGATGCCGGTGCTGCACGGTGCTAGAGTACTGAGTACAGCGGAAACGGCGAGGAAATTTCGCCGACCTGGCTAGGCCCTTTACGGTGGCCCAAACGTTCGGAGAGCTCTTATTTATTTTGTCGACTGGTTGTTGTTTTCTCATTGTCCGCTGATCAGTCTGTCTCGTCGCTGTTTTCGGCGTTGTCGTTATTTACTTTTTCGTTGATTCTCATCTCGGGATTCAACTTTCGAGGTTATTGAGACTGGCCGCCTGAAGAACACAGGAGGCTCTTTCTTTACTTGTCGCTTTCTCTCTAGTGAAATAAAATCGGTCACCTATCTTCTTACCAAAGTTGCCAGAGGGTCATCACGGCCATAGTGCTTCACTACTAGTAAGTTGATACTATACTGACCGACACCATACTGACCGACACCGAACACGATGCTGTAAATTCGCGTTTTTGGGTTTTTGTTTGATCAGTGAGTGCTTGTGACGTACCTACTCCAGTCTCCAGCTATGTGTTATCTAGACGATGGCTAACCAGTTATTAGGTGCCTACTCTAGAGTGGACGACGAGGGCGCCGCAGCAGTCATCAGCCCCACCGACCATGCCGAAACCCCCACCCAGGAACCCTCATCGTCAAAGCACAACGAAGAACGATCCAAACCAAGAAATCTCCATAGAAACGAAGCATGAGGTGCAGTTGCCGGCACCGGAGTTCCGTTGTTGTTACCGGAGGAATCCAGCAGGCCAGACGCCGAAGCCCAGCACCTGGTCAACTGTACTATACACGCGAACTCAGATTCCCCTGGTTTATCGTTTGACCGTTTGTGGGTACGGCCTGCGGCACCGAAATGCCCCGATGCCGGAGCGGTAAGGCTTGTCCTGCCTCGCCAGCTGCCAGACGGGTGATCACCCCATGCCAATCATTCTCCTCACATAGGGACCTATCAGTTATTCAGACATGCCGTCCCATCCATCATGTCGGAACTTCGGTATATAACCTGGCGCTTTCTGTCGTGTTCTTCAGGAAAATGCATATGTGCTTAACGGCAGTGAATTCAACTGGACTTCGATAAATGGCCAGATACACTCCCATCCTCGCCACCTCCGGTGTGATTACCATACTCCTCACGCGTCTCCTGCCGCACCTCCTCTTCGTCGGACCAGTAACGACTTTTATATGCCTTGTCTCAACCCTCTCCCTCGCGCGAGCATTCTACTACATCATCATATGGCCGCGCTTCGTCTCGCCGCTCCGGCATCTCCCCGGCCCTGAGAGGGAAAGCTACTTCATGGGCCATGGCAACTCAATCATAAACATGCCCATCGGCGAACCGCACAAAGCCTTCCTCAAGATCCCCAATGACGGGCTCATCCGCTACCATACATTATGGAACCGTGAGCACATCATGCCGACGAATGCGCGGGTGCTCCAGCAGGCTCTGACGACCGACATCGACATCTGGGTCAAGCCACCGCAGATGCGGCTGGGTCTCGGACGGATCCTTGGCAGTCGCAGTGTGCTGTTCGCAGAGGGCGAGGAGCACAAGGCGCACCGCCGCATCATGAACCCCGCCTTCTCGCGCAAGCAGATCAAGAATCTCGTCCCAGTGTTCTGGGAGAAGGCGGTGTATCTGGGCGACAAGGTCGCCTCGGAGGCTCCGAAGCAGGAGAATGCTGGCTGGCTGGATATGGCGCTGTGGGCTTCGCTCGGCACGCTGGACATCATCGGTGCCGCCGGCCTGGGCTACGACTTCCGTGCGATGGAAACAGGCGGCAACGGCAGCGAGATCGCGAGAGCCTACAACGTGATATTCACCCAGCGCCGGGGCAGAAAAGTCATGCAGCTCCTCATGACCATCTTTCCAAACTGGCTGTTGAAAAACATCCCCATCAAGCGAAACATCGAGATGCGCGCCGCCCATGCCTCGATCGTTTCCGCCTGCCACGAACTGATCCGCACCAAGCGCCAGGAACTCAAGTCCCAAACCGCCGGCGACGAAAAGGACATTCTCTCGGTGATGATCAACTCGTCGTACTGGGACGCCCCCTCCACGGGCGGCGACGACGGCATCCAAGAGCAGCTGATGACGTTCCTTGCCGCGGGCCACGAAACCACGTCTACACTGGTGCAATGGGCGCTCCACCTTCTCACCCTGCACCCGCAATACCAAACCCTCCTGCGCACCGAACTCCGTAACAAATTCCCCACCTGCCCCTCGCCCGCGCACATGACCTACGAAATCCTCGACTCCCTCCCACTCCTCCGGAACTTCACGCAGGAAGTAATCCGCTTCTACCCGCCGGTGGCGCTGACGATGCGCGAAGCCGCGCGGGCGACCACGCTCGACGGCCACCCCATCCCCGCAGGCACCACGCTCGTCATCGTCCCCTGGGCCCTCCAGAAGGACCCTAAAGTCTGGGGCCCGGATGCGGACGAGTTCCGCCCTGAGAGATGGGAGGGCCGCACGCTGGATAGTAACTATGACATCCTTACGTTCCTGGCGGGGCCACGCATCTGCATTGGAAAGGACTTTGCGAGAATGGAGTTTATGGCTATCATGGCGGTCCTCATGGCGAGGTTTACGTTTGAGAGCACTGGGAGGGAGATCGAGATCCAGGGTGGCATCACGAGTAGGCCAAAGGGTGGGCTGAAACTTAAGGTTACGGAGGTAGGGGGGTGGTAGAGGGAAGAGGGGGAGGTGGGGGAGGAAACGCTGAGATAGAATTTATGATATTATGTACTAGATTATTCCCGAGTGTATGTACTTGGGAGATGGCTATGAGATTATGAGATACCTAGCCAGCGGATCCTTCCCACTGCTGCTCTTAACGACCAAGAGTGAAACTACGAGTAGATGGGTTGAAGACCTACTTTCGACCGGCCTCGTATGTACTAGTACTCTCCATACCAGCTCACGCTCCGCAGACCGCGGAAGCCTCGGCGGGGCAATAGCGTCGACTAATGCCACAATATTATTCGGTACCGTATGCACCCAGCACGGTCTCCCATCCGTCAACAACCTGGATCGAATTGTCAGAAAGTCCGAATCTTCGCAAGGAATACCTAGTAATAAACCATCCGACTACTTAGGATTGGGCTTGGGCCTGGATATCGTTTTTCAGCTCCAGAAGTTCATATGTAACACCGTGGTTGTGAAAGACGGCGATGGCTCGGTGGGGGGAATACAAAAAACGCCGGTGGAGCAATAAGCCTTAAGGAAGCATGCATATCTTTGCATCTTTCCTCCATTGAGCTCGCAGAATAAACCCCTAGATATCTGGTGCGGCTGTTGACTTGACTTGGTGCTTCGAAAACCTGAGCGTTGTGATCGCCCATGCGACCAGTTCCCGATTACGCGGGCGATGTAGATGCTCAAACAGTTCCCACAGTTCCACAGTTCAACATCTTGAGTTTTCGGAACTGTATGAAAAGGTTTATTCTACATACCTACCTTGAAGATTATTAGAGCCGGAAGAAGTCACTTGATGCGGGAACGAGCAGGATAAATCATGTGGTGGTCACTGGTCGCCTAGGCCTATGCACTACCACTATGCGAAATGCGGTATGCCGGAATGATGACTGCAATTGGGTTTTGAAACCCTTCTCTAAGGTGTACTGTGCTTGGAGTCCTTGGACTCTTCCAGTACAAGGAGCTGATGCGAATCTTCAAGATGTACCCTATTGGGATGGTCGCCTCTGTACTGCATTATGCCGCCGGGAACTTGGAAGGGGGATGTAAGATGCCGGAATGTCACTCGTGAAGGTTGCCCAGGTCGAATCAGCTCGAATTTCAAGCACGAGTTGGAAATTCTTCGCTGCATTGGTCTGCCATTTGTGGTCGCGACTTTGTGCCATTTGAAGGCATTGCTGCGACACAAAGCACGAATTGGCGTTCAAGATACTCATCCATACCACTGTACTTCTACTTCTACTTCTACAGCTTGAAGCTTCAAATACAAAAGTCCAGACATCCGAGTAACGTTCAGACAATGGCCTCGAACCCTTCTATCCTGCCCCGCTTTCCCGCAGACACCGGTACTGCGAAGAACCATACTGACCAGACGCAGGGCAATCGGTTTAACTTGGGTGTCTGCATCATCACACTCCAATGCCTACTTAGTCGATTTCTTTCGAATTTCTAGCTGAGACTTCGACACTTGGAGATACATGCCATGAGGATAGTTAACGGTGGAAAGTACACTGCGTCGGGAAGCTTGCAGCCCTAACTACAGTCTACAGCGAGACAGATGGAGTTGAGGATATGTTCGGTTGTGGCATAGACAGAGAGGGTGGTGACTGGTCTATTCTTAACCAAGAATGGCAAGCACCTGGGTAATTCCGCTGATAGAATGTTGCAATGGTCAAAATTGTATGTACAAGTTTGCCACATCGCAGCAAATTTTGGAGAGAAGCCATTTGAATACGTTCCCCAGACGCTGTAAGCGGAGATGAGACAACTATTTACGGCGGCTATGTAGTACATCAAAGCTATGGGTGGCTGTGCTGGATGTACTTTCAACTTTTGCGTACGTACTGGTTAGTAGTACGTACCCGGGGTGGCGATCGTCATACCTGTGTACGCGTAGACATTCTCGGTTGGGCAGGTATAACGACCGACCATGGTCCATGGCACAGACTCCTGCACAATCCATCACTCCACCTCTCCCCCTCTCAGCCCCCTCACCCCCTCCGACGATTTTTAGCCCCACCAACCAAGACGACAGCGACGCAAAAACCTGGATTTTGCTCACACCCGACCACTACCTACCATACCTATATGTACTGCTGCCAATCGAAGATGAGCACTATAGACTGTGTATGGAGCACTCTACTCCAAATAGCGCACATACTATGATATAGGTATATCTATAGGCATATATACAGCAACTGGCAACGTTTTGCGCGATCTCCCATCGCTCACTCACTATCGATGATCGTGAGCGGCGCTGCGCTGTTGGTGCTGCCCTATCTCTACCTATCCGGTGGTGGTGGTGGTGGCGGGGCAGAAAAAAAGGAAGCAGGTGCCAGCGAATCGAAGCCATACCGTATGTACTGGTATCGGTGATCAACTGTAATCCAATCCGTTCCATTCCAATCCAATCCAATCCAATCCGGCCTGCACTACTACTGGTAGTATATCGACAGCCCCACGATGATACGTACTTGGTACGTACTGCGCCCCATGTGGCGCTCGGGTTAGGGTTAACTAGCCACTAGTAAGCGCTCTGGCTTGAGTCCGTCTCGACAGCCCCACCAGCGGGCCTTCACATGTCTGTGAATGTCCCGCCAATCCGCCAACGTCAAGGTCCCTCCCGGAACAGATAGCATGTCCGCAGTCATGAAACGACACCTGGTAGCATAGGTACATAGTCACGGTTGTATCGAGGGTTGTCAAGGGCCTCGCTGGCATGGTTGGAACGACGCTCCTTATGCGTGCGGGGGCTTGCGTTTGTTCCCTGCGCACATGTTGTATGTAGCATGGAGGGATTCGAGCGCGGGGGCCGGGGCGACGGCATTGCGGAAGTTCCAACAGCCCGCGAATGAGGTTGAGGAAACATCATCACGACCGAGCGAGCACGCGCGGAAAGCGACACGAGACATCGCAGCAGGTGGTATGTGTAGATCGCCGGCACGGGCGAACCAGAAACGGTCGTCTGTTTTTGTCTGCTCACCGTCACGTCACGTCAATCGCCCTTCCCCCAGACCCGGACCCGGATTCATCGTCGTACATATCGCCTAAGCACGCAGTCACCTCCCCCCTCACTCGCCGGATCCCGTCTCGCCCAACCAGCACGCTCGGCTGGACACCCCCCTCATGCGAACATGTACGCCAATCACACTCTGCCAGCGAACCCGACAACCCCCGACCACCACCCCGACCACCAACCCCCGAACCCCCTCCCCGCCCCACGCGGCAGCAGAGCTCACTTTGTTGTCACCCTAGAATCGCCTCCCCTTCCCTCTGCAGAATCGCCTCCCCTTCCCTCTGCAGAACCAACTGCAACGCCGCCGCCTGCGCTGCATCACGGCCGCCGCCGTTCTTACCACAGCACTCTAGAGTACTCGACAGCACTTAGCACGCTGAGTTGCATACGCGAAGATGAAGAGGGGCGCCATCCATCCATCCACTCATCATGCCAGCCAGCAGCCAGCCCATCATGCCTGCCCCAACGGAGCACCGGCGGATGGATAGCCCATCCATGGGGGGCGGGGGGGTGAGGTTTAAGGGAGCGGCCTCCCGCAGTGCTTCTTCTTCTTCCTCTTCTTCTTCTTCTTCTTCTTCTTCTTCCCTTCTCCACTACGCACGAATACAAAACCTCAACTTGAAACTTGTCATCAGTCGCCTTTGAAAACGAACATATACATACGCCCGTGCAACAACTGCCAGATCGGATCTTCGTTTCGTTTATCTGACGCATTTCCCACCCACCCACCCAGCTGTCCCGGCAACGCAATCACACACCACGTCCCGGTCGATCATATAAACAACACCACTCAAAAAGAAATCGCAAAAGCACAGCGCAACCCAACAAAACTATCCCTGTCGTACGCTCCGCCGGCGCGCTTTCGACTTTTGATACTCAACTCGGAAGCCATCGGAGGATAGAGATCGAGCTGCGAACATGGTCGGAAAGATGTCGCTCAATCCCGCGCAAGCACTGGCGACAGTGACGGTGATGAACCAGCACGGCGAGGTGATCCACAATGGCGTAAGTCTCCGGTGTGCAATTGGCATCTGTGTGACAGGCCTGATTCTGACATTTCAATGCAGTCCAAATCCTTCTTCTCGGCGTTCAAGGAAGCGAAGGACGCCTACAAGCAACGCAAAGCCGAGATCGCTGTTGAGCGGCGGTCACAGGGCCGAGCGCGCGAGACGGTGATGCGCCGGAATACGACCCGCACGGCTGGATCGATTCAGGAGGCGCCAGCAACCCCGATGGTCGAGGACAACAGTGCACACCATAGCAAGAAGAAGCATCGCAAACCCACCCGCCGCAACTCGTCTTCGCTCAGCAACCGGTCGGGAGAAGAGGAGATCACTGAGGACGCGCTGGTCGTCCGGAGTGCTGGTGCGGGAGATGCATTCGCCCGGCAGGACAGCATCCAGCAGCAGCAGCAGCAGCAGCAGCAGCGGCAGCTGCAGCAACAATACGAGGAGGAGCAGGAGCACCAGCTGTATCAGCAATCCCACGGTGGGGCACTATCCGCCCACGACCACGCGAGGGATATGGCGCCGGCGCTATTCAACGATCCGTCCGTAGTGGCGGTGCAGACCCTCCTCGCCCGAGTCCAATCCATCATCGACGAGATCAACTGCATCACCATCGGCCTGACCACGCTGCTCACCGAGCTGCAAAAGACGCCCGAGACCTTCGCCGCCGTCGGGCTCTCCCTCGCCGAGATCGCCAACATGCTGACGCACATCGCGCCGGGCGCGATGGTCGTTCTCAAAGCCGGCTTCCCCACCGTATTCGCGCTTCTGAGCAGCCCACACTTTGCCGTTATCGCGGGCGTCGCCGGCGCCGCAACCGTCATCGTCCTGGGCGGCTACAAGATCGTCAAGAGCATCATGGCGGGCGCCGACGTGAACATGGCGATGGCGTACGGCGAGCTGCCCGACGAGGCGATTCTCGAGGAGGCCGTGCTCGGCGGCGAGATCCTCGGCGAGGTCGTCGACGACGATAGACGCATCGAGGCGGCCCCGGCTCGCGTCTACTACGAGCGCGTCGAGGAACTCCCCCCCGTCGCGGTCCCCAGGTCGCCGGAGCAGGAGCAGAAGCAGGAGCAGAAACAGATCATGCCTGCGGAAGATCCGGTTACGGCGAACCTTAAGGAGGAGTCGAGATGGCTCAAGAGGAGTAATAGCACGTTTAAGAAGTCGGAGGAGAAGAAGGAGCGCGTGAAGGTGGAGCGGCGACATACCAGTGCCGTCACCTCGTCCTCGTCGAAGAAGGAGAAGGAGGAGAAGAAGGAGAAGGAGAAGGACAAGCGCCACAACAAGGACGAGAAGGAAGAGCGCCGCAGCAAGGATAAGGAGCGGGAGCGCGGGAAGTTGGAGCGCCGCGCTACTTCCACACGACAGAGCAGCTCGTCGTCGTCCGGCGTCAGCAGTAACCGCTCCGAGAGCAGCGAGCGGCCGAGCCTTAGGTCGGCAAAAACTTCGCCGGCTGTGGTCACGGAGAAGGACGGGAAAGATGGGAAGGAGAAGAAGGAGAAGAAGAAGAATCCGCTCATGAAGCTGTTTGATGGGAAGTCGTCGAAATAGCGTGGAGGTTTACTGGGCTTTGCTTTACTTTGGGAGCGCTTTTCTACGTATATCATTTTTCTTTCCGGGGTTTTTTGTTCATCTTTTTCGTCATCTCGACATTTCATCGTCAATTAGTACATTTAAATTCACACATTTACATATATATATCACAGGGACAGGAGTAAATAGAGTTGTTTTCTTGGTTATCATGTTTCGTTCTCCTATCTGTTTTGTTTTGTCTTTGTCTTTGTCTTGCATTCCTTGAGTAAGAAAGGGAGTAGGAGCAACGAAATACAAGATGGTTGAAGCCCGATTTCCGATTTCGATCGTGACTGGAACGAATGAACGAGCGAACGAGCGGACGAGAATGAAAGAACCCCGCAGTGACAGTGACGTTGACGTTGAATGGACTGGATACGTGGACCGAGCCGGAGGTGCAGATCACCAAGCGAGCGAGCGCAGAGGGGGTGGGGACGAGTGACCAGCCAGCACTGCAATCATTGGCAGGGTGGGCGGACCTATGATGCGCACGGGATAACGGGATAACGACACGCCTGAAGGGTGGGATCCGTGGGGTGGGATCTGTGGATGCGTGGATCCACTCACTCGAGGGTTGAGAGGAGAGCCAGTGTCGTCGCGCAGCGGTGTGGGGTAGGTAGCTTGTAGGTCAGTAGCCTGTAGATATCCGTTGACGAGTCGGCGGCGGCGGGCCAATAGATGCCATATCTACATGCTACACATGCCGTGCATAAATAGATACCACACCGAGTAGGCGGCCCGCAAGCCGCAGAAAGTCGGGCTGATTGACTGGTTGGCTGGTTGGCTACTAGCTAATTTACAGTGTTGGTGCTGCGGATTGGCAGCGGATTGGCATGACTATCATGGAGACCGTGGAGTGGAGACCGTGAAGACCGTGGGGCGTGCGAGTGAGAAATGGCGTATGATGCTCTACTCTGCTTGGACTGAGTTGCATATCTTCACGACGATTGTTCCCAGATTGAAGTAACCATTAATCCCCTCCCATCATATGTACCCAACTTACTCCACAGCTCACAGCTCACAGCTCACAGCTCACCTCACAGCTCACCTCACTCCACACCTCACCCCTCACCCCTCACCCCTCACCCCTCACCCCTCACCCCTCACCCCTCCCTCCTCCCTCTTCCCTCCTCCCTCCCCCTCGCCCGCCCACCAGCCCCACGGCGTGAGCACCGAGATCATATAAACGCAAAACGCAAAAACGCAAAAACGCAAGAAGCAAAGAAGAAAAGCCGTTCAATTCAACAAACAATTGACGAAACCGAAACTACCCGTGACCCAACGCAAGCAAGCAACTAATGATCCAATAACAACAAGCCCAGCAATACAATGGAAAGAAGAGCTACCTAAGAAAAGAAAAAGGAAAAAAAGGGAAAGGAATAAGGAAAGAATAGAATAGAAAAGAATAGAATAGACGAAAGAATAGAATATCGTATCTACCGCCTTGGTGAACGTACAACCTCCTAGCCCAGGAATATCTATGCGTATCATCAGCAGCTGCAACCATTTGATCTCAGTTTCTCAGGAGCAACCCACCGCCAACAACACAATCGTCAACACGATCGCCAGAATCAGGAGAAGACAGCAGGCCCTATTCCTCGCGCTCTTCTGATACCTCGACGCGCTGCGCAGCTCCAAGTCAGCCGCCTTATGATCCTGCGAGACACTATCGACATTCGCGCCAATGACGTCCAGCTGGTCGCCCTGATCCCTGATCATCGTGCCCAGGTCGCGAAATATATCGTTGATCTCCGTGACGCCGCGCTCCAGCGATCGGATCTCCTCCTCGCGCTGCAGAATAAGACTCTCATGAAACTCGACCTCATTCTGGTCCGCGAGGGCAGCAGCCTGCTGTTGCTGCAGGAGCAGCCCCCCCTCGCCACCACCGGGCGCCCCCTCCTCATCCGTATACCTCTCCGTCTCGCCATCATGCTCATGCACGCGCCTCTTCGCAGCGGCCACAAACTGGCGCATCTTCTCGGCACTCAGCCTCTGCGCGCTCTGGAAGTCCGCGAGGGCACTGGTAAGCTGGTTCTGCAGCTTATCCTGCGTGTACTTCATGGCGGGCGAGGCGTCGGGCCAGGCCTTGGCGCGCTTGACGCCGTCGCTGATGTCGCGGAAGCCCGTGCGCGTCTCGTCGAGGAGGCGGGTGACGCGCTCACGGACTACGTCCGAGTCCTTCTTCGTGCCGACCAAGGAGAGTTGTCGGTTGAGTTGGGTTATGTTGCTGGTGAGCGTGAAGAGTCGTGACGAGAGCGACGTCGTGAGCGCTGTAAACTCCGGGCTGTCGCTGTACCCCGTACTACGTGACGTCGTGGGCTGCGACTCGAGCGAGGGGAGCCGGTCGAACGACATCGTGATCGTGCTGGTGCTAGTGGTGATGGAGGTGGAGTGTTTGCTGGTTGTGGTTGGCGATGGCGAGGGTCGGAGCTGTGGGTGTGTATGTAGAGGTTGTGCGGCGTCGTCATGTGGAGGCGAGCTTATGCTTGCTTGCTTGGGCCTGCGTGCTTGGCGCCTCGGTTGAACTTGATTTCAGCTTGACCACAATTCACAGGTGAGAATTTTGCATGCGATATTTCCAAGATCGTCAGGAACAATAGTGTAGGTATATCAGTGTCTCGAACTAGTTCTTCTACGCTTCATTCACCGAGCTTCGATGCACTTCTATTACGGCCAACTGTAACTCGGGGCGGACTGTACTAGTAGTTTACTGCTGGAAGCAAAGAAAACACTGACTGCGAAATACAAAAGCACCCCAAACGCGGAAACCGAAATCGACCTAGTTGTTACAGTTCCCTCACGAAAGATCCACCTCGCCATCGTCCGCCACTTCGCCTTGCGGAGGAGGTCCACCCGAGGACCACTGGGCGGCCGCAGCAGGGGGAGGACGGGCTGCTTGAATGCAGGCTACGAAACACCGTCAGCATTAGTTTGGCACACTGGAGAAAAGGCGGACTTACAGTTCTTGATGTGCAGGAACAGCTGTACCTTCCACTTGTCCAGCTCGTTGACCTGGCTGAATTGGAAGAGATGTTCCGAGTACGCAGCCTCATCGCCAGCCTCAATTGCCGTGATCAGGTTCTGAATCCGTCAGCCTTCGCTCGTCACTTCTCAAGCAGCGAAAGGATACCCACCTGCAGCACCATAGACTCCCGCTGATTGGGCCAGTTGAGATCGATCTCGGCATAGCTCTGCAATGCTCGCTTGGCCGTTCCGATTTCCTATGTGCCGCATCAGCATCGTCGTCATCTCCATCTGGATCACCACTAGCTTACCCCGGTGCAAAGGTGACATATGGCCGCCTTGAAGAAGTACTCCTTCAAGCTCCACTTCATGAGGTTGTTACTGGCACTGCTCTTGGCCACCTCCTCATACTTATCGATAGCCCTCCTGTAGTCGCCCGCCAGCGCCGCATTATCCGCCACCTTCAAAAACATCTTATTCGCCATCTGCGTCGACCCCTCGACCTTGTACCAGGTACCCGCCTGCTCATATCCCTCGACGGCGCCCTTCAAATCCCCAGCCTTCTCCAGCACCTCTGCCATCTTCTCCTCATAGCTAGCGGCGCGTCTAAAGTTCCCCTTTGAAGTATAATGTGTGATAGCGCCCTTGAGGAGCCTGGCCGCATTCTCCGCATCCTCAGGGAGCATGTCGGGCTTTGCCGTGTAGCACTGCGACGCCTGTACCAGCGAGTTCGCCATGTCGTCGGGCTCGCCGATCTCGTTCTGCAGCTGCGCGGCCCGCTCGAGGATCCGCGCCGCTTGGTCGTAGTTTTGGCGCGCTTTGTACCCGTTCGCGGCTCGTACGTACTCGCCCGATGCGTCCTCGAGCTTCTCTTTGCGCCCCCCGAAGAAGCTGAAGCCGCCGCGCGCGGACTTCTCGAGCGTTTCGGCCTGCTGGCTGTTAGTGGTGGGGTGGTTAGTCGGTGGTGGGTACAGGTACCTTCTTGAGGATCGCGGAGGGGTCTTCCATGGTTGTAGATGTCGATGCAGGTGAGGTACGGTAGGATAGGAGAGTGGATGTGGATTTATTGGAGTGGTAGAGAGGGCGGTCGTGTTGTGATGATTGTGGCAGGTGCCCGTAACAGCTTGTGATGACCTGGAGCTCCCTTGCCGGCGGGGTGAACGCACTAAGAAGCAAGCAGAGTAAGCTGGTCTTGGCGCATGACCGGAAATGGACTTGGCAACTCTCACCTCGTTATGTCGGTATCTCGCTGGGAACTTCGGCGCATAGCTTCATGATCAAGATACAGGAAGTTTGTTACCCAAGCAAACTGGAGTTTGGTTGGCATGAGTTTCAGCTCGCTGGAATGACCTCTGGCTAACATGACCACTGCACTCTCCAGTACAAGCTTCAACTAAACGTCAAGATGCTGTGGGAGAGAACCCTGGCGGGAGTTTTCTGCACACTGATGGGATGTAGTATCACATTTTCCGCACCCTACATGGGAAGCATGTTATGCCCGGCATTTCCACGAGTGACGCCACATGCTCCGATAAGTGGACGATTGAATTCAAAGACATTGCCATTCCGTAGATGGCTCCTCGCAGCCGTTAATGCACGGACTTCGAAGAAACATCCACAATCTAGCTCTCTTCCATTTTCTCATCATCGTCGTCACCCTCCAAAGCCTTCTTCGCCTCCTTCTCAGCCTCTTCAATGAGCTCCTTCGGGACCTCCTCGTGTTTGCCAAAGCCCTTGACCGCCGAAGCCTCGTCAACCCGGATCCAAGTCATCTCCAGCTCGAAGTCTTTATCCTTCCCAGAGTTGTCGCCGTGTGCGGCGTGGATGATTCTGGCGGCGTGCTTGACACCCTCGTCGACGGTGATGTTTGGGAGGTCGAGCTTCTCGAGTTCAGCCTTGGCCGCCTGACGCCCACGTCCGGTGGCAGCACCGAAGTAGCCCTGTAGTCACGTTAGCTATCATCTCGACCCTACGAGGTACGAAGCAACGTACCCAGCCAACTCCACTAGGCTCGACCATCCACAAGCTCGGTCCACCCTCCTCGTCCACACCACCAATGATCGCCGTCACACCAAAGGGCCTAACACTCGAGTAGAGAGTGTACGCCTGGGTGTACTGTCCCATCCGGTCCGAGAGACTCGACACGGGGATCGGGCCGTGGTACTGTTTCCGCCACTGGAAAGCTTCGTTGCGAGCACGGGAGGTGAAATGACGGGCGTCGGGAATCAGTCCGGAGCATGCCTAGAGCGCAGAGAATCCATCAGCACCAACAATCGCGCGAACGTCGAAGCAGTAGAAGCAGAGGGAAACCAACGATTCCAATGTGCCTATCGACAGTGCTGATCCTCTTGTTGCTTCCGGGCACCAGTAGCTTGCTTCCAATAAGCTTCTCAACAGCGAGAACTACACCATCCTTACAACGCAAGCCGATAGCAGTTCCGCCGTTCTCGACAGCTTTGGTAGCGTATTCTACCTGTCGCACATCAACATTCCATCCCGCAATTCACACCGGAAGCTCGCAGAGTGGCGTAGTATCGTACTTGGAAGTTTCGGCCATCAGGACTGAAGACGGAGTTGGAGAGATCGTAACCTGTGCCGATGGAGGTCTGTTATGGATGTTAGCAACGCGGGGTGCTTCTCTGCGCCCAGTTGGCTGTGGGGCCACGCTTATGATGTGCTGGAGACACGGAATGGAGCAGAGTAGCTTACCATGATGGGTGGAGGGGTATGGAGAAGTCCGGAGGATGGAAATCGACGGGGCGGTGGTGATGGTGGTTGATGTTTTTGGTTCGGTGTTGAGATGGCAGATGCCGCCCGCCAGGTGAGGTTCAACTCTCAGCTGCTAAACCGCATTTGTCCGTAGAGGGGTTAGTAACTTTTGTTATCTACTTGATCTTATCGGCTGCACCCGGCACGTGCGATCGACACCATCGTTCGGCTAATTCCGCAGCAGCGGCGTCACCCCCACCATTTTCGCGCAAACACTCCAAATACATCATAGCTCCCCCCATCCATCACTCTCCTCAACATGTCCGACCCATACACTTCAATCGACCATGACATCTTTGCCACTGTTCAAGAGCAGATCGAGCGCGATACTCAGGTCAAAGAGGTCCGTCGAAAAGCTTCCTTCGGGCATGCCAACAGAGCTCAAACTAAGCATCCAATAAGCAGAGAATCCGCGACTCGTTGAAGGGCCTGGAGAAACAATGTTTACATCACTATACACGATGGGTAAAATCATGCGCTGATAAGGAATAGCCAAGCAGATCAACTCTATTCTTTCTCGCGTTCACTCTGTTGCGCCGACCGAAGGTACTGTCGTGCCTTGTTACGAGTGATGCATCCTATCTGATTCGGTCCTGTGCCTCTAGTCCCCGGCCTCGTTGCTAAAGCTAAGCCGGTCTTCGAGGAGGCCAAGAAGCAGCTTCACGGACTCATCAATGCTACCAAAGCTTACCCTTACTACAAGTACAACGGACTGTGGTCGAGGGATCTGCAGAACCTCGTGGGTGCTATCTCGACTGGAGTAGTTATATCCGTCTAACGAAAATTAGATCTTCTTGACGATGTTTGAGACCTGGTTAGAGAGGATGTACACCACGGACACTCCGCAGACGGGAAACGCCTTGTTGACCATTGAGGAGGTCGGCGAGCGGTTTGGAGGTGTGCAATATCGTTCAATGGCGGGATATTGACTAACAGATTGAAGTGCCTGTCAACCTCACGACCGAGGACCAGTTCCACATCACGGTCGAGGAGTATCTCCACGCCATCATCTCGCTGGTTGAGGAGCTGGTAAAAGCCTCTTTCCAGCTGTATTGGCACCTTGCTAAAATTTGGACAGTCGCGTCTGATGACCAACGCCGTCACCCAACGTGATTTCAAGCGGCCACAGCTCATCAGCACTTTCGTCAAAGACATACATTCGAGCTTTCAGGTGCTGAATCTCAAGAATGACTCCCTGAGAAAGAGGAGCGACGGCTTGAAGTACAACGTCAAGAAGGTTGAGGATATCTGCTACGATTTGATCGTGAGAAACCTAATTACGACCGAGCCAAAATAAGAGGGGATGAGGAGCTGAAATAGTCTGCAACGTGGCCTCATACTGGATGATCTCACGTAAAATTTAGTTTAGATAGAAACAACAGCAAACGTCTATAATGCCATAGTTTTGTTGAACGTTTCAAACCCACTCACTCAAGCCCACCACCATGCAAACCAACCACCTCTCAAACCAACCACCATCCCCCACCACGCAAACCCACCGTGGCGAGCGATGGAAGAGCTGTCGGCGTGAGGAGGAAGTGAAGGAGGACTCCTGTCGGCGGGAGGAAACGAATGTGGTTAGCAGTGGGCATGAACGTTGGTTGGCATGGCGGGGTCGACCACTGAGTGAGGAGGGGGACTTAAGCTGGGTCGAGTGGGGGTTTCATCACCATCGTCTTCCTCTTCCTCTTCCTCTTCTCTCTGTATCATCATGTATCGAATAGGTAGACGGTCAACCCCCCATCTCCGGTCTCTCTTCTGTGTGTGCCCCCTTCCTCGTCCCACGCCTGTCGGCCTGGAGTTGGCAAAGAGCCCTCGCAAAACCACCACAACTAAAACACTCGTCTACCAGACCGGGAAGCGGATCGAAAGACGGAGAACACACAAGGAGAGAGAGGATGTAGATGTTGATTGTCTATTCTGTAGATGATGAGAGAGAGATAAGAAGAAGAAGAAGAGGAAGCAGACGACGGAGAAAGCAGACGACTCGCTGGCCCCGCCAACGTTGATGCTCCCTACTAACCACATTCGCTTCCCCCCGCTGACGAGTCCTCCTCTCGAGTCTCGATCCCTTTTCTCGCCGAAAGCTGCTCCATCGCTCGCCACAGTGGGTTTACGTGGTGGTGCATTTTCATGGTGGATCTGAATGGTTGTAGGCTTGAGTGGTGGTGGGCTTAAAACGTCAAACAAAACTATGGCATCATAGGTGCCAAAGCTATGGCATTATAGACGTTTTCCGTAGGACAAAAGTTTAGTTCTCAAAGATTGTAGCCGGTCATATGTCCGCAACACTTTTCTAATGTTTGTGCAAATTCGGCAATCATGATTCAGCACTCGCAATGCCGGTTTGCAGCTGTGTTGATGTATGATTCGGTTCGCGCGAGCCCCAGGAAGGCGAAAGTCGGGGGAGAGAGCGAGATGGCAGCAGGAGGAGCGAGTATATGTGTAGGCCCATATCGGTCTTGGCTGTCAATCTATCTTTTGCTTGTATCGGCCCGAGGCGGATGGGCTGGGGATGGGCAGGGGATGTCGAGCGCCGCATTGGACTGATCGATGCGGGTGTTTCCACCTCAATTGGTTAGGGCAGATAGGAAAGGAGTGCGTTGGTTCGCCATCTTCGAGACAGGCTGCATGACACCTGAATTGATGTTCTCTCTCTTTCTCTCTCGGTTGCCCAGCTCGGGATGTAGAGCCTTGTCAAGCTAGAATCGCACTGCTTCGTGCTTAGGCGGAGGGCGAGGCTGTTACGCCGAACCAGTCACCGCGATTGCAATCACCGGAGTAGTGGCCACGGACGCGGAAGCAAACTCCTGGACCGAAGGAAAAGTGCCCGGGCCGTCGCAAGTTGGAAACATGCCAAGCAATTCAATTCGCCGCACAGTGGAGAGCTCCCCACCATACCTAATTCAACCTCTTCATTCTTTCCTCTTCCTCTTCCTCTTCCTCCTCTACCTCTACATCCTCCTAGACCTCCTTGACCTCCTCGACCACATCTTCCCCCCTGTTTATCCATTCTACCAACCAACCTCGACGAAACTCACCATATCAATCGCCCAACATGCAGATCTTCGTTCTCACCATGACCGGTGGAACCCTCACTCTTGACGTGAGCTCTCCATTCGTCGCCTAGGTGTACATGTGACGCCGATAGCAGCAGCCTCCCCCCTCGTACTTGCCGTTGTTAAAAAAAGCAAACAGGTTGAAAGGACAGACACCATCCGTCACGTCAAGGCCCTCATCAAGGAGAGGGAGGGTATTGACGCCATAGATCAGCGCCTGATTTACTCAGGAAAGCAGCTCAAGAGTGACAACACCATCGAGGAGTATGGCATCCAGAAGGAGGCCACTCTCCACTTGTGCCTGCGCCAAACGGGTGGCTCGCCCAATTCTGTCAAGACCCGTAAATGCACCCCTATGTTCCAAGGTTGCACGATTGGCTGTTGACATCGCTTTTTCTATATAGTTACGGGAAAGGGAAAGATCGTCACCCAAGAGGCTGGGGCTGACAAGGCCGACGCCATCAAGGCTTCCGATACGGTTGACGAAATCAAGGCTTCCGATACGGTTGACGACTTCAAGAACAACGGCAAGGAGGGCTTCACCATCCACAAGTATCAGGACAGGGAGGGCTTCCACTTCTACGAGCAGCTCATCTTCGCCGCACAGCAGTTTCAGAACGACCACGAGGTCTCTGCCCCCAGGGTTCAGAAGGGCTCCACCCACAACCCCGACCTCTAATTACGACATTACGAAGGAGTCCACTGTCTGTTCTGTTCTTCGCCTGCGAGAAGGACAGTAAATGGTCGGGTTGGCTATGCTGGGATGATTTGATGGGTGTTTTTATTTTCATTTGTTTTGTTCGGTAGTCTTTTTTCTGTCGGTTTCAATCTCTTCTAAGGTACTAGCTTCGGTCACTTGCGAAATACCTAACTGTTTTAATTCCTGGGTGTTGTTTTTTTTCTTCTTTTCTACAGACTGGACATCTTGTGTGATATCATGTACTTTGCAAAGCATCCGTAGTATGTACATAGGTGGCATACTGTCGAGATGTATTTGTCTATCCTCAAAGATCCACACAGAGAGATCTATGTAGGTACATATGCAACTAAGGCCCGTTTGGATGGCCTCAGTTTTGAGTTCCAGTTTTAGAGCCAAATCCAGTTCCCCGCCGGGACACCGAATACTGTGGCCAATTTCAGTTTCCGGAGAACTTTGAGGTGAACAGAGTGCTTGGCAGTTCTCAGTATAGGTACTCAGTCATAAGTCTGAATAATATGCTTCACCAGAACTTTAATATGTAGTGGACACATTGTGGCCCCGCTTTTTTCTCTTCCCCGGAACTAAAGGGAGTCCATGGTTAAAGTTGAAGTTAAAATGTGATACTGAGTGGCGGCAAAGCTTCATCGCTGGAGCTACACAGTTTCAGTTTTTTTTAAGTTTTTGTGCCATCCAAACAGGGTTGCAGTTTTTTTTACTCGATTTCTCGAAAAACTGACAGTTTTCGCTAAAACTGAGGCTATCCAAACGGGCCCTAACTACCTAGCCCTCTTCGTTGGTTCGAGTCCCAACTGTAAACTGACTACATATCATACCATACCTTCAGCACGTCTCGCCGGATGTTCACATTCCACCGGCAAACTTACTATTAATGTCAAGGGATATCTTCGGGTGGGAAGCTGTGACCTGTGCTATTGATAGGTTCCGACGGCGGGGAGATCTGAAGAAGACATACCAACCAAAATCGACCGGACAATCATGCGATCTCACTCTTACTCCAGCAGGGTGGAGAAAAAGCGGGACCCACGACGGCGGCCACGAGGATGCTCCAACAGTTGCGGATGAGTGGAGAGGTCGATTTGGAATACCGGTAGTGACAGAGCGTCTTTTGGGTACCAGTATGTACATACGTCAAGCAACAAATCCGGCACGTATCGCTATCGAGTCAAGTCGAGTCAAGTCGAGTGGAGTCAAGTCGAGTCGAGTGGAGCTACGCAAAGTCCAACATCTAACATCCAACGTTCATACTCTATCTGGCGTCCTCCAGGCTCCAGGTCGGCCGCAAGGCGTGAGCTTCATGATTCATGATTCATCCATCAAACCGTAAACGTTCCGTTGCACCGTGCACGTGAGACTCCGCGTGCACTGTAGAAGTCTCGGATTATCATCGGCTTTCCCTGCCGGAGATCTGGGCCTTGGGGCCTGGGCATACTGGTAGCTTTTGGATGCGGGCCATGTGGGCTATTTGGGCCTTGCGAGCCATGCGGGCTTTGCGGGGAGATGTTGGCTGGGGTAGCTACTTAGCTTTACCTACATGGTAGGAAGATCCAACCAGGTTTTGGGTGTTGCCTAGCATAACTAGCAGTGACGTCCGCATGTCTGTGGCTGTGGGGGAGTTCACGGATACTGCTGCCTATGTGCCTTATCGGTATGCCCATTACACACTGACTCCTAAGGCTCAGACAGTGCTGACTGCTCGCGGGGATTTGCTAGTATGTGTTTCTTCACCGATCACACCACTCTATCATAGGTATCCTAGGTAGTCCAGTTCGGCTTACATACCGACGGCGAAAAAGCAAGACACGGGGAAATACGGTATGTATTTATGTACCCTTTCGTTGGCCGGATCGATTCCTGGGAGAATATCCTCCCCCGCAGTACCGTAGGTACATAATCCCCGCAGAACTCCGCCACGGTCAGCTACCTACTACCTAGTACACACAAGGCTTCATAGCCAGCCAGTACGTACCCAAGTATGTATCTCACCATCTCGCCGTATCGCCGTATCATCATCCTCCATCCTCCAGGCTCCAGGCTCCGGGTTCAATCTTCCAGAATTCCCGGTTTCAGCGCCGTTTCGACGAGACGATGATCTCCCCGCTCCGCCCCCCCCCTCCCCACCCCGATGACCCCCCGACGACCCCACAAACTTCAAGGACCAGGTGTGCTGGTGCAGTTGCAGTGACTGATTGGAAGTAAAGTGACGAGTCGTTTGGGTTGGTGGTTGGTTGGTGGTTGGTGGTTGGTGATTTGTGGTTGGTTTGTTGCGTTGCGTTGGTTGCGACATCCGTTCGTCCGCTGACTCGCTGAGGAGGACCGTACCGGTACATGCCGTACATACCGTATTCTGGGAATCTGGGGTCCGCCCTGGTTTCGATGGAGCACTCTTCCGGGGAAGGGGATTCGCGGCTGTGGGACTGTGGGACTGGGATGGTTCGAGTGGGATTAGCAGATGGATTATGGCCCCAGACGAGGCTGTGAGGCTTCCAGTGCTTATGTACATACGAGTCTCGCTCCACCTATTTCGTTTTCCTCTCGAGTCTTGAATCTCACGGCCGCAGGGATGCCGCGGAAGAACTCTCCGCTATTTCTCCGTGTACGGATTTGTCGCGTGCTTTGCTTTTGATCCTTCCCTTTGCGGTGGTGAAATTGCTTCCACGTCAGGGAAACCGGACAAGGTGTGCCTAAGTATATGTGCATAGCATATCCATCGGGCCGAGGAGCATACTGTATATGTAGGGACCGCAGCATTGGAAGATCACGCGGTTGCCTGTAGCTTGTAGGTTTCTGACCGAGTGCTATTACGTGTTTCCATCGATACGTCCTCTACTCCTAGATCCTGTGCGACCATCATTACGGCCACGCGGATGGCCCCGGAAGTTAGCAAAGCAATAAAACGTGCTCATCCCATGCTAGGTACATACTCTCCATAACCAGCGCTGGTGGGGGCGGTGGGGATGGGCAGTCCCCCTTCTCGAATTGCCCCAACCCCACCCACCCCCAGGACCATCCCCCGGAAAGCTCGAGCCATGGTCGGATCATCATAACCTCTAGTCAGGTAACTACTCGGCGGTGCAGTTTTGGATAGAGATATCGCCAGAAAATGGTGCTCCCACGAATACCGGTATGTACTATCGCGCGGAGTTACTACGGGCCGACGGGGGCTATATCATAGTATAATCCAGGGGGTATATTGCGAAACGAGATGAACCCCCGAGCGGCGAGCGCAAGCGTTTATACCGTGCTGATGCGTGCGCACGTCAACGGTCGAACTGAACTGGGATACTGGGTTGGCAAGTATCCGACGATAGACAGGATACGATGCGTGGTGTGTGATATGCGTGGTATATCCGTGGTATATGCCAAACGAGCTCGTTTCGTTTCGCTTCTGGGATGGATGGCGCTTGCTTTTGTTTTGTTTTTTTTGTCTTTTGTCTTTTGTCTATGTAATGTTTCGTCACGCAAGCACACACGCACTCTGTCTGCGGTGGAGTAGGACGTGATGCGTGATGCGAGTGTGTCTTTCCTTCTTCCTCTTCGTCTTCCTCTTCTTGGGTGGGCGTCGGATTTTGCTTTTGACGGAACCGACGGAACCGACGGGACCGACCGACCGACCGGGCGAAAATCGGTTCGACATGTGGTCTGTGACTCTGTTCGGCGGGGGGCGGGGGCTTCCTCGCTCGGACTCTTCAGGGATAGCTTCTCGCGCTACATATCACACATCCCGACGGCCGGTTGGAGCCACGGTTACCGACGATTCTAGAGGACTTCGAGAACATCGCACCGGAGAATTCCATGAAGCCTGTAAATCAGGTACATCTCTACCATATGGTGCCAGGCCACGCCTCATCCCAGGCCATGCGATTCCATGGAGGCCCCCACCCCCCCACCCCTCCACCCCCTCACCCCTCCATTCCCCCGGTACATATGATCCGAAATTAAGCAGAGGAAACTCAGCACGCTACTACTTGTTATTAGAGTGGGATGAGCGAGGGAAAGTCATCCATCCATCCATCCACTCAACTGGCCCATCCTTCGACATCACGATATGCATGTTAATCAGAGAAGAGTGTCCACCCGACACCCCTGTTCGCCGCTAATTCCCCATGCCACTGGAATGCGCGGGCACACTGGCTTTGGCTGGCACTGGTACGGTACTGGTACGGTACTGGCTCTGGCTCTGGCTGGCTGGCACGGGCACTGCCCTTTCCCTTCTCTACCTTTCGACAGGAGAATAGGAAGAAACGGCGAAAGGCTCAGGGGCGCTCGATTCCTCTGCTGCGGCCTGCCTGCCTGCCCTGCCTTATGCTCTTCCCTCCCCCGTTAGCCGTGGCAACTCTCACCCCCGATATATACATACGACTAGGTAGCCCGTCGCCGTCAACAGCTTCGTAAACGCTCTCCCTCGGACGTGTACGATACCCACCCAGCAGCAGTACTCCCGCCCGCCAGACTGCCCAGTCCATCCAGCCCAGCCCAGTCCAGTCCAGTCCGAACGATCCGATCCGCCCATCATGAACCTCATGACCATCCCGACGGCCGAAGTGGAACACGATCTCGGCCAGCAAATCGAAGTCGACGAGGCCGTCATCTCGCGTACGTTCGGAAGCCATCTCGAAAAAAAAGAAAAAGGAACGTTGGCTAAGCAGGCTGTAACGTGCTGCAGGGTTACCAGCGGGGGCACAGATCCTCAGCGCATCACGCCACGGCTCCGACCGGTGGGCGCGGTCAGCCAAGCTGGTCGCAAAGCTGCCCGACGGCAGCGTGCGGCCATATCTCCTGCGGGTATATACACTACACACCATTCCCTCGACGCCGGCACCATCCCCGCAGCAGCCGTGAAGACTGACCACCCCGGCGCGCGCGCAGGGCTCCGCCGGCGAATCCGGCAAACAGATGATGCGGGGCGAATACGAGTCGCTCAGCGCGATCCACAGCGTGGTGCCCACGTTCTGCCCTCGGCCGATCAGCTGGGGCGCCTTCAAGACGAAGCCGAACACGTACTACAGCCTCTGCGTGTACCACGAGCGGACGTCTGGTCCTTCGGACGCCGCAGCGTTCTGCAGCATGCTCGCGCGCCTGCACGTGCGCTCGCGCGCCCCCGACAACCGCTTCGGCTTCCCCGTCGCCACGTTTTTCGGAGAGGTCCTCAACGAGAAGATGGCCTGCGAGTCCTGGGAGGAGTGCTTTACCGCGTGTCTGAGACACATGCTCGCGCTCGACGAGGAGATCAATGGTGTTGATGACACGCTGGTCGCGCTGCGCGAGGAGCTGATCGCCCGCGTTGTGCCCCGGCTGCTGCGGCCGCTCGAGTCGGGTGGGAGGAGGATCAAGCCCGCGCTGATTCATGGCGACCTGTGTGCGGCGAATGCGGGCGCCGCGGATAGCGCCGATGGCGTGGGAAGCAATGCGATGGTGTGGCGTCCCGCGGCGCTGTTCGCACATAACGAGTTTGAGCTGGGACACTGGCGCGCGGTGCGCAACGGGTTCGACAGCAGGTTCCTGCGGGCGTATCTCAAGCTCGTGCCCATCAGCGAGCCGAAGCAGGATTTTGAGGACCGGAATGCCCTCTACGCCCTAAGATATGTCATTGCGTGCTCGATACGATACCCCGGAAGTGCGAAATACCGCCAGGCGATCGTCGAGGAGATGGGATCGCTCGTTGGGAGGTTCTCGCCGGGGCCGGAGATCGGACTAAGCCCGGGATACGTCGAGGAGAAAGAACAGGAGGGTAGGGACGAGGCTGCCGTGTTTGCTAGTCCTGGGGTGCACTCGATGAAGGTCGTTAGGAGTAATAGCACTACGACGAGGGGGAAGCATAATTATAAGCCGCCAATTGGCGGGAAACTGGTGAAGCGGTGACGAGTGGTGGGTGCTGGTGGTGGTGGGGGTGGGCTGGGGGACCGGATGCTGCTGGCGGCAGTGCAATACAATACCTTGGGCAATGGGCATTTCAGCGGGCGTTTCTATTTCGTATCTACAAGGGTTAATACATGGCAGAAAGTGCAAGTTTGAGTCTTGACGGACGGGAGAGTACTTACAGAATTCCGAGGAGGTGGATCTGAAGAACCAGTGCAGCAGGGAGGTCCCACTCCCGAGGGAGGGGAAAACGTTCGAATATATCGCATTCCGACCCGAAGCTCTGCACACACATCTCCATCTCCATCGCAAAGTCCGTTTTCAGCCTAATTCCGCACTGCCGTCTGCCCCTCCCTCCTCGTCTCTTTCATGGAGACGGCTGGTTAGTGCCTGGGCATGCTGAAGTGCCGGTATGCATAACTAGGAACGGACGGGATTTGCCGTGGCGAGCGAATCTGCCGATTGAGGTGTGTAGAGTAAGTACGAAACGAAGGGCATGTTTGTTTGCTACGGACTTTTTCTTTCTCTTCTTTGGCGGGCACGCCTGGTATTGACGGAAGCTGCAAGACGATGGATGGATGGACATGAGCTGTGATTTAATCTCTTCTCTGCTGCTATGTACATGCGTCTGGGAAATAGTTGTGTTTGTTTAGAAGCTGATCTTCGGTAGACCGTAGGCCCCCCCATATGCCATATGGTGACAAAATTCCAGTCCGAGGTGGTACTACCCACTGCGGTTCCTTTTCCGACCCGGCGTTTGCTTCCCGTGCATTCCCTACATACATATTTCCCCGCCGGAATCCGGATGCTGCAGGCTGTTTGCTCGCGGATATGCATATGATTTTTCCTCGTGCATATCGTAGGCTGGCCGCTGGTATCGCATACCTATGTCGCATATGCACATGCCTACGCCCCACCCACACACCACTGTTATGTATGTACCCCATAGCTGTGCGGTATGGCATGGGCTTTGAATATCGCATATTGCAGATTCGGCTCCGTATGTATTGTATGTACGGGAGCTTCCAGAGAGTTCGCATCTAGTTATTGGAATTTGGTGCAATCAACAATTGCCTTTGCCTTTGCCTTTGCCTTTTCACATCGATGTGAGATGTGCAGACATGTCCGGAATTGATTGTACGCTTTTTTGCAGTACAAACTTGAAGATGAAGGGAGATGAAGGGAGACGGGATGGGGGATGGAAGGGGAGATACTGGTGGTGGGATGTAGGGATAGTATTGCCGGTACATGTCCACCTCCACCTCCCCCGCCCATTAATTAGAGTACCTATCTTGCCTTCACGTCCACGTCCCGAGTTCTCACCACCACCTCCTTCACCACCAGCCCGAACTTTACTCCCGTACCTACTCCATCTTTCATTTCCTCCTATCCCCTTCCCACCTCTCCTTCCCACCTCTCCTTCCCACCTCTCCTTCCCACCTCTCCTTCCCACCTCTCCTTTCCATCTGAACACCTCAAGCATGAACACCGAGTGTATAACTCTTTCCTCGGACGATGACCTAGACGAGGACACCGCACGTCCGACCCCAGTGTGGGGCCCAGTGTGGATGAAGAAATCCCGGTCCTCTTCGGCGTCGCCAATGCTGGGACATAGTGCGAGGTTTTTGCCGGGTCCTCTGGAAATTCCGTTGGAGATTCCGTTGGAGATTCCGTTGGAGATTCCGCTGGAAATTCCGCTGGAGGTTCCGCTCGAGGTTCCGCTGGAAATTCCGCTCGAGGTTCCGCTGGAAATTCCGCTGGAAATTCCGCTGGAGGTTGCAGAGGAGGTTGCTACATCGGGACCGGGATCGGGGACAGTCGAGGCTGAAGCCGAAGCCAGGGCCGAAGCTAGAGCGCCAGTTGCTGCGATGTTGGGTGTTCCGGCTGCGATGCAGGTTGAACTGCCAGAAGCAGTGTCAGTGCCGGTGCCAACTGCAGCTCTGGTCGAGTTGTCAGCTCCCGTACTGGCTGAATCAACAACAGCCCCGGAACTGTCGGATCCCGCGTCAGCTTCGGCCACGGTGTCGCCTGAACCCGCCATGCCAGGAGGTGGAGTTCCAGGAGTTCCAGTGCTCGCAGCGCCAGTCATGATGGAGACCGAGATCGTCAATATTCTCCCAGCACCGCCTCTTGCCGTAGACGATTTGGCCCTTGTTACTAGAGCTGTGACGCCTCATCCGGTCGAAATGCCAGGTGCCATACCGGCCGTCGTTCCTGTTACAACGCCGAAATCTCCGGTATTAACTTCGGTACCGGTCGTGAAGACTTGTAACGTCCTTGCTGCGCTGCAGCCGGGGAAAGAAGACGCTGAAGTTATCACAGTCCCGGCCTCGGTAGATCTGGCCCCAAAAACTCCGGCTCTGGTAGCTCTGGTACCGACAGCTCTAGCATCTGCAACTAAATCGGAGCCCTCGGCCCCGAGGATTCAAGATTCGGCCCAGAACGGACATCATACACCCACTACGCCTCCCTCCGCAGATGTAGCATCCCCAGTCGCTGTAGCTTCGGCTTCGGCCACTCCTTCCCAGAATGCCATCACATCTGCTGCTCCTCGATCCCCTACTCCACCTTCCGACGCTCGGCCCAAACAGTCCATCGACGCGAGAACACAGCCCGGCACGCCCAAGCCCGCCCACACCCGGCCCATTGCAGCATCTACCTCCATAGCTCCAGTCACACCCACATGTCTCACCAGAACCAGAACCAAAACGCTACCTCCACCGCCTCCACCGCCTCCATCTCCTGCCACACCCCGCGGCGAGAACCCCGTAATCTTCATCGACCGGCTCCTCCGAGCGTTCAGCAACGAAGTCGGCGAGACGACCGCCGGGACCACCGGCAAGGCGCACAAGTTCCAGCTCGCGCTGAAAAAAGAAATGGAGAGCTTCTCGGCGTGTCTATCGACCACGTGCCCGCACCTGCTGGTTCTGCCCTCGCCCGCTGCCGAAGACGAGGAGCTTAAGTTGTGGCAGACGTTTATCCGCCCACAGAGCACGCAGAGCACACAGGGCGCGCTGTTCGGCGATGTAAAGAGGAAGCGCGAGGTTACGCCGACGATGACGATGACGCCCCTGAGAGGCGAGGTTACGCCGCAAAGTGCCAGTAGGAAACGCAACGTCGCGTTTGTGGATATGACCAACGCCTCGTGGTCGGGCAAGGATATGTCCAGCGTTAGCAAGCGGTTGAAGGCCGCTGCTACTACTACTACTCCGTCGACGGCTACTTCGAGGGTTAATAAACGGTCGAAGGCCACTGCTACTACTACTACTACTAGTACTCCTTCAACGCCCGCCTTCCCTCCGCGAGGTCAGTGCCCACCGCCCAAAATCTCCGTCGTCAACTAATCACCGCAGACCGGCCCGCAAGCGCATACACGCTGCCACACCTGTGCCAAATAATCGAGAGCGTGTCCACCGGCGGGCTACCGAACCAAGTCTCACCTGACGCCGTCCGATCAATAATCCTGACCTCGCTCTCATCATGGAGCACCAAATTCCAGCAATTCACTAGCACGCTCTCCACGCTCGTCCGCGAAATGCTCCAGAGCGCCTTCACCGCGCACTTCCGCTGCTACACACATACGCCACTATTCTCGCGTGTACAATCCGTTCTCTCCTTGTTCCTCACCCGGTGCTTCAACAGCACACACATGCACCTGGCGCGGCTCCTCGCGCTGGAACAGCGCAACGTGCGCACATCCCTCGCGCCCGCGGCGTTCCGCAGCATCGTGGCGGAGACGCGCGCGGGGCTCGCCGAGAAGCGGCGGGCGAATCTCGAGGCGCAGTTTCCGCGCCGGCAGAGGGGGATGGCGGCGCCAATACCGGCTACTGAGAGGTTCGCGAGGGAACTCGAGGTCCTGGCGGAGGCGGAGGCGTATCATGGCGTTGTTTGTGGGAGGTTTGTGGATTACCTCGGATTGTTTGTGGTAGGCGAGTTGCTTGAGGAGGTGAAAGGGGGCGTTATGGACGCGCTTAGAGATGGGCTTGGAGTGGATGCCGTGGATGGTAGGTTACTCCTGGAGAATGGGGATGGATTGGGGTGGAGTGGAGTGGTTGCTGACTGGTAACTGGGCGATAGCCGATGAAACCTGCAGAGCTCTGCTGAAACAGGTTGGGTCTGCTGCCGTGCTGGAGCCGCTGACGCCGATGCAGACGCCGCTGAGAGGGCGGCATAAGGCGATCAAGGAAGAGGCTGATGAGGATTAGCGGGTGGCATTTAGGCTCTTGGTTTGGTTTGGTTGGGTCTTTTTGGGGGGTTTTATTGCGGTATATCTATTGCTTTTTGAGTTCTGTATGGGCTGTGATGCAAGGCGATATATTATCTGGTGTTGATTGAATGGCAGTTTCCATTGATGGGCTGTTGACGTCGGGGTATGGTAGTTGTGCTGGGGGTCTTTGGGATCATTATATATCACTCTCCACGTTTCTACTTTGGACGCGTGACAAGTCGTGACTCGCGAGGATTTGCAGCCCAACTGAAGGATGTATATTCACCGATTCCTTCCATTCCTTCCATTCCTTCCATTCCTTCCATTCCTTCCATTCCTTCCATTCCTTCCATTCCTTCCATTCCTTCCATTCCTTCCATTCCTTCCATTCCTTCCATTCCTTCCATTCCCAGCCTCCAGGTAGTACGCAGCGCAACCACAACAGAAGTACCCGGACAGAGTAAAGTAAGTTAAGACAAGTTGAAGAAATCAAAAAGTAGTAGTAGTCAACACGAAGTAAGTTAATCAAGACAGCAAAAAAAAAGACTCGATACCAACAACAATACCAGCAACAGAAACACACACAGAAGGGGCAAAAAAAGAGTACAAAACGCCAGTCCAGTCCCCCATCGCGCGCCAACCAACCAACCATCCATCCTACACAGCCCCAGCCACGCAACACACAACCCACACAATGCAAAACGCGCAGTACATACATACACCATACTACATGATCCTCGCGAGCCTATTGATGCCGGCACACCACAAGAGCAGAGTAGGCACGCCAGCGCTTCCGGCGACGAACTGTCCCAGCACGCCCAGTCCGCGCCAGACCTCAATCACCTCCCTAAGCACCGCCGCGTTCCCCTCGACAGCAGATACAGCGACAACAACGCTCCAGCCGTCGCCCTCGGCGCCGCCGTCGTGCCGCAGTAGCAGCCCCGTGGGTCGGTACTTGAGTTTTTTCTCTAGCTCGCCGCGCGGGCGCAGAGTGTGCGCGAGCACTACCCCCCAGCTCTCGTCGACCGCGTCGATAAGTACTGCGTCCGGGTCGAGGTCGTTGGATGGGTCGGGACCGCCGGGCGTGTTGGCTGATGCCTCGGGCGAGAGCATCGACGAGGGCCCCGGGGTGGTGACGACCGGGGGTGTGGATATGTTGCCGAATACTGGGGGCGTTGAGATGTTGCCGGCGGGCGTGGACATGGCGCCGATGGGTGGGGTGGAGGTGTTACCGGTCGCAGAATTGATGTGTTGGTTTTCTGGGAGGGACGGATCGTCTTTGGGATCGAGCACCTCTTCGGGGGAGAAGTCTTGGATCCGCAGCGGAGAAGAGATGTCTGCAGCGAGCAGGTAGATGGCGGACACTCGCTCGTGCGTCTCAACGAGCGTCTGCCACGTCTCTATCTCGTCCTCGGGCATGGTGGTGCTGCAGACTTTGGTGAAGCATAGGCGCCATTTGACGGCGGGGTACTTGATGAGTTCGACAGTTGTATCCCAGATCTCGTGCATGACTTCCTCGAAAGGGCGGAGAAAGCCGGCGGTGCTTCGCCGCGCGAGGTTGATGATCGCCGTTTTCTGGACCGACCCGGTGTTATCGCTCCACGCTGCTGCTACCCATCGCTCATCTGTGCTCTGCGAATAGGCGATATGTAGTAATTGGTTCTCCTTGAGCAATGCCGGACTAGGATCGGACGTCTGCCGAAACTCGATGTTCTTGGGGATAGGCCGGGCCACCTGAATTGGAAGCGAGGTCAGGCGCTTCGCTTCTTCGAAGCCCAGGTCCGGGTCCGTAGGAATGCACCGCGAGTAGACCTCCACCGCCAAACGATGAGCAACGCCCACCCTCATGACAGCACCGAGTTTATGTGCCACAAATCCAGCAGGCACAACCTGCAATACCAGTTGATTCGGCAGAGCATCCGGAAACGTAGCGATGCTGGCCTCGTACAGCCGCTGCATGCGGATGAAGCTAGTGCAGATATCGACGAGTGACGATGGGTGATCAAACGGATTGATGACGTAGATCACTATGTTCACCCCCTCGTCGCCAACAGCATGTGCAAGCGCTTGTCCGAATCCTTCAAGATGGCCCTGGATCGCCTTCATGCCGAGTTCGTAGGTTCGCGGTGCCTCCTGGGGTATCTCTACAGCCACAAGGCCGCCCTCAACCATTCCTTCGATTTCACCCCTGATGTGAACGCCGAATCGCCCGGCCTCATATGAGGAGCTAACTTGTTCCAGCAGGAAATCGGCGCCTTCTTTCATCGCGCTCGACGCGGGATGAAGGCAGAAGGAGATCACACTCTTGGAACCAGAAATAGGTGCAAGACTGAAGGTATCCCAGAAGTGCAGCGCCGGTGGCAGCATCTCCAGCACGTTTTCCCCACGTTGCATCCGGACATGCGGCGGCGGAACGTGAAAGATATCCCAGGGCTTACTATCCTCCTCATCCTCCGGATCCTTGTTCCGTCGCTGCGAGATATTTGGCTTTATCCCCTGATGTCCGCGGCCGAACGGTGCGAGAGGCGGTGGAGGTGGTATCGGCGGTGGTTCTGGTATCGAATCCGCGATAGCCGCATATGTTTCCAGATTGCACCGCACCACGGCCTCTTCCTTGAACAGGACTTTGAGAGCATCTTCGACAAGATCCTGATCCTGGCTGCATCGCCGTCGAATCAGACTGGTTTCTGCGTCCTCCTCGTCGTCACGGTAGGTTTCGTTCTTCCCTCGCCACGATGCGTGCATCCACCCGACCATGTGATCCGCCACCATCGCGGCGACCTCGAGAAACTCACCTTCACCCAGGGACAGCAATGTCATGGCATCACTAGTCAGCACCTTGTGTTCGAACACACCCACTATCGACTCATCAAAGGCTCCCGGTTGCATATGGTTCCACGGCGGCGGCGCCAAGTCCTGGATTACCTCCACCTCTCCATCCGCACCAATAGTACCATCTCGCTGTTGTCTCGACCCTTCGGGCGTATCGACATCCATCTCACCACTGTCCTGTGCCAATTTTGGCTTCTTCCCGAAGTTCAGAAACCCAGGCAGCAGTGGAGCAGTTCGTCCAGGTGAAGTGTGGTACGATTCCTCGTCTTCGTCCTCCGTGGTATCATCGGCGTCGCTCTCCGAGTCCTCATCGCTCGACAGGTCGTCGTCAGATTCTCCGCCACTGGAAAAGTCGTCATCCGCGGGTGTGATCGTTACGGCCAGTTCTGAAGGTGCACTTTCCAGTTTTCGCCTCTTGTGTTTAATACTCCGTGGCTTGTTGATCTTTGTGGCATCAAATTCCTGTTCGTCTCCTTTCGTATCGGGAAGGAAGAATCTTCCGCCTGGTGCATACTTTTGGTCCGCCATTTCCACGCTTTCCGTGAACAGGATAGGTGAATATAGCGAGGATCGTCGTTGCTGGTTGACGGGAGTGACTGGGGTAATCGAGGCAGCAGGGGCCGCCGGTTTCTTGAAGTCCCCTGAGAAGGACGGCGTCTCAGTAGATGGCGGTTGATATCCTGGAACTAATAATCCGATCGCATGATGCGGACTTAGCGGCGGTGTGACACTTTGTGTTTCGACCGACGTTGAGGGAATCTCCTTCACTGCCGACGGGTCATTTAATCTTGATCGTTTTTTATCCCGTTTAGTCTTCCCCATAAGAAATCGGTCGGTTGGTGGTGGTGTCCCCATGCGCAAATCCGTGTCCCCACCCTCCATGTGCATTAGGCCACCGACACCCTGCAGATCCCCGCCATCAAGGTCCATGCCACCAGCATCGTTCCCGCCTTCGAAGTCGGGATTGTCGAAGAAATCGAAATCATCCTCAGTGACTTTCATGAATTGGTCCATATCCTCCATTCCCTCTCCAAACAGGTCCGTCTCTCGTTGGGGAACCATATGGTCATTATTCGGAGGTGCTGGTTCGCCTGGCCAGTCATGGTCCATTGTTCCGCTGGTTCCGAGGGTGGTGGTGGCAGTGGTGGTAGTGGTGGATGGATCGGCATCAGTAGTTGCAGCAGCACTGGTTGGCGGTTCACTGGCAGGACCCGCTGTAGCGGTTGAACCTGCCGGCGATAAACCATCCGGTTCCGGCTTGGGCTCGGGGAGTTTTCCTTCCTTGATCTCGGCAGTCCTGTCCTCCTTAGACATGTCCGTTTCGGCTTGCTCTCTCCTCTCCTTCATCTCAAGGTGTTCTTTGATCTTCTCCGCCCTCAAATCTCGCCCCTTGAACCACTCATGGCCCCACTGCACCGCACTCTGCACATCCCACCATTCCGCACCAGTGTCCTTCTCCGTAATCTTCGGTAATTCCGCACCCCGATCAAGTGTGCTCTTCAAAGTTGCCAGCTTCCCCCAAGCCAGTCGAGAATATTCCGGATCGTTGAAATCCAACGAGGGAAGGTGCTCCTTGGCCGCAACAAACAGTTTCTTATCGCCTTCGGAAGCGCGCAGGAAAAGCAAGGCCTCGGGCCAAAGCACGTGGTGGATGTAGCCCATCAACGGATCCGTCAACGAGGGAATCCGGATCTCCACATACGGCCACTTATCTTTTTCTATCGCTTCCTGTAGCACAGTCTTCTCGGTGTCTTCGAGCGGGAAGGGTGAGATTATGCCGCGGTCCTTCAGATACGACAGTACCTTGTCTTTCCAATTCTCCTCGGCTTTCTTGACTTCGGGTTCCTCGATTTCTCCACCGTAAACTGGAAGGAGCCGGCCCCATTCGCCCCAGGGTGCCACAAACACCTCTCGGCAGCGCAGGGAATCCCGTGTGAGACCACAAGTGACGAGTCTTCGGATGGCGCTCTGCTTCTCCGAGTATGGAATGACCACCAGAGTTCCCAACGAGGTCATATATGCATTTAATTCTAGAACCAATGGTGGGGTCAATTCCGGCTCAGTGACAGGCTGGGCGGCGAGAAGCTCCATCCTCCCCATCCTCTCCATTCGACTCTTGTGTTCCTTTATGCATGGTAGGGATGTCGGCGACACGAGTGTTCGGGCGTTCAATGGGGTGAAGCCTTCCCGGAATGCTAAGCCGAATGAAACTGCGGCTAGGACGGCGGTGATGATGTTGCCGTATATGAATAGCTGCTCCTTGAGCCGATCTGGCTCCTTGACCACATCCATTGATTCTGCGGGATCATCCAGGGTGAGGTCGATCATGACTGGTCCCTCGTTCTTGGAACCAGCGCCAGGCGTGCCAGAATGAATACTCGGGGTAACTGCCGCGGATGGAAGACGACTAGTTGGGTCGGAATGGTTGCTGCTTCCAGCCTTGACGGCGGAATCCGAAAAGCGAGGTGTGAGTGACGATGCGTGGAAGACGCCAGCGGAAAACTCTATGAATTCTACCGGTCAGTTGCATCAACTTCATGGCCACACTAGAGATTCACCTTGCAGCCCCCATTCCTCCTTCAACCGCTTCTCGAGCTGCAACCAACGCTCATCTTTTTCCTGCGCCGTCGATGCCGCCATCTTTCCTTTACCGGAGCCATCTACATCCGTAGAGACCCCCGGGCTCTGCGCGCCAGCAATCCCGTAAATGTGGAAAACCCACAGCCCGCCGCGTCTCAGGTCCGAAAGCACCGGCACACCATCTGCCTTCAGTGCCCGCTCAGCTTCGCGGAGGATCTCGGATTGCTGCTCGACATACGCATCCGGATCGAAAGTTGACGGTACGTAGATCGCATACGGAACGCGTGATAGGCTATCCTAAACAGAACATGAGTATATTAGCAGACAACCGGCAGCAGCAAGGGTTCACACACAATTTTCAAGACATTCGTTAGGGCCTCTAATGGCGGTTCCATGATGTCTGGTAGTGATTGGAAAGGCTGCGGACGTCCGGGAGCAAGTAGTGGTTCCTCCATAGCTGCGGCGGGTCAAAGTGTATGGTTCGGCAAGACCGGGGCGGTGAGTTTGCTGGTTTCGAGCGTGCGATCCTGCTTACTCGAAGTTCAACGTGTGGTTGCGAACCTCGGCGTGTGGGGTGGAAAAGGTATCGCGGTGTCGTCGGGCGCGCCACAAATGGAGGGATGGAGGGGCGGAGGGGCGGAAGATCGTCAACCAATATAATACAACGTCGACAAAAGCGAGCAACTGCGAAGTAGAGTATGGTATTCTGAAAGCCGTGCCGTGCGAGTATCTCCGGGGAATTGCGCCGTAGCAACCAAATGCAAGAAATTTGAATGAAAAAGCCCACTGAACTCCCACAATGAAAACACAGTCTACAGATGAATTAGAAACCCGGATCCCGTTTACTCCGTTCACAAAAAATGCAAGAAAAGCGTCTTCGTGTCGTGTCGCGTTGAATGTGGGGGTGGGTTCAATGTAAGAAGGTACGTGAGCTGTGTGATGCTCTTGAAGAGATTACGGGTGCTTCGAGATTAGGGTGAACGTAGGCGCGCCGTGAGTCGTCGCGCAGTGGAATCGATGAGTAATGGGCGTGCGACAAAGGACTCGGGTCTCGGGGTAGCTCTGGCTAAGGCGGATAGCGGTTTTCGTGGTTGTCTGAGTAGGACTGCGGTCTGCATCTTGCGACGGCAGAAGCTGAGGGGGAGGAGAGTTGACGCGAGGAGCGCGTGGAGGAAGGAACGACTTTCGACGGGTTGCGCGCCTGGCTGTGGGGGATCGGTTGTGCTTAGTGGCAGGGTGACTCGAGTTTTCGCTATAAATGGGGCGGAGACCGATATCGAGTTCGAATGGGCGCGGATATGGAGGGAGAAGCGGCGAGCATTTCTCTCTTGACTTTTGGCAGCGGAATCGCGGAGGTGCTGCTTAGAAGGCCGACATATCAGGGCGGCGGCGGGAGTGGTTGGGCGCTAGAGCAGGGAATGACAAGTGGTGAATATAGTAGGGTAGGTCGACAGCCGCGCTTTTTATTTTTCTGGCGTTTATCTCCACTTTTGGCCGGAAAGCTGGAAGACTGGTGATGGGACGTGAGTGTGGACCGGAGCAAGAAGGGCCGTGTTCGTGAACTGTTCGTGTGGTTGTTGACTTGGTGTCGTGTGGGGCTCTGGTTGTTGAGATGAGGTCTCGAGGTCACACAACACACACACAACTTCGACACGGTTCTGCTGGATATGGGGGTGGCGGCGGGCGGAGAAAGAGGCAGGGATGGGCACTAAGCTGGGGGAAGAAGGAACGTCAACGGAGAGGTCTCGCTCCGTGGAGCCAACCACCAAACGAACAAAACCTCCGCACGCACGCGTTTCTCGGGACATGCCACCATAGTACATAGCCGGCACATTGTTATCAGCGCTTGGCCAATGTGTATCGAGTACAGGACTCGGATTCATCCAGAGATCTTCAGGCAGCGTGTAGGTACACGATTTGACAGCACCAATGGCGTAATCACAGCTGGTCCAGTAATCTTGCACGTCCCTACTCCTGCCATTCGTTCCAGCTATCGCAAGACACGGTACCGTGTTTTTCCCCTCAACCAGCAGCAAGTCGCACTGGCGATAAGTGCCCTTTCCCCGCTCAATGAGACCGATGAGAGGGCAATGAGTCTCATGCCAAAAGTCTTCGACATCTTCGGGAGCGACAATTGATTCGGTTTGAAGAACGGCAAGGCTTCGTCCATGGTTCTCGTCATTGAGGTTGAGCTTGCCAATGTAGCGGGGCTCCCAGTTTGAACTTTTGGCTGTTAGCATAGTGCAAAGTCACTCCTGAGGCCTCCTTGTCGCAAACGTGCCGATATAAGCTGTCGCCAAAGGCCTTATATCGGACCGTCTCCCCTGCTTTGAACCTATCATCGAAAGGGTTGAAAGGTTGACCCACGTCGCACCCGAAGCGACGCAAAACCCTTCCCAAGAAACTGCTGATCATGACGTGTAACTAATCAGTAAGCCGAAATCTAATGGGAATGGATAAGACGCATCGTTCGAAGACATCTTTTTGTTCGTGGTTCGGTACATGTCTATTATGCTGGCGAGTGGTGCTTTGTCTTACCATGAGCTCTCCATGTCGGAAGGTGGGATGCAGGGAGAGTTATTGTCACTCATCGATCATCACTAATGTTACCAGCCCCTATCCGGATCAAGTTAGTGCTGTAATTTTCACTTTTCAAACTTTCGTTCTCTAAAAAGAACTTGAGTGCTTGCTCGAACTCGCGACATCATCGATCTCAACTTCGCCCGCCGACTCCACCAGCAGACCTCTGACCCACAATGTCTCTCAGAGTCACCCTGCAGAATGGCGTCTCGGTGTACACCATCTCGGGCAGCAATACCTCGCGCGCCCTCCCAGACTGGCTCGCTCGCAAACGGAAGCGCTCGCTCAAGAACGACGAAGCATACCAGAACCGTGTCGAGCTGATCCAAGATTTCGAGTTTGAGGAGGCGTCGCAATGCATACAAGTGTCGGAGGATGGCGAATACGCAATGGCGACTGGTACGTTTGGCATCATGTCTGTCCTCGCTGCGGAAAGAACACTGGAGCTGACCACCGTGAAAATGCTGTCCAGGTACATACAAGCCTCAGATGCACATCTACCATTTGCCGTCGTCGTCGCTCAAATATGCACGCCATACCTCGACGCTGAATCTCACGTTCCTCCTGCTTTCGACCGACTACTCCAAATCGTTGCATCTGCAGACCGATCGGTCACTGGAGTTCCACACGCCGATGGGATGCCACTACGCCACCCGTATCCCCCGCTATGGCCGCGCACTGGCGTATCTCAAACCGCAGGCGCATGCCATCATCCCAGCTGAAGGGAACGAAGTGTTCCGGTTGGATCTCGAGGCCGGTCGCTTCCTGAAGCCGTTTGAATTGGGGGGATTCGAGGGACGCGGTGGCGATGTCAAGTCGGCGGAATGTGTCGCAGTGGCAGACGGTTCTCATGGCCTGCTGGCGTTCGGTACCAGTGCCGGTACCACCGAATTCTGGGATTCACGGTCGAGGAACAGAGTCGGAGTATTGGCGCCGCCTGTGAATGGTGGGACCGTCTTTGACACCCTGGGAGACGCACAGACGCCGTCTATTACCGCCGCACAGTTCAATCGCAATGGCCTTACATTCGCGACCGGAAACGAGTCGGGCATTGTTACGCTATACGATCTCCGTTCGCCCACACCAATGCTTACAAAGGACCAAGGCTACGGGTTCCCGATCCAGACATTGTCGTTCCTGCATACGCAAGCGACGTCGGAACAAAAGGTGCTGTCGGCGGACAAGAGGATTATCAAGCTCTGGGACGCAGCCGACGGAAAGCCGTGGACGTCAGTGGAGCCTTCAGTCGACATCAACCACGTCTGCTACATTCCCGACAGTGGTATGATCTTCACCGCCAACGAGGGTCAACAGATGCACTCTTTCCTCATCCCCGCACTTGGACCGTCGCCATGGTGGTGTTCGCACCTGGACACCCAGATCGAGCAGCTCGCAGACCGCAGTATCAACGATCCCGACGCCTACTCTTCTGCTGCAGTAGAAGCGGCAACCTATGACAACTACAAGTTCCTTACCAAACCGGAGATGCGACAACTCAACCTTGACCACTTGCTCGCATCTGGCAAAGGGGCGGGTGTTGTACGGCCCTACATGCACGGTTACTTCGTGGACCAACGCCTGTACGAGGAGGCAAGACTCATCGCCGATCCGTTCGAATGGGAGCGCCAGAAGCAGAAGCTTGTCAAAGAGAAGATCGATAAGGAGAGAGAATCGAGAATCCGCACTTCCGCCAAGGACAAGAACGCAAAAGTCAAGATCAACAAGCGTCTCGCGGAACGTCTTGAGAGTCTCGAAGGCAAACTCAATAAAAAGGCGGCGGATGAGGACAAGACCAACGTTCTCCAAGACCCCCGTTTCAAGGGTCTGTTCGACAAGCCCGAGTTCCTCGTCGACGAGACCAGCCGCGAGTTTCAACTTATCAATCCCTCGACACGCCCGACCATCGGCGCGGACGGCGCGCCCGTCGAGCGGAAACGCGGCAAAACCGCTGCCGAAGAAGAAGAGGAATCCGATTCCAACGCCGGCAGCGGCAGCGAGTCGGACAGCGGCAGCAGCGAGGACGAAGCCGAGAGCACGCGCGCGCCCCAGCCCAAGAAGGAACCGCAAATGCGCATCTCCTCCTCATCCTACCGCAAGTCCGGCCACGACACCAGAGGCTTCCCCACCGTCTCCCAGAACCAGAAGAAGCGCGAGAAGTCCTTTGGTGCGCGCGTCGCGGGCGTGCAGACTACCGAGAGGAGCAACGAACCCAGGGGGGCCACGGCTATGGGCGACAGGGAGATCACGTTTGTCCCCCGGCGCAGGGAGAAGCCGCAACGTGGCGAGGCCCAGGAGGAGAAGAAGGATATGGGCGATCGTGGACGGAAGTGGAAGGACCGCAGAAGCGCAAGCGGAAATGCGTTCAGAGCCGCGGGAATCAGGAAATGAAGCAGCAAAAGTTTTGGTTTATATATACAGTTTTTTTATTGTATTGGGACGGGCGTTTGCAATTTCTTCAGTGTTTTTCGGGGTTGGCGGCTCGGCGGACGGGTCTTTACTTAGATAATGAGTTGCCTATTATGTACAGAGTGAGGGTGGTTTGGAGCATGCTTCGGTTGTATGATATCAAGAGCCATTTTCTACTTCGCCATTGATATAGACATAAAAAGCTTGTGCCCAATAGGTAATAGTGCCACTACACGAGTGAGATCGTGTGATTATTGCTACTCACGTGATGTATCCGCTCGATGAATCCAGCAGCACCCTCGCTCAAAGTCAACAAAAGACTTCCTAGCATATGAAATTTTGCTCCCTAAGTTTTGCAGATTTTTCACCGTGTGAAAAAACCACCACACAAGATCGACAATATCCTAATCTCTCTCTCTCTTGTTTTTTCTTCTTCTTCTTTCGGGTGGAGACTAGCTTGCAGAAATTCGACCTGCAGGTTGATGCATGCATGCATTTGGCAAGCAGGATACGGTACATCTTATGTAGGATGCAAGGGAAGCCTGAGGGGAGGCGATTCAGGCGACTCAGGCGAGGATGTTTTCCTCTTCATACTATATAAACGAGAGGTTCGTTTTGGGTGCTCTCGTGACTTCTCGTTTCCGTTCTGGTTTCGGTCGTGGTTGCTCAGTGCTGCTGCAAACGGCCATTCATATCTCGTGACTAGGTACATACAGTGGTTATTGGTGGCGGCGGCGGCCGAGGGAGCGGTGGTGTGGGCCCCGTGGGGGAGGGGATGGGGATGAGGCGGTCGCTTCTGCTGAGCTAGTGATTCCTGGACCTAGGTACGTGTTGCTCTTGGAACTACTTCCTATTGATGTTTAAGAGAGGGAGAATGGTTCTTGATGGTACTTGCCAACCACATGAATAGCAGTTGGAGAATCAATGGAGATTGCTATCACTGTCGGTCTGCATGCGGACAAGCGGTGATTCGCGGGATCTGCCGGCGCCGAAACTCCATCTCATCGCGAAATCCGAAGCCCCACCACATCACATCATCCTCACGATAATTACGAAGGTAGAGTACTTACAGGAACCCATTCTAGCTGAGGTAGTGAGGCACTGGTGCTTTTGGATGCGTTCACATTGTATGCAGAAAGTCGTGCTCTCGAGGACTTGTAGGCCGTCAGAGCAGCATGTGATCTTGAACATCTTATCATATCTCGCAATGCGCGCATCTGCTGGCCTACCTATTCTTCCTTCACCTGTCGAAGGCTCGACGTTCGATACGCGAGATATCGATCGTAAACGGCTTTCGCTCACCTCCTGCTGGCTTCTGCGTCCAAAAGACGCGATGGCTACCATCAATCGAAGTTTTCCATGTATTCGCTAGACACATAGAGTACCGTACCGAGTACCGAGTACCGGTATTCTACTGCTGGAGCCCCTGGAATTCAGACATTCTGTTCCAACATCTGGACAGCGGTTCACATAAATAAAGATACTGCGCAGCCATAAAGTCTCGGCAAATGAGACAAAATGCCGGTATTCGTTGCTATGCAATCTTCCAGAGTGGGCTCGATTCTACCGACACACCGCGAGGAGTTGTTTTGGCGGGAATTCTATATCTCGGAGAAAGCCGTCCGGGGTTCCATCTACCTATCGCCCCCCGTCGTTCCCGTCATTGCTCAACCTCCACCCATCACACAACACCACAACACCACGCTCTCTCCCGTTTCCTTAATTCTTCCACCTTTCAGTCCAAACCAACAAAACTAAACATCGCGAGCATGGGCGCCTGCGCAAGCTGCTTCGAATCGTGCCTTGGCACCCGTCAAAAAGACGACGTAAACCACTCCTACTCCTCCCCTATCTCCCTCGCTGACGCAGGCGAATGCAGCCGTCGCGCGCCGCGCTGCTCAACGACCCCACCGCCGCAGTGAACTACGGGTACAATTCGGGCTATCCGCCGTCGCCCACCGCCGTCGCCGTACAGGACCCGCAGCAGCTCCTCCACGAGCGCGAATACCTCGACCGTCTCGTCGTCCAGACGTCCGAAAACTTAATCGACATCTTTGCGCCCCCGATGCTCGCTGGCGCCCCGAGTTCAATGAGTATTACGCCCAGCAGCCGCGGCGAGTGGTATCGTAACCTGCTGGAGCGCACTAGTCCTCCCGCGCCCGCGGTTGAGGTGCTGGTGCTGGGCGAGGCGAAGGAGGTCGATGCCGATGAGAGGGTGTGGTTGAGGGGCCTGCTGGAAAGGGGCGAGGATGCGGTTAGAGAGCTGGCCAGGGTTAGGGAGGTCGGCGCGTTGGTCGTCGGTCTGGATATGGACATGTGAGGCTGACGCGGAAGTACGAGCGGTGATGGCCGCGCGATGACAGTGGCCGGCGCTCGTAATTTCCGCCTGAGAATCCCGTCGGGGAAAGACTTGTGATGCTACAGTCCGGTTTCTGAGGGATATGGTAATAGTGGGATAGCGGGGGATATGGACGTAATTGGTCTTGAGTTTCTGCATTTTGGGAATAGGGGTGGGCATGGATGGAAGGGCGTGAAGGACAGGGAGGAACACAGGTTTGTGTAGGGTATGGCGTTGTCTATCGGGTTTCTTTTTCTTTTTTCTTTTTCACATTTCCTCTCGCTAGGTGGATTTCCTTTGTTTGTGCTGGTCTTGTTGGATTTACTAATTCTTAGGGTCTCATTGAAGTGCTACGGCGCTTCACTTCATTCTGTTTTCCAGTCTCGGGCTTGTCTTGTAGATAGTCCTCTATTCATATACTTATGTCTCCATGTCTTTGCGTTTGGACATAGAGGTTCAGTGGGGACTCTTCGATGCGGCCATTTGGGTGCTGCTGAGCGCCCCACAAAGGTGAAGTCCGTACAAACACTGATCTACCCGGACAATCGAGAATGTTGGTCCTATGTAGAGTACTCTAGAGTGCTATTGTTATGGCTCGTATGTTTTAAGCACCAAGTCCCTTAATACTATAGAGTAGTTCCATAGCACAGCAACGATGACCGATAAAAACAGACCGAGACCGAGACTCGACCATGCACTAATTGTCGAATTGGGCGTCCTCGGACGTTAAGACGGCCAAATTTGGTTTCTACCTCGATCCAGCCAGGTGACGTAGCCTTGTCTTGCTTGTCAGCCTTCCTCCCCCGCTTCACTCATTCACTCCTTCACTCCTTCACTTCTGCAATACATACATTCTGTGATATATACATCCTTCTACAACTCTCCACGAGCTCTTTATCCACGCATTGCCGAAATTCTCTCACACCCTCATTTCCCTCGTGCTCTCCTTTCGTGCAAAATAGAATACAGAATGGATTCACACCCTTCCCAGTCAAGACAACACGCCGGCGTCGGCACAGATCGAGACGAAGGAGACGAAGATCTATACTTGCAACCGTTCACTCCCGATGAATCCAATGCGAATTTCAGCTTCACGGCCGCTCCCAAGATGACCAAGTCGTTGATGTCTCATCCCTCGATGCCATCTTCGTCTTCTGTTCACCACCAGCAGCAGCATCAGCAGCATAAGAACTCTAGTGCTCCGGCCGAGCAGCAGCAGAACTCCGGTACGGCCGAGCAGCAGCGGACTCCAGTACGCTTCATGGGAAATGGTAAGGATTTCATGTCTTGCCGCCGTGATGTTACATAGGTCTATGGATTACTAACGGTTATACTGTAAGATATGAGACTACCGGTACCGAATATTGGTGCCAGTACTTCGAGGACCGCTGCTTCTTCTGCAGCCGGCATGAGAAGAATTGGTGGAACGGGGCCTTCGGATAGTTCCAAACAGCACAATTCGTCGTTTAGACCTCCGCCCGGTCGTGGTCAGGCTCCGAGGCCCCAGAGTCGTTGTGATGCTGAGCGTTCTTCGGAGTACCCACGGCAGCAGCAACAACAACCTTCAGGAGGCCCTTTGACATCACAACAGGCCGGCGAATTCGGACCAAGCGGCGGCAACAAAGCTCCAGTAAAGAAGAGGAAGTCCATTGCAGTATCACAACCAATCGCAACCAACTACCCTTCGAGTAATAAACGAGACCCCGGAGGTCCTCCACCTGGACCGGAGGATTTGGTGATTGTGTTGGAAGATGACGAGGCAATACAAGATATCGACAAGCGACTAGTCGAGAGCGGCACAGGGCGTCCAACGCGACCTTCCCAGATGAAATCACGGACTCGTTCAATGGACACTCCGGGCGTCATAGCTCATCCCGGTCAAACTTCATCACGGAGACGTCCAGAAACTCCACGTCTGCAAAATGCAGGAGGCGGCTCGCAAGGGAGCACTGTCCATATCCTCAACCGGACTATTAATGACCTTATGTCCCGGAATACTACGCTTGAGGGAGATGTCGATAGCCTCAGCCACGCCATCCAAAGTCAGAAGAAGATCATCGAAGCGGCGGAAACTAGAGTTGAGTCGCTCTCTGCCAGCCTTAAAGCTCAAACAGATTGCAAGACCGAGATTCTCAGCAAGCAGAGCAGGCTGGAGAAGTTTTTGCGTGCGATCGGGGAGGATTACAATACACTCAACACCCGCAACCTCGACCTAAACAACAGACTGAAGGAGGCCCTCACTGAAAAGGATAATATCCGGGATGAAATGGAGAGTACTCGAACTACTTTTCTACGGGCGCTTGAGGAACTTGAGCGTGAGCGTGTCAACTTCCGTGAGCGGGCAGCAGTGATCCATAGCCAAATCAATGGAATGCGCGATTTGCAGAAATTCAGGGAAGCAGAGCTCAACGAAAAAGCCAGTCTCCTTGCGGAGGAACGAGACCGTTCACAGGCCCTGGAGATGCAGATCAGTGAAATACAGAAGGCTCGGCTATGTGACGCGGAGAAGTTTGAAGAGATGAAGTCTTTGTTGGCAGAATTGAACACCTCTCTGATGAGTAAGATTGTGGAAAGTGATAACATCAATGCTGAGAAGTGAGTTAACTCTCCAATTATCGTATATTTTCTGACGGGTGCAGGTTGAATAAGTGCTTTGAAGGCATAGTCAATTTGCAGTCGGTAGGTGGTCAAATAAATGCCCACCTCTTCGCGACGAAAAGTCTCCTGAAGAATGCATATCAGCAGTAGGTATTCCGATTCTAGTTTCCACGGTAGTCTGCTAATACCCTGATGCAGAATTGCCTCCGAGATACAGGAGGGTCAGAAAAACCACGCTATAGACATATCTGACAGGATCTGGGCCCATATGGCGAAAGCAACTGATGATCTTGCCGAGTCCGTCCAAACGAGCATGGCAGACGCCGCACAGGATATCACCCACATACTTTCGAGGGAGCTGAAGACCAGATTTGATTCGGCATTACAAGACTTGGACAAGATTTCTCACGTACTGGAGGCAGTCCCAGATCGTGTTTCGGTATCTCTAAAGGACTACACGCATTCAGCGACGGAATCCCTAAATGCAATTTCCAGTTTACTGCAAACGAACGCCGATAAGAGCTTGGTCGTCTTCGAGGGGAAGGCTGAGGTCGCTCTGGCAGAAATGGACAAAAAAACTCAGTCTTTTCACGCCGACATAGCTGAGAAAGTGCAGTCGACAGCGGTTGTCCTGACTGAAACAATTCAGAGCAAGATGAACGCGACAGCGGGCGTTATCTTCCAGAAGCTCGGGGTATCCTCAAAAGAGCTCACTGTGTCAATTAGGCACAATCTATCCAGAGAGCTTGAGTCAGCGGTGATCTCATCTACAGCCCAACTGTCAGATGAGGTCTGCAAAACCATCAAGGACAAGATGGAACTTACGTTGAAGGATTTTGATACTGTCGCCAAACTGTAGGCGAATTCACTCATTACCGATGCGCGAGCCTTACTGATATGCCGCTTAGTATTACCGTTGCGTCGTTGAAATTCAACCAGGAGACCAAGGATGAGGCTGTGGGGGACGAGAGGTAAGCGCAAATGGTGGTCTACAATGAAACGTGATAGGAGTTGACTTCCGTGCAGAGTAATGCAAATGCAAGAGATTATCGTTGGTCTCCAGAAGACCATCGACTCTCTGACGAATACCGTCAGAGAGAGCTGGACACAATGGAGCAATGATCTGAAGGCCATGTACGAGGTTAGACTTCAGGAGAATGAGGTCCGTTATCAAGAAACCGAGCAGCGGCGTCTCGCGAGTGAGGAGCAAAACAGCAAGCTTCTTGAGCAGATAGCTCGTCAAAACCTTGAGTCGCAGCAGAAGCAGGAGTCCCAGAAAAGGTAATAAATGGGTCTATTTTGGGCTAGAACGATGAGCTAATCAAACTTGTTAGGGAATCTGATTATGGAGAAGGCCAGCGCGAATCGCCAGCAGAGTCAACAATCCGAGTGACGATTGACGATTTGAAGCAAGAGGTTTGGCAGAAAGGAGCCCAGCTCGAAACACTCAAGACGGAGAAAGAACTGCTCGAGCAAAAGATTGATCAGATCATTACCGAGAGAAAGGAGGTCGAAGAAAAAGGCCACGCCCACCGTGTGATGCTAATGAGGAAGTTGCAGTCTAGGATTGATGGACTGGAGATGCAAAACGCGAACCTATGCAGGCAGCTGAGGGAGATGCAGTTGAACTCGGACAATTCTAAGCAGGCGGAAGTTGTGAGTCTGAAGTCGGAGAACTCCGATTTGCACACCAAGCTTGACCTTTTCAATGCGGAGTTTCAACGTTTGTCTGTTATGCTAGAGGAAAAGGAGAAAGTCGTCATTGAGAAGGACGAGTTTATCTCCAGGCTGGAGGAGGAGGCTCAGGTCGTCACACTACTCGAGCAGCAAATCGTGGAACAGTCAAGGAAGATCTCGTCCCATCTCGAAACGATCCGGTCCATCGACCGCGATCGTAAGAAGACCCTTCAAGAGAAAGAAGCGATCGAAGCTCGGATCGAATCGCTTGAAAAGGAAAAGAAAGAGTTTCTGCAACGTATTTCCACACTGGAGGGCGACAAAGGACAGCTGGAGGTGATTATTCAAGAGAGCAAGGGAAAGATGCAGAACCCGGAGGAAAAACTAACCGTGACCGATCATCACCCCGAGAAGCTCCAGGTGAATCTCGATAGGGCTGTGGAACCGAACGAGGAAGCGGCGCACATTGATTTCCTCAACGCTAACCATCAATTTGTGGCCAATGCAATGACTGACATGAATTTGCTGCCTGCACACATGGATCTTCTTGCTGCAAACGAAGATCATCCTATTGCGGACGTAGGTCTCCCTGTACAATCAATTGGGGATAAAGTAAACTAACATGGAATCATATCAGAACGTTGCTATCCTTGAAGGCCCTTCTGACGAAACGCTCCCCAGTAGCCCTCCGATAGCAGGCCATAGAGCCGTAATGCGTACCTTTTCTCAGCCGAGTAGAGGTGATTCAGTGTCAGGTGGTAGCTCTGCTGGTCAGGTTCCTCGGCCTGGACTCCAGGGAATTTCCGTTGGGGTCCATATTGCTAAAGAAGCCTCAAACCCGAATGACGAGATGGAACCGGGCATTCCACGCCAGCAAGTCGAAGTGCTGTTAACGCCAGGGAAGCCAATCACCACTACAAACACCCATGAAGCCGGTAGTAAGAAGCGGAGGAGAAAAGAGACAGCTATCCAGAGCCCGCTGCCAGCGCCCAAGCGTCCAGCCAAGCGGACGACCCGGCAACCCGCGCCTCAGCCGGCTCAGGCGTCCATGTCCACGGCGAAACAGCACCCTCGAATTAATGCTCCGCGAACCCTATTGAGCTCCCCCAGCACTCCCGCAAATGCTAAGGCTCCTATTGAGCCGTCCTCCGAGGCTCAACCGCACCAAGTTCAACACCAGCTGGAAGATGCTATCCACGCTGGAGTTCAGGCTTTTGCTGATCCGGCTGCTCCTCCTGTTCCCGTTTTTACTTCTCCTCCCAAGACACCGGTCCAAGGTTCTAAGAAGGCCTCTGCCAAAGTTCCTGCCAAGGTTCCCGGTATTCGCAAGAGGTCTTTTGTTAAGAAGCGACAGGCTTACAGTGATCTCGCATGAAGAGAGGATGAAAAAGAGGTGGTAGAGAGTTGCTGTTTACATTTGTTACGTTTTTATTTTTGCTCTTTGCAACTTGATTTTACGCTTTGCTACGGCCGCGCTTCTGATGGATGGGAGGACATCGTCTTTAGCGTGTCTTTGATTGTCGCTTTTCTGTGATTTACTTGACTTGATTTCGTTCTATGGTTGTTGACGGTTGGTGAAGAAAGGATTGACTGACTGCTTATTTCATAAAGTTGTGGAGGTCAGATCTGGCGTGTAATGTTCTTTTGTGTTTATTTCTATGCACTTTCCTTCTGTGCTGATTTGAATTGTTTTTCTCCTCGTTCCCTCTCCATAGTGCTTACATTGAATCTATGGAGAATTGAATAAAAATGTGATTTCTTTTGTACATTTTACTAGTTTTGTGTGATGATTCATGATTGGCTATCATTGGTGAAATTTCCAAATAACGGTTCAGTTAGTTTTGTTGGATAGTCTCGCAATCGCTAAGTTTGGGAGCGAGCATGGAAAGCGAATAACAAGTATAGGTATTGGGCTAGCCAAAAGAACCATTTTCTATTCAACTGATACGGGAGATGGCTGTTGGGGAAGAGTGATGCCATAACAGCCCGCCAACCCTCGATATGGTGACTATTTATGGACCGATCGACTCATCACTCATCTGGGGAATGCTCATCTCGTTCTAGGAGTCGGGATACTCGAGCATCGTACGTACGTAAATATTCTTACACGACTTACAAGCCTCATGCAAGTTGCCAAACATTCGTTCATCCCGCGAGCACACCCTTCTGCAATCGCCCGCGAAGTTACGCTGCTGAAATAAGAGTACCCAGTATTCGCCGACGGGGTGGGATGGCGTGAATAGTGGTAGGGTACTGGGGTAGCCGGGGTGTAGTTCTTGCCGCCGCCGGAAGGGATGTGGGTGGGGGGGAGGGGGGGAGGGGGGGGGGGGGGGGGGGGGGGGGTTGTGGAGGTCTCACAGGTCTCACTGGTCTCGATCATGTGATTGTGTTTCGGGTAGGTAAGATCAGCAGCACAAAATTCTGTCGGTAAAAGAGTTTATGAGAGCTTCGCACTTGCCACTCCCCGGGGACGTTATTGCGCCTCAAGCCCTCCAACCAGAAAGCGGGAAATGGCACGGGAGTGGTGGCCACGACGCTGACACCAGCCAGTTCATGGCCAATCTGGCACCCTCGACCAGTGCACGCAACAGCCCGAAAAGCCCATGGGCTGGGCTGGGGCTGGTGGGCTGATCTGATAGCCCGAGCTGGCGCCGATGGGCTGGCAGCCCAGCCCGGGCTATTAGTTGGGCTGGGCGGGCTGGAGAGTGTTATGTTCCGCTGGGGCACACTGACCGCTCAGATTGAGATAGTAGCCGTTGATAACCCACGCACTATATGTGTTCTCAGCTCCGGGGAATACCGAAGCGTTATCGCAGATCTTGACGAACACATCCCTCCCGACGTAAACACGTTTGCTGTCGACCTCATAATAGTACCTGTTGACATCGGGCCCCAAGTCGGCGGCAGGCACAATATTATTGCGGCAGGCACAATATTATTAGAGGGCAGACCGTCAGGCGTGTTGTTCGTGGGCGGCGTAGTCATTGTGGGGGGATGGGAAGGGCCCGGGCGTTGATCGATGGAGAGGGGGCAGGTGTTGGCAATCGTGTCTGGGAGGAGTACCCCACATAAGCCCTGAGTGCGCACTGGATAGGCGAAGGTCTCAGGATGCATTCGGAGCTGACTAATCAGCGGGGGCGCAGGAAGAATCCAACCACTCCCCGCATGGTACTCTAGAAGTTACACTTTGTGATGTACGGCACGGCCGAACTCAAAAGAAAATGTAATGTGAAAAGGTTATCCTTCTATGTAACTGGCAGTCGGAAAGGCCCTTAACTATGTAAATTCACTGTCCGAAACAGATTAGTTGGCCTTGGCCACCCAATCCTAAAACAAACGTCTCTCATGCTTCTTCAGCGTCTCTCGTGTTTCTCAAATGCTCCGCATATTCTCCTCCTGTGCCCATCATGTCCGCCACATGCCAACTATCCTTCATGGGTTCGCTATCCCCTCATGGCGTACAACATTACCTGTACGTCGTGCAAATAGTCCAGACCTCTGCTCTCATTGACCGCCGGGAGCTCAGTTCCGATGGGGAGCGGTGATGATCTCGAAGGAAGCTGGCCACCGGTGCCACAACCAAGGTCAACGACATCCTCTATCATACTTTCAACCGATATCCTTCCGAAGTTTCGCCTGACCGCAGAGCACAGCGTAACTACATACAGACAGCCATCACCAGAGCACGACCCGGAGTTTATCATTCACCCACTGCTCTCTCTCGACGTTCGGCTGTAGTTCTTTTCCGCTCACAGCCGTGAACTCCACAGCTCCTGTACTGCACCCTCGCGCGGCGGAGGTGAGAGTGGAGTGCAGAGGCATTGCTGATAAGTAGTGGCTGGGTGTGGAAATGGTGCTACTACCTATGTGCGATGGATAGGACTCAGCTCTGCGTGAGCCTTACACTGATTATTATGGAGAATGCACGGCGATTAGGAGACGAGATCGGAATCATACGATGCGATGTCAATTTTAAGATGGCTAGACAGTGAACAAACTTCGGTATTACCCCCTATTTTCCGAAGAGAGGGTGGATGGATGAGGTTTAGGGATTACTACGTGGTGTTAGACACTAGTTGTTTCCAACGAAGTAATGGGATTAATTACCAGAAACCGACGTCAGAAGAAAGGTGAATGGTACCCTCTTCCTCTTTCCAGCCAATGCCATTGCCTCCTCCGTCGACATGGCGATCAATTCCTCCAGGCTGGGTGGTGGCATCGGAACCGTCGTTTGGAACTTCTCCTCAACTACCTGTGGTACCCGATCTAATCGTATGTATGGTTGTTCTGAATGATTGAAGGTGCACATGTGTTTAATAAGGTTCTGTTTACGCAGTACTGTACATACCAGAGCCCGTGGTTAGTGAATGCAACGAGTGCAAAGTGATATCTTGTTCTCGGGGAGACTGAAGCTCGATGCGCACGTCCGTAACAAGGTGCTTCTCATGTTGTGGAGCTGTACATACCAGAGCCCGTGGCTAGTGAACGCAACGAGTTCAAAGTGGTCCCTTGTTCTAGGGGAGACTGACACGATAAACGACGCTCGAGCATCAATCTCTGACGACGGCCCAAGTCATCTAGATCTGTACATACCAGAGCCCGTGGTTAGTGAATGCAACGAGTGCAAAGTGGTATCTTGTTCTCAGGGAGACTGACCCTCGGTGAGGCAGACCCACGCTGAATAATGATCGCCGGAAAATAACGAAGCGTTTTTGCAGAGTTTGATGAACTCGCTCCTCACGGTCGAGAGGATGGGGCCATTGGTATAATAATAGCTGTTCACATCCGGACCGACGTCGGCAACAGGCACAATTGTCTTGGATGGCGGGCCGGAGGGCATGATGTTCTTGGATGGCGGGTCGGAGGACATGATGTTCGTGGGCTGCGTAAACAGTGCGGGGTCAGGGGGCAGGGAGTAGGATGGTGACGATGAAGATTAGCGTGGGGCTGGCGGGCCGCTGAGTGCGCACTTGATACCTACTACCTAAGCGAACGTCTAAGGATGCATCTAAATCTGACTAAGCAGCTACAAGTATCCAACTAATCCTTAGCACCCGAGTCAATTCGCACCCGTTCCCCAGACCTTCATTTCGCTTACCTTTTCTCACGGAACGGAAGACAGAGAGAGAGAGAGCTGTGAAGTGTTGACACCCTGATGAGCGATGAACGGTGCGGATGGTTGGATGCGGAGGGGTATTGCGTGGCAGAACACAGGCATTTCGACGACAGTACGGCCGGTTCCTGGTCACTCATTCGACTATACATGTTAGGGATACCATACGTAAAGTCTGAGGCGTGACGGTAGATTATCAGGTGTGGTCCGCAGCAGCGGGTAACCTTCGCTAGCACTTCACCTCTCTATCGTTAGTTTGAAGCGGCTCCAAACGTGGCTCCCCCACCACCCAAAGCACCCTTGTAAATTCTCCAACGTCCCACCTCCACCAAACGCGCTTCGCACCGATTCCACCAGCACCACCGTCAAATCCGCCATGGCCAAGAAAGGCACGCGCGCACACACCCTTCGCGCCTTCCCCTGCCTCAACCAGCTACCTGGCTAACACGCATCGCAGCGAAATCTCGAACGGTTGCCGTGCGTCTGATCTCGATGGCGATGACGGGGTACTACAAGACTTTCGTGCGGCCGCGCACCCACCGCCCGCTCAGCATGATCAAATACGATCCCGTCGGTATGTTTTCTTTCGTCCGCGGAGGTCCGCGGGAGGTCCGGCGGGGTCAAGGATTGCGGATGGCCGCTGACCCGGTGCCGGCAGTGAAGCGCAGCGTGCTCTTCCTCGAGCAGAAGCGGAAGGGAGGGAAATAAACGTCGGTGTGGGGGGAGTCGCACGATCGGCGAGGGAGGCTACGGGGTGCGGGATTGGGCTGCGGACGGTGACGGTCGTGTACTGTAGCGATAGAACGGGTCTTTCCTTTCTCACCGACGGTCGGGCGGCGGCGGCGCGGGCGGCCGGGTGGTTGCGGACACGGGTAGCCGGATTCAACGTGATGGCGGGGGTTGGCGACTCGGGCTGAGGATTGACTCCGCCGAGTGAACTGGACGGAACGAACTCACTGAGACGCGTGCCAGTGAAGTGGTGCGGCTGGTATGGACTCCCTTCGGCTTTCACCCGCCTCATCCACTGCCGCCAATTCCCACACTGGAACCCCAGACGCCCGTAGAAACAGACGTTTGTGAGCAAGCGGTGGCCACTTGCTTCTCCGGGGTGTAGCCGGCGTGAGAACCTCCGGCTCTACAGGAGCTTTTGCACCCGGGAGTTGGGGATGAACAATTGGCGCAACAAGACATCATAGACTCCGACCCTACGTTACTCCGCTATCCCATGCTACCGTATTCGTTGCACGTGTACTTATTGTAGCCCTTGGGTCATTACGCCTGGGGAGTACGGACGGGACTGGATTGCAGCACGCAGTGCGTCCGGAGGCTAGGACTGGGACCGTCGAGGCAATTGTGGTGAGATACTAGCACCAATATACCTAATAGGTACATCATGCTCGATAAGAGGCAGACAGATGGGGAGAATGCAATCGCAATCAACGATACCGGAAGAACATCGTCTACGAGTGATGCGTGTGCCGTGAATGCCATCACCAGCTTATCTACCTGGGCACTACATACAATGCAAACTCTGCCTCATCATTGATTCGGTTGAGCAGCGAGCTATGCTTCGATGACGCTGAATCTGTCTTCTCACTCGACCTACCAACCAGCCAACCAGCCAACCAGCCAATACCGCCACGCCCGTCCAAACCCAACAGTCTGGAACGGAAGATTTCCTTCGCTGATGGCACCGCCCGTAACGCGAGTATTATGGTATGTTACATACATGGAAGGAATACGAACGGACTCGCCAGAGGAGGCTGCGATCGATCTCCACCCCTTGGCGCCCCATAGAGGGGGGTGAAGTAGAGAATGGTTCCTCGTAGGTATCCGCGAGCATACGGGGGAGCGTGTGGAGGCCGCAAGAGGACGTGGGTTGGTGGGTATGTATTGGGGGAACCGCTCACGGTGGAGTGCGGCAGTGCGGCAGTGTCGCAGTGACGGAGGTCAACAGAGGTTTAGTGGAAAGTGTGAGACGTGAAATCTTCTCAAGTACATACACGCGCAGGACAGAATCACGTGGAATACATATTACATAGCGCATGGATCCATCGTTTCAGTCAGGTCCGCCATGTAATCGCGTACATGCGCCGAGTGATGGCGTGTGAATGTGTGTATCGTGGTAGGTGGTGGGTGGTGGGTGTGGTCAAGGGTTTAATAGCCGTGTCCGGGTCCATGTCTGTGGCTGCGTCTATGCAGCTGGCATGGCCGGTCGGTCGATCGATCACTACGGTGCGTGGTGATTGCGCCAGTCACAGATTATGAACCTACCGGTACCGTGGACGGGAACTGTACTGCGATGGGGGCTCGCAGGACACATCCGTACCGATTCCAGGCTGTACTACTACTCGATATATTATCCAGTAATAGGTTTGGATTACGAGAGCCATAGCTGACTCCAGATGGTGCCGTGCCTACGGTATTGGACGACCCCAGCGTGAAGAAGGACTCAAGAGCACAGTTCGGCAGCCAAACCGACGTAGAGCTCACCGCTTGGCAAACATTTACCGGCCCGCACGACCTCAAGTACTAAGGGGCGTGAAGGAAGAGGCAGCTTGGCGTTATCAGTGAGCCCCGGAGAGAGGAGACCTTGTTGAGACCTTGCTGGGACCTTGTACTTGGGGAGAGAGACCTTGCTGGGACCTGGTGGGACCTATGTGTTATGTAGAGCAGACCCGATGCGGACGGCAAACGTTGAATTGTTTCTGTTGTCACTGTTTCTGTTCTGCCTGTCCGGGCTCCGTCTTTCTTTCTTCTCATCATCATCATCAGACCAACATTGCGCCATAGAGGACGCCGGTGAGATCGAGTCATTCGATCCATTATCATCATAGACGGTAGACCTCACCTTTCAATTGATCACGTTTTTGTCTCATCACGTTTTTGAGTCTCTCAGTACTACTCCAGGAACTATACCTTCCACCGACCGCGATCACTCTTCACGACTCCGCCCGAGCACCTCCCCGTCCGAGCACGTTGGCGTACTCTACATACGCACTCGCCGGTGCTCTCCCCCCACCAACCGCCGCCGGGAATCCATCTAAGAACCACTATACCTACTAGTAGGTGGCCATGGAATTCCCGTATCCCGTACCCCCGGCCGGGGATCTCAATCGGATCGGAGAGTTCCTACGGGTATGTACTCTACCGTACTCCACCGTTCATACAATTCGCGCGGCCGGCTAACCCAGCACGGGGCAAGTGTGGGTGTCGAACGCTCACCGAAGAAGCTACCCTTTATACCGGGGAGGGGGGTTGGGACAACATCTCGAACATCTCGAACGAACGGACGGGTCCGACTGGTGGGGCTGAGCCAAACCGCAATTTCCAGACCGGGGTGGTCAAAAGTCGGGACGCTCCGAAACTCGGAGGCAGGGACCGCAGTGTGCACAGGGGGGGCACGAGGTAGGGCAGTTCCTCGGTCCAGTTCGGCAATAGTGATCCTGCGGAACCCGATGGCTGAGGCTTGGGCCGTGCAGCCCCAGCTACACCTGGGTGCACCGATGCTATTGGCGGAGTTTGGTTTCTGCGAGCGCGGCTCCAGCCTCTAGCCAACTAAGCGAGTCGCTACCATCCATCCACTGCTTCTGGGTAGAGGTTGACTAGTCCATTAGGTACCTAGTACTCACTAGTTAAAGCGGCGAGACGGTTGAAACTTGACGATGGTTCAGTGGTTTTCACTGTCACTGGCCGAGTGAGAGATGTTGAGTGGCGGCGATGGATGGGTGGGGGGACAACTCGACCGGCGTTCGAATTGCTGCTTGGCTTTCCTCTGCGAGGCGACGGACTCGGAGTCTGGTGCAGGACACGGCTTACATACAAGTCGATCGCGACGATGGCACAACCCCTGTCAACTCTATTACCCCGCAACCTTACTACTGCGGACGGCGGCCGAGGGGAGCTGTGGGACCGTTGCAGCGACGAACTTGCGCATCGTCCGCTAACCACCTATCTACCAGTACTATGGATACAGCGTCGTCACTATCGCGGTGCGAGGTGCGTGTGCCAGCCGGTCTGGGTATGTAGGTGTGTGTGCTGATGCTGTGGTGGTGGTGATGGTGGTGTGGTGGTGTGGTGGAGGTGTGGAGGTGTGGATCGCGAAGCAAGCCATGAACCCATCGGCAAGGCACTGACTCGACTGACCAGTAACCAAGTGGGTAGGTAGGCAGGCCACACAGCGGAACATAAAGGCAGCTTCGAATCCACACTCGATCAGCACGCGGTTTTTCGTCCGTTCTTCTTCGCCTTCTCTTCTCTCTCAAGTTTCCCGCTTGAGAATTGCGGTTCTGAAGCGAAGCGAGATGCCGCGGCGAATCTAGCTGGATGCAGCCTAGCCCGCCAGCCAGCCCACTTGGACGTCATGCATGCGCAACGCGACGAGTTCCGAAGCTCATGGGTGTCGCCGTCGGTGCTTCTCCACCAGTCGGTCAGTCGGTCAGCCAGCCAGCAAGCAAGCAGTGCACTACCGCCCCAAGCCGAGTGGATGGGCCTAGGAGGGGATGGGACTACGAGTAGAAGCGGCACCAGCTCGAGTAAGCAGAGAAGGGAGATGGGAGATGGGACAAGGGACAAGGGAAAACAAGGAGGCGTGCACGGTAATCGATAGCCGAGCGACAACCCACCCCAACCCGACCCATTCTCGTTCCACAGACCGTCCGGCCAGTCGCGCCCGAAGGCAGCCACCGCGCTTTCCCGAGCGAGCGAGCAAAGTAATCGTCCGTCGCCGAGAGCGTCTCAGTCCACTGCACGACGGGAAACGGAGAGCGAGCGCGGGGCCGCGGAATCCAAGGACCGACCGTCATCGCACCCCCAATACCCACCACCAGCCACGGTGCCCACATACACCAACACGCGGAATGGCGACGGCCGGCAACAACTCTGCGTCGTCGACGCTGCGAACTAACTATCCACTCTGGGCACCCATCTCTCTCTGCCGAGGATGTGACAACGCGCTCGATTGTTTTCTTTATTTCAATTTCGGTTTCGATCCAACTGTTGGTCTTGATTCCGCGGATGTTTCGTTTGCTTGCTTGCTCGCAGTCTGTAATGATGCCGGTCCCGTCTTGCGCATATCCGCCGTGTGTGGGAGAAAGAGATGTGCCACGGCAGAAACCTCGTCGCATCGCTCTCGACGGTGTAACTTGACCGGACAACAGGTCTCAGTACGCAAGCACTTGAAAGTTGGCAGGCAAGCAAGGCAACCAGACAGATAGATACGGTAGATGGCTGTCAGCACCTACAGCACCATCCACCCCTCCATCCCACGCAGGGAAGCATCCCAAACAGGAATCCTTCACCCTTCCCGCATCCCATAATCTCCAACGAATCCCGCTCAATCAATCCACAACACAGAGGCATTTCGATTCCCCCCCCTCCTCTCCGGAAATAACTGGCGTTGCCGCAATCCCCGCACCTGGCAGCAAGTCCTCCACAGCCCCCCTCCAACCCCCATAACTGCCCGCAGAAACTAACTGCTCGCGTGCGTGCAGTGAGTGATTAAGTCCAAAAGTCCAGTCACGGTATACCTACTCACACCTACTCACTTACCTCCCCCCACGGCGTGGATCCGTCGATCCAACTTAACCCGGCATCCATCGGGCGTGGACGGCGGCTGGACATCTCGGGAACGCTTCCAGCTTGCGCCACACCTGTCGGGGATATGGCACCCATACCTACGTGCAATTGTCTACCTGCCCGGGATAGTTATGGCACCCCATACGTGCAACAACCGTCTACCTGCCCACTAATCCGCCTACCCATTACTCCACCTACTACACACTACTCCACCTACCTACCCAGTGCCTACTCTACCCCCCCCCCCCCCTCCCCCCGTCCGTACGGTCCTAGTATCAGAGTCCATCCCCTGCTGCATATATAGCCCCTCACCTGCTCTCAGTCATTCACCTATTTACTTCCTCCTCTCCCTCCTCCCTTCGTCCCTCGCCTCCTCCTCTTACTTATATATCTACTGCTCTCGTCTCGTCTGCGAATCGTTGTTTTGCCATTCTCTCCTCCAGATCTCCCACTCGTCCTTACATCTATAAAGCTTCCAGCCATGTCAGCAGCAGCTCCTTCCCGTTCCGCGCGGCGCGGCGACTTCATGAGGAGCCCTCTAGTGGCGGCGGCGCTTCCCTTCGTCAACGGCGGTGCTGCCGGTATGATTGCGACTTCCATCATCCAGCCGGTGGACATGGTCAAGGTTTGTGGCCTTCTTTCCCGTTCGTTCGTTAGTTGGGACGGGACCACGGTCGGACGGTGCGGGGCAGCTGCACTCGGATTACGGGGTTGGCGTTTCCGCACTGGTCCCACATGCGCGAACGATCATTGCCCAATCCAGCTCTGCTGCGTGTGCGGTGTGTGTTGCACGAACCACCGCTGACATGCCCGTCACTTCAGGTCCGTCTGCAACTGGCCGGTGAAGGTCTATCCGCCGCCGCCCGCCCCTCGCCCTTCACAATCACCCGTGATATCATCGCGCAAGGCCGCTTCCTCGATCTCTACTCCGGTCTATCCGCGGGTCTCCTGCGACAAGCTGTGTAACCACTCCCACCCACATCGCGCTCATCACGCACATCACTCGCACGCCTTGCATACGGTACGCTAACACTAGCGTCTACTATAGCTACACCACAGCTCGCATGGGGTTCTTCAGCACCTTCATGGGGAAATTCGGCACGAAAGCTAAAGCCGAGAACCGTTCCGTAACTTTCGCGGAGCGCTCGGGCGCCTCGCTCGCCGCTGGCGGTCTCGGCGCTATCCTCGGCAATCCCGCCGATCTCGCCCTGATCCGCATGCAATCCGACGGCATGCGCCCCGCTGCCGAGAGGAAGAACTACTCTTCCGTTGTCAATGCGCTCACCCGCATCGCAAAGGCCGAGGGCATCTTGGCCCTTTGGAACGGCTGCATCCCTACCGTCGCCCGCGCTATGGCGCTGAACTTTGGACAGTTGGCCTTCTACTCGGAGACCAAAGCCCAACTGTCGGCTTACGGCGCGTTCGAGGGATACCGTGGACAGGAGGCATACCGTAACCTTGGCGCCAGTGCCGTCGCTGGTTTCTTTGCGTCCTTCTTCAGTCTGCCGTTCGACTTTGTCAAGACCAGGCTGCAGAAACAGACCAAGGGACCGGATGGAAAGTTGCCGTATCGTGGAACCATGCATTGCGCGATGAAGGTTGCAAAGGAGGAGGGTCTGTTGAGGTTCTACAGGGGCTTCGGAACGTGAGTTGCCCTCGTGTTTTGTTATTACCTCGTGCCGATTACTGACGGACACACAGCTATTACGTGCGTATCGCACCGCACGCCATGTTGACGGTGCTATTTGCGGACTGGTTCCTGCAATTGACCAAGTCGGGCAGCGTGTAAAAGTACCGTATGTACAAGAAGTATAGACTGGGTGGTAATGGCTGTGAAATATAGGAGGCCGGAAGTGGGGGGTGGGAGGATGAGATGGTTACGACGCGATATGACGAGCATTTTGTTTGGGACAGTTTTTGGGGACTTTCTTTTTTTTCTTCTTTCTTTTCGTTCTTGGTTGCGTATCGTCTTGGTGCTGGGATTGGCTTTTGTATGTATGGGTGTAATTTCTTGCGATCGATCCATCTTTCTTGACCGAGCGCCGGAGGCGCGTGAGCGAAATATGTACCTCGCACCGCATGTCGATCATGGGGTGATGTGTGCTATGGATGGGCGGGTGGAGCGGATAAACGTCGTGACGGCGAGACGGCTACCTACCGTGTGTTCCATTGAAACACGTTTACGGCACAATTCTGACCGTTGAAACGGGTGATGCGCGGTTAAAAAGAAAACATGACGAAGCAGTAGGCGGATGCACATTGCGCGAAACGACATGTGAAATAACGGCCTATCACGAAACGGAAGATGCGCGGGTCGGGCGGTGACGTAGGTACGTAGCTAGCAGGCGACGACAGAGCTCAAGCTCGGGGTAAAGTAGTTGCGACGCTCACCACCGCACCGCACCACAGCACCACGGCTGGGGTCGGGGATACCTTTGTTTTTTTTTTACCCAGTAATCGCATGTGATCTCTACGAGTAGATCATGGCGATGACCTACACACATACTGGTAGTAGGTAGGGGAGCACTCCGGGTCCACACCCTCCACTGTCCAGTCTAGCCAGAGTTTCATCGAGTAGATGGACCGATGTAGGGTAGATGCTTGATTTCTCTGATAGGTATGAAGGTATGAAGGCTGGGTTCTGTTGAAGCAGGCAGACATGGAGTACTAGGCAGTAAATATCACTCGTTTGACGAGTGAAATTCTATGACTATGATTGTGAATGATACAAAGTAGCATACCTACCATGGTAGATTCCATTTACCGCATAGACGAGGACAGACGCGGTACTAGGCACTGTCTACTGGCTTCAGGGAATCCGCCACCATATGCACATCTCTAGCCCCCAGTCATAATCTACATCTACAATCCCAAAAGCTCCCAATCCGGCTCTTCATCCTCATCATCCTCATCCTCTTCTTCAGATGCTGCCTCTTCCTGTGATGGTACTACGTCCATCTCGACGTCCGGAAGAAACCCTCCACCAGCCTCCTCCTCCTCCTTCTCTTCTTCGGGTATGGCACGTTCAGCGTCTGGCAAAAAGCCCTCGCCATCATCCAGGCCTGCGATGGATCCACTACCGCTGCTGCCATTAATGGGTGCTGGCTTGGTTGTTTGCAAGGGGTGGGCAGGCTCGCTGGGGCTGTCATTTTCTGGAATGAATCCACCGCCATCGTCTAGGCCTGCGATGGATCCACTGCTGTTGCTGGCATCGGTGGGAGCTGGCTGGGTTGTTGGTATGGGGTTGGCAGGCTCTGTGTGGCTGGCATCTTCTGGAATGAATCCACAGCCATAATCATCGTTCGGTAGGAATCCTCCTCGTCCTCCACTGCCATCTTCCTCTGGAACAAATTCACCACCGGCCCCCTGATCTGGTAAGAATCCTCCTCCCCCACTGCCATCTTCCTCTGGGATAAATCCACCACCGCCATCTTCAACATCACCGTCTGCCAAAAAGCCACCGCCACCATACCCATCCTCCTCCTCTTCCGCTGACCTCATCAGCTTTTCACTCCCCTTCCTTGCAGTCTCCTGCGCAGTATTCGTTTCGTCGCCATCTGCCAAAAACCCGCCCTCTCCTTCCTCATCTTCAACCGCTCGCCTCATCCTTCTGCTCCTCCTTCTGAAAATCTCCTGAGCAATATCCTCTTCCTCATCAGTGTCTGCCAAAAAGCCACCCTCCTCCTGATCTTCGTCTTCTTCATCTTCATATTCGTTTTCGTCCGACTGCACCCTCCGCTTGGCCTGGTTTCTTCTCTCCGGCTTCTCCCTCCTTTCTACACCGTCGGTCCTCAATCTCGCCACAGGGACCTCATCGTTCCCCATCCCAAGTCTCTCCCTGATCCTCAACCTAAGCAGCCACCTCCTCCACAACCTCAGTGCCTCCAGTCCCCTTTGTCTCTCAACCTCCCTCTCGGCCTCCCACTCCAGCCCCTCTACCACCGCCTCTACCGCGGCACCATACTCACTCGCCACGACCACGCCCTTAACCATCGGACTAGCCATGCGGTTCCTAAAATCAAAGCCCGCGACGGCGTCGACATAATCGATACCGAGGATTCGCGCGGCGTTGCGGGCATTAGTGTGGAGGATGTGGACACCACCTGCCGGCACCATCGAGGGAACGAATACATCGAGGTTTCCGAAGCGATTCTTGGGGACGATGCCGTTTACGACTGGGGGCGGGGAGTAAAGCCTCGTTTGGGCGTGCGAGAACATCGGCTGGTGCGGTAGAGCTTCGTCTTCCCCCTCCTCCTCCCGACCACCTTCTCCTTTCCGCGCTCTCGCTCTCGCGGGCGTGAATTTTAACGGAATCTCGTTCTTCAGAACCTCGCGCCCGAGCTTGTACCACTGCTCTACGGTCTTTACTTCCTTCACGTCCTGCCGCCGGAACACGGTCTCGACCTTTCCTTTGCCGCTATTGACAGTCCCCACTTTCCTCTCCGGACTGATAATCTGACCCCTCTTGAGATGTCTCTTCAGCGCAAAAATCGGATGGTCCTTAAAGTCTTGCACCGCCTTCGGCATAGGCTCCTCCAATTGCAGCCTGGAAAACTCCGCACCCTCGAGCTGATCGCGATCTACTCTGTAGCCGCGATGGAAGTTCCGGCGGAGGAGACGGAGAAACCATTTGTCACCTCTTTTGGTAGAGTGAACGCGGAAGCGTCGCGTACGTGCGGAGAGGAAGGTCGCGTAGCGGCGGGTTACGTCGATGATGTGGCCGGTGTCTTCGAAGGCGAGAGCATATGTGAGTGTGTTTAGGGGATCCGAGAGAGGGGGTTCGAGGAGGGCGGGTTTGGCCACGGTTTGCGTGACGAGCGGGTCCACGGTTATCCAGCGTTGCGACGGGACCGACCAAGCTTCTATCCAGAATACGGGGTAATCGCTTTCGACGAGTTTTTGCTCTTCGGGTTTGGGCGGCGGGGCGCTGGGTTTTGTTGGGGCTACGTAAGGGGCGCGGAGAATAGGATCGGTGAGAGAGCTGATGCGCGGTGGAACCGTAGCGGAGGCGGAGACAACGGGAGCTTCTGGTTCCGAGGTGGTAGAGGAGACTATCGAGGCCGCTATTCGTGCCGGTGGGGACTTCTGTGTGAAGGTGAAAGGCAGGACCTGTAGGGAGCACACGAGGCGTGTCTCGATATCTGCTGAGCGTAGAAGTGCGCAGAAGAGTTGTGCGCCAAGGTCGCGAGACCCGGACAGCGTTGTGGACGCATGTATGAAGTCTGCTCTAGATATCAGCTCTGTGCCCAGCGGCGTCGACCACTGCGGAGTGTATAAGCCAACGGTCCAACATGAACAGACAGCGTGCAGGATACCTTTTCCAGAGCTTCAGATTCCATCCATTGTGCAGCCGTCAGGCCTCGCCGTGTGATCTTGAATTTCCTCCGAAATACAGTAACAGCCTCCTTAAGGCCATCGGTAAACATCTTGGACCTGCGGAACTGCTGGTCTGTTGGATCATGGTGTAGCTTGTCATACACTTTGTCAGGAAGTAGCGGCCGTAAATTTTCCTGTACTTCCTCAATATTGCACCATCGATTCCGCAAATTTACGTGGGACAGCAGGCATAACAGGTGAAGTTTATGCGTTTCGAGACGAATCCTCCTATCCATCGCTGTGATCTTTCGGCGAGCCGTGGTATCAATATTTTTTGATGATGGTTCGGTGAGAATCAATTCCAACATCGCGGATTTTGGCTCCGGCACAGGTTCCGGATCCGGCTGCGACTGTGAGTTCATAATATCTCGGAGATCGATAGCTTCCCGACATGTCAGTATCCAGGACTCGTTCACGGTACGGAAAAGAAACACACGCTTTGAACTCAGACCCACATCCTCCCAGTCAATATCACTATCCTCGTCATCCTCGTCTTCGTCCGGGTGCTCGTCATCTGCTACCGTGACTCCAGGCACAGCCTCGGCGTTCAACGCCGGCATCACCTTTGCGTCGTTCACCTTTTCCACAACCTCTACCGGCGCCACCTCCATTTTCCTCCGCTTCGTGGCAGAAACATCCGATTCTTCGCCAGCGCGCGTCTTCTCCTCCTTGTCCGTCAAGAGCTCCAAAAACACCTCAGGCACCTCCGGCGCTGTCTCCTTTCTCCGACTGCGGGTGACGCGTGCTGAGGGCGAACCGGCCGTAGCTTTCCGCGGGGGAGTTTCCTTCGCGGCGGCGCGACGACGTTTCGGCGGCATTTTGGCGGTTCTGTGTGTGAAGCGGATAGTTGGCGGCGGCGGCGCGGGGCGAGAACTGGGAGCTGGGAGACGTGGAGGGATGACGTGAGTCACTAGTGTACGTGATATGGTGGTTACACAGCAGGTAATCTGCGGCTGGCTGGGGTCTGCGGGGCCTGGCGGACTTAAGTGACGTCAAGTCGTCGGGAGCGCTCTTGAACGGTGAAGGGGCGAATCACGAATAAAGTTATTTTGCTATCTAAAACATAATACTTGGCCTGGACGGCGCATAAATCATCCGAGTAAGAATTGGGTATCATTTCTGGATCCCGTCCTCATTCCCCTCACTAAAAATGTGAAAAAACAAAAATTATCGCCCCACCTCCCCCTCAATCAATCCTCTTCTTCTCTCCGTCCTTCCTGATCATGCGGGCGAAGATCTTATACGCCGCCGTCAGTCGAACCTTGAGGGTCTCCTCCGAGCGTTTCAGCGTCCGTACTCTGGCCCGAAGGGCCTTTCCGGAGCTGGAAAGCTCGGAAACCATTCCTCTCAGCATCCTGAGCTCTTCCTCAACCCCGCCTAGGAGGCAGGGGAACAGCTTGGCCGAGCGCGAGTGCTCGATCTGAAAGTCTTCCCACTTCCCTTGAAGCTCACAGCATGCCTTGAGCAGAAACGCTCTGGGCATGACTTTGTTCTTTTCCCACCTAGCCACCCTCTGCTCAGCCGGGAGCAGCTCTCGGGAATCCGGAAACCCGAGTTTCAACCATCGGGTCTTGCCGAAGTAGGAACAGGTGCGGATTCCGATGAAGGCGTTCTTGTGGTGATCGGCCAGGCGGCGCTTCCCCTCGAACGATAGCCACTCCGTGAGCTCTCCTCCCTCTGCATGCATGACCCAGATGTCCCAGAGGCCTCCGCGGAGGACCGTCATGGCGAAGTCGGTGTACATGGTGATGCGTGACTGGCCGAGGCCAAGTGCCTCGGTGGGCATTAAGTCGTCATAGACGGCAGCGGCGGTGCGGTTCACAATCTTGGCGAGCTTAACGATGGATTTGACGGCCGTGAGGCCTCCATCGCGGAGCATCCTGTCGACCTCCTTGTAATCGAGTTCTTCGTCTAAGAAATAGTTAGAACCAAACTCGTAAATTTGCACTCGGACGGCAACGGCTTACCAACTACTTCGTATTCGGGATCCGGTGCTTTCTTGAGATCCGATTCGTACTCGTTCTCGCTCTTCTCCTCCCACCCTAAATTCAAGATTAGGAACGGCTCACATGTCCTCACTCGCAACAAGTTACTTACCGTAATCCATTTCCACTTCTCGCTTACTTCTACAGATCTCTCTCTGTCTCTCTCTCTCTTGCCATAGACTAGTATGGCCGCATCCGGAATAAATCGATGCTCTCACTCTCTCTCCCTTTTGCTGGGCAACATAAACCCTGAGAGCACACTCGTAGTGCTCCATAGTTCTTCCTCTTCCTCGGAGGATCGGGTCGGCCTTCAGGACCGCTCGGAAAATTCGCGCCTTGTTGCTGTTGAAAACGGCCCCCATGAACTTGTTGGAGGAGGCGAGCGCAATTGCGTCTTTGAAGCTGTCGCAGCTCTTGAGGATGCTGTGGATTATTTCCACGGGGAGGGCATCGATGCTGCGCATGGTTGCCGTATGTAGTAACAACTGTGAGTGCGGGCGTGGAAATGTGAAATCTTAATTGCTGTCGCAGGAGGTTGTGATGTAGGAAGATGGAATTGTGTAGAAAAACTAGAGGAAGAGGATGATGTGGAAGATGTAGAGGATGTCGAGGATGTCGAGGACGAGGAGGAGGAAGAAGAGGAGGAAGAGGAGGAGGAGGAGGAAGGGAGTCAATTATTTATAAGTGGCGCTTCAAAATTTCGCCGCTAGTGACTCGTGAGACTGCCCAGCGTAAATAACAACAGCCATATATTCCCAGTGCAAGCTTGAATCGCTAGTTGCGGCTGCGGCTCCACGATTGCGGCAACTGCGTGATTCATCCTGGAGTTGACATCACCAAATCTCCATCGCGAGGGTCTCCGGACACCCACCGACCGCTAATCACGATTCGCGGTGGTCCCTCGCGCTCAGGGTAGATTTTCGGATGGAAGAGTAGTAGGTACATTATGACAGTGCCTCCGATGATTTTCGTCATTACTCGGACTGGACTGAGAGGTGCGTCCGTCTTGAGGCTTGTACTGGACTGGGCAGTTTGCGCGGCTGGTAAGACTAAACGGACGGTAGTCGACTACATATACTAGTACATTGGATGGAAATCGATATAAATCAGTGATGAAAGTTTTCTAGAGTCTGAGATCTCCATCTTCCATCAAGTTCCAGCAGCCATACCGATATGACTAGAACGTTCCTCAGTCAGGCCCGGCTTCTTTGCCAGAAATACATCTGGAACCGTAGAGCCTTCGTTAGCACCAAGGGTTTCATTTTCCACAGCTGTGTACGGGACCTGAATTTCGGGTACTTTATCAGAGGCTTGTCCGTCCGGCAGGGAGATCGAAAATGTTGAACGACGTTGACACTATAAGCGCCAACGACGTCTGGTAAGCGCTACTGGCGCGCCATCACCTATGAAGAGCCGCGAACGATCCCTGATCAGCTGGTGCGGATTTGTTCAGATTTGGGCATCAGATTTCGGACTTTAGGATTAACTGAAAAATACTTGGCCCCGTTCTGTAGCTCTACTACTGTGAGGAAAGCCTAATCACCCGTCCAAGGCCAACAGAATGTCGGTCGACACGAGGGTTAACCTTTAAGCACGTGACCACATAAAAGAGTACAAATCAGCTTTTCCGAATTAAGTACAAATCAGACCGGTCGACCGGCCAACATAAATAAGAAAATTTAACCCGCTCATCGCTCCCTCCTTTTCCCTTAATTTTACCACGCTCGTGTCTCGCCCAAGAGAGTAATGCCATCCACAGAGCGTTTAACCACCAATCTTGTCGACGACCCACCGGGCGGCATCAGATCCATAGACCGCCGGATAGGTCAGATGCACCAGAAGGTCGTGTCCGGAGTCACAGAATGGATCGCCTGAATCGCAATACGAGCGGAACTTTAAGGCCTGAGGCTCACACGATTGATCACTGAGGCGAGGGAACAGTCCCTGGTTGATGGCGGTGCCGACGTGATAGGATTCACCGAAGGTGTAGCGGGGGTCGCCCATTTGAAGGACCGCGACGACTGTGTAGCGTTAGTGGGAGGATGACTGGACGGAGTTATCGACATATCATACCTCTATTACGTAGAGGCGTGTCCAAGGGAGGCGTCTTCTCGCCGAACTGGCCACCACCTCCGCCGCACATGGCATCGCCTGTTTTTATTCCAGTTAGAAATGATGTTCCACCTTTCGAGGTGTTGGCTATCTCAAGCTCACCGATGATCTGAGCGCCCTGGGAGTACCCTATGAGCACAATCTCCGTCTGTGGGCACCGTTGAGCAAACGCGGCAACCTGCCTCTTCACCGCGGCAGTTCCATTCGTCACAGAGAGGTCGTACGGGTCCAAAAGGGCGGGATAATCAATCGCTTCCTGGGTGATGTTCTGGTGGGAAGTGACCGCAATCGTCGCCGCGACGGTGATGATGATTCCCTCGCCTGGGGGTTCGATAGAGCCACGAGCAACGATGAGGTGGGCATCACCACACGCGCTCTCACGATCTTCGAGCTCGGCTCGAGGAACCGCTAGTGCTAGTGAGGACATCGCGAGGAGGAGAACGGTCGGTTTCGAGATGATAGTCATTGCGGAAGAACCGAAACGCATGGAGGGTAGCGGGCGAATCAACATCGACTGCTAAGAGAAGCGCTGGTGGAGTGGATGGTCTTCACCAAAAAGGGGAGATTGCGGCTACTTAGTTGGAGGCTGCAAAAGACAAATGCTATTACTATGATTATGAACGTTGCGGTATCGATCGGGAGTCTAAACCCATTATACGACCTCAACCCGATGATGGTGGTCAACTACATACCGAGGGTTACTCATCGGGGTTTTGCACATCTTCAGCCAAAATAACTCCTTCACCTCGGTCCGTGAGAACTCCTCAGAATCTGAATTCAAATAAGCATTATCATCGTGTTTTTCGGAAAGGGTGAGGCCCGCCAACCACGGGTTGTCATATCGCGGAGAAGGGTTAGGCGGCAGGAAGAGTAGCTGTAGGTGTCAACCTTTCAACGTCTGTCCGTCCGAATACAGCAATGGTAGGTAACCATGGGACACTTTCCAGAGGATGTGAGATTTCGTTGAACCGCAGTTATCGAGAGTAAAATAAGGATGGCCATGGCGACAGCTCGAGCGGGATTCACTTCAGCTATCCAGCCAAGCAAGTGGTATTTTTCATCGGACTTGCAGGACTCGAGTCAGTTGGCGCCGCCATGGTTGCCTCCCAGGGTGATACAATAGCGCAGCAGTGATTCCAGTGAATACCTGATATGGTTAGTACAGGTCGCAACCAGATCACAACCCATCGGCTCGCAAAACCGACCCCAGCACCTTCTCTCCAGACATTGCATCCCGCACCCCCGCCATGGCTCCCTCCAGCGCATCATCCACGCTTCCCACGTCTTACTCTCTCGCGAGATACACATATGCATCTCCTTCAACCGATGGCGCTTGGCTCATATATCCGCGCCGCAACGGCCTCTACGTCGTGTGCGATCCAGCTGTCTGCCATCTCAAGATCGTATGGGCGGTCGAACTACTCGCCGAGATTGATGTTATCGCTGATGTGAAGCATTCGAACGATTGTTTTGTCGTTGGACGCTTGCCCGTGCTCGCTGTGAAGTATGCGGGAGGACTGAAGAGACTGCAACTGAGGTTTCAACGCGTGGAGGACTATGAGAGTGTTGTGCGGTATTTGGAGGGATGGGGGGTGGAGGTCAGGAAGGATGCTACGGCCATGCAGATGGGTAGCGTCTCCAGCCAGTCTTCATGGATGGGCCAGCAGCAGATGGGAAGAGCTCGGACGCAGTTTGGCGTGGAAAAGTGGAATCATGCTGCGATGGAGCAGCAACGGGCAATGGGTGGGGAGACGCAAATCGAATCGACTGCACAGGGCCAACAGGTAGTGAGGCAAGCCCAAACATCCGTCTCGACGTACGATCATCCTCCTGGGACTTTCCAGCAGCCGCATCAGCAACAGAATCTCCAGTCGAATCGGCCAATCTCTCACCAGGAAGGACTCCTCTCCTCTCAGGGGCCGCATCAGCAATATTTCCAGTCGAATCAGCCAATCTCTCACCACGAAGGACTCCTCTCCTCTCAGCAGCCGCATCAGCAATATTTCCAGTCGAATCATACAATCTCTCGTCACAATCCTCGCCACTCTTACCAGGAAGGACTCCCCTCCTCTCAGCAGCCACATCAGCAACATAATCTCCCGCCGAATCAGCAACATAATCTCCCGCCGAATCAGCCAATCCCTCGCCAGGAAGGACTCCCCTCCTCCCAGCATCCACAGCAGCCCGTGGGTATGGATCCAGTATTTTCACCGGTGCAACAGATCTCAGATCGCTCTTACCAGCACCAGCAAGTTTCCGAACACCCATACCAGTTGCCTGAGAAAACTCAATCCCAGAAGCAGCAGAACCAGATGCACACCCTGCAGAATCATGCACTCGAGCACTCTGACGGCCAGCACCATTTCGGAATGCAGGACTCATCCCAGAGCACTCGCATGCAGTTTCTACCCCCGCGCACAAGTTCCTCTGGCTTAGCTCAGCCGTATCAATCCGAATGCCGACAAACATTTTCTTCTCAAACGTCCCACATTACCCAGCACGCATACCAGCCTCAGCCCCAGCTGCATTCTCCGTTCCATGCCACTTCATCTCTAGACGACGATGGAGTCCCGCCTCCGCGTTTGCCAATCTCTTTCTCCCAACGCAAGATGGAGACTGTGGATATGCACGAGCTTCTTGCACTCCCACCCCTCGAAAAGCCCACGATCGTGCCTAGACCTCAGAGGTTGTTGACGCCTGAAGTTACGCCCCCCAGAAAGAAGCGTGCGCCGGCGAAGCCTAGAGCTAAGTCGAAGGGCAAGGGGATGTCGACGGAGAAAGACAACAATGGAGACAAAAAAACGGACGATAAAGAAGCGGCCGTCAGCAGTACAGCGAAGAAGCAAGCAAAGCCGAGAGCCAGACCAAAGCCGAAAGCGAAAGTTGTGGAGGCGGAAGGCCTAAACGTTTTCCAATGGGTAGTGGGTGACAAGGCTGAAGCGGAGGGCATAAACTTGGTCACCGGGATAGTTAGTACGAAGGCTAAAGATGGGGATGCTGGGGAGAAGGAGAAAGAAGTTGCAGTAATCGTCGAAGAAGTGAAGAAACCGACGAAGTCGAGGGCCAAACCAAAGCCGAAAGCAAAAGTTGTGGAGGCGGAAGGCATGAATGCGGAAACAGGGATAGTTGATGACAAGGCTGAAGATCGGGACGGAGGGGAGAAGGAAAATATACTTGCAGTCACCGTCAAAGAAGCGAAGAAACCGACGAAGCCGAGGGCGAGACCAAAGCCGAAGGCAAAAGCTGCGGAGAAGCAGGTTGAGGGTGATGTGATCGAGAAAAACTCTGTGGATTGTGGAGGGACAACCAGCAACAAGACTCTCCCGCCGTCGAGACCTCTTGCAAAACCTAAGTCGAATACGGCGGTGGAGAACTTGGTTCATAACGACAAGCCTCAGGATGAGACTCCAACTACAGGGCCAGAAGAAAAGTCGCTAGCGCACGAGCACAATCACAGCTCCTCTGCTCCGGTCCACCCTCAGGAAAAGCCCAGTTTTGCCTCGGATCCGATAGGGAACCCGCTTTCTACCGTTAATTCTCCACGGGAGAACAAGAAACGAGGGCCCCCGCCAGATGAAGATCTACAGTCAAACACGCCCCAGAAGAAGCGAATTTCCGAATTTCCCGCTACTGAGCCCCCTACTCCCTTGAGAGATGGAGAAGATTCGGTATCTCCGACTATACAGCTTGAGACGCTCCCACAAGACCAAGGCGTATCCGCTACGCAATCCATTCCCTCGGGCGCCAATATACCAGCGATTTCGGAGATTATGGAAGGCCAGCCTCTTGGCCCTCTGGTTGGCGTAGAATCGCTGGATCCTAGGCTCCATACCCTGATGAATATCTCGACAATCTTTCAAGACGTGGCACGACGGTTGGACTTCGCAAATATCTCGGAACCGGAGCAGAACATGACAATGGAGCTTCTGATCTCGAGTTCCCTTATCGATCCAGGCTTCTTGCGGATGTTTCAAGCTATCGCCAGAGTCTGCCAGAATCCTGACTTTGTGGAAAGAATGTTGGTGCTGGCGGCGGTTTCGAGTGAGTGGAATGATTCGGAGCCGGTGTAGTTTGGTACGGAGTGGACGATAAAAGTTCATGTGATATGCTTTCTTTTTCTTATTCTTTTTCTTTCTTTCCTTCTTTGATTGTTTTTAGTTTGGGTCGTACAGGTACGGATTCGGGGATTGATTGGAATAGACGAGGATGATTTGCTTTGAAGAGACATTACGATTTACTACTGATACGACATTTCGATTGACGATGGACACGAGATTGGTGGATACTGTACTTTGCTCTATCTATATACATTGCTCTAGACTATTTGAAAAGTTGGGTTTTATTGTGCTGCTCCTCTACCTGCTGGTGCCCATAAATCGAGTGGTCGGCCGGCCGGCTTCCAGCAACCATATACTTTCCTGCATTTCCATTTCACTGTAGCACGGACATCCGATACTAAGACCGTTGTTCCCGGCCAACTGGTAGTTTCCGTGAGTCTCTCCGATACGTTCCTGGCCCAGAAATGGTATTCCCAATGCAGGCGTCTCCAGGATTCGGACCGCAGCAACTTACGGATGCGGCTGCGTTCCACGCTCGTCCCGGAAGCAGTAGTATCTCTACCGGTGGAAAGATTGATCCCTTGTCTATCCCATCTGTCCCGTTTGCTCGTGATGCTTCGGTCCAGCACTTCCGACAAACCGTCTTCCCGACTCTTGCCCGACAGTTGCCCCCTAATGCCGCCTCCGACTTCATCGGCCATGATCAGGGAAATGCTTCGCCGCGGTTCTGAGCCGAAGTTGCTGGCCAGAAATTTCCAATAATGGTCCCCAAAATGCCCACATGTCTGCATCGGCTTCGCACCCGCCACAAACAAAGCATTGATAGCCATGGCGTGGCGGGCGGGTGCACATTTGATCTTCATACCCTGATGAACAACATCACATTGCTGCAAATCGGGAAGGAGGGTTGCTGCTGCTTCCGCCGAGATACTGACCTGCTTCCGCCGAGATGCTGACCTGCTGTCGAACCGATTGCTGACCTGCTGTTGCCCGAGTCGTCCGCCGATATATTAACCTGCTTCCGCTGATATGTTAACCTGCCGTCCAACCGACCGCTGACCTGCTGTTGCCCTTGTCGTCCGCCGAATTACTGATCTGCTTCCGCCGAGATGCTGACCTTCTGTCGAAACCGATTGCTAACCTGCTGTTGTCACTGTCGTCCGCCGAGATGCTGACCTGCTTCAGCCGATGTTAACCTGCTGTTGCCACTCTCGTCCGCCAGGTGGAAGGTAGAAAGGTGGAAGGTAGAAAGGTGGAAGCAGAAAAGCAAAACGAGAAAAGTGGAAGGAAAAAGGCCGAAGGAAGGTGGAAGGAAAATGCAGAAGGAGAAAGGTGGAAGGAAGATGGGAGGAGAAAAGTGGTAGGAGAAAAGGTGAGGGAAGAAAAATTATGTTCTTGTAAGAAAGGGCGAGGAAGAGGGGTCAAAGGAAGAAGTGAGATGTGTGGGAGTAGGAGAAGAGGAGGAGGAGGGGTGAGAAGAAAGCTCCTGTCTTATGCGTCTTTTCGCGAGAGTTAGGGCTACACCTTTATTTGCTAGTGGGTTCAATGCACATCTGATAATACCGCTAACGACATGATTGTGTCGTCTTAGATCTGTTATCTAGAGACTTAGAATGGTGGATGGATAGTTCGAGTGAGAGGGAAAATACCAGTTTATTTCACGATGGGTGCGAGTGATGTAAGGATATGGCATTTACTCATCCGTTACGCGAGTGACGCTGTGAGGCCACCCGAGTCCCGGCGCTCACCTCGCTACAGCTTCGCACATGCAAACCCAATCTCTAATCCTCAGCCGCCATGTACCGCACCGAGACGCAGGCTTCTGCTGGGACTGTAGCGAGATCGGCGAATTTGCGCCTTCCGAGTCCAATTTTTGTTTTTGTTTCTTTGTTGCTCGCAAGTAATTACATGGTACCTGGAGTCTGATGAGACGTTGTCCAGGTAGATATCCTGTCTGCAGTCTATCCCGTACATGTCCGGCGCTTGTAAGTTTGTTGCACTTCACTAAGTTCGCCCAATCTGGACCGATGCCCAAAGGTTGGTATCGAGTGATATCAAAAGCATTCGGCGAGTGGACTCTTCCGCAGAGCAACTTGTGTAACTTAGTGGTAACGGGCTCTCTACCATTATGTATCTAGCGGTGCACATTCCCACGTCCCTTCTTCCGAAGCTTTCTAAATATTTGGCAGTGTAGTAGTAGAGTCCATCGCCGCCCTCGGTGTAGTAGTCAGTATCCGCCGGTGGTCCGTCTGCAACATGACTGCCTGTTTGTGACTCGAGTCTCAGCCCCATAACCTGTGTATCAGAAGTGCTGTTGCTCATTTTCTGGTATTGGCACCGAGGATGTTTGAAGTTCCGTGGGTCAGAGGCGGCGTTGGCGACTGTCATGGTAGCAACCGTGACTGCTACCAGCGCAGCTGCAACCAGACAACCTAATCGAGATAGTGAGTCGTGTGGTTGTGTAGACGCACGACCGCCTCCTGGTCAGGCATACTTTGCGGTGCAACAAATGTACACACGCCCCGGACCTGTAGGGAATAACCAGCTCGAGGAATCGATCGCTTCTCCTTCCCTCCGCCTGGTACCCATTAAAGAGGGATGGAAAGAAATACTATGAAAGTACACAACAACGACGGGATGAAAAGAAATCGAACCCGCCGCCCAGCTCCCAACTCGCTTGCCTCGAAAGCCACATCCGTTGCCGCCTCTCTCTAGCCGTTCTAGGAACTCGTCGGCGTTTTCCACAGCCACGCCGCCCTGGTGGTCATCCAAGGCTCCAAGCAGTGTTCAGATAGCTCACCCCTTTTCTCGTCCGCCATTAGCTGTCCGATCCACCACTTGCGCTTCTTTTGACCGGTTTCCCGGCCCAGAGGTTGGCTCGCCGTTTTCGGGTGATCGTCTGTGAACGACAAGGATTATCAGCGAATAGTTCATGATGATGTCATTACATCAGACGTCATCCATTCGACGGTCTCGAAGTCCCAAGTACACCCTTCTTGTTTCTCTGGCCAGCAGCTGTAGCCAGACTCTACATATTTTCCTGCACCTGACACAAATCCACAACTCACTTCGATACACACCTTTCCTACCAAACAACATCGTCAACACCTCCACCGATAATCACTACCAACCACTGCCACCAGCCGCCACAAAAGCAACGATGTCACTCCCTCTCGTCCGCCTCTTCCCCCGGCTGGTCCGACCCACCGTCGCGACTACCTCCATCACCGCAACCCGTTACAAGAGCCACAAAGCCAACACCAGCGGCGACGTTCCGTCGAAAGACGAGCTCAAGCCCACATCGAAAGAGTCGACCCGATCCGGCACGAACGACCAGATTGCGCACGAAGACGCTGCGTTCAACCCCAATTCGAATCCGGTTGAGGAGAAGGGTGATGTCGGTCGGGAGGTGCGTTCTGAATCTCCTTCTACTACTACTGCGTCTACCCTGTGTTGTGCGGCTGCGGTGGGCGCGGATGGTCAGCATACGGAGGTGCCAGTGCAAATCTTTTTGTATGGTTTTTGGCTGTGATCGCCCAGCTGCGCCGTCGATTTGATTTCAATGGGAGATGATGGCATTCTGCTGGTATCTCTCTGGGATAGATGATGAATTGCGGGTTGATACATGGTGTTTTTGTCCGGGATTCTCTCTTCGGGATTGATTTGTTTGGGTTTCTTTCCGTCTGATAGATGCCTGCCGGCCGTAGGCATAACTAGATTTTGTTTTCGTACACTCCATATCTCCTCTATACCGGTGATCTGACATATCTGTGGCTTGTAGGAAGGATCACCATCGTACGGAATGGAGAACCCACTCGAGTTCTCTGGTGCTACCCCGGAGGTATCGCACCAGACCCGCGACGACCGCGTGGTTAAGGGAGGAGACAAGAAGCCAAGTGGAGGAAGCAAGGGTGCTTAAGGGGATTGATGTACATGAAATAGAGCTGTACATAATGCATCGATTGGGAGCATGGCATAATGAAGGGTGAATGCTGATGATTTGAGGCTCGTTATTCGCCAAGTGCATGATTAGCTGTGTGATATTCCGAGTGTCCAACTTTTGGGCTTTTGGGAGTTTTTCGTCCTCTTGTAATATTATGAGGAGTTTGGTTGTCCGAATCGGTGGTGGAAAGGATCGACCACACCCTTCCACCCTTCCACCCTCATAGCCCACTCGCTCAGCACGCTTCGGTCGAGGGCTGGCCCGCTCCTTTTGCACTACTAGTACATAGGATATCACTCTACGCCAAGGTTAGCTAACAGGGGCTGTCCTGCCAATTGAGACTTGAGGGTGTCCGCAGGTTTTTGGTTTAGCGAGTATTGCCGATATGATCGCGGCACACATCACGGCATGGAGATGATCTCCTTCGCTACCGATGCTATGGTTAGCTGTCAGCTTCTGCTGCCCGCACGCACCTGTGGGTACTGTATTTCGGGCGGGAAAGCAGATCGAGCGCAATTTCGACGTCGTACCTCAGGTCGTCCTCCGCCAGAGAGTCAGAGGCCTTGCTTGCTTTGAATGTTTGTGGGTGTCTTGGCAGCAAGGTGCTCTCATTGAAGCTAAGTAAGGTACCTGGTGGTTAGATGCTCCAACTTTGGCCGAGTCGTGTGCTTCGGAGTCCGGACTTCCACCACTGCGTCGCACACACATGGATCCGAAAACCCCCACCACGACATCCTACCGCGGACTCGGTCTCCCGCCGACGCTGCGCACGCCGTCGTTCGGCGTTTCGGGAGGCCCAGCAGTGCACCGCTACCAAGCGGGGAGCTCGCTGCACGCGCTCGAAGACTCGTTGATTCTCGAGATTGGGTCGCGGATCCTGCGCGCAGGGTTCTCGAGCGAGGCGGCGCCGCGATGCCAACTCGCCTGGAACGATACCATGTGGCGCCGGTCGGGGGAGAAGGTTCTGACCGCGTTTGTGGGCCGACGGCAGGGTGGCAGGGGCGTGTGGGATCTCGACTTTGCCCTGCATGGAGAGGTGGGTGAGGATGTCGACGTGCGCCTCCGGCGACAGTTGGGGTTGGTGGAGGATCTCGTGGAACGCGGGCTGAGGCTCGCGTATAACAAGTATATTATCGCTCCCTGGCTTGTCATGGATCGATCGGAGGAGGCTGAGCTGACGGGGTTGGGGGGGATGTAGACACTTGCTTCTGGACTCCAAGTCGCGGAGGATACTCCTTCCCGTGCCGCCGCTGTTCCCAACCCGAATCTTGACCGCCATCCTAGCCACGATCTTTGTACATTTCCAACCACCGGCGGTCACGCTGATGTCGGCACCGGTACTCGCGACCGTTGCGGCCGGGCTCAGAAGCGCGCTGATCGTGGATATCGGCTGGGAGGAGACGGTGGTGACGCCCGTCTACGACCTGCGCGCCATCGAGGGGCGAGGCATCGGCGTGCACGGACGCAGCATCCGCGGGACCAAAGTCCTTCGCGACGCATGGCTATCCTTCCTGACCACATTCCTGCGCGAAGGCAGCGACCCACCCGACATCTCCGAGGTGGAGGAGATAATGGAGCGCATGAGCTACATACCCTCTGTGGACGGAACCCAGGGCGCAGACAAGGTGATGACGATACCGCTCGGCCGGTGGACGCTACGAATCCCATTCTCGCAACTCGCGAAACCCGCCGAAAAGGCGTTTTTTGCGCCCACGAGCACACCCACGGTAACACCGGACTTCACGGACGATAACGACACCCCACTGCCGCTATTGCTATACCACGCACTCCTCTACAGCACCGTGGACGTGCGCTCCGCCTGCGTTCCGCGCATCGTCTTCGTTGGCGGCGGCTCCCGGATTCCCGGACTACAGACCCGCGTCCTGCGGGACCTACAGGATATAATAAACGAACGCGGCTGGGTTCTTGGACTCCGCGGGCTAAACACATCGCAGCCCAAGCCCCGCGCTAAAACATCGCTTTCGGAGGAGGACGAGGATAAAGAAAACTACGATGAGTCGGAGGAGGAGCCGCTGGCGAAGGAGAAGGACGACAGGCCGGATATGCACGTGCGCGGCGTCAAGAGCCTCGGTGTCTGGGCTGGCGGAAGTCTTGTTGCCGGTCTGAAGGTCAAGGCGAAGGTGGAGATCGAGCGGGAGAGGTTTTTAAGTGAGGTTGCGAAGGGCGGGTCGGGACTACCAGTTGGGTGGTAATACCTACGACATACATACCAAGGCGTTTGTTTGCTTGTTTGCTTGTTTGCTTTATTAGAAATTGATGGCGAGTGGCTTGTTTGCGTGAGATATCAATACCATTTGAAAGACTTCTGCTGCAGAGTCATGTTTATCACAGTAGTACAGGCCTGGCGCCTAAACAGGTTGCTCAGCCCAGGAATCCTCATGAATTGTGGCGCTTAAGTCAACATATCCATGGTAAAGAACCTGGGATCTTGAGCCCGATACCATCTCCCTCCCCCCTCAATCACACTCCGCTTTACAGTGCTCTTTCATCTGAATACAGAAATCATCTTCAACTACACGGGCCGCAGGTCGTCATTCGAAATTTCCTGCTCCAGTCTCGTGCTACATCTTCACATACCGTCTGTACTCGTACCTATCTGCCAGCGTCAAACCTCATTCTTGTAGGTAAATCTTTGGACGTAACACGGCAGTCTTCTTAGCCTCTCGTAGCCAGTCCGATGAGAATCTCGTCCCCGTGTTGGCGTTGGGAAAATCCAGGGAGCCCATTCCACGGGCCGTGATAACTTCCGGGCCAATCCACGGGCTCCAAAAGCGAGACCGAGGAGTTCGAAGCGACGAGTCAACTATCTTCCTGGGCCCAAAGTAGGTAAACACTAAAGACAGCTGTATGTAGCCTGTGAGCGCACATTCCTTCGTGATGGAGTACCTACCTAGGTACATACGAGTACTTCTTCCGTCTTCTTGTTGACAGAACGTGCAGCTCGCGGTCTCCCGCTTCCCCCAAGGCGACGGGAACAGTCCATCCACATCAACCTGCAAACCTGCTGGAGGCTAGGAAACTCCAGCGCACGTGAGGATAAGAGCAGGAGGTGTCGCTGCTCGGCTGTGTTCTCGACGGTGAACACCATTGGTGATTGCAAGATTGCAATTTGCCAGTCGATTGGTGAGATTTCGATTGGACTGGATCGGGGCTTTCGGCAAATGAACTCTCCGAAGTTTCCATCTATCAGCGGTAGTTATCTACTGGAAAATCCGCGCTGTTGTGTGTGACGATGGTACGAACCACACGATAGGTTGTAACACCAGCGAATGTCGTCGGGGACTTTGAACTTTCCTCCGAAGAAACAATCTGAAGAGTACGTGTGTAAAGGGGCGTGGGGTAAAGGGTTGGTGAGAATGGAGATATAATTTGCCAATGCACCGTAATAAAGGGTTGGTGAGAATGGAGATAGGCAGTGCCTCCCAATATGTAGCACGTGAAGAAGAGGCTTTGACACGCGAGAGTGTATGGGTCGTAGTCGACGAATGAGCTGCTCTTCAAAGCTGTAGAAGCATGAAATACTCAGGTCTGCTGCGTGACTTCAGAGTTCAAAGCTTCCGGCTCCATGATTACCTACTTCGGTAGCAGATGGTGAATGTTGGGAACAATATGCCGCGCCGAGGGCTGAGATGTTGAGGTGTTGAATGGAGTGTTGTGTGGAGTGTTACGGGAGGCGTGGTTGCTGTGCTGTACTATATCGTAGAGGTAGTGGAGATGGAACTTCGAAGAAAGCCACGGAGGTGCATACGTCGACCCGGTTCTACGAAGTTCCAACACTGCTGCTTACGTACAGGGTCGTGGCGCGAGTATCTCGCCGCAAATACCGAGCTTCGCAGAAGCTTGGGCATGGACGTGGACCACGATGGGTGCAGGAAGAAGAAGTATATTGTAATCACTGGGCATGTATGTACGCTCTGGAAGAAGACGCTGGCACCCACCCACGGCACTTTATAACCCTCGAATTCCTGTATCCAGCACGGAAAAAACCCCGCGTGGTCTAGTGGTCTAGGGCAACGCAATCAACGAGGGGAGCTGAGAGAAAGTCACCGGTTCAAAATCGGATGAATGCCTTATGTATTCAGCTCTTGGGAATTCCAAGCCACCCGCCGGGGGTGGTGGCGGTTTTTTGTTTTTGGCATCATAGATGGAGCACATGATGTCACTCGGCGATTTCACGTGACACGTCTTTTGCTGCCGGCTGTGGAGGCGGGAATCCCTACCTGAAGCGCAAGATCATGGAGGCCAAGTACAAGGAGCCCAAGTCATAGGCAGATGTAAGAATCATCAACAAGACGCACTGTAATTACCACGTCTCCAGAGTCCATACTGTCCGAGAGGCCTATTCATGAAATATCATTCGCACAATCCCAATAACTCCAGCAAAACAACAAAAAAAACAAAAAACAACATGCAATCCCCCGCAAACCCCCTTTTCAGTCGATACCTTGGTCCCGCCAGCTCAAATCAAATCGCATCCGTTCCCCGCACCCAAGCACCAAACAAATCAACAGAAGAAATAGCAGCAAACAAATCCCAAAGCATCCCAAAGCATCCCAAAGCAAGTCATGTCAATGTCGGTCCAACAAACAGATCAATCAAGTGTCCAAACAAAAGAAAAAATGACAAAGGAAAGGGAAAAAAAATACTCCTCAAGCGGGCAGCTTTTCGTCGCGGTTGCGGTGGCGAGATGGAGTGCTGAGCCGCATCCAGACCGTAAATACTGCCGCTACAATCGCCAGGATTGGTAGCAGTACCAACAGTATGGCGGTGGGATGGGTGCTCTGGATGGAGGTTGTCGCCATCGCCCTGGCGATGCTGACATCCCGGCCGATGGATTCGTAGTTCGAGGCCCATCCGGGTAATCGGTGAAGCTGCGGATTGGCACTCCACCACATGTATGCACTGGCTGCTATTCATCAGCCATCGAACGAGAGGGGAAGATTGGATACTCACTCATCAACCCGGCGATACCCAGTGCGCCCCTCCAGTTCTCACGTCCGAACCAGAGCGCCGCCGACAGTGCCATCAGGATCAACGCTGCGGCGTTCTTGTTCCACATACCGCCCATGCTTTGCAATCTAGTCTCCGCATCGTCCAGTGACTTTTCGATCTTTTCCGCGCTGAGAAGCAACGTTGATGCCATCCCGTTGATTCGCGGTTCCAGTTTGGCAATGGTGGTAAGCAACTCTTGTTGGCGGGATTCGGCTGCTTCTTGCGTGCGTAGCATAGCTTCATGCGTGGAAAGAAGGGAGGTATAGAGTATTGACAGGGCCGAGAGGTCGTTGGCGGTTACGACAGCGTTGGTGAGCGCCACCGAGAGAGACTCTGCTGTCTCATCGAGTGATTGGACCGACTTCTCAGCTGTAGCCTTTAGAAGAGTATTGATCTGATAACTGTTGTTAGCATCTACAGTGCTTCGGCATGAGTGGTGACGAACCTCTTCAATCGTATGGACGACGTTGGACAACCCGCGGTGCTGTTCCGTAGAAGCCTGAGAGATCATCTGATCGGCGCTTTCCCATGCCTCTCGAGTCTTCTCGGACCAGAGGATACTGTCTTCATTGGCTTTCCGGAGAACCTATCCGATATCATCAATCTTCGTTCGGGGAGATGCAAAGAAGACGAAGTTACCGTATTCAACTCCAGTATCCCATTCTTGCTTTGCACCTGCGCATCATCCACCCTCTCCATCAACTTTGAGAATGCCCCGTCTAGATTCATCGCTCCCACACGCAGACGATCCATGATTCTTTGCTGAAAGTCCTCCACGTCCTGCGTGACATGTCTCAAGAATCCCTTCCAGCCGCCTTCGAACTCTACCTGCTCCTCCCGCAAGCCCTGTACCTGGTTCAACGAAGTGTCCATGACTTTGAACAGCTGCTCTTGGACCTTGGTGATGTTTCTATGCAGATCCAGTAATCTGTCTTTCCTCCCAGATATCTCTGTCAGCTTATGTTCCTAGTTGATCTCCGACGACGAACATGCTCACCTTGCTCCACCTCGTGCCTCACCGCCACGCACACCATCATCGCATTCTGAATGTTATTGCTGAGTGTCGTCCACCACTGCGGCCGTTCCTCGAGACGCTTGATACACCTCTTGTGTCCGCCCTTCCCGCTCAGTCCCTTGCACTCAGCCGGATACCGGACACCGGTCGCTTCGAACTCGCAGACGGCTAGTTGGGCCGCGTAGTGGTAGCGGAGATCAGCATCGTCGGAAGATTCGGAGAGGCTGTTGCAGTCGGATATCAAGGATGCTGTTGCAGTGCGGTGACAGGATGGCTTGGATTCAAGGGAACTTAGATACGCCAGTACCGAGGCATAGGCGGGATTGTCGTGCGTGTTGGAGGGAAAGGAGAACCGGGCGAGGGAGTCGGCGAGGGGATCGGATTTGAAGTCGACGGGGACGATGGAGGGGGCAATGGAGCGCGAATGTTGCTTCGAGAAGCCGAAGCCGAAGCTGTGGGCTGGTGGTATCAAGGCGGCCGTGCAGAGGACCGAAAATAGGGTGGTAAATAGGAAAGAAGGCATTGCAAGCCGGTGTTTTGGTATCCGGCTCCAATGGCAGGATGGGGTGAGGATGTGTATGGAAGGTTGTTGTCGAGGTTGGGGTGTTGTGTTGTCGTCTGTAGGTGTCGTTGATGCCGTTGGGGTTGCGGTCATAGACCATGGCTCGCCCTCACCAATGTACTCTATAGAATGTTACGCACAGCCTGTTCACGTCACCAGCAGACTTTATATGTATGAGTAAAAGCGGTGGGTTCCCTGCTACTTTGGTTTGCACCTACGCTCATTCTGTGAAGCGATACATTTAAGCTTGACGAGCAAAGCGGTAACTAAATTTTTGGCGCCGCATCGGACTGGTCGGTACCGCCGCTCCGGGGCTTTCCCCTCGACTGGCCAGGGCGGGCAGGAAAAGGAGTTCTTTGGTTCGCCATAGTTTAGATAGGCTGCATGCGAAATAAAACAGGAAGATCTCTCTCTCTCTCTCTGTCGGTAACTAAATTTATGTCACCACAGTACTTGATACATACAAGCAGCCGGCCCACTTCAGCTAGCCAACCGAAAAGTCACGCAGTTACTAAGACTGAACGTAGCTGGCTCGGTCCGCTGGTGGGTGAGACCGCCATCTAGACCAGGTGCGGCGATCACACCTGAGACTGGCAACCCGCCGCTCGCGGCTCGCCTAGTCATCCTAGCGAGCGGATTGTCACTAACATAAGCCACATCAAATTGTTTCCAATGTGTGGGGACTCTGGGGGCACTATGTAGATATTCGGTCTGCCCGTTTTCTCGTTGGTCTCTGAGAGTAAACGGCTCCGTTCGTGCCTCTACATATATCTACGGATTTGCAGATCACAGGACAGTAACTACCAGTCAACCTACGCTTTACTTTCTCATTGCGTGCTGTCCTTCGTCTTGTCTGCCCGAGTATCTAAATAAACGTACATAAAACTTGGGTACCTAGTCCGTACTTGCGCCAGTATATATCTGCTCGCGGAGACCGTGAGACGTCTTATTCACCGGTATCGGGAACTGATTTAAGCATGTAAGTAGCCCATGTTCTTGCAGTATTTTGAGTTGGCATCGAAACGTGCCGGTGTCACCGCCCCACACTGGTATTTCTAGATACGACGGGTTCCGGCAGCAGCTGGCCGAATAAGCGCCGCTAGCGTAGCCACTCACGTGTACAGTCACGAGTACACTCAGGTGTACAGTCACGTGCCCCGTACGCCACACCGCCCATGCCCTACTTAGCACACAGGGTACCTGTGCAAGCCTCAGCGGCTCAAACAGCAACGGAGCCATCTCGAAACGGGTGAAGCGCAAGAAGTGTGAATGCGGCCCGCCGATCAACGCGCGCAACCCTCCGTCTCGAGCTCCACCGTCGAAGCCCTCGTAACGTATTCATCGCCCTCCTCCCCCGCCAAAACCCCTATCACGCTTTTTCCCCGTGATCGCGCGATCGTTGCGGTTCAATCCTCGCTCCCTCCCACCACTCCCGACCTTCCCTGAACGAGATTGAGCTGCACTTCGAGTCGCGTCTCCTTCACCTTCACCTTCATCCCTCCCTCCTTCACACGCCGACGGTCGCGTCTCCTTCCCAAACTCCGCGCGTATCTGCACATCGCCTCGCCAATGTCGACTACCTCGGACCAGCCCGACTCTGCGCTGCAAACGCCGGCAAAGAGAAAGGGTCCATGGGCGAATCGAGTCGTCACTTCAGAGGTCGAACACACTCCGGAGTACGATGCCTTTATGGAAAAATTGGCGGAATACCACAAGAACCGCGGGTATGTTTTCTCTATTCTCTTCTTGGTGTTGATGTCGCCATTGTCGCGCGCCGCTGTCGCCCGCTACTGTTCTCTTAGCTCCGGGAGTGTGATGGTAGTGCTCGTTTTGCGCTGAAACTGACGAAACGAATTCCTCTAGCACCACGCTCGTTCACGAACCCGAACTTGGTCGCAAACTTCTGGACCTCCATAAGCTCTACGCCACCGTGACAAGCCAGGGTGGTTACGATATCGTCACCGAAAAGAAGGGTGAGTGGTCTACGGCGGCGGTTGCAATGCTCGGGGTATCGACGGTGGTTGGTGGTCTGGTCGCTGTCGTCCTCGGCGACGACGATGAGGATACTCGCGACGGACGGAGTCTGCGATGAGGGGCAGGTTTGCGGGATGTTTGTTGGATGTTTGCTAATAGTGCGATGCGTATTGGATAGGTGCCTGGAGGGACATCGCGAATACTTACAAGCCGCCGATCAATAACTCGAACGCAGGCTACTTGCTGAAGACAATCTACTATAAGTATCTCGCGTTAGTACCCCCACGCTGCTCAATAGGTTTATGCAGGGAGTGACTGACGAGCGCGCAGTGCGTACGAGATTACAAACTTTTTCCACAAAGATCCTCCTCCCAAGGAGTGGCTAGAAGATCGATCTGCTGCTGGAGGTGCCATCATGACGAGAACTGCTGCAGACTTTATGGCAGCTGCTGGAAGTCCCAAACCGGAGGCGAATGGAATTTCTCAGTCTCCGCCGCCCATGACGGAGAAGAGAAGTACGTTGCTGAGTTCGTTTGCTTTTCACATTTCTTTGTTCCTTATTTCTTTTCCGCACCGCCATGTCAAAACCCCTACACAAGATACAACATTCTGCACCCTTCCCCTTCCTGTCACTTTTCCGACAGCCCGGATTTATCGATATCGCTATGTTTCCCCCGAACCATTCTGCGTGGATATCTGACACCAGTGATTTAGGTCTGCGCGCGCAACCCACCCCGCGACAGAGGTTCGCTCCCGACACCACCCCCCAGCGCGCGACCAATGTGAGATCCCAATCGCATCCACAGCAACAGCAGCAGCACCCGCAGCAGCAACACACCCCGCAACAGCAGCAACAGCAGCAACATCTCCACCAGCAAAATGTCCATCCCCAACAGGCGCACCATCATCAGCAACAGCCTCACCATCTCCAACATCACCAGCAACCTCACCACCACCAGCAGCAGCACCACTACCAGCAGCCGGTCGCCAATGGAGTTACGCATGTTTCGAATGGAGGAAATGCTTCCCTCTTTCCCGACTTCAGACCCAGCCAACTCACCCTACCCGAAATGCGCCCGGTGCTCACGCCGAGGACTGCGCCCGAATCGTATGCTGTTCGGAGACGGAGGTTTCCCGAAGTCAACGGTGGACCCATTCCGGTTGGGCCCAGACTCGGAGGTAGGTATCCTCCCACTCCACAGACTAATCAAGATCTAAGCGTTTTTGCTGCAGCTGGTCACTTGGGTTGCAGCTTGATGCACCGCATCACGATGAGTCTGAAGACCGAACTTGAGTCCGATGTCGAACATTCGATGAAGTCGCTGGTCCGCGTCTCCTTCGAAGCTGGGGATGAATTCCTCGCGGTGCACTGGCCGTCCCTGTGCGATCTCTTATTCGATATCATCAGGGAAGAGCTGCAGTACGTCAAGGACAACGTCACGGATGATAGGGTGGACGATGCCGTGTTCCTCAAACGGCTGGAGAGACTCAACGACGCATGCCTTGTGGTCCGGAACATGACCTTGCAGGTAGACAACGCCCGACGGTTCGCCACGGTGAATACTCCGAAGGATATCTTGGTAGAGGGCTTGACTCTGCCGAGCCATGCCAGTCTGGCCGAGGTCAAGAGCTACTTCCTGGATATGGCCGAAGTCATGGCGGGATTCTTGCCCTTTTCCGCCAACGACCCGCTGCTCGAGGTGCTCACGCATGGCCTTGAGTCATCCGACCGTGGTACTATGCTGGGCGCGATGCGGGCGATGTGCCGCTTCATCATGAGCCGTGATGACTACAACAATAGAATGGCAGATATACCGACGATGTCCATCCACCGTATCACCAGCATTCTCATGCTCGAGGATGAGGAGCTTGTGTCGGCTTGTCTCGACTTCCTTTACCAGTACACGCTGCACGAAGACAATATCAAAGCGCTCCTAGATCTTCCGGAAGGATACGAACTGGTCAGGCATCTCGTGCGCCTACTTCTCTTCCAAGGAATCACAGGCGAACAGTTGGTCTATATCAAGATGGTCAAGAAGGGCCAGCCGCCATCTTATGATATTCCCCACCTACCAGATGCGATTGTTAGGGAGCTACTAGCCTTTGCCGAACCTGAGCGTGCTACCCAGTGGTAATACAACTTCTCCCTTTCTGTCTCCCATAACTAATCAGAGTCCAGGATGCGTTGCTGTTTCGAAGAAGATCCTGAGGCGGACATTACACAGATAGCACTGTGGCAGGCTTACCAGTCACGTTTCAACGAATACGTGTCTGCCGGATACCCTTTGCTGCCCGCCGCAGAGTTCATCAAGAATGTATCCGTTGCATTCCAGACAGCATCGGCCATGGTTCTTCCTACTGCGCAGGGACAGAGGTTCATCATCAAGGGCATCCGCGCCAGAGAAACGCCGATGAGCACCAAGGGTCTCGTCCACCTCGCCTGCAAATGGTTTAGCACGCCAGGCAACGCTGTCAGCAGGTGCACCGCTCAACTCCCCACCTTGCGTGACCTCTGGGCGCACATCCTTGCAGCGCATCTCCCGCCAGCCACCGAGGACAATGCTGCTCCCATATACTCCTGTAAATGGGCAGGATGCTCTCGCTTCGGCCCACACGGAGAGTTAGACCGCCGCAAGGTCGTCGCTCACATCCGCACGCACATGCCTGACGACAAGAAGCGTCCTGTCGCCAGCAAGGAAGAGATCGAAATGATGGAGGACCCGGACGCGCGCGTCATCATCCGCCGCTGCCAGACCGTCATCGATGAGAGGGGAGAGCCCTGTGGTATCCCTCTCACCAGTGTCCTGGTTCTCAGGAACATTCGCAAGCGCGGCGGCTTCAAGGCAAAGCTCCTAATTGACGGATGGAAGAATGAGCTTGCTGAGGTCATGGCGGTGAATAAGCCTCTGGCTATCTTTGTCGGGGACCTGGTCGTTGGCGGCTTGGGCGGCCCTGAGTAGAGTTGACTTGCTACACCAGCGGATCCACTTCCTTCTTACTTGCTTGCTTAGAGGGACAATCCTAATAGTAGCCGTTAATTTGCTCTTTTTTTTCTTTCGTTTTTCTCATGTTGCTGCAATGAACGTTTTTCATCGCATTTCTTGTGTTTCTTGTGGAGTTGCGGATTTCTCTTTTACTTTCATACTTCTTTCCTTTTTTTTTTCCTTTTTCCTTTTTCCTTTCATATGCTTGCTTCAAAAGTGATGTGCCCGTTTGCTTTCACACCTGCGCGTCTTACATTACATTCTCACGACAAGGTTCTACGGTATCCTGTTCTCTCTCTCTGTTCTTTGTGTTGTGGATAGATTTACTACTGTACTTTACTCTACTAAACTATTGGCTCGGGCTCGAAATGACGATGACGATGGGGGATTCTGGTCAAGTCTAGTAGGTAGTCAATCGCTGGAAACAATTCACCAAAGGAAAGGAAAGGAAAGGAAAGGAAAGCCCCGTCGTAACCATAATCCATCCATCCAGTTCGGTAAGTAAGAAGTAACTAATATACAAATGCCACGCACGAAGCAAAACAAACAAAACAAACCATTCCGAGCTTAAAAGAAAGAAGAAAAAAGATACAACGCAAGCCCCACGCAACAAACAAACAGAAAAACCCTTATTAAAAGATAAAACAAAACAAAAAAGCAGGAAACACCCAGGCAGACAGAACAGAAACATTACTCGTGACTTACGATGGTGCCCTCGCGCCTCCACATGCGCTCCAGCACCATCTCGGCTTCCGGCACGGCCCCACTAACGCCCAGGTCGTCTCTACTCCCGCTCTCGCCCTGGCCGCGCATCAATTTCCTCCCACTGCCCTCCTGCAGGCTCCTACTGAGGCCCAGGGTGACGCCCTCCTGCTGCAGCGGCTTATTGGGGCCTGGCACGCCGCGGCGGGGCACGCGCTCAATCGCCTCGAGCAGCGGGTTCTTGAAGCGCCGCACATTCATGTACTCCCGCGCGACACGGTCGAACTCCTTTTCGAGGGCGGCGGGGAGCGCGATGTGGTGGCTATGATAGTGGTGGTTTGCGGCGGTGGGGGTAGCGGGCGGGCTTGCGACGCTCGCGCGCTGCAGCCACAGCTTCTGCTGCGTGCGGCTCGCCGGCGCGATCGAGTATGCGCTGTCGCTGCGGCGGAGCGGGTGTGCGGATGCGGCGCTCGACGGGGACGCAGTGAAGCGCGAGGTTAGCGGCGGGGTCGGCGGGCGCTCGCCGCCGCCGCCGTGAGAGATGATGGCCGTGGAGTCGTTGGGCGGCGGGGACGGCGGGAGCTCGATCTCTACGTCGACTGGAAGGGGCGGGGGCGGGGGCGGCGGTGGTGGTGTGAGCTTCGTGGTCTTCTTGCGGTCGCCGCTTTTGGAGCGCTGGCGCTCGTGCAGAGTTGTGCCCTTGCGCGCGGCGCCCACCGCGCGGTGCCGCCGCGCCTCGCGGTCCAGGCTGCGGGTGCTGGAGGATTTGGTCAGTGCGGCGGTTGACGGGTTACGCTGTAGCGCGGTACGTGAGTCCGTCCGCTGCATCTTGCCGTGGCCGCCGGAGGAATCGGTCCGTGTGATCGGTGGTGCCTCCCCGCCACCGCCCCCCCTTCCGCCGTCTCCCTCTGCCGCCTCGAAGTCCTCATCGCCGCCCCCGTTCTCGCTGCCCACGGAGCCGAGCTCGAAGGCGGTCTTCTTCCGGCTCTTCTCCCCTTTCTCCCCTCCCCGCTCGCCCCGCTCGCCCTTCTCTGTAGTTGTCGTGGTAGTGGTAGTGTTAGTAGTGGTGGCGGTGGCGCCGCCGCCGAGTTTGTTGAGCCCGCGGCCGAAACTGGGGACTCGCGGGTTGCCATGGTGGTGTCGGGACACGACGAATTGCTTGTGGTGCGCGTGAGGTTTTCGCTCAGAGTGGGGAGCTGCTGCGGCGGCTGCTTCAGACATGTCGTGATTGTTTCCTCCGTAGTTCGTGGTATGCGGTTGTGGTGGTGGTGGTGGTGGTGGTTGTGGTGGTAGTGGTGATGGGCGTGGCGGATGGGGTTGTGTGGTTGGGGGAGAGTGTGTGGAGAGGTACGTGTGTGGTGGTGGAGAAGTCTGTTGCGATTGGATCGGACTGAGTTAGGCAGCTGGGTTTGCGCTTGCGCTGTTGCGTGAGGCGTGAAAGCATGTACCCCGTACCCGTACCCGTGGCGCGGACGTGTAGGCGACACTAGGGGGTTAAGTACTTGCAGGCGGCAGAGGACGAGGGAGAGAAGACAGGAGAGGCGCGGATGAAAGGGGAGGGGATGGGATTGAATCAACTTAAAGGAGTTGACAAAGTGGCAGCTGTTGGGTTCGCAAGGACAACTACATTCAGAAGCTACTTCGGTACATTCATATTACTAGACTTTGTGTTTGTACTGAAGTCTACACACTCCGCACTGCTCGGAGCACCGATGTGCAATCACTCGCTACTGCAGCCTAAACGGTGCAACCACCACCACAGCAAAAACCAGACAGGACCGAAAAACGACAAACCAATAAGGCTGTATCAACACAAAAGGACACCTCCTATTATACACCCATTCCTTCTTACGCAGACGTTGTAGGCACCAACGCAGACGATGTAGTCACCAACGTAGACATCGTAGTGACCACCGCTGTCGTTGTAGTCACCAACACTGGCGGCTTGAACCCACTCCTGAGACCCTCCTGGTATATGCTATCAAACACCTCCTCAAGCACACCGGCATCCACATACTCCTGGTACTTCCGGTACAACCGTAGGGCGGTCCTAGAGTCCTCGATTGAGTCGTGCGTTTCCGTCTGGATGTGGTCGCTCAACACCACCCAGGCAAGGAAGCGGAGAGAGAGCTTGCGCTGTGAGTTGCGGAGGGCGTAGAGATCGACTGTGTCTATCACCTGGTCGCGCGGAACGTGGATGTCTAGGATAATTAGTAGGTGCGGGGATGAGTAGGGGTGAGGAGGGAGGTACTGATTATTCGGAAATCTTGGAGTAATCCGTGTCCGACGAATGTGCACCCGAGGTTCAGAAGGATCCACATGCGCTTGTAAGCAACCTTGAGACTGACCAGCGCCCGTCTACTTGAGAGAGGATCCAGATCTCCTGGATGAATCCCCGAGTACTCCGTGAGGAAGTCCACAACCGGCTCGCGTGTGGCAATGTAGTCGTCGATGAAAGGGACACTTTCTTGTTCCCCGTGGCCTCTAAGTACCGACACTCTGGCAAGTCCTAGACGACTAGGACGCACTATTACCTTCATACCGTCGGCCTTCACCTCGTTCTCTTCTTTTTGGAGCGAGACGAACTCGGCGTCCAGGGCGACGAGTGTGCCCTTTGTAGGGACTTCCTCAGGCCTGAGGAGCACGGTTTGCTCTTCCCGCCGGGGCATGCCGAGGTAGTTGAAGTCCTCGAAGAGAAGACGAGTATCGATCCGATCTTTCCACGAGTTGTCGATGATGCTGCGGTCCGACTTCAGCTGGAAGCAGAGGACAGACGGCATCTTCCACTTCGGCGTGAAATCCATTGCTTCCTCTTTTGTGACTGGCCGGACCAGGAAGTCGTTGAACACATGCCAGTTACATTCGTCCCCTGTCCGTCCTTCCTTCGACACTTCAACTGTTTGCATGTGAGCTCTAGCTTAACTGCTAGTCAGACGGAGGAAACCCACCATTGATGAAGGACACCATATGTTTCCTTCTCTCATCCTCTTCCTTGACTTCTGCCACAAAGCCCACAAGTTCGTAAATCTTGAGGTCCGCCTGTTCGCTAGTCCTCTTAGCGACTCTCTTCAGATCCTCACCCTGCCAAACATTGAGCAGCTTGTTGTTAAGCGTCAGTCCAATCTCGTCTGGTAGCCATCCGGGCGTTGACCAGTAGTCTTTGGCAACACCCAATCCTTTATCTGACGTCGTCGCGTTGAAGGTGAGGATGTCGGGAAGCTTGGTGATAGACTTCCGCGTGTGCTGGTTCTGGTATCTCTTGCATCTGTCGCACCAGCCCTTGTGGGTGTTTTCCACCTGAATGCTCTGTCGTACTGTCTGCGCGAATGAGGGCAGTGTCTTGTTTCCCAGGGGCGGCTACTGATGTCAGTTCCGGAATCCCGAGGGAGTAACAGTACCGGCGGAGTAAATACCTTAGGTGTGTATATGAGATCCGTTGTGACGGTGTCCCCCATAGTCCTGCTCTCCTTATGACAGATCATACACGACTGTCTCTTCGTCGCTTTGATCATCAGGACTTGGGAAAGATCTACGTCCTCCGGATTCTGCCACTGCAACATCTGGGTCGCCTTCTGCCTCTCGAAGATCGCCTGGTCCAGGAGGAACCTGTTCAGACTCGGCATCATCATAGTCAACGATCCCGAACTAGACGAATCTTCCTCCAAGACTCCGTGTCGGGCTGCGTTAGGCGACGAGCTCAGCGTTTTAAGGAAGTTGGTGGCCTGGCAGTTCAGTCCGTTCGCTTTCTCGAGCATGTCGAAAAGGTAGCCCATCTGGCAAAGCAGACAGTCTTCCACCGTACACCCAGTCGCTGCGTGGAATAGGGCTACGTTACGCAATCGCGGAGTGTACTTGTACATCTGCAGTAGCGGATTCATGTAAGAGTTGGGAATGTTGGTCTCCAACCCGGAGAATTTCGTCTCGTTGTAGAACCTGCGTCCAATTAGCTTTCCCCAATAGCTCGTATGAGTGAACAGACAACTCACGCAAAGTCGAAGTCCTCAATACCGAATCTACTATACTTGATCTCGAGCTTCTTGTACATGGGCGGGACCTCGAATTGCCTCTTCGAATCGTCACCATACATCATCTTGCTTTCGGCACTTGCATCGGAGCCTCTCGCGTTCCTATTGCGAGCCTGCTGACTTAGAAACTTGGGTGCCGGTACGATTCCCGTGTTTTCAGCTCCTCTGGTTCTCTCGACGTAGTTCCGTGGATGTCTCTTGTGGAATGGCGCATATCCAGAGACTGATGTTGCCGCCAGAGTGTCCGGGTCAATGCGCTGTTGAGGCTGCTTAGGCACTTCGAATATCATGTGCGGATCCCAGTTCGACAGCAGTGGCTCGTTGAAATACGGCATACCGATCATGTTCAATGGTCTCTACCAGTCTTAGCAGTCATATCGTCACGGGAACAGAATACCCACGTGTTTTCACCAATCGGGACCACCGTTCGAGTTGGTGGATCTGGCCATTCGACCGGGTTTCCGAACTCTGTGAAGTTCCTCTTTCCCATCGAGCTCCACATCTGCACGATTCCCTCGGCATCCATTATCGACAAGACGTCACCGCTCGGCGAGAGGTCCATAGCTGTCACGAAGGTGTTGACACTAGCATTATAGATCTTCATAGCACTCGGATTCATCACATCCACCACTTGAAACTGCCCACTGCTCGAGCCGATGATAGCGGCGGCAGTCATCTTTGGGTGCATTCGGATGAAAGAGGCGGCCGGGAACGAGACCGGTGGCAGGGCCTTTTGCATTCGGAGATCGAAAAGCTTGACGAGAGGATCGACGATAAAATTTCCGTGTCTAATACCAGCCCACACACATCAGCATCCGCCACCACCACCACCACCACCACCACCATCATCCCCATAGATAATCACCTCAAATTATAGCCGCATGTAATGAGAACATTATCGTGTGTATCCATATCCAATATTGTTCCGTTATGGACGTGATCGAACTGCTTGACGACTTTGAACGAGTTCATATCCAGCAAGCGGATATGGCCTTTCGACGAACCGGTGATGATGTGCCTCGAGCTTCGCTTCATGACTTTCACGTCCTCGTCCGACGATATCTACACAGCCAGTCAGCATCTACACACACTCACACCCGTCCATCGCGCACACACACACACACACCTCCGTTCCCACAGTCCCTCTCTCCAGATTAATCGTATACATCTGGAGCTGACCGCCTCCAACCAAGATCTCGGACGTCCCCCGACTCGTAAACGCCATGCTCGTCAAATTCATAAACCTTTCATCTCTTGCGCGCACAATCACCATCAGCAACCGTGCACCCGTAGCCCTCCAGGAAAGAAAGACTGACTGTAGATGCCACGACGCCGGGCCACCACGCGTCGACATATGCAGACTCTTCGCCGCGAGCGATACGACACCGCGGTCGGCGAATAGTAGCTGTCTGACGGGGCGCTCGGCGGGAATCAAAGAGTTGTGACCGCGATAGCTCGTGTATCGTCGCAGCTCGACACCATTGAACGACGAGACATAGCCCTGCTCTACTCAGCACTCCACATCCCGCAGATACTCCCCCATGTCCTAGTGTACCTGATCGGTCCCCAACCAAAGTAACTCCGCGTTCGTGTCGAAGGCAAGTGCCGTCGCCTGGAGGGGCACTTGCCCGAGCTGTTGGAGCGGGGCAGCCCGGTGAATCTATATACGCGCACACACACATCAGGACACGGTTAGGAATCGCAAGCAAGCTCAAGGGAGGGGATAGGAAGGTACGAACCTCCTGCCAGTCGGTTTCCATCAAGCTATGACCGAGTCGAGTCCATGGAGGTCTTGACGGTGAATGAGAAGCTTTTGTGAAACACCAGAGATGCGGCTCGGTTGGATAAGCTACGCTAGCCGTGTGGGGGATGATGTCACGTGGAGGGAGCGGATCGGATCCCGAGAGGTTAAATTAAAGTGGAAGAGTCCAATGGACCAATTTCATGGAGATATCTGGGTATAAGACGAAGGCCAGGATAACAGAGTCAACAGTACAAAAGAATCCAACTATTTCCGAAAACGCCGCAATACAAAATACAAAGTGTTATGCTGTAGTTACTCATGCTCTCAATCCTTCTCTGAAGATGGTGTCGTTGGCACCGTCTCCGCCTCCTTCTCCTTCTCCTTGTCAACCTTCTTGACCTCCCTCTTCTTCTTGCCAAAGTACAAAGTCTTAAGCCGCCGTAGTTTCTGTAGCTTGCTGTTATCCTCGGCGTCCCGTTCTTCATTGGTCAGTTCGTGAGAGTGGGTGGAGGCAACCGAGGCTACACTATAGACACTCGCCGCTCCGGAAACTCCTCTTGATGGTTGTTTGAGGACACGCAGCATCGTGCACCATCCGGGCTCTTTACCTTGTGAAGCGGCGTTGACCCACGGACAATACTTCGCCCATTAGCTTCCCTTCCGGCCAAGCAATGCTCGAGGACTTACATCACGATGTTCCCCGACCAAGTCCAACCTGCAGACACTCGCCTCGTCCTCCTCCGTGCCATTCTCCGCGGTCTTCTTTCTAAAAAGCCACAGCCCAAGGCGTCGGAAGCATGCCGAGCACGACACCAGACTTGGAATCCCCGGATCGTCGTTCCTCCAACCAAACAGCGCTAGCATCGCTGCAGTCTCGAAAATTGGGCCCTCTTCCATGCATTCCGAGGGATAATGTAGCGCCGCCGGTTCGACATCCTCGGGGTATGAGATAGACGGCGGAATCTCATTCCTGATCTTGACCAACGTAGTATACCTCGCCGCAAACGCCGGTCGCGCAATCGACGCTTTCGAGAGGTTCAACCTATAAATAGTATCTGCGACCGATCAGCACCGCGCTCTCCCATAATCGAATCCCGCTATCAAACCTACCATCACACCCCTTCCTCCTCCATAAACAGCTCTCATCATGCTCCTCGACCACCATAGCGCCGTAGCGATCCACCAGCGCCCGGCCATCTTCAGTTTGCTCATCGTCGAGCTCGACGGCGACCAGCAGTTCCGCACGGCAGGTATTACATCTCACGCGGTTCTTATCGAAGCAGACCCATCCGCGGCGGGCCCACGCCACCTCATTCACCACCGTCGGTTTCGCACTCCACTTATCGACGAAGCGGTATGATTTCAGGCGGTCCAGGAATGCGTCGCGGTCCCACGGCGCGTACGTCCCATGCGCTTTGCTGTCTGTTGTGGTCGTGAGAACGGTCGAGCGTGTGGAGCGCACGGAGCCCGAGGGTGAGACTGCGCGGATACTGAATTTCGTGGGCGAGGTGATTTCGGCTTCGTCGACGCGCCGCTTTTTGGGGTCCACTGGGATGCGAGAGGATGTCCGTACAGTGAGCGTTGAGGAGGGAGTGGGCGAGATTGGTTCGGAGGTGGTATTGGCTGCCACCGCTGTTGCGGTAGTAGTGGTGGTCACGGTCGGCGCCGGCTTCGGCGCGGCATTCATGAGCTTGTCCCATTTTCGTTTGGTCGAGAATAGCATTATGATGTCGGGAACGAAGAGGTTGTAAAAATTACGGAGAAGAGTAACGCAGGGCTGAAGACGATATAGCAGGAGGCGCCGGGAGAAGGGGCTGAGCTGCGTGTGTTGGCTGCGGAATGGTGTGTTGACATTTCCGTGTGTCTCAAGCGAAGAACGAACTTCTTTTGGTTTCCCATTGTTGTTGTGGTGGCTGTGATGTCGGATAGATAAGGGTGATTGATTGATAAGATGGATTAGATAGAAAGTTTCATCTGATAGCGGGTCCTTGTCTGCAGAAGAATCCCCCGCCATAAACAACCCCGCCATTGTGCCAATTCCATAGCCCAATCACCCACCATACGTCTACTCCGTCTTCTCCGCCGGTTTCCTAGCTTCGCCAGATCAATGTCATTCTACGCCCACGAACGCCGAATCGCCGAGCTGGCATGCCGGCGCGCATCTCTTCTCACCGACAGTGTCTACCACTCGCAGGTTAAGGGCACCGTCACCAAGGAGGACAAATCTCCCGTAACCAGTCTGTGAGCCCAATGTACGGCTAGCCTTACCGCATTCCTTACTAACCACTCGCAGTCGCGGACTTTGGCGCACAATCCATCGTAATTGGCGCCGTCCTGCACGCCTTCCCCAACGATGTCGTAGTCGGCGAAGAAGACGCCGACGTGCTACGACAAGACTCGCATACCCGTGACCTCGTCTGGAATCTTGCGCGGAAAGCGGTCGAGGACAGCACGGAGCTCTCGGGCGACATCGGCAGTATCAAGGATGCTGAGGAGATGATGTCGCTGATTGACCGCGGCAACAGCATGGGAGGGAACAAGGGCCGTTTGTGACCCTCTTCCCCAGACCAGAGCGGGGGTGAATACTGATACCTAGATGGGCTGCAGGCATCTGGGCGCTGGATCCTATAGACGGGACCAAGGGCTTCCTCCGCGGTGACCAGTACGCCGTGTGTCTGGCACTAATGGTGGATGGGGAGGTAGTAACCGGGGCGCTGGCGTGTCCCAACCTTCTCGTGGACCCGTCCAACCCCTCGGGCCCCCGGGGCGTCCTCTTCTCCGTCACCAAGGGCGAGGGCTCAACGATGAAGCCCCTCTCCTCACCGCTCTCCGCCGAGGGTGTACCCGTGCACATGAACGCGCTCACAGACATCACCGCCGCCAGCACGTGCGAGGGCGTCGAGGCGGGGCACTCGTCGCACAGCCAGCAGGCGAACATAGTTGCGGCGCTCGGGATCACGAAACCCAGCGTGCGAATGGATTCGCAGGCGAAGTATGGCAGCATCGCGCGCGGCGATGGCGATGTCTACCTGCGCCTGCCCACCTCGAAGACGTATCAGGAGAAGATCTGGGATCATGCCGTGGGCAAGCTGCTGGTTGAGGAGGCCGGCGGAATTGTCACGGATGCGTACGGCAAGCCACTGGATTTCTCGATTGGACGCACGCTGTCGGCGAATAAAGGGGTTGTTGCCGCGCCGAAGGGGTTGCATGCCGTTGTGATCAAGGCGGTGAGGGGGGAGTTGGAGAAGGCTGAGGCGGCGTTGTAATCGAATGACTAGGTGTGTATGTACATATCTACCTATTCATGACGAGAGGATAAGTATCCAATACTATCCAGACAAGGAAAGCTTCCGGTCGTCTTGCAAGGAGGAAATCGCGACATCATGAAGGCTAGATACTCATGCTAGATCACTCGAGGTTTGAGTGACACCCCGCGACATCGCGTAAAAATACCCGGGCTTGCCCCTCGCTTACCAGCTTAACCGAAGACAACCTTAAACCAGGCTCACACATTCACGATTCACAATTCACGAAGAAGATTCCATCTGTAGAAGACAAGTCACAAGTTCCATTGCTCCTAATCCCTAGCTACAGTCAAGTACAGACAGGCAGGCAGAGAAACCCCATTTTACTTCAGCGGGTGCGAATTAGCGTACTCGTCGCTGGCAGTCACGAGCTCCTCCTCCTTGTGCAGGTCAAACACATCGTAGCCCCACTCGATGGGGTCGTTGTACCGCTGGTTCTTGTCGAGACTGTCCAGCTTCTTCTTTGCCTCTTCTGAGAGCACGATTGCTATTCTTCCGTCAGTATTTGAAGTAGAGGTAATGGGGATGGAAATCGTACGCTTGAAGTTGCTGGCGATTCTGTCGGCGTGTACACTCTTCGGCACAACACTTGTCCCCCTAGCCACAGCCCACGCAATCAACACCTGCGCCACACTCGTGCCCGCCTCCTCGGCGATAGCCTTGATAGCCGGATCGTCCAGGACTCTAGCCTTGCCGTAGATGTTGTTTCCCAGCGGCGAGTAGGCAGTAACATGAATACCCTTCTCCTTGAGGTACGCCATAAGCTCGTGCTGCTGCAGCCAGGGATGAGCCTCGATCTGGTTGACGGCAGGCGTGACCTTCGCGGTCTGCAGCAGCTCCTCGATGCGCCTCTTATTAAAGTTACTGATCCCAATAGCCTTGACCTTGCCCGTCGCCAGGAGGTCCTCCATGGCCTTCCACGTCTCAGCGATGGGGATATCGGCCAGCGCGATCTTGCCCGTGGCGTCCTGCGGGAACCGGTTCGCGCCCGACGCGAAGTTCACCGGCCAGTGGATCAGGTACAGGTCTAGGTAGGACGTGCCGAGGTTCTTGAGCGACTCCTCGAGCGCCAGCGGAACGTCCGCTGCTAGTCGGCTGTTGTTCCATAGCTTGCTCGTGAGGAATATCTCCTCCCGCGGAACGCCGGAGTCTTTGATTCCGGCGCCGACTTCGGCTTCGTTCTCGTAGATGGCGGCGGCGTCGCTGGTGGGGTGTCAGTTTGTGCTTGTTTATGGCTGGTGGAAATGGGGGAGAGGGGGGGAGGGGGGAGGAGGGGCAATACATGTGGCGGTATCCAGCCAGCAGAGCGGCCTTGACGGCCTCCCGGACCTCTCCGGGAGCACTGAGCCAGGTGCCGAGTCCCACGGCGGGGATCTTCGCACCGGTGTTGAGGGTGATGGAGGCGGAGTAAGTCGAAGCCATTGCTAACTATGCGGTATTGTGTTTCTGTTCGCTGAACTGTAGAATAGAATATGAATCCATCTCCGCTCGATGGGGCACTTTATATATAGCGATGGATGGCGGGGCGAGGGGTTGCAAGTTGCAACTTAGGCTTGCCTGCCCCGCGCCGCAGGCTGCAAGTCTGTTTAGCCGGTGCGGTGCTCGCTCGGTGTAAGTGCCACCGGCACTACTGCGTGTCGGAGCAATATGCGACGGGGATAGGTAGGAACCTTGTGCGAGCACGGCGCGGAAAAACGTGCGGCCGGCTGCGGGCCGGGCCAGAGATCAGCGAGAACCTTGGTTGTCGCTTTGTCGCTGCTGCGGTCTTCGGCGTCTCCGTTTGTACATATGTGTCTGTACAAGACGGGGATCAGTGCTCCGCCCTTGCGATGAGGCACTTCCGTGGGGTATGTTCTTGGATCGCGGTTCTGAATGGGAATATCTGCAACATTGTTCCGGTGTGGTGTGGGAGCTCGGGAGTGCCGCAGAGGCCGTCCTGCTTGGCGAGTGGATCAGAAACCTCTGGGAATTGGAACATCTTCCAGCGTTTCCAGCCACTTGGCGATGAGTTGCTGCAGAATTTTTCCGATGGACACCGGGCGGTAGGAATACCCAGGGCGTGGGTGAAGATCGTCCTGCATGGGATGCTCCGAAAGTGCAAATATCACTCACCACTGGCCAGTGGGGATCTATGCCGTCACTGCCCATTAGGACACGATTGCCACGGCTAAGTACGGATAAACCAAAGTACGTAGCAGCAGGACGACACAAGTTGGATTGATACCGGTATGAGCACGCCAAACGGCATTTCAGAATTCCATTCACCAGCAACAACCAAGTTACGCGAACCAATTGACACGTATGTAATCGTAAACCCATTCATTTCACCAAACCAGTAATCCTGTACAAAACCCCAGAAATCTAGAAGCAAACCACACGCAACCACACGCATCCACAGAATCCAATCCGATACCAATACAAATCTCCGGAACAACACAAAACAAAACAAAAAAAACAGACCCAAACACTGCACTTAGTACACCTCCAAAACGTACCTGCCATCCTCCTTCAGCTGCTCCATAGCGTGTCCAACATCGACCTTCTGTCCCTTGGCCACAGCGTGCTCTTTGATCGCCTCCTCCAGGACGGCGGCAACATCAGGAACGGGCCAGGTAGGACCACACAGGTAGAAGCTACCCTCCTGCTCGAGGTACGCCTCACGGATCTCGACCAGGTTTTGCCGCATGCGATCCTGGATGTAGATCTTCTCCTTCTGGTCACGTGAGAACGCGCAGCCCAGGAGGGTGACAACACCAGCGTCGACGTACGCCTCCCACTCCTCTCCGTACAGGTACTCCTGGCTCTTGTGGCGCGAACCCATGTACAGCAGGGCGGGGCCGATCTCGAGACCCTGCTCCTGCTGCCAGGCACGGTGCTGGACGAAGGCGCGGAAGGGCGCAAGACCAGTTCCCAGTCCGGCCATGATCAGGGGTGCGGTCGACTGTGTGGGGAGCTTCATCACCGAGGGCTTGACGGAGACGACAATCTCGGCGCCGATAGAAAGGCGGGAGAGGAAGCGGGTGGCGTGTCCCCAACGGTCGCGGCCGCGGGGGTCGGTCCAGTTCACGGCAACGATCAGGAGGTGGACGGCGTTGGGGTGGGCCTTCTGCGAGGAGGCGATAGAGTATTCGCGGCGCTTGAGGGGTGCAACGATCTTAACGAGGTCGGGGAACGCGGGGTGTGCGGAGGGGTGGTCGAGGAGGAGGTCGGCGAAGGTGACGAAGTCCACTTCGGCGTTGCGCTTGAAGTCGGCGGCGCCCTCGGGGGCGGCGACAGCAAGGAGAGCCTTCTTCTCGTCGGCATCGGTGGCGAACTCAGCGAGAGCTTCGTAGAACTTCTTCGGAGGCTTACCGAAGATGTCTACGTTCTGCTGCAGCGCCTGGAACACGGTGCGGACCTCAAGGATCTCAGGGTCGTCACGGGAAGGAACCTCAACCAGGTCGTCAGCGTTGAGACCGTAGGCCGCGATGAACTCGTTGACGTCGCCGGTGTCGTTTTGGGAATGGATTCCGAGAGCCTCTCCGATATCGTAGGTGAGACCGGTTCCAGTGAGGTCGAACTCAATGTGGAAGATGTTGCGGTCGTACGAGGCGGGAGTGAGACGCTTGTTCTCTTGGACCTTGACGATGAAGTTGTTGACGCCGAGGTCGGGGCGGAGGGAGGACTTGACGCTGTAGGCCTCCTTGAAGGAGAGTGCCTGGGCGGCAGACTGAGTTGACTTGAGAATCGATGGGGGCTCCTCATAGTGCTTCTCATCGTTGACGGTGAAGGAGTTGGCCTTGGGGATGGTTGCGAGGACAGCAACCTCACCTTCGGCGACAAAGTCGGCCCACTCCTTAGCGACCTCGACCTTAATCAGAGCTTTCTCGACGGCAGCAGCAGCGGCGTGAACAGCCTCCGAATCCTGGTTGAAGGTGGAGAGCTTTATGAGGGAGGCATGGATGCCCGCGGCCTTCAAGAAGGCGAGCTGCACCAACGCATTCTCGACGGCAGGAGAGACGGACTCGCCGGCAGCCTCAACATCGAGGAGAAGCAGGTTAATGTTCTTCTTGACGATCTGCTTGCGGAAAGGTGCCGGGAGCTTCTTCTCGATGTCCTCGGTCTTGATGGTAGCCTTGACGATGACAGTTCCTCCAATCTTGGTGGTGGCCGCGACATCGTAACTCTTCAGGAGCTGGAGGTCACCGACAAACGAGAGATCAGCACCCTCGACGTGGAAAGGCGCGTCAACAGCCTTGTTGCTGATGCGGATCTCGCTCTGTAATGTGCCGGCGATGGCAAAGTTGTCGTACACCGCTGAGTAGGAAACAGAGCTGTTTCCGCCGGCAAGGACCTTGGCGACGACGGCCGCCGCGGGGGCTGATGACGCGTCGTCACCGTTCCAGAAAGTGTACTGGCGAGCGGTGGAGTCCTCTGCCAAAGTCACGAACGAGTCCAGGGTGGTGGCCTCGGCGGTCAAAGCATCCTCGGGAATAGCGATCGAGACGGTGGGCTTGCGCGCAATCTGGTCGAAGATCCAGGCGAACTCCTTTGGCGACCAGGTGTGCTCGCGGGCGTACTTGACGTCGACGATCGGGGGAGCAAGGTTCCATACATCGGACATGGTGATGGCGGCAACGACATCGGTGAAGAGTGCTGAGCTCACGGTGGTATCGTTGACTGCAAGCTCGTTGAGGACTTGGCCCAAGACGGCGACACGCTTGACGCTCTTGGGGAGCACCTCGAGGAACGCGGTCTCGCAGAAGGGCCTGTAAACACGGACAGCAATCACACCAACCTTCTCACCGCCCTTGGCCAGAGAAGCCGCGATCTGGGTGGCCAGGGAAGACTCGACGGATCCGAAAACAACCAAAACCGCATCCGGCTCCTCGTGTCCCTCGTACTCGAAGAAGCTGTAGGCGGTTCCAAGCTCCGCATTGAGACTGCGGAGGATCTTGTTCATCCTGGTGGCCTGGTCCTTCTTGCCGTCCTGCTTCTCGCCAGAGATGGACTCGAACACACCCTGGAGTCCGGTCTGGTCGAGAACGTCCACAACCTTGGTGGTCTCCCGGGCAACCCTGACACCGTCGTAAATGTGGACGGTAGGAAGCACAGTTGCGGCCAAAGTCGCGAACAGGGCCATGTGCTGCGCCTCGTAGGGGGAGAAGCTCGAGATCAATCCCGCGCCGGTCTCCTGGGCAACAGTGACAGCGGTAACGTAGTCGGAAACCAGCTTTCCGGAAGAGACCTCGTAGTCGACGGCGGCTACGTGCGCCACAAACGGCGAGGACATGGAATAGATCAGCGCAAGCTGGTCGATGGCCGAGCGCATCGAGGTCAGGGTCGCGCTCGACGCAATGATGCTCTGCGCAACCTCCTTCTTCGCCGTAGTGTCCGAGCCGAAGATGTAACCCAAGAGCACATTGGCAGCGCCTAACCGGGTCTCCATGGGCTCGACAGATGTGACATTTCCGCGTCCGTTGGCCTGGCCCTTGGAAGACCACAGCTTCACGGCATCGTCGAGGTTGAAGGTCTCGGGGGAGTAGGTGAAGAGGCGGTCAGAGAGGGTGTAGGCAACCTGCTCGACGAGAGTCTGTGCCGTCGTGTATCCGGTGCCGTTTATGCTGCCGATGCTCGCGGGAATGCCGAAGGGAAAGACCGACGAGATCTTCTCTACCGGTGTCTCGACGCCATTGGGGTGCTTCTCGGTCTCCTTCAGTGCCTCCTCTTGCAGCTGAAACTGAGATACTGGTGGAGTTCCGGCTTCTGAGTGAGGCATGACGTCTTGAAAGAGAATGTGGGAGGGAGGATTCAAGGCGGCGAGGGAGGTGAAAGAGGAGGAGCGGTAGAGAGGAGGAGGGGGAGGGAGGGAGTCTACACCGGAGGGAGCCAGCTTAAGGAGGAGGAGAGAGCTTAGCAGGCGTACGGGGAGAGGGATTGAATATGTTTTTCTGGGACCTAAAACCACGTCCTTAAGAAAAAGTTTGCTAGGCTCCGGCGGCGGCGCGTTGTCCAGTTTTTTTTTTTTTCTTTGCCGCAGAAGCAGAAGCTGTATGTGTATGTAGGGGGGAGAAGAGTGCAGATGAGCTTAGCCATCTCCCAGAGGTCATTTTGTTTTGCTTTTGCCGAAGATTCCCCTTCCCCAGAGTCGATCTTCGTTTGCTTTGTAAAGCTGTTATGTCAAAGCTGGAGAAAAAATGGCGAGATCCCGGCCGTGGTTGAGCACGCCATCGCCCCCTACAAAAACGCAACTTCAGCGCGCATCTGATTGGCGGGTAAACGCCGGTTAAATGGCGTGCAGCGGATGGTCAGGGTCCTTGCCGAACTCCGATGTGGTTGTCCCGAGGAATAAGCGCAGGCCTCTTAGCGACGCTGACAACGCTGCGAGTGATTGAAATACTTACTCGTCTGTTGTCAGGTTTGAGATGGAACTTCTTTCTCGGTATGCACCCGTTCGTGATACCCCATTCGCGTCTCGAACTGTCTTACTGTCTTAGGATCGCAGGCATAGCCCATTTCAATACAGATTCCTCCCAGCTGAGACGACGAGTAGGTACGGGAGCCGCGGGTAACAAAGGCATCGAGACGTGCTTTCTCTGCGGCGTCGAAGATCGAGGGTATACCGGATCTTTTTAGATTCGAAGGAGCAGTGCCGTACTGGTGAGAACGCTGATAAATTCTTGAGGCGGGCTTTTCTCTACTCGTTCGTCCCGAGTCGTTTCTTGGTGACTGACACCTTCCGGTATTGATACCGGATCGTGGACTCTGCTTTCGTGCAACGGATGGACTTCGTATGTATAACGACCAAATGTTCGAATAACAGACTTCACAGCGCCAGAATCCGCACGACGACGATGGCGGGTGGCGGTGTTGAATTCGCCTTCTGTACGACACATACAAGCCGAATATGTATTCGAGAATGTCACCATTACATCATCAACCCGACCACCCGGCCACGCATCCACCCAGCCATGGCGCTTAAGGAGGTGCACCACTTATGTAATTCTAGGTATTCGATACCCGCCGCGGCAGATTAGTTACCTGCTTGAGGCGTCAGACGAGCCAACGTCAGTTACTTGAGAGGACATATGTAATACTCGAACTAAGTAGCTGCAGGACGGGCCGGGACCCCAAGTTCCAACGTGCTGATTAAAGGGCTACCTATGCGGCGAGCTGGCGGTTCTAGTCGTTTAGCTCGCTATCAAGACCACTGCTATGTACCTACCACCTATGCAAATCGATCTCCAAGATCGATCACTCGAGTTAGCTCTTTCGCCGGATTTTTTGAAGAGTGAATACGGCATGTACATCCATCTGGAGGAGGGCGTACGGCTTCCCCAGACGTGTATACGGTACTACATAGTGCCATATACTATTCCCAGCCACGGCTCAGCAATATGCGCTCAAAGGCAACTCGATCATTGTTTTGTCACTCGTATTTAGCCGTAACCTCAGGTTTGGCCGAATCCCGATTTATTCAGATGTCTGACGTTCTAGGTAGCAAATGACCCGCTATAGATAATTGCTTTCAGATAAGCTAGATAATAAGTAGGTATCCCACATCCATCCCCAGCGTCCCCCACTACCCCTCACGAATCCACTCAACATATCTCTCATGGCCCGACAAATGTGCCAACTCCTGGAGCCCCAGCTGTTTCAGCACCTGATCCTTTCCCCTCTTCGTATCCAACTTGAACGGGGTAGCCTCCACGATCCTCCCCGCATCGCGCATTTGCATACCCGCGCGCGCAGCCGCCTCGCGGAACTCATGTTTGCGTATGTACGCTGCCCACAGCTTGTCGTTGTCCCGGAACAGGCTTTGCTGGGCCGTGTACCGCACCACTTGCGGATCGTACCTGCCGCGCAGGGGGCGCATGGTGTCGCGGAGCAGATTCCTGGCGGCACGGGCCTCGGCGGCGTTGAGCTGCGTGTTTATTGCGCTGGCGTGGTAGTTGAGGAAGAGGCTTAGGAGTGTGGCGTGGGGGTTTTCGGAGGGGAGTTTTAGTAGTGGGCCGAGGAGGGAAAGTGTGTCCGGGAGCCCAACCCAGCAGAGGTCGGTGATGTTCGAGACGTCGATGCGGTCGAAGCGCGTGAGGCCGTGCTTTTTGCGAGAATCAGCGAGGGCGGGTGGGAGCTTGCGCGCATCGACGGTGAGGAGCGTGAAGTTGATGGTGCCCTGCTGCAGCCGCGTCGAGAAGGTCGTGAAGTGATCCAGCAGGTGGAAGAATAGCGCTCCGTACGTGTCGTTCTTCGGAACATCGTGGGCGGCGCCGGTGGCGAGGACAGAGGGGACGTCCCAGCTGCTCAGGGGTTCCATGCAGTCGTTGAGGAGCCAGCCGCTGCCGTGGATGTCATGGAGAGTTCTGATCAGCTCCGTTAGTTGGAGTTCGTCAGTAGATCAGGAAGCGACAGACATATTGGTCTCCGTAAACTTGCTCTTATCCGCCCCAAAGGGGAGTAACAAGCCATCCGTACGAGCCCGCATCATCGGCAATCTCGAATGCGGAGGAATAACAACAAGATGTCTCTCACGGTTATCAAGCCGATCCGAACTCATCATGACAGCATTCCTGCTCCTCTCAGCCTCCTCTGGTCCCAGCCGAAACTCCAAGATACCGAACAACTCGCTCCAGTACGACCTCGGCATCACGGCATGCAGCTTCGATTTTTTGCCCAACGTGAGCGTCGTAGAGAGCAGCACTGTTCCCGCAGCCCCGGGCGCTTTAGACATGTGTGTTTTGATTTTCTGGAGCTGCTCGGAAAAGCAGTGAAGCAGTGATTCGAGGGCCACGGCTGGCAGCTTGGCGGAATACCAGAGGTGGATTGCCATCTCTGCCGACTCGGCGGGGGAGAAGGCCGCGAACGTGAGTAGCAACAGGAGATTCCGCAGCGTGATGTGCATGTCGCGGTCGTTGATCACAACATTGATCGGCTTCGGGTAGGCCTCGGGCAGGCTGTTGATGGTGACGATGACGTTCCTGAGATCTCCAGACGCTGCATCCGTCAGTGAAGCACTCGCACCACCACCACCAAACCAGCCGCTGCTTGCTCACCAGCGAACATTAGATCCAAGGGCTTCCCCCACTGCGTCCCCTCGTTCTTCTCGAGCTTTACATGATCGAAAGCCGGCGTATTGCCCCAAAGGTATTTGTTCAACCCGCATGTTTCATGTATCGATTCATTCTCACCCACGATAAACGTGGGCGTACGACCGCTAGTAAACCATTCAGGATCCCAGGAATCCTTGTGGAGCTTCGACTTGCAGTCGGGCTTGTGGGTTGGCCAGTGCGCGGTTTGGCAGGGCTTGCCACAGTACTGTTGGAAACAGTCAGCACCGGATAATGTTTCTGCGAGGGGGTTGTGCCAATGAGGGGGGCATGGAATACCTTTACGAGCTGACATCCCCCGCAGGCACTCTTTGCGCGGTTGCTGCAGGAAGCAGTGTTGGCGCACAGCAGGGCGACGCTGGGTCCGGGGAGATCCAGAGGAGTTGGTGAGGCCATGGCGGGTAGATTTGTGTAGTATGTAGATACTGGGACGACGGTTGGAGATTGGGTGTGTACTTATAGCAGGCAGGTTACTTTACCCCTCTCGGTGGTAGTGATTGCTTCCGCATTCCGCAGCCTTTGTTGACCAATAAGCAGTGATTGGATAGTTGCAGCATACTGCACTCCCAATGTGTAGTATCCAGCAGATTTTCTTTGTACGGGAAGCGGTGGCGTAGACGCGCATACAGCTCCCAGCCGGGAGCTGGACCGCAGTTATGTATAGTACATTCTCCGCAGCGACGTTCCGCAGCTGGAGGCGCCGGCCCACTGCATCATGCCAGAAGTGAAACATCCGCTGGCAGTGACTAGCGGCTTGCAGTGTTGCACAAACGATCTACCCGCATGACGGTCCGCTCCAATTGGAGATCGATGTTTGTTTTTCGGACCGGCGAAGGGCGGCGGTGTCGAGAACGGAAGGTGAGAAGACCCTGAGGGCACTAGCGTTGGGCGAGTGCGAGAGGCAGTAATCGAGATGTGTATGTAGAGGTGTGGATGGCTTGGGAGGAAATGGAGGCCGGAATTAATGTGAGGTCAAGTTGTAAGGCTGCGCGTGGCGGGTCAAATGTAGAACTGGAGACGGGTGACCGATGCTGACTACCATATCGAATGATAGCAGCATGTAAAGATGAGGTACGGTAAGAGGAATAATATAAGTACTGAGTTGGGAATGGAGATTGATACAATACAGATCAAGCAACAGGGAATAGTTAGCAGAAACAACCACCAAAAGACGTATTCCGTTTCCAATGACCCCATGTAGCAATCAGCTCGCCGTATCGAATTCGCCCGTCTCGTCCAATCGATCGAATTCAACAGTCCCATGGCCATTTGAACGGTAAGCCGAAGGACGAAGGCCGTGACCTGGGGTGGCCGTCGAGGGCCAATTCTATGGGCCGATATGTTAAGTGAGTGAAGGAAGGTAGATGTGACAGTGTGGTTGCTATCATTGCCCTCACGACAGTGAATGGATTGTTGTAGGTAGACGGCCACTCTGCTGCAATCATAGATAATCACCCGCATCTAGCCCCATGTGCAATTTTGTCAACTGAGAATTGTTAAGCTAGATATAGAAGCTGAACGCCTCCGGTGAGGGGTTGCACCAGGCATAGATGCAAGCAATAGTCATGAAACTACTGCCCAGTAGTCAGTAACTTACCGTACTCCATTGAGCTCCGGGCATAGTTACAGCGGTCGTTGGAAGAGAGCTGAAGCCTGGAGAAGGTGGGCTTGCTTGTGTAGTTGGATTTGGAAAGACTGGGTGAAAAGAGGACAATGAAGGGTACTGTACGATGGAGAGTAGAGGGTATAGGAATTGTGAGGGCAAGGCGGAAGGAGGTAGGGGATGGGCTAGGGAAGCTAAGTAAATGATACGGTGAGTCCGGTGGTGGAGCGGGGTTTGAAGTGCAGCACGCGAAGTGAAGATGAAGATATATGAACTCCTACAAATTTTATACATAAACTCATGTCAGCCATAACATACACACACCATAACATCATACCAAATCCATAACATCATACCAAATCCATAACATCATCGATCACGCCGCAACCATAACTCCAAGCTCCATCTTACAGCAAAATAACCCTCACAATCTCACACAGGACTCTGTTCGACCTTGCACTTCTCGCCGCTACTCGATCCTCCCGTGGTAAGATGCAACTGCCCGAAATCCTCCGTCTCCGTCTCCCCCTCCTCCTCCTCGGGTGGACCTCCCTGCATCCCCGGCTCAACGATCGGATCCTCATCACGGTACCACTTATACACCAGGGAGATGAAATCAAACACCGGGCCGAGCAGGGTCGCAATGGCGAGCATCTGGCCAAAGGTCCAATCGGCCTCCCCGGCGGTGACCTTCGACTTGGACTTCGTGATAATGCTCTCGATCCAGACGACAAAGTACGCCCAGAACGCAAAGATGAGGAGCATGAGCGCCCTATCGATGCCAGTCTTGAACGCCTGCCGCTTCTCCCACAAATTCTTTGTGCATTTAGCGCGGGGGAAGGCGACGTATAGGAGCGTGAGCACGCTGAACACCATGAGCGTGATCGTGACGCCCATGAGCCCGCCGCGATCGATCCCGCGGCCGTTATACTGCGCGGTGGCTGCCCAGACCTCGGCATTGCACGCGCCGCCGAACGTATCCGCGTTCAGCACGAAGTAGAGCATCCACCCTTCGCAGGCGAGGCTCGCGATGACATACAGGGCCATCGTGGCGCGCTCGCTCGGGTTGCGCAGACAGCCGAAGAAGAACGGGACGAAGATCAGGAGGATGTAGAACATGAGGCAGATTGCGTGGAACAGCGAGAGCTGCTGCAGCCCGGACTGCACGATCGCTGTCATCACCATCGTTATCCCCGATATTCCCAGCGTGTTGCGGAATGAGTCGTGCAAAGCTTTGTAGTCGTCTCGCAAACGGTTCTTGCCGATCAGCCGCTTGAACAGCCGTGTGCGCATCCATGTCTGAAGCTGCTCGTCGCCGAGCATGTCGAGGAGGATCGCGAAAAGTGTCATCACGTATACTGAGATTCGAACCTATTCACCAAAACAGTACATCATCAGCATTTTTTTATTTCCTCTCTCTCTCTCTCTCTCTCTCTGCAAAGAAGGGGAGAAGGAAGGAACAAACCCCGATACCGGACACGTCCGGATTGCTGGTAATAACGCAAGGCTGTGTCGTCGACATTTCGAATATGTATATAGGATATTGGATGTGGATTTCTTTCGCTCGGTCGAACTGGCGGCCTTTGTGTGATAATATACCCCTCCAGTGTCTCGCTCGCGTGTATGTCGTGGTGCGCTGGTTGGCTGGCAGCCAGGCCGGCTCCGCGTCAACAAAACCTCGCATTGGTCCGTTGGTTGACATGCAGCCCACTACCGTACTCTAGTTGTCTAACTAACCAGAGACAATTTTTGGTGGCTGGTACTCCTCATCTACATACTCTACGCGATTCTGATATGATAACTATCGCGGTGTGCGGGGCAAGAGAAATCTTCCAGCTGAAGGGTCTCGGATGAACGCCAGCTTTGGGAAGGCACGCCGTGATGGGGTCTCAGATCTGCATATAATTCGCTGTGCTTCTGAGATACTGTACACACCTACATGGAGATACAGATGCCGATACGTTGGATTAAGGCTGTCGTTTGGACGTGCAGGGTGGGTAGGTGGGTAGGTGGGTGGCGATCGCATGATCGGCTCAAGGCAAGAGGGTGAGTGGACGACGACGAATCGACGCAGACATCCAAATTTCATCCGGCTTGTGTTATGGGGAGAGGGAGAGGGAGAGGTCGGCCCTGTGTGGGCGTCCCGGAGTCCGCCGATACGATACGGAACGCATGACGGCTGCTTTTCGCCGATCATGTGTTGTCACTCTGATCTTCAGTCCGAGCTCAAAGTGGTGTCGAAGAACTCTCGCGATTGGTGTAGGTATTTCTCCTTGGTACCAGGTGAGCTCTAGTTAGAGTACATCGTGCCGGTGCCCAGGCGGAGGGCGGGTGAAGTAGGTCATAGCTTGCTGCATCGAGCCAGTCATCTAGACTGTAGACAGGATGCCGTACGGAACCGGGACAGTGCGCTTCGCAATGGTCCCGATAGGCTCACGCGAATACCGGTAATGAAGAAGCGGCAAAAAGAACTTCCCGCGATCAAAATTTATTCTCACATAGCAGCCAAGTTCGCAGAAGAGCTCTCATTTTCAATATGGAGATCAGGAGAAAGAGAAACGCTAGGTAGAGCCACTACACAGGCGAGATCCACCACTTTGGTGGAAACAGCCTTGATGACAGGGTTTACCTCTGCATTGGGGATTCCTGAAACCGGATCATGCTTATTTGCTGGCGCTGGCGCTTGCTCGTACACACAAAGACAACAGCCACACACTCAACATGCCGCCACACCCGTAGTGCTCTAGAGGTTATCCGAGCCGAGTCGGTGACGTAGAATGCTCGCACGCAGACAGCTGTCGTCCTAACTGCGTCCCGAGTTCTCTGCAAAGCGTCATCGAGCTCATCGAGCTCAACAAGCCCCGACGCAGAAGACAGGTACACATTGAAGTAATTATTTTCTTACCCAGGGGACTTTCTTAATCTCCATGTAAAAGAGGCAAGTCGCAACAGATTCGAAACCGTTCATTCTATGTATATCGGGACGAGCATGAGCTAGGTTATTACATGTTGGCATCCATCGTGGCTTAGATGTGGCCGCTGACGACGCCTCGTTATGACCTTGGCCGACATGAACAAGCAAGCAAGATATATTTCCATCCAGCTTCCCTCCCTCCATCTCCACCCCGTCACATACACACACTTTACACCACAACCGCACTCCACCACCACCTCCTAATAACCACACGAACGAAACCATGTGCACCCCTTCCAGCACCGCCGCCTCGACCGCGCTCGTCAACCACAACGGAGAGAAGACACCGCTCACGGGCGCCACGAGCGTACTCGTTGGAAAGCCGCCGACGGCGGGCTGCTGGTGCGGCGACGATTGCAGCTGCTGCGTGTAACTACTCCCTCTCCGCACTCCTTCCATTCAACTCGAAGACATGTGCTGACTGCGACTTGCGCGCTGTAGGATTCCTTGTACCATCATGTAGCCGCGAATCGGAAGATTGGCTGAGGATGGAGGATGGTGAATCGGATGATTTGTCTTGTGATTTCTGGCCGGAGTTTTGTCATTTGATTTACTGTACAATGAATGGAGCAAGCGAGGTTTCTGTCTGTTTGATGCGATCCGGTGACGGTGTGAAATATGATGCGCGTTGTGCTCTGTGGACTACACATGGAATTCCTCTAGAAACGGGACGTGAACTTTCGCTGTAGACACCACATCCGTGACGGAAGTTGGACCCGCCCGTGATGATGATGCATATGGTTGGAGCAGCGATTCGCGCTGGCTCGCTATGTGGCGCTACTTCTGGCGGCGGTGAGGGGCCGTCCGCCTCGGTCGCACGGGACCGAATCGACAGGTGAACATCTCTAAAGCTTCCTCATTGACACTTCTGTTTCCTGCAGCTGCCGTGTCCGGCCCGCCTTGTCCGCCCCATACGCCACAGCGCCACACCAGTGATGACGCCACAGTGACGCCTCTCCAATTACTTTCCGGCCTTCGCTCTCCAGGGTTAGCCAGCCTGCGGCCTGCGGCGGTCGAAGCTCGCGCACGGGAGCTCCGAGCTCCATCCTCGTGACGGATCTGAGTCCGCACGAAGACACCAGTAGTGTAGAATAGCTACCATAGAAGAACCCGTGAATGCCCTCCAGAGTCCACACGCTTGTTTTTCAAAGCCCATACTGCACTTTGCCCGTCGGCAGTTGTGTGTAAAGCCTGTCCTCCGTTCCACCCCTCACGCCTCTTGATCTCTCCTGCCAAGGGATACTACATCCGTTACTCTACACGTCATCCATCCATCTCAACCCACGTTTCGGTGCGTCCAGAGAGTGCATGCAAGCAGAAAGAAGCGGCAGACTGACTGACACAGACAGAACCCACGACCAGCCCTCCCTCTTTCCTTCTGTCGGCCACTTCGTTTCCCATTTCCAACAGAGTCCATCGCGAGCGACGCCGACCGACCGACCGACCGACTGACCGATCTCCTTGTACCCCTTCAACTCGCGCACTCGTTCGAAAGACCTCCTCACACGCGCGTCGGCTACCCCAACCACCTCCAGCTGCTGTACGGGCGATCTCCCGCGATGTCGCCGAAGCGCCCCCCAGCGCGCTTTCGGAATCCGTTCTTTTCGATATCATCATCACTACTACTGCTGTTCTGCTTTGCGCTCGCGATAACGAGTGTCGCTGCGACGAAGCCGCCCGAAAACGACGATGGTTCGGTTACAAAGACTCACAAGGCGGGATACTGCGCAATGCGGGGACAGGTACGGACAATCTCCACCGCAAACAACGAACTACAGCGACAATCACGTGTGCGAGCAGTTCAGCTAACTATTTGTTTCGTTTGCACTTGCAGGAGAAGAAATCCTTCTTTGGAGGACAGCTCCCGGTCTCGTACAACGGTCCTGCGGAGCCGCCGACGGCAGCGGTGAGGCAACAGCTGGTGGATCTGTGTGGAGCCAAGTGGAGCGAAGGAAACGTCTGTTGTGACGGCGATCAGGTAACGTTTCACGCCCATAGGTGATTTTGCGACACCGATCGACTGACCAATCTCACCACAGATTTCGAACCTCGGGTCGAACCTCAGGCGTGCCGAAGCTCTGATCGCCTCTTGCCCCGCCTGCAAGGTCAACTTCTTCGATCTGTTCTGCACGTTCACCTGCTCGCCCGACCAGTCGCTGTTCTTGAACATCACGGAAACGGATACCGCGAGCTCCGGGAAGAAGCTGGTGTCGGAGATCGACTACTTCGTCTCGCCGACGTTTGGCGAGGGCTTTTACGACTCGTGCAAGGACCTCAAGTTCTCGGCGACCAATGGCAACGTGATGGATCTGATTGGCGGCGGCGCAAAGAACTGGGGCGACTTCCTCAAGTTTTTGGGAAAGAAGAATCCGCCTTTTGGATCACCGTTTCAGATCAACTTCCCGCCGAAGAATGAGACTGGTAGGGACATGAAGGTCATGCATAATGTTCCGAAGAAGTGCAACGATGAGGATGTTGCCTACCGCTGCGCCTGCATGGACTGTCCCGCCGTCTGTCCCATCCTACCAGATGTCGACGAGATCAAGGTGTGCAAGGTTGGCGCGCTTCCGTGCTGGAGCTTCGCGGTTATCATCATCTACTGTGTCGGCTTGATGCTCCTTGGAGTCTACTTGGCCTTCACTGAGGGTGTCCGGTACCGCAACAGGAGGAGAGAAAACCAGAGGCTGTTGCGAGATTCGGATCCCGAGCTCAGCGATGACGACGATGAAGGCGGAGTGTCTGGTGCCGGCTTGTCGCCGGAACGCTACCGCAGGAGATATGCCCTTGATGTGTACCTGGAGTCGATATTCTCGCGCATTGGAGGCTGCAGCGCGAAATTCCCTGCCGCGACCATCGGCATCTCGATCCTCATTGTCGGTTTGCTCAGCTTGGGCTGGCTCAACTTTAGCGTGGAGACGGACCCAGTGCGTCTCTGGGTAAGCCCGAGCTCGGATGCCGCGAAGGAGAAACAGTTTTTTGACGACAATTTTGGACCGTTTTTCCGAACGCAACAAGCGTTCTTGATCAACGATACGACGGAGGCTGGATCTTCGCCTGTTCTGAGTTATGAGACTCTAGGCTGGTGGTTCGATGTGGAGCAGAGAGTGCGGCGGCTCAAGAGTCTGGAGCATGGCGTCACCCTGGAGGATGTCTGTCTCAATCCGACCGGCGAGGCGTGCGTCGTCCAGAGTGTTACGGCGTACTTCCACGGCAACTTTTGGGAGCTGAAGCAGAGTACCTGGAAGGAGCAGATTCGCATGTGCGCGGAACAGCCCGGCCAGTGTCTTCCCGACTTCGGCCAGCCGGTGAAGAAGCAGCTCGTTTTTGGCGGTTATGAGAAGAGCGGCGATGTGGTCGACTCCGCCGCGTTGATGACTACGTGGGTGCTGGGAAATCATGCGGAAGGCAGTGAGGCTGTCATACGCAGCATGGATTGGGAGCAGAGCTTGAAGAATACGCTTCTTGCCGTCAAGGAGGAGGCCAGAGAGCGCGGATTGAGGCTGAGCTTTTCGACCGAGATCAGCTTGGAGGAGGAGCTCAATAAGAGCACCAACACCGACGCCAAGATTGTCGTCATCAGCTACATCGCCATGTTCTTCTACGCCAGTATCGCGCTCGGGAGCACGACGTTGGCACTAAAGAACATGCTGCGCCAGCCGGCGAAGACATTCGTCGACAGCAAGTTCACGCTCGGTGTGTTTGGCATCATCATCGTGCTGATGAGTGTTTCGGCGTCCGTTGGTCTCTTCTCGGCGATGGGCGTCAAGGTCACTCTGATCATTGCCGAAGTCATTCCGTTCTTGGTGTTGGCTGTCGGTGTCGATAACATATTTCTGATCGTGCACGAGTTCGAGAGGGCTGATGCCGAGCATCCTGATGACGAGATCGAGGAAAATATCCGGCGCGCCATGGGACGGATGGGTCCCAGCATCCTGCTCTCTGCAACTTGTGAGACTTTGGCGTTCGCCCTGGGTGCTGTCGTCACTATGCCGGCGGTCCGGAACTTTGCCATCTACGCTGCGGGAGCGGTTTTCATCAATGCGATCCTGCAGATCACCATGTTCGTTTCCGTTCTCGCTTTGAACAAGAAGAGGGTGGACTCCAACAGGATCGACTGTTTCCCTTGCTTGAAGGCACCCAACTACGACGCAAATTGCGAGGAACACGAGGGAGGCCTCGTCGGTGAGGTTGAAGAAGGTCTCATTCAGAAGGTTATCCGCAAGAACTATGCCCCTGCTCTCCTCCAGAAACATACCAAGGTTGCGGTCGTCGCCGTGTTTTTTGGAATTTTCGCTGCGGCTTTGGCACTCCTTCCTTCGGTGGAGCTTGGACTCGACCAGAGAATCGCGATTCCCCGCGGATCATACCTCATCGAGTACTTTGATGATCTGTACGATTACTTTGCGGTCGGCCCTCCAGTGTACTTTGTGACCAAGGAGTTTAACGTCACGGATCGCGAAATACAGCAAGAACTTTGTGGCAGGTTTTCGACTTGCAGCTCGTTGTCGCTGTCCAATATCATCGAGCAGGAACGCAAGCGGCCAGAGGTCTCGTACATCTCTGAGCCTGCCGCAAGCTGGATCGACGACTTCATGCTCTGGCTCAACCCTTCGCTCGAGGGATGCTGCCGCGTCAAGAAGGATGATGGCAGCGAGTTGTGTGGTCCCTACGACTTTCAGTGCAAAGTGTGCTTTGAGGACAGAAATCCAGGCTGGAACATCACACTCGATGGGATGCCGCAAGGACAAGAGTTCATGGACTACCTCAAGATGTGGGTCGATGCACCGACCGGCGAAGAATGCCCTCTTGCCGGTAAAGCGGCCTACTCGACTGCTATAGTCCCCGACTACGAAAAGACCACCATCTCCGCGAGTCACTTCAGAACGTCGCATAAGCCGCTCACCAGCCAGGCTGATTTCATCGCCGCCTACGCTGCCGCCCGCCGGATCGCAAAGGAAGTCTCGCGAACCGCAGGAACCGAGATCTTCCCGTACTCCAAGTTCTACATCTTCTTCGACCAGTACTCGACCATTGTCCGGCTCACAGCGGGCCTCATTATTGCGGCTCTCACGGTAATCTTTGTGGTCTCGGCAACGCTGCTGGGGAGCATCAAAACCGGCGCCGTGGTCACCGCAACCGTTGGCATGATTGTCGTGGATATCATGGGTGTCATGGCTCTGTGGGGCATCAGCCTCAACGCTGTCTCGCTAGTCAACCTCGTTATCTGCGTTGGCATCGGTGTCGAGTTCTGCGCTCACATCGCGCGCGCATTCATGTTCCCCGCCGCATCGGTGGTGGAACGCGCAAGAGTCAAGTTCCGCGGTAGAGACGCAAGAGCGTGGAGTGCGCTCGTGAACGTCGGCGGCTCGGTATGCTCCCCCCGCATTCCATCATCCATTCTCATGGCTAACCAATAACCATAGGTCTTCTCGGGCATCACAATCACCAAGCTGATCGGCGTCAGCGTCCTCGCGTTCACGCGCAGCAAGATCTTTGAAGTATACTACTTCCGCATCTGGCTTGCGCTCGTTGTCGTCGCTGCAACGCACGCGCTCATTTTCCTGCCCGTGGCCCTGAGCTACTGCGGTGGCGAGGGCTGGCTCCCTGTCGATGGCGAGGGCGGCCTTGAGAGCGATCTCCTGTATCGTCGCCTCCCGCCCGGCGTCGAGGAGGAGTTCTTTAGCTCCGATGAGGAGGAGGAGGAGGTTAGGGCTGGAAGGACACAGGCGGTGGCGAAGAATAATGGACAGGGAAACGGGCGATAAGGGGCAGGGAAGTTGTCTGACGTCTAGATAACCAAACTACCTACTACTGCTATGCTATGATGGGTTATTATTCACTATGAGACGATGATTGTTTGTTGGAGGCTGAATGGGTTTGAAATGACATGACTAGATTGGATTGGATTGACCGGATTGGATTGGTTTGGATTGGTTTGGATTGGTTTGGATGGTTGTTGCGTTTGCATTTGCATGGAGGTGTGGAGGTTTGGAGGTGGAGGTGTGGAGTTTGGAGGGGCGACGAATGAAGATTTTACATTGCGCTTGAAGATTTGTGTGATATCCGCGTTCTGGATCGCTGTTGGTGAGTCGGATGTGAGCTGTCGGGTGTGAGCTGTCGGGTGTGAGATGTCGCGTGTGAGATGTCGCGTGTGAGTACTGGATGCCGACTGCTGCTTGCTGGTTTCCAGTTCCCTATCATCGCTGTCACTCGGGAAAGCCACAATCTGGCGAATCACGTGGCTGTATTTGATCTCCAATTCCACAATCTGGAGTGCTCACGGAAAAAGTGCCACGGGATAAATCTCGAAAGTGCGACTGTCGTCAGTGATAGCGATAGTGTATGACTCCTGGGAAGCCCATTCCAATTCCCACAACGATAACTGTGAGTCTGCAACTATTCATCCTTTCTGGGACAATACAACACAACACTATGGGAACGAGTGTGTTCCTGTGAGTGAGTAGCCCACTAGCCGTTCGGAGGACCGGTGACGGTAGCGGTAGCGGGTTGAAGTTCGGTTTTCTTTCTTTCTTTCTCTCTCTCTCTTGTAGCTGTAGCTCCTAGACCAGAACACATCACTATACTTCTTCCCATCTCGATCGTTCTAGTGATCTCCACCACGGGTCCTTCCAACAAACACAACGCACAATAAACAATAAACATCGTTTCAGCTCTCGGTAGTGTGTACTGCTCGTGGTAGGCTAACTACGGGGCGGAGTTTCCGTCGTTTCGGTTCCGTCTTTTCGGCTCCGTTATTTCGGTTCTGCCTCTTTGAGGAATCACTCGCATCGTCCGCCTCTTCATACCTATTATCGAGGATTTGCTTGGCCCTACTGCCCCAGTTGAAGACTTGTAGTACAACCAGCTGGGAGGAGCATTCCGAGCAGACGCCCAGGCCGTGGCGAAGCTTCAGCCTTCAAGTGCGCTTACATACATAGAGTACATGTGCGTACCCGCGTTGTAGACGGCTCAGCCCTCAACCCCGGGGCTGTTTCCCCGGCCGCACATGAGTAAATACCCGCATGCGTCTTTACTGTGAGGTCCTTACTCCGCCTGCTACCTGTACTTGTACTGCCAGCTCTGACCAGTGAGCACCCCCATCCCCCAGTTCCCCCATACAGCATACGGGGCGATCACTCGGCCTTGGGTGCGCCCAGTTGCATTTGCATTTCTGCATTCCTTCTGCCCCGCCCTCACGAACTGCTATCCGCCACACCTATTATACCTAATACGTTCTTCGGCTATCGCGGATACCGTTCCTGACGGCTGAGACGTGGTTTCGCCAACTCGAAGCCTCGGACAGTTCCACGACTTCCTGTGGATGAAACGTCGAGTGCGCAGTACAGTTTCAACCCCGTAGCAGCTAGTTCGGCGAGGTAAGCTATTGCCTTGCCGGGTGTTGGAGACTACAAGGCAACCACCAACGGCTTCGGTCTTAACGGGCCGGTAGCTACGGGCCTTCGGCCGACAGAGACGTTTCGGACTTGGAACCGTTTTTTGAGGGGGTGGGTGGGTGAGTGACGGACCATGATCGCGGCGAGAACTCCGCGAGAATTCCGCGAGAATTCCGCGGACGCCGGTGAGGCGTAGGCAAGCGGGTAGGCACTCTAGGTAGTCTAGGTAAGATACGTAGGAGGTACGTATCGGCCCAGGATTTGATTCCTACATAGCACCGGGGGGCCGGAAGGGACTGGGTACTAGTATCTACCAGTCCTCTAGCGAATCTCACGGGCCACCGGCCACCGCAAGGTGCTCGGTACCGAGGATGTGCACTTTGAAGCAGTGGTTTCTTAGAATAGCGGAGTACTCTACTATGTACCCAGAATACCGTGCTAGGTGGCGGAGACGATTGGAGCGGGGTGTTTCGGTTCCTGCTGGAAAACGGGTTTATCTCGTAGCCAGTGACCAGTGGCCACTGACGAGTCACGACTGATGATAAGGCCGTCTAGAAAATACGGTATGTAGATGCCTCAACTCTCGAGGCTGAGGCTGAGGCGGAGGCGGAGGCTGAAGAGAAGTATGGAGGCAAGATATGTGCTAGCCCGCGTGCGAGCACAGACAAACGCCAATCACGAAGGAGACGCTCTACTACTCTAGTTATTAGTAGTATTCTACATACAAGCGGACAAGTGCCTACTCGCATCACCAATCGGCAGCACCAAACTCCACAGCACGCCACGCGACTTCGGCATCGGATGCTCGGCAGCCATCGCATCGACGTTCACCGGGAACACCTCCTTGCTACGGTGGGATCACGAACGCTGGATACTCCACAGTACCAAACTCCTGCGTTAACTGATATCCAGAATCCCCCAGCACACGTAGGCAGCAGTAGATTAGAGTAGGAGGGTGGAGTGCGAGTCGGCTGCGGCCGGCTCCAAGTCATAACTTGTTGATCCAGCTAGTAGTCACTCCAGTTAACCGTAGACGAGGCGAGTCGATCCACAGTCCAGTCCAGCCCAGTCCAGGCGCTCGCGAGTCGCGCCGTCGAAAACGAGGGAAGGTTCAAGGGAAAAGCCTACGTAGCCATGTAAGCACTTGTAAGTGCAAGTTGCCGAAGGGAGGGATCGATTCATGCGTTGTGTTGCGGCTGGGGCCGGGGGGGGGGGGGGTTCATGCTAACGACGGTATTAGCCGTCACTAATATGTAGACCTCGAGGCTCGAAGCCACCGTACATAGACTCGCAGAGTGGCGCTTGAATATTACTCACTCTACATACTTTTCGATCTCGGGGAAGTCCCGTCCGCCCCCCGCCCCCCGCCCCCCGCCCGCCCCGCCGTCAATGGCGTTCCATCCCGCGTCTCGACGTGCTCGGCGCGTTTCGTCTCGTTCCGGGCGCGCTTGGGGGTTTATATTTGCTGAGGAAAGGATGCAGGATAAGCATCGAGTACTAATAGTAGTAGTAGCTTCACATGTTCGCTCACTGATTCCTACGATACATACCACTGTTAGCGGTGGTGGTGGTGATGATGGTGGTGGGGATGGTGTGTTGGTGCTAGAGAGTGGGTACGGGGCGTGGAGCGGCTACCACGCACGTTCTTCCTGAATCCTCGCTGTCATAACCACGAAGCGATCATTCCGAGCGCTGTGGCTTCAGCCTTTGAGTTCGACACCGATAACTCGCGACTCGCGACTCTCAACGCACGATTCGATTCCGCACCCGTTCCTCCAGTACTCTACCGGTAGGCATGTAGGCACCAAGTGAGTTGAGTAAGCTGGCCATCTCGCACCAAACTTCGATGCGGACAATCATGTCACCGCCGACCGGCAATCTCCTTCCCTCATGGCCTGAGCGCGGCGCCTTCTAGCCGAGCTGTCTAGCCAGTAACGGCTCAGCCCTATTCACCGTCCGCCACTACCGGGGAGCTAGTTCACCGAGGATTCTGGAGGTGGTGGTGGCGTGCTATCGAGTGCCTACATAGAGCAGGTAGAGTAAAGTATGTAGAGTGCTGGCGGGCGGGCGGGCATAAAGGGGGATCAGTTTGGGAGTGGGCGAATGGGCGAGTGAGTGAGGAGTGATTTGGGGGCACTGGCACTGGGCAGAGTGTATCGCGCCTTCCGACACTTTCGTTCGATGGGGTTGTTTGGGAGGAATTACGGGGATATGGTTATATTTGGAACCCGACGCGCTGCACCCAACTTGGCTGGCCGCTGACATGCAGGCACGCGAGAAAAGAAGAAGAAAAAACAAAAAGCAGATGGGCGCTGCACCGTGGAGTGTGCAGACTTCCTCCTCGATGACGGATGACATCTTGTTCCAGAATGCCTACTATTAGTAGGGTTGTGAGGTCGCACTGCCGCAGAGTCGAACGGCGATGGCGAACAGTCGTTGACCCGCACGGCGCACGCCCCTGTGGCTGTGGCTCAGCTGCTCCTCGACCAGTGGATCAGCAACTGAGCCACGGATCGCAGCAGGGGGCGGTCGGACTTTTCGCCGTCGCGAGTACTCTGGAGTCTACTCTCGTCTACCACCACCATGTGGAGCACATGTAGGATAAATAGAGGATCAGATAAGATGGGAGAAGGAGGAGAGGCTAGCTGAATCGAGTGTAGCGAACGTTGTAGGCTGCGGAGACTGGATGGCTCTTCGAAGTTGAATACAACCTCAACTTTTTCATCATCCTTCATCTTCGCCGTCTCCATTCGGGGTTACGTCATCTACCAGTACAGCATCCACGGCGCCGCCAGTACTCTCGAGTCCGGAGTACAGCACCCACCGATTCGCCTTGCGGCAAATCCAAATCCAAACGAATATCGCGGTGCATCGGGTGCGCACTGGGAAATTGCTTCTTTTCCAACTCCTACATATGGTTCGCCTGCGCGGGGGCGTCACACCGCTCGTATTGATACCTGTAACCACCCGTGTAGCACAGCCAGTGGTCTCATGCTGATCTCTTTCCAGTTGCCAAGTTGGATGAATCGCCGTCGCCCTCTGCAACTGTTTCTCCTGTGTCTTTCAGCTTGTCACTGCAGCTCTCGTATGCTCTCCGGCGTCTTTCAGCACTGGCACTGCCTGCATACCACGGCAGCTCTCGTGCGCCCGCACGGAATACTCTCGCTAAGCCGAGTGACAGGCGTGATCCCTCGATCCTGTCCGCTCAAGCGACTTCAGTTCCAACCCCCCTTCCCCGGTGGGGAATGGAGCGGTCTTTATATGTGCTCCAGAGTTCCTTCCAAAAATGGTTCCTGATGGGAAGAAGCGCTCAACGCTGTCATATCGGGTCCACTCCGGTGTGGGTATCTCCGACCAGGCAGCAGCCCCCCCCCTCCCCCCGTGCAAAAAAAGGGCGCCTATGTTGTTTCGGAACTGCAGAGAGTGGCTGCGCACGCAAGAACTATGCAAGTAGTTACCTATAGTAGCGGACTCTTCACGCGTCGTGCGATGGGGCTACGTACATACATACCGACGTCGGACCTGCGCAGTGAGAGAGGGTGTGGGTAAATATCCTGCTCTATCTTAGGATGAACACTAACCACCTCAGCTATACCCGCCCCGCCCCCTGCACGTCCGGTGAGAGCTTAATAACTGTTGTCCGGGTCCGTAGTAGAGTGGTTAATAGTCAGCTACCAGTCAACTAACCATTAACATCCAAATCAATAGTAAGCTGCTGCATCCAACTCTTGCCGACACGGAATATCGGATCTCGCACACCGGGTTGATGGCTGCTTGATATCCCTTCCGCCCCCCCTCCCGCCTTCTTGTCCCCTTCTTCTTCCTTTTCTTCTTCTTCTCCCTGTTTGCTTCTCGTACCGATTGATACACGGCTTCACTCTTTCGCCTGACCCATTCTTTTTTTTGGCTTCCTCGGCGACTCGACAAGATTCAACGATGAAGTTCACATTGCTCGCCGCTGCTGCGGCCGTGGCACTGGTGCGTGCCCAGACTACCGAACCCGACCCTGTGACGGAATTCTGCACCATGGGAGGATCGTCGAGTATGTATTTCCGAATCGCTTCCGGTGTGATGGATGCTGGGGACTGACGGGTGGGGATCGCAACAGTCGCGATTTCAAACAATATTGCATATATTTTCGGAGGTTGGGCAACTTACGATGGCTACAACTCGTCGTTCATTGGATCCAGTAAGTGGTTTTTTTCTCTTCTTTTTCGCTGCACGGAATCGAGCAGTGGGCGAGGGGGACCAGTTATTGATTGGCATGATAGACGACTTCCTTCGAGTGATCGACTTCACCAAATCCTTCCGAACCGGAGCTGATGTCGCCGACTACGTTGAGATGATCGAGATGCCTGATATCGTGCCGCGGGGCACGTTCGTGTCGTTCTGGCCGACCGACAACAACACACTGGACATGTTCCACGGCTTCCACGAACCGACCGGCATTCAGGTGGCCGAAAACGACACGGCGGCACTGAAGGTATGGCCGCTGAATGCGAAGCACGCCTTCGATATTGCGACCGAAACATGGTCGGCCAAGACCGTGGCCAGCGCCGACCTCTCGATGATGGACATCCCGGCGGACAATAATGGTGCGGTGCAAAAGCTGGCGACGAGGACCCAGGTGTGGGTCCCCGGCGCGAAGAAGGGCTTCGAGCTCGGTGGTGAATCGTACATGGATAGCAACCATACGAATTGGCTGAATTCGAGAGAATTCTCGAATCACAATGGCCTGCTGGTGTACGATCAGGCGACGGACTCGTGGACCAACGAGACCATGCCTCTCAAGTACATGCGGAACGGAGTTCTGGCCCAGCTTCAGACCGCCGATGATAACATCCTGATTGCGTTTGGAGGATTCACCAGCGAACGTGGGACAACAAATAAAATGGTTTGCCCCCCTCCTTTTAGGATTATATCCGTTTCCCCCGCCATGGCTGACATGATAAACGTTAGCGGAGTATGCGCGAATTCAGCATCTACAGCACCAACCAGGCGCGTTGGTACTCTTTCGTTGTCCCGGAAGGCAGTACGATCCCCGATACCCTCGCTTCCAGCTGCTGGACAGTTGTCAGCTCACAGGACAACACCTCCCATCAAATAATCACCTTCGGGGGTGAGCGCACACTGGATGCCATATCCAACAACGAGGTCTGGGCGCTCACCATCCCATCGTTCGACTGGGTCCAGCTCGAAGGCAACGCCACCGATCCTACCCGCGACCCTGGAGCGCGAACGCAGCCCATCTGCGCCACCGTCGGTAACAGATACATGCTCACCTACGGTGGACGTGGTTCCGGCTGCGATAAGGACGGCAACGCCGTATTCCTCCTCGACATCAGCCAGGGCAAATGGGTGGACGACTTCAAGACCAACCAGGAGTATCTTGTCCCCGACGCGGTTGTCGCCGTCATCGGTGGAACGTATGCATCCCCCCATCCGTTTTTTTATACATCAGTCAACTGAGCAATATCCATTTTTTATAGTGGCAAAGGTGGCGCAACCAAACTCGCGCCCTCCGGCGGCTTCAACGACGCCGGCCTCGAAAAGCTGCTGACATTCAACACGACGACGACGGGCTCGGCCAACGGGACCACATCGTCGACATCCGACTCCGGCAGCAGCGGCAGCTCCAGCAGCAGCTCCAACACAGGTGCGATCGCGGGTGGCGTAGTCGGCGGTCTCGCTGCAATCGCCATCGTCGCGGGCATATTCTTCATGATCCGCCGCCGCCGGCAAAAAAACGAATTAGCAGCGCAGCAGCAGCTGCCGCCAGGTCAGCACTCGTCCCCAATCGTCGAGTTGAAGGCGCCGCTCCATGCTCAGGATTATCACCACCAGCAGCATACGCAGCCAGTGGAGATGTATATGAACACCCCTATAGACCCTCCCGTGGAGTTGAGCGCTGGTGACGCCCACGCCAGGGGATTCCACGAGGCGCCGGCTTATAAGTAGATTCATTCATGTACTCTATGTAGAGGACGACTGTCGAGTGGATGGGGGAGGGAGGGGGTTTGTATATTTTAGGATTTAATGTAATTCGGTTCGCAATGTCAAAACGAGTGATTCATGCCGGTCGAATATGGAATTGTGCAACAAAAAAACAACAAAAACTCTTGCCTGCGGATTCAAGATGAAATACTGGTACTGGGGCATGGGTGACCGTCTGTGAGATTGGCTGCCAGTCCGGTAATGAGATGATTACGGGTGGTTTCCGCACAGTGATCCGAATCATCCACCGTGTTTCAATGTCGCTGGAAGAATATACACGGAAGCCTCTTCTTCCCACCCTCCTTCTCGACGGAATTCACCGCCCGAGATTCGAACCAATTCGCCCATTATATAATCGAGTATACGTGTATCTGCACAACTCTCTAATCGAACGTAATCTTCTTCCCCACCGGCTTCGCCATAGCCGCCGCCACAACGGCCTGCTTCTCCTTCGCCTTCCTCGCCGCCTCCCAAGACGGATGCAAGGGGCCCTCCGCGATCTTCTCCTTGTGCCCTCCACCCGTCCTTGCCGCCTCCCTCATCTCTCGCTTCGCCTGTTTCTCAGCGTCCTTCTCGGCGCGCTGCTGCACGTGACTCGCGCGCTGCCCATACATCTTCTCCCACAGCGCGCGGCGCGCCTGCTGGCCCATCCGGTTCTTGCGCTCTTTCTTCTCTGGCGGCCCCCGCTTCGCGGTGCTGTTGTTGGCGTACCACTCCGCGTCTGCGTCCGAGTCGCCGCCGGAGACGTAGCCGGCCATTAGTGAGGGGAGGAATTGTGAGGTTTCTGGCGGCGCGGGGGTTCGGGTTTTGGTGGCGGGTTTTTTGGTGGGTGCTGCTGGCTTTGGTGGGGCGGCGGAGGCGGCTTTGGTCGTGGGTTTCTTGGAGGGTGCCGAGTCTTCGTCTGAGACGGCGTCCGAGTCGACGTCCGAGCCACCGGACCACTCGTCATCTGTCCGTGCGAGCTCGTTGGCGGCATTAGTGGCATCCTCGTCCTCGTCCTCCTCGTCGTCATCTTCCTCGTCAGAAGCTCCGATGCGCTCTTCGAATTCGTCAAAGTCTTTGGCGTTGGGATCCATCAGCCGTTCCCATATTGTATCTTCAGTCATATCCTCGACGGCGGAAGGATTCGTGCGCGCCTTCTTCGCTGCTGGCTGAGCGGGTTCCTCATCCGAGAAACCCGCAAACTCCTCGGTCTCTTCGACAAGACGGGCTTTACCGCTCGGCTTAACTGCGAGCCCCTCCTCCTCCTCCGCTTCCGCCTGCTCCTCCACCACAGCCCTCTCCACCTTCTTCTTCGGCGCCTCCTCTTCCTGCAGCCCCATGGCGACCTCGACCTGGTCGACCACAACCGCCATCACCTCCTTAACCGTCGCGCTACCAAACAGCCTGGCCACAACATTCGCACGGGCCTTATCGCTTGCATCGGGAGCGTCGGGAATAACCAGCGCCTTCGGCCATAGCAGCGACGCAACCACGCGCTTCCGCTTCCCAAACGTGCGCAGGATATGTTCCGTCGCGAGCGCGTTCAGCTCCGCCGCAGAGAGCGACTTGCACACGCCCAGCTCCGGTTCGAGTTTGGCTGTTAGGGCGGCGTCGTTCGCTGTGCTGCCCACCACCACCAATTTAGCCCCCACCCCCCTCCACTCCCGACCAACGAGGGGAACCTACCGCGCAACCTTGATCCGCCTCAACAGCTTTCTATTCTCGAAGCCGCGCGCCTTCTTGAGCGCGCGGAAGACGTTTTTCTTTCCCGTGTCGATGCATGCGAGCACGCTGCGGTGGATCCCGTCGACTGCGCGTGGTGGGAGCAGTGTTGGGTCGGCGAGAGAGCGCGCGTGCGTGTATGTCCGCTTCTTTTTGGAGGAGCCGTTGCTGCTGCGGCCGCCGCTGCTGGTCGAGGGGTTGGGATTGGAGGGGTTCGAGAAGGGGTTTTTGCGTTTGGGCGGCATCGTGGGGACGTGGTACTGTGGGAGAACGTGGAGAACGTGGAGAACGGTGGTGCTGCTGGTGCTGGTGGGCCGGTGGAGTTGGGTTTTTTTTGACAGGGTTCGTTTCGTGGGATGCGTAGTGGCGGGGTGCGCCGTGTGGCGGTGGCTGATGTGGCGGTCGAGTGATTGTACATGGTGGTTCACACGGTTGAGCAAGGAGAGCGAATAGAGGCCCCAGATGGTTGTGCGATAAAGAGCTCACCGTTTGGTGGTAGTTTGGGCAAAGACTGGGCCCTTCCATCTACGGAGCAACACAGGAGGCTCATATGCCGTAGACCATCTTACCATCATCCAGAGCCAGTCTCCATCCCTCACTCATCCCGTGACAGTGACAGCTCACATGTGAAAGTCCCAACCCAACCCATCCCATCCCATCCGCATTCCCTTTGCCGCACTGGGCAGGGACCAGCGACGTCACACCTGTCATAGAATCATAGTGTCAAACTAACTCTAAAAAAACGACCCCGCATCACCGAACCACGGTCCACGGTCCACGGTCGGTCCACCCCACCTCGCCAAAAAAGCGAACCAACTTACCGTACCGTACCAAGGTCCAACCACCACAACGCGTCTCCCGTAATTAAGCCCGGCCCACGCGCCACCACGGACCTCCGCCTTCCCCGCCATAACTACAACGACATCCGCGCAAGCATGGAGATATTCCTCAATAAGGTCTCGCAGCAAGCCGGTATGTACCTTCCATCCGCCCATTCATCTGCCTACCAAAAGTATACCTTGCCTGACACTCCACCCCCATCGCAGTTTCGTTCGCGATCAGGTACATACTCTACACACCTACGTCCCACTGCCCGCGCATTGGTGCACGCACACAGTACTATGGTTGCTGACCCCGCGCGACCCGTGAAGATCCGGGATAATAGTCACAAGCCAGTTTGCGATTCGTCAGTGCGGGCGGTACATCTCGGTTCGTTCCCCTTTTCCCTGCGGGGGTCGGTCGGAGGGGTGGAAGGGTGTAAGGATGGAAGGTGGCTTACGGGTGTTGAGGTGGTAGTCGATAAAAGGGAAGGATAGGAAGGAGTTACAACGGCTGCAGGAGAGGCTGGAGACGAAGATCAAGGTAGGTGCCTAGGATGAAGCGGGATTGGGCATTGGCGGTACAGGCTGACGCGGGTAGATTGTTTCCCCTGCGATCGATCTCGTGGAGATATTGTACGTTTACTCCGCGTAGCTCTTCGATCGGATGGAATGGTGGGCTAACGGAGCTACCTAGATCGGCGCGAGGCAACACGTCGCTCGAGAGCGCGCTCACGTTAACGAAAGACATCCGGCATGGCATCGAGAAGCTCGGGAAGCGCATGGAGGCGTTGTCGGACCAGAATGCGAAGCGCCGGACTAATCCTGAGGAGGTGAAAGGGGTCATGGAGGATATCAAGAGTTTGCTGATGAAGATTGAGGAGGTTGGTGGCGGCAGTTTCTGTCGTAGGGGCAAATCGCTGACGCTTGCCTAGGCCGTGCCGTTCATCAGTCTTGCGGTTACCACCTCCGGCGTCAACATTTCAGCGTCGATACCGCAGAATGTCTCGCCGTCGAGATTACTACAGGCCTCCGGAATGCTGTCTGCTGGGGACACGGCGTACTGCTACGACCCGTTCAAGCCCGCGCAGATCGGACAGACGTTTTGGCTGTCGCTATACATGCTATTCTCGTCACACTCGCATAGACAGGAACAGGTCTCGGCGAAGGATCTGACATGGCAGGAAGTAATGTACAAATGTCGTGTCAACCTTCAACGCGTACCGCTGTTCTACGACGAGGAGGAGGGCGAAACTACGGGGGATATGCATTTCCGGGCGCAGAATAAGATACAGGAATACTGCTACGAGCTGCTGTTGGTGGAAGACTTGGATGATGGGAGGGTGCACGAGAAGGATTACGGGCCATATGAGGATGTCGCTAGGTCAGGACTGAGGACGCGCATACCAGTTCATCAGATCGCGAAGATGTTTTATACCACATCTGGCAAGCTTCTTGGCATTGAGGAGAGCAACTCCCCGATCCTACTGATCAAGCGAGACAAAAATGCTCAGGCTCCAAGGAAGGTGCTCGACAAGGTCAGGGGATATTTTTACAGCGATGACGAGGGCTCAGACACTGACGAGCGGCATGGAAACGACCATCACCACTCTCCAACCGATCATCACGAGGAGGAGGACGGTGAAGACCACCTCGACCTTCCCAAACACCTCGACCCAGAATGGCTCGCCTTCGAAATCTACACCGACGACCCGGACGACGCAAGCTCCGCTACGATATCTCCCGTCTCTTCGGCCGAATCTTCACGGCCAGGCTCACCAACCCCTGATCGGACCCCACCGCCCGCGTCCCTCGCCAACGCCCTAACCAACCTAACGCTCACCTCGTCGCCTACCACCGCCACCCCGCGTCTCAACGCAATCCGCAGCGACCTCAGCATCCTCGAATGTCTCCTGCGCCTCACGATCCTCCAAAACTTCCAGCAGGCGCAACACACCACAGTGCACGACGAACTTCTCAACCTCTTTCTCTCGGACGCCGTCTGGGGCGGTAGCAAAGAGGACCGCCGCGTGGAGCGCGAACAGGCGCGCAAAAAACTCGGCTTCGATCCCTTCGAGGCCACGCCGGGCATAAACCGTACCATCAGACCGCCCGGCGGCACCCCCCGGAGTACCACTGGCACGCCGAAGAGGATCGATGCGCACCCGATTACGCCAAGGAGCGATATGGAGCGCCAGAGGGGTAGGTGGGTCAGGTGGGATACGCAGACGCCGAGAGAGCAGTGGACGCCGCCGGAGAGGCGGCCGGAATGGGAGGGCGAGGAGCCGTCGAGTCCGCTTGGGCGGTAGACGTTTTAAATTCTGAGTTGTAACTGCGTGCTAGATTGTTGGAGTTTGTGGGCTCGGGCGTTGGGACTGTTGCTCGCCTGCACGGCCGGCTTTGAGTGTAAATGGTGTTCCTTTTCTGTACGAGAGGTGGTCACTGGTCACTGGTGTGAAGAATCTCAATGGGAATCACTACTATCCTCCTGCTGGATGGATGAATCTCATCTCTTATTTCAAGAATCTCTAACGCTCCGAGTAGGTTATAGGTTGTAGATACTGCCTCTGTCTGTGGTGTAAATCGGTTTTTCTTTTTCCATCGTTCCATAAGATGTATTTGACGTTTGCAACGAGGAAAGATAGGTAGACCAGACCGGTCGGGATAAAATTAAGTACACCCGACCTAGGAGTAGGTCGGGATATATTCCGACCGACCATACCTAGGCTTTAGTAGGTCGGGATACCTATATCCCGACCAGACCTTGCTTGCCAGGCACGATCGGCGCAGGTCGGCCGACGTCGGGATAACAGATAAGCTTATGTATCAGCCGCAAAATTTTCTGTCATAGTTGTGCGTCTGGAATGTGTCGAAGACGACCGCGCGCAGCAATGCTGGAAGTGTTGGAACTTGGGCGTCCGGAATGTTACTATAGTTGTCGCAGAACTGCTGGCAGACCACAGCAGCAATGCTGGCAGCCTAGCAGCCTGGCGGAGAAAGCATTAGCACGCTGCATTCGTCATCGGTATGCTATAGAGTACCATGGCCAGTGGGAGGGGCGAGGGGCGAGAGGGGCGAGAGATTATGTATATAGATATAGAGCCCGAGGGCCTCCGCTATCGCTACGTCCACCATCGCTACGTCCACCATCGCTACGTCCACCTCCACAGGTTCCTGTCGCACCCATCACCCATCCCACCTTACAACCCTACAGCATGCCACGTCCTCGGGGTAAACAACCTGCCATCCCAGATAGCAGCCAACCTTCGAGTTCTCAGGTAGCTAATCACCCTCCCGAAGTGTACACGGACGCGCGAGAGCCGAACGACAACGACGACGCCGAGTCGATTGAAGAGGTGGCCGACTATGAATCTGTTCCAGATGCGTTCAAGAAGCGGAAGCGACGCATACGGTTGAGTCATATCTGGTTACCTGAGAATGGCGTCGAGCATGTTGCAGAAGATGGGGTAATACAGTGGAAGTGTCAACGATGTAGGCAATGGCTTCCGTCCGAACAGAGTCCAAAAACTGTGCTAATAAAATTTTCAGGCCCGCTTTCGGGGCCGAAGATGGTGGTGTTTTCAACGAGGACAACGAAGAACGCAATCGTGCATCTGAAGTCAAAGCATCGTATCGGACCCGATGGGGGAATGGTGGCCGGCAGCAGCATCACAGCACCACAGCAAACCATTGAAGCAGCTTTCGGCCGTTCGACGCCCAAGATTTTCTTCAACAAGGATCGTTTCAAGGAGCTCCTACTCCTGTGGATTGTGGATGCCAATGTTAGCTTCCGGATGTGTGAACAAGAGAGCTTCCGGACCTTTTGCACCTACATGACCGCATGTCAGCCCGACTATTCCGGGATCTATCGGGCTCTCCCGCAGAGTGTCGACGCAATCAAGCGGTACCTGCTGGCTTGGTATGAAGCTATGCGAGATGAGGTGAAGTCAAAACTCCGTTCTGCAGCCGCCAAGATTCATTTCTCCTTCGACATGTGGAGTGGGCCGAACCAGCACTCCTATCAAGTGATCGTGGCCCACTGGTTAGACGGCAGCGGTACCCTGCATGCGGCCCTGCTCTCACTGCATCGTTTTGAAGGAGCTCACTCCGGTGTCAACCAAGCTGACCAGCTATGGCAAACTCTTGAACTCTACGATATCCTACCCATGGTGGGAATGTTCAACGTCGATAATGCTGCCTACAACGACACCGCACTGGTCGAGATCGCACGGCGTTTAGGCGGGGCTGGCTACGCAACTTTCGACCCCGTTCAGGCAAGGGTTCGCTGTTTTGGCCATGTGCTGAACCTCGTCGTGAAGGCAATTCTTTGGGATAGTAAGGCCGTTGAAGCATTCGATTTGAACCAGATGGATGCGGAAGCAGAGCTGGGACCTATCCGTGATTGGCAGCGCAAAGGACCTTTGAAGAAACTTCATAACTGGCTGACCTTTATACACAAAACACCACAACGACAGGACACGTTTGTAGCAGTTGTCAGGCGTGTCTACCCCGACGAGACTGTTCACGTCGTCTTGCTTGGAAACACTACCAGATGGTCGAGCGATTACGACAGTATTATCCGGGCGATCCGGCTTCGTGACGCCATTGACGACTACATACGACTGGCTGTGCGACAGAATCTCAATGGTGAGAATCAGCGGGATGATCCTTTGGCTCTGGTTAACGACGAACTCCTACCGGACGACTGGGACTACCTGAAGCGCATCAAGGAAATCCTCGAGCCTTTCAAGAAGTGGAAACTACGACTCCAGACGAGATACAGTAACGGTTGTGTCAGCGACATTCTTCCCGCTATGGATGAACTTCGTAGCCATCTCGAGGGTATGAGAGTTCAATTCGGCAATGAACAGGCTGGCCCGTTGGGAAGGATGATAGATCGGGGTTGGTCTTTTCTCAATAAGTACGTCGCCCCCCTCATTTCTTTTTCTACCGTCATTTTAAGTTGGCTCTACTAACTCTCGCACAGATACTACACAAAGACTGAACTCTCACCAGCCTATGTGATTGCCGTGGCTCTACATCCGAATATGAAGTTTCAATACTTCCAGGAGGAGTGGAAGGAGAGGCCGGAGTGGATCGCATTTGCGGAGGAAACGGTGCAGAATGTATGGGAGACCGCATACAAAGGGTATACTAATGGCGGCGCCGGTGAACGGCGTCCATTGGAGGAGGAGGAGGAGCGGGACGTGGATGCAGAGGAGGACCTGACCAGGTGGGAGCGCAAGCTTCTAGCTGCTGCACAGGTAGCAGCGGGTCTGGACATGTTGCAGCGCTTTCAGCAGGAGAAGCAGGTTGTCTGGGTACGTGATGTGGTTGGGTGGTGGCATGAAAGGTTGTTGGATCCTCAATGGAAGGACCTTGCGCGGATGGCGTTAACGTACCTGACTCTGCCGGCGATGAGTGCCGAGCCGGAACGGGTGTTCGGCGCTGCGAAGCAAACACTCTCGGATCGCCGCTGTCGTGTGGGCGATGATGTACTAGAGGCGGTCGAATGTTTGAAAAGATGGCAGAGGGATGGGATAGTTGCGCCGACTCAGCCGGATGCGATGGAAATTGGGGAGATGTTGGCCGCGCTATCCGAGGAGGATCGGGTGTAGAATAAATGATTGTAAAGAGTACAAATTGCAACGTGTATACTTTATTGGCCCGACTTATCCCGACCCGACCAAACCATACCCAAATTTGGTCGGAACTGGCCTATGTAGAACACTGGTTTCACTCGGGGGCCAAAGTTCCACGTGGGGCGGGACTGTGCCGCGGCAGTTCTGTCGGTCGGAAACCGGAGTATCCCTTCGGCACCCTGTGGTACTCAGCTCTCGCAAACGGTTCGAACTTCGCGGGACCAGCTGTTTCTTGCAGGCCGACCAGAAGCACCGGAAAACACCAGACGGAACGGATAGAACGGATAGAACGGATACCAGCCGATACCAGCTGATACTAGCAGGCTGCTTCGTGGTCTCCGCTCCACGTGATCAGTTAGGACTCGGTAGAGTGCTCAGTACTCAATACTCTCGTGGCGATGTACCTACTTTCCAAGCTTCTAGATAAGAAAGTAGACGGGAATAAGGCGCAATGGAGTCTACGAGGCTTTGATCTCAGACCATGTGAGTGGTCTAGACCTACATCTACTATCACATGTAATACCGACACCGATTCACGACTGACAATGGGCCCTGCTTGCACACGAAGCCAATCCCTAGTGCATCTTCACCTCATCACCTCAGATACGGAGAACGAGGAGCCATCTAGATTCAGGAGGCATGCGCATTCACCACTGCTAGCATAACGATAGTACATTTCTCAGGCCCACATGAAATCTGCACGTAAAGTAAAGCAAGTCCGCAACAGCAAGAAAACCCCGAAAGAAGAGATCAAAGCCAATCTCACCTTCACACCCAGCCATCTTGAGAATTCGACAGACTATCGCAGACACATTGTAATCAGAACCAGTATTCACCTGCAAGAGAAAAAAAAAGAAAGAAAAAAGGGCCCCATGGCTTTCCCGAGAATCCACAGGAAGAAAAAAAAACGTAGAATATTCTGCAGATCAACAAGGACCAGCTTAAGCGGACTCAATCTTCTTCAGTGTCTCACGGAGCGCAGCCAATTCCTTCTTCATTGCGGCTGCTTCTGTGTCGTGAACGGCGTACTTCTCAGCAAGCCTGTCGAGCCTCTCATGGAGGGCCTTGATCGTATCATCCTTCTCTCCGATATCGGACATGTCCTCCTCGTCCTTGGGCTCGACAGCCTTGCTGTTTCCTCCATCGGAATAGGCAAGCCTCTGCTGCTCCAGCATCATCTCGACATCACGGATCAGGTCGGCTCTCTCGCGACAGGCGCTGAGCAGCAGCAGCCTCGGTTCAGTATCGTAGCTGCTGAGAACGCGGTAGTTGAGGCTGGGAAGGGTGGCTTGAACCAGGTTGTGGGCGGGGAAACCGACGCGTTCGAGGTCCAAGGTAGTGAGATAGATGACGACGTCCGCGGTGAGGACATTGTTGGTATGGTGGCGAGCCGGGAGCTGGTGACCCTTGTAGTACCTCAGCGTCAACTTCTGGCGAGTCACAAGGAGATGCCACAAGTCGTACAGAACGCCACGGATGATCTCCTCGGCGTACTGCTGGTACAACGTGATATCTGCCTCATCGAAACCGATCGAGGGGCCGGGAGCGAGCCTTGCGCCGACGAGGGCCGCGCAGCGGTTGACGACTTTGGCTATCTTCACGACGGCCTCGATGCCCGGGAAACCGGCAGAGGCGAGTGAATACTTATTCTCCTCCTCGTCAGACTCAACTGACTTGCGAACAGCCTTCTTGGTGGCGGGAAAAGCAGCAGCTGTATCATCCTCGTCCTCGTCCTCGTCCATTTCATCCATTTCTCCCTCATCTTCGTCCATGTCGCTCTCGTCACCAGCGGGCTCCGGGAGCCTAGCAGCAAGCAAGGCAACTGTAAACTTTGATCAGCACTGTAACATTTTCTCACAAACTTAGTGACGACAGGTAACAAACGTTTCCTCTTCTCCTCCTCCTGTGCAGTGACCTTCCTCTGGGCCTCGTAGACGGCAATGGCCTGATCAGCAAACGAGGCGAAGCGGGAGGCACCGTTGAAGAGCGGGTCGCACGGAAGGATGGCGAGGTAGATGACAGGCTTCTGATGCGCGAAGATCGAGTGCATGAACGAGGAAGTGCAGGCGAGCTTCACCGCGGTGTCGAAGCTGTCCAGAGACTTGTAGACATTCTCCACCAACTCGACGGGGAGCGCGAGAAGGGGGAAGGTCGGCTCTGGGCGGGTTCCGGTGAAGGCGAGCATCTTGTTGATTGGCGGCATTGCAACGGGAGATGTCTCTGGTAGATCGTGAAAGAGTATGGAGGAAGTTGGGGACCACGGTGTCAGTGTGTGCGGGGGGTGATGAGAGGGAGGGAAGCGTATCGAAGGGATGGTCGAAGTGTATGTGCCGCTAGAATTGCTGGCGTACTTCGAGCTTCCCGGTCACGAACCCTATCATCGGATCAGCGCGCTTGCCTCTTCTGCTTTGCCAAGCTGGAGAGGGTGACAGCCATAGAAGAGTACATCAAACATGCACATTTATGCAGTGTCCCGCAAATGGACCAAACATTTCTCGGCCAATCAGGCTTCCGTCCATCGAATCAGGACAAGCACCACGTAGCCATGGCCGCAGTTGCTGCTCACACTGCGAACGAGATATGTGTGGACTCCAGGCTGCTTCTGCATAGCAGACGTCACCTCGCCCGTGTCGTGAACCATTGAATGTTATGCCATGCTACAAGTACATTATCAACACTGCCCCTTCTCGTGTGTACACATGTCAGATCACCGCTTACCCCAAACAACCCCAAGGGCATCCACCTCGCTCCCTGTCCATCCCTGAAAGCCCACCAGTGTCCAGGTTCCTCCCGAAGGCGGAGTCCACACCTCGCACTCGCCCGTCCCACTGCCGGTCCTGACACTTCGCCCTCGATCGGTATCCACGGTGACCGAGAACACACCTCGCGACCCACCACTCCTGACACCGATGCAGACCTCGACACGGTTGATATTCTCCCCAGCGTCCAGCTTCAACGTCCGATCCCCGCCGCCGCTCCCTCCGTGCGGGATCTTCCTTCCGTCCGACATCGTGTACGCCACCTTATCCACCCGGCTCCCGCCGCGGAGAGTAATCGAGCTCACCACCGCCCTCGCCGTAGCATCCCCCCACGAGCCCACACTCCCACCCGTCGCATCGTTGAACCACGTACTATGCGTCCCGCCAACGATCCTTGGCCCCGCCCTCATCGACGGCGAAAGCTCGTAATCAAACACCGCCTGATTCGGAAAGTGATCGCTGAGCGGGCCACCGCTCGCCGTCAGGAACGCCGTATTCTGGTTGATGAAGTCCGTTGCTGCCAGCCTCAGGAGGCGGTTCCCGCGGTAGTGGACCTTATCGATCTGCTCGCAATCCATCCTCTCCTGCCCGGCGGGCACCGGGAAGCGACACTCGATGCTGCCGCCATGGCCGGGCGGATTCCCGCCGCGGAACAGCTCGACCCACACATCCGCTAGCCCGTTCTTCTCCTTCAGCAATCTCGCCGGGTCCTGAGACGATGTGTACCGCGTATTCGTATCCCCCGCGACAACAACCGCGTTGCCGAGCGAATACGTGCCGATGAAGTTACTCATCTGTTGGAACCCCACGGTCCGCGCCTGGAAATCGAGCTTGTCGTCGCCTGCCTCCGCATGCAGGTTGTAGAAGTCCACTACGACGCCGTCGTCGAGTTGGATTCGCATCGCCGTGAAGCCTTTGGCTGCCAGGCAGTCGCCGCTGTTGGGCCAGCAGGCGGCCCACGTGCGCCGTTGGTGGTCGGACCATGGGTACGAGGATAGGGCGTTGAGACCGTTGCCGAGCGGGACATTACCGCTGTGGGATGTCCGGTAGAAGTGTGTATCGGATGATAGCAGCTCGGAGTGGTAGCCGAAGTCTTCCTGGACGTGGACGATGGAGTAGTTACTCAGACGTTGCGAGATGAGGGGGGTGTTGACTGCAGGGTCGCTGCCGGAGATGGGTTCTGGCGAAATCAGCATTGGAACCATGGGGACAGAATAAAATGTGGCTTGTTTGTACATACCGGGCAGTCCAGCGACGTTGTAGGTCAGTATATCGAACGATCCGCTGAGTGCCTGGCCACTCGCCCAACCGCTCATGGCTCCCGCCGCCAAAATCGTACATATCGTTCGTATCGAAAACATCTTCGCTGTAACTAAGTGTCTTCACTTTTTCTCCTCGCCGTTTCACCGCTGGGGGAGGATACACTTTATACCCCCATAGTCGAGATTAAATCTTCGCCTGGCCCCGCCATGTGCCCAATCCGAATCCGTGGCCATGGGATCGCTACCCCTCAATTATTACAGTTACAGAGTTGCAGTTACAGCGTAGCAGAATGAGGTACATACCCGCAATCACTCGCGCGCTGGGAACGGACGCCCTATGACCATCCCTGTCGCGCGCTGATTGGCTCGCCACAGCATTCAGGACGGGGGCTCTAATAGAGTAAATTTCTTCCGACGAGTTGAGTCGCTACTCTTCTGCTCGAGGGGCAGAAAGGAGGAGGAGGAGGCGAAGGGGTTCAGTAGTGCCTACGCTGCGTAGGTAGGCGGGAGAGATCGCGTAGGGTGGGTGGGTGGGAGATTGGCTCTTTCGAGCAGAACATCACGTAGCGGGGGTTTGAGTTTGTAGATAAACTGTACTTGGACCTAGGTGAGGATTGCCGTTGGAAGGACTGGGTGACGAGAGGACTGGCCTCTAGGTATGATACGGGGCTCGAATACTTCGATGCTCGATGTACATTCCTAGTTCGGTGTTGTGTCTGGAGTACGATAGGTGCGCATGACGAAGTCATCCCCAGCTTTCACGGTCCACACTGCCACTCCTGACGACTTCCGAGTCCCGACACGGCAGGCGTCAGGGACGACCATATTCCAGCAGCCGAGACACCGGTATGTGAAGAAGTATCACAAGTTACAAGCGTCCTGCATATCTGTGGCCCGGATGATGAGCTCTTCGCGTGAGACCGTGGCGTGGCCTTGACTGTGGGCGTGGGAGTGGGTTAGGTTTTGTGCGGGGCATCAACGTCGTGTCGCACAAACCCGCCACTACCACGAGCCACGAACCACGGGTCACGGTAGGATTTTGTCGGCAGGAGTGGAGGGGAAGAGACGGGTTAATGCGAGGTAGGAGATGAGCTGCTGGACCTTTTTTATTTTCTTTCTGGCACGGCTGAGATGAGTAAGTAGGCCACTCACGTATGGTACACAACCACCCTGGCCGCTGTATGTAGTAAAAAGGGCCCCGTGTGAGTCGGTAGCACAGCATGTCGCAATAGGCCATATTGAGGAGGATCAGAGACCATCGCGACCGACACGGTGACGAGCAGCAGCTGCGAGAAATGGGCAAATGTGAGTACCGCCATATTGGTCTGCCGGAGTCCCCCGCAGAGGCCCTTATATGTCCGGAATGCGACGACTTGCAGCCTAATATTGTCTCCCCTCCCCGATTAGCTCGGGTGCATCCATCTGCAGCGCTCGAAACGAGTGAGGCGGCGTGCATACGCTGTCACATTCGATTCACGCCCCGTCTCTGTCGTCACCACCACCATCAAAACGGCGCTACCTACCACCTCGAACCCAGCCAGCAAATCTTGCCGTCTCAATCCCTTACTTCTCCCCTCACCTCCTATACCGCTCGTTCTCCTCGTATCTCGGGACTCGCACATCCGCCTTGCATTTCGTCTTAGCTCATTATTCTTCGACTCGCTCCTCCACCGCTGATCGCCCGATCGCCGTACAATGTCGTCTCTACCACACAGGCAGTTCGCAATCGACGCTTCCCAGTCGACGCCGCCCGTTCGAGACCAGCAGCAAGGCTTCCGATTCCCCCCGAGAGAGACCGACTCCCATGTACCAACCTCTCCGCCCGAGTTCGAATCGCCCCCTCCTCCGCGAAGGCGTGAGCCCGGTCGCTTCGATCCGACGCCCCACTCAAGAGTTCCGCAACCAATGTCGAACGAGAATTATCCGGGAGCGAGCTCGCATCAACTACCTTCGCGGGGTAATTCGCTCGAGATCACACCCAGATATTTGCAAGATGCGCTCGACAACAGGCTCATCGACAGAACGGGTCGGATCAACACCGAAGGAACGGGAGTAAGCTCGCCATCGGATGTGTCGTCGCTCAGCCCGAGTGAACCGGAGAGGATGGACGTACTGTCTATGGACGCAAGGGAGCAACGTGCTAGTCAGTACAGAATGATGCTGGGTGTACTCTCTCCTCTGGAGGAGGAGCAGAGGTTGAGTAATGTGCCGACAATATTCGACGTTGCTTCGAGACAGCGCGAAAGCCGTACGACAAGTGGAACCGAGCCTTCGTACGAAGTTCCGGGTTCTCATTCGACATCCACTCGCGCCGACGGTCCGCTGGCTTCCCAGTCGGGGAGACTTCTTGGCTCTGCGCCGATTCTTTCACAGACCGCTGGTGCTGCCGTCGGAACTGAGGTAATCTCCGGCAACCGGACGTTGGAGATTTCATCCTATGGCTCGGAGGACACCGCTCCAAGGAAGCGGCATTACGAGGGATGTATGCTGTGTGATCCTCTCCCATCACCTTCCTCGAGCGTGTCTTCTGCCGTTCCCGATTTCGACCCTCGAAGTCCCAGCCGCAGTGGCCCGCCTCCAAATGTTCCCTTGCCGGACTTGATTCTGGGGAACGTCAATCAGCCTTCTGACGGAACGTCAACATCAAACATAATCAACACGTTCAGACCGTACCTCGAGGGAGAAGTTGCTCCGGCTTATCCAGCCCCTGCCCCCACTCTGCAGGCGGTAATCAGCGACTCTGCTCCTCCGGATTACTTCAACTACCCAAGACAGGGTACGCAGCTATATGCGCTTCCTGACCACCGAGGGTCTCTTTCAACCTTGATGGAAGGAGACGAGGAATCTCATCAGGCAAGCCACACAGGTCGCCAATCTTCCCAAGATGCCGCGCGTATTCACAGTCTTTCAAGTGATCAGCACCGGCCTCACACTGCGACCACGACCGGAACGGCCTCTCATATAGCAAATCTGAGTCAGAGTTCGTTGATTGCTGGTGTTCCTCATTCCGATCCAGTACCTCCGATTCCAACCCGCCTTCATCCGTTCAGAGGAAAAGGGATCAACCCATTCAAGGCATCTCCCCTCCGCCTGTCTTCGATCGATGAAACGAGGCCTCAAGGATCGAGAAAGCCATCATGGCGAGGACTCTTCGGGAGGGAGGAAACTTTGTCGAAGGACGTTGTTGGGGCTAGCTCTGCGGACATAGAGCTTCGGTCGGTTCCCACGGACGCTTCTGGCACAAGACCGGCACCATTTTCTGCCGACAGCAACCGTGCCGAACATTCTCTAGCTGATCAGGATTCTCATGGCAGACCTGACCGTACCGGTGGCGATGCTGCATACGAGAACGTCGATCTCGAGAATCGATCTGCCGTCCCAGCAGCTCCGCCGATGCCCTGGTGGAAGAGATCGCTCACTCTAGCCGGAACGCCATTCAGCGGAATCAAAATGCAGAAACCAGGGAAGTGGGTGAAGTGGGGTCTGATTATGATCGGTATCATCGGGGCCTTGTTGATGGTTGTGCTTCCCATTCTCTTCATCGGATTTCCGGCAATGGCCCAGGCAGCGGTCGACAATGCCGCAGTTGATATCTCGTCGATATCGATCACTGGCGTCGAGGAGTCATCATTGAGGTTGGCCATGGAGCTCAGGCTCAACCCGTCGGAACCTATGAACGTGTTTCTAGGACCCGAGAATCTTCGGTTGACGACAAGAAGCTACAATAAGGGCGACTATCTGCCGACCAGGCGTATCAGAAGAAACCATCTTGCAGGACATTACTCCAACGATGAGACAGGGATATTGGGATACCTGAAGTTAGCCGAGGAGGAGACTCGAGGTAACGATGTCTCTGCTGGTGTGATCTTAAAGGGCAACAACAACGGTCGATTTGTCATTGGCGATGTCCGAAGCTGGGGCGAGATTCTTGAGCAACTCATCTTTCGTGAGAAGGAAGTGGAGGTTCAGCTTCAAGGAAAGGTGCAGGTGAAAACCGGTGGGCTGAAGGCGAGTTGTCAGTTGAAGAAGGACATCAAGTTACCTGGTGGGTTTATTCGGCACCTTATGACGGGAAAGTAGCTGAATCCGTTAGGAATTGGCGGTCTGAACATCGTTGTGACCGAATACGACATTCTGAAAACGGGCCAGGAAAATTTCACAGCGGTTTTCGAGCTAGGAAGCAAGTCAAAGATAGAAATGGATTTTGTGAGTCAAGACTCCCCTCCTCTCCTTCTCTACAAAACATTTCAGCAATCTAACAACCCAACAGGGCACGGTTAACTTCCAATTACTATACGGCGACACTGCCATCGGAACAGCCATGGTTGAAGACTTCAAGATCTTCAACGGCACCAGCAAGATGACCGCTCGAGGCTCTTTGAGCCAGGACGTCATCGAGAAGGATCCAAATCTTCTTGGTCGGTTCTTGTCGTCTCTTTTCTTGGAGACGAATCACAAGAAAGCGAATATTCTGTCTCTGCAGGGTGTGAGCGCCAGCGTTGGAGGCACCGAGATTGAGTGGCTTACACCAGCCATTCGAAGACTGCAGATTCCTCTTCCCGCAGTCGCTGGAGAAGCGCAAAAGATCATTCTTGAGGACTTCGATCTCGGGTTCTCTTTGGTGCTCAGCATTTCAATGACTCCGCGCGCGACGGACGGCTTTATTTCTAGCCGAATTAAGCTGCCATTCCCAGCTGGCGACTTGAACCCAGTGATCAAGGGAGTCAGTCACCGGATCCAACTGCATGATCCGAAGGGGAAATTATTTGCCCATCTTCTTCTGCCGGTTTATCCCGCTGCCGTCACCTTCGACAAAGAGGTTGTCGATTTCAAAGATGTCGGGATTCGGGTGTTCGACGAGAGGGCTTGGAGCGACTTCTTTTTGAAGTCCCTGTTCCGTGAAAAGAACTTTAAAGTTTCCGTCACCAGTAATATTACTGTCAACGTGGACACGAGAATCGGGAACGCTTCGGTTGAGAATGTCAAGATTGCTGGTACGACGTGGAACCTCGATGGATATGGCGGATTCACAAATGGCGGCCAACAACGCGTCGAGCTTACTGTGCGCGAGTTTGTGGATGCGCCGAAGGGATTTCTGAAGATGAGGGTCAACACGGAGATATTTGGAGCAGCGACTTTGCCCATTAAGGTATGCACCCCTTCAAATCGGCGGAGATGAATTTTAACAGCTTGAGCAGTTGGGTCCGATCAAGTTCCGGATGTTCTACAACTCGACTTCCGACCCTATGGGTCAGTTGGATATTCGCGCCTTTTCGCTTGCCAATGGAAGGAACAATCTCGAGGGATACCTATACATCGACGGCGCACGCGGACAGTTTGACAATTTCATGACGTCGTACTTCGCTGGCGGCGGTGTCCCCCTCTTGCTCGATCCACCCGATGCTTCGGCTCTCCCGGCCGTTACTAACGCACTTCGAGGACTCAATATCTCGTCCACGATCAATTCCCCTGGCTACTCTGGCTTTCTTCGTGGGGCCGACTTCATGATGTTCACCGATACTGGCAAGGGATTGATCACGCAACGAGTCGCGGTTGTTATTATGAATCCGCTATTAGTTTCTATGGCAGTGGAAACCATCGATTTATCCATGCGCGATAAAGGAAGCAACAAGTTGGTCGCCGAAGTCAGTACTATCGCGTTCACCAAGACGTGGATCAATCCGGGCGATAATATCACCGTGCATCTTAGTATCTACGGCGGCTATACGATTGCTGAGTTGTTCGACTTCTTTGAGACGGGATCTAAGCAGATGGAGCTCGACGGGATCATCGGTATCGGCATCGGAACCGTCAGCGCCAAGATTCGTGTCAACGTCGGCCGTGTTGTCGGACTGAATAATATGCACAGTTAATTGGTTTGTTGGTACATTTGTGCGGGTTCGGTCTGTTTGTCCCATGCGATCTTGCCGAGTTGAGTGGAGTACATACCTGGTTACAGATAATAGAGGCGGATACCTAGATCAACAATCTGAGCAACAAGCGTGCTTTTTCTGTGTTTTTTCGCGGGGGTTCTTTCGTCTCCACTCAGCAGCTTTTTTCTTTTGGAATTCTATTTTGTTTCCTGCATATTCTTTTCTTTTACAGATACATCGCTTCGATTCCGGCTGAATGATGGCGCAGGAGTAGGGAGTATTTCAAATGTGTGTGGTCAGATATGGTACATACAGCTGCGGACCTGCGGTGGTTCATACGGAATGGTTCATACGGAATAGGTGCGGAATAGGAGTGGGGCTCATGATGGATTTATTGTACTTGGATAGGGCTGTTCATGGCGCGGCATTAATGGTAATACTACTTGTTGGATCCACTACATTGTACTATGGTCAATGAATTTTAGATAATACATGATACTAGAGAATCCACGTGCGGCAGGAGGAATGGGATACCGGTATCGATGATAGTTACCGATGATCGAATACGTTGACTCGTTTCGAGTCAAGTCGGACGAAGCTCCAGCCAAGTTTTCGAGTACCATACCTCTCGGCGCCCGGCCATGCGTCTCCCGCCGGCCAGAGTGCCAGACGTAGACCGACGCGGACCGACTAACTATGGGCCCGTTTGGATGCCCTCACTTTTCAGTTCCATTTTTGGAGCTACCTTCAGTTCCCCGCCGGGGCACCGAATACTGTCCAGTTTCAGTTTCCTGAGAACTGTGAGGGGAACAGAGTGTTTGACAGTTCTCAGATTACTCAGCCATAAGTCTGAATAATAGGCTTCACCAGAACTTTAATAGTGGACACATTGTGGCCCCGCTTTTTTCTCATGGTTGAAGTTAAAATGCGATACTGAGTGGCGGCAAAGAAATGACCTCTCGAGGTCAGTACCAGTTTCGTCACTGGAGCCGCACAGTTTCAGTTTTTTTTTATTCAAGTTTTTGTGCCATCCAAACGGGGTCTCAGTTTTGTTTCCTCAGTTTCTCGAAAAACTGAGGCCATCCAAACGGGCCCTTAAGAGTAGACACATTATACATTATGTTGCCCCGCTTTTTTCTCTTCCCTGTAAATGAAGTCCATGGTTGAAGTTAAAATGCGGTACTGAGTGCTGGTGGTGAAGAAAAGACCTCTCGAGGTCAGTACCAGTTTGTTTCATCGCTGGAACCGCACGGTTTCGGGTTTTTTCCCTCAGTTTTTGTGCCCATCCAAACAGGGTCACGGTTTTGTTTGCTCGGTTTCTCGAAAAACTGAGGCTATATATCCAATCGGGCCCTATGTACTTCGTTCAACGTACAGTAGTTTCCGAATTATCTGTAGTTAACTCGGAGACACCGCTTGTCTAGACCCAGTACTAGTACCTGCCCATCACAGGGGTGCGCAAGGGACTGCTCGGCTCCCGTATCCCAACATCAAGAAGGTTCGGACACCCGAAGCGGGGGGAGCGAGAAGAGTTGGGAAAGCGGGGCGAGCCGGGAAAGCGGGGCGAGCCGGGAAAGCGGGGCGAGCCGGGAAAGCGGAGTTCGCTTTTCCCAGGCGCGGAAAGGAGGATACATATGGGGCGAGCAGCCAGAGCAAGAACCATAGCAATCTCAAGTAGCAGTTCGGGCTCGTATACCTTTGTTCAGTTTATGGGCCCGGTGGGCACTCCGATGCGCATCGATCATGTTTTTCACTACTTTCGTCTGCCGATGAATGGCCTTCCACCTTCATCCGCCGATGAATTGCCTCCACCTCCACCTTCGCCGCCGCCGACGAATGGCCTTCCACCTTCGTCCACCGGCGAATACCGCACATTGTTCGCGCGCCGACGAACCTGTCAGAATAACGTCCGGCGATGACGAGATTCGTAGCGGGGTATTCGAGCGCGCGTGATGTACCTTCTGAAGGGCTCGCTGCTGACGATATCATTGCTGTACCGAATTCATTACCTTCTTCTATCTATCACGTTCGATGCCACTCAAAGACGGCGAAAACTCACCAATCCCATCCACGGCAGAGAATAACGTTTTGAAATGGTAACGAGCCAACAACCAGGCTCTCGCGTTCATGGTGCACAACATCGCGTCGCGAACCGAGAACCCCACCTACCAAATCATAACGGTACAACTCCGTGACAGCACGTCGGCCGAGTACTACACCTTGTCACTGGCAAATAAGACAACACCGACAATCATGCCACGGAGGTTCTTGTTATAACGATGAGTGAGAGATTCGACAAGCTCGCAGAGGAGAACCGGGAGCTCCGGGAGCTCCGGGCGCAAGCCTGCATCGACACCACCTAAGCGGTCAAAACGGAAACTGACGGGGCCTTAAACACCCCATCGGCCGGCGAAGCAGCTAAGGAGCACTTCCCCGACATCGACTCTCATGCACTCGGAGCATAGGCAATCAGAGTCCGATTCCGTACGACCTGAACCACCAACACCTGCCGTGTGTGCGGGGCCTGCACCTCGCGACACTGAGATAGATGGGGCATGGAAGAAGGTTGAGAGGAAGCGAAAAGGGAAAGGGAAAGCGGAGAAGAGAGGGGCAGGACTTGGAAGAGAGGGAGGCGTCCCGTCGTGGGTTGATACTGCCCGCGGCAGGGGCGGCGTATATGTGACCGTCTTCAGTGGGAAAATCGCCATTCTCCTAAACCCCCACCCTCTCCTTCCCCTCCCTGACGGTTCCCCCACTTGCCCTCCCTTTGAGCCAGGCCCGCTGTTCTACGCTGCGCTTTCGGTTTTCCCATATCCCACACGGTTCAGAAGTTAGCCTTTTCCGAAACAAAACAACGGTGGGAGCAGGAACGCCAGGCCGCCAAAGGCACGCAAGCCCCATTTAGAGGAAGTGCCATCAACCCTTATCTGCAGACGGTGGCGAACTGTGCAAACGGCCGGATTGGAAGGATTGAAATTCACGTACTCTCCACCTTTTTTCGAGTGGGAGCACTACGAGGTGGCAACTGGTTCGGAAACTCTTCAAACGAAGGGACAGAGGAGAGGTGTGAAGGGGCGGGCATGCAGGCTCATTTTAGTCTTTACCGTGTATCTACATCGCTGGGACAGGCCGGGGCGGAGGGCAGGGAAAGCCACATCATGCTGCTCGGTGAAAGTCGGGTTGGACAGTGGCGTGGAAACGGGGGGTGTATGGGTTGATATTGCCATGATCTAGACAGGTCACATGCAATTACTGATTAAACAAAAAAAAAGCCGAGTACTACACTGCCATTCGATATATCGCCACACGAGTGGCCACATGCGGAATCGAACTCGACGAAACCACCATTGCATTCTTCATGATCTACAGCCTTCCTGACACGGACGAATGGACGACGTTCGCAAGCAATTTGAACATGAACGGGAAGGACAAAGAGCCGGAGACGATCCTGCTGCACATGGTTCTACCGAGCTTCTCAACTCGAACAACTACCACATGTGGAAGGCGGACATGATGGTATACCTCAGCTGCGAAAATGCACTCCAGATAGTGCTGGGAAACGAAAATCTCCCAGCAGCGAACGCCTCCTTCCCGATGAGAGAAGGCTACCAGAAGAGACTTGGTCTCGCCACCGGAATGTTATAATCATCGGTCGAACCGAGTAGTATCCGGGCGGTGATCAACAAACTCCCCGACCAAGAACCGGCTAGCGTTTGGGTAGCCCTCACCGCAAAGTTCGATACAGCATCGTCCCGAACCGGCCGCCTCGCTGCCTGGAGCCTTGCCCGCCTACGCCCCGTTACACTTTGTTGCGTCGCCTATCTCCACCTAGCGAACGGACACTTTCACCATGGCATCTCCTGGCCCCGAACCCGAAGTTCCGGAAATCCATGTCCGATGGCACCCGCGATAAACTGGAAGGTTTCGTCGCACAGCTCCGCCTGAAGCTATTCAGCGGCCCCGCCCACTACCCCACTCCCAACCTACGAATGGCATACGCCTTCAACCACCTCGAAGGACGAGCACAGGCCCACCGCCGTGTGTATAGACAAGTCAAGTAATCCAGACGATATATTTGACACACCTCACGGACGCGGACGAAATCATCACCTTCCTAAGTAACACCTTTGGTGACCCGGACCCAGCCGCCACCGCTCGTGCAAAACTCCAAAAGAACTCGACAGGGCCGGGGTGTAGTCCGTGTTGCGGTGGTCTTGAAGGGAACCTCTATCGATAACCCTCCTCAAGGCAGTGCTCGACACAAAGCTCATCGACGGTAGTTCCCTGAAAGACCACCTCAACGCGAACTGCACTCCTGCCCTGTCGAGTTCTTTTCTACCCCTAAGTATGCCTCCCTCGTCCAGCACCAGACGAAGAGCGGATATTTCTATGCGTGCGGAATTCGGGGCTTGTGCATTCATTGCCTTGTGGGGTCGCGGGCAGTGGTGGTGAGTCATGATGAGTGTTTCGGTTCGGGCAGCAAGGATATTGTAGAGTATGATGTATACACCACAGTAGATAATGTCTTTCTTTCTGTCTTTCTTTCTGCCGGGTTTGAGATGAGCGGGGAGGGAGCGGGGAGGGAGTAGGGAGGATGGACCCGTGTCGGACTCGTCGGCACCGGGGTTTCTTCATACCTCGACTGGCGCGGGCGGGCAGGAAAATGAGTGCGTTGGTTTGCCATAGTTGAGACAGGCAGTATGCGAAATTAAATTGATGTTCTCTCTCTCTCGCTTTTTATGTACAATACAGTAAAACGCTACATAGTGCTTGGAGCCTTGGAGTAGAGTAAGGACCCCTTGATATGCGGCCGGGGTCCGGTAACGTAGGTACTCTATATCCCAGTGGTGCGGTACGGATTCGCGTGATCCGTACGCTCACCGACGCGCTGTCGGAGACAGGTGAAGAGATTTGAAAACTGGGAGACTCCTGTGCGGATTTTCGTTGTTTCTCGGTATGCACTCTCTGGGAACAAATGCGGCTTCCCCCGCAACATGTACGGGAAGGTAGTACTGATTGGTGGGCTACCTAGGGGATCACCACGTGCTTGCGTGAAGAGTCGCGTGTGTTCGGGGGTGATCTGGACGATGTATCTGTTTGGGGCGCAGTTGTGAGCCCGATATGATACTATCTACTAGATATGTAAGCAGCATGCTGGATCTGAAGGGCCGAACCTCTTGAGACTTGTCCAGCCATGTCCACAACGAAATTCGAATTCCCGGTCAATGGCCATGCCGTATCTATTTGTATTACGCTAACGCGCTACAGTTACCAAGGATCTACAACTGTGCTATCGTTCCTGCATATAAGGCGAGCAGTTCCCACCGGACATTTCAAGCAATATCCCTTCACCGGCCGCGGTCGGCAGGCTGATGCCAGCACTTGGGGGGGCCAACGCTTGCTACTCTGCGCCGCCCAGAGGGGGCATATAAAGTGGCAGCGCAGTCTCGCTGGGTAGCAGGTGCCCACTGCTCAGCTGAAAGGCGCCATTCTTTCACCGTCTCCATTCTTTTTTGATCTCGATCTCGCTCACACAATGATTCTCTCCTTGGTCCTCCTCGGCTCGATGTTGGCCTCAGTCGCGTCCGCGGCGCCAGCCTGCAAAGCGCAAGCACCAAACGTCTTCACCCTCCCCGGCAACGCGAGCTCGCCCGAAGGCGTCGTGGTGCAGCACGGCACGCCGTACTTCTACACGACCTCTGCGGTCGACGGGACGATCTACCAGGGCAGTCTCCACTCCTCGGTGATGACACCGTTCATCTCCGGAGCGGAGTACAACATGACGGGCGGCCTGGGCATGAAGATCTACGGCGACCACCTGTTCGTCGCCGGCGGCACCAACGGCGCGCTATTCGACTTCTCGCTGTCGTCGAAGACGCTGCTGCACAGGTTCTCTGGCATCACCAACGGCTCGTCGCTGCTCAACGACCTCGCCGTCGTCTCCGGCTCCGGCGACGTCTACGTTACCGACTCGTTCCTACCGATTCTGTGGAAGGCCGGCGGGCGCAGTGTCCGCCGGGACAAGTGCGAGCAAAAGCTAAAGCCGTGGCTGGATCTGAGCGCAACGGTCGACTACCAGCCCGGGAAGGTCAGTGGCAACGGCATCGTCGTCATGCCAGGGAAGAGGTTCGTCGTGTTGGCGGATACGAACGATAGTAAGCTCTACCGCGTGTGCTTGCTCACCAAGGAGGTGGTCGAGATCGGACTGAACGGCACCGTAAGCCCCCCCTCTCCCGCACATCGACGGCCGTGCCACCTACTGACCAGACGCAGATCGGCTCACCCGACGGAATCCTCTACGACGCGCCGCACTTGTACGCCGTCAACGGCGCATCAATCGACGTGATCGAACTCAGCGCGCCGTATCTGAACGGCACGGTTGTCGGAAAGATCGCGAACGACCTGCTGTTGAAGCCCAGTACTATCGACTTCGTGCAGGGACCCGGCGTGGCAAAGAAGGAGCTCCTTGCCGCTAACTTCCAGGCGAATGCGGTGGAGCCGGTGCTGCCGTACTCGTTGGTTAGGGTGCCGATTGAGTATTAGGAGGAGGGATGCGTACTTGGTTTTCGGGAGGGAATCGGGCGCGTCCAGGCAGGGTAAAAGGTGGATTCCGTGATGGAATACCTAGTGCGGGCCCAGGCAGGGCGAAAGGTGGAAAGACTCGCCGATCAGCTAATAGAGTACTCTGCTCGAGTCGGATCACCGTAATATACATATTCTATTCTCCGGCGACGGCACAATCTTCCTTCTCCCGTGCCCCAGCAGGACCACCTCCTATCGTGAACTGTGGCGTTAATTCCGTCGTTTCTCGGTCTCCCCGCCGCCGGTGGCCCCCAGCGCTCGGGGATCGATCTAGTCAATGGTGGAGCTATGTACTACTAGTTCTAGGCCTTAGTAACTAAGAAGAGTTCGATTCCTTATCGATTGAGCTACGAGAGTGCTACAGTGTTACAATGCGCTGCGTAATTACATCAAGCGTGCAGTTGCAGGTTCGTCCTATAAGCAAGACTGCAAATTTGGTCAACTTCGGTAGTAACTACTACCTACGTGATCTTCGACCGGCGGACGGCTGCAGTATCACTACTGAAAGACTTCCGTGCTTGCAAAAACCGGTGCTCACTAGTACTTTACAGTGTTCTCTATCGTTTAGTCCGAACGGTCGTTCGGACGTGATGGACGGACAAAATACTAGACGGTCCGAGCCTAGGACGGACGGACGGTTCAGTCCCCATCCGACGGGTTGGTCCCCGTCCAAGTCACGTGAACATGACTCGGCTGATTGCTGATTTCCGAGCCCTGATATCCTACGCGCCACCGCGTCAGCTCATCCCTCATCGCTCCACAAGCTGTAAAAAGTAGCAGTGTTTTGACTCGGACGCCTGAGGTGCGGCGCCCGACCCCTTTCACGGCGCTCTAGGCACCATATCTCACTCGGCTACATAAGGATGACATCGAAATCAGGGTTTTACACAAGGCTTGGTGGACGGCCGTCCACTGAAAAAACCTTGGTCGTCACGTCATAGGCTTGGACGGACGGGAGGCACGCCGTCCGTCCTCGTCCGAGGCTCAGGACGGATGGACCGGACGATAGAGAACACTGGATGCAATGAGATGAGATCTGGCTAGTTGGACAGGATAGGGTCCTTTTATGTGAGATCCTAGCCGCCTAATAGGAGAGCAAACATGAACGACTAGAACATGAGATAAAGAGTAAGCCACAAGTCGGCCATGTAGAAAGACTAAACACGTGACACACATCGAATAAGCGAGTGACCAACCATGTAGGTAGGCACAATCAACCAACCACGTGACAATCAACACCGGGTAGATAGCGAGTGCTCACGAATTTTTATCGTACTGCGGCCTGCGTCCGTTCAGATCACTCGACGATCGCTTACGTATCACTCGGTACTTACCATCCGAGGCCGATCCCGAAGCCTCTCGAAGCACCCCGAAGCCTCCCGCACCGACACTCTGACGGAGTAGGTAGTCGGTCCATGCCGGCCCGCGTCGGGAGCTCTGGCGGGGGGGGGGGGGGGGGGGGGGTTGACCGTGGGAGATGCGTGGCCGTGGCCGAGCGCCGAATACATACGGTATGAATACTCGGCATCTCGGCTGGGGCATCGTCCGGCTCGACTCGACTCGAAACGATTACGCGGTGCGGTCACCGGTTTCATCGGTACCGATATCCTATTTAATACCCTCGAGCTCTAGTAGTAATTGCTCCGTCGGGCTGGGTGGGGAGAAGTATTCCTCCCCGGGGAGGGCGTATGTCGCTCACATTCCGTTAGGCATTGCGTGTTTCAGCCGTCAGCCTGTCAGCCTGTCAGGCGGTACTTAGAGCTATATGTAGCTGCAAATATCCCGCGGCATTGTCGTTGGGATGCAATTGCGGGATAGTAACCATACAGCCGCCAAGCGGCCAAGGTATGATCATTGCTATGTACTCTATATATGCTCATTGCTATGATAGTAGCCGGGGAGACTGGCTAGAAGGTACTTTAGTTGGTAGTCTTGAATGCCAACTACAAACTACAGTGACCCTTCAAGTGGAGACTCGCTTCGATGCCACACACGAGCTCGGAGCTGTATGGCGGGGCCGGAGAATTCCGTGGATCCGAAACGGTCATGACAGCAGGACTTCCCCATCCCACCTGCACGCTCCGTAAGACGGCCGGGGCCTGGCATGTTGCATTATGCATACAGGTACTGCTATGTAGGTATATAGACTGTATTATGTAGTATGTATTGCACAGGACTCGCGACTTGACAAGCGCACCGGCAGTCAGGTACGGCGAGTTTTCACCGATCGTACAGCGTGGCAGCTTGACACTCCCGGCCGGTCGGCAGTTCTGTCGACGTCGGTGCTGTACGCTAGGTATGTGACATGTGTGACATGTGCCGACGGCGCGGACCGTTGTTAGCGCAAGTCTCCACGTGGAATATCTACGGCAATGCGGGGTCCGCGTGGCTGCCATGTGGAGTGCGGGAATTCGTGCGGATGTAACATGACACATGTACTGTACCGTACCATGCACACGTCTTTTCCCGGCACTAGGCAGTGCTATATACAAAGACGGGGACATACGCGGAGTTCCTGCAGTGGGGTGGTGGTGGTGAAGGACTGTGGACTGTGGGCTGTGGACTGTGGGCTGTGGACTGTGGGTTGTGGACTGTGGAATGTGGAACCACTCACGTGCGTGTCAATCTCGCAACCGCTGCTGTAAGTACTGTAGAGTGATGGAATGAAGTCCGAGGTCGGTGGTCCTATCACTTACGACTGTGAAGCCTCGCCTCGCCTTTGATGATGGTGATGATGATTTATTCGCCGCCAGGAGTCTATGGCCCGAAGCTTCCATCCCTAATTTGATCGAAGACTTACCAAGCGGACCACCACCCCTCTCCGCCAGCTGCAGATGCAGCTGCAGAGTGGTGGCACGGACAATCCTCCGAAGCAATCGCTTGCCAACGTCGTGCTGGTGCTGGAGCTGCATGCATGAGGATGTCGTTCGAGAAGGAGAAGAAGATTCTGGGGTGGCGAACTGTGGAGGCGGAGATTGCGATGGTCTCATCTCGTTTAAATAGTGAGTGCTCGTATCGAACCGCCCCTACCTGCCAAGCCAGGTAGAATAACTGCTAGTACGCGATCGTCGGAGATCGCGGACATTCTGCGTGGTCGGAACACCAAGTTCCAAGTTCCAACGCTCCTTCCAGAGCCTTCTTCGAGCGGGAGCGGATGGCGGGGGCGGAACACCACTCGGGGCGATTGCTTGTCACCCAGAGTAGGTACAGTACATACGGCTTCGAAAACCACGACTTTCAACTGCGTACCACGTGCAGTGAAAAAACGCATATCGTCGATCCGACGACATTAACTTTTACCTAGCGAAGCCTCCGCATTCTCCAACCTCCCTATCCTCGCTCGCGTGTGGCGGCAAAGTCGGTCCCGCTGGAGCCTGGGTGACAGGACGTTGCCGGTCCCGTAGCTAGGACTGTATTCCCTTCCGTAGGCCCGGCAACCGAAGATATGGGGTAGATATTAAATGCCTGAGGCCTTGTGTGGGCCGACTGCGCTCGGCGAGATGTCCGATGGCGTGGACGGGAACAGGCTGTGTGCAGAGTTTTTACGGTGCGGTGTCGTTCGCAAGTTACCGGTAGAGCGATGGCAGGCGTAGGGAGTGTGACAGCGTAGGCTCACCAAGTGCACACACCAGGTACATATCCAATATATCTCCGACCCCGGATCATCCATCCATCCATCCAATACTCTAGTTAGGCGGCACCTCCTACTGCGTGCATAACGCACCCCGGAATATAGCCTGTGTAGGCTCGTTATACCCAGTAATTTCTCCATAGTATGTATTCCATAATATGTACTCCATAATGTGTACTCCACCCCCGGATTCCGACTTCAGCCGCGGGACGGTGGATGTAGGACGTACTTGTGTGTGTAGGACGACAAACACATGGCTTGCATGGTAGTCAACGGAGAGTATATGTAGTACGCGCATTGAAGCGGGGCGCGACGACATCAGCGTAAGCTGATGCCAATGGCGATATAGCGTTGCATTCCCTTCGTGCTTGCAGTTGCCAGTAACTACGGAGTTCTTCTAGGACTTCCGACTCACGCGGGGTACGTACAGATTTATGGAGGAGTAGACCCAGGATAGAGAGAGAGGAAAGCCGGGCAGACGTCTCGCTGAGTCGCTGTTGGCGAAGGTGGAGAGGAAAGGACTTGAGCACCCGCCTGCGATATCGATAACCCAACGAATCGAGGCGCTGTGCGGTATTCCATGCTACTCTAGAGCAGAGTACCCTAATTATCAAAGTGTATACCCCGCTCCAAGCTACTCTACCACTCTACTCTACCGTAGCCCGCTTCCCACCAATTGCGCCCCAGCTTTCAAACATACGACAATGCGACATCGGCACGAGCCAGAAATCTCGTCGAGTCATCAGGACGCTTCATGCTTACATACGACCTCATTCCTTCCCGGTCCTTCTTGTCGACTCCCTCTACGTCTGTATAGCTGAGGGAAGGGGGCAGGGCATCACGGCACTCGGGCTTGGAAGTTGAGGATCATTCACGGACAAGCGATAGGACATTTTCATCGCGAAACGTGAAATAATTCTTCATTCATTCGCGCGCGAGTATAAATTTCAACCATAGTCCCCTGCCGCCCCGCTACATACAACAAACTGTTCGCCACACACGCCGATCGTGTCCAAGTTCCGGTTTTCTGAGCCACAAGGACACTACCTAGCTCTGGATGGTAACCGTCGTCGTAACGGTGCACTGCGGGGCCGTCGTCACGGGGGTGGTGGTGGTGGTGATCTGGTAGTTGACGCTATTGCCAGGATCGTAGTATCTGTAGTATCGCAGCGCAGTGGCTCCTCCGTCAGCTCCGCCCATTGCCATGGCTTCTCTAGCAGTATCTATGCAAGTACTCACGTAACCCCGCTCACGACGTATTTGATATAGAACTGTGTAGCGCCGGTAGCGGTACCAGAGAACGTCCAGGTCTCATAGCCATCCGAGGCAGGGCCCGAGGCGTACGCCGCCGCGAACGCCTGCGCCGTGGTCCACGAGCTGCCCACGGCGTACACGACCGTCACGGCTTTGGAGTAGGCGATGTTTTGGATCTTTTCGACGGCGTATATTAGCACGAGACGAAGGAACGGGAGAACGGGGGACAGATGAATACGAGGACGGACCTTGATGGATCCCGCGAGCACATTGTTGCTAAACGTGTAGGATATCAGCGACACCTGTGTGGCGCGCTTCTCGAGGGGTGTGGATGCATCGGCACCCGTTGAGAAGGACAGCAGTAGGACGAATAGAAAGGAATAGAGCTTTAGGAGATGCATTTTTCTTCTTCTTCTTTTTCTTTCTGGGTCGCCGAGGGATACGGTATCGGTTCGAGGGGAGTGCTAGCAAGCAGAGTTCCGGGTTGGAGTTTTATTGTCTTTATGTTATGTTACGGGGACGAGGACGGACATGCGTTGGGGAGGGGAGGGGGGCAGCCAATTCACATCCCCCACACGGGAGGAGGAGGAGGTCATAAGCCGCTCGTGTGTAGATGGAAACATGAGCATAATGAAGGGCTGTGAACATGGATACCACCTTGCCCGAGGCCCCGGTAGTACAAGGCCGGTTCGAAGGTGCAATCAAGGGCTACTACCGTAGTAACTAGGATGGCACGAGGGGCATTATGCGCGTCAGCTCGATCATATAAAACGTTTACAACGTTGATGGTTGTGTCGGACAGATGTCCTGGCATCTCGTCAGGTCTCGGGAGATGGGCGTACAGAAGAACATTCCTCCACGCGAGGAGTCCACTACTGAGTCTTCTACAGAGATGGGAGTACAAACGAATTCTCCACGCGAGGATTCTGCTACTATACAGATGGGCGTACAGAAAGAATCTTCCACGCGGGGTCCACGTGGAATCTGGATGCATGACATGCAGGAACTCTTACTACATATTGCCATTGCTTACCCACAGCGCAATACTATATACGCAATATACCTACGCAATATATGCACCCACACCATCTACGGAGCGGGATTGCGCTTCCAGAACACTTCGCACTGCCACCGCTCGCATCTATCGTGCAACCAGGTCGGTATGCATAACTAGGAAGCGCAACTGCAATATGGTTGAATGCCGCCGCTCACATGGCGCTCACATGGCGCTCACATGTCCGTCCTTCTCGGCCCGCATGCATGGCGCATGGCGAGACAAATACAGAAGCTTGGGCAATACGATCGATGTCTGTGGCTTCGCTCCGCCCCATCTCGACGCCGGTAAAAGTGCTCCTCAAAAACGGAAAATCACGCAGAGATCATCATCGTCATGTGGTATGCGCTGACATGACGGGCCTAATTACGGTGCCGAGGGCTGTGAAATGGAACGGTGAGACGGAACGGTGAGACGGAACGGTGAGACGGAACGGTGTTGTAGGTATCATACGGTGGGATGATGACGGGTAGGTTTGTAGTAAGTCCTACATACCTCATACCTGTAGGATAACCATTGTACCAAGTCAATCGAGCGTTTGGGGATGAGCCTGCTTTCGCTATGTGGGCGTTTCTGCGTGCGGAGAAGAGCAGTCTCCGAGCTGGCAACCCAGCCGGAAAACGACTGAAGACAAGGGTGCATGTTGTTTGTATTTAGATACAGGCATTTTTTGTAGGCATACCTATAACCATGTCCGGTCCGGTGACACCTGGAGCACTATGAATCGCGCGTTATTGCGATACAATACGCACGTGTGTGGGTACATATCAGAACTCATCAGAGGAGGGAGATAACTACCGGTATACTTGCGGATATATAGTCGGTACGACGAGATCTGCTGGTTAGTTACCGAGAAAGTGCAGTTCTCGAGAGCAGAATCCGAACGGAACCCACCCCCGCAGTCTACTCCCCACCCCCGCAAAATAGATTGGAAGGCGGGGAAAGCATGCAAGCAGCAGGAGCGGTCGCGGGGTGTGGAGTGTTTAGCGCGAAAAGAATACTCCGCGGCTATCGGTTGATTGTGTCGTGTACCGTACCTGCCTATCCGTGTGCAGCCGCAGGAGACAGACAGACAGGGGCAGGCAAAGTGCAGGCACAATGCACACACAAACACGTGTCACAGAACATTCCATGCGTGCGGTCCAAGAACCCATTGCATGCAAGGCACCGATAACGTCACCGCAAACACCCAGCATCACGAGCAGGTGGAACCACCTGGCAGACATGGACAGTTACCAGTAGCACATAGGTCGATACGTGGAATTCCAGTACCAGCTGCTGGGGTCGGGCCGAGCGCGGTCGCGGTCGCGGGAAATCGTGGCGCCTCGATTGGGCGGCCCTGCGAGGGTTCATCCCAGTGACACACGCTAGCCGGTCGCGGCCACGCGAATAACCCGAGCGGATAGGCGGACTGTACCACACTGGACTACTAGTATAGAGTACCATACCGCAGAGTCCGCAACTCAAACGGTTGTAGATTCGTAAGGCACATGGCCTTTTCCCCTGATCCTTCCATCCACCCACCTACTCACACACACCCGACTGTCGCTTCGCCTCAAACGTGGCCGAACCGACAGATGGCTGACTGGATGGCTGACAGCCTGACTGGATGGATGGCCTGCCGGTCGCTCCTGCTAATTTCGTCAGAACATGGTGCTGCAAAGTCGGGAGCTCCTGAATCTTCATGCATGCCGGCGGTGGGTGGAGAGATATGCCGTGATGGGTGAGCTGGGAGATGAGGGGGGTGAGGGAGGGGCATGGTGAGGGGAGGAAGAGGGGGAGGGCATTCTAGGACCGCAACCATGCGCTGCTTCATATCGCACCTCATCTTGCACCTCAGGAGTCGGACAGTACTCCGGTCCCAATGGTGTCCCGCAACCCAGTACCAGCACACGCTACATCCCAGCGTGCTGGACGACAGCCTGCGCAGTGGTGTATCCGGACTCATTGCAGGAAGGCAGGTCTTCTCATATCCTGGCAGTCCGGCTTGCAACTTTCGAGATATAAGTCGAGCAACATCTCCATCATTGAATCGATAGCCATTCCAACAGTCTCTTGCTTGCTACGAAGACCTTACCCATTCCTTCCTTTCCGTATATTCCCATCTTCACCATGCGCTTCATCACTCTCCTGAGCGGCATCCTCGGAGCCTTCGCTGCGACCGCCATCGCCGCCGATGCTGAAGCGTGGAAGACGCGTTCCATCTACTTCGTGAGTATTCGTGTCCTTCGACTCGTCGCGCCTCCCGCCGATGGATGCTAACTATACCTAGGTCCTTACCGATCGGTTTGCAAAGACTTCGTCCGACACGAGTGCCTGCACTAGCCTGGGCAGCTACTGCGGCGGAACATGGGCCGGAATGGAGGCTCGTCTCGACTACATCAAAGGATTGGGCTTTGACGCTATCTGGATCACTCCCGTCGTCGAAAGTGGGTTGTTCTCCCTGGAAAAAAAAATGAAAAAGTATTGACGATTTTGCAGATACCTCCAACGGTTATCACGGCTATTGGGCCAAGAACCTCTACAATGTCAACACCAATTATGGCTCCGCCAACGACCTCAAGTCGCTGGTGCAAGCCGCCCACAACAAGGGAATGTACATCATGGTCGATGTCGTTGCGAACCACATGGGTATCGGAGCCTACAGCGATTTCACGCCCTTCAACAGCGAGGATTACTTCCACAGTTACTGCGTCATCAGCGACTACAACAACCAGGAAAACGTTGAGGACTGCCGTATCACCAGCGATCTCCCCGACATCAAGACCGAGGACACCAGCATCCGGAGCACCCTCAACAGCTGGGTCAAGGACTTAGTTTCGACCTACAGCTTCGATGGACTCCGCATCGACACCGTCAAGCACGTCGAGAAGGACTTCTGGCCAGGCTTCGTGAGTGCTTCCGGCGTCTTCTCCATGGGCGAGGTCTATAACGGAGACCCGGCCTACGTCGGCCCCTACCAGGACTACGTGACCAGCTTGGTCAACTTCCCGATGTACTACTCCATCCAGGCCGCCTACGCCAGCAAGGGCTCGCTCCAAGAGCTCGTGACGCAACACGACAAGGTCAGCTCCAACTTCGACCGGCCCGAGCTCCTCGGCACCTTCCTCGACAACCACGACGTCGTGCGCTTCCTAAACGTCAACTCGGACTGGACCGCGCTCAAGAACGCGCTAGCCTACACCCTCCTCGCCCGCGGCATCCCGATCCTGTACGGAGGTACGGAGCAGGGCTACACGGGCGGCAGCGACCCCGCCAACCGCGAGGACCTCTGGCGCAGCGGCTACAGCACCACCGGCGATCTCTACGGCTGGATCAAGAAGGCGATGGCGGCCAAGACGGCCGCCGGCGGCCTCGGGGCAAACGACCACTCGCACCTGTACACCACCAGCACGGCCTACGCGTTCAGCCGCGCGGGCGGCAAGCTCGTCGTACTGACCACCAACGGCGGCAGCGGCACCAGCGGCACCCATTGCTTCAACACCAACGTCGCGTCCGGCACCGTCTTTACCTCCGCCCTTGGCACCGCAACTTACACCGCTGGCTCGAATGGAAATATTTGCGTGACTGTTTCCAACGGACAGCCCGAAATATTATTGTCGTAAGCGGTCAGCTGCTTTCTGTGTCTTTGCTATATTTTCGTCGGACACGTGGGCTAATGAGGTGTTTTTTTGCGCGCCACAGTGGTTCTGCTGCAACTGTTACGACTGCTGTGCCGCCGACGAGCGCAACGACTGGGACGTGTGTGACTGTTACGGCTACGGTTTATGTCTAGAACGTGAAAGGAATGGGAAAGGAAAGCGAAGGAAATGGAAGGGATAATGCGGGTTGATTTTTTGGGATGGTTTTTTGCGCGGATTTGGGGGGGAATTTTGGGTAGGATCCGGATCAATCAAAAACTGGAATTTTGTTGTGGATTACGGTATTGGGAATTGCGATCGTGATATGAATCAGCCGGCTAGGTGGGCTCTCGGAGCTCAATTCTAAGTGAAGCGCGAACTCAGACTCGAGTAACGGTATTCCCGGAATGTGGTGCAGTAAATGCAGCGAATCCCGTCGACGTGGCTTCCCCTACCCTCTGCCTCGCCTCCCGCGACTTTGTTGGGAGATACATGCCATAAGAGATGGCATTCACCCGGCAGCCCGAATCGTCGCTCGCTCCAACAGTCATGGTAGCCCGGCGCCGAAAACCTTCATGACAAGTCTGTTCATTCGGCATCACTCGCGACGACTTGCTTGTCCATACGACATCACTCGAAATAGCACGTGGAAGGCATGTTGGAATAACAGAGTAAGATATGGTAAGATGTGATAGTGAACAGTGTAGTATTAAAGTGTAAGGCTGTAGCCTCGTGAGAACAGAAGATATATGGAATAGGGGTAAAGGTCCGTGCCTTCTACCATGACTAATATAGACACATATTACAACAGTGGGACGCACTCACGATCGGCATGGTGGAATATTGCAGTCTCCGATTGCCAAGCTCTGGTCCCGTCCGGCCACCCGGAAAAATTGCGTAAACCTAGTCCGCCCATTCCACTAATCTCGTGGACTGCAGTCGACTGCAGTCTGATGTGCACTAATTACCACAGTCCCGCGACAGGCGGTCTGACGTGGCTTCCGCGGCCCTCCGCCTCGTCTCCTGCCTCTTCGCCTGGCGGGGGATTAATGCGGAAAGAGATTACACACCCGGCAGCTCGAATCGCTCCTCGCGACAACCGTCATGGTAGGGTAGCGGAACTACCCGCCGCCGAAAACCTCCACTGCACGTCCGTCCATACGACATCACTCGTGTCGGCAAGCCGGTCCATCTTGCATCACTCGTGCTAGCACGTGATCTACACGTGATCGCACGCAGGAGGGATGGGTTCTGCGGCTTCCACCTCCACTGATGTGGGCAGACGAATCCCAGAGGTCGCTGGCGAAGATGCAGTCAGCGAGGTGTTCGAGTGGGAGCTCGGAGAGCGGGAAGAGAGGAGGCGAGAGGAGGGTGCTGCGGCTGAGGCTGCGGCTGAGGAGGCGGGGTCACTCCTAGCACCCGCTTTCATAGCTTCTCCCGATGGGGAGGCAGGAAGCGAGGCGGAGTAGGGAGCGTCAGCTATTTTTGTTTTTCCTAGTGTTATTTCCTTGGTGCGCTCTACATACTTGCATCGCTGGGACAGCCTACCTATGGCGGGGTGGAGGGCAGGGGAAGCCGCATCTGGCCTCTCGATGACAGTCGGGTTTTGGACAGTGGTGGGAAACGGCGGGAGGGCTGAGTGGATGTTGCCGTGATCTAGAGTACATAGACAGGTTGTATGCAATCGTTGATTAACCAAAAAACAAAATATAAAAAGGGTTGTGCGGCTTCCTGTCGTGTTGCTAGTCCTTGCTCCGGTAGTCCACACCACTCTGTATTTTGGTATTGATATTGGTATGATAATGGTATTAGTATTTACTGTTTAATCGTTCGCATATTCAGCCGCTGTACAATACATCGAACCTGCCCGCGGAATTCCGCATTCCGCATCGCGACTCGCGACTCACTCGGCGGGAGTGTACCTACTACCTATAGGCATGGTGGATTAACGTGCGCTTTCGTGATGCGATCACGTGCTTTTTCTGCACGACAGCTGCAGGCAAGGTGGGATAGGTAATGCGGTGAGCTCCACGGTGCTGACGAACTCTCGAGTTGAACTCGTCGGATTTTGTGGATCAATAGGTTGGCCGAAAGCGCCGGTGGTTTACAAGTTACGCGTAGCTAGTAGGCCTGTAAAGTAGGCGACACTTTGTGAACGCAGTGAGCCGCAAGATACCAACAAAGGGCCCATCTTTCCAAGCCTCAACTCCCGCATTATACATTATGAAGCAAACATAAACTAACTGATGAGAAAACCCTCCGATACACAGTGCAATTTGCAAACACCCAACAGCTCCAACGGCTACGGCAACGATAAAATATATTCCGCCTAATTCCCCAGGACCCTATTCAGCCTCATCTGTACTCTCGTGAACAAGGAATAGGTGTTTGCCAATTGGCTATCAGTTTGCCGACGATCTCAATGCTACTAACATTCCAGTAAACAATAATCAAAAATAAATGCATCAACATCAGCGTAATCATCCCAGCAAGACTGCCACATGTGACTCCAATCTTCAATGTTCTTGTCCATGTCCCAACCGCGGGAATGTCGCCATACCAGATAAGAAGAGCTGGGGTGGCCATCAGATACAAGGTAAGTAGCAGGGTTACAATTATTCCTGTATTAGATACGACGTATCCCAACCCCCATAAAATAGTGATAAACAGGAACATACAGGCATTCATTCCGGAAAGCGGGATATAGTGCGGCCAGGCCGGGTTGTACGTCCACAATAGCGATGCGGGTATCCCAACAATGACACTGAATAGTAGCAAGATGCGAAATGGTTTTCTGATTCCGTTCAAATCTCTCGGATTTCGAAACGTCTGAAGGAATGCACAGACCACTGCCACGGCAATGTTGCTAACTAGAAGCCGGTGCCACAGCTTCCAGTTTCGATTGTGCCATCCAAGTTTCCATATGAGCGCCTGGGGAAAAGCCATCAGCCCTAAAGCTAGCACGTGTCTGAGAATTGGATGGTCCCGAGCTGATTTGAACCACACCCGTGTGGGGATGTTGCTGCCCTCGCGAACTCCTGATTCTATCGCAACTCTACGTTTGAACTTCTTAAGACCCCCTTGGATGAACGTGGAGCGTATAGCAAGGCGGATGAAGTATGCGCCTAGCAAAAGACCGGATGCGAAGCCCCAGAAATGTCCTATACGTGGCTTATTCACCTCCCATTCCTATGGAAATCAGAGAATGTTGCCGGATACGGGTTTTGATTTTGACGACTTACTTTGATTTCCATCCCAAAGAATGACGTCGCGAAAGATAAAGGGATAAAAATGAATGCAAGTTCCGTGAGCTTGCTAATCGACTCTCCTTGGGATACCGCATTGCGACTTTCGATGATCGACATCGTCGACATTAATGCTTCGAAGCTCGCCACAATTCGTTGCGCCAGCCGCTTGCGGTCGGCTTCAAGTGCTAGAAGTCGGTCCTTGAGCTGCGGCAACCTATCAGAGCTGAAGTCCGGTGCCCTTTTCTCCTGGTTGGAGATCCACGACATCGACTGTAGGAGGGATGTTTCGCATTCGGTGAGGAGTCCACGCCAGTTGCACCATAATCGTCGCCACTCTGGTAATCTACTAGAGACCACAATGTCGTTGGACATTGTTGCATCAATTCCATCCAGAGTGCGGCTGATATTCCACAGAATACAGTCCCACCACTCCAGCGTTAGCGCTAGTAGACGGATTCTGGCACGAGTAAGGAGTCCTGACAGCGCGATATTTGAGTCATTGTTGGCCTCTGTCATGTCGTGTAGTAAGGATTGGAAGATATCCCGAGTACCGGCCTTTGGTGCCGTCGCCGGGGGTGATTCTCCTACAACCATATGTGAAGGCTCGAAAAGGGGCCTAGACTCTTCCTCCTCCGCCACATCCTCCGAGACGCCGCGGAATCGCCCTCCTCTTTTACTCAAGACGGTGCGCTGCTTGTCAAAAAGAAAGACTGCTACCGCGAAATGTCAATTTGGAATACACAAAACCTGAAAGAGGAGGCACGAACCACAATTTTGACCAGCCATATAAAATGTGTCCCGTTCTTCCACAGCACAGATATACGCCGAAGATTCACCAGTCTTCTCGGCGCCAGTGATGGTCTGATACGCTCGAAATATCCCACAATCAAATCTGGGGCCATCCTTAGTTGCTGCCACCAGAGCCTCTCCATCCAGTACCGCAGCTGGTGGAATCATGACTCGCTCCCATGCGGCCCTTCGAATTCTATATTTTTCGTTTTCCAGAACGAAGCTCACCGAGGCATGCATGCCCAAGCTATAAATTCCGGTACTCCACCAGCTCATCGATGAAATTTCGGCATCCAACTCTAGGCGCCGTCGACTGTGCTGAGCACGGAACTTGCAGGCCGGGCACTTCTGGTTATCCTTCCATGATGTCCCACCACAAAGATGGTTACCCGCTTCTCCTCCGGAACCATGCTGTATGAAGACTTGGATAGGAATAGAAAGGTAGCTTCCAAGAAAACTTATTAGCTCTGGCGTGAGGTCTTCGACCAGGAACACAAACGAATCGCTCGGCGGTAACGAGTCTCCTGGCGGTATTGAGTCGTCCGGCGATTCCAAGCCGCTGGTAACCGATGAGTCGTTTGGCGGTAAAAAGAGGTGCTTCCAAGTTTCTAGATAGATGCCAAGCTCGGATATCGAGGTCATAGGTTTGAAATAAAAACGTAACCCTGGAAGGAGAATGGCGAAGATGAAATACGATGAAGAAGTTGAGGTTCTATTGTACCTATTCAACTTCGAGGAGGCATGATATGTATGGCTCCTCTCTGATGGCTAAGATACAAAGTTGATGCCACTCAATCCGGCTAATCGGCCCTCCTCCCATGGTGGCAGACAACACATACCGGTAGTGGTAGGAAACGGTCAGTGGAGGCCGAGGAGCAGACTCGCTTATGCTTCTTCTTCTTGTTTCTGTACCGAGACACACACCAATTGGTTAAATAATCAATCTTTTGAACGTCAATCTATCGTCACAATCGCGTCGCTTCTACGTATAGTACCTACAGGGCACTCAACGGTCCGGTCGTCGAACCCCCCACCGCAGAAACTTCGTACCCGACGCCCTCGATCCTATGCATTTTACACATATGCTCCACACCTACGTCCCCCTCACCCCGAGAGCTCACGAGGAGCTGAAGCTTCACAATCACGGACCACCACCTTGTCTTTAGACTTTAGCGCCAAACCTCTTTTTCTTTTTCTTCTTCTCCTCCTTCCAAGTTCCGACAGTCCGTCGAAGTTCGAATAGTGTTCTCCATTATCCATACTCCGGTCCGGACTACAGACCGGACGGGACGGGACGGAGTTCCAACATCCAAGATCCAGTCCCGTCCGGCGTCCGTGCCTTTTGGAGGACGGGATAAAACTTAAAAGTAGTCCCTCGACTCCCTCCCGTCCGACAATTTGCTGGACGGGGTTGGACTGCACTCGACTGCAGTCCGGTAGTGAAAAAAAAGTGCCACTCTTTTGAATTTTCAGCACTTGCCCCACCAAATATGATAGCGTGATAGCATTTCCCACTACTCGTGCCTATCGTGTGTTGAATTCCATCCAGTGCTATTTTGCAACAGTAGCAACACCGTGAGTGGCGACAACATCTAGGTACGTCCAGTGCTCTACATACCAGCAATGCTGCGCCACAATCTTCGTCCAGCCTCCAGCAACAATAACCTACGCCACAAGCTGCGCCACAATATTTGGTTACGTTCCTACATAGTACCATCACCGCCGAGGCGTCGTCTTTACTCCAGCCCAAGCGCATATATACAGCAGTACTTCCCTCAGCCACTAACTACAACCACCGATAATACCTAAGCCGCGGGCTTTCGTTCGTGATTTCTGTCGCCTTGTACCAGTCTTTGCAGTCCGTCCCGTCCGTCCGATAGACACCTCCGGACGGACTGGACTGGACGGACTGGACTACATACCTATGGAGAACACTGTCGCCGAACCCCCCGCCGAACCCCACACCGCAAACCCCTCGTGCATTATCCTTTCCGCCCCCGTACTTTATCCTCTCCGCCCTCTCCACCTCCACCCTCCGCCCTCGGTTCACAGCTCCGCAACTCCGTGCCCCGGAGCCGGAACTCAGTGACCAGTCCCTCCGCCCTCCCCCCAAAAGAAAAGAGAAAAAAAGAGGGAAAAAAAAAACCGAACGAACCGAGTGATCGGTGCTGAACCGGCCCGTATCCAAGATCGGCGTCACCCTGGCCGGGCCGGAATCGGGGCCGGAATCGAGGCCGGAATCAGCGCCCCCACGGGCCTACGGACCCACAGGCGGGAATTGTTGGCTGCCGAGAGGTCAGCCGAGAGGTCGGGATGTCGGGTGATGTCACTCGTGTGTGGTGGTCTGTTGCTGGCCGGCGATACGTACACTGTTCTGTTCTCAGCACTCTGTTCTCGGCACTCTGTTCTCGGCACGGGGATACCTATTGCCATGATCTACTAGGTATGTAGGTACTAGATAGGTCGTATGCAATCATGAGTAAACCAAGCCGTTCTCGGCACGGGGTGAGGGTGAGGGTGAGAGTGTAGGTGACAGCCGCGTAGAAACGAACATGTAATCTGCCATCAATTAGGTACTACCAAAGGTCGAATGTAATGATGATTCTCCCCGGCAGCGTATGGCGGCGTGATATTGCAATCACCCCGCTTCATTGGTGGTACGCGGAGAGTTGTCGGAAATAAGCGATACACGATACGCGGAGAATGAGAAGAAAGTCCGCACTCGCCTTTCCAATTTCACCACACCTTATCACTCGCACTCGCTCACATTGGCAAATTCAACATCATTTGAGATCTGATTCATTTGGTATCTCCAACTCCCACCCGGCTCCAGCCCCGCATCCTCATTCATGACTATCCATATCTACATATCATCGTGCTCAAAAGTATAAAAACCAGGGGGAAAAATAAAGATAAAAAAAAAAGTGAACGATTTCTAGGTAGCATGACCTAACCAACCCACCGAAACCGAAATCCCCCAACAAGAAAACACACGAAACTCTGTCGCGTAACCAACCCAAAAACCAACAGACTAGAACAGAATAGAACAGAATAGAACAAGTGCAAAAACATAAAACTAAGCTACTTAGTTCTCAATGTGCTCTCCGTAACCGCTCTTTCCCTTCTCGAGGTTCTCGCGGTAGTCCTGAGCGGGCACCCAGCCAGGGCTGCGGCGAGCGTTGGGAACAGAGTGGTAGAGCTCGTCGACCTCCTCGAGCGAGAGACCCTTGGTCTCGTAGATGAAGAAGTAGACGAAGACGATGGCGACGGCGGTGCAGCCTCCCCAGATGAAGAAGACCTTTGAGCCGAGATCGGCGGACTCGGGACCTTTGTCGACGAGGTAGGGGGTCGAGTAGGCGAGGGCCCAGTTGAAGAGCCAGTTGGAGGCGGTGGTGAGCGACAGCGACTTGGCACGGGTCTTGAGGGGGAAGATCTCTCCGGTGACGACCCAGGCGACGGGACCCCACGAGGCGGCGAAGAAGGCGATGAAGAAACAGACGAAGGCGATCAGCACGTTGCTGGCGACGGCTCCATCGGCGGCGACACCGACGATGGCAACGATGAAGTGGAACACGGTCATGCCGACGGCACCCCAGAGGAGAAGCTGGCGACGTCCGAGCTTCTCAACGAGCCAAAGACCGGGGATGGTGGCGAAGACGTTGATCAAGTTGGTGATCAAGGCGATGGTGAAGGCGTTCTTGATGCCGGCCGAGATAAAGAAGGTGGTTCCGTAGTAGAAGATGAAGTTAACACCGGTGAGCTGCTGCAGAGCCTGGATGGCACATCCGGTGAAGGTTCGCTTGAACATGCCGGCCTTGAAGCAGTCGAGCCAGGTACCCTTGCCGAGACGCATCTCGTATTCGTGGTTGGCGCGGATCTCGTCGAGTTCGGTCATGAGGGAGTGGTCGTCGACGGGCAACTTGCGAAGACGGCTGAGCGCCTTGGAAGCTCCATCGTAGTCGTCCTTCATGATCAAGTAGCGGGGAGTCTCGGGGAGGATGAGCATGCCACCGGCCAAGATGATGGCCCACAGGAACTGAATGGCGATGGGGATACGGTAGGCGCCACTGTCGTCGCGGTTCATGGAGCCCTGGTTGGCGCAAGATGCAAGGAAGAGACCCATGGTGATAGCCCACTGGTAACAACCGACGATGGTACCACGGATCCACTTGGGCGCGGACTCGGACTGGTAGAGAGGAACGATGGCGGACAGGAGACCGACTCCGAAACCGGCGACGGCACGTCCGGCAACAAACAGGTTCTGCTCAGTGGCGATGGTCTGCAACACGACACCGACGCTGAAGACAATGCACGAGGTGATCAATCCCCATCGTCGTCCGATCTTGTCGGCAAGCTGCGAGGCGCCGAGAGCACCGAAGAAGGTACCAGCCGAGAGGATCGAGACGATCAGGGACTGTTCCGACGAGGTGATGTATGGGTTTCCGTCGGCGTCCCGACTCCGGGCGAACTGCTCCTTGAAGCGGTCCATGGCGAGGATACCGGAGATGGTTCCCGTATCGTAACTGTAGATCGAGTCAGTTTGACTGTTGTCATGGCAATCGAAGGGAAGTGCCAACATACCCGAAGAGAATACCACCAAAGGCCACGAAGAGACCGATGATGATGGCAGGCGCCGAGGCACCGGCCTCATCGGCGGGCTTTTTCAGCATGAAACCCATATTGTCGCTATGGATCGGGGTTGTCGGTGAGAGCTATTGAGGGAGCTTTCCAGAAGCGAGGAGAGTGTGATTGCCAAAGGGCCTCCCGTTTGTTGAATTGACCTGGAGAAGACGGAGGATGTTGGGATGGAGTGGAGAGCGGGGAAGACAGAGCGGGAGGTCGGCGTTATATACCGTGTTGGGCGGGAGGGAGGGGGATTGGGTGTGGGGAGGGGGGGTTGGATTGGGGACTCCGGGTGCAGGAGGGGGTGGGGTGGTCGAGAGACCTCCGTCAACCCTGCGCAGTTGCTAGTGACATTCGGAATTGGGGTAGAAAGTCAGATTATGGCGTTTCTGGTCACACATCCATGTACCATACACTTTCCGCGCCCGAGAGAAGGAAAAGGAAAAAAAAAACGTGGTCCAGACGGGTCTTACCGGACGGCACACCACTCGACATCATCATCACCATCATCATCACCAACACCAGGCACTCTGCTTGCCCACCAGTGACATGCGTTCCCTTCTGCCGGTCCACACCTCACTGTCACACGGGACGATTTCCCAGCTGCGAATGTGTAGGGAGGTAGGTACGATTTACCGCATAATCATCATCCGTTCACCGATTCGCCTCCATGAGCGCGCGCCGTGCAGAGAGTGCCCCCTGCGCGCCGCCGCCGCACTCACTCAATCCAGCGGGGTATGTACTTACGGTACATAGAGCAACCTGCTGCGAGCAGCGATATCCATCGGCACATCGCATTCGTCTCGTCTCTCGCCTCCGATCATCGGCATCCGTGGGCCGGCACTCGCAGCGGGTTTTCTTTCCTCGCATTTCTCTCCTGTGCGTGTTTTCCCCCCTTTTCTTTCCTGCCTGTCTTTCGCTTGCCTGCGAACGAGCTCCTGCTCTCCCCACAAATCCCCCCCGCGCTCTCCTCCTCTCCACACATCACGCACGTACAATCGATAGGTGGGCCATGTAGCAGGTGCATATCCCCCCCTTCCCCCAACAACAAGGCGGGGAGAGCCAGGTTTCTCCGTTCAGGGGTGGTGGTGGTGGTGGTGGTGGTGGTGGTGGTGGTGGCGGTGGTGGTGGTAGTGGTGGTGGCAGCAAGTTGCGAGCGGGGGGGTTGGAAGGTGGAGAGGGTGGATGGACAGGGTCGGGATGGATGTGGAGCAACAGCTGCTTCATGCATGCCGACAACATCCCGGAAAAACTTTGTGCCGGCCATCCGGCAAGCAGAAACGGACAAGGCTGGCAGCAATTAATGGACCGCCATTGAGATCGCGGTGGTTAGCTAGTGGGGCCTGGGCAGCCCCAGGGTGTGCGTTCTTCTTGGAGGGATAGGTACGGTACTAGGTGCTCTATAGCACCGGTAGTGCGTATCATCATGTCCACACTCTATGAGCTCCGATTCCGTCGAACCATTGTTCTCTATCCCTCACCAAACCGTTCCGTTCGTCGCCCGGGTCAGAGAATAAAGTGATTTTTCTTCTTTTCTTTCTCTCTCGTCGCCTGGTTCCTGACGAAGCTACTGTACCGTACCTATCTCGGCGGCGGCGGCGGCGAGAACGACGGAACGCCACCTATAGCGACCGAGATATTTCTATCGGGCGCCCCTTCTCTTTCCTTGCGTGCACGACTAGTACCATAGAAATACCTCCTATGATACTCCAGTAAGCGGAAATCCGTCGCAGCGTGAAATCTCAGCATCTGCATGTCTCAGCGGCGCGAAGGCTTCTCTCGCTACTCTAGATTTCTAGGTACTCTAGACCACGCGACGGAGCAGGCCGATGTTTGGCTTGGCGGCTAGACCTACTGAGAGCTCCCACATCTGCAGGGGGGGTGAGGGGGGGTGAGGGGGGGAGGGATCTCACTTCTGCTCTGCTCTGCTCTGCTCTGCTCTGCTCTGCTCTGCTCTGCTCTGCTCTGCTCTGCTCTGCTCTGCTCTGCTTCTGTCTGCTTACTTACCCAACCAAGATGTGGGCCTCGTGGAGTCGTGTGTCGAGTCGACCCTCTCTCTCTCTCCCTCTCTCGTCCAAATCGTCCAGGTTCAGCGAGCTGCCTGCTTCAAGTGGCGACGTCATGCAAGTGTGGGAGGGCGAAGAAAGTGGGAAAACTTTCCGGCCCGCATCCGAGCCTTGGCAGTCGTCACCCCCCTCCCCCCAGTCAGTCGGTCGCGCCTGCGCGGAAAATGCCGAGTACCTAGAGCACCTACCGGTATGTAAGACGGTAACATTCGCAGGCAACGGAAAGTGGAGCCTTCTGTGCTGTGATCCATCCATCACCCATCGCCGCCGCCGCCGCCGCCGCCGCCGTAGGTACCGCGCCGAAAACGAAAGCGACGTCGCTCGGTCGGAGGAGCGCGGAGGGCAGATGCCCGTGATGGGTGGCGGGAAACAATAAGTGCCCCTCCAGTCTCATGTACCAAGTACCTAGTACCCACCGGCCATGCTGCGTGCGGAATCCATAGCCTCCCCCTTTCTGCCTTCCTGCCTCCCTTCCTGCCTCCCTTCCTGCCTCCCTTCCTGCCTCCCTTCCTGCCTCCCTTCCTGCCTCCCTTCCTGCCTCCCTTCCTGCCTCCTTCATTCCTTCCTCCCTCCCTCCTTTCTTTCTCCCTTCTCCTTTCCTGGCCCCGACACGGCGACACCGACACCCCTCCGACCCCGACCCCGACCCCGACACCGTCACAACACCGACTCGACGCCGACGACCACGACGGCGATGACGCCAAAATCGTCAAGGTTTCCTTCCCCAGTAGCGTAGCGTGAGCACCAGGATCATCGGATGCACCTGACGGTCGTGTAACGTGTTCCCGAGCGGTCGACTGCAACCTTGGTTGTGTGGGTGGGTGTGTGTGGGTGGGTGAAATCACCGGTGGGAAATGTGTCAGTGTGGTAGGTGTGTAAACCAAACTCGATCGATCTGGGGCATGTTTTGGCGACGGGGGGCAGGTATCGTGGTCACTTACTGGTGGGGTGGGGTGAAGTAATGCGGTAAGTTTGAAGCGCAGAGCAGCGGCGCACAGTAGAGAAGAGCTGTGCACAGCAGACAGGGCAGAGCAGAGAAGTGCTCGTGTGCACCCACGTCGTCTCTATGCTCTCTCTTGGACAGAGGTGCGATGGTTTCAAATGCCGTGTGTATGTTCTACTAGCGCACACGATACCATCTTGACGCCAACAAACAAACCACCACTGCCTCCGGTCACCCATACCTCACCCCTCCCTCTCCCGGGCCTCGTGGAGGGGCGGCTACGCTATGTACGCTGCTCTAGTTGGTTACCTCCATAGCACTGAGAAGTCGAGTGATGCCCGCATAGGTGTTAATTACCCGTGGGCTCCGTAGCGCCGTGCAGTGCCAGTACTCTCACATTGCATAGGTACATATCCAGCCTATCGCGCTTTCCTCAAAGCTCATTACAGAACGAAACGACGGCGCGGCCGGAATAACTCGTGGTTACCTTAGCTGGGCTCTAGTAGTTATCGGTCAGACTCGGGATGGGATGGGATCGCACAGCTGTGGCGTTGTTGGCGTTGGCGTTGTTGGCGTTGTTGGCGTTGTTGGCGTTGTTGGCGTTGTTGGCGTTGTTGGCGTTGTTGGCGTTGTTGGCGTCTCGCGTCTGGCGTTTGGACTGTGGAGTCTGGAGTCGAGACTGTGGAGTCTGGACGAGCCATTTTCGTCTCGTCTCGTCTGTGTCGTGTGCGCGGACGGTTTCTTTCCCTTTTCTTTGCTTTCGTTTCTCTCGTTTCTTTCGTTTCTCTCGTTTCTTTCGTTTCTCTCGTTTCTTTCGTTTCTCTCGTTTCTTTCGTTTCTCTCGTTTCTTTCGTTTCTTCCATTGCTTTCGTTTCTTTCGTTGCTTTCGTTTCTTTCGTTGCTTTCGTTTCTTTCGTTGCTTTCGTTGCTTTCGTTTCTTTCGTTGCTTTCGTTGCTTTCGTTTCTTTCGTTGCTTTCGTTTCTTTCGTTTCTTTCGTTGCTTTCGTTGCTTTCGTTGCTTTCGTTTCTTTCGTTGCTTTCGTTTCTTTCGTTGCTTTCGTTGCTTTCGTTGCTTTTTTCGCCACACCTTGTTTCCACGCTGACGGGAGGCGGCGGCGGCGGCGGCGATAGGCTGTGGATGGTTGGCGAGGGCGAGATGTCCCAGGGCCAAATGCCTCAAGTTTCAACGACTCGTGAAATCCGTCGTGGCTATCCGGTCCAGTGGCGGCGGGCCGGCGAGAATTCCTATCTATCCAGCTATCTATCGCACGTATGTACGGTATGTACGATATGTTTGCATGCATGACCCGATTGAAGATGTTCTACATGGCGATGGTTCGATACCTACCCCTCAAAACGTACGGTATGTACGGGTTCTCCATGCTCCACTCTGCTCAAGAGCCCAGCTATCTACCCCCGAAAGTACATAAGATACATACCACTACCGGTACCGGTATCACCAACTCCCGCGTGGCGCTGGCTGGGCTGCTGCACGAAAAATTTGTCTCCTGCAGCCACACCGTAAGCACCACTAGTGGCAGTGGCAGTGGCAGTGGCCGAGGCAGAGGCAGGCAGTGGCCACATGGCTGCAGGCTTTCCCTTCCTCCCTGCTCACCACTCTGCATACATACCACTGTGCATACCAACGGTAACCAACAACCTAACCAACCGCGTACTGACGCCCCCGACCACCGCAGTCAACACCGAGCTGGACTTCACCGTATCTCTGAAGATATCTACTCTCGAGTCTAGATACCAGTAGATATCGACCCAGAACCGGAATCAGAACCAGAGCCAGAACCAGCCATTCGCCTCCGCAATTGTACTTGCCCCCTCCCTTGCCCCCTCCCCTTCCCTCCCTCCCTTGCCCCCTCTCTCCCCCCGCCCGACCCGCCCCGCCTCGCTCCACGCCCCCGCTTCACCCCTCGCTTCACCCCCCGCGCCCCCCGCGTTTGCTGGTTTATCAAGGCTCGACCGATGTTTGCTTCGCTTCCTGGAGCCTGGAGGCTGGCCGCTGGCGGTGACCTGGTGCAGGGCTACAGGCCATCTATCTGGAGCAACCAGTGGAGCAACCAGTGGAGCAACCAGTGGAGCAACCAGTGGAGCAACAAGCGAGCTGCTTCACGAGCGACAGGGGGAGATACATAGTAGATCTCACCTCTCACTTCTGACCGTTTGCGTCGTATGTATAAGCCTCGTGGAGCCGAGCGGGGGGAGTGCCCGGGGTGGTGAGGGGGTGAGGGGGCTGTTGACGCGGCGTTGGTATGTCTGAATGTCTGAATGTCTGAATGTATGCATGTATCTACAATGCATGTATGATATGTACATGTCGACGATATCTATACACGCGGTACTCCATAGTACCCACCGTACTGTATTCCCCCTACTGCTACTATACACCCCCTACTAATAGGCATGTATAGAGAGTCCCGTATACCCAGCTCCGAGCCCACGAACGAGTGGGAGCGAAGGAGACTCTGGAGGCGAGAAAATTTCGCGCATGCAGGTGTATGTATGTACGTATCATATGTATGCATCTACACATACCCATACTCAGTATGCATGCACATAGGTATAGGTGTGTGTATGGGTGTATGCAAGGGTATCTGGATATCTGTACATAAATGTGCCGCATCGCGATCCACGGCCGCATGGGCGGCGTTGATCCCGCACCGAGTACCGTACAATACATACCGTACTTAGATACGATACGTACGATACGATATACGTTACGTACGTGCGGGTGCGGGTTTGTTTGTCCGCCCCGTCTCGTCCCAGGACATAGATACCTATGGTACCTACAGTACGATCCGCACCTGCTATCAAGTCCCGGACAGTGGAAACTGTAGACTTTGCTTTCCCCTCCCCTCTCCTCCCAGGCTTCCCCTCCCCTCCCCTGTATCCGCGTGGTTTCCACCGTTCATCCCCGGTTCGGGTCAACGCTCACTCCACCCCTCACCCCTCACCCCCCCTCCCACTCTCACTCCCCACCCACAGGTTCGTCCGGACGCAGTATGTACGCTGGAGAGTCAGCGCTGGGTCCACGGTATAGGTATATTACCGGTGAAGGCTGAATCCGACACGACAGGCAGGAATGCCCCGCACGTTCTCCTGGTAGGCTGAATCCGACACGACAGGCAGGAATGCCCCGCACGTTCTCCTGGTAGGCTGGTACCGGGACCGGCACATAAGTCATAACGGTGGTTCCACCGCCACTGGAGTCGCGAGATCCATGAAGCTTGAAGCAGCTTTTTTTTTGGTCATCCCGGGTTGTGCGTGCTATGGATACGGTATATACGGTCTCTATATGCGTATCGCATGTATCGTATTCTTTAGTATGGTACCGCTATGGGGAGAGGGGCAGGAGGGGAGACGTGTCGAGCTACGGCCTATTCCCTGCGCCGTCGTGCATGGAGGGAAGCCGACCATACCTCTACACACCACGGCGTTCTCGCCGAAGTCCAGCCTTCGAACTTCGAATCCGGACCCGGGCCCCCCGTTGGGCCGCTGGCCGGAAGGGGGGAAGCCTGAGTACACACGAGAAGAGTCGGCCCGTCTAGGCGTCCTCCCACCACGCCAGTTCGATGTCTATAACCCCATGGGGAGGGAGGTGAGCTCAGCGCGTCTTTTCGGGGCTGGGGAACCCGCCGCTGGCTGGTTGGTTGCGGAACTGGTTGGCTGGTTGGCTGGTTGGCTGGTTGGAGGAGACGACGGAAGGCGCTTATGCACGACGAGACTCGACTTGTCGCGGCGAGGTGAGGCTTCCTTCCGAACCCGCTTCAAGCCTAGGGGAGGAGAGGAGGGTCGCTACACACTCCGAGTCGGTAACTACTCTAATCTCGCCCACCGGTTCCCCCGCCTCCCCCGCCTCCCCCGCCTCCCCCGTATGTATCCCCCGTATGTATCCCCCGTCTCCCCCCCTTTTTCCTCAGCGAGCCGGATCGGATAGCGCTGATGCTGATGCTTGGAAGTAGGGTTGTGGGTAGAGTAGAGTAGAGTTGGAGTAGGTAATAAGAATAGCCACGGTCAAGGAGCCGAGAGCGCAAACGGTGGAGGAGGTATTGAATTGACCAGTTCCGCAGATACCGCCAGAAATAGGCACATAATCCCTCGAGTGACGAGTCCTGTCATCACGCTCCGGCGTCCGTATTGCGGCACAGCGCATGCAAATAGAGTAGAGTAGGTAAGTCGGCGGTTTCGATCGGTCTCGGGAGTCGGTCGGTCGAGCTCGCACATCCACATCCACATCCACATCGCACTGTTTCATCGCCGTCCGCGCACGGTACCTACTGTGCTAGCACGTAGAGCAGAGGAACTAGTTAGTCAAGCAGATACCTGGAGGTTGGATACAAGCATCGCCAAGCAATGCGCTCGACTCCAGTGGCGTCGTGGCGCGGCCAAGACATGTTGCGCATGAGCGGCCGCGGCGGCCAAGCAAGCAGTACTGTAGCTTGTGCAACTTGTGCGCCCGTCGATCCGTCGGATATTCCGGTTCTCCGAGGGGTGGTTGCGAGGGAAAGCGCGAGATACGTTAGTACCAACTGAGCAGTCGCACTAGCCGTACGCAGTTGGTCGGTCGACCATGCCTGTCCCTGCCTGCAGACAACGCCTGCTAGCTCTGGGGAGAAGTCCGCACTCCCACACTAATCCACCGCGACCGGGGGTGTTCCCTACAGGCGCGTGTCCACGGAAATATAATTTTCCATGGGAGCGGGCTAGCGTTGCGTCTGCGGGCGCGCGGTGCCGGGAAGGGAAGCTCTGAGCAGTAGCCGCTGCAGCTGCGTCCGAGTCGGGTTGTTGTGGTGAAGCCAGGGCGAGCGAGCGCCGAGTGCAAAATTCGGTGCGATGGTTGGAGTCTCCTGCGAGTCTGCGACCGCAAGAAGTCGGCCAATCGTGCGTGAGGCTGCTGAGTGAGATTTGCAGCTCCTTCTTCTCTCTCCCACTCTCTCCACACTGGCCGCGACAGATCTTATCCGGTCTCCGATCCGTTGCGTGGGCTGGATGCTTACCTGCTGTCTCACCTACATACATATGTTGGGTCTCTCGCGTGGCAAATATGCGCGGTTTGCTCTTGAGCTCTTCCTCTTCCTTGCCGTCGAGATCGATATCGACGAGACGAGAGGTTGTTGGTCAACACTCGGTATCGGCATCAGCGGTGATGGCGGCGGTGATGGTGGTGGTGGAGCGTGGAGGTGATGGTGGGGTGCATTGACACGGCGGGGGCGAGGCTAGCTGGGTGGGACCTAGGAACACACCCTGGTCTCACCCAAGCCACATGCCATGCTTCTCTCCACGTGAGACATCGCCGCCGTATGCTCCACTACTGCATACAGCTCTCGACATCCAACGAAATCCATGATCCCCCCTGCAGAACCCTGGTGTCCGGCTCGAGGGCCGTACCCGCCGATATCGCATCGGAGAGAATACCGGTGCTCGGGTTCGGTGGCCAAGATCGTGCTGACTCGTGGATTTGGTAAGGAGCCAATGCTTTCGATGCGGTGACGCGGCGGAGGAATTCACCCATGTGCGTACTCCACTTCATCAGCTGCGACAGTTCCACGTCCAGTTGCCGCTGCTCTTCACTTCCGACTCCAGTTGCGATTCCAATTCCCAGTCCAGTCCAGTTCCCAGTCCAGTCCAGTTCCCAGTCCAGTTCCCAGCGCGGTTCCGTACCAGTTCCGTACCAGTTCCGTGCCAGTTCCAGTACCAGCCTCAGTCCCAGTCGCAGTTCCAATCCGAACCGGCGGGAAATCCGGAGAACCTGGAATGTACGTAAAGGGCTTGCGAATGTCTCTCTCCCGCCTCCGCCCTTTGATGGGCAATCCACTCCGATCCATTCCCATCCTGGCGATGCCCGCCGATCTTGCCGGATCCAGTCGTCCTCGCAGGAATACGGTCATGGGTGGCGATAAGTAGTGCACTTACATATCGACTGGCTGCTGCCGTGCTGGATGATCGCTACGCAACCGCGATGGACTCTGGAGGGGAGCGAATGGGATGGGGAATGCGGGGTGTAGTTATCACCATCCGCATCATTGTCTAGCAGTTACTCCTGCTCACTCCTGCTTCCTCCTGTCCATCCGCTTGAAAGCCATCGTGCAATCGTGCAGTCGAATCGAGCTCGACTGGCAATTCCAAGTTCTTTCGCAATTACCAGCACCGCAACCGATCTTCCGGCTCAGCTGCACATTCTCATCCGCCAACTCCAGTTATTGTCCGCAACTGCTAAAAGCCGGATCTCCACACAGCGATACTTGCAGGCGCGCTCGCCAGAGTCGCCACAGTGCAGGAGCCGAGCGCCGCTGACGAGGGAGCCCGTCAACTGCACGACTGGAGTAGACGCTGCACGGTACGGTAAGCGGATGCTTGTTCCGTCTGTCGCGGCGAGAGTGCTGGCGAAGCTGATGGAGTGAGTCCGGTTTCGAGGATGCGGGGGCGGGAATCATGAGATGGCACTCGGTAAGATTTGTGATCACTCAGCGATCGGGCGGCTTTGATGGCAGCTATCTAGGCAATCCTGGCACACAGTGTATCAAGAATCTCAATCATTTCCATCTTGTTTGGTTCTTGTT